TATCTCGAATGCAAGTTGTTATCGGATTTGGTTCCGGCACTAATATTTGTTTCGAGATGGATGACCGCTAATCATGTGTTCTATCGAGAAGACCGGATTTCCTTGGCATTGCCTTTCCTTATGCAAGAAAGAGATCGGGATTTTGCCGTCTATAAATAGAGTCGCATGGAAAGAGGAATGTCGCATTGGAAGTTCCATTTAGAGTGCAATTCCTTTTATATCACACAACACAAACGCAAAACATGCCTCGGACACCCAAACAGAAAAACAAGCGTCCAAACTGCAGATCTAAAAACCCGGTTGATAAACGCCAGTATCACATCAACGCAATACGTTACAATATCTCGCAAAGGCTATTTTCAAAAAGGACTCAGAAGTTTTATCTCGGCGAGGATAGATGCAAACTCCGCTACGTCTTCTCAAAAGTCGCTTATCATGTGGATGGATTGAAGGAATTCACAAAATTCTGCATCTATCCAGTTAAATGCAATGATAGCATGCGTGAAGAAGGTTGCCAGTGTATGGGATTTGTACGCATCTTGATCCTTCAAGTCAAACAGTTTTTGGAAATTGCCAACATTGACAACGATGAGACAGTGCAGGAAGAGTTGCTCCGGTGGCGGGAAGAGATAGAAGACATTTGCTCTCATCTGAACTCTGATGAGTAATCCGTTAGATCTTGTAAATAGTGTTTTGAATAAGATATGGTCTTCATTGGATTGATGAAGGTGCGGGTGGGGAGGCGTCATTTATTTTCCCTCTTTTTTCCAAGAGGAACGGAGAGAAACGTGTGAGGAGCATTGTTGTTCTCCGAAAGGTGACAACGTGTAAAAGTCGTATAACTTATTTCACTTTGTCACCTTGCGGAGAACAACTGGGTAGAATGTGACTGTAGCAGAAACGAAAGAGTGAATGGAGGGGTGGGTGGGGAGGCGTCATTTATTTTCCCTCTTTTTTCCAAGAGGAACGGAGAGAAACGTGTGAGAAGCATTCTTGTTCTCCGAAAGGTGACAACGTGTAAAAGTCGTATAACTTATTTCACTTTGTCACCAATCGGAGAACAACTAGGTAGATTTGACGTTAACAAAAACGAATAAGTGAATGAAGAGGTGGATGTAGAGGGACGATGTGAAGAAAGTGTCTACGGCTGTGGACGGAGGCGAAGGTTAAGTTAAAGAGGTTTGAGAGGAATGGCGGCGGTCATGAGCGGAATGGAGGGAACGCGTGACGGATTGACGGTTGACAGGACAGCGGCGGAATGACAGAAGATGACGCAATGTGACTCGAAATGAATGGAGAGAAGTCATGTGCCGTCACGTGATCCGATGGCGTGGAGGGAGATGTTTAAATGTTGAATAAGATGATATGTGACAATTCTTTTACTATGGGATCCGGCAGAGCAGTTTTGAACTATGGGTCAGTCCATTCTATACTATGGGAGTCTTCTTTTTTACTATAGGATCTGTCACAGTCCACCCTATGGTATATACCATAGGGTGGACTGTGACAGGGTCCACCCGCTTTGACATTGCGGGTCACGCCAATGTTTGGGTTACTTGCTACCCAAAGCTTGTTCATGCGCTCAAAGCCTACTCTTCGACTTTGTCTTCGCGAATGCCCCAAACCAAGTCCAGCCTTGGGGATCGCAGTGAGACACTGAGAGGTTTACGTCAATGGCTCAACAGTCACCCGCTCCACATTACTGGCATGCGAGTTGAAGTGCGAGTTCAGTGCGCCAGGTTGGAATCAGCGGAACAGATGGTTTTGAATCTCCATTTGGACCAGATCGAGACCATTTTCCAGCACATGGGCGCAAACTCCTTGAAGCTTGTGCCGGTGGAAGAGTACTACAGTCTCATCAATGGCATCATGGACGCTGCCACCAGAGTTCTATTCAGAGGAGATCGCAATAGACAGACTACTGTGACAGACTGTCAGCGCTTCCGAGATGTTCTCAACTCGTCGTTTGGTTTCAATCCCGGATGGTTCAAAGGCATTGCACCCGTCATTGATCCTGCTCGTGCTTGGTGGGGTCATGGGGATGGGGAAGTGCCTGATGCTGCTCCCATTGGCAATATCCGTGAACTCTTCCATCAGCATCGTGATCAGCTTCAATGTCCCAACTGTGGAGGCTCAGCTTTTCATAGCATTGGCGGTCAGCATCGTTTCCGTCTCCGCTGCGCCAGGTACCCTGAGTGCCGTACGACTTTTGGACAGAACCAAGTCCGTGACATGCTTGCGGAAGTCCTTTAGTACTGTTGAATGTCGTTGATAACTTTACACCAAAACCCTTTTCTGAATGTGCGCTTTTCCAATGTACTCTAAATCAATAAATGCAATACTACTTTCCACCATTTTAAATGTTCCATGACAGAGACAGTTCGGCTGAATTTAATAAGTGATCTGGGAAATCTCTAACCCCAACCCTCTCACTCTGCGTACCCTGCAAGCAAGCCCAGGTCACGTGCTCTAACCTGCATGGACAAACTGTAGAACACTGCTTTAACTGGAAAATGTTCAACAGTTTTGGTAAATGACATTCCGCAACGGTCCTACAAACAGTCTACGATGCACAGCGGAATCACAAAATATTTACTGGAGAACACAGCCAAACCCCTTTGCCTGCACATACGTACTCGTGTCTTTTGTTAGGAGATCTTGGGGGTCACTACTTGAGAATTGAAAAGGGGCCCTGTTCTTCAGCCAAAAGCAAGGTTACACAAGATTTGCTACCACATCAGCTATGCAAACCATAGGCTACAATCAACTTTCATTAAGTGCCCTACACTGGATAGTCAGCCAGATGTTGAGATATCACCACATTTTCCAACTTTTTACCCCCCGTCGCGTAAAAATTTCGTTTTTCTAAGTTTCTGAAGCCGTTTCCGCACGGATTGCCAATCCGAGAGTACTTCAATTAGAGAATATGATATGGGGCCAACTTTTCAATTAGGACGCCAACTCCGGATCGGCACTATAAGAATCCCAATTTGCACAAGTCCTCTAACGTATATATAACATATATGTCCCCTTTATATCAACCCCCCCCCCCCTATTGGCACCCCTGCTGCCGCCCGTACCCGCACCACCGCCCATATGACCCATCACTTGCCCTTGCACACCTAGTCCTCCCCGACTTGCTTAGGTGCCCAACACCCCCCGCAACTACATCCCTCAGAGTCAAAAATTCGAACTGTAGAACACACCCAAAAGCCAGAAAACCCGAAAATTTCTAAGTCCCTAGGGTTCCAGGCAACCCAATAATAAAACCCAACCCAGGGGGTCTTGTAACCCTAACCCTAACCCTAACCCTAACCCTAACCCTAACCCTAACCCTAACCCTAACCCTAACCCTAACCCTAAACTATAACTTTAATTATTGGCTGTAGCCTGTCTGAGATGATCACCTCAAAACCCTGAACCCCAGACCCCCTTTGTAACCCTAACCCTAACCCTAATCCTAACCCTAACCCTAACCCTAACCCTAACCCTAAGTCCCTAGGGTTCCAGGCAACCCAATAATAAAACCCAACCCAGGGGGTCTTGTAACCCTAACCCTAACCCTAACCCTAACCCTAATGACCGATTACCGTATTTTTGAGAAGACCGGCCTTGAAGTATCAAATTTGATCGATAAGAGGAATGGTGCCTTGAGTGTTATCGAGACAATGAGCGGTTCGAGCTCATTATTGGTGTCTTGAAACTCCTTGATATATTTCTCAAGAGAGTCCCCGAGCTTGAGGCCGGAGAGCTTGAGCTCAATAGTATTACGCAAGTTGCGAGGATAAAAGTGAGCGACAAGAGCCGTTTAAAAAGCTGTCCAACTTGCGGGAGGTCCAGCGGCGTAAGTCGTATTGTACCACTCGAGAGCAGTACCCTTGAGGTAGGTAGTGAGCGTAGGGGCGTAGTCTGCCATAGTAAAGACTATGGCGTTGGCAGCTCCAGTACCGTCTGATCCAGCTTGTACAGCCAGGACTGTGAGAGACTCGAGAAAGTTGTGGTGAGATGTCACAAACTCTTCGATCTTTTTGGCAGCTTTGGCGCCATCGTATTCGACGAGCTTGTTCTTGCGAGCGTCCATAAGAAGCTTGAAACGTTCGGCTCGTTGGGTTTCTTGCGTACTAGCACGCTGCTGAGTAGCGAAAGCAGCTGCGACAGCCGCAACGATAGCTTGAGTCTGTCCGTCCATTCTTGCTTGTGAACGAGTGTAAGGGCAACATCCGGTAGAGGGGCAACGTTGACAAGGAATATCTTGGTGATGCTAGCGGTAGGTGGTGCTACCATGTAACGTCAGAGGAAACGTAGACGATATTGGGCCCTTCTGAGAGGGCTGAGAGCAGTGTATTGTAGTGAAGAAAAAAGTCAGAAGCTTTTCTCAGCGGCCGCTCGACTGACAGCTTTATATATGGGCTGCCAACGGGGCTTGCGTGGCTTCAGTGAGGCTTGGCGCCTTATGTAATGTATCACCGAGAGCTCGGGTGGCCAGCCCGGGTCTTGGATCAAGTAGAAGTAAAGAGATATAATATGAAATACAAGTGAAGATGAGATATCCCCGACAGCCAATCCGACGGCGGCAACACTGGATACGATTGTTCAGCAGTTGTGGCCGACCATGGAACGACATCTTCATAATCTGGTGAATTCCATGCCGTCGAGGATGGCCAGTGTGATTGCGGCTGACGGAGGCATAACTAGGTAGTAGGAGTAGCTAGGCCCCCGTTGAGCAAGGATGATGGGTCGTTGCATTGAAAAAGCGGGGATGGCTTCCAGATCTGAGACACGGTGCAAGCCGAGTCGGTGATGATGAGTCACGCACGCGCCAGCAGACACTGACTTGCGGGCGTGACTAGAAATGGGTAACTCGTGCTAAATGTGGGTAGCTCACCTCCAGAATAAGACTTTTTTACAGCCAAAGTGAACCATTTGATTAACAAACCTAACCCCTTTGCCTTCGGTGAGTCGGCCTTACCCGGCCTCCTACAATCAGGGTCTACTCGCTCCGCTCGGCAGCTGTCTAACTAGTCTAACCCTAACCCGAGTTCCTCACATTTAGCACGAGTTACCCACTTCTAGTCAATCCCCTGACTTGCTCGGCGGGGGTTACAGGTTTATGTTCCCTGGCTGTACCTCGAGCATTGAGCTTGCCAACAGGGGCAGACGCTTTGCTTTCCAAAGCCCGTTGGCTGTCTGTCGCGTCTCCGTCAGCGTGCCTGCAGCGCTTCCCTACTGCTACCACATGGCCATACTGCGCGACCTGCCCGTCGAACTGTGGCGACGCATCCTCGATTCCTTTGTCCGCGAAGACCTTGGAGAGGTCGCCCCCCAAGACTGGGAGCGCAAAGCCTGTTCGCCGGGGCCGGCGCTGCCTCGCTGTTTCATCTTGTCGCAGGTCTGCCCCCAGTGGGAAACGCTTGTTACGCACTGCATACGTGCCGCCAGGCTCGCTGAAGTGACGTTAGAATGGGATCAGTCGAATGACGAAGTAGTCTTCACCCCGGGGGCCCAAAACCTCCGCGACGTCCTCACCTTGAACATTCGCGGCGCCGTCGGGGCAAAACCGCCGGCATCGTGGACCAAGTGGCTCGGTAGCGTGCCTAACGTGCGTCGCATTCATGTATCCCATGTTCCCCCGAACGCCTTCTTCGACGCCGCCTCCAAATGCTGCCCGGCCGTCACCACCATCACTGGAAAGGACTGGCTTGGACAAGGTCATTCTGCTCAGGGAACATACGTATATGTTGACCCGGAGACAGGGACGGCCACCCCAGCTACGTTGGGAGTTGACGCAAAGCTTTTGGGCATAGCGCTGAGCCGATGGCATGCTGCCGGTTTCGGAGGCTTGCATCACTTGCACATGCGCTGGGATGTGCGAATCGATGACACGCTATTGACCACTATGATGAGGACATGTCCTCATCTGAGGTGAGCATTATATCCCTAGTCATTGTCGCGCTGCCATGCAGTTTGACAAACATGCCGTTTGCAGCTTTCCGAAAGATCCTAGGGATGAATACTTTGGCGACACTTTCATTACCGCAGAGCCTCAGTTCGACGTATCAGATGCTTTATGGGAAAAATTCGTGTGGTGGATCGGTGGATGGCGAGAGTTCGATTGGGCCAAAGTGCATGTGTCGCTTGAACACCCGGGGACTTTCCCTCGACGACTCTTGGCGTTCGCCCAAGCGTCGAAACCAAATTTGAGAATCCTCAGGTTTGGTGCTAGCGCGGGGCGCGACGGAGCTCGGATCACAAAAGAAAGCTTGACCGCTGTCCTGAAGCCCTGTCCAAAGCTTTCAAATCTTACAATATTTCCAGAATGTTTCGATCTATCTGAAGGTGCTGTCTGCGTTGAGTTGAAACGCCTTGGGACAGAAACACTTACACCTTGAAATGGCTTTTCTTTTGACCCAATAGGCGTGTTTGAAGGTTTCGGGCAAACATTAGCCGAGCATTGCCCGAAATTGAAAAAACTTGTAATCTCTTCGTGTGCTCAATCTGCCTACGATGGCGTGTCGTTTGAGGACGACGATTTTGCACACATCTCCGACCTCCCCAATCTTGCGGATCTGGAGGTCATCCCCTGGCTCGACATGAAGGCGAAGCACTTGGTTAGCCTCCTAAAAGTCCCGAAAAGCATCGATGAGCGATCTGTACGGATCCGAGGTGACGGCGAGCAGTGTTCACCAAAGGTTCTCCTGGAATTTCTGCGTTGTTTAGCCCGTCTCCCAGAGGACTTCTTTGACACAACCGACTTTGCACTGGACTTCGAGCTAGGATGGGACTATGATGAAGATGCATTTGAGAAAGGACAGCCGCTGGCGGAGGAGATATCTGAACGGTTTGGCGGGGACGATGGCTCCTTCACGTGTCTGCTCGAAGAAGAACAGCTCATCATCAGAATCGGTTCAGACGGAGATTCGGATTGATCGCAATCCAATAGTTGACAGAATGGGACTAGGAACGCGTGGGTAGCAAACACCTGATGTAGAAAACACATCCTCCGTTGAAAGGACAACTCAACCGGTGTAAAGGACAACTCAACCGTAGTCAACCTTCTGCGAGCAGTGATATACGCAAAAAAACTTCGGGGTGGTTTGACATGTGCGCCGGCAACGCCTCGTACCCCGCGTGATCATCCCAAAACACTGGAAAACCGTCGCGTCCTGTGTGGTTGTTTCGACGGGCAGATCCACTTGGATGCTCGTGCCCATGCGGAAAAAGTGGAAGGTGAGGCGCTCGACCACAGGATGCTCGTGAGCTATGATGGAGACGGCTTGGGTCGGGCGATCCGTGCTCTCTGATATGGGGTACACATCCTCGTCCCCCGGTTCCGAGTCCGAATCGCTATTCCTGACTACGATTTCTGGACCCCAGTCTTAATCTTCGAGGCGGAGTAGAAACTCCTCGCCATCGTAGGCGACTCGAATCGCATGCTGAGTGCTGAGCAACGCCATCTTGTCTTTTCGATCTGCCACTATGAGGTCAATCGACTCGCCGACAAATGTGCTCTCTGTGGCGTATCGAGGATTGTTTGACAACAAATGAGCCTCCAGACGGCAATTCTTAACCAGAGCTTCGCACACTTCTTTCGACGCCGATTGCCGGGAGGTTGCATGCCAAACGCTGAATGAGAAAGCGACAAAGTTCGAATTGCAAAGACGGGGCGAGGGGGTGTTTCAGACAATTGGAGTGAACTAGAAACAAGGCAAACTCATAGGTCAAAATCTAGGTAACATCTCTCAAATCAAGGGACAGCACCTACAACAAAGTGCTCGTCGTATAGCGCCGCGTGACGTTGCTGATCAAAAGCGCGCATTTCTGATAACGTGGCTTTGAAGAACCCGCCTTCTGGTAGGGATACGAGCTCGCTGAAGTCGCGGACGAGCACTTCTGGACCGGCTTGGCTGTCATCTCGACTCCACACCATGACATGTTCGTGATCCTCTGGCTCTGCAAGATCTTCATAGATGAGGGCGGTCGCGATGGCTTCCAGATTGTCATTAGCCGCTGGCATCGTGCGTGTGCGTCCCGAAAACGCTGTAGTTGCGCCATTAGTCCCGAGAGCAGCGTTCTCATCGAGGTTTGGGCTGGACCGGTTTGATGTGATGGCTCTACCGCCTGCGCTGCGATGTTTGTCGAGAATTTTCGATGGCCGTCCTTTGAAGATATTGCCGGTAGTGTCGTAGACAGCCAAAGTTTGCGTGCTTTGGGGAAGGATGCACGTTTGCAAGTACGCCCTGACTTCTGTCGTGTTGTTCTTGACATTAATCCTAATCAGCCCGTCGGAACCGATATCTTCGTTCATGTTCAATGTGACAAAAAATGACCCTTGGTCTAGAAGCTTTTCCACAGCCTCTTGGTACGTCAAGGCTGGCTGCACTTCCTCGCAAACAAGATAGGTCGTCTCTCGAACGTCGCCCGAGGAGACGGTCGGCGTGTTTGGGGACCCAGACAACGGGAATGGATCGGGTTGCGAAAAGCACACCCCCTCACAGAGCTGGCGAGCGGAATAAGCTGGCCAGCTGATTATGTACATCAGCGATTCGTAAACAAATGCCACATGGACGTGGATCCGTCGCAAACGATGCGCTGCCACTTTGCCAGACTGCGCAGGATGTTGGTGATCGACCTTGTTGAACGCAGCCACCTTGTGTGTGTAGGATCTACACCCTCATCACCATGGCTCTGTTCGACAGAGTCGTGTTCACATTTCTGGATGACCCACCCTTTTGGCCCGCTACTCAGTTTGGATGGAATAAGGGCCGACTGTTCATCAATGACCCCAATGTAGTTCTGGACCAGGAAGTCATGGCGGAAACTCTGTATTGGCGTTACGCCGACCAGGTCACTGAGCTCACAACCTTTGAGCTCCTGAGGAACGTGCCCACGCTTCCTCGCCTGCAAACGATAATAGGATGCGTGGCCGATGTCGTGGGATTCCAGTGGTCACAGGCCCCCTCGCTCACACACGTTCAGCTCACTGTTGACAGAGTGCAAGAATTTCACCTGCCCTATCGAGCTTCCGGAAGGGATCCGCCGCTTGGATGTGGACTTTCGCGGTGGAGCAGCGATTCTCCCAAATTGGTTCGCACCTGTGCCGGGGCGGGTGGTCCGATATGCGCTGTTTTGTCAGGATGGAGATGTCTGGATACCAACGGGATGGACGGAGGAGCTAAGGCGCTATAACGGGGGTGGGGTATTGGAGATCCTGGTTCATGGTCAGGTACTACAAGACGACCGGGAGAGCATCGAGCTTTGGATTGCCTTGGCGGAAACGAGCAATAAGTTCGATAAAGTCCTCTGCAAAGTAATGCCGCCCAGCTGTACTTCCTGGCGCGACGTGGAGGAATCCGAGCTATTCGAGACGAAGCTTAGCTAGAGACCCCCGCCCCGTTTTGGCTTCGAGTTGCTCAGATTGGCCTATGAAGACGTGCTTTACATATCAGGTTTACGTGTACATACGGAGTAGTAGTCGAATCGTTACCGTGAGGTGACTTGCTTGACGATGAGGGTGCCGGGTCGATGTCCATGTCATCGTCGTCGTCGGGGATGTGCGCGGCTGCGTTGTTGGTGGTCGAGGGGTTGAGGGCTTTGAGGTAGGTCGATGGGAGGCGCTCGAGGAGGTTGCTAAGCACGGAGATGTACGTTGACTGGAGGGTTGAGGTTGGGATGTGTGAATCGTGTTATGTTGAGGTGACAGAGAACGCCCAACGAGAACTCTTACCAGGGCCGCATCACCCATCTTCCCCACCGCCTGCTGCCCAAACGCCAACACATTCCCCAACAATGCCGCAAACATATCCCCGCGCGCCCTCTCCCTCTCGACCCGCTCATACGTTTGGGTATATCATGAATGCCCATACCGTTTCTGCCACCCGCCGTCGGTGGATTTCGAAGGGGAAGTGTATGTTGGACGCGCCTATGCCTGAACGAGACCGCTTGCTGAATATCGAGAAACGCGCAAGCTACGCAGTCGGTCCAAGTATTTCCCACGATGTCAGATTGCATATGATGTCCGCATATACACTGTATACACCCGGCGTGCCAAGAAAGAGACATAGCTATCTACATACGCCGTTCGTTCTACCATCTAAACAAAGCTACGATATGAGGAATCCTGGGTAAACCGATCCCAAACTTGTCTATGTGCGAAAGCTCCAAACTTGTCCGTGTGAGAAAAGGCTCCCTACGAAAAATCCCTAACTGAAATCATACGTATACCGCCACTCCTCCCCCTCCTCCTTCCTACGCTCCCCGCCAGCACCCTTCCGCGCAATGCTGCTCTGCCGACTCGGCGCGTGGTACAGCCCCGCTGACGACGCGGGCGCGGCAAAGTCGCGGAGAAGGGCCGAGATGCGCGGGTTGGAGAAGATGGATTCCCTGCTTGGTGATTGTTGCTGATGGGCCGGTTTTTGCCGGTCCAGCGTCCATTCCCACGCCGGCTGCGGGTTATCCGAGGGCGGGTAGGCGTCATCCAACGACTCGGAGGCGTCGGTGGCGGTGCCGTGCCGCGGGTCCTGGAGACATGCGAGTGGGAACATGCCCACGGTCCCGGCCTCGGAGGGGTCGGAGCGCACGCGGACACCCTCGCACCACCCGTCGTCAAACACCTGCACGACGCACACGCGGTCCCACATCTCCAGCCGGAGCTCGTCGCCGCGTTGCGGGACCCAGGGGTGCGCGATCGCGTAGGAGAATGACGCGCGGGTGGTCACGTCCCCGGAATGATGCAGCGGGATCGTGTTGGGTGACGGCGGCGTGGAGGGTCCCCCCGTACCCGCCGGGGGTGAGGGCACCGGGGGGGTGGGGTAGGTGGGTGTGAATTGGGCGGGGCGGGGGAGGGATGGGAACGCGGGCGTATGGAGGGGTGTGAGACCCGAGGGTGAGAAACGCGGCAGGGACGGGGATGTCGACGTCGTGCTTGTCGACCCTCTCTTGGTGGTGGTGGTGAGGGCTCCCGGGGGGAGGTAGGCGCGGGGTGGTGGGACGGGTGTTGTGTTGATGTCGGCGTTGTCGTTGATGTCCCGACGTCTTTGCAACGTCCCACTGCCTTCAGACGATCGGGTGGCGTTCCGCGTCAAGGTCGCTTCACCCGCGCTCCTTCTTGCCCCGCTATCACCATCGCCGTACCCCGCGATATCCATGACATCAAACGCTTCCGTGTACGCCTCGCCCTCTCCCTGTGCCAGATACATCTGTGATTGATTGGTTTCCTCCAAGCGGAACATCTCGACTGAGCGCGCGAACTCGTTGAGCGGTGCGCCGTTCACGCTGCCGGTGTCGGAGCCCAGCGGGGGTAAGGCAGTTGAGGTTGCGCGGGGGAGGGTTGGGCGATCGGGTTGTTGTTGTTGTTGGAGAAGGGTTTGACCGTAAAGGTAGGGGTACCGCTGAGCCATTTCCGCCCTCCTGCCCAAACTCGAGTTCATCGTCCCGGTAGGGTTGTACGCTGGGTTGTAAGGGTTGGTGGCCGCCAGATTCATGGCGCGTTGCAAACTCCCCGGTTCAGACGGCACAGATCGGTTCAAACTCCCCTCAAAACTCCGACTGTTCTCCCGTGTCAACGTCGGGCCTTCGTTGCCGAACGAGGGTGTCGGGTTGTACGCTGGCGGGGTTGGGTATGTGTTCATATTCGCATACATTTGGGATACCGGTTGTGATGCCGCATACCCACCCTCCTCATCCCCGCCTCTTCTCGAGGGACTCACACCCCCCTTCTTTGTCGCTCCTCCGACTTTCCGACTCCCACCGAACCCCCACCTCCCCCTGCCCCTCCTCCAAGAATACGCAAACGCCGCCACGGCCGCGAGCGCAAAAAAGACGATGGATCCGATCAGCAGGCCCTGTTTTGCGGGGGCGCTGAGCGAGGCGAGGAAGACTTGTTGGGTTTTGGGCGTCATTGTTCCTGGGGGGTTGGAGGTGGGCGGGGTTGGGCGGGGGAGGGGAGGGATGGAGGATGAGGCGATGACCCGCATTTGGCCCATGCTCATCGTCTGCGGTGGGGTTGTGACGATACTTCTACTTGTTGTTGTTGTTGTTGGTGGCGGGGTGGTGGTGGATGTGGTTTTTTGGGTTGATGTTGTTGATGTGGATGCGGATGTGGATGTGGATGATGTGGAGGTATCGCCGGAGGGCTCGGAGAGGGTTGGGAACGGGGCTGGGAAGGGGTTGAAGGATGATGAGGGCCGCGGCGGAATGGGCGTGGGAAAGAAGATGATTGGCGGGCGGGTTGTCATTTTTTGGGTGCTTTTTCCAGGGTATTTGTCGGGTGGGACGTTCACGTAGACGGAAAAAAGGGCAGCGTCGGTTCCAGACGAAGTTGGTTCTGAATGGCGCGAGAAAGAAGGTATTGATCGTGGTGTGCAGAGTACTCCTTGCCGGCTCGATAGTGACCGGCGAGTGCGGTGAGAAAACAGGACGCTAGAGTGCAGCGCAAGAAAGTGTATGGTACAACACCTATCCGAACCAGCGGCGGGTGTGCACTAGCGTAATATACAACGGGAGTCAATCTAGGATGCAGGGTCTATGAGGAAGGGAAAGCCAAAAAGGATCGTTCGAACAAGAGCAAAGGCAAGAAAAGCCGAGGCGTGCATATACATATACGATGGGTAAGGTTGAGTCCCGAAAGCACATGCGGGATGAAGCGAGATGAGACTGAGACAGCAATGGGGGGGGGTGGATGATGGAACACATTGTTGTTGTGGGAGTGGAGTGCCCCGAGCCAGCGTCGTTTGTCTCCACCAACCAGCTTGATGAGAAAGGAAAAGGTGGGTTAGGGCGGCGCGTCGGGGGGGGGGCGCGTAATAAAGTGAGAAGTGAAACACGTAACGAACGGCCTTATTCGCTCGAGCCATTGGCCAACGCGTGCGGTGCGGCCAATACTGACGCGTTGGGACCAGTCAACTCTTTCTCTCGTAAGACTACGCACACGACAACCGCATCCGTCATTTCCAAATAGGCCTACGATGCCAACCAACCATCCGTCACTCTCCCGTGGATCAGGAAAAAAAAACAAGGTTCACCGCATTCCCTCCACGCTTCTGTGGCGTTCTTGTCATAACGGCCGCCTTCGAAAACCCCCACTTCCCGTTCGTCCGTACGCAGTATGATGATTGTCGCGTTATATACCCGCGGTTCTGACGACTCGTTCACTTGATAACTGCGTGTGACGTCCGCGGGCCCGCTCTTGCAGTTGCACACTTGCGTTGATGGCGAATAGAGTGATAAAATGCAGTGGAATCCAATGTCCCATACCCGGGACCGCTTTCCCCACCATGCCGCCGTTCTGTGCGCAACGGGGCGATCACAGCCCCCATCGCATTGGCGTTCGAGACGAGACGAGACGAGACTCGAATCACAAGTCCCCAGCTGATGATGATGCCTCATCGCTCGTGATCAGTCCCCCGACGGGGATCGAAATGTTCATGGATGTCATGCATGCATTGCTCCAGTAAAGGCTCGGGTGTGTGTCAGAGACATCATGTTGGGTGAACAAAACACCGGTGTATATACTCATATCTCATACAGAGACGTTTAATTTTATGGTACGTACGAAAAACATGAGGAATGCGTGCGATATAGTACGCCGGGTGCGTGATACAGCACACAGTAAGGCTCCCCCCCCCAAAAAAAAAGAAGATCCGGCAAGGATACTTCTCCCCACCCTACACACTCGCCCCAAAAAGCGTCTCGGTGATCCTCCGCGCACCCAGGCCCCTCCACCGCTTCCCGCCGATCGCCCACCGCTTCTTGGCCTTGCGGTACGCGCGCAGCTGCGCTTTCCATTCGTCCGCGGTGTGGATCGACACTTGGGTTGCAAAGGTGACGTTGCGTTTGGTTGCGGATGTCGGTGGGCTGGTGGTGGTGGTCGTGGACGGCGACGCGAGTGTGACGACGGGAGTGGATGGAGTGGATGGTGGTTGTGGTGGTGTTGTTGTTGTTGGTGTTGCTAATTGCAGTGGTGCGGTGGATCGGGTTACGACAGGTGCTGGTGGTGTGGTCGCGACAGCTACTACCGCCGGCGTCGCCGTCGACACTGCCGGAGTAGGCGAAACACTCCGCGCCAATGTCCCTCCCACGTCCAAACTCCCACCCTCATGCCGCGCCGACTCCCCACTCAATCTTCTCGCAGGGCTCTCAACCACCTTCAAATTCGCATTCACCTCCTCCAGATTATCATCGCTGTTGTTTTTGAGATCTTCCGTTTTCTGCACTTTGAGTTTCGGGAGGGTGGGGATCATGGGTTGGGTGAGGTTGACGACCAAGACGTTGGTGCTACTGCCGCTGGCGTTGAGGTCGCGCGTGGTAGAGTCCCGACGATCGCTATCGCTATCATTATCATCGCCATCGTCGCCGTCCGAATCACTAAACATGCTCCCCGTCGAATTCCGTCTCCTCATCGGGATGGGTTGGGATGCGGGTTGTTTCGACGATCGTCTCGCTGGTGACGGCGGTGTCGCCACATCCCCACCACCCTCACTTTTGGACAACTGCTCATCACTTCCCTCCGCGGACCCCTCCCCACCCCCAACACCACCCTCACCGGCTTCCAACACCTTCAACTGAGCCTTCAACGCCTCGATATCGATCAGCCCAGGCGGGGCACCGGACAACACGACGACGTGGGTGGTCTGGGAGGGCGGGAGTGGGCCGCGGGAGGGCGTACGTTTGAATGGAATCTGAGGAGGCGGCATGCTGAGTGGGTTTGTGGGGATTATTTTCACGTTTGTTGTTGTCGTTGTTGCATCTGAGGCGGCGGGGTGTTTACTGTCGCGCGAGGGAATGGCGTCCTGCACCACGTCGTCCCCTGCCATGATGCTTGGCGTGGACGATTCCGCGGGGGACGCATCACCCAGCCGTGAGCCCGAGACCTGAGCCTTCTCCATCCCTTCCCCGTGGTGCAGGTGGTGTTCTGGAGCGGTTGGGGGGGTGTCGAGTTGGTCAATGTAAGTAGCTGCGAATGGGGGCGGAAGGGCTGTTGTTGGGATGATTCCCATTGCGGGGCCTGTGGGTGGCGGAACGTTCTCTTTGGGCAGAGCAAGGTGTGGGGAGTTGGTTGGCTGTGCGTGAGTTCTGCAAGAGGGGCGTAGGAGCTGCTGGGGATTTTCACTGGGAATAGGAGACTTTTCTGGGCGAAAAGAGTGTTGCGAGGGGGGGGGGGGGGGGTTGCGGCCCAGAGGTCTCTTTCTGGGATATCTTGTGATGGGCGTCGCCGTGATGACTCAGCCGCCGCCATTCATTTCCGCCTGCTTTCGGACGGAATTTGATTGAGTGCTTGTTGTTGACGGCCGGCCCAGGCCCCTCGGGAGTGCACGCGATCACATGGCATTCCCCCCCCTCCGCGCACTGGTGACTTCTGAGTGGAATGTAACATTTGGTTCCCACTGCCATGTGTGATCGGCAAGCCCAAAGCCCAGATTGTTCCTCATCATCATTCCGCGCGCCGGTGTCCCCCTAAGATCATTTGAACTTTCGCCTCCGTCTGCGTTTCATCCTCGTAGTCACCAACAACAAACTCCGCTTATCGACAGCAGACACTTGCCCGTCAGCTGTGCCCGAATCTATCCCCCATGCGCCCAAGGCTCCACTCCTTGCCGACGTTGTTTGCCCAATAAGGAAAAACGGGCGCCAACCCGTTCTAGTCACTGCATAGTCATGACTTGACGGCGCAATATTCCCGTCAGTCGTCCCGCTCCCCTCCCCGCAATATTCCGCCCCTCTCTTTTTGAGTCAGTCAGTCCTCCTGCCGGTCTTGCTGCGTGCTGTAGCTGTGTCGTATGTACATAGCCTGTGTTGTGTATTGTGGTGTGCGTGCCCTTCATGATACGGCCGGTTAACCTTGCGCGCTTCAAACAAGCAACTCGCAAACGCACAGGTCGCGTTCCCAACCTCAGTGCGGAGCGCCTCCATGGTGTCTTGCCTATATATATATTGCACTACTAATAGGAGTTCCCCGAGTCAACAAAAGCCGTCCCACGAAAGGATCAAATATTAATAGTATAACGTCCCCGTAGCTGGACACAGAGCACTAATGACAAGCCTCCGGTGACATATAAGTGTGTCGTCCTGACAAACTCCCCAACCTGAGATACAGTGCAAGCAGCTCCAACACCCCCTTCATCTTTGCAGTCTGTCGACCGGCTGCCGCAGCTCGACAAGCCCTCCATCCCACCTTGCGATCGCATCTATGTCTTTCCTTCTTTCTTGGGTGTCTGACTGTAAGGTATGTCCTCGCTGTACGCTCTCCTGCAGTCGGTCTTGTAAGAAGATCACCGCCGAAGGATGCCGCCAAGTCTTCTGGACAGCGCTAGTCCCAGGAAAGGGCCCTCAGTCTCTACCATCCAGTTCCAGTATTTGTGGTCCAGTAACCTCCCAGGACGCTCTTTTGGTCGCCTCCCAACGCTTCCATTGCGCAGGTCCGTGTCGCGTGTGCGCGTCGTTGGCCCTCCGAGTCTCGCGTCTCTCCGTTGACATACTCCTTGGAGAAGGCAGTTCTGGAATCCTCTGGCACAGCCAACTTGTGGTGGGCACCACCGCCTGCTTTGCGTTATGGACAGCCACGTGCTTTCGTGTTCGGTGATGACAATATTGTGAATGGGGGTGAGGCATGGCCAGGAGCTGAACACGCCGCATCTGTATCCGAAAGCGACGGCCCCAGCATACTTCGTCCGTCAATGGCCCGCAAAAGAAACGTTGATGGAACACTTTGGACAGGCCGTCTTGCGGAGATGCCGGGATTCTGCGTGCCAGGACGCACCGTGTTTCCGAGACGAGGCGGGGGTGCTCGGTTTGGGCGCCGCCCACCTCTTTGATGAAATGCTAGAGCGGGGTGGGCCATTGTTGGAGGCGGAGGGGTGGGTGGGACTTTCGGATAGCGATCTTTGAAACATGCTCGAGCTTGGGGGGGAGTGCGTTGAGTCTGGCGGAAGGAGCAGAGGATGCGGCTTTGGTGCAACCTGATTTCTGATCGGGGCTGTAGCGCAGACGTACGATAGATCGTCTCCTCTCCTCTCAGTCATTGGCTTGCGATCTTCTTGGTTGTAGACGTTCTAGCTTCTCCCTCCTCTTTCCTCTCTTTTCCTCCTCCGAATTTCCACGTATAGACAATTGGCTCCAGTGCTGGTGGGCCGCGCAGTTGCAAATGTGATCAAACTTGTGGAGCGAAAAGCAACGTTTTTGAGCATCGAATTGACTGCAGGAGCTGCAGGAGCGGCAGGCCCGAGAGGACCTGTAGCGGTGGACGAGTGGGCTTTTCCTTCCCCACGGCTTCCTCCTTCTTGCATCCTCCCTCCCAAAGTATGGGCAAGGAAACCTGACGAAACCATTGAACTGATTTGAGCCTGAGAGGAAGGCGACATGAGAACACGGTAAGGCGAGAACCCGCAGCGGCCGCCACCAGCAGCAGCAGACAGAGCAGCAGACAGAGCACTGAGAGCAGCAGAGCGGCAAACGGCAACGCAAAAATTACGCCCTTTGCATAAGCACCCACGACAGGACAGCGTATCCCCCAAACCACAGGCGAGACATCAACGCTTCCGCCCCTGTTCAGCCCCACCCACCACCGGCTCCTGAAGGTAACGTCCAGGGAGAGCACCGCGGGAGACGTAGTCAATTCCTCTGTCGCTCGCGCTACCCCCCTTCACTCGATATCCCTAACGCAGCTCCCATTTTCCCACGGCCGCCTCAGGTATCGAAACGAAACTTCGATCCACCACGACAGCTTCCACCCAACAACCATGTCGACTCCATTACCACAGCAGGGCGTTGAATCGGCCAAGAAGGTACATACACAGAATTTCAATAAGGCCCTCATCCACACTGCTGTCGGGGTGCCGCTCTTTTGGTTTATGTCCTTGAGAAGTGATCTAGCTGAGAATGACGCTCATGACAACGCACTTCCTTTCCATTATTCTACCAGGTCACCTTGACCGGCTATGTCGGTTTTGACACAATCACCAACCAGATCGAGAAGAGACTGTTGAAGCGTGGGTTCGCATTCAACGTCATGGTCGTCGGTACGTTCCCGAGTCGATCAGCGAGAAACGTGGGAAAACGTGGAAATCGAGTGATGGCACGGGGGAAACGAAGAGGACGGGAGAAGTACTATGACTGACGATTGGATTCTGGTGTTGTTGAACTAGGCCGCAGTGGACTGGGAAAGAGTACGCTTGTCAACACCCTCTTTGCCGCGCACCTGAAGGAGCCGAATGCACCTAAGCGCGCCGAGACGCTTCGTCAGACGGTGGAAATTCAGAGTGTTTCTCATGGTGAGGATTAGTCCGGGTCCTTTGTGCCGGCGGCAGGGTGAGGACGGGAGGAAGATGTCTAACCTGCACCATCCGGATGAATAGTCATCGAGGAAAACGGCGTGAGGTTGAAGCTTACCATCACCGACACTCCGGGATACGGGGACCAGGTCAACAACGAGAACTGGTGAGTGGGGGTGGTTCAGAGCGTTGAGATGACGTCGTCAGGGCGAATGTCGAACATATCACTGACGGTCGTCGCAATCCGCAGCTGGGACCCAATCGTCAAGCACATCAAGGAGCAGTATTCTGCTTACCTCCGCAAGGAGCTCACCCCCGCTCGTGAGCGCCGCATTCCCGACACTCGGATCCACGCCGTCCTCTTCTTCATTGCCCCAACTGGCCATGCGTATGTTATAAGGTTTACACGCCATCTTACTCAAACCTTGATATTGACATAATCTTCCAATCCACATCCAGCTTGACACCCCTGGACGTAACAGTGATGCGCAAGATCTCCGAAGTCGCCAATGTCATCCCCGTTATCGCCAAATCCGACTCTCTAACCATGGAAGAGCGCGTCGCCTTCAAGAGGAGGATAAAGGAGGAGATTGACTTCCACGGGATCCGATGCTACCCGTACGCCGACGTCGAGGACGACCTCGTTGCGTTGAGCGACCAGGACAGGGCGGAGCGTCAGGCGGTGCAGGTCATCAGGGATATGATCCCGTTCGCTGTTGTGGGATCGGAGAGGAATGTTGTTGTCGATGGGAAGGCTGTGCGTGGTAGAAGGACGCGATGGGGTGTCATTGATGGTGGGTTTGCGAATGCGGATCGATTCGGGTGGATATGATATCAGTCTGACTCGAACAATCCTGCCTGCACAGTCGAAAACGAAAACCATTGCGAATTCGTCCACCTCCGCAACTTCCTCACCCGCACGCACCTCCAAGACATGATCGAAACCACCGGCTCGATCCACTACGAAGCCTTCCGCACCAAGCAGCTCGTCGCCTTGAAGGAGTCCACTTCCCAGATGGCCGGATCCGCACCGGGAAGCTACCGCGGACAGCCCGAGACGGCGTCCGTTAGCCAGGTCTCTGTCGCTTAGATTTGCGACGGGCTGATCTAGAGTTGCCACTCGGTTGAACAGAAACGAACTGATGCCTTTGGACAATTTTCGCTTCCCGAACTCTCAACCACACATTTGTAGACAATCAGATCTCACAGACCGTCTCCCGAGCATTGTAATCATAACATTCCCCACGTCTGAAACCCCAAACTACGTATAGACTGAATTCTCCTCCCACATTGATTGTGGGGCGGAGGTCCCCGCAATCCCCTATGGTTTTTTGTACTCTCATCTTTTTTTCCTTGTCTTTTACACTCAGACAATAGATTTCTTTTGTTTTTCATGTTTGTGGTGGGATTAGCTGGGATTAGGGGTGTGGGATGGAGAAAAACGGTGCGTTGCATGTGCGAAGCGCGGTGTGTCATTTGCATATATCGAGTCCAGATTGGAGTCCGAACTTGGACGCATGGGTGGTGCACTCGACTTTCCAACAACACACAAAACAAACAGATGAGCACAACCCGCCGCCGCAACCTAGCCCCACCCCCAGGCGCCCGCCGCCCGCCGGTCGAGGAAGAAGAGGCCGAGGCTCCCCCTGAAGGTGCGTAGCAAAGATTGTTTGACTGGGGATATGTCATATGCTAACGGCTTCTCCTGTGATTGTAGATCAAGCTAATGGAGGTAATATTCCCCCGTCTCCCTACTGTCCAGCTGCGAACTGCGGTAGTGGGACATGGGGCCGTGTCAACTAACTCGCTCCAATGACCGTGTCACCTTTTCGTAGAGTGGGCATTCAAATGCCTCAAAGCCAAACGGTACAACGACAAACAGAAGCGATGGGAATACAGGGTGGCGTGGAAGCCGACTAGGTTGAAGAGTGGGGATGGGTTTGTTAGTACGTATACTGGGAGGGCAATGGGGGGAGAGGTTGTGCGTATTGGGATGGGGATGGGGGGGACTTACGGATTTTGTTGGCGCAGTTAAGGTGTGGGGAGATACGTGGGAGCCGACGGAAAATGTGGTATGTAAGCGTGTGAAGGAGACGAGAAGCTTGATCTCCAGTCGGGAGGCACCACAATCTCTGAACATCCGCTCCAACCCCATCTCCCAGCCACAAGAAGCTATCGACGAACTGCTCAACATCCGCGAAGAAGAGTACAATGGCGAGTCAACCGAACAAGTCGACCTCTACCGCTGCGCCAACTGCGAGATCAAACTCAACTCCAACGACCTGCGCCGCAAGCGCGATTTCATGCAGGACGGTAAACTGTGTAATGTCTGTCGCGAGCATTATGTCCGGTTCGGGAAGCTGCCGGAAAGTGGGAAGGTCAAGGCGCGGGAGGGGAAACGGGTTGCGGATGACAAGGGGAAGAAGCCGTTGAAGACGAAGGCGAATGTGGATGTGGAGGGGAGTGGGGAGAGACGAAAGGGGCTCCGGGGTCCGCCTTCCCCTGCTAGTAGTGCGACGACGACGGAGGCGACGAGGAAACGGAAAGCCGATATACAACCACAGATAGCCACCAAACGTGCCAATAATGGTCGCCGTGCTTCAGATTCACCACCGGCACCGGCGAACGAGGATCACGATGAAAGTCTGGCTAGCGCGATCTTTGATGAGCCTGCCCCTGAGAGTCAGGAGAAAGTGTCTCCATCACCACAGCAGCCGCAGAATAGCGCAGTACCACTACCGACAACGCAAACACATGATTCCTTACCAGCGCCGGCAGCAGGAATGGGCGGGTCATCGAGGTTGGACATGAACGGATCGTCCCGAATAGACGCGATCATCCAAGCCCTCCGAACATCCCAGAACATCCCTCCCGCACCACTCATCACCGCTCCCCAGATCGTAAGTCTTCCCATCCCCCCCCTTCCCCCCCCTCCTCTCATTCACATACTCACCTGTTCTTCCCCCCTATCAGAACCCCGCCGCAACGGACCCACACCCAACCTTCCCATTGACCCCAGCCAACCCCGACTTCCACGTCCCAACAACGACGGCGAGACCGAAACCGAACGACTGGAGATGTAAATGGGACGGGTGTGGGGTTTTCTGTGGGAGTCGGGAGGCTTTGAGGAAGCATTTTGACGAGGAACATTTGTGAGTTTGGGGGGGTTGAGGAGGAGTATCAGGGGGTTGTGAATCGATGGGGGGGGGGGGGGGGGGGGGTTGCTTTGGGGGTGGAGATGCGGAATGGGGAATGAGGGAATTCAATGTCGTGCACGCCCCGCCCAATCAGAAATACGTGGTTCCGGTGGATTATTTCCACATACCCAACTTGCGATGTTTCGTGGTATGCGCTAGCGAACAAGGACTGGCGATCTTGTGCAAAGGGATGGGGGACGGGCTGTTTTTGGCGAGTGGTCAGCTCCGCACTCAGCAGCTATGTTTTGGAATGCAGCTTCCCATGTCAGGGAACATGTATGATACACCAACACCCAGCTTGAACACCACACCAACGCAGGAAGGAGGAGAGGCGGAAGCAATAGCTACCAAAGCCTGGAAAGCGGAGGTATACCGACAACAGCTTTACGGAGGTTCGCAGAAGGACGCGTTGAGGTGGGCGTTGAGGTTGGCGAACGCGTTCTGCGTTTACATAATTTCGATTCTCGGGCACTCAGGCACGTGATACCTGAATTGAATTGCATCTGGCCTTTGCGCTGGACACCCCAACGGGAACGGAATAACAGGACCCCAATCGCCACTCACAGACAACGCAAGCAACTGACGACGATGGTGCTAGCAAAACTGAGGAGCGTCTTTGCGGTACGTAGTGTCGCCTTGTTTGCACTGGTCGGGGAGGGTGGGCATGGTGGTTGTAGGACAGAAGACAACTGGCCCCTTGCCGAAGAATAAGCTGTGAAGGGGCTGCGAGACGGTGCTCGGATTGGAAGGTCATGCGTTGCGAAGTGGGAAGTCGGTGTGAGGGGGCGTGAGGAAGACGGAAAATGTGCGCATATGAGTTTTGCAGCCTACGTCTCAGACCATTGCAAAATTGGGAACAGTGTCACCGGCCATTTTCTACCTTCCATCCTCTCACTTTCATTCCCCACCTCAACACTCACAGGGCCGGCCTCAAATCCTTCTCAACGCCGGACACCCGACCCTCCGCACAAAAGCCCTTCCCGTCGACCCCACCACCCTCCAAAACCCCAACATCCAACGCGTCATCACCCAAATGCGCCTCGTCTTCGACTCCCCGTACACCCCCGTCGTCGGCCTCGCCGCCCCTCAAATCGGCCACCCGCTCCGCATCATCGCCTACCGCATCACCGACCCGGCCATCCTCACCTCCAAATCCATCCCGAAACCCATCCCCCTCACCTTCCTCGTCAACCCGGTCCTCACCATCACTGATAAGCGCCACCCCCGCGAGTGGAATGCGGAATATGAGAGCTGTGAGAGCGTGCCGATGTATAATGCGGTTGTGAGGCGTGCGGAGAAGGTGCATGTGCAGGGGATTGGTTTGGAGGGGGAGAGGGTGGCGGTGAATGCGAACGGGTTTTTGGCGAGGGTGCTGCAGCATGAGATCGAGCATTTGGATGGGAAGCTTTTTGTGGATGTTATGGAGGCGGGGAGTTTGAGGCATGATAAGGTATGAGTTTTGTGAGGGGGTGGAAGGATGTGTATGTGAAACAACATCCCCGGGTTTGAATTGGTCACTCACACTCCACCTCGTCTTGCATCTTTCTTACAGTACATCGACAAATACGAGTTTCGCGAACAGCGCGAACAGCGGAAGAAATGAGAGGGTGGCCGTAGTCGCGATATACGGGGAGAGCAACACACCCGAACACAACAGTTCCCGACTTACACTCACAGTGATACTCATATACATGACATCGCATGCCATCACCGAGCCGGTGATGCACATCGAGCCACTGACCCTGCCCTGCCTCAGCAACACTACTAACCGCACTCGCGCGATGGTAGCCCGTCTCTCGCGGCGTATACGAACGCTCACCACGCTCTGCCGAATTCGAAACAGAGTCTTCACACCGCCGGCATACCAGCACCTGTCAACTATATTCCATCAAATCATCTTCCATTGAAGGTCCACGAGCGGACTGGCGGGAGTTGTGTAGGACGCGCTGAAGGGGCCGGGTTGGAGGGCAGAGGGAAGCAAAGGGAAGCAAGTCGAAGATAGTGACGGATAAGGCGGGGTCTTGTGAGCACATATGCGCCCTTTGTTGCGCTACACGAGCGCAGATAGGTGTAGCAGTCCCGACGCGGCGTCTCGGGGGAGATCTTTCGTATCAACAGTTGGACCCGATCGGCCCCGATGTGCAGCGTTGTCGGGGCGGAGTACTTCTATTAGGCGTTGAAGCCAGCCCGTTGTTGAGTTTGGCATTGTCTGCGGGAGCGGGATTCATCATAATATAATCACATTACATCTCTCCGTTAAGATATTCCATCATCTTTTTGGACACGCATGCGACGGCACGGTGAACGTTGACGGAAACACATGCTGGGAACCGGACGAACCCGCAAGGCGATGCAAGCATTGCATTGTATCTGTTTGACAAACACTACCGCACATTCATCCAAGGTTTCGTGGTGTAGCGGTTAGCACTCAAGACTCTGAATCTTGCGACCCGAGTTCGATTCTCGGCGAGACCTTCCTTTTTCTTCTTTTGCCTTTCTTTCTTGGTCAAATCATCTTGCCTCGCTCCGCTCCCCGCCACTAAGGGTTAAAACTACGAACCTTGCCCGGGACCTTCGTTCCTTGAAATATTTCTTTTGGTGAGGTGGAGCCTTTGTCCCTTTTCTCCTCTGTCCTCCTCTGTCCCTTTCTTTCCCGACGGAAGATGGTTTGTTCATTTCCCGCAGGTAACTCTATTCACTTTTGTGAAGGGCTAATTTATCTTACGGAGGTGATCAAGGTTCTCAGAATACGATCACCAGCTAAGCTACAAGGCCTCAGCCACTGGTAAGTAGCTCGGCAAGATGAGCGACCAGTTTGCTGATGAGGAATCAAGGCACGAGCGGGATGCTGGAGGAGCTTTTCTAATCTTTGAACGTCGGCGAAAGTGCGTGGCGAAAGTCTTGCTGCTCGGTGTGGGACAATTCCATACCCGGGTGTCATGACTCTCCGGCTTCCTGATGCTTGGGTGGGGAATATGACGACGTGTGCGGTCACTGTTGGTCGCGGGCATTCGCTCCACACATGTTGTTCAGCTTCTTATTGCAGACGCCTAGACAACGGTTTGCACAAGCGTACGAGTGTGCCGACTTCAAAGGTGACGACGACGTGTGCGGTCACTGTTGGTCGCAGGCATTCTCTCCACACATCTTGTTCAGGTTCTTATGCAACACGTCCAGATAACGCTTTGCACTCACAAGCGTACGAGTGTGCCGACTTCCAAACCTTTCGTCAACGTCCAGGAGGCAAAAACACACACGGAACTGAAGCATAAGGCGGTTTTGAGTCCCTTTCAACCGACTTCAGTGCATACGTGCGCAAGCAGACAAGCAAACTCAACGCAGACACGCACTCCAGCTGCAAATATGCCCAAAGCCGCCTCTCAGAAACCGTCCTCTGCGGGCTCCGCCAAAAAAGCAGCCGCAGCCCCCAAAGTCAAGGCTGAATCGCAAGCCATCTTCAACCCCGGCTGCACGCACCAAAAGACAACCAAACCCGCCAAAACAGCAGCTACATACCCCAAAGCAACTTATCGCGACTATACCAGTCACAAGTCCACCGACGGACAGGGTAACAGCCGCCACTATACGAAGCTCGACACGCCTAACATCACCAAGACGAAGATGGATGCGACCGGGCCGGGGTATGAGGTGTATTATGATGAGAAGGTTGACAAGAAGAAGGCGAAGGGGGCGGGTCAGGGGGGTTGCATGGAGTTGGAATATATGTGAGAGGGGGCGTTTGGTTTCAGGGTTCTCGAGGCGGTTTTACGAAATTGTGCAGGATTTGGGCATGTGGAGGAGAGACGGGTGTGTGTACTCAGTGAAACGAAAAGGGTGGTGCATGGCGTAGGTGGTTATCAGCGTAAATGCAAGTAATGAATTACGTGGGCATCTGATAGGCGACGTATAAGTGGGAAGCTGAGTGTACATAGCGATCTTTCAAATACACAGAAAGTGAATGACCTGTAACAGATCCGCGAGATAGGTTTCTGATATGAGGTTTTCTCTTGGTCCATCCTGTCTCCGTGGACGGAAGTCGAGCTGGCTATCATGCACTAGCGACCTCCCGCCGTGGAATTCGACAGCGCGAAGGCACCGTCATAATGTCATTTCGTCCGTTCTCGGCTGGCTTCGCCCATTACAATACAATGCTTATCGAAAACTATCCCACTACCCACTCCCTTCATCCCCGTCTCTCTCTCCCCATCCTGTCCACGGCCCGCCATAACCTGTGGAATTAGAAAAACGGCGTGAGCTGGCGGGGAGGGGTGCTCGAACGAAATGTCCAAAGTATGAGTAACATTGGGAAGACCCCAGGGATTCGTGGCATGCGTTCTCTGGATAGAACTCTCGCATGTAGAAAGTGCATCTGTAGTCGCAGTATAATAGTTGTAGCGAGAGAGACGAGGATGGGGTTGTCAACCAAATGCCCAGCGCGGAAGACCGCCGAACTGACGCGCTAACCCTAACTTAAGTGCAGAAGAAGCGCCTCGTTGTGACAAATTGAAACGGTCAGTTGGCGGCAGAACTCCAGACTCCACATCAGCACTCCCCACAAAGGGATGCCCCACATGTATCCGTCGCACACACACAAGTACTTGACATCCCTCCGCTCGATTTCTACATAGGTTCTTGCTCGCCTGCGACAACAAACCCCGTCTGTCCACACAACTCCCGAAATTTCAGTCAACATGGCGGGTCTGGAAGCATTGAAAGCCGCCCTCATTCACGACGGCGGCATAGAGGAGAAGGTTGAAGTGAACCAGCGGCACCTGATAGATAAGATTCTGGCTCGCTACAGTCAGGAGTACACTGTATTTAGAGAGGTAAGTATGACTTCTCCGCTTGTTGTCGACTCCGCTGAAACCGTCATGTCACTTACGCGTGCTCCGCACCTGCGCTCAGCTATTGCAAAACTCTAACGATGCTGGGGCGAGCAACGTGGAAATCATATTCAGAACAGAGGTCAAAAGCAGAAGCTTCTGGCAAGGGGGCAACAAGCGCGTTGTGACTTCGTAAGACCTGTGGTTCGAAGTCCGATGCCCAAGAGCTCTCGTCCTGACTTCCAACCTCCTGCAGTGTGACATATAAGAACAATGGACGACCGTTCAGCGAGGAGGACTGGTCAAGGCTGCGGAAGATAGCAGAGGGCAACCCGGATGAGGTATTCCCGTCATTGGCCTGCCATCCTCATATCACATATCTCGTTCTAAACCAACTGTCGCAGCAAAAAATCGGATTTTTCGGCGTAGGGTTCTACTCTCTGTTCTCAATATGTGAAGAACCATTCATCACCAGCGGCAATCAATCGATGGCCTTTCTATGGAAAGGCGATATGCTCTACACAAAGCGTGGCATCCTCCCGCCCGAAGCAGTAACCCCCTGGACCACATTCTTTCTCGTGATGAGGGATCCTATCGATATCCCGGATACCGACCAGTTCGGGAGGTTTTTAGCAACAAGTATGGCCTTCACAGCGAACCTTAAGGCTGTTGAAGTACATGTGGACTCTTCGTGCGTCATGCACTTCGATAAAAAGATCGCGCCGCCACGGCCCTTGGCATTCCTCCGGAAATCGTATACCCTCACATCACCAAACTCGATATTCTCGCTGGAATCTGTGGAAGTGAAAACTGTGCAGCTGGATGTTGAGATTAAGGATGGGGATAAGGACGCAACCGCACTGCGGCTATTCGCGCGCGTAGCAACAGCAGCTTTGGCCGTTCGGGCGAGCAACCTCGTGAAAGAGATGGAACGAACAACCAAAAAGAAGCCGCCAGCTAGGACGGAAATGCACATGTTGTGGTCCAATCATGACGAGTATGAGAGTTCCACGACCCTCCGATCGCAGAATAACAACATTTTCAACGACCTCGTACCATTAGTTGGCGAACAGGGCCGGATCTTCATTGGGTTCCCTACATACCAGACAACAGGGTGTACAGCGCAGCTCGCAGCGCACCTCATCCCAACCGTCGAGCGCGAGTCGATCGACTTCGTCGACCCGACTCTGAATATGTGGAATCGGGAGCTGTTGACCATGGGCGGGCTGCTGGCCCGTATCCTATACGACGACAATATGGAAGAAACGCAGCGGCTGTACAGCGCGATGCAGCTGGACGCTACGAGTACGCTCTGGTTGGAGAAGAAGGCGGTGCATGCGATGATTGGGTTCCACTTCAAGGGGTCAACACCGTCACCGCTGGTAGGGCGGATATTGGGGACGTACTTCTCGCAGAGTGCGGTCGCGCCGGTAAAGATCATCTCCTCGGTAGGGATCCGGCCACTGGTGGACGTCCGGCTACCGGATGCAGCCATGATGGAGTTTTTGAAGGAGACGCCGGTAGTACCACAGCTCGCAATGACATCCTGCACGGACTTGTTGAACCAACTGGAGGTCCGCGGGAGTATCCGCAAGGTGGACATCACCGATCTCCTCACCGAGCTCGCCAACCGCCCCTTCACGGAAGACGAAACCATCGCTCTGCTCAAATGGTGGCTCACCCATCGGCGATCCCACGCGGTGAGCAGAACCGACGTGGAGAACCTCGTTCGCGCGGCCCTGGTGCGGGAAATCGGCATGAACGGGAAAGACGAGACGATCCGCCCGTTAGCAAATATCCGATTCCATGCCCCGAAACATTTGATCCCCGCCGACCTTCCCGTCCCGGACACCTGTCTCTCACGCACTATCGGGAATAACTTCCAAAAAGGCGAGTTGGAGGAAGGCATGGCGTTCGGATGGCAAGAACTTCCCTTCTCAGAATGGACATCCTTCATCGTCACCCACCCCCTCTTCCAATCCGACCCGGCGTTCGTCGAGAAGGCCCTCGGCGTATTCAGCCGGCACTACGGATCCCTCCGAACGAATGTGCGCGAACAGGTAGTAGCGATCCTGAAATCCAAAAAGTGCATCCCGACGAAACAGGGCTTGCAGCTCCCCACCGACAGTTATTTCCCGAAAGTGACGCTATTTCCTGACTTGCCGGTGTTGCACTTGGAGCATTCGAAGCATATAAGTGATGTGTTCTTGAGGGCGCTTGGGGTTAGGGAGCATGTGGAGCTGCAGGTTGTGTTTAGTCGGATTAATAAGTTGAATTGGGATCAGGTTCAGTTGGTGGGTTGTGTTTGGTCACTTTCGCGTCGTCCCAGTGTCGTGTATTCACAAGTATTTGAATTATAGGTCAAATACTTGGCAACATGTCCCCTCCAACCTGAAGAAATGGAACGACTGCGCGTAACACCCCTATTCCCCAAAGAGCTGCCAGAGGGCTCGCCACCGACCCGTGACAGATACAAAGCATCCGACCTATACGTTCCCGACGACAAACTGCGGGCCTTCAACCTCCCAATCCTGGAATGGAAGGGCAAATGGAAACCTAACACGCCCGAAGCAAAAGTCCTGAAAAATTTAGGAATCCGCACCCATATCCCGGTTGACGAGTTTACACTACTGGTCAGCCAAGCCACCCCGCCGATGCGGAAGGAGATCTTCAAATACTTTATCGAGAACCATAAAACCGTCTACGCGGGGCGGTACAATGCGTTGAAAGTCAAAACACCGTTCCTCCCCGTCGCAAACTCCGACAAGCTCGCCCTACCAAGCGAGTGCTTCTCCGACCCGGCCTCGGCAGTGCTGGGGTTCCAGATCTTACACCCGGATCTAAGGGAGGAGCGCGAAAAGTTTGGCGTGAGAGAACATCCACGTCCCGAAGCGCTGCTGGAACGACTACTGGCCCACCCGCCCGATATCGTTGCCGCACCAGCCGTGTTTGGGTACCTCGCAGCGCGCATCTCCGATTTCGACGTGCAACATTTCCGAACCCTCGCCGCCCGCAAATTCGTGCCCATCGCGTCCTCGTCGTCACAGAAAGGTAACGCCAAGTCACCCAGCGCCGCATCCACAACCTGGGTAGAGCCCGACACAGTCTACTTCGGCACACCTGACGCCAGCGCCTACAAAGATCTCTTCAAATACGTCGACTTCTCCCTCCCCGCGAACAACTTCCTCCGCGCCTGCGGCACCCGCGACGAACCCTCCCCCAGCGAACTCACCCGCTCCCTCGTCACTTCTCCGGCCGCCTTCCTTGAAACCCTCGGCCACGAAAAGTACCTCAACGCCCTCCGCACCGTTGCGACGCATTTTGAGGAAATTAGGGGCAATGCGAAGCTGTTGAGTGCGATGAGAGCGGCGCACTGGTTGATTGGGATTGTGGCGAGTGGTACTGGGGAGGGCGAGGAGGAGGGGACGTATCAGGTGAAGCTGGCGAGGGCGGTGGATGTGTATCTGGTGGATGATACCGTTGTCAGTCAGCTTTTCAAGCCACTTGGGTATGTTTTTGGATCTACATTCACATTCACTCGTTTGCTACGTGGGGCAGAACCCTATTTGATCAACCTTCTGCCCTATGATGATGACAGCGCCCCCGCCGACGAACTCCTCGAAAACTTCTACGCCCACCTCGGCTCCCACTGGCTCTCCACCGCCGTCAAAACCGACGAACGGCCCCGCGGTACCCACACCTTCACCCCCGCCGCCTCCGCCCTCCAAAAACTCATCCATGAACGCGCCCTCCTCCTCCTCTACGACGGCCAGTCCATCCGCACGGGCAAGGATATTGTGGGCAATGCGGAGGACATCTTGCAGAAGTTGAAAGTGGTGCAGATACCCGAGATTGAGGTTGTCCGCACGTTTGGGAAGATGACGAGGGTGGAACGTACTACTAGTTGTTTGAAGTATGATAAGGGGACGAGGGCTTATTGGCTTTTTGTGGTGGAGGAGTATGATATGTTTGATATTGCGAGGTAAGGGCTCCAAAAGGGGTTTCTTTTATTCGCGATGGTGTATTCTTATGGAACCTCACGTCTGCGATCATGCGTGTCTAGATCAATCGGCCAAGTCATCCTCCGCAACAGCCGCCTCAAAGACTCCCTCCTCCTCTCAACCCTCCTCTCCACCTCCGTTCAGAACCTCCGCCGGAAAGGATTCCCTGTGGACCGTATCCTCAAACTCACCGACAACAAAATGAAACACGCGCAAGTCATAAAGGAAAAACAACAACTCAAACAGGAAACGCCGACTTCGTCGCAGAATACTCTGGACAGTCGCGAGTCGAGCGCTACCTCGAGCGTAGACACGTTGGAAGGTGGATCTGCGACGTCCCCGGGCAAGAAAGGCTCCCCAGAAACGCTGAACGCAGTTCAAACCCTCGCGCAAATGTTCCCAACCGCCGACCGCAAATACCTCCGTGAGCAAATCGACGCTGCGACCAAAACAGGCAAATCGGTTACGGACGTTGCGAACGCGATACTGGAGAGCGGAGATACGTACCCGAAACAGAAGGAGGGTGGGGGTGGGAAATCGGCTGTTAAGGAGAAGGGGGACGGACATAGGGCGTCGAATGAAGGGTTGTTTGAAGGGTTGTTCAAGAGTGGAATCAGGAACATGGTTGAGTTTGCGCAGAGTGCGGTGAGTCCCACTCGGGGACACGCGGACGATGAACACGGCCATGGACATGGACCACATACAGGACCACCGCACACGGGATCGCACACCCAACCAACATCCCCCAACACAGACCCAGCAACACCCACATCCACAGCCCACCTCAAATCCCACCTAGCCCAATCCATCGCCTCCCTCCGCGCCACGCGCGAATCCGGCTTCCGCGCAACCATCCCCCGCGACGCGCCCGCCCCACCCGCGGAAGTCACATCCGCCGCACCCTCCGCCTGCGCCATCCTCGCCGACAACGACCTCAAGTTCCTGGACCTGCTCGACGGCGTGCCCCTCTACATCGACCGCGCGGCGTCCGAGGCGGCAGTGTCCATCCTCCTCACGACCCGCCGCGACGCCCTCCGCCGGTTCGTCGCGATGCTCCAGTTGCTCGCGACGGTCTTTGAAGCCGACCGGAGAGTCGTGCACGTCTTCTGGGACGAAGCCGGCCCCACGGTCGCGTTCAATCGCGGCCGGATGTTGTTTTTCAATGCAAGGTTTTATTTGGGGTTGCATGATTTTGGGGCGAGTGGGGGTGGTGCGACGCCGAAGGGGAAGGTGTTGCCGAGGATACCCGGCGAGTGGACGGTGGCGACGACGCAGGGGGATGGAGATGGAGATGCGGTGGGTGTGGGTGACGGCGGGGTACAGGCGGACGCGTATTATTATTGGTTTTTGACATGGTGTCATGAGTTGGCGCATAACCAGCAGAGGTATGTTGAGCCTGTCTTTTTGTCGCATATTTGGGTGGGGGGAATGTGTTTGTTTTTGAGCGAGTATTTCTTAATACTGGGGTGTGTTTTTTTTACAAAAGACGGGGGTTTTCTAAACTAACGCCATTTTTCACTTCGTTCCCCCCTCCCTTCACACAAAGCCAACACGACGCCGTCTTCGCCTTCTACATGAGCTCCTTCGCCGAAACGTACATGGGCCGGCTGGTTAAAGTTTTGCGGAGGATTGGCGTAGAGAAGTAATTCATCCACATCCCCACCCCATCACACATATCCCACCCACTTCCGTAGCCCCCATTTCCCCTACTCCAGATATTTTCATCTCGTCTTTTTGGTAATGAGCAGGCGTTTCTCGAAAAACACCCCCCTCCTTTCCCCATTTTTGTGACTATTTCTGTTTCGGATTTCGGGTTTGGTGAGCGAGGGTGGTAGATAGATTTGTTTTGACGGGGGTTGACGATATATCGTTTATGTTTTGGGGGTTAATGGATTGGTTTTGTTGTTCCTTTTGGGTGGTTGTGGTAGTATCGTTGCGTAAAGGCATGATGGGGGATGTGGTGGTTGCGGATCGAGGACGGGGGTTGCTCATGTGTCGAAGCCGTAGAGGGTGCGCCCTTGCCTAATCAAGGTGCAAATCGCATCATGGATGGAACATAGCGTATTGAATCAGGACACAACTCTTCCGATCGAGGCACAGGAGGAATATGGGGATTTTTGTCTTCGTCCCAAACGCACCTTTTCAAAGCATAAACGACGTCCATGGCGCTCACCGTCTTGGCTTTGCGGTGCTCCGTGTACGCTACCGTGTCTACGATACCAGACATGAAACGGGGCGTGAGCACGCACTCGGGGTTCATTCCAGCTCATGGGGCCAATGGGGAAGGTGAAAACGTACCATGCAAGATATTCTCCAAAAACTTCTTCAGCACAGCTCGGACCTCTACACCGCGCAAAAAACCGTACTGTCGTCAGCACCCGCACTGCACATCTCGCCGCCGCCCAAGTGTTCGACCTGCATTTCCAAAACCCACCAGGATAGATATTCATACTCATCCGCTTAACGCCCCCCCTCCTCGCCAGCCTCCGAATAGCCGGCTTCGTAACCCCCAGCAGATTGTCCCGCAGTATGTTCCGGTGCCGCTTCGTGCCCGCGACCCCGGCGCCGCGCGGGTTGACAGAGCCTTGCAGGATGCTGCGTTTCTTGCCCCCCGTCGTGTGCGCCGCCGAGGGTTTTTTGCCGAGACCGAGCCCGAGGGTTTTGGTTTTGCCGCCGGTTGTGGATTGCGGGGGCATGATGATGATGGAAATTGGGGGGGGGGGGGGGGGGGGGGGGGATCTGTAATGGGTTGTGCTGGCGAAATGGGCAGAAGGACGACGGGGTTTCAATGGTTTTTGTTGACTGTCGAACGCGAGGGGTTTCACCCACAAACACGCCCGCGACTTTCGCTCGACATCATTGTGCAAAGGACCCGAACCGAAGGAATAATAATACAAAACATGCCAGCAAACTCATCATTTCGCTGATTGAACAATAACCCCCCATTGCGATTCAGAAAAGACCACTGGCCCTTCACCCTCTTGATTAACGGGCTTAGATTCACCCAGTGTATTGCGGAGATTGCGGTTGGTGCCTCCCATACGCATTCCAACCTCCGTGCCAATATGTTCAAACCCAATGCGAAAGCGATTCCCGCTTGCCAGCACGTTGCTTCCCATCCCCTCCTCCCCCTCCTCCCCACCATTCCCTGTTTCCGATTGCGTCGTTCGCCTCCCATAACTCATCCCCACATCAAGACAACACTGGTGGAAGGAATGGTTCGGAAACCCCGACGGGTAGCGCTGTGATGGCCGTTTGGAATGGACTGAGCCAAAATGTTGGGTGCGCGATTTCTCAGAGCGGATTGTATCGAGAGACGGTGTGTTCCAAAAGGGAGGGCGTTACATGTCGCGTGTGTGGGAAAGTGGTATGCGGCACCGAGTGGGGGCATGCTGAATAGGGTTCGGGTGTGGTCGACGGAGAGGGTGGCAGTACGCTGGGGTCTAGCTAGAGTTCAATCGCCCATAACGCCATTGCCCGTACTTTTTCACCATCTATTTCTGTTTGCCTATTAAGACGTGAGAAAATACCGTTAGAGAACGGCTCGCAATGGAAGGATGGTCGGGCGATGGACGACCGATACCCTACTGTGGAGTTGCGGTCGGCGGAGCCTAGCTCGCTTTGCTTGCTAAATGGTCTGACGCTCGCTGACGCCCGCTAAGCCAAGGCTCGCCTGCCATAAGCATCCCCGCTCCCCGCTTCGCCCGGCGCAGTCGGCATTCGCTCCAGATTTCGCTGTGTTCGCCCAAGCAATCTCCTCGCCATTGCTCGAAACCCTCAAGCAGCCCTGCTTCCTGCGCCCATCGCTGCATGCTATCGAACCACCCCCCTCTCCCTCGCTTTCGCGACATCCGTTCCGCGCCTGCTCCCACCCTCCAATGCCCCCCTCCCACTTCCCATAGGCCCGAACTTACTCTCGACAAAAAGGACATGACGGTTAACAATCGGATCATGTTTCATGAGTGACATTTTCGGCAACGCACGGCGCTTAGTCGTTGTGTAGAAAAAGCCAGTCCCCGCTGAACTGACGAGACGCATGATGATCGTCCTCGCTTTTGCTTTCCTGGCCACTGCGTAGTGAGGGCGGGAAGGGCGAGATCGTCAGTCGAATTGTTCCAAACGGGTTGGAATCCATGTAATCTTCTAGCGATAGTGGTAGGCCGTCCCCATGTATTGGGGACGGTGACGGTCTCCTTGGTGTGTTCCCACGTCCCGTCCCCCTTCTCCTCCCCCGTCGCTGGCTCCGCCCTTCGTCGTTCGTCCTCCTCCTCCTCGGTGACTTGCAGGGGCACGAGAAGACTCCCCGACTATGCCCGACTTCCGTCCGATGTGCAACATCATTCGAGCGCTTTCTTCAGCACGACGCCCGGGACTGAACTAGAGGAGACGCTGTTAGTCTCTCGCCACTTACTTGCTGTGTAGGGTATGGGGTGTAGTGGGTCGTGGGTGGGTTGCCGGGATGCCCGTTTTGCAACAGGGCGAATTGGCGTTGACGTTGCCGAGAGACGGAGTAGTGGCTTTGTTTGTGGCTTGCAGTGGCGCCAATGGAGTGTGAGTCAGGATGAGTCGCCGCCCCAGTTCCGGGAAGTCGGGGAGCGTCAGGAGGCGGGTGGAATCCGAGTTTCGCTGCGCCACCCGCCCACACCCATAGCCTCTCCCTCTCTCTCTCTCTCCCTCTTGATGATGATGGATGATGATGGATTTGCCGAGCGCCCGCCTGTGATCGACATAATGACATGGATGGAATCCGACCATTTCCGCCTTATAAAGGCTGTGCACCCCCGTGGAAAAAATCAGCGACTCCCGCGACGCCAAATGCACGTGCGTGACCGACTTTGATTTCCATTGGAGGGGGTGCACCGCTTTCTGCGAGATGACTGTACCCGAGGCGCCTTCAAGGGCCTTGGCTTGCAACAACTCGCCGCTCTTCAAATTCACACAGGCACAGAGAGGCAGCACATTGGCCCCACTTATTACAGTAATACCATACTAAAGACAGCAGCAAACGCCCGCAAACCCCTCGGCTGTATTCTGTCACTCTTGTCGGTCGGGCTGTTTGCAGAGTCGCTCTATTACATACGTATTATTCGCTCACTCATCCTTGCCGCAACTCTTTCATTACGACTTGCGAGAGTGAACAACCGACTACTTCATCAATAGCCACTGAGGACAAGCTTAAACCCTCGAAGTAACGACTCCCGCTGGGCTTAAAGAAGCAGACTACTCTGCACTTTCGGAAGGATATGTCGGAAGTCAACGGCGCTTCGTCGTCGGCATCCATTTCGGGTGCTTCTACCTCTGCCCACAGGACTGTTAAAATCACGGTTGTCGCCGCTGATGGGTTGTACAAGAAGGATATCTTTAGACTGCCTGACCCTTTTGCCGTCATTACGTGAGTATCCGAGCCCGATACCGAGGAGAATGGCGAGCGAAGCGAGCTCAACTGGGCCGGAGGCCCAGGAATCGAGCGTAGCGACGAGAAGCGAGCGAGAGAAGGGAGAAGTGAGCGAAGCGATGCTACGCTCCTGCCCACCGCAAGGCGAGAACGATAGCGAGCCTAAAATCCTCGTCGTGAGCGGAGCGAGCAGGGTATGGTTCAACCATCCGCTCGATGTTGGTTTCGTTCAACCATCCGCTCGATGCTGATGATTCGCTCATGTTGACGATTCGCTGATGTTGTTTGACTTCCTCCATTGTCAGGGTCGACGGGGAGCAAACGCATACCACATCACCAGTAAAACGCACGCTGAATCCATACTGGAACGAGAGCTTTGACATCTCCGTAACGAATAGCAGTGTGCTGGCGGTCCAAATATTTGATCAACGGAAATGGAAAAAGGCGAAAGACCAAGGGTTCCTTGGTGTCATCAACTTGAACATGGCAAATGTCTTTGACGTCAACACCGGTGGAGATGGTACGAAAATCTCGGTTTCAAAAGCCATTCTTTCTCCCAGAGAGGCTGATCATCTTCAATTTATCGCCCACAGAAATGCTGACATTGGACCTCAAGAAGGGAAACACGAGTGATTTTGTCTCTGGAAAGCTGATCGTAAATCTCTCAACCGCCGAAGTCGTCGCTGGAAACGGATCGGCGGCAAATTCCGGTGCCACCTTGGCCCCTGCCCCATTGGTAGGGCGCGCTCAGTCCGTCTCATCCCACCGAACCTCAACCTCATCATACCAACCCAACGGCGTCGTCGCATCGTCCGCGAGCTCCGTAGCCACACAACTACCAGTCCCCGAATCCAACGCAAAACCACGGAGACCCTCATTACACGCTCCTACAAACTCCACATCTAGTGCGTCTTCTGCACGGCCGTCCCCCAGTGCGGCATCCACTTCGGCCACTGCTAGTGCGGGGCCGGCGGCCGCGTCTACGGAAACTGTGACTGAGGATTTACCGTCGGGGTGGGAGAGGCGGGTGGATCATTTGAATCGGGTGTATTATGTGGATCATAATTCCCGGACAACCACGTGGCGTCGTCCAAAGTATGTTCTTATTCATTCGAGTTGGATTTTGGAATGTAGGAGACGAAACTGATTCACTTTCCTTCAAACAGCGCCGCAGCACCACCGAGCATGGCAGATGTAGAAAGCAGTGGGCAAAACGATAGATTACCGGAAACGAACGGCGCCACTATCGCTTCCTCGCTGGCTCCTACCAACATTACCACACCCACGCCCGCGACTGCTGCAAGCTCAGCGGCTGCGCCTCCCACAACAGCTAACTACGGCGCCCTACCGAACGGATGGGAGCAGCGCTTCACTCCGGAAGGCCGTCCATACTTTGTTGACCACAATACCCGCACAACGACATGGCTGGATCCACGTCGTTTGCAACAAAACCGCGGCGGTAGCGCAGGCCAACAGCTCACCTCCGGCCAAGCCGCGAACCAACTGGCTATCGCCCAACAACAAGCCCTGGCGGCTCTGGGCCCTCTCCCCTCCGGCTGGGAAATGCGCATGACCAACACCGGGCGGATCTACTTTGTCGACCACAACGCCAAAATCACCACCTGGGACGATCCCCGATTACCCAGCAGCGTCGACGCGAACGTACCCCAGTACAAGCGCGATTTCCGCCGCAAACTGGCCTACTTCAGGTCCCAGCCCGCCATGCGTCCCATCCCCGGCTCATGCCACATCACCGTCCGCCGTAACAACATCTTCGAGGACGCCTACTCGGAGATCATGCGCTACCCCGCCTCCGAGCTCAAAAAACGGCTCATGATCAAGTTCCACGGCGAAGACGGTCTCGACTACGGTGGCCTCTCCCGCGAGTTCTTCTTCCTCCTCTCCCACGAGATGTTCAACCCCGTCTACTGCCTCTTTGAATATTCCGCCCACGACAACTACACTCTGCAGATCAACCCCAACAGCGGGGTGAACCCGGAGCATCTGAACTATTTCAAGTTTATTGGACGCGTTGTGGGGTTGGCGATCTATCATCAGCGGTTCTTGGATACGTTTTTCATTACGGCGTTCTATAAGATGATTTTGAAGAAGAAGATTGCCATCAAGGATATGGAGAGTGTGGATGCGGAGATGTGGAGGAGTTTGGAGTGGATGTTGTAAGTGTTCTGGAAATATGCGACTCACCTGTCAACAAGGGTTGTTTTAACTTGTGTACTGACCCTCGACCGTTCCCCAGAAACAACGACATAACCGACGTCCTCGACCTAACCTTCTCCGCCGAAGAGGAAGTCTTTGGCGTCGTCAAAACCATCGACCTCAAACCCAACGGCCGCGACATTGTCGTCGACGAGACCAACAAAGCCGAGTACGTCGAGCTCGTCGTCAACTGGCGCGTCGTCAAACGCGTCGCGGAGCAATACAAGGCGTTCCAGCAAGGGTTCCATGAACTCGTACCTCATGAGCTGATCACGGTGTTTGATGATAAGGAGCTGGAGCTGCTGATTGGCGGGATTGCGGATATTGATATTGAGGATTGGAAGAAGCATAGTGATTATAGGGGTTATGTTGAAGGGGATGAGGTTGTGCAGTGGTTCTGGAAGGTTTGTGTCATACCACGCTCCTGTCCTCCAACCTCACAACTCATTCAACTCACACACTCTCTATTTCTTTTTTGTCACAGTGCGTAACCCAATGGGACTCGGAGAAAAAAGCCCGCCTCCTCCAATTCGTCACCGGCACCTCGCGTATCCCCGTCAACGGGTTCAAAGACCTGCAGGGCTCCGACGGCCCCCGACGGTTCACGATCGAGAAGAGTGGCGAGGGGGAAGGGTTGCCGAAGAGTCATACGTGCTTCAATCGGTTGGACCTACCGGTGTATAAGAATCTGGAGATGTTGGAACGTAAATTGACGATGGCGATCGAGGAGACGGTTGGATTTATGCAGGAGTAAAGGTGGGGTGGGAGGGAGCCGGGGGAAGCGAGCGAAGAGGTGGGAGCGTGTCCCAACGATCGTGTAGGCGAGGGATATGGAGAATTGGAGATTCCCGTTTTTACATACATCTGTTTGGCCAAGGGACGTTTTTTTTCCCCCCTTCTTTTATGTGGGCTGTAGTCGGGCGATATTTCTGTGCCTTCCTATTTTTTTTGTTGCTATACTCATGTTTTCTTTTGCAATATCGGCATTTGGTTTGGAGGACGGTGAAGGGGTTTTCTTTCCCACCTCGCTCTTTCATTTCATCGACATCGGGTCATGCTGAAAAGGTTCTTGGAGTGCGGGTTTCCGACGAAACTTTAAAGTTTACTCTCCTTGTCCTTGCTTCCAATCCTTTGCCCCCTGAAACATGGGTGGAACCGTCGCTGCCTCTCATCTGAAGACGGCCCCTCAACATACGCATTATGAGAGTACACGTCTTAAGGGCTATAGTCTACCTGTGCTACCCCGTAAAGATCAAAAGTCCGTCACGTAGGATCAATACAGTATGAATTTTTGGGCACGTTCCCGCACGCTTCCTATCCGTCACGGAACTATCCACCACCAGCGTCCTCGGGACCGTCGTCCGCGGCTGCGTGTGCGACCGACTTCCGCCGCATACTCCGTCCGTTCAACACCGATACGGACGACACCCGCAGACGCAGGCGCATCCCCCCCTCCCCTTTCCCCCGCACCTCGCCTCGCACGCCATCCTGACCGTTCGGAAATACCGCCTCGATTCTTCCCCGCCCCAGCACGATGCGCGACGAGGAACGGCGGATGGAGTCGATGGAGATCGCGCCGGACCGAAACACTGCGCCCGCGGCTACCGTCTCCCATGAACGCGCATAGCAACCCGAATCGTGACCGGGCTGTAAATCGACGTCGCGGACCCCGAACTGTACAGTACATGGTTCGGTCCTTTGGCAGGGTTGTCTCCTCAATTGGCCTCCGAATCTCCGCATGAAAAGGCTCCTTTCATTTTCGTGGGGAATGAGCCGGAGCCGAGGAGTAGGCGTTCCGTGCACATCACACTGACGGGTTCGCGCTGTCGTTGCTTACGTCACCCAATCCCGCTCAACACCCAGCTTCGTCAAATGAATTTATTCAGCAATCCTGGTATGCTGATGCCGTTCACCGGAGATGAAAGGAAGGGATATCTTTTGACCCAAAAGGGCTTTGATTATTTTGCATGTAATCTAATTGTAGGGGTGCGAAAACCGTGGACTCCAACTTCAACGACAGTTGTTGTTAGCGGTTTGCAATCGTACTGCGAGCCCCTAAAGGGACCTTATACGCGCGGGCATATTGGCACCGGGTGTCGCAACATCTAGAAAGAGAGAGTGCGCATGGAACGAGTGAAGGGTAAAGACAGAAAGACAGCAGTACACATAACGGTGCATTGCACAAGAACGGCGGCCATCACCTACCATCCGATGGAAATGGTAGTCTCCGGCAGGAAACGGGCTGGCGCCTTGCGTGGGAAGACGTTTTTGAGACATGACTGTGAGCAACATTAAAGAATCTGATGATTGATAACGCCGTGGGAAACTGTGGGAATATTGCAAGTCAACTGGGAACACAACACTGCCGTGCTCGCGTATGCGGTGGTCTTCGAGCCTAACTGATACTTTTCGCAAAAGGGGATAACATGCTGTAAGGCTATTGTTAATCAACGTGTTTTGTTCCCTAGATGTATTGGGTATACGAAGTGGATATATCTGCTTCACCCGAGCGGGATAGTCGTGACATCTAATCTAAGACAAGACAAAATAAACGGATATTGTGGTGACATCAGGCCAACAGAATATTAAGGACGGGCGTCCAGATGTCCCATTCGCGCGCCGCATGGTAAACTCCTCCGTAAAGCCTTCGCTTTTCGTATGTTTGACATCGTCCCGGTATTTGAGGCCAGGTCGTGCCGATAAGCTTCTCAGGGATTCGAACTGAGTTCAATAAGATTTCATGTATAGTGTTGTAAGGCGCAGATCGAGGTCTATCTTGCAGTATGGGCTCTGTTTCAGCGTTGTTACCCCCCTCCGTATGTACATCAAACAGCCTCCAGATCGAGACGCGGCGCCTCGCCAGACACCCCGACATCATCCTCGGTGTCAACTATCGCCGTTTCCCTGATGCTGCCCAACCGATGTAGGCTCCTGCTAGCTGACACGCGCGTCAAGGCCAGTTCGATATTATGTCCGCCAGCAGCAGTCGCGTCCAGCCCGTCTCCCTTGACATCGGTACCGTCCCCTGCCTTGGTCGTGTTACCAAGGTACATCGCACGATAATACGCCCGCCGAGTCTTCTCCCCCGAAGGAGCGATCGCCAGGCCGGGTCCCGCGACCATCGTCAGATGCACGATAAAGAAAAGCAAGCAATCCACATTCCGTTTCTTCGAGAACACGACGATCGCCGCGATCAGGTCGATCGAGGCGCACATCAGTCCGAAGTGGCTGCGGAGACAGTCGGATCCGTAGAGGGCTGTGCCTGAGCTGTAAAGAAACGTCCGTGCGGAGATGGCGGCGTTCCACACGAAGGTGTCCGAGCCCTCAGGGATATCACGATGGCGATCGATGAGAGTGAAGGTCTCGAAGACCAGGACGACTGAGCATGCCTTGATCACTGCGTATATTGTCACAATCGACAGCTGCTGGAATGTGGGCATCTTAGATCCTAGCCGGTCGACGAACGCAATGGCGATTCCCGCAGCGCACGCAACAATGATAATGATTGCGGCCGCGTCCGCCCAAATGCTGATTTCGCTGAAGCCGTTCGTTCCCGGCTCCTGCGCATGTACGAGCAGCGAGAGTCCCGAGGTTAAGGCCGAGCAGATTGTCGTGATGCAACTAAATCGGAAGTGCTTCCGCGACAAATCGGAAAAGTAAGCTTGGAACCTCTTCTCCTCCGCTTCATCTGCGTAACGCTGGTTCCATAATTTTTTATATCTGTTCAACAGCGTCCTGGGCTTTCGATTTAGTCCTTCTTCCATGGAATCCGACGCTCGCAAATTTCCTTCTCTGATTGATCTGATTGAGACCGTAGGAAACCCTTGTCATTCTATCTCTTTTGAAGATAGTGAACAGCCCCCCGCTACTCAGCACCAGCTGAATGATGTTTTCGTAATCTCCGCGCACAAAGATTCCCCGACAAATTGCGGAGCGCAACAATATTCGGCACCCGAGTAGATACACGAGATGGCACACCAATTTATCATGAAACTATCAAGGAAACGTGGGCGGCGATCAGCAAGGAGCCGAGTGCCACGCACGTAGGAACGAGGATTGGTCATACCAGGCATGCAAACGTCATTAAAATATTCCAAGTGATGATGAGCTCGGCAGGAGAAACTTCCTGTTGTATGTTTCCACGTCGTTCTCGCTGGCAAACAGCTTCTTCCGATCGGAAACGATGAAGTTGATGACAAATGATGTCGCGAGGAACGCCGATCCCCACAATGCCACTCCGCGCGACAGGGTGGTAGCTGATACACAGCGAGAGGATGATCGACGTAGGGAGACGAAGGATGCGAAGATGGCGGCGGCGAGTATGACACCATTCTATGAGAAGGAGATGGATAAGAACAAAGCATTGGGCATGACAGTAGGGATTGAAACGTCGTACTAATTGCAATATTGATTCCAAGGAGTAGGCCCTGCCGCTCAGGCAGAGTATGCGTGATCTGCGGGACCGAGTTGCCGATAGTCATGATACCGCAAACAGCTGTAAGACGAGACGAAGTTGATGAGTTCGCATACGTCTGGATGTTTCACCAGCCGAAAAAGAGAAGGCGCATCTTACTGAGGATAACGATGTTCGTTAGCAGAGTCTGTGACTGGCAATAATCCCTATACCTGTTCTCTCAAGATAACATTAGGATCACACAGTGGTCGCTATACAAACGAAGGTCTCATACGTTGCTTCCATGGTGCTGTTCTTGTAAATGTTCGTCCATGAATGGATTCCTAGTCGGTCAAGAACTGCTTTTTCCGGATCCTGCTCAGCTAAGAGGCCCAAGACGTACGTGGAGGCACGCCTGGTCGCTTGCCACGGGACGGACGTGGTGCACCGTATAGTGTACTGTGACGCCATGGCGGTAGTGATTGCAATCGCGGACGTGAAAAAGAGCCAGGAAGGGCAGTTGTATTGAGCTTGAAAACACACGCACTTAAGTGCAAGTACAATATGGATGTAGTATATGCGCTGCAGTGGTATTCTGGAGGAAAGAAGGACGAAGCTGGTTGTCGTAACTACGCCGGGGGCCACAAGACTACGTCTATATCTACCCAATATCGGACCTTAGCTTTGACAAAGCAGGTTTGGGAACAAAGGGTCCATGTTTTTTTCCTAGCTCCTCGCTTCTCCAGAGTCCAGACCCGTTACGGGAACAGGGGGGCCATAGGAATGACAGTATTTGACGCTTTTCCCGCCGTGTTTTTCGGCGGGACAGCGCACAAACTGTTAACCAAATTAGCAACGCAGACACCCGCCTTCCCTGCCCACATTCGAGGGCTAGAAACGAAGGGGGGGCTAAAAGCAGTTGGGGAGTTTCCCACACAGGTGGAAACTAGGAGGCATGTCTGGCTCTGGGATCCCGCCGTCGCCCTAAGCATCCGCTCTTTTCTCACTTACCTCCTTCCTCGTCCTAGATGCATCTGCCGGTAATGGAGCATGTGAATGCGCATCATAGACCCACCAGAATGACGTCCAATCATCCGAGATGCCTCATCTGTGGGTCGGTTGTTGAGCGCTTTCCCGCGGGTGTCTGATGCACGCCACGTTTCTCAACGGAAGTGTCTCTCGTACAAGGACATGTGCAGTGTTTGTTGCATGCCTCTGCTTCGAAATCCATGGGGTTCGCTTAAGATTGTATTCCTCTATTTAAGCCGAGTCCAGCAGCGGGCCGCCCTGTAGGACGCATTGCAAAACCCAAGGAGCCCTACATCAGTCCACCGCGAGGGTGCTTCAGCGAGACAGAAAGCGGAAGCATGACAGTCCCACCTACACTTTTACCGGCGGATGTAACGCCCCCATCCGGGCTTATCCTGATTATCCTTTGCATCGTTCCAGCCCTGGGATTGGTCACTCGCGCATTCAATCGTATCATACCCTCCAATGGGTCTCAACAGCAGGATCGCACGATAGGCATCAAATATGCCGCCTTCGTCCCCGTCCGTCTAGCGATGCTTGCCGCGATGGATACAACAGTATTGAGACCGTCAACAACTGGTTTGATTTGCACCGGTAAGCCCAGAGATGTTTGCTCGACGAAAGACTTCGATGTTCTATGTTCTAACCTGCTACTGCAGATGCTCGCTGCAATGGCACCATATCAACATTTACACTACTGCTTTGTACACGGGCATGATAAGTAAGGGGTGTGTGCTGGAGTTCCAAGATGTCGTGCTCTCAACTAATGATATCAATGTGATCGTCTACTTGTAGTCTATGAAATGGGCACCTACGAGCTCAACAGCCTCGGCTACCTTCACCACCTTTCCGTCCTCATTGGGGGGATGTTCATGTTCACACAATACCAGCATATCGGCATGTTCACGTACGCCAACTACGTCTACCGCTTCGGTACCCTGTTGAACACCGTTGTCCTCGCGTCTATCGTCTTCCTCAAACTCGCACCACAAGGGGTGGACTCCTTGGTGCTCAAGAAAAAGATCTTGTCCTACTGCATAGTCCACAGCAAGTTCGGTCTATTCTGCGCGAACGTGGGGATCCTTTTCTTCTTCATCACCAACTTTAGCAGACTGCACATTTTCGTGCGCCTAATGATTCCGTTCATCGTGCTTGCATTCCTGCCGGAGCAACGGCACACGGACCACGCGCTGCACAGCTGGGCACGTAAACTCTCCGGGCAGATAAAGAGCCACGTCCCATTCGCCGCAAGCGCCACAGCCCTTGCGGTCGAGGTACAACGTCGCGCTACCAAAGTGTTCACCGACGCTTCCGAATTCGGGCTGCAAATGCGTTACAGGTTTTCTCCGGTAGAAACACGTATGCCCCTTGAGAGACTCCGCGTTCCTCGACAACCGTCGTCACCGGCCATGAGCCCCGTCAACTCGGCCTTCTCGCCAATGACCCCTGCGCACTTCCTCGACGACCTCTCATACCTCTCCGAGGGCATGGTGCCGTATTCGGAAGGCCGCGACTCGCTCTCCCTGGCCGCCGAGCGCGAGCATTTGCGTAAAAGTGAGGATACCCTTGCTGCGGAGACTGTGAAAGATGGGCGGGGATATCGACGCGCAGGCAGTCGGAGTTCATCCATCGGCAGACAGCCAAGCAAGAGTGCCTTGGAGCGCCAGTCATCGTTTTCAAAAGACGACGATTTTGCGACGGCTCTCCAGGCTTTGAAAGATGGACGGGAGTATCTGCATCAAGGCAGTCCCAAGTCTTCTCCGAGGTCCTCCGTCGGGAGACGTCCAAGCAAGAACGTCGTGGAGCGTGAGCAGAGTGACGATGTGCTGCTGCCGGCGGTTCAGGCCTTGAAGGAAGGGCAAGAAATTCATCAACGTCTCGGTAGGGGTTCTGGAGGGAGGCGTCCGAGCAAAGGCACCGGCGCCGGGCAATAGCACGGAACAGAAAAGCGTTGAACTGGGATGGTAGCAAAGCAGCTGAGAATGGGCAGAGTTTAGACTCCCTTTCATACTAGCATAACTATAAGCATTCCCAGTAATTCCTTTCCGGTGCATGGGCTCCATCACAACTTTGAAGTAGCGGAACGAAAACATGCTGCCTTTTATGAGCGACAATCAAATCATAGCTTTTCTGTTCAGCAGCCTGCTTTCAGGCCACATTTGCGTTACCGAGAAGTCGGCTACGCGCGTTTCACTTAAATTACGGCTACGTAAGCCCAGCCCATCGGGATTTTTCGGATCAGTCAATGTATTCAAGGGATTATTCATTTAGCCTAGCCATAGTGATCTCGCATATCTCTGTCCCCAAAAGCCTATTTATGATAAAGCAGCCTCCTTCGCAGCTCCCCTGCGCGATTCTACTGGTGTGATGAGCTTCCCCTGGCTTAGCAACCCATGGCACAGCCCCCCAAACTACTTAGAAGATGAACTCGTCTTGGGAAGAGTCGGGGACGAAGAGCTCGAATTCAGAGTGCTTGCATCGGAAAGAGAATTGTGGCATAGCGGTTTTGCTGAAGATTACGTTGGGCGAGTCTGTCGAGCGTAGAAAACAGTTAGCGCCCGTTCACCCCGTTGCACGGACCAGTCATAGCTGCAGAATTACGTACATTGTCCCGGACCGGGGGTCACCGTCCTCAGAGTCTTTCCGCTGGCTGTTCGCAGTTCAAACGTTTCTAATTTGTGACATGAAGCGTAAGTTGCCAATGCGCAATACATTGTTGATAGTGCACTGCAAACTCACCGCTCGCTTCTCCAAACGGGCTATTGGTCGGGTTATGCCATCTCGAGCCGAGTGAGTAAGCCGGGGCCGATTTTTTGATCTTGGCGGGATCCAACGAGGAGTACGCAGCAGGTCCGGGCGAGTTCGATTCCACTGCGAACGAGAATCGAAAGCAGCTGTCAGTATCCTGTTCAATTTGATGGTAAGCAAAAGCGACTCGAGACAAGAACTCCTACATTTCGTGGGTCGCGGAGGCTTGATAGTGAACGCAGCAGCAGCCGTGATCGTGATCGCCGGATGCAAACCCAGAGTAGCAGCAACGTTGTATTGGGCAGGTCCCGGATTTTCGTTGGTCATCCTTGCGCTACGCCGGCCTCCCATGCTGTACGCGGGGGCCTTGGGCTCCCGCCCGGCGACGTATGTGGGGTTGTACTTCCCGGGACCTAAAAAAAATGGGAGCCTCAGCATAATGTGTCCGCTCATAGGCATGAAGACAGCCCCAGATTCCAACCCGGTGTATCAAAATCGCCTGTAGATAAAAGTACGAATTCTTTAGTTCCGATGGGAGCGTGGATTGCTCCCCGACTCGAAGCTCTGCTCACCTCCGGTAGTTCTCTTCTTATATCCCCCTTGCAACGAGAACGCAGGGCCTTTCGAGCGCCCGACCCTAGTGGTTTGCGGGAAGAATGCGTTCGGTCCAGGTGTCGCCCGAACCTCTGCTGACCGGGCATATCATCGCTCAGCATGGGAGGGGTCATGATCGACAGGGAATCGAGTGTTCGGGCGCTACTTACGTCGCTCGTACTTGAGTTTCACTCCAAAGGAATATGCAGGAGCTCTTTTGATCGTTGGTTCGCTCACTCCGAGCGTACTGCAAATCAGAACAAGGAATGCATGATTAGTCGATATGCATTCAGCGCCATGCAAATTGCAAAGGTGCTGAAACTTACGATGGCAGACCATAAGCCGCCGGACCAGGCCCTATGACAATACAGCATTTGATAAGATGACAGTTGTACCTCACAACGGAGGAATGAAAGTTAGCCTAATAGTCTTGACCCCACCTTTCAGCCTTGCGGCGATGGGGATTTCCTTCGATTCCCCGGGCTCGGGAGAGATGACATTACGCCCATCCGACACCTTCGGGAGCTTCGCAGTGGCCGTACTGTCGTCAGCCATGTTTGTGTGGTTCGAGAGGGGTATATGCGAAATGGAGCTCCTCGAATCTATCTAGGATTTCTGTTTGCGAGTAATCGCAAAGCACAGCCGGATGGATTGCTCGATTGTGCAAGGGAGACCGACGTTGAAAAGCCCTGAGAAATCGGAGCGTACCCAGGGGCGCATTAGAAGATTGGTTCTACCAGCCACATCCCTATGCCCTTCTGCATGTAAATCCCCATCTGCATAAAGTGCGCGCCTTCGCTGTCAATTGCGGAGGCGAGAAAAACCAAAAAGAAGGAAAGTGTACAAGAAATCTCCGAAGAAAGCTAGGAGAGGCGAGAAAGTTAAGCGTAAATCGACCCATTTTAGAAGCAGATCCGACAACACCGAGCATTTTGTTCCCTGCTGAGAGCTGTGCAAATGCGGCGCACCGCACTATATTCTTCCGCGCCTATTTGGTTTAGCGGCTCTATGTCTACTCTACTAAATATACAAATTCTACAAATAATCGGCAGCCTGCATCAGCCCTCACATGTACGCCGTCCAACCTAACAATACGCGTTAGACCTCATGCCCGCTCTGTGAAAATAGGAGGGTCAAGGTCGGACTTACCTATATACATCGCGGCGAGGTTCTTGATACTCGTCGCCTGTTCAATCAACTCATGCACCTGCCCTTCCGGGCTAAGGGGCAAAATCATAGGGGGCATCGTACTGTTGGTGGCATACCCCTGTAGTTTTCGACTGATGATCTCCAGCGTTTTCTTTGCCTGCTCGTTTTCCCCATCACCACGTTCATCTGTTTTACCAGCCACAGCGGATGGTCGCCGGCCGGGCTTGTTCCACTCGCAAAGGGGGTCATACAAGAAGGTTTCCAGAACCGACATCAAAGAATCACGGTTTGCGCGGAGCACGCGCATGGTCGCTTCACATGATTTGCGGAATACTCCTGTGAGGTAATCGGTGTGAGCAGCAAACTAGCGTGGTGCATCCCCTCCAGAACTCACCTTCGACGCCAGTGACTCCGAATGCGTCCACCATGTTGTGAGTCAAACGGAACGGTACTTTTTCGGGTTTCTCGAATGTCAGACCCTGATATCGACCGTAGTGAGTTAAGCGCTGTCGAGAACGATTTCGAAAGCTTTACGTACCTTCTCAAACAAGCAATTCAGATCAACATGGACACAATCGCCAGTCCGCGCGTCGAACAGGATGTTCTCTCCGTGGCGATCCCCGAGTCTAAAACACGGATATTGGTAAGTTTGAAGACCCTCGGAACTGCATCCGGCGAGGTTGCCTACCCAACAACAAAGCCAACCATTGACATCGCCGCCATTGTTGCTGAGTATGCCAATCTGCTTGCGAGCCACTGAGTCGGCTCTGGAAAGGTCTCCAAAAACCATTCATGGAAGACTGGCGGAAATCTAGGGATTTTTATTATGAGCCAGTTTCTTCGGACGTAGATGCTAATGCTTTCAAGTCCCCTACCTTGGCTTCAGCATCGTTTCGAAGACTTCCTCCGGGCTTGGATGCTTGCGATCGACGATCTGCTTGACCTCGTTGGGCTGCCGACATTTTAGTAGACTTTCCAAGAATTCGCGCCGGCCATTACATGAGCTTACAAAGCAGTACATATTCTTCATCTTGTAGGCCGACAACATGATGTGCCGGAAGCCCATGGTATTTGGAACCCATTCGATAAGGCCGCATTCTTCATTAAGTGGAACGACAGCATACGTTCGGATATCTAAATGCGGCGTTAGCTTTTGTCGTCCTGGGGAAGAAGCCCAAATGCCAATCACATACATAGATTCCTCTTCCTGGCATCGGGGTCCTTTTTCAACAGTTTGTTGATCATCAGGTTGAATTCCATCAGCCTACAATCCTTTCGCAGGTCATCTTTCGGTTTGCAAAGGAAAAGATATTCCTTTCCATCGCTTCCTATGATTGTCAGTTTGCGTGGACGCTGGAGGGAATTCATTATCTCGATTTCATCTCGGAATCCTGTCAAATCACAGCGGTCAAACGCATGCATCGCCGTTCCAATGCAACTAACGTTGATTCTCTTACCCATTACGGTAGGAGCGTCCTGCGGAAAAGGAGTGTGCGGCCCCGTCTGACCGGCTGTGGGTAAAGTGACAGTCATTGTTGACTGCAGTGGGATGATAATGCGTAGTGGAACCAAACTGCATAGGCGGCGGAGATGCTTGTTCAGGCTGATGGTAGATTCATTTCGAGGAACCGAAAGATTACACAGATCGAGTAGGTGACCGGATAGGGACTGTCCCTCCTGTAAACGCACTGGGTGTAAGGTCCAAGCGTCAACGGTGATATTCGCTTCTTGGAAAGGTGCGCACCTGAATCAACTCCGGAATCGAGCCTTGATACCCGTGGCGATTCAGGGGATTCACCTATGAAAAAAGCAGTCTTCGCGTGAGTTTTCCAACATACTCAAGCAGGTCGCCCGGTCTTACCTTAGCTTTCGAAAACACCAGGCTCACACGCTCAGCCCGAATCTTCGATGAACTCCTTCCAACGGCGAGAAGCTGCCAAAGTGTCTGCTGCGGGTATACACACAGAACGTTGACCAGGATGGCTTCAAGTACCTGATGCACAAGGACGTTCGTGTGCCCAATCCTCGAGGCTAGTTGTGGAATGGCAGTAAGGAAGTGGTATGCTGGAACTTTTTCGATGAGCTTGCGCACGAGGCGGCTGATTTGATGGAAGCGCGCTACCCGAGGGTCTTTGGAACTGTTCTCGTTCTCATCCCCCGTCCCCGGCACGTAACCCATTTCGAGCCATATCGTTAAGAGCCTCGGCAAGGTTTGATAAATGTAACGAGTGCCGTACGTCAGCGCTCGTCCATATTGGCGACAAACGGCGAAGGAAAGAGTAGCATGCTGGCTCAAACTTGCTTGCGAAACTCGGTCCGGAAGTTTCATTTTCGCTAGGTCCATTTCATATAGCTTGTCATAATAGCGACCGAGATGAAAAGCCGCCTTCTCCCAATCCGGCATGTCTTTGGTCACTTGGGTAAAGCCTTCAATGATGCTCGTTGCATGACCAGTGCTCGTCTCCTCAATCCAGTTTGAGAGTTGGAGCTGTATCTTTGCCCTCAGGAAACGACATGATTGCGCATGCGTAGAGCCACCGTCTGCGTCAACGACAATAGGTTCCGTATGCTTTATGGACGCCGATTCACGCTCAAGAATCTGCAAGCTAGACCGAAGCTCGGACATAGCCTTCTGCTTCTCATGTTGATCCCACAGCAGCTTGGCCATTTCCAAAGGGACTTCCGGCACCTGTAATCGGGTAGCGTGCAGAATGGCGCTGTAGGCGGCTTGGAAATGACCAGCTTTCCGAGAAGCTTTGGCGCTTTGCAGCCATAAGGATCCACGTTTTAGCCCCAGCGCTGTGTAGCTGTTGCTTGTCGTCGACGTGGGACGGTCAGCCTTTGTAAAGGTGTACGCCTGCAAAAGAATCCTCCGCAGGTTCAGGATGGGCTCTCGTACCCGGAAGGAGGCGACTGTAGCTTTGAGACGTTTGTCCCATATATCGAAAACATCAGAGTGCTCTTCATGATCTGCGATACCCTTCCCATTCGACTTGAAAAGGCTGCTCATTTCATAGAGCATGTGTAGCTTTATGATGCTGTCGTAACTCCGCTTGTAGGAGTCCATGCTCGCCGCCGCCAAGTCCACGGCGATAACTTGCCGGGTTTGTCGTAAAACGCTTTGGAAACGGGATTGATCTCTGTTTCGCACAGCATCGAACAAGGAGCCGATTGAGGTCTCGAAGCGTTTGTCGTGCGGTTTTTGTAACAAGCTTTCCAATAGGTTCCAGTCACCCAAACTCCAAGCCGCTTCGATAGCATAGGAGTTTAATGACGACGCCCATTCGGGATGCAGAGTAGAACTGCCGTGCACATGTGTCAACAAGGTATCTGCAGAATGTTTATCCATTACAGGGATGCGTTGGTCAAACGGGTCACCCATACGCATACACCACTTACCCATATGTCCTAGATTCTTGAGACAATTCACGAGACCGATGTGATTCTGCAGCTGCGTGCTATCATTTTGCAGTGCAAGCTCATAGCAAGTTTGAGCACCCGTCCATTGCCCCGCGTTTTCGTGCTCGATGATCTGCTGTTCTAACGTGGAAACACGAAACATTGTCGACAGGCCTTCAATGCAATCAGACTCGTCCAGGTGCGCATATATTTGCTGCAGATGAGCGTAAAGCTCTTGGAGCTGATCCTCCTCCTTGTTGACTCGCTCGTTTCTGATATGTTGCTCGAAATGAAGCAAGGCGCGAGCGTAGGCTTGGCAATCATACGACGCCGCTGCCATCACGGATTCCGGAATGAGACCAAGGAAATCTTCGATTCTTTCGACAAATATCTGCGCATTGGGGTTTCCTTCGTCAGCCGCTGCGGCTGTTCTGCTCCGCCGCCCGAGTGAAGCCTTCCGTTTAGCTGTCTCTAACCGCCGAAGTCTCAGCCATCTGGCAATGTGATCCACTAACGAGAAAACGGTCTAAAGCGGAATGCTTTGATCAAATTGGTGGTCCGTACAACAAGGGAATGATGCCTAGCTATACCTGACAACACAATCTCCGTTTCTCTACCATGCGCCGACTCCGTTGATTTTTGTCGCTAAGAATCGCAAGAAACTCTTGCCGTATGTCATCCCGCTGAGCATCCGTTCCCGCCAGAAGAACATTCAAAACTAAATGGGGCAGTAGATGCTCCGCAACGTTGATATCGCCGATGATGACAACGTTCTTGCACATGCCGAACACCTGCCGGGCAAGCTGGCCCTGCGCTTTCTTGATCAGATCGACCGTCCAAGTTTGCATCCACATCCGGTACGATTCATCACGCGCATAGATAGGGTATGAAGGTTGGTATGTTGTATGACTACGGAGCGACTGGTGGTATTTCGTACTCAGAAAGGGCGTTATTGTCCCTCGCGCGAGAGGCGAAAAAGAGAACCACAGCCTGCCCAAGTGTTGCGTCGCTTCGGGTAGTCCTCCGGGTCCCCGTAGATCGACCATCGCAGCGATCTCCTGTGTGAATCCACAAAAGCGCAACAGTTCCTGTATGGCATACGCGTGGTTGATCTGTATCTTTGTGTCGTGGGTGGCTCGACAAGCGGGCGCCAGTTTGCTCTCGATGACGGCAATGACGAAAATGATGGCTTGCTCCATAGACTCGAAATCGCCGTGCGGACCTAGACCTTGCCCAACTCCTTCGGTGGTCATGAGTAGATTCAAACGGGAGGGGTCAATGGCTCCCAAAACCCCTAGAGCTTCACAGCACAGGTTTTGTATCTCCTCGTCGACACCATTGTATCGCCTGCACACTTGGAGAAGGATGCGTATAGTTTCCTTGATGCAGTCGTGGACATTCTCCGACAACACCAAAGCGTTCATCTCGGCACCCGCGGCCTGTACGCAAGCAACGAGCTCCTGCAGGGCTTGGCGGCACACAGCCGCATTGTCTTCCACCAACGGTTTCAAAAGACCGGTGATACGTGCGGGAAGCGACCTTGAGCCGCGCGATGTATTCAGCATCCCATTTAGCTTTGCAAACTCCGCGGTGTCCGGTAACAGGCCAATCTCCGAGAGAACGGACCAATCTTCATCATAGATCAACCTCGTGAAGAACTTCTCCAACATGGTAACGAGGGTCGCTATCTGCGACCCCGTGAACTCGCGGCAGTTCTTACATAGAGAAACGCAGACTTGGTTGAGCATCGGCCGAACAGAGTCGGGGTGGACAGCCTCGAGAAACTGCCTCCACGCATCAAGCGCAGCATCTCTCAACGGGGCGGAATCGAGGGCGGTCTTGAGCGTCGCAAGCATCTGATGGCAAAGCTTTAGAACATGTATGTGGTGGCAGAGTACATGATTCAGATGGCCACCAGCATACCTGCGGGATGACAGGCGAGATCTCCACATTCATCAGACGGATCACCTGGCCGAGACTGTGCACAGTTTTGCACTTCTCGGTCACCGAATTTTGGCCATCAACATCCAGAAGTGTTTGATTGACATGCTCCAAGATTCCCAGGACGTTCGGTATCAAGACGTCTTCGGGTCGGTCGTCGCTCTCGGGCCCGCCGTGCAAGATTTGGCTGACTGTCTTGAGCGCAGACTCCGCCTAACCAACGTTCCCGGTCAGTAAATTTTCGTAGATTCGCAGATCCCGTCCATGTCACATACCTTTCCGAGCACAGTAGGGTCACAGTCACCGAGCTCCATGCAGATATTGATAATAATGCGCAAAGAGTACGACCGCACCACATCTGCTATCCCCACGTGTTGCGAGATCATCTTCAGATAGAAATGCAAGGTAGCCGCCGAATCTCCATCCTGCATAAAAATAAACGGTAATATAGTCCCGCCTTCGTTCAGCAGCATCCGATCCGGAGGAGTCTTGACCATAATCGCAATCTGCCGAATACCGTCACTTGCTTGCTCGACGACAAGATGCGGGAGGATGTGCTGCAAATTCTGCTGGACAAAATCCTGGCCGGTCATGCCGTACAGCGGGAGGAACGTGCGACAGATACGCGGATCGCTTTCCCATTTGCCAATCATGTAGATGCTGATAGGGCGACGGAGGGGTGCAATCAACTGGGCGAAGGATTTATCGCGTCCTTCTGCGATGCTTTGCACTTGCTCTGCGGCCATGGACCGGATGTTGGCGTTCTCCGCGCCAAAATGGTCGAATAAGGCTTGCAGGAGTGGCAACAGGGAAGTTTCACCAACGACGCGTGCGATTCTTCCGATAGTCACAACAGTCGTCTCCACGACCGGCGGACTTGCACCCCGGAGCTTTTTTAGCTCCTCTGTCAGTGCCAAGTTGTTGTCCGCAGTCAGAGCAGGGTCATCACATGCTTCCACGCGTGTGCAGATCAAGGCGACGACCTCGCCCGCGATGCGTCGAACTCGGCGGCAGTCGGCCGCCAATGCTTGCACACATGCTCGTACAAGGTCAGAGCTTCGGAATTCCAGTTTGTTCATGGGCAGATGCCGGCATAAACGCAGCAAACTCCGGAAGAACAGTACGCGAGACTCAGGACTCCCCGTGTCTGCCAGAAACATAAATCGCATGAACAAATTGGCGTAGCTGGCGTTGACGAGCGCAAAGGAGTCGATGTCCCGTTTTGTGTCGCACTGAGGGCAGGTACGTGTCTCTTCACCCCTTCCAGGTCGATCCACTTCACTTTGTACAAGGGCGCAGCACATAGTCCCGAGACAGGAGCTGATGCCGCCTTGAGTCTGTGGCCGGTTCTGCGCAAGCCAGCTTGGGGGATGTCAATCAAGAGTCTCGGCATCGGAGAGCCAGCCATATACATAACTTACCAGAGATGTTTTACGAAAACCGTTTGCGTATCCGTTCCATGGTCCAAAAAGGCAATGATATCCCATGTGAAACGAGACGCGGCGTTTTCCATCGAAGGATTCCATTCGAGGCATCTCAACCACACGTATGCAGCATGCACTGCCAATTGCGGATCCGGGGATCGTTTGACAGCGGAAACAATAGCCCTCAAGCATTTCACAGAAAGTTTCACGTCCAGAGGCGAAGGAATAGGCTCAAGATCTTTGAATTCCACATGTCTCAAGTCATTTCCGCTGAAATCGAAGCCGTTGTAGAGGGTCTTCATAAACGCTTCACTTTCCGAGCGGAAATAGTCGTCGCCCGTGACGCCAGGTTCCCGCTTCAAAATAGCATTTAGCCAAGGTAAGGAAACGACCCACACCAGACTGTACCGTTCGCTTTCTCCGAGTCGCCGCAAAACAGGGACGCAGGTGCACAGGGTTGTCGCGATGGACAGAATCACATCCAGTGACGTATTCGGTACGGAAACTCCATGGAGAATACTGATCGCGTGAGTGAAGGAAGTTGACACCAGCTTCTGTAACTCGTCAAGGTTGACATGCGCCGCAGCGGGTACGGCTTCCCAAGCTGAAGCAAGTGCAAATATCGCAGTCTCTGCGTCTGCGGCATGCCAAGGGTGCGTCGCGATTGCTTTGGCGAGCGCTGCATTGGCTGTTTCATCAGCACTTGCAAGCGATGCGACGTCCAAGCGCGGAAGAACTTCCGGAAACGGCTCGTGACTCGCAAAGCTTTGCATTGCGCTGTCATCAGACGTTCGTCTACGCTTCGATGAGCTGATGTCTCGCAGGGCATCGGTCTGGCCCCCCCTCTTAGCCTCCATGTCTCCCGCTTTCCGCTTCCTACTCCCGGCTGTCCCAGAGACCCCTTCCATCTGATCCGCTCCCAGAGACGATCGCTGTCCATCCACCGACCGACTAACCCTGATAAACGTTCTCGGCGATCCATTCAACTCCATGCTCATAAGGCCCAGTTCATACAACTCCATCAAGACACTCCGCAGATTCCGCGTGAGGGCTCTGAACACCGGTAGACCCACCAGCATGCGCACCGGTGCAAACACATGTAGCAGTGTACCCGACACAATGCCACCGTTCAGGCATTGAGAGAGCGCGGTAGCTAATAGCAACTGCAGCTCTTCATCCATTTCTGCAGGGACGAAGGTTTGTGCTTCTCCGTCGGGGAACAGGCTCCATAATGCCTTAATGAGGACGTCTAGGATGCGCCTTTTGCTGATGAGGTGAAGTTCGTCCGTGAGTTTGTGCATGGCGAAGACGAGACCAAGGGCAGTCTGCAAAATCAACAGAATCAGCTGGCCCATACAACACGTTTCGAAAATGAATCGTTTACGACCCCTCACCTTCAACGACCCCATGCCCTCCTCGTCCGGAAGAAATTCGAAGTAATCGATCAGATGCCCCCACAACCTCGCATTTACATTCCCTGTAGCAAACTGCCCCTGCTTGTAGCAAAGTTTGAGAAGCTGATACAAGTTTCTCAAGAACATGTGGCATTCATCGGCTGTGCTCAGTTGAATATGTCCACCATCGTGTTCACAGGTGATGGGACTCGATACATCCCCTGTGCTTTTCAAACTGCTCTGAATCACTGTTTCCCCCAGCAGGTTAGCGTAACCTCAACCAAGTTGTCGACCTCGCCCATATCTCACCATTGATCATCTCCACCATCTCCTCAACCAAGTCATGAAAGTGCCGATCCTGGGAACTTTCCCTCCCGTGAATCATAATGTACACAAGCTCGTTGACGACCTCGAAAACAGCCTCGTGCACGGTGGCAAGACCAGACAGTGCCAGAACCCTCACAACGCGAGAGAAGATCCATCGATCGAACGGCTCGCATGCTATCAGGGAGCCTTTATCGGAATAGAGCTGTGATAAAAGGACCGGGCCCGTCGCCGGCCCGTCTCCACCACCGCGCGGCGCTCCGCCATCTTCCTCAACCCCAACAATCTCAAACGAGTTGGTCAGAAAGATCTCCGGTTTCTGCACCGATGCCACACGAAGCAACACCACCGTCATCCTCGCTCGGCGAATCGTTTCCGAAGGAAGAGAGCCTGGCTCCGGGACATCAGCAAAAATCGGATCGGAGAATGCCAGACACCCGAAATTCAAATACACACCATCCCGCCCAGCCCTCTCGGGCGCCAGCACCAGACATTCTTCCGAACACTTCGCCAGTAGCTGACGATAGGCAAGGATATCTTCACGGTTTAGCGAAGTATTATCGCTGCCTGTGAGTAAATCATGCACCTGTATGGAAGAGTAATGTAATACAAGGTGAGTTGCCCACTCCGACTTTTTCACCACACACACACCACACACGACGGCAGGCACCTTCTGTAGGCGCGCGTCAATGGTAGGCAGCGCCGTCGGATCTGTCATCTGCTCATGTTGGTTTACAGAAGGAAGCCGTTTGGAATTTTCCCAGCTCAATTGTTCAATTTGGACAAAAAGTGCGAGCTTTGAAAACGCGTCTCGAAGAACGCAGACGCGTTCAGGACAGAAGCTTCTTGCATCCATGCAAAAGCAAACCCCATTCTGACGGTAATTCATGTCTCACAAGCCATATTCAGGCATCATACTCATCCTCACCGCCTCTCACAGAATCACAAATAAACAGAGCACTCAGTTGCTCGCTATCATACATATACAGCTCTGCTCGGGACACGGTTTACAAGGGGGAGTTCCTATACATATTATTCACAACAGGTTGTGTTAGGGGGTTTCTTCGGGGCGTAAATGGGTCCGGGATTCCGTTGAGTGGTCTACTCCGCGTTGCTTTGCCTCAAGCTGGATCGTCCGGCGCGCATCATCTCGTCGACGAGGAGGAAGTTCGAGGCGATCACGGCGCTGTGGCAAGAAGGGAAAGACGGAGGTTAGCATAGAGCACACAGCAACCCAAATGAGTCGAAAGGACATACCAAGAGTGCAACATATGCCTATGCACACGGTAGTTGTCCCAAATACCCTCCGCAACAGGGTCCAGAGTCTCTCCCGTAACAAGGTCCAGCCCAACAACGTGACCAGCAGTGTGCTCCTCCTGCAGGGCCACAAGGACATCCTGGACATCAAAGCCTCCGTTCTGAGCAAGCACCTTGGGGATGATCAACATAGCCTCCGCAAACGCCTGCACACCCATCTTGGGCCGTCCCTTGACTGAGTCCTTGAATTTGAGCAGGTGGGCGTGGAGCGCTACTTGGAAGGCCGCGGCGCCGGGGACGAGGTACTCGTCCTCGATGGCGTTCTTGACTGCGCGGAGACCGTCCCGAATGGCGTCGTTGATCTGGACGATCGTGTGGGCGTTGGGGCCGGTGACGAGGATGGTGACGGATTGGGGGTTTTTGACGTCTTCGACGAAGGTGAACTTTTCCTCGCCGAGGACGTGCTCGTAGACGAGACCAGCGTGGCCTAGGATGTCTGGTGTCAGGTCCTCCACTGAGTTCTGGGCAACTCCTCCACAGCACAATTGCAGCCTAAGTGATCGATCGAAAGTTAGTTTAGCATGCCAGCGCTTGCGAGAAGAAAATACTTGCAACCAATCGAAATACCTCTCCATGTTTCTCCTCTTAGCTCTCCTGAGAGCCATGATACCGTTCTTTGCCAGCACATCCAGGGAAAGAGGGTCGATACCCTTTTGGTTCAGGATTACAAAGCCCTTCTTATTTCCATCGCAGACCGATTTCTTGAACTCGACAATCTTGGCGAGCTTCGCGTCAACGAATCGCCTTTCAGACTCGACGAGCTTCTCGCGCTGTTCGGCACTGCTGTAGAAGAAACCAGAGTTGATCTCGCTGGAAGGGTGAAAATGTGTCAGAAGTCATCAAACGCGCACAATCATAAGAAATAACAGTGTAGCTCACCTCTTCTCGTATTCCAGGGAGACGTTGAGGGTCAATACATAGGCATCCTCAACACGCTTAGGCATATCGGGGTGGCGTGCGCCATGGTCCATGACAAGACCGCGGACAAGGCGGGTATCGGTGTCGTTTTTGTGCTGCATCTTCATGATTTCCACCATGTGCAAGTCGATTGGCTTGCCCTCACGGTAAATACACAGAACGGCGTCGACGACGGCCTCCATCAAGGCGTCTGCGACTTCCTGACGGACTTTTGTGCGGAGCGATGTGCGTGCGACGCTGAATAATGTTTCCCGGTCCATGTCCACCTTAACCTTGAACTTCTCCAGGAACTGCAACGGGGCGGAACGTGAGCAACTGTGCCTCGATTCATAAATGCCGAGGTTTCATGAAGCCCTACCTCCAAGGCCTCCTTCTTGGCAATGTCAAACCCTTCCGTGATAACACGAGGGTGAAGACCCTCCCCAATAAACCTCTCTGCCTGCTTCAACAGTTCCGCAATCAGGAGCACGTTGGACGTTGTTCCGTCTCCAGTCACTTCGTCCTGTGCTGTCGCTGCGCGGGCAATCATGGCAGCCGTTGGGTTTTGGATTTGCTGCGAGACAGAAAAACAAGAGGTATGCTTCAGTAAAATGACCGCGTGGTTTCTCCCGTCTCCGGATGTAGTGGGCTCCCACGACATACCATTTCGGTGAGGAGAACCTTTCCGTCTTTCGTGAGCTTGATATCTCCAGCACCGCCAACAAGCCTTGTTAGGACAACATCAGTATCCATGCCACGCTTTGCCCAGTCGACTCGTGATCTGCGCCCTCACATTTTCTGCGTCCCCTTAGGTCCCAAATTCGATCTCAGAACATCTTGCAAACCAGCAGCAGCGGTGATGTTAATCCCCAGTGCTTGACCCTGACGAGCCACCTCGGCCTTAGGGTTGGCTAATTGGATAGCTGACGAGGACCTGCAATGCGCACGCGAAAGGGAACAATGATCAATACGACTTGATCTCTGCGGACGCCCAGGGGGGTTTGGCGCGTTGGAATTGCTCACATTTGTATGGATTGAAGCTAGGGAAACAGTGGGAGTGTGACTGGGCCCGAACAAAACGTTTCTGCTACCGAAGTTAAGACTGTAGAGGCGGATGGGGTGAGGAGGTGGGTTGTGCGGATGTGGGTGATTCTGCGTGGGAATGGTTGCTTCGGACGAGATCTCTTGCCTGCCTTCCCCTGGACGAGACTCGACGAGCAAGTCCGTCAAGAGAGGGAGCACACGCGAGCTCACGTGACGGCTTGCGCAGTCGGAAGCATTTATTTCGCTAACCCTAGCCCTCTCCATGGAAAGCACACCTTCGTATCTGAGCTCGCTTCAGCGGATGCATCGTCCCAAGGAGAGAGGCAAGGCTGAGAACGTCATCATCTTGTATGAGGACTGAGTGCAACCATTGCCAACGGTGGTGGCGAGATTTATCTGGGCAGCGCATCGGGTCGGGAGCGGCGGGCTGAAGATGGCTTCATCTGGGCATTCCACAAATTATTGACGGCGGCCGCAACTTGGGCGAAGCAGGGCTTATGGTTTGACGCTCTGATGAAAGGACACTTCGCTCGCTGTCCTCTTTGCGAACGAGAAAGCAGCTAAAATACGGCGTTGCCATGAATGTCTTCCGGTACAAGCAGCGGACGAGGAAGGGTCCATACTGTGCGTACAGATATCGAACGAGAGGAGTCTCCGCGGACGAAGCTCAAAATTGTCAACTCGTCATATGTAAGGAACGAACGGCACGCGCGGCACAAGAAGCAGCCAACCAACCCGGCCGCACTCCAAAAAGAACTCCCTCCCGCCGCCGCCCCCCCCAACGCAATCTCGCAGCAAAACACACTCTTGCAACACACTACTTACAGCAACCGAGACACTACCATACCTCCAAAGGGTCCCTGTTTGTAGCCTGCCACTTTGCTGTGATTAGTTCATATCGGTGTAGCCGCCGAAAGGTGTTCCATGGCATAGACCGGGACTAGACTTGCGCGCGCATTCGACCTTTCTCAATACGCATTGTCCACGAGGGCAACTCATATTCTCAACAACATGGCGGACGATACGCACTCGCGGGTAAGTTCAGGAGGGAATCGCCAAACCCTCCAGTCCAGTTGCTCAACTTCACACCTTCCAGGACGTGGAGGCCAAGATAGCCGATCTCCAGAAGAAGATCGAAATCGAAGAGAAATGTCGCGACGGCGCCAAACACATGCTCGCACAGTTGACGGACCCCAACGCCGCACAGCAATGCGAAGTGAACCTCATCGAATCCCAAAAGCGGCTGACATTCCTGACGAATGAGCTCAATAAGCTGCAATCGAGGGTGGGCGGTACCGCGTATCCGGGACTCTTGCCTTTACCGCCCGGCCATTTCTCCACCGAGCCGCGAACCATGTCCGAGGGCGGCTTTTCGTCTGTGCCGAGAATGGGTAGCTCTGTTGATGCCACTGGGATGAGCAGAAGCAACCCCGGTCTGGGGCCCAAACGGCATTCGGACCCTGGCTCCATCAAGGACGTGAAGATTGACGAACCCCGAGCGTCCGTCCCGAGACTGTCGATAACGGCGAGCGTGCTGGGCTCGTTGTTGCATTCGCTCGGTGTTCGCAGCAAAACAAACCTAGGAATGACAAAGTCGCCACCGGGGTCCAGTGCGACTTCCCTAAGCTCGCTACCTGGGGGCGAGCATGCCAGCAATCCCGCACTCACTCAATTCGGTGCGTCTTTTGGGATTGCCCACTTAGGCCTGTGATGGTGGTCTCTTCCAAACCCTGCGCGACCGCCTCCTCACATTGCCATTTGGCCCTTTTGCTTTCCCTCACAGACTACCACAAGCGCGACACAGCCATCACATCCGACAAAGTCAAGTACATGATGCAGGAGATCAAAGGCAAGCTCGACATTGAGCTCAAAGTGAAAGCGGGCACGGAGCGGATGCGGGAGGTTGTTGCGAAGACACCCGACTCGGACGCGAAACGGAAGATGGAGGTGGATGAGAAATGGGCCGAGTCCAGCGCAAAGGTCGCGCTGTTGCAAAAGGCACAGCAGCGGTACCAGACACTGTATGTGCAGGACGATGGGGATGTGCCGCCAAGGGTTTCGATCACTGGTATGTTGTCCGGAATCGCAGGAGTCAGATTACCTTTGGCGCACAGTGCGATCGGCACGGTTCCGTCGTCATGATGTGCGCCGAAGTGTGTCGAGGAAGTGGCTGTCGATCTTTTCACTCACAACCCACGCTTTTCCAGCCGAAGCCGAGGAACCACGGACATCAACACCCCGCCGCCGCAAACCCTCCATCGGACGCCTCAAAATCCGCCTCTCCGCCGCCACCGCCCTCCCCAACCGCAAATCCTCTAAATCCGACACCTACGCCGTCATCCGCGTCGACGGCATGCAACGCGCCAAATCCAAACCATCCCGCGCCGGCAAATGGAACGAGGACTTTGAAGTCGATCTCGACAATAAAGCCCAGGAGCTCGAGATCGCATTGTATGAAAAGGGAGGCTCGTTGCTGTCGCTGTGCTGGTTTAAGCTGTGGGAGCTGGAGGAAGAGCTCAGGGCTAAACAGAATGGAGCTTTGTCGGCTGGGACTGTGGGAGGGAGTGCAAATGCGACCGCGGCGACGCTGAAGAGGGATACGAGCTCCCAGAGTCTGTCGGCGAAAGATGGTGCAACGACGGAAGCAGTGGCGGGGCAGAGTGCGCATGACACGGTTGAGACATGGCTGGAAATGGAGCCTGCGGGGCAGCTGTTGGCGAGGTTTCAGTTGGTGTCTGTGCAGAAGAATAAGCGTCGCGTATGTTTTACACCACACACCTACCGCTCCTGTCAGGACCGCCTTTGGTACAGTCACTAACACCCTCGCATTTACAAACCTATAGAAGGACGGTCTATTACGGCGGCGCCCCGTCAAGAAAGTTTTCCCCAAACGCGGCCACAAATTTGTCGCGATGCAATTCTACCAGGTTATGAAGTGCGCCGTGTGTACGGAGCTCCTTATTAGCGGGCAGGGGCATCAGTGTCAATGTGAGTTTTGGCCCGGCGCGCAAGAGTTGCTGGTTGGAAGGTTGTTTCTGATGTTTGTTTCTTTCGCAGTGTGCAAGTTCACTTGTCATAAGAAGTGCCAGGGAAGGGTACTGGCGAAGTGTATTACGAAGGGGAATGAGGAGAAGGTAATATGTCCGCGCCGCTGAGTTGCGTCGCAAAGATTGTCATCGTACACTTTCACACGACTGGATGCTCACGTCCATATTCTCAAAACAGGACGATAACGAAGCCGGCTACGACCAACTCCTCAAACACCGCATCCCCCACCGCTTTGAACCGACGTTGAACGGCATGTCCGCCAACTGGTGCTGCCACTGCGGCTACATGCTCCCCTTCGGCAACAAAAAGCAAGCCCTGAAATGCTCCGAATGCAGCGCAACCTGCCATAAGGAGTGCATGCATCTCATCCCCAACTTCTGCGGCCTCAACCCAGGCCTCATCACCCAGATCCTATCGGCCCTCGACCAGGCCGAGCGGCAGAAACGGGATAAGGAGATGATGCGGTTGGAGGAGGATCGGGCCAAAAAGGCGGCATTGGAGCAACAGCAGCAACAACAGCAACAGCAACAGCAGCAGCAGCAGCAGAGAAAGTCGCTCCCGCCACCGGGACAACCGACGGCGCCCCTGAGAGGCGAGTCGGCGGGCTCGTCGCAGCATTTGGCGTTTGGAGCTACGCGGCCGAATGTGGGGAAGGGTGCGGCGGGAAGGTTGGACAGTCTTGGAAGCGCGGGCGCTAAAGGGATTGGGTTGGATGATTTTGAGTTTATTGCTGTGCTTGGGAAGGGGAACTTTGGAAAGGTATGGTGGGAATGAGAGGCGGGCTTGTTCGTAAACATGCGCACGTCTGTTGGAGTATCCACTCACAATGGACTCGTTTTGAAACCAGGTCCTCCTCGCCGAAGAACGCTACAGCAAACAGCTCTACGCCATCAAAGTCCTCAAAAAAGAATTCATCATCGAAAACGACGAAGTCGAATCTACAAAGGCCGAAAAACGCGTCTTCCTCGCCGCAACCCGCCAGCGCCACCCGTTCCTCGTCAACCTCCACTCCTGTTTTCAGACCGAGAGCAGGATCTACTTTGTCATGGAGTATGTCAGTGGAGGCGATCTGATGTGGCATATACAGCATCAGCAGTTTTCGGAGAAACGGGCTAAGTTTTATGCGGCTGAGGTGCTTTTGGCGTTGGAGTACTTTCATAAGGAGAATATTATCTATCGGTATGTTCTGAGGGACGCCTCCGCTTTGGTCCTGCATGGCTGCTTTGTGGTATCCATTCCGGAGTTCCCGCGTTGAAGCGCACCCTAACCTCCCATTCAACACAGCGATCTGAAGCTCGACAACATCCTCCTCTCCGTGCACGGCCACATCAAAATCGCCGACTACGGCCTCTGCAAAGAAAACATGTCCTACGGCGCGACCACCAACACCTTCTGCGGCACGCCCGAGTTTATGGCCCCCGAGATCCTGCTCGACAAACCCTACGGACGCGCCGTCGACTGGTGGGCCTTTGGCGTCCTGATCTATGAGATGCTGTTGGGGCAGAGCCCGTTTCGGGGCGAGGATGAGGAGGAGATCTTTGAGGCGATTTTGGAGGATGATATTTTGTATCCGGTGAATATGGCTAAGGAGGCTGTGTCGCTTTTGCAGAAGGTGGGTACTTCGGGTTAGCCGCTTGTGTGCACACATATTTTTCAGACCGCCACTCACGCTCGATCTTGTTTCCAGCTCCTAACAAAAGACCCCGCAAAACGTTTGGGCGGCGGCAAGAACGACGCAGACGACATCAAGAAGCACCCCTTCTTCCGCGGCGTCGATTGGGACGCTACGCTGGCGTTGCAGGTCCCGCCGCCGTTTTACCCCAAAATCGTAAGTATTATACCAGCCGTCCACTTTCCCCAACAACCTTCCCACACCGATTCTCACACAAACCCCTTATCACACCAAACCCCACACAGTCCTCACCAACAGACGTCTCCAACTTCGACGAAGAATTCACCCGCGAAGCCCCCGTCCTCACACCCTGCACATCCGTCCTCTCCGCCGCGGACCAGGACGATTTCAGAGGATTCACCTTCGTCGCCGAGTGGGCACAACAGGCTCGGAATCAGGCGTTGGCGGATATCGCGGCTGCCAAGAGCGGTGCCGCGGCCACGAGTCCAAGGGCGAAGAGGATGTCGGCCGCGGGGAGTCGGTAGTGGGCGTTGCCAATACCTTGATATGATGTCTCCTTCCCTTGTCTCCCTGTCAATCTCGACACAGACTCACACGCGCCTTCCCATGTCGCGTCTCTCTACACATCCTCACTACCCCCATCATTCCTTACACACACTATACATATATGCAACCCTAATCCCCTCCCCCCGTGGGCCCGGACCCCGCCCGGTTCCGGCTTGTTTTGCGTGTACATGCAGGGCGACGTTGTGTCGTAATCATACCATATCATACCGTTCATCTGTATTGTGTTTCGTCTTGATTTCTGTGACGCCAAGTCGGTGGATGCGGTGCGCTGACGGATATCCCAAAGCTCGCTGAGGGACGCTGCGTCTCATCTGAGGATATCTGGCCCAACTCCATTCTGCGCCAAACGCCCGGAACGTATCACCTCATCTCTCATCTGTTATCGAGCAAGATTACTTCGGATTGTATGTACAAATGATTATGCCCTAACCACGCTGTCCGGAATATACATATTACGCCGTGCCAAGCAAGCTACCCTATCCTATGTGCGAGGGGAAGTGGGAGCAGAGTTACCTACGCTGCTAAAACTACATAAGATAACATCCTTACCCACGATGCGTACAAGACTCCTATCCCTGCCTATACGTCAAACAAGTCTGCGAGGACCTCGCCGCCGCCGCCGCGACGTGGACAAACGACCCACTGACCCCGTCATGGATGTAAAACCCGCCGCCGCAGCCGAGTAAGCGGCGCATGCGTCGCCACATGGTCGTTCTCCACGGTTTTGCCGTGTGTTGTTGGGCTTGGGAACGGCGTGATGATGAGTCCGGTTTGATGTCGGATGGCGCAGGGTGTTGGGAGTGGGGTGGCGGTTTGGGTTTGGGTTGGCGGCTCCAGCGGCGTTTCTGTTTGGGGGTGGGTGGTTGTGGTACTGAGGAGGGAGATTCGTACAGGTGCTCGAATTGGGAGAGGTTGCCGTGGCGGAGGAAGGTGGCGGATATGCGGCCGGCGGTGTGGGTTTGTGGGTTTGTATGCAAGTTTGCGTGTGCGTGCATGCCTGGCGACAAATGAGACGAATGGGCCTGCAGTTCTGCTTGGGCCTGCAATAGTGCCTGCTGACGTCGACACGACTCTAAGGCTTCCGCGTCCGTGACCTCCACTCGCAACCCTGACGCGCCCCACGACACGGGCATCCCGGCCGCACGCAGCTCCAGCCGTCGCTTATTGCGTCGTTTGGCGGTCATGCTTTGCGATGCGGGGCCGGGTGTCGAGCGCATTAGCTTGGCGATGCTGATGCGGAAGGGTATTGGGGGGGTGTTGTGCGGCGGGGACGGAGGGAGGGAGGATGTGCTGGTGGTGTGGTAAGGGTATGAGTAGGGTGATGATTGCTGCTGCTCTTGGGCGTAGGGTGTGTGCGAGGGGTATGAGTGCCGATAGGAGGCGGTGTCGGACTGTGTGGAAGAGTGTTGGTATTGGTACTGCGGTGGCGCTGGCGTGTCGGGTGTCATCGCCAACGTCGCGGTGCTTGCAGCGGGATTTGGCGCATCCACAGGCCGCGTGAAATGCAGCGAGACGATTTCCGGATGCACGCGACGGATGTAATGGATCAGGTTGATGAGCACGATGCGCGACGCTGACGAGCGCAATGTTGAGAGTTTGCGGAATGCCATGATGTAGTACCGTTGCTCCAAATCGGGCGCGAGACGGGGAGGGAGTGAACCCTTTGTGAGACGTGTGGATTGTTGTTCCTGGGTTAGCATTGCGGTTGATGCGGTGAGGGATGTCGGTGTGGGCGGAAATACAGACGAGGGGGTGGGGATGGGTGTATCTGGCGTTCGTTCATCGGGCGTCTTCTGCTCGGCAGGGGTAGGAAGGTTAAACGTGTTGAGTTGTGTGTCAATGCGCAAGTTGTTGCGCGGGGATTTGCGAGTGAGGGGCTGCTTCCGTCGTAATGCCTCGAAAACGGGGTTTTGGTCGGACTTATTGACAGGCTCGGCAGAGGGTGCTGCCGCGGCAGAGCGCTGGGGTATCCGGGACGTCGTCGTCGCCCTCCGTTTTGGTGAGCTTCGTGACTCGACCTGCTGTTGGTGTTGCCGCTGAGCACCGTATACCAACCCTCTCATGGAGCCCTTCCTGAAGAGGTAGGGAGTGACTGGGTTGATGGTCCGACTTCTCTGAAGGGTTACAGCAGCACTTGGTCGCTCCTTGTCCAACTCGCCCTCCTTAGCCCACAAATCACCCACGTCCGCATGATCATGCTCCACCTCCAAGTCCTTCTGTGTCTTGCTCTTCCTCCCTACACCACTCCGCTTTCGCAGAAGGAAGACCTCACTCCCATTTTCATCCCCATACAACTCCTTCCCGATTTTGCCACCAAGACTCCTACTCCGCCGCTTGGCAATCGTCCGTGGCAGCTTATGTTGTGTGCTCCGCCGTTGTTGCGGGCCAGGAAAGCTGTAATAGAAGCTGCTTTTGACGTCGTAGAGGGAATGCTTGCGTGCTGACCGTAGCGAGGGTGGTGAAGGTGACGAGTCCTGCGTGCCGGAATCGATAGGGGTTGGTGGGTGGTCAGTCGGTGGTGAACCAGTGTTTTCCAGGAACGCAGCAAAGGAGGGTATGGGTTTGCGACTGTGTGCGGTGTAGCCGGCGGCAAATGGGTGGATGAGGAACCGACGCTGACTCCGGTTTTTATGCTGAAGCATGCGGAGCGACGTTGCTTGTGACATGGTGGCTGTCGGAGTTGCAGCCGGGGGTATCGGGATTTGCTGGTGAGGTATGCTACCTTCCCCTTGCTGGAAGAGTTGATTTGGCAGACGATTGGCAGACGGTGATGAAGAAACGTCTATTCCTCGTCGCCCAATTTCACACCTCAAAGGTGTCACTCGCAGAAAAAAAGGTGTGCACTATGAATAAGTGACTTCTGACAGCTCAGCCCAACCCTCCACGATACCAACTGCCAGTGCCTGCCCGACTCGAGAGTGCTTCTGGAGGTGAGAGCAGTAGCACTTTGTGGGGCTGCTTTTCTGCGTTGGCGATGGCGGAGGATGTCGAACACCCTCAGTCGTTGTTCGTCCTTTTCTGAGCGTGTTTTTCGGCCCGAATTCCTTCGTGCGCGGCGAACTATTAAATACCCGCCCCTTTTCAAAGACTTTCAAACACTTCCCGCGATCTGTACAGTACAGTACAACACCCACTGGGGTGTACAGTACTTGTGTGCAGCCGATGCGCAAGTGGCTGAGACGGCGGGAAGTCTCCACAGTGCCCCACGCTATGTTGTTTAGGCAGGCAGGCTAAAGCAAAGCTGGGGTGAGGTGTGACTGGCCCTGTGCGCTGCTGGTGGCGGAAGCGAGATCCTTGACCTTGACAGCTCTGCTGGAGGCGCACCCTGTGGAATGGTGGCCAAGATATAATGAATTCGCGTCGCCAGGACCCTGCGTTGGAAACGTTCAACAACAAGAGAGCTCAGAGCGAAGCCAAGATGGGCGCAGCTGGAGGCGAGGTATCCGTCGTTAGTAGAACGACACCGTAGGGTGAAACCGATGGAAGGGGAGGTTGGGGATGAATGTTGAGGAGAACTTGGCAGTGTAGTGTGTCTCTGTGCAGATCTACGTTCAGCGACTACTACTACGATAGTACTGTACACCAACGCCTTGCACTACGAGAACAACAGACGTTGGGCAGGATCGATTTGGCAGCTTGTAGTGGATGGGAGGGTTCTTCAGACGGCAGGATGCCCTACAGGTAAATTGTGGGCACCTAGTTCATAGTAACATCTGCATACTTTGGTAGCAGTAAGCGGCCCACTAAATAGCGCGTTATGCTTCATCGATCGATGGCAACTTTTTCGCTTGCACGCTGACAAGCCGGTTATGTTTTTTTTCGTCGGTTCATCTCATAGAATGAGAGCATAGAATCGTGGCTGCTATCCTGAATCCAGCTACGGGTAAATGTCTCCCGTTTCATTGAGGCCATCGCCGATCTCGAGTCCCGTCAGGCCTTTCGGCCCACTGCGGCTCCTACTCCGCGCTGCAGATCTTTCGCCCATCCACGAAGTCGAAGAGATCCATTTCGCCGACTGGGCAGACCGACTTCCGCGCCGTCACCGTGACGTGTTTTTCTCACAAATTGCCAACTTCCAAAGGTAAGTAATTTCAAATTTCGATATCACCGCCGCGGCGGGATCAAATAGCTCCGCCGATCTTTCATATATTTCTCCAATGTGTCCCACCTGTACAGTACCACTTGATCCCGACCTTGAAATTGTGTAAAAAGAATAAGTGGTACAAATGAAGTCATCGCTTGTAGCCTTTTGCTTCGGGTTGCTTGAAAGTTTTAGCGTAGTTTGACCCGGAGCCGTTAATTTGCGTCATTGTTCACTCTCGCCGTAACCAGGTGGACTGTGGAGTCTGGACTACTACTGTTGTGGATAATGGGCAGCCCCGGGACTCGGCAGCTATGGGACGTTGGGATACACAGATAGAGATCAGTTGGGTCTTTTGCACCGACTCCACCGAGAACCTGGGCAGAGAAAGTGAGGGGCCGTATATTTTAACTGTCACATGACCTTCCAATGTCCGAATCGCGTCCGAATGCGTCCGAATGGAGATCAATTGACACGCGTCGGTTTCGCGTTCCGCTTTTCGTCAGAGTACTGTACGTACTGTACCTTTCATATAGCATGCGAAGTTGCGAACAAGGGTTGTTGCGCACAATGGTGGAAAAAGGGGAAAATAAATAGAAGGAAGGCGATCGACTCGAGTTCAATATAGAGCTAAGGAAGGCGACGCCGGGCGGGACAGCAAATCATCGGTGTGTGGTGGTTGTGGGGCAACCACCTCAATTCCACTGGTGTCCGGTAACCCCCCGTCTTTGACCTTGATACGCCAATGAGCGACTCCTCAAACGCATTGGAACGGTGAACTCTCGCAATGGTTTGTGGGGTGCTGACTAGGTTCTTGAACGTAACTTCCACTAGGCGTCATACTTTTTCCATGTCGTTTTCTGCGCTTCGTTCGCCGGGTCTTCTCAACGTCCCGATAGAGACGGCTGCCGGCGGGGGCATTCACGAAGAAGAGAGCTTTGAACACCACGTCGACTTCGAACTACTAAACACGAAACCGCATGACTGCTGGCACGATGGACTTTCTGAGGATTCGCGTACAGCTGAGTTTCGACGCCCACATGCCAAACATTTGGAAGATAAAGCCATACCCTTGTACGTACGACGGATGTTCTGAGGAATACCTGGCTTCACACCTTTACGGACGAGTCTGTTATTCACACCCTGCTCCACGCATCACGCACGGGAATCGTCCGCATTTGACTGAATGTATACCACGCGGACGTGTGCCCAGGACCAGGGGCAGGATGCAATATGATTGTCTTTCTACTATCAATACGGCGACCAACTCAGTGCTATGTACAAATTACTACGAACATGACACATCTAATGTTCTGGAATCTACGCCGTCAAGGGGACGTGGAGGCTGAAGCCTCGGTAGATCCCGGCTCATTCGCGGCGGGTGGAGTTAGGAGCGAGCATGGCATTTCGGCGGGGTCGTAGTCGGGCCGTCGACGCGCTTGAAAAAGTCTTGACATCCGATTCCCGGCTCCTCGCAGATCTTGGTCATATCCCGATCGAGCGCGTAGTAATACCCGCCGATCACCGTGGTGTTGTTCTCCCCGACGGTGGTCTTGGCGACGAAAAAGTGCGGCATCCCCATGAGGTTCAGGCCAGAAAGCTGGATGGAATCGGGTGTCGCCCCGGGTAAAGGACCCTTCGCAGGGCCGTCGGGGAACCCCAACGTCGCGTACAGCGGGCTGTCGAGGAACTTGTGGCGCTCGCCGACGGCCGCTGTAAGGTTTCCGTGGGCGTCGTCGGTCACGACCAATTGACCCATAATCGGGGACTCGAACACGCCGGTGTAGACAGAGGCGGGGAGCGGAAGGGCGGGGAGCGGGGCCGGGATGGGGTTAGGGGGCAGGGATAGGCAGTCGTAGCTGGTGGAGTCGGTGAAACCCAGCACGGTGTCGAACGCGACGGCACAGGCGAGGTCGCGGAAACAGCCGTGGGGGCCATCGGCATTGGTTTGCACGGTGACCGCCAGGTTGGCCTCCGGGAGCACGCACAAGTTTGCGGTGTAACCGCTGTTATCGCCGCCGTGCGTGAAGAAGGTGTAGTTGCGCCACTGGGTTTTCCAGAAGCCGAATGTGTCTACAAAAGCGTCAGAGGGGCCAGACGGTAGAGGAGGCACGCCGGCGTTATGTCAGATGTTTTGCTCACACATGCATCGATAATCAAGGGAACAGATTCCTCCCCTCCCGAAACTTACAACTGACATCGGACGATATATTCCGACCACCCAACAATCCTACCGTCGCCAAAAGCTGTTGCAGTCCGTCAGGAACCTCGCCCTGTTTCTCGCGGAACGGCGCAAACACCTCCTTCGTAAGCGCCAACGGATCCGCCTCGCCCCGGAACGTCTTCAACAATGCGTGCGCATACTTCCCAAAATCCCTCGCAGTCGACGAAATAGCCCCCGCGGACTCCGCAGGAAGCACCGAATCCTCTATCGCGTCGGTTCCTGGGTCCAGCCCCGGGCTGCGGTTCGGTTTGGCGAGGAAATCGTCCAGCGTCGCCGTGGAGGCGTTCATCCCCAACGGCCCGAAAATGTCGCGGCGGATCATGGAGGCCCAGTCGCCGCCGTTGCCGTTCGCTTTGGCGGTGAGAAACCCCGCGAGGCCGTACATTATGTTGTTGTATTGGAAGGGCGTGTGGGTGCCGTTGTAGGGGAAGGACGGGGGGACGTGCTTGAGATGCTGGAGCAGTCGCTCGGTCGTGTTCCATGCTAGGATCACGGGGAAATCGCCGGCGACTCCCTAAATGAAAAAACCACCGTATCAGGTGCTCGAAAAACGTGGAGCCGTGCCAACGTGACCCCCGGCGGCCCATGGTTGCTCACCGTGCGATGCGCAAGAACGTCCGCGAGGGTCACTTTCTCGTTCGCCACCGGGTCCCAAAGCCCCAGATACTCCGGGTAGAAATCTCGCACGTAGTCGTTCAGGGGTTTATCGTAGTACAGCTTGCCCTGCGCAACGGCTTTGGCCGCGCCGAGGGCCGTAAACGACTGATCGGGACAAACCAGATGAATTTATTGAGTGGCTCTGCCCCGAAACAAGACAAAAGCCACTTTCGAAAGAAGTGTCCCCAGCACAGTACCTTAGTACACGACCCGATAAGAAACGACGTGTCAACGTCCACCGGCTGGGTCTGTTCCAAATCCTTATGCCCAAACGCGTGCAGCCAGGTCTTGTCACCGTGAACGACGGCGACGGAACCGCCGCGCACTCCCGCATTATGGCGCACGGTTTCGAGGCGAGAGATTAGGAGGTCATGCCACGGTGCATCGTCGTTGTGGTTGACGACCGGGAGAGCGAAGGCCGTTGATGAGAAGGCGGCGAGGGTTATGAGCTTGATGACGTGCATTGTTTCTGGGGGGCTTCGTTGTCGGAGTTTGAAAACCTGGGGTGGAAGAAGGTTCTGTGAACGGGAGACGGCTTTTTATCTGCCGTGATTTGGTTCGGGAGCCGGCCAATTTGCGGACTCGAACATGTTTGAACGGTGCGGCGAGACGCCGAGAGATATTTTGCGTTGCCCATTCCGTGTCATCTCATTTGCCCGCGTTGGTGGTTGATGCGAAGGGAGATGTACTGCACAGTACATACACCAGCCTGTCCTCTCTCCAGTCTATAATATGAATACATTCGAGTTTGCTCCGACAGTCGGAGCCCAACAACCTACACAAATTACGCGGCCGCGCGAACACAAAGCCGCTTCCTTCACTAAAGTTGCAAAAGACACACCGACGATCGAGTTTATCAACGCCCAACAAAGTCATATGGCCGGCGCCTGGCGTTGGAGTTGTGTGGGCTGATAAGGATCTTGCAAATGACAGAAATTCGACAGCGCGTCGCTACGTATGCAGTACAATCGGAAATCTCCACTTACTGCAGTCATACAGGCCGACTTGGAAGATGATCGCCGGGTGCTCGTCTGGCTCATATCGAGGGAAGCTGATGGGTCGCAGGGTCAAGCCTCAAATCGAGTCCCACTAGACCCACTTGACATGTCGGTCGGGATCCCTCCCGGCGTATCTATTTTCACAATAACCGCGCCGTAGGAATAACCGTTTTCGTTGGTGATACAAGGTTGGCACCTTTTTGTGTTCTGAGAAATACGTCTAGCGAATGAAGTCCTGTGTTTAGGTATACGGGGGCGGCAGCGGATAGCATGCATCATTGCTTCTCCGTCCGAACGGCGATTGATGCATTTCGACAATATGGGAAGTGGGGGCTCCGCGTTCCTCCAAGTTTTTGCATCGCAGAATCCAAGCAACCAACACTTCAGGAGTGCGCTGTAGAACATCCAGAGCATGAACGCCTTGCTCATCACCTGTAGTGGGATATGGCACTTCCGAATTTGGGGCCGAACCACTCTCTGATCTCTTGATGGGGTTGGGGTGATGGTTTTCGCTGTAGGTCCTGCGATGTTATGTAAAAAAAATAAGGAAAAACATGGCTTCATGTATTCAGCAATAATACAAGAATCTGCTGTTCAATTTTACATTTAATTATGAATTGGTGGAGACTCTCCTTCCACGGGTCTGCGTCAAAACTATACTTGGGAGGGATGGGCAGCGATGTTCAGGCCTTTTTGGTAAATGGTGCAAAACATTTGAGGTTGATATTTGGAAACATTGCTGACCCACAGGCATCATATATTGAGTGCTCAGAGGTACATTCTTCTGACCATTTTACTGCCCTCACAACGTCTAGTATCTAATTTTCGATCAACGTATGTTCTCCCATAGGCGAAGCATGAGTTTGTCACTTTGAGCAGCTGGATTTGTAATGTCAGAGGAAACTTGGACGGTAATGGGCCCTTCCGAGAGGGCTGAAAATGATGTATTGGAGTGAAGAAACAAGTAAGAATTCCTTTGCAGCGGCCGCTCAACTGACAGCCTTATATATGGGCTGCAATGGGGCTTGCGTGGCTCCAATGAGGCTTGGAGTCTTAGGTATCACCGAGAGCTTGGGTGGCCAGCCCGAGTCTCGGATCATGTAGAAGTAAAGAAGTATAATAACAAAATACAAGTGAAGATGAGATATCCCCGACAGGATTTGCCTAGTAGCACCTATCACCGATTAAGATTGTCAAACGCAACTACCATTCATGAAAAAGGAACCTATGGAACCGCCACTTGCCGTCAAAACAGAACTCAGTATGGCTCCAGACACATCGTCAACGCAATAGGCCGGCGTCGGAGGTTCCACCATCACCCAAAAGAAAGAGTCACTTTTGGCACCATCCATCTGAGGTGGGTGCGCTGGCCTTACGTTGTAGTAGTGCGCTTCAAACTGCGCATGAAATGGATAATATTTCAACGTCAATTACACGCCCAGAATTCCCGACGAACAAATGAACTCACTTTTATATCACAACGTTAAATACCGTCAAAACTTTCAGTAATAAATCGACTTACTCGCGTTTCCGACACTCCGACGATTACCAAATACAACTACCTTTACCAAAACCTTGCTTCACAACGACGTTTTGTCCTCGGATACGACTGACATGCGAAAAATGTAGGCGTAGGAGAGGATCTCACACATGAAAGCACCCCCGACCCGACTCTCAACCAACCAGAAGCTCCCACAACGCCCGAAACGCTGAAGAAATCACCTGCGAAACGAGAAAACCAATTTCCGGTGGCCGTATACGCCGAACGTTGTAGAAAACCCCGAGAAAAGATTAGCGATAAGACTGTATCAGCGCCAAAATTGCGAATGTAAAAAGGAAAAACTATGTAGACCGCCGCAAGAAAAGAGAAAAAGACCCTGACGTAGCTAAATCCTCTAGAGACGACTAGTACAGAGTTTGGACATCGACAAAATCCCGTAGCCTAGAAAAGTCCGTATAAAAACCCGCCTGTTTCCCCAGACCTTTGTACGAGACGCAGGACACAGATCCCGATCAACAACAGAGCTTTCTACTTCTCTACTCCCGACGACTTCTTTCAGTTTCTGATAGACTTTCAAGGCGCGCTCATAGACCCGGAGAGCTTAGACAAGACGACCCCGAGTGTCGCGACTTGTACTTTGCTGATGTCGCCGAGGACTTGATAGTTCAGGAATCTTGTAAGAAGAGCTGAGAGTGAGACTGGATAACCCCGTTGTTTTGTTTTGTAGTCAAACCCGCAGATATTCCGATTCCGTATTTTGTACCCGTGCCCGTAATTCCTGACCCCGTATTAGAAGAAGGACTCCTTTCAAAGCACCTGGATATTAAGATGGCAAGACGACGCTCTCGCTTGAGATCTCTTCTTGTGCTATTGAGAGACCGGCAGCTTATTTTTCCCGACACCCGACCGTAAACCCGTATTCGACAGACCCTCGCTTCTGCCGGCCACCACCACAACGTCAGGCGTCAAAGCGTATAGTCATCAACAATTGTGCGTTAGATAGCGCCTACACACTCCGACCGAGAGGAGGCGGATTCCACAAGTTTTGTAGCATAATCATCGATAATGTTTTCCCGTGATCGCGGGGTCACCTCTGAGGAGCCTTCCTTTTTCCTTTTTGAACCTGGTTCCCTTTTAATCCCAGTAGATTGGTTGCCCGCCCGGCGTCCCGTGGTGTAGTGAAGGCATCCCCTGGCTCCTACCGAACAGCGCTTGCTTCGGCTTTCAGGTTTTTGCTCTTTTTCTTTTTCTTACTCGCACTCAGATAGGCTGCCATGGGATCCTTTGGCTTCTGAATGACCTTCGAGGTGCTAGCGACTTTGCGCAGCCTACGTTCTTCTTCGTCGTCGGAGTCGGCTTCTCCTGCTTTTAGGGTATGAGGAACGCAGAACCCCATCCAACCCATCAGTGGCCACGAGACCGACCTTTCTTCGTGGCTTTCTCCACAGCCAGGTCTCCTCCCTCAGGCACCGGTTGCCCGTCTATCGCCAGTGCGTGAGGTGTACCGATTAGTTTTCTCTTCAACTGAGCATTGCGAGTCGACTGTGCCGGGTCAGCTGCATACAGGGCTTGCGGCCTGTTTGAATGCCAATTCTGGTCAGCTATGTGCTTTGCTCGTAGTGAAAAGCCGCCCTGGCACACCCACCGTTTTGTCTCGCCGTGGTGTTTTTTCTTCTCGTGCGCAGGTTCTTTTGGAAGCCAGCCGGAGACGAGCTTGCGGACCAAGCCTACGGACACCTCCGCTTTTGCCCGTATGTCGTCGAGATCCTCGCTCATCTTTCTGGGAGTTTCCGCGCGAAGGGATGTCCGAAACGGGCTGACGGGAGGACGGGAGGACGAGACGGTTGTTGCGCTTGTGGGGGATTGGCGGTGGCGTTGCCGATTGTGGGGAGGGCGGGGTTGCCGGGGGTGGGTGCTACGAGTGCGGGGAGATGGCGAGGGGGCGGTGGTGGGGGGGTTGCTAAACTGGGCGTAGCCTTGCTACGTAGTGCTGGTCGCGATGTTGTTGGCTTTGTTGGTGCTTGTCGGTGTGTTGACTACCTGGCGCGTTCGGGATCACCTCGAAAAACGGCGACGGAAGCGAGCCGCGGATCCGAGGAGGGTGGAGGAAGGTGGCGATTCTGGGGCTGGGAATGCTGCGGTCGCTTGGGGTGGGACGGTGGACGGCGACATGGAGGGGACGGCGGGACGGCAGCTCTAACACTTCCGCGCGTCGTATCGGCTGTCGGCACAGGTCGCGTCTTCTTGAGGTAATGGCATTGCATACAGTGTGATGTTTGAGATTCAATGGGTGTATATCAGAGATATAGGGAACAGGTGGTCTGGTGTTCCAAATGTATTGTCACAGCCAGCTTACACTGAAACTTATTCTTCCTGTGACGTTACTTACCTTTCTATGCTGCATTGCAAGGTATGGCGACTACGGAAGGTATGCGAAAGCAAGGATGAATTGGTGATGTGGTGAAGAAATGGATCGAGAACATGACCCAACATATACGCCGACTCTCGAGGAAAGAAACCAAGCTTTCGAAATCCCAGCTAATCTATTAGTCCTCACTCGCCGATGTCTCCGTAAGTGTCACCGGGTCCCCGCGAAGGGGCTACCGACCCTAATTTGTGGGCGACAAACTCCAACAGGAAGTGCGTGAGGGCTTCAAATCCGTGCTTCTCCGTTTCGACGCCGTCGAGGGCGTGGCCGTTGTCCGGGAACATCATCGCCCTGTAATAACAATCAATGAATCAACAAAACACAATCCAAAAAGCAACCCCAAGCAACCCCCCCCCCCCCCCCCCCCTCCCCTCCTCAACCACAACCTACCTAACATCAACCCCCCTCCCCTTGAGATAATAATACCAGTTTAACCCCTCGTAGTTGGGAACACGCCGGTCATCGCTTCCCAGCATGACAAGCGAGGGCGTCTTGACGGCGGCCGCGACGGAGAACGGGGATGCTTTCCAAAGGGATGCATAGATCTCGGGGGTCACGAGGGGGGGTTGGGTGAGGTCGTATTCGATTCCCTGAGGAGAAAGGAGGTGGGGTGAGATTGGGTTGGGATGAGGAATGAGCACGGATTTACTTACCGCTTCCGCGAGCGACCAATCGGGGATATCCGACTGCGCGAGGTTAGATCCCATGTTGATGACCGGGTTACGGAGCACCGCGGCCTTATAGTAGTCCGGGTACTTGCCCACCAGCCAAGCGGTGAGGAACCCGCCATGGGATCCACCCCAAAGGGCCACGCGGTCCGGATCCACTTCCCCTGACTTGCGAACCTCCTCCGCAACATACTGCGTGTCCTCCACATCAAGATCGCCGACCCTCCCAATCAAACTCTCAATCCCCCCTTTCCCGAACCCCGTGGATCCACGGTAGTTGACCATCAACAGCGCGAACCCGACGCGGGTGAGGAGGTAATTGTAGAGGTAAAACTCGGTCGCGAAGGAGCCGTGCGGGCCGCCGTGGGGGAAGACGAGGAGCGGGGGTTTGGTGCCTTTTACGAGGGTTTTGGGTTGGGGTGAGATTGGGGTGACGAGGATGGCTTCGAGGATGGAGGAGCGGTCGGGGAAGGTAAGGGTGCGCCATTTGATGGGTGGGGGGGCGGGGGAAGGGGCGTGTATGGAGTGGAAAGCGATGGATGCTGAGTCGGAGGTCAGTTTTAGGACTCCGACGTGCTGGGGTTGTAGTAAACTCATTAGCGAGGCCGGGGTACGCCCTTTTTGGCACTCAGTTTACTCACCACTACTTGCGGCACCCCTGGTTCACTGCGAATCGCAGCCACCCAAGTACCATGAACTCCAATCGCTCTCCAAGACCCAGTTTCGACCTTGGGGCACAGATCCACAACCTTCCCACTGGCCACATTGATTGCAGCAATAGTAACCCGGCTCCTCCATGTGTTCGTAACGACAATCCAGCGGGCGTCGCCGGTTTCCACTATGCCATTGATGGGGATACGGTCAATGAACAGACCAGGGAAATCTGATGGTCCAGGTGTCTCGACGTAAGGTAGAACGCTCTTGATTTCCGCTTTGCCGCCCAAGGAGATGGAAGAGATCTTGCCGCAGGTGAAGTGAGGGCCGCCGATGGGGTTGGAAATAAAGTAGAGCGTTTCCTTTTTGGCATCTAGACGTGGAGACCTTGATGCCTCGTTCGGGTCCGTTAGCAGCTTTAGACCGTTTCCTTCGAGGTCCGATTGGTAGATTCCGCTCCTGTGGTCGAAACGGGGTTGCTAAGAGTCACGACGACCATGCAGGATCCCTTCCATGAACAACTTACACTCGGTTGGGGCAGAATAGAATTCCGTACTGACGAGGGTTGGTCCTGACACCCCAAAAGATCAAACTCTCATCCTTGGGACCAAACTGCACGGCCCCGACAGCGAGATCATCGAATTCCTTGAGGACCCTAATTTCCTCCGACTCCAGATCGCAGATCACAATGGATGGCGCACCCTTTTTGTTGAACTTTTCGCCCCAATCCGGTCGGAAAACGAACTTTTCGGGACCTTTCTCGTCCGGGAGCTTGCGTTCGGCGACGTAGGCGACTTTCTCCTCGTCGCTCGACAATACGATGGAGCCAAACCAGTCTATCAGGGGCAACGACGTTAGGGCCAATTCCACATACATCTTCGAACAGACGGGATGATCAAACGTACCATCCTCGTAGAAAGCCTTGTGAGACTCTGTCACTTCGATGCTCTTGACAATGCGGCCCGAGCTCCAAACCTATATAGCATTGTATGCGCGTTGGACGGGCACTCAATTTTGACAACACCTTGACCCGTCGCACGATACCCACCTCAACGAAGAACCGCTTCCCCTTCTCCTTATCATCCACAGTCTTCAGCTGAACCCACCGCTTCCCATCCCTAAATTGCACCAGCAACCCCGCGCCATCCGACACCTCCGAAGTGAAAGGCTCGGCCAACACCTCCTTCCCTTCCTCCGCGACGGTGATCTCCGAGACAAGCTTCCTACGCGTGTTGCGGTTCAAGTCTCGCACGGTGCCGGAAACGACGACGCGGGCGGTGCCGGGCTTGGTGGAGGGGAAGATGAGGGCGGAGGAGAAGGAGGGGAGGGTGGCTATGGAGCTGTAGAGTTTGGCGACGGCCGAGGGCTCCTTCTTTGGTTTGTCTTCTGAGCCAGAGGTCATCTTGAGACGTGGGCGGTCAACGGTGAAGCGGTAACTACGTCCTACAGAGCTGGTGTATCGCTGCTGGCACAAAAGTCTGTCAGAATTGGAGTCCTTCCGCGATGAGCGTTTTGCGGGGGAGTGTTGGGTAGCGGCAGGATGGACAGGATGGACAGGATGTCACACTCGATGTCACACCTCGCCGACAACCGCCACGTCCGCCGTCACACCGCGGGGCCTTCCACCGCAAACTCCGGTTATCCGGCACAGGCCTTCGAAGATCACAAGGGACGGCCGTGCGTTCGTTCTTCAAGGCTTGCAACATCCTGACCGGCCCAAGAGCATACTCCTGTGATACTCCAAGAGCAACATGGCCAAACCACGCACCGCCGCCGTCGCCCAGTCGAAAGCAAACCGTAAGCGTATGCGACGGCTACTATAATGTTGTCCTACTCCCGCTGAACCCCAATTTCTTCCAGCGCTGACAACGGCCTACCTCGTCCTCTACAACCTGGTCTCCGCCGGCGGGTGGGCATACGTCTTCTACAAGCTGGTCACGCAGCTCGTCGCCGATAATGGAGACTTCACCCGCGTGTACCGCGCTGCGGGCGAGGAAGTCACCATCGTGCAGACGCTGGCGCTTTTGGAGGTATGGGGCTGAGGCGGGGGGTGTTGGCGATATGTTGGAAGTGGCGTTCCGCTGATGCCCCCCTCTCATTGCTAGATCGTCCATGCAGCTCTTGGTAGGCATCATCAGCAACGCGAGACATGTTTGGGATGGGGCTGACGGAAATGGACAGGTTTGGTGAAAGCCCCCGTTGGCACAACGACGATACAGGTCTTCTCCCGGCTGTTGCTGGTGCACGGTGTACTCAGCCTCGTGAAGCTTCCCGAGGTGTGTGTCGACCATCCGCTCTTCCATTGGACATGTTCGAAACTTTTACACATGTGCTCACACTCGGACGGGCAGATCCGTAACCACTGGGCAGTCTCCAGCATGTTTGGCGCATGGGCCGTTGCCGATTTCGTCCGCTACATATACTACGTGTTCAACCTGGCCGGCAGCGTCCCTGCGATCGTCCAGTGGGCCAGGTACACCAACAACCTACCCCTTCATTAGTCCATCAGCTGACAACTAACTTACGCCGCGCATCATTTTCGACAGATACACGTTCTTCTTCGTCCTCTACCCCGTCGGCGCCGGCTCAGAATGGATCCTGTTGATCAAATCCCTTCCGCACGTCAAGGCCATCGATGAACGGATCTACTATCTTTACATCGCTATTGCGTGTATCTACCCCCCAGGTAGGGAGCCATTGCACCACGAGTCCATGTGGCCAATACTGACACTTGGTGATCATGGCAGGACTTTACACCATGTACACGTATATGATGGCCCAGCGCCGGAAGTACATGCGTGGGACTGCCGCGGGAGAGGCTAAGAAGGTCCGATGATGGGCTACTGGGTGTATGGCTCCTCGGCCGAATGGGATGAGATGCGGCGTGAACATCAAGGCGAGGTTTCGGACTTCAAGCAACAAACGGCGAGACTGGAGACGAACGGTGGCGGAGAAGGCGACAGGCGGAACAGAAGGACCAGCAAGCAAAACTGAATCCTCAAAAGCTTCCAACTTGCATGCTAGATACATAGAGATGCCTAGTGCGAGCTAGAAAAACTGAATTAGCCATCTGCGCTGAGTAGTTGGGGGATGATATTCCTAATACATTGTGTGGCATAAATTTGTTTGCGGCATGGGAGAAGGTGTTGAGGGCGGCACCTGCGAGGACCTCCATATGGGGGACACATACGAAGGAGGTGGAGGCTTATCCATGTATCAGCTATGAAAGCGCGATGGGAGGATCTTGTTTGTGCCGAGCTCAGTAAGCACAACCTTCTCGTCATCCATTGAATTCATGAACTACGTTCCTCGTCCAGAGCATAATCCGAGCAACCAACACTTCAGGAGTGCGCTGTAGAACATCCAGACCATGAACGCCTCGCTCATCACCTGTAGTGGGATATGCCACTTCCGAATTCGGGGCCGAACCACTCTCTGATCTCTTGATGGCATTGGGGCGATGGTTTTCACTGTAGGTCCTGCGATGTGATGAAAAAAAAAAAACCTGGAAAAACATGGCTTCATGTATTCAGGAATAATACAAGAATCTGCTGTTCAATTGTACGTTTACTTATGAGTCGGTGGAGACTCTCCTTCCACAGGTCCGTGCCAAAACTACACTTGGGAGGGATGGGCAGCGACGTTCAGGCCTTTTTGGTAAATGGTGAGGATTGCAATGAATGAAATTACGGGTATCCCGTCGAGTGTATGTGCGCGAATGAATTGCTGGGTATCCGTCGTACCTACGTATGTACGCCGAGGACATACCTCCAAGCCGCGGCGTGCCCGAAACCTGAGTGACATCCCCCATTCCTACTACATAAACCTACAATACCCCAACCCCCTACGGCTCCTTCTTCTTATTCAACCGATGCACACTTCCCACATCCCTCTTCCCCTCCCTCCTAATCCCCAAATCCCTCAACCTCCCATCCGTCAACCGATACACCCACCCATGAATCTCGACCTTCTGCCCCCTCGCCCACGCATTCTGCACCACGGGCGAATGCGCAACTACATCCACGCTCCGTTCCACGTTCATCTCCACCATCCGATCTAAACGATCTTCTTTGGAGAGATGGCGGAGGGTGGATTCGTTGGCGGAATACATGTCCTTGACGACCTGGATCCAGTGGTCGACCAACCCAAACTGCGTGTGGGATAACGCCGCGGCTACACCCCCACACCCGTAATGCCCGCACACGACGATATGCGTTACCTTCAGCACGTCGACGGCGTACTGGATGACCGAGAGTGCGTTGAGGTCGGAGGAGTGGAGGATGTTGCCGATGTTGCGGTGCACGAAGACGTCGCCAGGGAGGAGTTTGAGCAGTTGGTTGGCGGGCACGCGCGAGTCGGAGCAGCCGATCCAGAGGAGTTCGGGGGATTGTTGTTGGGCGAGGTCGGTGAAGAAGGTTGGGCGCTCGAGGGCTATTGCTTCGGCCCCTGTATAACCCATCAAACCATGAGAAATCATCAAACCATCATCAGCCCATCAACTCATCAACCAAACTACCATCCATCTTCATCAACGACCCATCAACAAACAATACATGTACGATTAGGGTAGTCTTGCGCCTTTGGCGCAATGTGGTGCTCGCTTCGGTCGCGGGCCTCGAGCATCTCTTCGCTTCGCTCAATCCCTCCTCCGCTCCTAACTCTTCCACCCATTCTCATCAATCATTCCCAGCCTCAAACTCAACTCACACTCCTTATTATTCTCGAGCAATTTCTCAATCGACAGAGGCCGTTCAGCGGGATAAGCTTCGGCAGATGGTGGCGGCTTCATACCGCACTCCTTCTCTTCCTTTCGTTGAGCCTGCTGGTGGTTATTTCGCGGCGTCGAGGTGAAGCGGCGGAGTGATGGCATCCATGGTGGTGATTGTGTTGAAGAACGAGGATATGGGCTTGAGGTTGAGAGGGTATTTGAATGCAGTTGGCGGTGGGTGATGGGAAAGATGTGTCGGGCGGCTGGGGTGTGATGCGCCGGTGGTGTGAAAAAGTGGCGGGCTGGGATTGGACGGGGCTTGGCTATCGACAGAGGGAGGGGGGCTATCGTCCTCATTGCAGCGGGTCTGGGCGAGGTAGCGTAAGTAAGGTCAGTATGGGAGTCCGTTTCTCGCCGACGTTCTGTGTTTGTGGTTCTGGGACGTTTTGCTGTGGGAAGAGTGGAAGTGCGCGAGAGAGCGAGAGCGGGTGCAATCTCCCATCTCGTATTACGTATTACCGTCACACGGGCACGCGTCATCAGGCCCCCTCTCGTAAGCAACTGCCCGTCTCTCACAGTCAAGCTCTGAAACAGGATACGCAGGTTTTCAGGCGTAATTTCCAGATACTGAGGGATTGGTTACGGGCGGAGTTGTTCGCCGGCGCTGTCGTAGCGTATCGCCTTGCTTGTGTTGACTCCGCCTTCAAGGCAGAACAGCTTTCCCAACGCCAGAATATCTAAGCCGCCAGCAGCTTGCGGGATCCTAGCGTTGGGCTAACCTCAGGCGTCCCTTCAGGCAAGCCGTTCTGCCGTTCTATGGGTGAGGGGGTGCCTGAGGCCGTTTCTTTTAGCGCCGCATCAGCGATCGTATGGGAGAATTTTTTCGAACATGTTGGACGCCTGATTCTTTTTGAGAAATGGTCGGCGGGTCGTTTGGTCGTTTTATGAACTTCACCGGTCTCTCCGAGTCCCAATCGTCCCCCGGCAGAAAAGAAAATCACTGCCAGTTGCGGACAATCGCCCGATATACAGTACGTGATTTCCTGGCGAGTTTGACAGAACCTCCTCTTCCTTGTTCAACATATCGCCCGCTTCCAGTCTCGTGTGGAGGTTCGAATGGTTGGTTGGTCGTCCGATTGCCAACTCCACACCCCTGGGGTTCCGGCAGGGTTCCGGCAGGGTTCCGGGTTCCGGAAGACTCGCAGGTGAAACTGGGTGGGGAAGCGAGAAAGTCATTGGCTCCCGACACCCGCGTTTTGTATGATGCCGAGGCCGCTCACTTTGCGCGTCCAACTGAGCATGGACGGAAGGGCGAAGGAAGCAGGGGAAACGACGACCAAGTCGAAATCCATCCACCGAGCAGACAACACGTTCTCAACATCCATCCATCCATCCATCCGTCCATCTATCCATCCATCCGTCGCTCTCCACCAACGTCGCAAGGTGGGTAAGATTGTGCCCGCAGCATCCCCGTATTCCATCCACCCACTCCGTCCATCCACTTTGCGGGAGCATCTCGGTCCATGTCCAAATCGCGCAACGAGATCCGAAATTGGGGGAAGGGAGAGGGGGAGGACCCATTGTGAGAAAACAAAGGAGGAGGATGGACGGCGAAGCATACATAGTTAGATAGAGTTTTGAAGACTGCGACAGCTGCCGGGACGACCATGGGCCGATCTGTTTCTCACGCGCTGGACATGGGCCACAAGCTACGAGATCTGGCGATCTGACCATTCAACCGGACTTCGCGCACCGAATCGACGTACGCTGTTCTCAGACAGCTCAAACCCCCTTTTTGCGGCCTTGGACGGAGTGAGACCGTTTTTCGTCATTTCTTTCCGTGTGCGAGGGATCTTCTTTTGAGCGAGCGACACCTTGGACGGGAAAAGCGCACACAATTCCGTTACTCACCAACGCCCACCTCCGTGCGCCCCCTTCTGTAGCTCCTTCCACAGCAAAACTCTATCGACATGGCCGAACCACAGGATGATCTGATCGACTACGACAGTGACGAGGGTGAGACTACCACCGCGGCACCCGCTGCCAACGGAAAAGACTCTTTGGCTCCTGCGACATCCGACGAGAAGGAGACAAAGAAGGGTTCCTACGTGGGTATCCACGCAACCGGTTTCCGTGATTTCCTCCTCAAGCCAGAACTGTTGCGTGCGATCGTTGATTGCGGTTTCGAACATCCCTCTGAAGGTACGGGTCCTTATTCCCGCATACCTTCTCGACCCGAATAGCTAACTGAAGCATTTCCTACCCGGTAGTTCAACAAGAATGTATCCCACAAGCGATTCTCGGCATGGACGTTCTCTGCCAGGCCAAATCCGGAATGGGTAAAACCGCAGTTTTCGTCCTTGCTTCTTTGCAGCAACTGGAGGCCAACGCCAGTGGAGAGCCATCGGTCATCATTCTGTGTCACACCCGTGAGCTCGCATATCAAATCAAAAACGAGTTTACTCGATTCTCAAAGTACATGCCCGAAATCAAGACGGCGGTGTTTTACGGTGGAAGCACAGTGAAGAGCAATGCCGAGACGCTGAAGACAGAGAAGCCCCAGATCATTGTCGGCACACCCGGACGTGTTCTCGGTCTCATCCGTGATAAGATTTTGAACCTTAAGAACATCAAGCACTTCATCCTCGACGAGTGTGACAAGATGCTGGAGGCACTAGGTGAGTTGGAGCGACGTGTATGGTGTGGGAGGCTGGAATGGGTTGGGGAAGAGTGTGGGAACGACGGCAGGGAAAAAATGATGAAATACTTTGCTATTTAACCCAGCTCTTCGATTGAGCGAGTCTTGTGCTCGCTTGGCGTGAGAAGTTAAATGATCTGAAACTCTCATGCCGTCGTCCTGCCTTTGCGGGGTACTGTCGATCATATGTAGTGATCATGTTACTCACGTAATTTTTTCGATCACCAGACATGCGTAGGGATGTGCAAGAAATCTTTAGGTCGACGCCTCACCACAAACAAGTCATGATGTACAGTGCAACGTTGAGCAAAGAGATGCGACCCGTCTGCAAGAAGTTCATGCAAAATGTAAGCTCAAGTCCCGTATAACCTTCCTACTTTCTTGGAATCTAACCATCGTTTACCTCATGCTCAGCCCCTCGAAATCTACGTCGATGACGAAACCAAGCTCACTCTGCACGGTCTTCAGCAATATTACGTTAAGCTCACGGAGAACGAGAAGAACAGGAAGTTGAACGAGCTACTCGACTCCCTGGAGTTCAACCAAGTGTGTATCTTTGTGAAGTCTGTGTCGCGTGCAACGGAGCTGAACAAGCTGTTGAACGAGTGCAACTTCCCGGCCATCACTATTCACTCGCAAATGCCTCAAGACGAGCGGTAAGAATATCACTGCTCGGCATAGGAATGTATCTGTTTGCAGTTTGCAGAGGCTTATCAAACTCTCTTTGCAGTATCGCGAGGTACAAGAGCTTCAAGGAGTTCAACAAGCGTATCATGGTCGCTACCGACATCTTTGGACGAGGTATCGATATTGAGCGGGTGAATATCGTCATCAACTACGATATGCCAGACAACCCCGACTCCTACCTGCACAGGGTAAGCTTTTTCGCACCGTCCCTAGTCTTTCTGAATTGCTGGGCTGATTATGTTAACTTCGCATAGGTCGGACGTGCCGGACGTTTCGGAACCAAAGGTTTGGCAGTCACGTTCTCGTCCTCGGAAGAAGACGCAAAGACGTTGAACGACGTCCAAGGACGGTTCGAAGTGAACATCAGCGAGTTGCCCGACCATATCGACGTGTCTACCTACAGTAAGTTTTACAAAGATTCCCGTTATGCGGAACTGTTCCGTGATGTTAATCACGAATCCTTCCCCACCAATAGTGGCTTCCTAAATAAGGCCCTCAATCGAATAAGCGAAAGTCTCGCCTCTACGTTAGAGTAACAGCAGAGGAAAGGACGAGGAAGGCAAACGTCTCGCAATGCGTTGCTTCCTTCCCTTCCGCCCCGAGAAAACAAGAGCTCCTCGCTAGTGATCGGGAAAACAAACCTTACGGTCCCCAGCGGCTCTTCTCTTTTGAAATTATAATATTGTACATGCTCCCTACTTCCCCTGGCGTTCGAAATAGAATGTCGTGCCCGTCTTCTCGCCCGCGCCGCTCGTGTCGATCGCAAGACGACACCAGCAACAAGTACGTTCCCGCGTGGAACGGATGTGCCATCTTGAAACCATGATGAACACCCCTTTCCACACTCCGAAAGAACTGTCGTCCCAGACGTGCAACCGACCCATCCTTTCATCAGATATTCACATAAATACACACCCCAAATACCCGCCCCTATCCACCCAAACGTCACCCACCACCTACGCAAGCCACCTCCTTCCCTCCTCCCTAATCAACCCATTACAAGCCCCACCCAACCCAAACGCCGGGATCTTCCTCGCCATCCTGAATACCGTTGTCGACAGGTAGTTTGCGCGCACCGCTTGCCACCGTTGGTGTGGTGTGGTGCTTGGTAGCGGGCGGTTGTAGAGATCTAAGCCTGTGGGGTGGGAGTATGATCAATTCAGCCCCATTTCCGTTTACGCTGCACGGGGATAAAGAGAGAAGATACGAACCCAACAAATGCGCCGGCGTGCTAACAACCTGCATTGCCACCGGCGCCATAAACTGCGCCATCACCGCCGCTTCCCTTTCCGTGCACCGCAGATGTGTGATGAGGTGCGGCACGATGATCGGGGGAAGGATAAAGGAGGAGAAGACGGTGACCGTGTCACGCAGGCCGAACAGGGTGAAAGAGGCCAGTGAGACGGGGTGGGAGGGGAGGGGCCCACAGGTTGTTGCTAGGTGGCGGTCTTTGAGGAGATTCTGCACGAAATGCGCCCGGGTCAGATATATGAAAGCGTCGAACGCACCCCCCAGTTCCCGCGTGTTTCTCTCACCAACGCAACATTCACCCCACTCGCCGCCACAAACTTCGGCATCGCGGGGTCATACAACCCCGCATGCCCCACAACCTCCACCCCATTCGCCACCGCATACGTCCCAACATACAACCCCACCACCCACCCAAACCCCCTGTCCCTCACAAACTGCCCCGGCCGCCTCACCAACCCGACCAGCCCGGCCCACATGGCCTGTGACAGCGTGGTGTTGCTGTGAGGGACGGAGTTGATGACGATTGCGCGGTCGATTATGAGGACGAGGGGGGAGACTAGGAGGGCGGAGGTGACGGCGGCGAAGAGGTCAAGTGGGAGGAGGGCGGAGAGGGGGTGTTTTGTGTGGGCGGGGGTTTTGTGGTGGATTGTGTGATCCTACAAGTTTTTGATGTGGTAGTGAACAGGAGCTGGTTGTGATCTTTGATGTAATTGCCGGGTTTTATTTTCAACTCACCAGTTGGGGATTCGGCAGAATGGTCGGCAGCACCAGCACGTCGTCGTCATCGCCGGGCTGACGCCGCCTCCAGACCGACGGACCGGGGAAGAAGATGCCCATGCCCCTGACCGGGATATCATATGCACTCGTCGGTCCACTAAACGCGGCCACTGGATTTGACGGTCGTGGAGAGTCAGAATAGAGGAGAAACTCATAAAGTACGGTCGTTTTGACTTTACACTTGGGGGCAGGAGCCACATCGGGCAATCGACTGTGGCTGTCGCTTTTCGAAAATCCACTGTCAAAGGCTTATGTCAGCTTCCGCGCGTCCCGGCTCACTGGCGGTTGCAAGAGTGGCATCCAAGGCTTTTTCCTGAGATTCGGTCTACTGCCGATCGTTTGCAGGAGATTGAGAGGGGTCCTTCTTCAGATGAGTTTGGTTTTCGGAACACATCGATGGCGGATTGTCAAGCCTAGCTTTTGAGGCTCGCAGCTGAGAATGGTCGAATCAGACTTTTTACTCTATTTCGCAGGGATGTGAGAATAGCAACCTGCCCGGAAAACGGGAAAGGCACAACGACGGAGCCTTTGGGTGGGCAATAATTGGCCATTCTCAGTGTCAGCCCAATGTTATTTCAACTTTGAACGCCTCACATTGTATGTACAGTATAATACGGATAGAGGCTCACTCCATCCCTTTGCCGTCCCTCCGACGCGTTGGGCCGCAACTTGCACCCCATCGGTAATTACATACAGTACATAAACCACCGACAAGAACCATCCTGGCTCCATCGCCACCCCACACCCACCCGCTTCACCAACCTCTCCTGCTTAACCCACTCCCCGCAACACACTCCAAGGTAAACACCGTATCTGCCTCTCCATTCCCATCCTCCGCTCACCCACCTCCCAGCACTCCAGCCATGCTCGCAATCTCAACACGCACCCTCTTCCTCAACGCCGGCCTCGCAAACTTTGCCATCGTTCCCGTCTCGCTGTTCTTCACAAACGAGGCCATAACGAGGGAAGACCCGTTTTTTGACGCAAAGGGGTGTGCTCTGATTGTGCTTTGGGGGGTGGTTTATATTGCTACTAGCGGGGTTGCTGAGGTAGGGACTTTGAGGATGGTGGGGAGTGGGAGGTACAGCGGCGACGGAAAATGGGGAGCAGGGTCGCTTCAGGTGGGCGAGCGACAGCGAGAGTACCGCGCTGAGGGAAGCGAGGAGCAGAGTTGCTTAACGTTGGTTCGCTACTGGGAGGGCGAGCGCGATCAGAAGCAAACGTCTTCGCGGGCGAAATGAAGCGGCGAGCGGAGCGAGCTTGCATCCCATCCCTCCTTCTGTCGCGCGTTTTTTTTTACATCCATCCATCGCTCGATCATTCATCGTTCTCTCTCTATTCGCAACAGACATCCCCCCTCCTCTGCCTCGCCTTCACCCTCGAAAAAGCCATCTACGTCATCCACTACCTGCGGACCGCATCCGTGCATCGGCGGAGAGCGCTTGCCGGCAAGGCGACGTTGCGGAGGACGCTTGCTGCGTTGTTTTTTGCGACGTATGGGGTTGCGGATGCACTTTTTGGGGTGGGGTTTGCTGTTACTGGGTGGAGGGCGCTGATGAGGGGTGCTTCAGTCTAGAGGATAGATGGTTGCGAGAGGCGATAAAACAGGCCGACGAGCGGCCGTAGATTTCGTCCGCTTGGAAATTCTCTGTCCACACATTTGTACATAGGCATTTCGTCCATCATCTAGCGTATCCTCCTCTACTCTCCTCTACTCCCATCTACTCTACAGTCCCATCAAACTCTACACTATCCTTGATTCCTTCCGCGGCCCTCCCAAATACTAAAAGAAAGTTATTCGCTGGCATATCCCTCACCTCCACCAACCGCAACCCACCCTTCCCAAACTCCCTCTCAACATCCCCAATATCCCGTAACCCCCACTCCGCATTCCGCTCTCGTAGGGTCCTATTAAAATCCTCATTGCTCTCCGTCGTGAACTTCCCTTCCTTCTTAAACGGTCCATACACAACCACCACTCCCTCCTCTCTCACGACCCTGTGCAAATTCTGCGCGACCGCCAGCGTGACCTCCCACGGCGCAATATGCAGTACATTCCCCATATACACCACATCATACCCCCCTTCCTCGCCCACTAACGTCAAGAGGTTGTCCCAATTGGGTTGTGATAACACGTTGAGCGTGATGGGCGGTGAGATGTTGGGATGGGGTGCGATGTAGGCCGTGATGGAGGCGTGTAAAGCGGGGTCGGCGAGTTCGGAGGGCTGGAAATGAGTGTGTGGGAAGGAGGCGGCGAAATGGGTGATGTGTTGACCGGAGCCGGAGGATAGCTCGAGGACTGTCGGGAGAGTTTGTCAGTTGGTGCGTCATCTTTGGGGGTGCTGAAAACGGAATTTACGGACCACGCGATGCCTTTTGCAAATAGGGTGTGAGGGCTTGTAGGATAGGCTCCTTGTTGCGTTCGGCGTAGGTGTAGACTATGCGAGGGTCTGTGGGGACGGGGATGTGGGTGTTGGGGTACATGTTGTGTGGATGGAGGGTATCGTGAGTTGTCGATGGTGGTGGGGAGGTCATTCTGTTTCGGACGGCGTTGAGAGTATGAACTCTGAAGGGAATGGTGCTCGGAAGAGTAAGACTGGAGGGAGCAGGGATCTGGAGGACGTTGAGGGCGGCGGGGACTCCGTCTGAGATCGGTAATGGGTCTCTTATCCAAGATGCGCCGAGTCTCCCGGGTGTGGGTCGCGTCAAGACTCGAGGGCTACGCGTAGCGACTCAGACTGTAAAAGGCAGACTGGCTTGCAAACTGCATCACATGTCCCATTTCTGTGGACCATGGGACGAAGAATTGCCCGACTACCTTCAGTGGAAAAATCCATCTATCAACAACATCCTCGAGGCATGTGCAATCAACCACTCAGCCAACGCAGAAGAATCTGGGATCAGGACGCTAATGCTCAATTCTTGCCAAATGTTCAACCCCCGCCAAATGCCCAGGAGCAACAGGAAAGGGTGTGCCCTGAGCCTGATGAGTGCAGAAGGCTGGAGGGTGGAGGGGACGATGATAGTGATTTCGGAGGTGCCGAGGGGTGGGCCGAAGATGGGGGACTGGGTGGACGTGGAGGCTACGGGGAGGGCTGTTGTGATGTAAATGTACAGGAGGAGCGTGAGATAGTTGTATGAGCTCATTTGAGGTGTTGTCCTTGGTGTGAGAGAGACTGCTGTTGTCGGGAGGACGGCTGCTTTCTGTGTTGAACAAAGATTGGGGGTTGGTTGCCGAAGTGTCCAAGAAGTGTTTTGCCTGTGGGAGAGGCCGGCTTGTCTGTTTGACGCGTAAGTTACGCGTAGCGTGCCAGCAAACCCGACTGGCCCGCCTTCAGGAGATGGACACCAAAGAAAGTCCTCGAAGCACGGAGGCGGACATGACTTTCTGACATCGTGGTTTAACCCTGAGCTTGTGGGGAATCGTGCATCTGACCGCATGGGACCGAAAGTCCAAAGGAATGCGGAAAGGCAAGAAACCCGACACAAACACGCCACAGCGCAGCGTCACCATCGACTACTCGAGGACAGAATCCATATTGAAGTACCCAACCGATACTCCGTGGAAACCCTCACCATCGAGATGTTACCTCCTGGAGTTGCCGGGGTGAGCTCCCCTGAGGAGGCTAATAATTTCGAGAGCGGTGGGAACGCCCTGAAGGACGACAACGATGATGGTTGCGATTCCGTCGAGGATGGTGGATGCGGGGTTGGGGGGGGGGGGGGGCCGGGGGGCGGGGGGCAAGAGGAGGGTTCTATGGAACGCTTGGAAGCCATGGAGGATGATGATGGTGATTGGGGATGCGGAGAGGGCGAGGGATGTGGGCCGAGCGTGGATGGGCTGGAGAAATGGACAACTCCAGGTAATGGACGGAAAGCGGTGGAGGACAACGACGATAACTGAGCATGCGGCGATAGTCGCGGATAGGCCGATGGAGTGGGAGGAGTTCATAGAACACACGGAGTTCAAAGAAGATCGCGATGCTCAACGTAAGGCAATGACACGAAACGGACGTCTGCAAGCATCGCTCCATCACGGGCGGGTCAACATGTTCATAATGCGGGATGAACATATCAAATTATTGGATCGATGAAGGGCGATCCACCCGAGGTGTCTGTGAGGAATTGAAGAACGAAAACGTGGCGCTACGCCGGAAACTTCGATGCTGTGGAACGCAATGAGACAGGCCACGATGAGCGCAATGGCGAAACGCGAAGTGCGGGTCTCGGAATTCCGTTGGCGAAGCAGACGGCACTTGCTGAGGAGTGTCTTCGACACGTTTATGAGCTTCAATGCAGATTTGATATATTGGACGTTGTTTATGGAGAAACGAGAGGGATGCCGGCGCACGAGACGAAAGCACGGAAAGGCATCAAAGCTAACGTGGCGGATAAGACGGCTTACGAATTTTGACGCCAAAATGTAGAAGCACGGATCACTGATGAGGGGTTTCACTGGTGAGAAACAAGAGCGAGAAATGATCATTGTTTGATCTGACGGGATGCTGCAGGAGGGAACGGGAGGCGTGTCACTCCTGTTATGTGCAAGGCGTAGGTGGAACGGGAATAGTGGGCTGCGAACGAACCGACAACGAGGGGAAAGGGTATCTATTATGCGATGTCAGATGCATGCCGAGGTTTAGATTCATAGTGATGTCGTTGTTGATGTATGTAGCCGCGGACGGCGGCTCGGGAGTTGCTGAAGCTACATTTGATTTGGGCAGTTCCGTCTATACGCTTATATATATACGAGGTGGTGCAGAAGAGGCTGTGCCATCTATGTATCTAACAATCGAAAGATGTCTACCAAAATCTATACTTGCAAACGCTACACAGTTGCCGTTGCCGTATGGGGTTATCAGGGTAAGCCGACAAATGTCTTCTGAGAGGCAGAGCCGCCGCCTGCCTGGCTCGCCAACAATTTCTTTGCTCTTTTTCTCCTCTTGATCCACCGATCGCACCAGGCCGCACCGCAACAAATCAAGATCAAGCCCACAAGTGGAATGACCGTAAACAAAACAACGACTCCTGTCCAATCGTGATCCGCCTCACTAACCCCATCATCTCCAGAAACTGCCTCACCGCCCCCTACCGCCACTGCGACCACCACGCATTTATGGTGAACCTCGTTAACCCCAGCATCGTAAACCTCCATGCAATGAAACTCATGCTTAAAATCGCAAGTGCTGCAATGTGCCATTGCACACTCGGTACCGTTGGGAGGCGTACATGGTATCTTTCCGTCTGCGGGGTAGGGAGAGGCCGTGGGTACCGCGGATGCCCGTGATGTCCCTGCTGTGAATACGTGATTACTAAAGGTTGGGGTAGCTGTCGCAAACAGGGACGAATTTGAGTTTTGCGTCGGGAGGAGTGGAGGTAGGCTGCTGGCCGTGGTGGATTGAGAGAGTGCTTCGCCGGCGGCGAGAAGGATACACAGTGTGGCAAGCAACGGGGTGAGGACAACCAGACGCGTTGGGCCCCGGCTCGTTCTCCGCCAAGGGCGGCGAACGCGGAACATGGCGAGGGAGGGAGGTTGCGCTCTGTTACGGACGGGACCGGGGGTTGAGAAGCAGATATTTCAGGACCCCAGAATCTCGACGCCGGCGCGACTTTGAGCGGGTGCCGCTGCTGGAAAGTTGGTGCGGTCAAGTCGCACTAATCTAACGCGTTATGTAAGCACGCGCGTCATCCCCAAACGCGTTCGACGTGGAGTCGCAGCTCGGCGTTGGTGTTAGGAACCCATATTATCGGGGTCGTGTTTCCAGCGTGTCCAGCTCTGACGCTTTTATGCTGTCCCGGACTATTTTTGGGGGCTTTCAACGTGCGCTTCAGAGGTATGTTTTCCTCGTTTGGCCTAGTGTCGGCGTTATAATGCCCATAATCCGATCCGACAAGGATTGAAAGCGCCCGATTCCACGTTTTTGAGCTCCATGTGACGGGGCTAGATGCCGGAAGAGCATCAAGGCAACATCAGACGGTTGTGGAGCTGTGCATTCAAGTCGGAACCACAGGCTGGCCCACATCCAGCCGACACCAGTCCAAAACTACCATTTGTACTCTCCCGCCAAAGCAAATCGGCGTTTGCGGGAATGTGGAACCCCGTTTCCGGCCACGTCCGCAGCACGTTCAGCTTAAGCGGTACGTATGATGCACGTTTCAGGCAGGTTATCTGCCCGTTTAGCGTACATAACGTCAGGTAAACGCCCAAGTATCCCTTTAATGTTTTGAGAGCTGAGGTCGGGATTCAGACTGCACGGTGTTTTAAAGCAGGGCAATGAAACAGAAAGAACGCTACATTCAATAGGTTGTTCGCAAGCATATAAGTATCAGCGGATGAAGTGCGCATCAACGGCACCTACACAGCAGGACAGAGCCAGTTGCAGGCAAAAGTGCATGTGAAAAATGATATATGAGCTGATCTATAGGTACGCAAAAACCTATCTGAAGACAGAAGGAATCAGGAGAATACCTCATGGAGACGACCTACTCAGCTCCCCTCGCGAGCTGGAGCATGCATGTTGTGGTTGTGAAGGATCTCCCCCTGGTCGCGTACGAAATGATGCTGCCGTCGAAACTGGCAAATGCCTGCCACATACGGTTGATGTAGTTGTAGAGTGAGATCATATGCCGGGTTGGGTTCGAAAAAATGCTCCAGTCGAAACCAGCGAGCTGCCGGCAAACACGGATGACATAGTCGTAGACTTTCTTCACAAGGACACCCGCGCTCCGAAGGATGCCGCAAGAACCACCTTACCCTAACCCGTCCCTTGAACCGCCAGTTTCGCGACTGCACCGGCGCCAACAAAACCGAACATCAAGGCGAATCCAGGATGGGACGTGACGATACTGATAATAAGCAGCAGTGCGCCCAGCGGAGGGGTTACAAAGAGGAGCAAGATGGCCACGCGTCAGCATTGCGTCCATCTTTGCGAGTTGCACCAGCGCGTACGCATCGACCAGCTTGTCGTACGTATCGCTGAATCGTTCCCTCCGGCCTTCGAGATTGAAGGGAGAAATCATCGATTTGCATGGATGCTCCTCGAATATCTTCTCAATCAATTTCCTTTGTTCCGCAAACAAAGGACGTAGGGTCGAGGTTTGCATTGACGAGCTTCTTCAGTTCACCGCTCTCCTTCGTCATAATGTAATCGCAATAGTTTTCCATCGCCCCCTTGTTCTCCATCGCCTTGTCTTGGATTACCCTCTGTAATTGCGCCTTCAGCTGATCTTCAAAAGAATGCCAAACAACGGACTTTGCCCCCCCAGCGCACGCGCTGCCGAAGCTAGTGATGTGGGTCTCCGCATTCTTCAGAGCGAGCTTGAGTTCAAGAACCGGAGCAGGCTTTCCTAGCTCTGCGCTGATCACGCCGCCTTCATTCTTGAAATCTCCTGTAATGGACTTCCGCAATATCCTTTCCCATCATGGACATAAGATGGTCGCCGATTTGGTCGAGTTTGTTGAATCGACTGACGTATTGCGTCACTTTGTGCGTATAGTCTTTGGCGCGGAATGTCCCGCCTCATACCCCAGGTTTAGCCTTCTCCGTCCTGGTTCTGATAATATCGGCGATTTTAGAGCCGTTCTGTATTCGGCGGATAAGTCGTCGTACACGACGGCCTCCAGCATATGGTCCGCTCGCATAAGCTGCGGAGACGGCATCAGACGATGCGCGGCTGTGGAAACCCGTAGTCGAGTTGGCGAATTTCACTACTCTGTTGTGATCCTCGCATGCATCCTCGCATGCATCCTCGCATGCATCCTCGCATGCATCCTCGCATGCACAGATCGGATTCTGATACCGAAAGCGAACGCTCAGGGTCCTGATCTCGTCCTCCGTGAGCTCTGTTGGTGGAGCGTCCGGCCGAGTCTTGTCCATGCTTGGAACAGCCCCTTCATGTCCGTCACAACGTCACCCCCAAGCATTTCACCACACAGGCCACTCTCCGTCAGTTTCAGTCTGCCATCTCTCTCTTCAACGCCACGAAACGCTTTCTACATCATTTACAAGCTCCCTTCTCCATGAGACATTCGAAACAGTATGGAGGCATCTCCTTCCACCAGTCGCACAGATGAAAGTAACAGGTGTTGATCGGCTTTCCACAGTGGCCTCAGAACTCGTTCCACAGTGTTTTCGTTTACAGACATAGTTACGGCTTGAACACTCTAGATGCGGATGTGCTTGCCCACTCTCCCATATATATACCCGAACGTGCACTCAGGGTCCATCTTTCCTCAGCAAGGCAGCGTCTTCCCGAAGGAGTCTATCATAAGCGAGTGTTAACCTGTTTATCTCTTCCCGATCCTCCTCCCGACGTTCGCGCACGCGTGCAAGTCTCTGGCGCTCCCTGCTCTTCTCTCTAGCGTCGGTCAATGAGCGCATCTCAGCTACATAAGGTCCCACTGTTCCATATCGAGGTACCATTGATTTCGAAGCATTGATCTTCGAAGCTCCACATCGGATGGCGCCAGTTCTTCTCGTCGTACTCTCCGAGGTGATGCTTTTGTACGCTGTGGCCTGACCAGCCTGTCTTGATCGTTTCGATGTGGAAGGAAGTCGTCACCTCTTCAGGACTTTCTTTCGTCATATTGTGTCTCGGGTGACTCGCCTGTCCCGGAAGTACACCTTTCCGTTTATCGTCTTTATCGTCGATAACAGCGTGTTGTACGAGGCCCCGCTTTACTGTTTGTTGCCGCCAACATGTGAATTTCGTCACTCGTCCTCTCCGACACCGCGCCGGATGGGGGACCTACAGTAGGATTCGTCAGACACACCAAAAATTGTCATCGTGTGTGAGCCTCTAGGAGAAGAAAATCTCTTGGGACAAAGAAGTTCGATGGCAAACCCGGGAGATTGTAGGGACAGCAGAGCACAGCTGACCAAGAAGTGCAAGTCTCCGACCGACGTGACGAAACAACTCAGAATTGCGAAGTATACAAATTGGATGCGAGACTTAACGAGCCGATATGCGGAGGCGCTCGCTAAGCTAAGGAATGATAGGACGTAGTTAAGTTCCGTAACCGTCCGCTGTGGCGTCCCCCTCTATTTGCCAAGAGCTGGGCATGGTTCTTTTAGTGTCTTCTATACCGGGACCCAGACAGTCTCTGCGCTGCGTCCGGCCTGCTCAGAAGCGACTGCCACAGCAGCGTCAAATGCTCCAGGGATTGACAGGATCAGAAGCGTGATGAGCTCGGGTAGGATGGCGAACGGATAAAAGTACTTCTCTGGGGTCGATAGCGAGTGGTCGAGGAGCGTGGCGTCCAGGAAGGCGAGGCGGATGAAGAGGAACGGCGTCAGTAGGGTGAGGACGTTGATCGGCTATCGACATGCAGAAAGCAGAAAGATATGAGCATCGCGAAACATATTGAAACGAAGCGAAGGTACGCATACCCTAGCGAGCGCCGTGCTACGTTTCCTATTCCGACTCCGCAACCAGAAATACCCTGTCGCAAGCCCGACAGCAAGGGTAAACAACGTAAACCCAATCGCGACAACTTTGCTCATAATTGCCGCCGTATTGAGTTTGCCAGCGTCGTCGGAAAACTTCCACACCAGCGACCAGATGCTCAATGCGGCGAGACCCGAAAGCCCGTACTGAGCGACCTTGGGGATATATGGGAGTCGTGCGAGCGTGGTGGGGGAGAGCTCGATGGAGTCGCTCAGTAGCCATTGGATCAGGAGGTCGAAGGCGGTGTAGACCAGTAGGAAGAAGGAGGCGGATTGGAGCACTATTTCGGCGTATAGGAGGTTTTTGTCGCGGCCGAAATCGCCTGTGGTCATGAGCGTGCGTATTACGAAGGCTGAGACTCGGACTGCCGACAGAAAGAAAGGATGAGGACACTGCACGAGGCGAAATCTTCACTTAGCTGTCAAACTTACTCAGACAGAATAACGGCAGGGACGAAAGGAGCCTACGGTAGAAGAGAAGAGAAGATCTTAGCAGGTGAGTGACTGCGTCAGCGACATCAGCGAAATCGAAGACAACCCCTTACTTGAGTCTTGGCTGAGTAGTGAAGTATTTCACGATGAAGACAATCGCAAAAACGGTGTAGAGGATCGTCGCGATGACTGCATAACTCCTCGTAAATTCAAACGCCGCTGCGTAGTCAATGGATGTGATGTTGGACATCGTGGTTGATAAATGCAGACTGGACAGGCGGGACGCGATCTATGTATGGAATCTACTGCGGGGGATGCGTTCTATCCGTCATATTATATATATGCCATCCTTTGGCTTCCGCGACCAGGCAATCCGCACCCTGCGTCCATGGCGTACAGCGCGGTCAGTATGGCGAAATACGAGTGACTTGGCTTGCCGGCGGCCGATGGTAATGCTTCAAATGTACATCTCCATACGTGGCGCCCTTGGCAGGAACCTGAGGTGTACGCGGAAAGCGCAGGGTGCCACAACTTTGAGCATTCGAACCTTTTCGCGTCGACCTCCTTTTGTTTTCGCTGCCACCTATCCAGCATGTCATCGAGAAGAGCGACGGTGCCATACCATCGTTCAGTCTGGGAGCGCGGGTGGGCCGTCTCCTATGCGAATCCGGGGCAATACTGTCCTGTCCGGCCACGGAACATGTCCATCATTGGGGAATGAATGGGTTTCCTCTCGTCGAATGTACTGCGGACGGAAGGATCTCGACGGAAGGACGAAAGGACGGAAGGGTTTCTTTCTAGAACATGTTAAGGTGGTACGAAATAGGTCTACTCGGCCGCAAGTAAGGCGTGCTCCTCCGAGTTGACTCCGCCGCAAAGTAACGCATTGGCCGCAGACGCGAACGAGGACAAGTCACGGCCTCACAACCGTGGTCCGTCGGGCTTTGAACGCTGTTGCGCGTTGCGACCAGGCGGCGTTCTCGGCAACCAGGGGTCGAGGAAAGAATGAAAGGTCGTCTAAGCAGAATTAGTGAAGGGGCATACGTCGCAATCTTGACCGGTATATAAAGTGCCAAGCGATGATTCGCTCATTTATGTACTTAGGAGGAAAGCGGGGATGGGAGATAGTCAGGAATGTTCGGGATCTGGGGTTTACTCGCTCATTGCCGCTTTAAGGCGTGTCCTTTCTTTTCACCTCGGTGGTGCTTTGAACATCAAGGAATCCCATATTAAGGCCTATTCACACTCCTTACCACCAAAGTCCCATGCACTTGTTTATAAAACGCACCATCTTCATATGCGCCCTACCTTTGCCTTTCTTTCAATCTTTCAAGGTATCCTCAGCTGGGGCCCGGGTTCAGTCACCTCGCTCCGGACTTTGATCGCCGCTCGCCGAGTCACGGTCTCTCCCGTCCTGGCTGGGGCGATTATCGCGGGTAGTTTCAGTTCACCGGAACGATGTCAGGAGATCTTTAGGGCTAGGGTTAGGGTGGATGGCCGAGCGGATTTGGGCGAGATGCGTGACGTGATGACGGCTTTATGACGGTTTCCGCAAAGCCAAAATATGAGGCGCCACAGTTTGGTCGCTCGATTATGCGAGTTTGGTCTATTCCGGAAAGCGCTGAATTGGATCTGTTCTTCCCTGGAATATTCTAAATTCTGAAATATTCTGAATCTTGCGAGCTCGCAAGATTTCACGTTGCTTAGATCCTGAGCAGCGGGTGATAACGCACACACCGCCATTTCCACAAGATGGTGGCCCGAAAACACGGCTGCGGACTCTGGATTGCGGCAATTGCTGCCCTCATCCTCTTGATATCACATGCTACTGCCCAGCAATGCGCAGATGGGTTTACATTTACCTGCTCTGCCGGTGAGAGCCTTGCCACTGTTCATTCCTGGTCGCACCTAGATGAATCTGATGCAATCACGAACATAGGAAATTTCATCAATGCCATCAAGGCATATGGAGATGGGACAGGATATATCCTCATCAGACTCTCGTGCACAGACGGCACGTCGTTCGGCCAAGATCAAGCTATTCCGGCAGGTGTGTTATAGTACTGCAAAGATCGGTTCGCAGGAATATCACGATCAGGTTTGTGTGAACAACAACGGTTCCTTTCCTTTGCAGGCACGTTCAGTCTCGACGAAAGTGGAGTGGGAAAGTACTACAATCTCCAAGCAAAGTACACCCCAAACCCGTATTGCCATGGGTCGAAGCAGATCAGCATGTTGGATTTCACAAAATGGGCCCCGACAAGCACCCGGCTTCCAGACGGCACCATGTACAATTACATGTCCGAATCTGGGTACTACTGCTCATTGAATATCAACCAGCTCAACTGGTACTCGAGCTGGGAATCCTTGGGATGTGGCTCCGACGAGATGTACATCAATAGTATCACCTCCGCTGCCCGGACGCCCTATTGGGCGGGAGTCAGTGTTACTTGCGCGTCTCCTTTCGTTGTACAATCCGACACACTGGAGATCCGCCCTCTCACAAACAGGACGATACCTACCAGCATTCTTTTTGCCAGTTCAGCTCGAGTGGCTTCAGCCGCTTCCGTCACTTGGATCTACGAGAACGCAGATGTGTACACGCAGCCTCTGTTTGGGTACTTCTTGGTCGGAGGCAATCGCTTGGTTTGGGGAGCAACTTTCACATCCGGGGACTTGCAGAACGGGAAGGTGACATTCATTCATACGGCTTACGCAGGAAATGGCCAGCCGAGCTCCTCGGGAAGCTTCAGCTTTGTTGCAAGTCATTGAACGTTCTGCTTGTTCGGTTGATGAAAAAACTGCGTCTAATACGTAAACTTTTAGTTGACCGACGGAACGACTTTCACTCAGAAGGTTGTTGTCAACGTCAAACTGAGCCTGCCGCCGATTCCCGTGATCAATCTTCTACCCGTGACTACACCCTCCAACATCCCGCTCAGACTAACGACATCCCACCTCTCGGCCTCTGACGAAAGTGCCGCATCTGGCCTCACCTGGACTGTCAACGGCTACTCGAATGCAGCTGCTGGCACACTGGCTCGTCTCACAAACGGCTTTGGTACACCTTCCACTCTCAAAGCTACCAAGACCTTCCTTCAAAGTGATGTCGACTCGGGGTTCATCTACTTCATCCCCGGCTTAACCTTTTTGGGAGGTGCGTCGATCAATGTGACGGTTGCGGACTCTATCGGGCCTGCAGTGTCCAACACAATCATGGCGCTCAGCATCACAAATGACATGGTGTATGCCAGCGGCCCGGTCTTTTGGACTTGGCCACAGGATGCGGCGCCGACTGTCTTGGTGCCTGCCAATTTCAAGACCGGGAACCGAGCTGCGAACTTGACCACCGTCTCGTTGAAAGTCACCACATTGACGGCTGGCTTTACCTTTCAGCAGCTCACAGCCGTCAACACCTGGTCCGATTTGCGAGTCAATTCGGTGTTTACGATGAACGCAGTGGCGTTTGGGCAGATCCGCCTATCAACTAAATCGGGAATCGTAGGAAACGCCACACTTGCGTATACTGTCACGATACCTAGCACAGCCGCGATGACAGGGACGCTCACGGTTTATGCGAACGCAAGACCCAAAGTCGCAGCCGCACCCATCGTGCAGCCTCAAAAGGCGGATCGCCTAGTATTAACTTCCGCGATATTGAACGCGACGGATATCGAGAGCAAAGCAAGCGACTTGACATTCCACGTTGAATCTGATATGGAATGGGCCGGGGTGTCACTCCAGCTGCTTGCGAATGGGGTCTGGAGCTCAACCACCAGCTTCACGCCGGCCGACATCAGCAGCGGCTCCATATCGCTCAACTTTCTTGGTTCGGGTGCCGGCAGCGGCTCCATCATGCTTTCCGTTACGGACGGGTTGCAAACAGTTGGAACTGGATGGTCCGTCTATCATGTGCAGGCACCCACGGTTTCTGCGTACCCGTTGAAGCTCCCTTACAACGGAACCGTCGCGATTTCCCAATCCTCTCTGTGGGTAACAAGCGGCTATGCTTCCGCTCAATCGCTGGTTTTCACCGTCACGGCCGTCCCCGATCAAGGCTCGGTGGTGTTCAAGTCGGGCAATGTCACGAGCGCGATCGCTGTCGACGATACCTTCACAGCGGCGGATATTGCCGATGGGAATCTGCAATATGTTGCAGCCCCGGCATGGAACGGCACCACGACCTGGGCTGCAACCATCACTGATGGATTGCAAAGCGTCCCGATGTCGATGACGTTCATCACAAATGCGCTACCGTACGCCGTTAATTTGCCTGGCGCCGCCGTGAACTGCACCCGAATGACCTCCGTGTCTCTGCAAGGGGTGTTTAGCTCGGCTGATGTTGACGATGATTCCTCGTCTACGACGTATAAGCTCGTGAGCGGCCTTGTGAATGGATGCGTCGAAAGAAATAACGGGGCTAGCTGGGTGTGCGTTCAGCAATGGACCCAGGCGGACGCTAATGCCCAGAAGATTCGGTAACTATCCGATTAAGTGATATTGCGGTTCACCCCCGCAGGACTGAAACTGACGACTTTCCTTCAAGGTATTCGAGCAAAAACAAAGGGCTTGGGATTGACCTTCTCACTTACCAACTTCGAGACGCATACAACTTGAACCCAACGAATTTCACACTCAATATACAAGTTCTGCCCGCACCAATCGTCATTGGAAAGGCCAGTGTGGTGGTGGCCGTTCCTGCGACGGGACCGGCAAATGCCACCGGCCCTTTAACCTCGTCTGATCTTCTAGTAACATGCGTTGACACTGGCCCTGATGATCTGACCTTCATCATGATGGACGACTCGAGTGCGATCAATTCCACAACGTATATGGAAGTTTTGCGAAACGGCTCGTGGACGACACTATCGTATCTGGCGCCCTTCACGCAGGCTGAAGTCAACGGTGGCAAGCTCAGAGTCATGGCGGTCGGCATCAACGAAACCATTTACACCATCCAACTTCAAGTGTCGAATGGTGGGGCTCCGAAAAATGTTACGCTGGTCGTTAATTACCATATTCTTCCACAAGTCGCCAAAAATACGGGATTGCTCGTCAACTGGTATTCGACGACGGCCATAGCGTCCTCGCAATTGAACTTAGTCTCGTTGACTGTTTCAAATCCAAGCTCATTGCGCTACACCATTACCCGTGCTCCTGTTCTTGGATCACTTTCGTCGTCGAGTTTTACGCAAGGTGATTTCAGCTCATTTTCCCTGGGAGATGACGGGTACTCATTCTTCTTTTCGCAGATGACATCAACAACCGTCGCGTTAGTTATACGCATAGTCGCTCGAATAAGCCAGTTGGAAACGTGACGGATTCATTTGGGTTTAGTGTGACGGACGACAGATCGTAAGGGCAACTTGAAGGTCACCTCTTGTTTCCTTGTTTATCGGGCATTGATACTTACGCCGTTTCAAGGAGCGCTTCATTTCCAGGAGACTTTTTCATTAAATTCTACAATGTCCCACCAAGCCCGGGAACTCTGTCATATGTACCATTCCCGTTAAGCTCGAATCAAACGTTAACCGGTGCAATGATACCCTGGACCGATGCAGATGGCCCCGATGCGTTGAAGTTCACGTTGACAAGCCTGCCAACCGTTGGAGCACTTTCGGTTGGGGGCCTACTGCTAGGGGCAAACGACTCATGGGTCATGTCAGATTTTGGGACTCGCCTCCAGCTCATCGGCTTGCCGTATGAGAACCTAACCATATTCTCTTCGACATTCAATTACACGGTTTACGATGGCGCAAACCCCGCCGTCTTAGGATCCGCGAATCTGACATTCATACCGCCGCCTATTATCACCCAAAAGAATTTGAGAGTCGTCTGCGACTATTACTACGGTGACTATACATGCTATTTTTGGACACCCTCAGTGAAATGGGCGTTTTATTCGACCGTATGGACGCTGCAACTTCAACCGAGTGGGCAGCCTCGCATACGGTGGTATCGCTACGACGGCAGTTACTACAACATCGCGTACTGGAGCGGAGGTAAGATCACATCCCATTGTCAAGTACAACCAACTGTCGCATATCTTGAGTTCGCAGTAATCCGAGCCTTATGACCAGACTCCACCGCTACACTTACCGACGCCCAACTTCAGGGTGGTTGGCAGGCGAGACTGCTCGGAGTATCGGACCTTGCGACGGCTAACGTCTCTTGGACCGTGTCCGATGGGTTCAATGTCCCTACAGTCTTCACGATGAATTACATTGCGCACCAAAAGCCGTCCCAAGTGTCATCCATGGCCTACGTTCCTTTTGCCGCTCTCGGCGGAACTATCGGACCCGCGCAATTATCGTGGAAAGTGATCGGCATAAACGAGACGGCTCAGCTGTACACAATCAGGACTATTACATCCGGTCTGTCCGTTCGCAAAGTTGTCTCAGGCAACACGTCGACCTTGGTTCCCGGTTCCGTCTTTTCGGCAGCGGATATTCGCAATGGCTACCTCAGTGTTTGGGGAAATGCTACATATCCATTGGGGTGGACCGCAACATTTACATACGACTTCACAGATTCACTCTACACATTCACGGATCAGCAATTCACCCTCGTCCTTGATGTGCCGCCGCAAATCACCGTAAACAATACTATCATTGTGGACTGGAAGGCTGGGTCAAAGTTCCTCACAACGGATCACCTTCAGGCGAACGACAAATTCCAAACTAAACAAGCTTTAATCTTTACAATCAAGCGGTCGCCCAAGCTCGGTCAAATCATAAAGAATCCGGACGGTTCCCAACTGTACAACGAGACGTATTGCCGCTGCAACTATACGGTAAACTGCACACTAGCTTTGCCATCTCCGTGCCTATACAGCTTCACCGCGAACGATATTATCTCGGAATATTCTACGTCTTACGCTTCATGGTACTCGTGGTACCCATTCGTTAAAATACTGGGATCTACACCTGGTACGGATGCGTTTAGCTACACGCTATCAGATGGCGTGTATCAGCTCGGTCCATTCGAGGCAAATATTCAGTTCTACTCGCAACCTGCGGTGAAAGCCTTGGAAGGTTGGAAAGTTCTTTGGTGAGTCTGTTATAACGTGGACTGATAGGTGGACCTTTCAGTTGCGAGGCGGGTCGGACGGCGTAGCTTTGGGAGAGTTTTGCGTCCATTAACCGATCTCTCTATTACAGGAACGATACGGCGCTGATCAGAAACACTACCCTGTGCATAACAAACGATGATCCAGCCGTGGGCCGTGATCAGATCGTTTACAATTTCACATCGCCCTCGTCGCTCAGGGAGTATCGTATTCAAAGCGGATCTTTGTCAGCATCTGGTATTGTATGGAGCCCTTCAGATGCCCCGTTCGTAACTTGGACGCAGGCGGATATTGATTCCGGTTTGCTGCGAGTCACGCATCTTGCGAGGCCTGGATTGCCCGTTGTCACGCCAGGGTACTTTACGTTGTCGGTGACGGACGGACTGACCACAACTTACCATTGGATGGAGGTGACGGTTCCTCCCATTCCCAATGTAAGCCTCGTCCTTTCGCGTATCACGGGACCTTCTTTTATCCTGACGTACGGTTTTTGAACAAGGTTGATCCAAAGGCGTCGTTCATTGCACTGCCTCTTTCAACAAACGTACAAAATGTTACAATATCGTCTTTGGGCATCTCACCAAGCGTGGTCAATCAGACACTCTACTTCAAGGTCATCAGCGTACCAGACCCGACTCAATTTCAATTCATGATCACTTCACAAGCAGCTAAGGCGATGAACAGCACATCTGGCAATGCTACATTGGCCACTTCGACCAGCACCAGTACAGACTTAAACAGCACATTTGACAACACTAGCATGAGTCTGATCACAAACTTTATCGCTTATGGCGCTGATATCCCTGCGACCTCGCCAAGCTCCATGATGGAGAGTGGGCTCACTTTCACCGATCGCGATTTTCTATCATGGACTGTGAGACTTGTTGTCTCGCCCTCGGTGGCAGCTGGGAAGTACCCGTGGGCATTATCTGTTACGGATTTGCAGAACAATGCGGTCACGGTGCCATACTCTATTTTCATCAAGGCACCGGTGACTTGGTACAGCAACATAACGACAGTGGTGTTTGGGCAATCCGGCTACAGCGCCTCGCTTGTTCGAGCAATTGAAGCAGATGAGTCTAACATGGGTTTCGATACGAGCCTATCCAAGTATCAAGTGACGAAGTTGTGGGGCCGTGCCTTTGTGAATTATTATTATTACGCATCTGGAATTTCGCCCTTTGCATTCACGGGAGCGGCATTGAACATGGTCTTGTTCCGATCAAGCTATTCCGGATGGAGCTCGTTTGATGTCTCCTACACATCCGCGAATGGTTATGTTCCGCTTTCGGCGATGAGAACTGTCTCGATGTACTATGCGACCGCGCCGACCTTAGCCTACGGAACCACCACGTACGATAATGCAATCGGAAGCAGTTACATTCCGATTATCAGATACACATCAGACGCATTTGCATTGAACGCATCTACGATCCCACTGACAGTTGATCCTGCTGCCGCTGGGAACACCAACGTCAGCTATATCTTGAGCGCCAACGTAACGGCAGCAGCCCGTGACGGCTTCGTTTTTCAACTGCGCGTCGCGAACGCTTCGGCTCCAACGGGGAATGTCACTCAAGTTCGGAACCTCACCGTCGGCAGTCTGTTTACCTGGAACGATGTGGCCAGCGGCAACCTGTACGCGGTGCCTGACGCGTGGCCCTTCGCTCCTGCCAACATTTCCCTGCAATTCTCCGACAATGTCAACCCTGCTGTCAAACTTCAACTAAGAATCTTCGGTCATAACGGAATGAAATGCACAGGTCCTCAAGCATTGACCATGACCGGCTCAGTAGCTGCGCAAGCCTCGCTGGGTGATATCACCCCGACTTTACTCGGATGCACGACAACCGGACCACCGGTCACCGGTTATGGTCTGTCCTACACGGTCATCAAAAGCAGCACGTCCGCCAACTTGGCTGTGTTGACATGGGGCTACCCATACGCCTATTTTTATGATAGCGACTTGGCAAGCGGCATTGTGAAGCTACAGTTCAAGGGAAGCCAAACGGTGACTCAGAATCTGACACTAGCCCTCTCCGTTTCGGATTACATTGTGGCGACCACGATTTACGTCAACATCAGCATTTTACCAGACCCCACACCGCCCAAAGCGTCAGTCACTACCACGAGAGCGATGACAACCACCTCCTCCCAGACGACGACCAGATCGTCATCAACAACTGCCAGCTCCAGCAAGACCAGCAGCGGCATTAATAGTAGTACCGCTCCGTTAAGTAGCACGACCACGTCTAGTTCTTTGGCCACCACCGCCACGTCCACTACGTCTGCAAGCCAAAGTCCTTCGCTGACGGCCACCTCAACTGAACTGTCATCTTCCAGCCTTGCAGCTACCTCGTCAATCTCGTCGGCGAGCATCGCAGCTTCCAAAGGTACCACATTCTCCACTTCGGTCGCTTCATCTTCTTCGTCCACGGACAGCAAGATATCGTCACCATCAACACCGATCGCTTCATCTTCTTCGCCCACGGACATCAAGCTATCATCATCATCAACACCGATATCACCATCGCCACCAACAACCTCTTTCGTGTCGTCAACTGTTGCCTCGACATCCGAAACTTCGACATCCGAAACTTCGACATCGTCGGCATCAGCGGAGTCCTTATTTTCGTCGCTCACGACGACAGGAACGTCTAGAATCCCAGGATCCTCGTCCTTGTTCACGGACTCCCCACTCTCGGATTTCGAAGAGGCATCTCCCTCTCCGACCCCAGCCACAACAGAGTCGGTGGATGCATCTGAGCATTCGACTCCTCAGTCAACCAGCCTGAGTCTGAGGCCGGCATCAGCTCCCAGCACGGAAGACGCAACAAGTGCCAGACAGACCTCTGGGATAACCCAGGCGGCGGTGCTTAGTGGTACTTCGAGCGCCAGCCCCAATCCAGCGCAGGCCAGCACAACCGCGTCAGACAACGGCTCGTCCTCCTCTACAAAGCTGGCAGGCGCGGGGGATGACGCGGCTGCGAAGAAGACCGTCACCTATATTGCGTCGGCAGCAGGCGCCGGGGGCATCGCCGTCACGTCGATTATAGGATACTTTTTGTGGAAGAAAGGAGCCACAACAGCGGCAACTAGGGCTGGACAACTTGCGGGCGCTGCCACGCCCCATGCGAATTGACGTAGAGATTCTGTGTCTCGAACTGTCTGGAAAAAGAGCTTCGTCCAGTCATTAGCGTCCGGAGTGCGCAAGCGTCATTTGTGCGCGGTGGTTATGGGTGGTATTTACTCTTCATATCGATAGGCAAAAGGAAGGCACCCGGCAAGTGCGAAACAAGAACTTTGCAGGCATCTAAAATGTCTCCATATAGTATAAGTAGGTGCGCCATGTACACTCTGCTCTAGACGCCAGCTAGAACTTTACGCCTCTATGTATGGGTCAGCTCTTCTGGTTCAATCATCTGTTTCTCGGGTTCAGCCAAGGGTCCCTTCTGATTGTCCGGAATCAAGACAACATTGACGGACCGTAGCGCAGGTTCCGGTGATCGAGTGCCAGGACGGGTCCCCATCAGCGTGGATGTCACGGAACCACCAATCGAATATCCTGCTGAGCAGCGGGTGGCATATCTTCTCCGGGGGGCAAGTCTGATTAGAGATCGCCAACTTGGATCATACGAGCCGAAGCGGCAGGGCGAAACGCTGACGATCCGAGATACAGATTCCTTCCTTGTCCCGAAAGCGTCGCGAGCCCCGTCGCCACGTCCGTCTGGGGGACACCGAGACCCCAATCGAACTTTATATTTAGCCCAGCTGTTACATCCAGCTGGAACGGGCGCTGGAGTTGGACGAGAAGACGTGTGCCTGCCCCGCTCTGCACTTCTCCGTTCTCTTGGGATATGTATGAGTTGTCCAAAGTTCCCATTGCGCTGCGGACGTCCTTCCTCCACGAGTCGAGGATATCATACACCTCCCCCGATGCGCTGCCATTCCTGAAATCCACGAGGTGGTCAAATGCACCTCCAGCCTTCCGCATTCCAAATTGGATGTTGGTGAAATTGGACGAAGCGTGCATCGTTTCAAAGCCCTGGAAGTCGTCGTTCCAGGTCCAGTTTGCATGGATCCACAAAGCACCCTGGATCTGTTGTGCGCTACGTGCGAGCGAATCGCGGAGATTGGGGTTGCCGTGGACTATCTCAGACGTGAAGTTTGGAACCGGGACGGGAACCTTTTGCGATCTCTGTGAGCCATACCGTCGGAATCCTTGCATACCCACGTCTGTACAAGAATACGCCGATCGCGCCAGACGGTATCGGCGGAAGGTATTATTGGCATCTGATATAGGATCACCCGCTACCCCAAAGCGTTGCCACCAAGGGCGACTGTTCTGTCGTCCGTGACGACCCCTAGCCCTACCCGTCTGGCGTTCGGAGGTTTCAAAAAGTGGTTGATGGCAATGACGGGTTCAGATAGATTGAGGCAAATCTAAGTGCAACCTTCGACATGAAGGCGCCCGAGCCGTTCTCGCCGTCTCGCCTGAGCTCGACATATTGTCACGTCTTCACTCACGGGAGCTGAACGATCCCACGGTCAACCGCAGTGCTATCCGGTTGGATGAGCGGGCGAGCTTGCGGGTGATCTTGAGGAGTTGCACAGGCAAGAGGCATGTAGTCCATCACGTTGTTTCCGGTAATGGTTAGATTCATGTCCGAGCGGACTTGGTCCCAATCGAAGGCTTGCGAAGTAGGCACCAAGGGATCGGGGCATGGGCGGACGCCCAAAAGGGCGAAATCTGCAACGTAGGCATAGAACGGGGCCAGGATGAGGGCAAAGACGGCGAGAGCGGCCTGTGGGCTGCACAGACGGCGAGTTCGGACCACCTGAAACCCACCGCGGCGGCAGCAGCTGACGACGTCGTCTCTGTGGCGACTCGCGCGCGGAGGTCGTGGGCCAGCAGCGGGGCGGGATCGGTGGCGGGTCTGTGGGTTAAGAAGAGGCGGCGAGCAACCGCAACGAGGTGCAGGGTAACCCTATTTGTTGATGTTGTTGACCAGCAATACTGACTGCCGAGGGAACAACGCTGCATGCAGCAACACCTGCTCCATTTGTATAAAGTATTGTGCTTATATCCTTCCTTAATTCCAGCATATGCATGTCCCCTTCCCACGACCCTAGTCCTGTCTGTCGTCGTAGGATTCTTTCAAACCCCGCCTTCACACCATCATTTCCTTCGGAACGACGCGCCTGTGCGTTATTACCGTTTGTATACGTACAGTATGTGAACATAAAGCTGGATACACGCGTCCGAGCTTGGCCAGCCCCTTGCCCCAGCCGCCGCAGTTGCGCACGGACACAGACTCAATCACTGGTGTATCTAGGTTTATGTTCACATACTGTACTAATTGTGCACAGCTGGAAGTTGTTACTAGTCGCACGGAAAGCGGCGACTTGCGCAAGCGCCTTAAGCTCCTCCAACCCCAAGCAAAGGCTTACGAGAAAGTTAAGTGCCGGGGCCAAATAGCAATAATACCAACGCCTCGCTCCGCAGTCAGGACTATTAAGCACTGGCATGTGCCGCAGACATGACGACGTTGCGTGAAATATGAAACCAGGAAGAATTGCTTGGGCTTGGGCTGAACCTTTGTTGGCTTGGCTGTGGGCTTGGAGGCTTGAGCTGAATCCAGTCATTATAAGTCACGGTAACAGAGACCGCTTGCATTCGAAGGACGTGCAGCCATTATTGTTATGAAAACTTGAACATCTCGTCCATCGGGACTCGGGAGTGCCCACGAAGACTCGGTGCATCATTTGTATGGATAATCATTAATATAAAATCAGGCTGGCCTCTAGCGCATCCGCTCTCCGCCCGCCGTAATCTATCTATGTATATAGAGTGGCGTGCCTTGCATTTAATCTCGACCGCCCCGCTTTCCCGTATCGTTCACCCTCTCGGGTGCGATGCCCAGTCTCCATCCATCCGGCTTTCTTGCTCTGTGCCTTCAGGCAAGCAACGAGAAGACGGCCATGTCGGACGTCGTTGTGGCGATGTGTAGGCGCGGCCGTAGTTCTAAAGCGGCCAAAAGCACAATGCGCTTTTTCAGCAGGTTGGCTCCCAGTCCTGCTGCTGCGAGACAGGGCTACTCCTCCATCGCTCCCGCCGCCGTCGCCCTTCGGCTTTGTGAGCGCAAAAACTACCCGATCCTTGTCCACGAACGCTCACAGCTTCTTCCACCTTTGCGGGTACTTCTTCGCCCCCAAGCACTACGACCAGGAATACTTCAAGTTCGGGCCGCTCGCCTGCATTCTCGAACCGTTTTGCGCGAACAGCAACCCGGGATTCGGACAACAGGAATCCCCTCGCGTGAACAGCAACCTGACGAGAACAAAACCATCACCCTCCCATCGTCCGGCAAGGTCGTCTCCTACGCTACATGCGGGGCGCCCCTCGCCTGCGCCTCCAGAGCCGCTGTCTATTTGCACGGATTCCCAGGAAACCGCCTCGAATCTCTCCTTTTACATTCGACTGCTCTCGCGCACAATGTCCACATACTTGCTCCCGATCGTCCCGGCTTTGGCCGAACGCCGTACGAATCCAACCGCACTGTAGCTTCGTACCCAAATGATCATCTGCTGCCCTTCATGGATGCTGTTGGGATCGACAAATTTTCCATCGTTGCCTTCTCGGGTGGGGGACCGTACGCAGCAGCCTGTTTGGCTTTCGCACCTGCGTCATTGCGCGTGCTTTCAACTGTTGTCGTATCTGGCGCGACGCCGCTGGCCGCATCGGCGGATGGGTTTAAGAATGCGAGGATGAGCAACCGGTTGTTGTTTTGGTTTGGAAGGAACATGTCAGTGCCTTGGTTGGAAAAGACGCTAGCGGTTTTGGATCCTCCCCCATCCGCCGACTTTATGCAATACACACCTGATCAGCCGAAGATGAAGGCCTACCTATCGCAGCTGGCTCCCGCCGATCGCACGTTCACGCTTGCCAACTTCGACTTGATGAAGCGCATCCGTGTGGAGGCGTACGCCCTCAATCCCATACAAACCCTAACCGCTGTCGCCGAGGTCTGTCGTCGTCTTGATTGCTTTTGGCCTCCTTCGCATCATTCCATAGCCACTCACGCGTGACACACACACACACATCCTCTTTCCAGGACCTGAAAGCATACAGCCAACCCCTTGACCTGAACCTGACTGCTGCTCGCAACCTGCACGTCTTTCACGGCGACAACGACGTCAACATCCCGTTTTCGCAGACAGCGTATTGGAAGGACAACGTGCCCCACGTCACCGTCACCCCGTGTTCGGGCGACGCGCACTGGTCAGTACTGGGCACGCGAAAGGAGGAGATCATTCGTGCAGCGCTGGCAAATCGAGATGAGTCGGGGTTATAGTAAAGATTTCGGAATTGTTGCGCCATTGTGAACTACTATAAGACTTACGGCAGGAGCCCGAAGTGCCCATTGTCGGCCAACGTCCTGCCCCGAGCACATAAACTTCAACATGCTGTGTATGTACAGTAGGTAGACCCGCAGGTCCAGAAAAAGTCTTCGTGGTCCATGGCAGTGCCAGCAAGGGCATGCACGGCACTGGTTCGCAAATGCCGACTGGCGACGCCGGGACCTGCAAAGGTTGATTGCTGAGCTTCTCCCAACCTGATGTGCCGTGTGTGTGCAGTTGGCGGGGTTCCCTTGGTTCTGTACTATGTGCCGAGACTGTTTGAAAGAACAACACAGGACGGCCCCAAGCCTCCCAAGAGCCGTGGACCGCTGATGAAATACATCCCTCAGTCACAACAGTCAAAATGTATTTGTGCACGTGACCTGTGACTGCTGCCCGCAGAATGGCCTTCGTCGGACTCTAGAGTCCCGCGTCAGCGCTTCCCAAGTTGACTTCGACTTGAGTCTCGCTAACCTCGGGGGACTCGAATCGAGGGTTGGCGCGTAGCAGACTTGATGAAGGATGGGCAAGTACACCGACATTCATTGATACCTGAAACGCTATGCTGAGACTTTGTACCTCCTATAGATCCACGCTCAAGCCTGAAATCTCCTTGAGGGCACTCGTCACGAACATGGTAAGTACACTGTGGGCCAAGTACGAAGCCAAGGGGGGTAACAGATAGAGTTGCGCACCAGGCTTGGCAGTTTCCGTTTTGCTCCGCGCAAAACAATGAGCTGTGCAGCCTGGGGACATACAGCCGGAGTGTCCTTTTTGCAAAGAAGCAGCCTGGGGGATGGATACCTTTCCCACCGTTCCAGTAATTGAGGCCGTAGTCTTGTCACTAGGCTGTTGGGGCAAACGGGCTGTATTCTACCTGCACTATTCTTTGGTAACAAAACGCAGCGAATTCTGCATCTAGGGGGTGCACTCGTTTGTCACACAAATCGAGAACCCAGGCGATGCAGAGGGAGGGAGATCACAGATATATCGATCTGGCGCCAACCTCCAGAAGTGGGGTTGGAAACATCATTCTTGTGGTCTTTACGTTTGCGAGAAAACTGTTCTTTGACGTACGATGTCAGGAGAATGAATGCTAATCGCTTTCTCTCTTCTATATTCCTGTTTCTGTTCCATCCCGCAACCCTTGCTTTTCATGTTGGCAAAAAACATCGATGAGGTGCCCTGATCCTTCTCGCTCCCGTTTGAACGCCTGCAATCTGCCAAACCTAGTCGCCGAAAGACGAAAGACGCGATGTGCAGTCGGCTTCTATGAAGCTCAATTATTTCATCGCTTTGTAACGTGAGAGCGTGGTTGCCAGCAAGATTGTCGGCGCCGCTACATAGTTGGTCCATGTAGACCTGTGACCTCTACAACAATCTAAATGTAATAGTCCTGACCTCTCAGCGGTCCACAAATAACAACGTCTGACAACATTGCCTACTGATAGAGTGAGAGTCACATACACCAGACCATTCACAGCTGACCGTTCATACCAGACCGTTCGCTATATAATTGCCTCCAAGGTCCGTACAGTCATTTGTCCGATATGTCCCTCAATGCATGTCCAAGCTCAGTCCGCTGTACTTATCTGCGCTTTGCTGGAGTGGGCATCACAGCAGGTTCCGTTTGGCGGGGAAATGACCGCTTACGCCGCACCCGCCTTCCCGTTCGGGCTTTGGCCTCTTGGACAATGTTGCTCAGCCGGCTTTGCATATCGACAATGCGTGACTGGAACAAACAAATTGTTGGAAGTCAGTTGTAAGTCACCCAAGATGAAGCTTGACAGCGCTACCAACCTTGATGTCCAGAAAAAAACATTCAATAATTTCCGTGACTGTGCTCAATCCTTCTAGCGTCGTGGGAATGGCCTGCTCCCACGTCTTATCCACCAGATAGAGCCCATCATCGGTCCGGTACATCCGGTAGCTCATAATGACGCTCCCTAATGGACAGCCAGTTAGTATAATCGCGCTTGCGACCAGGCAAACAATCATGACGACGCACCGTTCACCATCATCCCGTACGATTCACAGACCCCCAGTCTTTCTTCAGTGACACCTGTTCCTTTCAGGTATCCTCGCAAGAAGAAGAGTGAGAGCTGCATAGCTGCTAACGTGATTAGAAGGGTGTAGTTTACGAGTGCATGTTGGGAGCTCACCTTTGAATAGCTTGCATTGGTCATCCATGGCCTTCCCGTCGTCTCGCTTCATGGGACCACCCAAAACCTCAACGAAGAAGACGTGGTACCATTTGTTGTCCAGTTGCACATTGAGCACCCATTATGCAACCACGCGCCCGTCCTTCTCCGTTCTGAATTGTGATGGTACTGCTGCAATTGTTCCCTTCGTTGCAAATTTTCAGTCTCCCCACTAGATGGGACGATGGAAAGTTGAGCGAATCCGATCCAAAAATTGAGGAGTTTGAGAAACTGACCAAATGTACTGCAATGCGGGCTTCGATTCCTCCTCAAACATCTTTTCCAGTAACCCATCAAGCAACTGAGCACGGTAAATGTGTTCAGAAGTTCCTGCATTGGTGAGAGTATTTTTGCTGATGCTTCGGAACCTGCAGGTGTGCAGCCTGGTGAGAAAAGTAAAGTGAATGCATGGCATGATAACTTACATTGCCGTCCACACATACTGCACGTAGCAGCAGATCTCATTCACTTCCGCTGCAGCCGTCTGGCTGAAAACCACTTGGGCACCTGGAGAAAAAGCATCAGTCTTTTCACACTGCAACACTTTGTGGAGCGCATTCTAATTGACCTCTGCCATCCACTGCGGGCAGCAGGTTTGTTTTCAGCACTTCACGGAATTGCAGGTCGTTGGACCGGGCAAGGAAGAGGTGCCAGTAGGAGTCAGAGAGGGGCTCCCCTTTCTCCTTCCAAAGTGCCAACAACGAGGTGGTCGACTTTGTTGGGAGGCTCTCTTGTGAGCTGCTTGAATCCGTCTCTGGGTGGTAGAGGAGATCACGCTGCATGGACTAGAGCTGAGCTATTCCGCCCCCAATGTGTGCGATTCAAACATACATTACCTCTTCAAACTGAGTCTGGAGGACGTGCCATGCGGCGTCGTCAAAGCATAACCGGATTGGGTCTGCCTGGTTAGCCGTGCCCACATACACAATCTTGTACGAAGCGAGATTGGTTGGGTCTTTGTCTGAATGCAGGGAATTCAGGCTTGCAGCTAAACCATGAGCCTGCGGACAACGTTAGTTGCCGCCAATCACACCTTCATAATCAACACGCAACAAACCTCGCCATCTAGCCGTCGTTTGTATGCGCTACAGCCGGCGTCAGATGGAACATTCGAACCTGGGGGAGCTAATAAGACTTAAGCTTGCATCATCGGTGCGCGCGTTTGTCAGTGCGCTATACCTGTGCAAATGCGGCCTTCCCGTTCTCGCGTCTGGATGTCAAAGTCATGGGCATCAAAGGGCACTGCAACGCCTGACGGATGGAGTTAAGCGTCGTACTGAATACAAGTCCATTCACAGTCGTGCCCACAATACCTCTCTGGACGCGATCCCACTGTGGGTCCCCGACTAGCTCATCCTCCTCGTTTGCCTCATCAGGAGCGCGGGGATTGACAAGATCGTCGTCGGACGTTTCGCCCATCTCCACTCCATCATTGCCGCCGCTGCCCTCAGGTTCCTGTTGCAATGCTCCTTGCACTCGACTCGTAGATTGGATGTACTACGCCCGGCGGCGACTTTCCTTTAGCCTTTTTGAAGCTCTGCCGATACGCTGCCTATACTTGGTTCCTCACATTTGTAGCGTCCATTCCAACGACCATTTGTGCAATGTCCGAGGCATATCTGTTCCACCACAATCGGTTCACCGGGTCTTTCCCTACTGTCTGCATAGAATATAACAGGATTATTTGAGTCTAAAAACGAGCACGCTGGCGGGATGCATTTGGTATTACCTTCAATTTGTTCTGGACTCTTTTCACCGCCTTCAAGGCTGCCTCAGCAGAAATATGTTCCGCCAGCAGTCTCAAATCCCTTGCCAATGCGTCATGCGCCCTGGCGCGGTCGTTGCGGACGTCCGGATAGTTTGTAACCACCCATTGGTCGAACCCATTCACTCCCGTGATTGCCCACTGTTGGTGCGGCGTGGAGCTCCAGTAGCCTACATTTCTTTCTTGAGCACAACTGCTCAACGAGGCATTGGTCTTCGGACCGCCGTGTCGTCCCCTTACTGACCTTTCGCCCAAAGCTTCCTTTCCAGATATGGTGTCAATTTAATTCCCTTCATGACTTGGGGGGAGCTACAAGCTGCTAAGTTAGGTACGAAGGGTCCTTAGAGCATGTTCAGTGGTGACCATCATCGTCAAAAAAGAACCACGCTCGTGGGTTAGCACACGTTCTCTGTGATCGACGCGCTTGTTCGGACGGTCGGACACGCCTGTCGCCTCACTTGAAAGCTTTCGTTGTTTTTGGCCCAAACCCCATTGGACGCATTCCAGTTTATAGTCCTTCAGCCCAGTTCAGGATCCGCCGCGGGCTTTGGTATGATGCACTGCAGCAATGGGGCGTAAATCATGTAGAGGAGCCCTGCAACAGCGACCCACGCTCCGTTCCACAAAATGCTCCAACCCATGTCGAAGCGGGCGCCGAGGATGTTCATAATGGCCATTGCACAGCAAAAGCCGACTTGGTAGAATCCCAAAGCAGCAGCCGTCGCCGCCCCGGGAATATATACGCTGGACAGCGCTAGATTGACCGCCGTGTGTAACGTGGTGTCTAGATGTCCAAGCACCTCGGCGACGAGCAGATAGGGCGCAATAACTTCTCCTATCTGTGAACGCAATGATTTTTGTCCCCGGAACAGAGAAATCAAAAAGGAGTACCCGATGAGGCCCGTCGCCAAGAAGGAGCAGACCAAGATATTTAGCAGACAGGAGAATGGATCCTCACCCATGCCTACTAAGAAACGTGGCATGCATTCTAGGCGCTACGTCGCCTGGCCATGTTTAAGTGTTTGAGACAACAAGGACAGCGCCCGCCTTCCCTCGAGCCTGGTAATCGCAGTGCAGTCTTGCGAAGAAGCCCACGCGGCGCCCCACCTAAAGGCGATCCATCGACCCAGAGGGACAATCTTCGGCATCTGAACCAGCCAGGCAGCCAGGGCGGCTCTTCCTCTGTTCGTTCGGCTAGCTCACTCCAAGCACGGTGCCCTAGCCGTCCGCACCGGTCCACCTGTCCAAGTATGTTTCCGTCGCTTAAGGTTGTAAGTATTGTAACAATGAGGCTTCAGAAGGTAAGTGCCTACGTAGAGCAGGCGAATGAAGGGGTCCTAGTCCCAGTGGCCTTCAACCGCCGTTGGATGCGTAACCGCTTCTTTCTTGCATGGCAGCAGAGACCGTGACGAAAAATGAGGCATCTGAGAGTGTACCAAGCGGAAGCCTGCCTGTTAAGCACACCAAGCGACAATCCCCTCTAACAGTTAGGACGACCCATTTAGCGTTCTTTGCCGCCCTAGGCTTCCTGGGAGGTCAGGCTCCGAGCATCATGTTGCTCAATGTGAGCAAACCGGTTCCCTTAACGCTTTGTTCATTGTGAAGCTGGGCCACGGCACGGGCATCATATTCGGTGCCACCCTTTACATAACAGATACTTTCGGACTGTTGGATTTGCAAACAGAAATGTGTTGTGCTGGACGGCGCAACGGGGTTGGTTTAAGTTAGCGGTAGCTGGCAAAGGAATGTAGATAGAGAACAGAACCCTATGTAGGGGAGACGAAGCCCTATATTGTATGAAGTTATACAGTCTTGTCTTAAGACAGAAAGGAGGCCGCTGTAGTAGTGCGCTTCGAACTGCGCATGAAATCGGCAATATTTCAACGTCAATTACACGCCCAGAATTCCCGACGAACAAATGAACTCACTTTTATATCACAACGTTAAATACCGTCAAAACTTTCAGTAATAAATCGACATACTCGTGTTTCCGACACTCCGACGATCACCTAACACACCTGCCTTTACCGAAACCTCGCTTCACAACGACGTTTTGTCCTCGGATACGACTGACATGCAAAGAATGTAGGTGTAGGCAAAGATCTCACACATGAAAGCGCCCCCGACTCGACTCTCAACCAACCGGAAGCTCTCACAATGCCCGAAACGCTGAAGAAATCAACTGCGAAACAAGAAAAGCAATTTCCGGTGGCCGTATACGCCGAACGTTGAAGAAAAACCAGAGAAAAGATTGGCAATAAGACTCTATCAGCGTAGAAATTGCGAATGGAAAAAGGAAACACAACGTAGACCGCTGCAGGAAAAGAGAAAAAGCCCTCGACGTAGCTGAATCCTCTAGAGAGAATTAGTAGAGAGTTTTGACTTCGATAAAATCCTGTAGCCTAGAAAAATGTGTATAAAAACCCGACTGTTTTGCCTAGACTTTTGTATGATACGCAGGTTTAAGAACAAGGACTCCATTCAAAGCACCTGGATATTTAGGTGACAAGACGACGCTCTAACGAGAGCTATCCTCTTGTGCTATTGAGACCGAAGGCAGCTTATTTTCCCCGACACGCCCCCCCCCCCCCTCGATTCGACAGACCCTCGCTTCTGTCGGCCACCCCCACATTTACTGGCGATTCTACCAGCCTTTCCCCCATTCTTCAATGTGTCCACAAAATGGCCAGCGATAAACATTTCACTTACTGAAACGCTCGTTGGTAGATAGAGACTCCAGATCCGGGCTCACAATGGCATCACCGCTTGGACCCCTCAATTGACAAGTCCCTTCGCATTTTCCACAACCCCAGGGTAGTAAGTTATGTTATGTACAATTCATGATTGAAAAAAGAAGTGCGTAGGCCAAAGACATATCGCACGCCGTTCAAACAGTCAAGTCAGATGTATGAGGAGGGAAAAGAGGGAAAGAAAAAGGAAAAATCTACATTTCATCGTCCAGATGCGTTGTGAGCCCCCCAAGTCTATGCGTCTTCCAAAGTGATATGGAAGCCGAAAGCAAGACAGGGAGTGGCGAGGGAGGAGGAGTAATCTACAAAGGCTATACACGAGTGCCGGGGGTTTTATGTACAAAGAGAAGGAGAGAGGGGTGCGAAATCCGCAATCGGAATCGTCAAATAAAACAGGCAAACAAAATATACACTTTCCGCCGCATCTTGAATTTCTCAGTTATGTGTGTGATGTGTGTTGTGTGTTCTCATAAGGGGGGTTCGTTTCACGCCTTGCCCAATAACGGCGAGTTAGGCGGTCTCTGCAGCGCTGCGATCCCCATAACAATCCCACTCAAGAACAAGAACGTCGCTGGCGGGACAGTCGTGAACTGGATCGCAAACACAGGAACGTGGATGAAGCAGTACAGAGCTTTCGCCCAGGCGGGTGCGGAGGTGCGGAATTCGAGCCAGGGTAGCAGGACGCCCGTGGCGAGGGCGAGGATGCCGGGGATGGAGAAGGGGGTGTTGTAGAAGGATTTGGGGATGAACGGGGGGGTGATGAAGGGCGTGCGGTAGCCGAAGCCGGGGATGAAGCACAGGATGCCACCATCTATGCAAACTGTTGGGAGGGAGAAAAAAACATTGTGAGTAATGGTGTTTGCAGGATCTCGATGGACAGGGGACTTTTTCGACTTGCATAACTCAAAACTCACCAGCTGCAGTCGTCATCAAAACCCACCGAGCCCACACGGTCACCCACGATTCCCATTTCTTCGTCGCTGCCATCGTTACGTTGTTGTTGTTGAGTTTGAAGGATCGTTTAAAAAGACTGTGCACCGCTCAGTGAGGTTTTCGTAAATGCGTTCCCAAAAAGAAGTTGCAGGCTGAGCTCTTCCGTCCGTTATCGTATCGTGACAGCAGTTGCTGAGCGCCTTCGTCTGCGTAATATGTGGTTCTGCGGCGTGGGAATATCGGAAAAACAACTCCGCCTGTTGCGTGGCGTGGTGCTGTGCTGTAAAAGTGTTGAGCGAAAGCGAAATGGCGGGTTGGGGAATGGCGACACACAGCCAGACAAACAAAAGCAAGGAGCTGGGGTCTGGGGTCTGGGGGGGGGACTCTGTGGGAATGGAGGCACACGAGGGCTGTGTGGGAGTCTGGGCGGAATATGAACGCCAGAGGGAAGTCTCCGTGCTGGACGTTTCTTCTATGGGGCAATAGCTGTTACAGCAGCTAATAAAAAACAAGGGGGAGAAGAAACGCGCGCGCGTATCTCAAACCGCCCGAGAGGCGGAAGGCGGAGGTGACGAGAGCACAGAAGCCAGCATTCCATGACAGACGCGCCGCACTGCATGCTTCCCTATGGCCCACATCGCCACCACCGGCAACCCCGTCTCAACCATGGACGGAAGGAAGCTTTCCCAAGATCCAAAACGACAGTCCAAAACAGCAATGTGCCTCCCTGGTAAATGCATGTCCTTTTTTTTGATATATGGCTTTCCATATATACTGTATATATACCGCTCTCAAACACCGTCTTCAACCACACCCAGCCATCGTCGAGCAAAAACCTCAGACGCGTTTTGGAAATGTTCTGAAACGAAGGGGTCGGTCGACATGCATTTCGCCCCCGTTTCCTCGCGACGTGTTTCAGAACATCAAAAAGTCTATTTATCGCTCACGTGATATATTTATTTCGTGATGTCATTGCATTTCGCGCTGTCGTTTTTAGCTTTGATTATAGTTGCCGTGACAGCACGTACAGAAGAACCTCCACATATGTCGATAGATCAAGAAAACACATCCTTTGAGAAAATCAGGGTTAAGCAGCACGAGACTGTATTGGACATGAATAAGACCTCCATATCTGAATCTACGTTGAGTGAGTGAATTCAGCCATCGCCGAAGGCTTCTGCTATCACCAAACCCCGACGTAAGACCTCGATCTTCCATATCCAGATCTAGGTTGCTAGGTTGAGTGCTCGCAAGCCATCATCGGAAGACATTCATTGCCTATCCGCAAACCCCGTCGATTTCGTCTGAGTCTCACTTCAGCCATCCAAAACTTTGTGGGCGGTATCTCAAGAACTCGCCGACTTGCAGAGGGTACGTTCCTCCCATATCGGCGACATCTGGATTTGCCCACGCAATCTCCTCGTGATGAAAAACCTCATAGTCCTCCGACTGGCGAGCGTGATTACTTTTCTGCCAGCGTCGTTCCATTTATCCGCAGGGTTAGAGATGCCATATCATTAGCTCCAGATGCTTGGCTTGTAAACCCATTGATCCTCCCTGATGAAGTATTGTGCACTCGAAACAACGGCAAGGCGGGGTTGGAAGGAAACAAGCACTCACTCGTCTGTTTGGCAGCCGGCGACAGACCTCCCGGCATAGGATGGCGGTCGTATGGTCGTACGGTCATAAGTATGCCGTTTACGTCGCCCCGAGTCATTCAGGTGAGCATCCACTCAATGGACTTTCGAGTAAACTGCAAATAAGCGACCCTTACGTCCAAAGGCTTCCCAGTGATGTCGCCGCTTGGAATGCTAATGAGTTGTGAACGGCGACCTGACAGTTGCGAGCCGCAAAGCTGGTATCCGCATGCAAATTCATGCCATACGCTCCCACGAAATGTTCCATGTGCTCCCGAACCCATCTCCCGACGCTTTCCTTCTTATCTCGAATGGGCCGATCGTTGTTTCAGGCCGCGAGCTCCCGACCGGCGAAAAGTCCCGAACATAGAATCCGCGGGCCTCCATATTCTGGTATGCGTCGATCCTTGCGTCGATCCTTTCTCTTCGCCATCCCTCCATTTGTGTGGGCGCGGGAGTCTTCGGAATGCGCTTGTGTATCACTACTATGCGGGCGAGGTATGGCGCATGTTTGTTCATTATTGACGCTCAATCGCTTGGTGAGGGCCTCAGGAGTCGGGCAAGACCAGATGTAAGAGACTGGGCATTCGATAATCACCAACTATTTTACGATATAAGCGGGTCTCACAGTCAACGAAGGGAATGGTTGCAGCTCCGTGACACTCTTCGAGAGTACTTCCACCCTCCCGCGCCTCCCTCTCTTGCTGGCCTATGCCGTCGTCCGTAAGGCTTCACGTCGCCAAAGATGTACGGCCCTTTGGCAGATAGTACCATTGCCACCGGGTATGAGGTTGACATGTCTGGTCATTGGACTGTCTAGCATAACGGATGCCGAGGTCTCCCAGTGCCACCCGGGACATCTCCCGGTGTTGAACAGGCGGAGAAAACATCCCGTACGGTTTGCAGAGAACGTAGTGACGCCAGGCCGGGGCGACTGGGAACCGGCGGTCATACTAGTCGTCGTGAGCCGTCGGACGGAGCGACGAAAAACTGTTTCGCGATTGGACGCCCTTGCCTTTTTCCCAACGGCAATCCCCTGACCAGTGAATCCGTGGTTTTTCAGATTCATTAGAGGCTGCCCAGGGGAGGGGTGAATGGAAGCGTTCTCCCGCGTCTGAACTGCCCCAACGTGGGACCAACGTGGGACACAGTGCAGATTCAGATCTTCAATCAACTCTGCTCAGCATCCAACCCGTTGAGGGAAAGGACTTGTATCAGCTGTCCAACGGAACCGCCGCTGCCCCTACTCACGGCGGGATCCAGGGAGCCCCCCTCTTGTCGCTCGATTGTTTCCGTTTCGAGACCGATTTTCTCCATCTCCTTCGCCGCCCACAGAAAAGCACATCCCGTTCCCCAATCCCCTGAGAAGTCGCGTAAGGCTGGAGTCACCAGTACGTAGCGGCTGGAGATGGTAACGTTTGGCACAGGTTCTTCGATTTTTAGCTGCCTTTGGCGACAGTTTCTTTTCCCAGCTCCTTCGAATCACAGAACCGCACGCCGACTGGAACCCAGACTGGAACCACCTCAATTGAGCATCGCTCTGCTAAGCTAATTAAGTCTGTCACGTGTACGATTTAAAACTAATTCTGGGTGGCGGTGCAAGACGGGGCATGGCGCGTTAACCATGATGTCATGGAGTGACTCTTGGGCCTTGGCTTCCCGTTTTTTTGACCGCGGAACCCAGCAGATTGACATCAGTGACATGGCGAACGTCACACTAACCTCATCTTTTCCCTCGCTCCCAGGGACCCCCCCTGGGCGACGTGTTGGTGCCAAGGAGACAGACAGGGCCACGAAACATGGAATGTTCTACGAACTCATATAAACGCACAACAGGTCCAAGCCTCTGTCGTCACGTCACATCAGCTCCTGGCCCTTACTCCGCCAATACGCGTTATTGGGCTTTGCCTTCCGGCGGGGCTCTGGTGGGAACATGATTCTTTCCTTCTGAATGGGGGTGGCGAATGATGTCCCCACTCACCTCCTTGTGGCATTGGCGTTGTGGGGTTTGCCATGCGATCTGTGCGTCATTGGGGTCACATTGCGTCCCCTTGGAGTCCCTTCGACACGGACTTGAGGAGACTGACATCCCTTCCCGCCGTGTATAAAAGGGAACAGCAGGCGTCCGGAATCCCTCTTCTCCAAACCACATCGCACAATTTGCAACTACAAACGAAACACAACAACCCAACCCATTTTCCTCAACCAAACCCCAAAACCACATCAACCAAAGATGACCCACCACACCCACTCCACCGTCGAAGGCGCCGGCGCTGCCCGTGTCCCTACCACCGCGACCGCCCACACCGTCACCACCGGCGACAAGATTCTTGGTTCCGTTGAGCGTCTGGCTGGACACATGCTTCCCGGCACGGACCTCGGTCACCAGCTCAAGGCCGACGGCGCGAGGCTGAAAGGCAACGAGGCCAAGGCGCAGAAGGCCGAGTCGCACATGGACCACCACACTCACAGCAGCGTAACTACTGGTAGCTACATTGCCGGAGAGTTCGAGGTAGGCAACTCATTCTTTTCCTTGTTCCTTCGCGAGTCCGATTTTAATCATCCCATTCCCCTTCCCAATTCAACAGCGCGGTGCAGGACACGCCCTGCCTTTCACCCAAGCCGGCCACAAGCTGAAGGCCGAAGGTGCGATCGACAAGGGTGACAACCGCACCGCCCAGAAGGCGGAAGCGCACATCAAGCCCCACGTCGTGTAAACATACCCCACGTCGTCTCGCTCGTATATATATATCCCCCAACTCCTACATTTTTGGCATGGCCTCCCCGTAGCTCTCTCTGGTCCTTCAAATCAGTTTTGATTTTTTTCCCCCCTTCACCGTACATGCCTGTGACTCTCATCATAGTCTCTTCGTTGAAGGGTCCTTGAAAATATATCAACGATGTGCTTGTGCAAGGAATCTGTTCCGCTGCTTTTTGTTTTGCATCGCCAAATGATTTGGTAAACGTCCCTGAACAGGCTGATGATTCTGATAAAAAAAAGAACTACGCTCAAGCAGCGTTCGGCGCGAAGCCGTCTCCTTGAGCGCCCAAGTGATAGATCTTACGCAATTCGGCTTCGTTCCTTCCAATAACACGTGTGTCTCTCAATTATGGAACAGGAGACTGGATCGTCGTTCAGTACAATCCAATACGTTTGTCCTGTTCGCCAAAAGCATACACCACAGTTTCCGCTCTCATTTATTGAACACACCCCACCTGCAGGAAAGGAGGTCGTTTTGAACTTCCCTCGCAGGGCTTCATCGGTCGTTGCCACTGCAGATCCCTTTCGTTGACGGGAAACCCGTCAATAATCTGCTTCGAGTAAGACTGCACGTGACCTCTCCATAGCTCACGTGACCTACGAATCTTTCTTCCCGCATCCTCCCTTCGCATAAACTTCCCAGCCCTTCGCAATCCTCTTTTTCTCCCTCTCTCGGTTCACATTCTCGGAAATCTCCCCACTTTTCCCGGACTAACCCCCACCGACAACTCAAAATGGGTCGTATGCACGCTCCCGGAAAGGGTATCGCCTCTTCGGCTCTCCCCTACCGTCGCTCCCCCCCGTCGTGGTTGAAGACCAACCCCGAGGAGGTCATTGAGCACATTGGCAAGTTCGCCAAGAAGGGTTTGACCCCGTCCCAGATTGGTGTTATCTTGAGGTGAGTTGGGGGTTACTGTGATGGGAGATTGTTGCGGAGTGAGGAGGAGAGAGGAAGGCAGATCCGAAAGAGACAGATTTGAAGTTTTCCGAAGCTGAAGTGCAGAATACTAAACCTCTTCACTCTCCAGGGACCAGCACGGTATCGCCCAGGTCCGCAACGTGACCGGTAACAAGATCCTCCGTATCTTGAAGTCCAACGGTCTCGCCCCCGAGATCCCCGAGGACCTTTACCACTTGATCAAGAAGGCCGTTGCTATCCGCAAGCACTTGGAGCGTAACCGCAAGGACGCCGACGCCAAGTTCCGTCTCATTCTTGTCGAGTCCCGTGTCCACCGTCTTGCTCGTTACTACAAGAAGTCTGGTCAGCTCGCGCCTAACTGGAAGTAGTAAGTATCTGCTGTCTTGGAGATGGTGTCTTCGGTTTGGGGGAAGGTGAACCCGCTGGGTAGTCGAAAAAGCTGCTGCCATTCCTACGCAGCGGTGTTCGGGTGAGGTCGTCCGCATGTTTTCGTCACATCGGCGGTGTGTCCTGGTGGCCACTTATGTCGTGACGTCTACATGCGACGCCCATCCAACGGGTTTGGGACATTATTCGGGTCCCGACGGTGGCTAGCCCACTGTCGGATCAACTCGGTAATCGTCGTCGTTCAAAATCACTGACAAAACGTCTGCCCGTTTTTTCCCTTCTTCCACCCCCTCACAGCGAGTCCGCCACTGCTTCCACCCTTGTTGCTTAAGTTGCTCAAGCGTGCCTTTTCGCCTGCTCGGATCCCGCTGTACACTGGGAGTTCAATTCAAGTGCGCAGGGATCGTTGGGAGGGTTTTTCTGTTGTATTTGTACCTTTGTGCAGAATGAGTCTACCCTGTCGTTTGGTTGATCTGAGCGTGGGGATGAACGAGATGTTTGAAAACAAATACACATTTTGACATGAAACCGAAGTATTGGTTGTGCTGTGTACCCTGTTCGCTTTTCTGCTTTGCTGTGTTGTGTGTGTTGTGTCGTCGTTTGCAACTTGGTTGCGTAGAGCGTGACAGGCTAGGCTTAGACAACGGAGGGAGCCTGCGTGGTCTAGATATCTAGTCAGCGACAACGCAGATGGATTCCACGGGGCAGGTCCCTTATTGGTCTTCATGGTATGCGATATGTGTTCCGACTGCGTTTCCTCCAACGCCGAGTACTTATGTTCTGCTCAATGTGCCCCCAACACTCCCGCAGTCGGTGCACGCCCATAAAGTCGTCTTGCAGTTGCTAAGCCTCCGCAATAAAGTGCAACGCCAGCCTTGTAAACGCTGCAAATCTTCCACGGAATGCAGCACGGAATGGCGGAATCGGCCAAAAACGCGATCATCTCTCGCGTCCCCTTTCCGAGCTTCCCTGGCTTTTGAGTTTGTTTTCGACGCAAGGCCCTTTTTTTCTCGGCCGCCCGCACAGGGAGAAATTACCCATCTTGCTAATATAACAGAGCAACGTTTTGTTCACCGAGCGGCGGCTTCCCTCACGTTAAAGACGAACGTAGATTCCCTCCTGTGGAAACGACGCTTCCCTGCACCCGCCTGCCTCCGTTCCCCGTTGAAAGCCGGAGTGCATCCCACAGTAGTTCAAAAGCCCGGCAACCATCGTAAAGCTCTCGCAAATGGCTTGCTAAAGGACAGTCGAGCACATAGAACGAGAGGACACTACTTCATAGAGACGCGGGAAAGGGAAGACGTGGAAGCGATCATCGAGACGCCGGGGTCGGAGTTACTTGTCATTGTGGCTTGAACGAAAACGAACGAGACGAAACGTTCTCCCACGAGGGTCCAAACACTACGGAAGTTCGAAATGACAGGTGGAGGAGCGAAGAAGCAGCTGAGCCCTGCCGCGGACCTACTGTTTGGTTCGGTACGTTCCATGTCAATGTATTCTGAGGGCCCCAAGCATGGGCTCGCCTGTTTGCCGCGGAGTCCACAAAATGCTCACACCCCTGACCTCTAGGCAGCAGGCTCAGTTGGAATGCTGTTCCAATTTCCTTTTGACACGGTCAAGGTACGGTTGCAATCACAACCGCACGGCACCAAACTTTTCAAAGGCCCACTGGATTGCGCTGTGAAAGGTATCAAGGAAGGAGGACTGGGAAATCTTTACAAGGTGCGGAGAGAACGAAAAACATGGAGTAGTGGTATCCCTGGACAACGAAGAGGATCACTAAATAATGGTTGGCTATACCGAATAGGGCCTGTCGGCGCCTCTCGTGGGAGCGATGATCGAGAACTCGACGCTTTTCCTCGCGTTCAACCATATTCAAGGCATGATACGGCAGTACTCTGATACACCTGATGATATGCCATTGACGATGAAGCAACTGGCTTTCTCGGGATTCATGTCAGGAGCGGTCGTATCTTTCATTCTGACACCAGGTGCGTTAACCGTACGTTATAGGATTCGCCAATGGCCCGTTAGACTGACCCAATGTGTTCTTTGCACAGTTGAACTTGTCAAGTGTCAACTCCAGGTTCAAGATGTCCTATTCACACACCAGGGAGCCGTCCCGATACATCCGCACCTCTCTTCCTCAATACTACCGCCCTCATCACCCGCATCTCAGCAACGGCCGATCACAACAGCAGCAGCCGTCTCCGCGATACCCGTATACGCATACACATCACAGTCGCATCCGCAATCGCCAACACGATCGCAACGTCGCGGTCCCATGGGTGTCATCCTGAACACGCTGAGAACTCACGGCCTCCGCGGCTTCTACCACGGCCATGTCGGCACCTTCCTCCGAGAAGCCGGCGGTGGTGCCGCCTGGTTCGGCACCTACGAATTCGTTGTCCGTCAGTTCCTCATCCGCGCCGAGCGAGCACGCCTCGCGCATTCCTCTACCGCCGCATCGCCTACCACCACTTCCCTCCCAGCACTAAAGAAGGAAGACCTCCCAACATCGCAGATCATGATCGCCGGCGCCATCGCCGGCATGTCATACAACGGCATCCTGTTCCCGGCGGATTGCGTGAAGAGCCGGCAGCAGACCATGGAAGGAGGATCGTCGTTCCTGCAGGTTGCGAAGAAGCTGTACAGGGCGGAGGGATACCACGGCTTTTATCGCGGGTTTGGCATCACGGTTGCCAGGAGCGCGCCGACCAGTGCTATGATTTTCGCTACATATGTGAGTACTTCTATTTGAACTCAGAGAAAATGGTACATGCACTTGCGCAATTGGATACTTACCCTGCCGTTGCTCTAGGAACTCCTGGCTCGACATGCTGCCTTTTGAGTAGTTTAGTAAACTTGCGTCGGCCGCGCAATTGGAATACCTGGTTGCGGATAGGGAGCACCTGGTCCACTAGGTCATTGTATGCTATCGGTGCACCCCCAACAACCACGCACCTCCGGGAGGGCCTGGTATCGAAAAGTTATCGGCTCCCACCGACGCCTGAATCGTCGGTCCCTTCAGCACTTACGGCACATCTCCCGCCACCCGCCAACCTCGTAATCACGATCCCACACAGAAACATCCGCCTTCCCTCGCGTCATCATGCGAGACGAGGACACCTAGACCCTGGATACCATTTTTGGATAATAACCCTGCCCGACATACCGCCCGAAAACAACCATACTGATGCCCACCATGCTACTGAATCCTGCTTCTTCATTAGAATCGTGCCTTACAATCATCGTATTTATCATTTTTCGCTGCTTCTTTCATCATAATCTATATTGCACTACACACCCGTGTTCAAGTTTTCTGATGCAAAAGGAGCGTCAAGTGGTTTTGTTGTACTGCACCGCTCCATGAGTTCCCGGCAGCGTCCCCGGACCCGGGACCGGATCTCGGAGGTGACGTTGGTACCCGGCTCGCGGATCATTCGGACCCACTGGCGCGGTGCCAGTGGGTCGGAGATGACGATGACTGGACCTGATCCCTGTGTTGCTATCCATTGGATCAAGGTGTTCCTCATTGCACGCTCACGTTTTCAGGCAGCGACATCCGTGGTGAACGCACGTTCGTAGCGCGTTCCTGAGCCCACGCACGGCCCTACAAGGATGTTGCTCCGACATCGTCCAACGCCGAGCGGGCACCTACGGTGATTTGTGTGCTTTGCCGCTACTGAATCATTCATCGCCCCGGCCTTTCTCGTGCACCGACTTACCTTGTACAGTACTACGTGGTCCCAAGTTATCGGGCTGACCATCACCATCCGTCGTGGGATCGGTCTCCAGTGTTGCGAGCAGAGGACTCACCACGAGCCGGCGGCAATTTCCCTTGTCTCGCCGATGGCACATGGCATCCCAAAGTATAAAAGGGCGCAAGCGTCGGCATCACCCTCTCACAAACCATTTCATTTAAACCAAGTCCCAACGCTCTCCTCAAGTTCACATCGCTTCGCCAAACCATGCTTACCACCACCATCCTCTCTGTCATCGCTTTCGCCGGCGCTGCCCTCGCTGCCCCTGCGTGGGGTCCTCCGGGCACCGTCCCGCACAACTCGATTAACCCTGTGCCGGACACATTGGGCGGCAACGGGGTGACCATTCGCAAGTTTCAACCCCTTCTTCACATCGCACACGGTTGCCAGCCTTACCCCGCTGTCAATAACAACAACCAAGTCAGGTAAGGCCTTGTTATTAGACGGAGAGGAAGGCCAGCAATGCCCTAAAACATTCTTTATTCCAGTGGCGGTCTCAAAGACACCGGCAATCACGCCGCCGGCTGCCGCGACACCAGCAAAGGCCAAACCTACACACGCTCCGCATGGTACAACGGCCGCTTCGGCATCATGTACGCGTGGTACATGCCCAAAGACCAGCCGGCGGACGGCAACTGGCCCAGCGGGCACCGTCACGACTGGGAGACGACCGTTGTCTGGCTTAACGCCAACAGCGAGAATGCCCGCATCATCGGCGGCGCTACGTCTGGTCACGGCAAATTCAAGAAGACTGCGACCCCGAAAGCGCGAGGCTCGAACGTCAAGGTCGAGTACTACACGAACCTGGGATTGGACCATGAGCTGCAGTTCACCGACACGACGGGCCGTAGTTACTGGTTGTATGACTGGGATGCCATGCCCGAGATTGTGAAGAGCGCTCTCAACCAAGCGAACTTTGGAAAAGCCAATTGCCCGTTCAACGACAACAACTTCAGGAACACTTTGGCGAAGGCTTTCTAAAGGGCAACGCCTTCCCGCTGATGTCCTCCCATAACTGTCACATGAGAGATTGAATCATAGAGTAGATTCACTGTATATAGAGAATGACCGCGTACCATTTACGCTAGATCGTACGCTTGCATAGGCAACCCGGGCGCGGGCGCTTCTGCTTGTTTCACTAGAAACCATCTGTAATATATCTTTGAACGTTAACGCCTCGGCTTTGGAGAGTGAGTTCATGAACGCCAATCTTCCTCGAGGGACGCGCTGTCGAATATTCGAGTTTCCGGCAACGGCTTTTGGATTCTTTGTCCCTAGTGACCTTCGCGGCCGCACCGGTGGCAAGGCCCACGAGGTCAGTCTGCTCGTCATCTCGCCCAGAAGAAATACGTGTGGAAGAAGGAAACACCCGTCCCGCGGCGTAGGGTAGGGACAACGCCCACCGCTTAGGGAATACGCCGCCTCCTCCACTTTTACCATCTAGACTTCCCGCGATGATGTGCGAAGCCTGCTAGAAGCCTGTCCGCTCCCAGCACCGGTTCTACGAAAGGGTGGCCAAAGAACCCCGGTCTAGGCAAGAAAGACTTAACAGCCAAATTCCCGTGTTTTTGAGTTTGGGACAAGTTCCAACCGAGTATTCCGCTTAACTGCAGGCGGCTTGCTGGAGTCCCATTGCTCCAATTGATAGATAGCAATGTGCGACATGGTGAAGAGCACAGAGAGCGCTAAACGCCAGGGGTCCGTTACACCTCCCTCGTTGAATGAACGCTCGGGTATGTGGACAAGCGCGGGTGGCATTCGAAGCGTCTACGCCGGCTGGGGGGCGAGCAAAGCTCGTGAGTTTGAAGGAGCGGGGACGAGTCGGCGGCATCCTGTCAAAAGCGGAAATCCTATGTGTGTTGTCAAACTTGAAGTGACCTTTATTGGAACAGCCGCGCACAAGCCGGCGTACGTTTCTTCCCACATTTGCTCTTATGCCGCTGTCCGTCGTCAAGAGAGGCTGCCATGGGAATCCGTCCTGTGAGGAAAGAGGGAATAGGGACGCTTCGCTGGCCGGGGTGATCAAGAACGTCGTCTTCCGCTGCCGGCCTGCATAAAGCAATTTTAGGAGGAAGATCGCGGATGCCGACTCTCTACTGTCTGGTAAAAACATTCGCTGTGACGTCCTCGGCTTCAATTCTCTGACTTCCCACCTTGTTTCTACAGGTGTACGGGGACCACCCAGACTTGATAGCTTCTCGGTCGATGTAAGAGATCACCATCGCGCAGCTTCGCCATCTTGTCTACCAACCCCTGGCCGTCCGCTTCCCTACGACCTTCGTAGCCAATCTCAAGCTATATCAAATCGACGAGGACGACCTCCGCGTTGATGATCCGAGATTGCTGTGAATAAGCGACCCGTCGGAAGAACAATCGCTACCCCTCATTGAAGACACGTTCAGAGTTACCCCACTCAGAAACGTGTTTGCGAAAGTATGGGATCAGTTTTCGGAGGAGAGATGTGCGGGCGACGCTCGTCCGAATCTCTTCGTGGGATGCGATCTGGACGGTAACGGGGTTGGCGAGACCCTGCCGCCCGCCTACACTTTGTCACTTCCGAGGATCGCGACCATCACAACGCCTCCTGAACCGCGGCCCGCAAACGTTCGACCGGTGTCGAGTGCCATGTCGGGTCCCCATGAGGCTGTTGGTGCATTGGGATCTTCCATCCCGCCGGCGGGCCGCGGAAAAAATCTCGTCTTCGGTGCTGCACCTGCTCACCACGTTCGTGACACTGCTCCAAGCGTCGAAACTCTTGGGAAAGGTTCTGCTGCCGTTGGCACTTCTCTTGACACTTCTCAGCGTTGGCCGAGCGCTGGTAGTTCTGCTCATTTTGATGTCTCCAGGGCAGCGGTGGACGACTCTGCGATTGAACGACACCTCGACAGCAATGTCGCTCCAGCAGTGACGAACCCTTCAGGCTCTGCACCATTACATGTTTTGGAAGCACGGATTGTCCCGGAGCCAAAACCGGTGAACACCGCCCACGATGACAGAGCGCAGCAGACCTGCGTATCGGGGTTCAAGGGTTTGTTCCGGAATAGGAAGCGCCGATACGCTCTCGCTGTCCTGCTCATTCTGGCCGCAGTTGGGATAGCCGTTGGCGCCGTTGTGGGTGTACGATCAAAGCAGCCATCCTTGCAAGGCGGCGAAGCGGCGGCCGATCCGGCTGATTCCACCCCAGGCGCGCGTACACCATCGCAAGGTACGCCATCGCAAGGGACTTCATCTCCTGGCCCCACCGTCTCCCCTGCCGCGGCGCCTGGCACGTTGTTTCGCGAACTCTATCACCTGGCTACGGTAACATCCATCGAAACTTCCCATTACGGAAAGCAGCTCTTGAGTGTGGATACTACGGGCATGGTCAGAGTTACGGACATCGCCACTGGCGTCTCCGTCCGAAATATCACGCCTCATGACCATTCCAATGTGTTTCTAGCTGCATCTCCTGATGGCAGCTTCTTCAGTGGCGCAGGGGGCCCTACGCGCATTGGGAGCCCGCCACAGATTCGACATTGGGATACGGCCAGCGGGCAGCTCATACGAGATTACACACCCAGCTTGAACTTGGCAGGTGATGTGGGCATCCTGGCCCTCACACTTTCGGCTTCCGGATTTGATGGATTACAACTATTCTCACTGTGGACCGATGGGACCGTCATGCGCACCGGAACCGTCTCGGGGGCTCGCCAGATTTACCCTGCGTCCGTCAGGACTACTTCAGAAATCTTGACCGCTTCAATAACGCCATCGTTATCAGCGCCGACGGAACGACGATGTACAGTTTCGACGCTTCCACCGGCGTTTCGCAGTGGAATCTGACCTCCAGCACCAAGATCAGGGAATACCCGTACAGCCGAAATACACGCATTGCGCTTACGCCCGACGACAAGAAGCTCTTCCGCACTGAGTCTGGTGATAACAACAGCACGATTGTCCAGATAGACACAGCCACGGGCGCCTCCGACTGGCGTTTAGCACGTCCGTCCATCGACAGAATCATGGTTTCCCCCGATGGGAAGCAACTCTTCACCTCGGAGGATTCCGTTGTTCACCAGTACGATATCACGCCGGAGGGACTGACACTTGTTCGGACCTTACCTGAAGTTTTTTATAGATATGGTATGGGGGCCGCGGCGCTCACCCCCGACAGTTGGCCACAGTGTCGCGCAGTTTGCTGTCTAGAGTGAGGGCCATCATAGTCTAGCGTAGTGCTGCCTCAGCCCTGCGTACGTAGACACTTTAGAGAATTAGATGTGCATTAGACCCCATCGGTGGCGGTAATGATATGCATCATCTTGTGTCCGATGGATGTCGCGCGCGTCCACAAGCGGCTCGGACTTTTTCCTGTCAGAGAACTTGGTTCCCTTCGCCGTCGGAGCTGCCTCTGATATTCTTCCAACGAGCACCAAGACATAAACAGAGGCAGAAGGAGTAATACGCAGACCCTACCCCTCTGTCCATTGTGCACCTGGGCGACGTTGAGACAAACTTCCCGACTCTTGCGGGTATGTGTTCATCCAGTCGGGATTCGGACAAGTTACAACTGCGAAGGCGCGGGTGCACTGGGCGATCTTGAACTGGATTCCCCGTAATCTCTTGAGAGCCTATCTGGTGTACATGCCCCTCGTGTGCGCACTCCTTCCCTCTCCCACTCACATTATCCCCCGTCCTTCCCAGATCATCACCACCAACCCGACCCACAACCATGGCCGAAAGCGCCAAAAAGATTCCCGAGCACCGCCTGCAGCAGTTCAAAAACCGCGGAGCCTGGAATGCGGAGGACCTGCGTCGCCGCCGCGAGGATGTTGCCGTCGAGCTGCGGAAGCAGAAGCGGGAGGAGTCGATGGCCAAGCGGCGCAATTTGAATATCACGTCGGGGGATTTGTCGGAGAGCGAGGATGAGGGGATGAGTTTCGGGACTGGCGGGCAGGTGTGTTGAGATGGGATTTGTGTTTTGAGTCGGGAAGGAAAATGAGAGGCGGAAGGGATTCGGTTTGGGTGGCATGTGGTATTGATTTGGCTCGTCGGCCCGGTTTTAGGACTTGCAGGAGTTGGTCAATGGAGTCTACTCGAACGACGTCGAGGCCCAGACGTCTGCAACGGCGCGGTTCAGGAAGATTCTATCAAAAGGTGTGCATGGGAGACCTTTTGTGCGGATTTCGCCGTTCCATTATTGGCAGCTGACGTTTGTCTTTGTCTTTTCAGAGCAAAATCCGCCCATCGAGGATGTCATCAATGCAGGTGTTATTCCAAAGTTCGTCGAATTCCTGCGTTCGTCGAACCCGCTGTTGCAGGCAAGGGCTCTCTTTCTAGCGATGTTGCGGATTTGGTTGAACGAGGCGATTGCACGTCAAATTGACATTGCGTTGGTTTGTAGTTTGAAGCCGCTTGGGCCTTGACCAACATTGCGTCCGGAGCGTCCCACCAAACCCAAGTCGTCATGGACGCTGGTGCCGTCCCTATCTTTGTTGAGCTCCTGCGTTCTCCCAGTCCCGATGTCAGAGAGCAGGTGAGGTTTCGGCATATGTGCTTTCAGTCAACGCATAGAGCGTTTGCTCCTTACCGACCTACCCTTCCTTCGTCGCAGGCCGTCTGGGCTCTCGGAAACATCGCCGGAGACAGTCCCAAATGCCGTGACTTTGTTCTGGCCTCGGGCGCTCTTCAGCCTCTCTTGCAGGTTCTCAACGAGCCTACAAACAAGCTTTCCATGCTGCGTAACGCCACCTGGACATTGTCCAACCTCTGTCGTGGAAAACAACCTCAGCCTGACTGGCCCACGGTATGGAAAACGCTCGAAAGTGATTGAACCCGTGGCATGGTTGTGTATTGAGCGGCGCACTTTCTCTCGTAGATTGCGCCTTCCCTCGTCATCCTCGCCAAGCTGATTCACGCCAACGACGAGGAGGTTCTTACCGATGCTTGCTGGGCAATCTCATACCTTTCTGACGGCGCCAACGAGAAGATCCAAACCGTGATTGACGCCGGAGTCTGCCGTAGACTCGTGGAGCTCTTACACCACCATTCGCCCGCCGTGCAAACCCCCGCATTGCGCTCCATTGGCAACATTGTGACTGGTGACGATATGCAGACCCAGGTCGTTATCAACTGCCAGGCTTTGCCCGCTGTCTTGGGCCTTTTGAGCAGTCCGAAGGACGGAATCAAGAAAGAGGCTTGCTGGACTATCTCAAACATCACGGCTGGGAACGCTAACCAAATTCAGGTATGTGGTGGAGCTCCACCTTCTTGGCGTGATACAGCGAAGCATAATGTCATGATTGCTCACATTTTCCGTTCGCTTCTCTTGCAGTCAATCATCGATGCCAACCTGATTCCGCCTTTGATCAACATTCTGAATCACGGGGATTTCAAGACGAAGAAAGAAGCGTGCTGGGCCATATCCAACGCTACTTCCGGAGGTCTTACCAGGCCTGAGCAAATCAAGTGAGTCCCTCCCTTCTACGGTTTGTATCACGTTCAACTCTTTTCTCACTCATAACATTTGCTTGCTAGATACCTCGTCGAACAAGGGTGTGTGAAACCGCTCTGCGACCTCCTCGCCTCGCAAGACAACAAGATCACCCAAGTCGCTTTGGACGGCCTCGAAAACATTCTCAAAGTGGGCGACATGGAACGCGTGCAAACGGGGGGGCAGAATCTCATGGCCAACTACATCGAGGAAGCGCACGGCGTGGAGAAGATCTACAACCTGCAGCTGCACGAGAACGCGGAGATCTACAAGAAGGCGTACACGATCATCGACAAGTACTTTGCGGACGACGAGGATGAGAATGAGGGCGCGGCTATGGCGCCGCAGGTTGACCCGACCACGGGACAGTTTGCGTTCTCGAATGCGGTGGATTTGCCCCAGGGCGGGTTCAACTTTTAGAGCGCTTTGCAACGTGGGAATTCGTCACGTCCGCTAGCGGCCGGCAAAACGTCGCGCCCGCCCCCGCTTTTCGCAACATCCCAATTCTTTTCGTATCGACATCCGCCCGAACTTCCACGAGTCATGCAACGGGCATCGTGAAGAACACCGCTACGCTGTCAGTGCGCACACGGTGCATCATCCGTAGACATATGTGCTTATTGTATTTCTCCTCCCCTCTTCCCGGCCCGTCTGTATACGTATACTCTCCCCCTATCTTCCCCTGTCAAGTTTATATCTCTTTCCCTTCGCCGCTTTGCAACATATGTATCTTGTTCAATTATATTTTTGCTCGCATCACATCCGCTCTCTGTGTTGCATTTGCGGGTGCCGCCTGGAAAGGCGCGACAGGAGGGACGGCACATAGGGGCCGCTACGACAAGTTACCCAAGTCAACTTCGACCGTAGATACTTTTTATTGTGTGTCTTCCCCTTGATGATGCAAAAGTACATAATGTTGATGATAGATGATGAGAATCACAAATATACATATTGCCATGGGTCCAAAAAAATAACACAGAGGTGAAGCGTATGGTTCACACATGAAGTGCAGCAAAAAGGGAATGTGTCCCCCCAATACGTCCAAAGACCAAAATCCTGTAGAGTCCTCAGCTCCTGTCCAGCACCCCAAACTCGGGCTCCCTCCCCTTCCTCAAATAAGGTTTCGCGCGGTCCATATCCACGGGCGGTCCGGGCCTCGCATCCCGGTCCCCCTTGAACTCGAAGAACCAGCTCTCAAACTCATGTTTCCCAGCCTCCTTCGCAGCCCGTTCCGCCGCCAACGTGCGCTGCTCATCCTCCAGTTTCCGCTTCGCAGCCGTCGCAGCCTGCGATTCCTTTTGTAGCAGCGCGGTGGTCACGGCCTCCCACATCCGCCGGGATTCAAGCGGGTGTTGTTGTGCGATGGGGAGGGTTTGTTTGACAGCGGGTGATGACGCGTGCATGTCGAATAACAGCCGGGCGTCGGTGGACGCGGCGGAGGAGAGGGAGGAGCTGGATTTGCGCGAGGAGGATGTATCCGATTTGGTCGATTTGGTTGATTTGTTGCTCGCGTCCGGAGCAGACGTGACGTAGATCTTGCCGTTCCATTGGCCGTGGAGCTTACACACCACATCCGCGGCCGGAATCTTACTCAACTTCTCCCGTTCCTTCCGCTCTTTCTCCGTGAACTTCTTGTCCGCGTCGTAGTCGTACCGGAACACTTTCCCCTCGATCGCAAACTTGGCCTTGCCGAAAGTCGGCTCGTCTTTGTACTCGAGGACGGCTTTGAGGCCGGTTTGGGGGCAGGCGATGATGGCACTCTCGCTGACGGTGATGTAGGGGGAGCCGGAGAGCCAGCCAGTGATGGAAGCCCAGGGGTGTTGGATGTTGTATTCTTCGTTGTTGTGCGAGGTGAGGGTGATGTAAATGCCGTGGTTTTGGACGCCGGGACCGACTTTTACGTCTGGGCGCGTGAGGAAGGGATTAAAATCGAAGCAAAGACGTTTCTCGTCCAGTCGAGCAAATCTGGCAACTACTTACTTGTCCCGGTGAATCGCGCGGCGATGTGATCCACGCCTCGTCCAATTATCCCTTTCTCTTTGCACTCGTAGTAGTAAGCCGAGACTGGTGGGTGATGCGATATTTGCTCTGTCACGGCTGGTAATGGGTGGGTGCAGAGGTAAGAATACGATGCTGCCAGTGTTTCAAAACGGGGCAATCCGGAACCCGTCGCTCAACTTACATGTCACCTTCAAAGTCTTCCTCTTCGACCCGGCACCCGCAGTCTCCGTAGTCACCCCCTCCCCATCGAGACTCACACTCTCCGTAGGAGCAATATCCAGATCCCCTTCTTCTGCATCCGCCGCCACATCCCACCAGCACAAGAACCGTTCCCCAAGGACCGAGTTATATGGCTTCTTTATCCTCTGGTCCTTCCATTTCGTGTCTTTGGAGTACCACCATCGTATCACCCTCAGCATCCGCTCTTCGGGCGTGTCGCCGTCCGGTATCGAGATGAAGTAGTCGGGACGGTCCATGTAGTTCCAGAACTCGAGGTTCGATTCGGGTTCCATTAGGGATGCGGGCAGGGACAGGCGGCTGTGCGTGGTAGAATTAATGATTTGTTGATGAGAGACGCAGAAGATAAACCCATATACAAAGAGATTTTCGGCGACACACGTACATGGCAGAAATATCCTTGACACCGACCAGTTTCCGCAACAAGCCCAGCAGAAACTTGACCTTCGAAGATCCCTCATCCAGGTCCACAGCCTCCGTGGAGGCGCCGACTTCCGCGTCGGGAGCGAGCGAGTTATTGCTTTCTGATTTTTCTACGGCCATGACGACTATACTATGCGTTCGGGTTGACGCAAATGCGGAGTTTCGTCCTTGACAGTGGCAGTTGTTATATACGTGGGATCCTTGGATTCCTGGGGCAGACAACGTGCTTGCAGTTTCTCAGAGATAAGCTTGTGCAGAAAGGTGGTTTGCTGTGCGCCTTTTTCACAAGTAAGAGCCCCGATGGCGGCAACGTGCTGAGCGAAGCGGGGACCCGTTTACATATGTTTTTTCCAGTGCCTTTTTTCCCACTGAGCTCGAAATAGCACGCACGGAGGGAGCAGGGTCCGGGTGGTTGGTGGCGCAGGCGGAAACAGAGTCAAACACTGTGGCAAGCAACGCGCGCGGGGAATGCTGTCATCACTTTCCCGCGACCTGGATTGCTCATCGTTGTTCTCCCGTTCTTCCCAGGGCACTGGGGTCTCAATTCCAACCGTTCCGAGCATTCACAAACGACCGTCAACTTGAGCGTCATTGGTAAACAACATTGCAGTTTGACACGTCTCGTACCGTTTCTTATACTGTTATAAGTGATGGGAACAAAGCTGCTCTTGCAACCGATGGATGCAGGGCCCGTGAGTTCATCCACAATACGTGGTTTTTGACTTTGTCTACTCGCCAACGGCGAGCCATGATGCTCTTGCCTGTAGGGTGTCGACGCCAACCTTCGCAGGTAGTATCGACCGCCTTGTTACCGGTACGCAACGGCTGCGACTCAACGTGGGGAGGTGCCTCGAAGTGCCGTAGCCGCCCTAGGGATATGTCATTCTTCTCAACTCTTTGTACAGTATGCTGTAAATGCAGACTTGCGCTTGTGCGATGAGCCTATCAGACCGTTTGCGTCGGTTGCATGACATCCATATCCATCCTTGATTTGGACAGTTCACGAAGAGGTCCATCGATGGGGGGGGGGGGGGGGGGGTTGAAGTCACGAAAGGGATGAGTGTGCGTGGTGCGCGTTCTTGCTTACTGCGGGCAAAGCACAGATGGCTGATGACGCACATTCTGAATTGACTTTCGGAGCCCCATTCCCCAAATGAGAATCCATCAGCCCCATTCTGCTACTGGCTTTTTTCAACCTTCAAAAGAACACAGCATTCATACCGAATTCCCCACCGAACCTGCAAGCTGAACTCATAACTAGTTTTTGACTAGCACGCACTGCAATACATACGACTTACCACCACCACAGGCTTCGTATCGTATCACTCTTCATTACCACCTTCAACCATCATCTTCAGCCACGATGCCTCCCGCGCACCAAGCCACGAAGGCCGCCAACACAGACCAGCTTATCCAGGATGACCCTTATCTCAAGCCCTACACCGGCGTCATCGAGCACAGGTACGGCGTATCCTTCCCGCCTTCACCATCTACGCGTCGGTGGCATCTACTTACCTGTGCGATCTCTCTATTAGATACGCGCAATTCTCGCGGTGGATGGACACGATCAACAAGGATGAGGGAGGCATCGACAAGTTTACGAGGGGATGGGAACGGCTGGGCTTCAATGTGGATGCAAAGACGGGAGAGATTACTTACAGGGAGTGGGCTCCGGGGGTTACTTCCACGGCTTTGATTGGCGAGTTCAGTGAGTATTGTTCGAATGAACGCATTGCGAAAGCGGTAAACTGCCTTGTCCCGGGGTTGGCTGGAGATCGCATGGGATCAGTGAAGAGCGACTAGTTCATCCACGCTCATTCGTGCATAAATCAATTTTCCATCATTCAGACTCCTGGAACAGGGAGTCGCACCCTATGAAGAAGCTGGACTTTGGAGTGTGGGAGGTCAAGCTCCCGAAGAAGGCTGATGGCTCTCCGGCTATTCCACACGACTCGAAAGTGAAAGTAGGTACTGCTGATCATGCTCACGGAGGGTCCTTAAAGCACGAAGGGCATCGGACATTTACGATTCAAAACACATCCAGATCTCGATGACCAAACCCAACGGAGAGCGTATCGAGCGCATACCCGCCATGATCAAGCGTGCCACCCAGGATCTGAGCGTCAGCCCAGTTTATGACGGTATCTTCTGGAACCCGCCGAAGAAATACGTCTTCAAGAACAAGCCTCCGGCACGACCAAAGGAGCTTCGCATTTACGAGTCGCATGGTATGGATATTTTATATTATTTCCCAAAAAGCTTGTCATCCGCTTACATTCTACTGTCTTTCGATTATAGTTGGTATCTCATCACCCGAGCCGAAAGTCGCGACATATAAGGAGTTCCGTACGCAGACGCTCCCACGCATTGCGTACCTGGGCTACAACACGATCCAGTTGATGGCTGTGATGGAGCATCCTTACTACGCCAGTTTTGGATATCAGGTTACCAACTACTTTGCGCCAAGCAGCAGATGTGGTATGTAGAGCACTACCGAAGATCTTTTGCACTTTCCATTCCGCCTTGAACTGACAAACTATCTTTAGGAACACCGGAGGATTTGATGGAGCTTATCGATGCTGCCCATGGAATGGGGATCACTGTGCTTTTGGATGTTGTGCACTCGCACTCCTCGAAGAATGTGGCGGATGGAATCAATGAGTTTGACGGCACTGGTATGTGCGACTAGCTCCGTATGCATTCATCGAGTTCGCAGGCTGATTTACTTTCACGACACAGATCACTGCTTCTTCCATGAGGGTGGACGTGGCCGACACGAGTTGTGGGACAGTCGGTAGGCACATGTAATTGGCACTGATTGACGAAAGCGCCGTTAGGCTCACCACTAACTCGAAACTAGACTTTTCAACTACGGCCACCACGAAGTCCTCCGCTTCCTCCTCTCCAACCTCCGCTACTGGATCGTCGAGTTCGGCTTCGACGGCTTCCGTTTCGACGGCGTCACCAGCATGCTCTACACCCACCACGGTCTCGGCGCCGGATTTGGAGGCGGCTACGACGATTACTTTGGCTCGCAAGCCGATACCGAGTCTATCGTTTACATGATGCTCGCGAATGAGATCATGCACAAACTTCACCCGCATATTGTCACCATTGCTGAGGATGTTTCGGGTATGCCGACGCTGTGTCGACCGGTGTCGGAGAGTGGGATTGGGTTTGATTATAGACTCGCTATGGCGATTCCGGATATGTGGATTAAGCTTTTGAAGGAGAAGACGGTGGGTTTAGGATGCACTGGGTATCTTCCTGTCCGCTGTCTTGCTGACGAAAGTTCTCTGCCAGGACGAGCAATGGGAAATGGGCCATCTCGTTCACACCCTGACAAACCGCAGATACAAGGTAGGCACGCGCTTTTCTGAAGTGCCGGAGAAAGAATTTCGTTCGTAATCCATGTCACTTCCAGGAACCGACAATCGCATACTGCGAATCGCACGACCAAGCTCTGGTTGGAGACAAGACGATCGCTTTCTGGCTCATGGACAAGGAGATGTATACCAACATGTCGGATCTCACTGAGCTTACGCCCGTGGTGGACCGCGGTTTGTCGCTGCACAAGATGATTCGTCTGATAACTTTTGCACTGGGAGGTGAAGGGTACTTGAACTTTATGGGCAATGAGTTTGGTCACCCTGAGTGGTTGGTGAGTACCCCTAACAATCGACCGACCTTCTTTATGCGAGGAGAATCATAAAGGCATTTGCTCACAACGATTCACAATCCCCCAGGACTTCCCCCGCGCCGGCAACAACTCCTCCTTCCACTACGCCCGGCGCCAATACAACCTGATCGACGACAAGCTCCTCCGCTACAAATACCTTAACGAATTCGACAAAGCCATGAACACCCTCGAATCCACCACTCACTTCTTCACCTCCCCGCACCAATACGTCTCCCTCAAGCACGAAGGGGACAAGGTCATCGCGTTCGAGCGCGGCGACGGTCTGCTGTGGATCTTCAATTTCAACCCGACGCAGAGTTTTGTGGATTACAGGATCGGGACGGAATGGGCGGGGACGTATGAGATTGTGTTGGATAGTGATTGGAAGGAGTTTTGTGGGCATGCGAGGGTTGATCGCAAGACGAAGTTTTTCAGTACCGCGCAGCCGTGGAATGATCGGAAGAATTATATTCAGGTTTGTACTCGGGGGCGGTGCGTTTGGCGGGCTGGCATACGGACGACTGACGCGCATGCATATCCCTTGTCTTTTGGCAGGTCTACCTGCCCAGCCGATCAGCCTTGGTTCTCCAAGTCAAAAAGTAGATAGATTCCTCCCCATATCTTGGCGTCTTCCCACTTTCTGCCCAGTTAGTCGCTTCTGGACCCTTTTTCTCGTCGAGCTAGTTGATGTGCGCAACCTTTACTTCTTTTGGGCACTTGACCATTCATGTGTATTTTTTCCTTTTACTGTTACAAGATGGACTTCCTTACAGACGTATTCCTTTATGTTGAAAATGTTGTTCCTTACTTGTGGAAAACACTATGAGCCTATCATGGCCACCCGAGGATCTCCCTTCGCATACCCGCTCCGGGCTCAACCGGCTCCCCAGCGTTGGCTCACGTCACCCTCCCATCCATACTCGACAGCATTACGTAGATTTCTCCAGGCGGACGGCGCTGCGCGGAGAGCAGAGAAGGCCCGACTGTCCCGCGCTATCCCGATGCCTTGCCAAAAGCGACACATCTTCCCGGCGCCTTTCAAGCGTCTTCCACCCAGCTGCTCCCTCAAAGTGCGTAGGCGGGAGGGCACCGCTCTGGAGTATTGGCAAAGAATCCCAGGGAGGGTAGCGATAGGTAGGGACTGGTTGGACTGTCACGGAACACCTTACACCGTGGATGCCGTGGATCTCCCGTGGATGGAACACATTCTTGACCCTCACCAAATCATACACATGTGCGAACACACAAAAAACCACAGTGTTATACGTTTATTGAGAGGCACACATGCCCCTGTATATTGTCGATACGCGGGAACTCGGACATCAACTAGGGAATCTAGGGAATCAGAAACCAAAACTTGGGAGTAGTATTGCATCTTGGCGTGTTCAGTCCTTTAATATGCAGGACTAAGTAACAGTGTTGACGATAAACCTCCCCCTCCCCTCGCCCCCGGGCACCGTACCAATGTTGCAGCACGCCTTTTACTCTATACCACACATTCCCACCCACCCATAAATGTTTTCAGCCGAGAAGCTCTGTGGCTTCCCTTTCGAACTTTCGCTTTTTCAATACCGCAGGACGGGAACAACGCGATTCTTGAACCGGGCGTCGGGGACAACCAACCATGCGCGCGTTTCTGAGGATGCTGCTTCCACAGTCCATGTTGGTGGTGTCGGGGAGATGGGAGAGGGCGAGGAGACCATTGGACGGGAGCCGGCTGTATTTGTGCGGACTCCTGCGGGTAGCTTGCGTTTGTTGGGTTGATCGGGTTGACTGTCTCTGCGGGTCGCTTGCGTTGACTGATAGCCATTGAGAAACATTCATGACGCACAGAGGAGCAAGAGATGTCGTATCGAAAGTTGAGCAGGTCGTGTATCGAGTCGTCAAGCGCATTCGAAGTCCATTGGCAAGGATTCATGGCAGGTAGATATGACGAGAACCAACACAGTAAACCAAGCCAATCCAGAACAGTGCCAGTGATCCAAACAGATCGATGGACATGATTGAAGTTGCGGTGAGGACGCACGTCAAGGACACATCATAGGTCAGTTTCATAGGAGGTGACAAATTAGTTCCGTTTTTGCAGGTTTTGATGGGGTTGGAAGAAGGGTATGCATGGCATGAGTGCGATTGAGGTTGAGATCGAGAGCGTAGAGCAGGAACAGGAGTAGGAGAAGGAAAGATTGAAGGAGGAAAAAACGAGTGACAATTGATAAGAACCTGCAATCACTTCGAGCACAACAAACACCAAAATAGCTACTTACGTCGCTCCGTCTTCTATCATCGGCCGGTGGTATGGGAGCAGTTTTAGTTGGCGATGGTGGCGAACGAGGTCGTTTCCGAGCGAGACTTGGACTATCAGTAGACGTCACATCTGCCTGACCAACATCTGCTCGACGGGTATATAAAGCTCCTTCGAAACTATCGAGAAGGTAAATTGATAAGCACAAACGAAGAATTTATGACCCGAGTCGGGACGGTTTAGCGACTGGATCTGAGGGTCTACACGCTGCAGTCCTCAATACTAAATTGGGAAGAGACCAAGCTATGCACCTACGAAAATTTACCTTTCTGAGTTGTCCATCTTCTTGCTTTGAGATTGGCCCGCATTCACTCCCCCATGTTTCTGACTTAGCGCTGCCTTAGCATCAGAACGAACTTTTAACCCTCCCGCATCAGGTTGCGGGCTGGTCGTTGACTGTTTCTGTTTCTGGGCTGCCAATCTAGGGTCCGCGGGCACCTGTGAGCCAGTATGAAGCTGCTGCGACTGTTCCTGGCCTAACGCTGGCAAGTTCTGCAGTCCATTTGCGACAGCCATTGAATTCGGAGGCGCCGCTGCTATCAGAGCGTCGACACTGATCCCCAGTTGCTGCAAGACCACAAATAGCTGCTTGCGCTCCTCTGGTGAGGTATTGGGGCTCGTAATCGCATCCCTAATCGCTGTCAAATGATCGAAAGCCAGGAGAGGCGGAGGAGGAGCGGTGTGGCCCGAAACAGATTGGTGGGGATCGCTGTACGTAGTTATAGTAGTGGCCATCTTGAGATAGTCCTAGAAAGCTGGCGGCCGGAAGTTTTTTGACGTTCGACAGGTCCTTAGGAGTATGGGGATATGGCAGTTGCGAATCGCTTTTTAAAGTCGGTGCTGAAGAGGTCGAACAGACTCTGCTTGTCAAGAAGCCCGAACGCTTGATGTTGAGGTTGATTGCTCAGGTCAGCGGTTGCAGCGGTTGCTGCCTGTGTGCAGGTTGCCCTTGCCAAGACCCTGTAGTTTCCCACGGTTGCAATGAAGTCTACACCTCTTGCAAACCAATGACGAACAGGATATTGAGCGCTCGCTGGTGTTTCTTTCGATCTCAGAGCCTGGGTTCTACTGCTGGACACGGTCCATATATTTGCCTTCGAACGTTGGACAGTGGGTGGATGACTCTCGGCAGATTGCAGGCTTTTCCCACCGGCCGAGAACTGGGGAAAAACAGAGAGCTCTCGCACAGCCTTGCGGAGAACATGGGGCGAAACGCGTCACCGTTGGTCAGCACGCATCACGTGACCCGGTATTCAAACTTGTGTGAACTTTCGACAGGAGTATTGACACCCGTTGGACTATTTTTGATGCCAAAGAACTCGCCCTCCTTTGTGAGCAGAATCATCCCCACCGCTTCTGCAGTTCCAATTCCTGTATATGTGTGCTTTTTTCTGCCCCTTTCTCAGTGTGTGCATGTGGAGATATCCCCAAGCAAATGAGAATCTCGTTCCTGCTCCAGGCACGTATGTGTGGAGAGCTCACAACCTCCGCGGGACGTTTGCATGCGACGTCGGGATACGAATCGAATGACATGCCTTCTCCATTGGAGAATATACCAAGCTCCTCAGAAAGGAACCGAGTTTTCAAAGTTAGCTCCTCAGTGCAGAAACTCCTCATGGACGCCTGACATCACATCTCAATACAGCCCGATCGAATGACCATCCACTCTTCGCCCCTGCCTATATGAACGTGGCCAGACGTGCCGCTAGACGCCCTTGTACGTGAGATTGAAGAGAACAACACGGCCCGTGCCTAGCTTTGCATCCTTACACCATCGTCGATTCCTCCAACATGAAACGACATCGCACCCCCATGCCCAAAGGTCAAAACACATCCACCTCGACGGGAACCGGTAACACTGCCCATCCCTCCATGTCCGGCGGCTCCACCGGCGCCTGGTCGGGTGCGACTGCCCACCAAAGCCCAGGCCAAGCTGAGATAGATGGGCCGCTGAGCGTGGGCCATCGTCGTTTAGAAGTGGCTTTGCGGGCGGTCGGACTAGGGACCGGTACGAGCTCACGGTCCAGGGAGTAGACGTCAACGGACGCCGGTGACGTTTCTTCGCAGCACAACGTTGGATGGGGCGATTACTTAGGCGGATCCACTGGTGTTCAGATTCCGCGGTGTTAGGGCAGGCATAGAGTTGAGATGGGACTGGAGTTCATGGGTCATTATGGGGAGCCGAACCTGGAACTGACACCCGCTGTCGGTCCTGAATTGGAGGGAGTTGAAAAGGCGTTCTATAACATGCTCGATTATGATCTTATGTGGCGTTTGGAAGATATCAAAGGAAAGAAACCTTTGAGCATCCTTTCGAAGAGAATCCCCCTGTAGCGGTATATGGCCGTGAAAACGGCTCGCGCTACATTATGTCCCTGTTAACGGCTTGACGAATGACTGTCAAACTTTCGTTTCTTCGTTTCGATCATGTGACTTCCAAATCGAGCTTTCTGTTGGGCGTTCGTACAGAAAACGAACTGGTGCAGCTCTGCGGATATCACCTCAGAACTCCTCACAGTCGACGATGGACTGGACGCCAAACAACCCAGCAGAGCACCCTATCCGTCACATGCCGCAAGTCCTCTGCTCGGTCGCCAGTGTCTAGTCATCTTTCGACTTCCTCCCAAAACCTGCTTAGTTATTCCCGGCGCGACCCGAAGGCATCCGAGCCGCTCCTCATCCTGCCCTTGAAAAAGGCACGGGATACAGAGCGACTTTGCTGTCTTAGAATGGTCCGTTGGCTTGTCAATAGCAGAAGAATGAACGTGGTCTCATTTTTTAATCGGTTGTCTCCTGTTTCGCTTTGAGACGCTGATACGCGTGAGATTGATATTTTGAGTCGGGTTCGTTGGTTCCGGGATGGGGTGTTCAAGTGGGGTTGAAGGATGGTTTTAGCAAGACTCTACTTCAAAAAGTGCCGATACTGAAGCTAAGTGTACGGCGTTTTCTTCCTCTGCGTCTTTCTTTCTCATGTTGACGAAAAGGGCGAAGAAATCCCCTAAGATACCCCTGAAGAGATAGCCGGAAGGACAGTTGTAGGCGACTTCTTCAGCGTCATCGCCTCCCCAGATTGTGCATAATGGGCCATTATTATTAGAATCCAAGGACAATGCCGACAGGAGAAGTGATGAAGAGTCAATCTCATTCCGGTGCAAAAAAGCACCACGAACATTAAAGTCTTAGTCGACCATACACAAAAGAACGGTGAAACTGGAAGGCGTCAAAAGTAGATGGGCTATGTACCATACATTTCGGTTTCCCACACCCAACTTTCACAGGTCCAACACTCATAAAGATAGTAGCGATGAGACTTCCCATTCCCCCCGCGAAACTCGCCCGCAATCCAACGCTTTTCAATGCCTCGGCTCGCACAGAATATCGTCCAAGTAGCACACCCTGTGCGGATCCTCAACAAGATACCGCACCAGCGTTGTCCTCGCAACTGTCGCCAACATGTCCGCCTCCTCATTCCCCGAAAGGCCGGCATGCGCCTTCACCCACACGATTTTCGTAAGGCCCTCGCGCGTAACGATCGCTTTAAAAAGTTCAGACCGTGCATCCCTTCCAAAGCCCCGCCATACTGCCATCTCTCTTTCTGCGATGGGTAGCTCGAGAATCTTACAACACTTTGAGCTGCGTTGGAAGGTCTTCATTTCGGTGATGACGTCTTGGCAGTCGGTTCGGATTTCGACGTCGACGCCCGAACCGATCTTTTGAAGTGCGATGATTGCTGCGCTTAGCTCGGCTTCGAATGAACTTGTCGCCTTTACAAGCTGGGAAACGTTTGATCTCTGCTCCTTCGGGAAATAGACGCCAATATAAGCGATGTGCATCAAAGTACGCTCGAACCCCGGGACGGGCCAGGTCATGTTGATGTAGCCGCCATCAGCATAGCAGACGATCTTCTTCTCTTGTTTGATGCCCATCGCGCTGCTGTTGTGACCGGTGCGAGGCATGGGGGTTCCGAGTTCGAAGCACTGGTGCCGCCAACTTGAGCTCAACGCCACCTTGCGCTTGACGACTTTCGACTTCCGTTTGACCAGGAAATGACACCCCGATGGCTTGGCGGTCTTCTTCACTTCCTTTCTAGATGCAGTTTCTTCGTCGTCTGACAGGATCCAAATGGGTTCCACTGGCTGTTGTTTCGAGAGCTTTTTAGCTTTGTAAGAGAGATCCGCTGTCTTCGGTTTCGACGTGTCTGGCGATTTCGAGAGCTCCGTATTCTTACTGGTGAGACGCGCTGTTGACATGCCGTCCGGCTCTCGAGATGCGGTCGCCCATCCATGTTCCGCTGTCGCTTTGATCGGAGTTTTCAACAATATAATCGAATCCGGACTCGGTTGAGAAGTCTGCGGCATAATAAACTGCACGTCTTCCATGTCTTGCATCGCATCCTCGCAAGATCCCCCCTCAGTCCAGCCTGAATCCCGCCTCGATGACAAGGTTTTACCGGCCGGGAGTGTGTGTTGCCATGTGAAGGCGGACGCAGGCAAGGTTTTGTCGGTCTGAAGTGCGTGTGCTGCCGCGATTACTTCATGCTCGGGGTTCGAGACCTTAGCCTCGGTCTCTCGTTCGTCGTCACCGTTGTCGGACAAGATGACCACCTCATCGCCGTCGTCGGAAGTGATATCCATATCCATACGCTTAGCATGCCCTTCAGCCCAGAGGTGTGCGAGCATTTTCGGCTGAGTGAGTGATCGACGTGACTTTTAGATTGAGCGGTTAGTATCGAGCGTTCGTCTCCTAGTTATTCCTTCTCGTTCGCGACGAACAAGGCTTTCTCCAATGGACTTCAGAGCTGCTCACTGTTCACGCTCAACGATAAGAGGTGATCTGATTCCCACGCGTTATCACAAGTAATGGCACCGACCGACGCGAAACCTGCACCACTCTGTTCGGAATTACTAGAGCGCACCATTGGAGGAAGGGACTTAGGATCAGGACAAGAGAGAACAGCAGCAGAACGGGCCGGTGTCTGAGGGCTGGAGTTAGGGGATTGGAAGTCACCGGCCTCCCGCGCCGCGGATAATCATCGTTTGGGGGTCGGCCATTTTGTGGCACGTCCGGAAACGGTCTGGTCACCACGGCCGCTCCGGACAGGGGGGTTGTCGCAGAACGATGCTCAAAGATCCGCCACCAACCTTGATCTCGCGAGCCCTTCCGACGACGTTGGACTGATGCTGGATCCGCCGTTTGTCACTAAGCACATGCATTGGTTTGGCATCCTAGGCCGCACTGGATACGTTAGACGGCCGCTAGTGTTTTTTCGCCGCCCTTCTCATGAAAGAAGGGAAACGTGTGGTCCTTCTGCATACATGCGCACGTCCGTCGTCAGCGTTGTAATGCACGTACGCTTCGTCCATCCACAGCGCCCTTTCTTTCGCATGCCCGTCCGCATTAATGCTCAGTCGTATCTGTGTGCACATCGGTGGGCCGCCGTCTACCGTTCTTGAAACGACGGATCCCAAAGGGTCGGCCGCCGCCAGGCGGTAGGGTATCCCATCGGTGACAGATCTAGTATGCAGCGGCGGGCTTTTGTCCCTGCCATTCTCCGCGCCATGGACGAAGCGATATGCGAAGTAGCGAACGACGTCACAATGCGAACCACTATCTGGGGCACTACCGCCGGGCCGGCGGGCGACCATTTCAACTTCGACCCCTTGCATGTTCTGCATGTGTATGTTGTGATCCCCAAAACCTAATTGCGGGGCCTCATTTAATTGACGATATCACCCCTGGCGGACATGCTTTCGCGTCAAAGGAGAGAAAAAAGAAGGTGGGAAAACTGCGCAGGGGTTCGTTTGACGCGTCCCTGAGAGAAGCCAGAAATCCCCTCGCGATTCGCGCATAGATCCCCGCTCGAGGGCTAGGTCTCGTGAGTGTCTTCATGCACAATGCAAACATACTCACGGGCGAGAAAGCATGGCGATGGATGGCGTAGATCGGGAAGAGAGATATCAGGAGCTCCTTTAGTGTGTAAAGCGTATCTGGAGGGAGGGATGTGACCCCGTGTCGGTGGGGAGGGGAGACAGGACATGGCTTCCGGGGTGAACTTCCGCCAAGCTCCATCAAGACTCAAGAGAGCTGTCCTGGAGATAAAACGAGTGCCATCCCAGCGCGACCCGGCCCCGTTCTTTCCCTCATCCCTCAGATTCCATACCGCATAGTCCTTACTCGCCAAACAGGCACTTTCACGCAAATCTACATTTGGCACAAGACACATACCGACTCTTCATCCGGATCTTACTTCCGAGCCAGAACGAAAGTCTCTTTCCCACCTGTATAGTGTCTTCTGCAAGCAGCGCTTACATCACAGCGCACTTTCCCACGAACGCGTCGCGTCCCTTTTCCCATGAGCTTCTCCGACATGGACTCACCATTGCACGGCACCGACCTGCTACCGCAAAGTGTATCTCCTTCCCTATCTGTTTTGGAGTTCCTAAACACCGACACTTCAACTTTTGCCAAACGCGCCGCTTTGCACAGATCCTTCAGCATGGACGATGTCAGTCCTTGCAACCTGGCCGCCCAGAAGAAGAAGCGGAGAGTCCTGACCGGCGAGCAAATCCACGTCCTCGAAACGACATTCAAGTCCACCCCGAATCCGGACGCGGCGTTGCGAACTAAGCTGTCTGGACAAGTCGGATTGCCGGAAAGGAATGTGCAGATTTGGTTCCAGAATAGGTAAGGGCTTTGTTAAGGGAATCGCTGAGCGCGACATTAACATAAAGCATACGCATTCCCATAGGCGCGCAAAGCTCAAACGCAATCAAGACCCCGAAGCTAAAGCCAAAGCCCTGAAAGAGTCGGCGGTGGCTAAAAAGCGCAAATGCAAGCAAGGCAACGGCTCAGTTTCGCAAGCGAAGAAGCATGACACGGACGTCCCAATTTTCCCAGCCACGTTTTCGTTCGAGGAGCATGGGAAATCGGTCATCTCCGCTGCACCAATGGTCTTACCGTACCCAAGCCCCAACATGATGTTTGCCGAAGCGATCAACTTGATGCAGGCAACCAATAACGGCGATGAGACTCCTGAGATGATCGAAGCTGCCGGTGTTGATATCTGCAGTACGTATCACATGAGTTCCGCAAACTTCTTATTTCTCAAACATTGTGACCAACTCGCTTCTCAGTGTTCCCCAATGGCGTCTATGTCCACGACCACGAGGTGATTGACGGCGTACCGGCGGGTGCGTTCTATTATCCTTGCTACGATGAACCCTGTCCATACGCAACGGATATCTACGCCCACGAACGCATGTCGCCTTGCCCCAGCGAGTACCATCCCAGCGGTGAAGAGGACGACTCCGAAGAGGAATTCCACCAAACGCATATGTCGCCCTATCAGACACACCCTGGCTTACCGCACCAGTTGCCTTACTCTGAGGGCCATAAACATGAAGAGACCTTCTACGGGTCCCAACGTTCAGCAATGAACCTGATTCAAGGAGCCCATGCAATTCGGGCCCCGTCAGTATACTGCGCACCCGAGATGGAAGCCGAGATCGCAAGCGACGAAGACGACATGCTCCACGCGGCGCAATATCTCACGCCCGTAAGCTCGCTCTCTCCTCAACTTCAGCACGGAACACTGGGCTTCACACCTATCCTACGACACAGCTATCCCCAACCGGCCTACGCGAACCTGCAAGAATATGCGTCGTACATCACTCAAGAGGATATCGCCGCCGCCCAGGCGATGATCCCCGACGTCTCCCCGAGCCATAGCGAGCAGCTGTTTGGCCAGCCGATGGATCTGTCTGTCGCGCCGTTCATACCGTCTACCGCCTCCTTCAGCGCCGACTACCCATGTGAGCTTGTTCGTTCGCAAAGCTGCCACGCAGACGAGTATGCGGACGAAGACGATTCTGCGTTGGAGGGCACGTTTCAGACGATTCCCTACACGATGCGACGCCGCCATTCGATCGCCACAGCGTGTGATCCGACTCTCGTTCCATTCCTCGGGTTCGATCACTCCGCACTGAACAATGATGACGAGATGGACGTTGTTACGTACGTGTGATTTTGGTCACTCGAAAGTGTTTTTTGGTCCGAACTTTCAGCCGGTGGCATTTTGTTCTTTCTCTCTCGGCGTATCCATGTTTTACCTTCGTAGTCGTTCGGTATTTATCATCGAGGTCTTCGCATTGTTTTTGTTTCGAGGGAGACGAGACGGCGATTAGATGTTTATGCTCTTGGGCTTTTTAGGTCGTATCTCTCCATCCCTCCATCCCTCCTTTTTGTGTCTTTTTCGGCGTATCCTCGAACTTTTGGATGTATTTTGGCGTAAATTAAAGGTGAAAAGATGTTATAGGTCGCTTTGGTGGCATTTTCGGGACGTAGCATGGAAAAATGGAATGTCATGAGTGATTGAATCATCGGGAAACCAAAAGCATTGTATACATATGCACCTCGAGACAAGGAAATTGACGGAAAGGCATTGGGCATGCAGCAAGGGCAATATATCGCACCGCTGTACACCCCAATGGAACATCCTCTTGCCACAACTCCGCTTGCGCAATTGAAAGCATTTCTGTCAAATCGTCTGGATCTTCAACCGTGGAGAATCCGACGCCCAAATTGGACGCCATCGATACATGATTTGGGAAGTGCAGAGTTCTATACTACGTATATACTGACTTCATGACTTGTTCGTTCAAAAAGCCAATGCATGATACCACAGGAAACAGTCAGCGGCTCGCACCGACCTACCCCACAATTTACGCACGTTTTCGCGACATGTCTGCCCAATTCGAACATCAAGTTTCGGAGGTTCAGAACTAGGATCGCACTGCAAGCCACTTCCGCAATCAGGCCCAGAACCCGGTTTCGGGAACTGTTAACAAAAGCGCTAATGGAATAGATAGGATCTGCAACGGGGCTGAATTTCATTCAGCTCACAGGACCCGAGGTCACGTCGTCTGGCACACGGTAGCCATGAAAGTGAGAGGGCCAATACACGGTGGCGTGTCCAAACAATTGGTTTGGGGTGGGGTCTTTTGAACCGCGTGGATGATTCATTTAGACACAGCTCCGATGTTACTCCATTTTGATTAGACTCCGGGCACTCCGCTAATCAAAAACGGCAGCCCATGAATTGCGCCTGACCCCCAGAATTTCCTCCCCAACAACCCCTTCCGTCTTGCGTGGTCTCCTTGCTGGTCAGGGAACTTGGATCTGGAAGTCGCAACGACCGAAAGGTGCTTTGAGAGCGAAAACTCGGAAGCGGCATTTCACATGAAAGACTTCTACCCATTAACCCTGCATCCTCCACACTCCTCAACGTTCGGAATCACTCCACACTCAAACCGCAAGTACATAGGCGAAAGTTCCTGGCAGACGATACGTTTGGTGCGAGCCACAACCAGCCTTTCAAAACTCAGGGTTGTCAAAGTGGGGGGGAAGTCACCTTGTAGCTTCTTTCCCAGAGACAAATCTGGTGAGTGCTGGCTGGGCAATACTCTACCTTTCTGAGGGTGCTAGACGCTTACACCCGTCACCAGTCTTTTAGCTTTCAGTGGGAATGGTTCCTGGGCGCCTGGAGACTCCTCCCGGACATTCAAACTCTACTGGCAATACCGATGCTCCCAAACTCCACAACGGGCAATACAACAACACACTAAACGGTGGTGGAGTACCCCAAACAACTCAACCAACGGCTTCGCAGTCGCAGCTATCCTATCAACATCAGTATCCTACGGGTGGTTTTGGGGTTTCGACAGGTTACTCGGAATCCAATTTCCACGCCAACAGTCGGGCAAGAATCATTTCCTTTGCGCAAGGACCTGGAGGAGACCCGCAGAGAATGGGACAAATGGATCCTGCGAAGAACTTGACCGGGAGGCCCATGGCTCCCGTGCCTGTCTCACGTAATAATAGCAGTGGTAGTCATTGGCAGCCAACGCCCCACAACGTGCTAACCACGCCAACATCCATCATGATGGGTCATGGTCAGGGCATAGTCTCAACAACGCCTCCCGATACGACATCCTTCGGCACCTCACCCATGTTTCCTTTCTCCGACTCCCCCGTTTCCCCACGGCGTACCTCGAACTTTCTCTACAGGCGCGCACCGCACGCCGTCTATACTGGAAACAACAACAACAACAGTAATAGCAACAGTCCTGCGCCTGGCAATGTGGGGACGAATGACAGCGCTTTCCAGCAGGCACTGCAAACTCCGTTCCCGCACCGCGACATACCTTGCTGTGGGATCATTCACGCGACCTACGACGACCTATTGCGGCATTGCGCGCTAGAGCATACCGCGAATCCTAATGCAAATGGCTCACTAGCTAATGCGAAGCCAGGGAACGGAAATAGCGGAAATGCTGGGCCCGCAGCTTTACCCATTTATCCCAATTACGGCGGAATTGCACCAGCCATCACCAGAGCGGCATTTCATGAGGCTCGAAACGGGTCAAATGGAGCAAACGGGCAAGACTGGTCTCAGTACTATCCTCCATTATACCAGCATCCTACACACCTAGCGCATGGGCCATCGGGTCTCAGCGGCCTCTTTCCGGCTGGGACGGGCAATGTCGACGCTGATCTGTCCGCATTGCTCGCGAATCAACCGAACGTCAACGATGCGGAAACGAGAGGGGCACAGATCCTCGCGCAGAAGCGAACTCTGTCCGCGGCAGCGTTTTCGGTAGGGTCGTATTCAGCGATCGAACTCAAACGCATAAGAGAAGAATTCCGGTTGAGCGGGGTAGATTTCTCGGACATTTTGATGCAGAGTGGCGATGCAGGGCAGGCGATGTATGGTATGACACCAGGGAATGGGATGAGGTCTGGCATGGGAACGGGATATCAGCCGCAGCAGGAATTGTCGGAGGAAATGCTCGAGTCCTTGCTTGCGCCCTCGCGGGTGGATGGAAATGCTGGGGGTAATCCACTCTATCAACAACCCTTCATGTACCCGGGCTCATCGGTTGCCGCGAATGACGAGACGGACTATGCGGATGCATCGAACCCTCAGCAGAACAGTCATCGGCGGGGCTCGCAGACTGATCAGGAAGTGGAGGCGACGCGCACGACTCCGATGGCCGTGCCGAGACCCGGTACACACGCCCAGATGAGAGCACTTCATGACGCCGACGACGACAACCACAACGATTCCGCCCACCCCCTGCACCGACCAAGAGGTAACTCCAACTCCAGCCTTTCCGACGGTCATGGCGCGGGTCAGACGTCGGCACTCTCCCAGAAGCTTGCTCAAACGTCATCAACCATGGCCGCCCCACAACCTGGCCACTTTGCCCCCACATCGTCCCTCGCGGCACCCATACCGGTGAACAACAACATGCTCTCATCGGAGCAGCAGCCGGGGAACGCGATGGACTTTCTGATCGCAAACTTCCAGGCTTCGTCCTTGCGTACTCCACCCATGATGCCCCAAAGTGGCCAGATACCCTCGGAGTTTGCGTTGGACGCCAATGCCGATTATGTTGAGACGCGCCCGGCATCACATTCTAGGCCCGATGCTGCTGCATATGATGACGTGTCGAACGCTAACGGCCCTGTACCATCAAGACAGCATCTTGCATCGCAGAATTTGGGTGTGCAGTCGGCACATACGCAGGACCCGGCCATGCCGCACGGTCTGCAGACGAGTGCGCCTGTACTGCCCCCCGAGTTCCGGAATCAACCGGTGTACATGCCAGCATACGGCTATGCGGATTACTCGTCCATCCTGGTGGGGCAGGGTATGAACCATTTGGGAGCGCCATATCAACAATACGCGAACGGACTGGTATATTCTGAGCAAATGTATCCTTCGGGCGGAGTAAATGCGCCTCAACGGCAGCAGCAACACCCGAACCACGATACACATGTGCAGGCGGCCATACCCTTACAGCAACCCGCGACAGCCGTGAGACAAACGGCACAAACACAGTCACTATCCGCCAACGCTTTCCCGCCAGCGACATCGGCAGGCAACCCCGCAACCCCGGCCGCCCACCACCCATCACCCGCCCCCTCCACAACCTCCCGCGTCCCACCCACAGCCCCCGCCACAACCCCGTCCGCAGCCGCAGCAGTAGCAGCCCGCCCAAAAGCCAAGCCACGCGCCCGCAAAGAGCGCCCCCACGGGCCCACCCACTCCGACTCCGCCTCCACCGTCGAATCGGGCGATGCCGGCACGCCCATCACCGCCGATGCCCCAACACCCAGCACACCCCTTATCGGGCCCGCTAAACCCCACCCGTGCCCTCACCCCAACTGCAACAAATCCTACAAGAACCCCAACGGGCTCAAATACCACCTGGAACACGGCCACCCGGAACTCTACGAATCCACCTCCAAAGCAGCCGCGGAAGCGGACGCAGCCGGGGAGGACGACCCGAAGAACGCCGTAAAACCGTTCATCTGTCGCGTGCTTGTTGACGACGCGGCTGCCAAAGCGGTTAAAGGTGCGACTCCCCAGGGGGAACGACCGCCGACAACGATAATGGTGCAGTGCGAGAAACCGTATAAGAATCTTAACGGGTTGAAGTATCATTTGATCCACGCGCATGGGTTGGATGATGTGCAGTGCAAGAAATTGCTGGCGGTTGCGAAGGTGGAAGCCAAGGAGGTTCTTGAAGCTTTCAATGCGTTGGCTGCGGCTGAGGAAAAAGCGGCTGCTAACGAGGCTGTGTTGAAGGAGGAGGAGGATAAGCCGGATGTTGGGAGGAATGTGACGACGACGACGACGACACAGGACTCGGGGTCGGGGTATGTGGAGTATTCGTCGTACCCCCGCGGCTACGATGTGGGCGAGACGCCGTCGTATGATGCGGATTTGGATGTGAATGGGATGTTGGCGCAGTTGTTGGATTTGCCGCCGCCGAATCATGATGTGTCCGGGTTGATTGGGGACTCGGATTTGAGGCAATGATAGCGGACGAGGGAAATCTCTCTCCGGACCGCGTTCTCCTTTCGACTTTCTTCATAACGTTCATGACTTTCGGCTTCCATAACTACCACACTACTGTAGCGTAGGCACAGACTGTATACTTAAAACCTCACACATAATGACCATATTCCCTCACTCTGTATATTGCATTTAGTTACCCCTAGCCCCTCCGTCGTTGAATTGTTTTTGGAGTCATACATCAACAAAACATATTCGTATAGTCTATTGTTACCCATGATCACGTAATTGGCTCATACACACTTGATTCCCAATGTTGTTCCGCGCGTGGAGCAATGGAAGACGCATGGTTTTCCTTATTCTCCACAATTCGTTCTCCACAATCCGTTCATGGCTATGGAAGTTTGACTGTCTGGTTTGGATCATTCGGAGAGAGAACCAGCCAATCTGGCACGTTTGACGCCACGGTCGTCGAGTGTAGGAGCGGTATGTCTGTCTCGGCGATCAGCAAAGACAAGCTTTGGCCCCGGACTCGAAGATCTATATCCAGCGTTTCTGTCATCAAAGAACATCCCACTCCGAGCGTCGATTAATTGGCCGTGCTTCATTGATGCCGTTTGCAAAGCACGTCAAACTCCATGCAGGACCTGTTGAAGCTGTCGAACGCGGTACTAGGTCTCGCCCTGGGTCTCGCCAAACTGGTTTAAACTTATAAATTTTAAAAATTGGTCACGTGTCTCACTCACTGCGCATTGTAAAACCATGGCGGGTGACGCACGAGCACGAGCGTCGAGCGAGCGGAGGGCATGGCTGTGCGTGTGCTTCGTTTCGATCGTCGTGAGATTTGCCAATCTCTTTTATTTTATATATCCGCGCGGATCTCAAGGAATCCTGATGGCTGGAATCAGGGGCTCACTTTTACCGGGGATGAGAAAGTCTGATAAAGACGTTGCATGTGCCTGCACCGCCTTCCGAATAGCTGGCTGTGCGAGAGGATCCGCCATGAATGCAAGGAGAGTTTCACCGTGCTGCTGCTAATTCGGGGCCTACAAATAAGCTCGTAATGGATAAGTCCAGGCGGAAGCATCCAGAAGCCCTCGCGACCGCCCGATCTTCCCGACGCGCCGCGCTGCAAATAGCCTATTTTCACCTTGCGCGTGTGCTCAGCCGGTGCCTTCCCTGGCGCGTACCACCCCCCCCTCCCCCAATGCAGGGGCGAAAAGCATATGCATCTTGATACCGCCCGCTGAATGAATTAATGGGATTGCAAACGTCTGGATTTAGAACCGATATCGTCCCGAAAGCGTCCGTGGGTTTTGCGGTGGAGAATCTCGCTTTCGGCCGCAATAAAACCCCCAGGGCGTCCGCGAACTCCCCTCTGAAGCTTGCTGTGCTCCCACGGACTCTTGTTTGCTCCCGTTCTGTTCTAGATATCCTCAATAGACCTTTGTCGTGGTTACCTGATATCTGTGGTGAGTGCTTCCTCTTCCCCTGGCCCGCAGTACACCTCAGCAAGGTTTTGGAACCTCCGACAAACTTGTTTGCAAAGTCAGACGCTGATCTACGGCTTCCTTCTCATTTTCCAGTCCAAACATGGCTGGCACAACGACAGCGACTCCGACCCCTGTCGCCCGCAAACCTACCGCGATCGCGGCCGAGGATGAGATGCTGAACGAGAGCATTAAACACGAGTTCCCAGGAGCGGATATCAACATTGGCGCATTGCGCAAGGCCCTCCCCGCGCGTGTGTTCGAAAAGTCGCTCCCCATTTCTATGGCATACTTCGCCTTCGACACTGTCGTCCTTGCCGGTCTGTTTGTCCTCTACGCCAACTTCTTTTTGCCGGAGCGCCACTGGTCTCTCGGTCTGTGGGCGGCGTACGCCGTTTGGTTCAATGTCACTGGAATTATGCTCTGGTCCCTTTTCGTAGTGGGACACGACTGCGGTAGGCTTGAAAGCTACTTTTGAGGCGGCCCTATAATCCTTGGATATTGTTGCTTATCCTGCGAACTCCTCTTCGTCAGGTCACGGAAGCTTCTCTAACCACAAACACGTCAACGCCACGGTCGGACATCTGTCCCACGGTTTCCTCCTCGTCCCCTTCTGGCCATGGGCTCGTTCCCACGCCCAGCACCATCAGTTTCACAACCATAAAGAGAAGGACATGTCCCACACGTGGAGCACGCCATCGGAGGAGATCATGGGCGCCAAGTTCATCAAGAACCAGCCGTTCCTCGTCCCTGTCGCATACGCTTTCCTGTACCTTCTTGCCGGTCTACCAGATGGTAGCCACTTCTTGCCATGGAGCAAGCTGTTCAGGAACAACAAGGAGCGTGCCCAATGCGCGTTCAGTGTCGGTGTCGTGTTGACCTACCTCGTTGCCATCCGGTACGCTTCTGGATCGTGGACAACGTTCAACTACGCATACGTTGTTCCATGGTTGGCCTACAACACAGTGAGTTCATTACCGGACTTGACTTTGGGAAGGTGCACGCATGGTTCTCACACCGCATATTTCTACAGTGGTTGTACGCTGTCACCTACCTCCAGCACCACACCGCTGGCACGCAAGTGTATAGCGAGAAGAACTGGACCTTCACCACCGGAGCGGTGCAGACCGTCGACCGCGTGTACGGCTACGGAATCCTTGACAAGTTGATTCACAACATCACTGATGGACACGTTGCCCACCACTTGATGTACACGTCCATCCCTCACTACAGGTTGATGGAAGCGACACCTGTAAGTTTCATATCAAACCGGAATTTGCCGTCGAACGGGCCACCTCCTAATATTCATCCTCGTTCCTCAGATCGTCGCGAAAGTCCTCGGCCCATCATACCGCAAAGTCGAAGGCTTCCCACTCTGGGAGTTCCTCAAATCTCACTGGTACTCCACCCGCCCCATCCTCTCCTGGTTGCCGGAGAAGGGCATGTGGAAGATGAAGTATCCCTCTGAGGTCGCCGCGGAGACCAAGCAGGAATAGACGTGCGAAAACATTATAGTATCTGGACGACTTCATGTCTATAGACTGAATTTGCGACGTGGACGCCGTGTTTAGATTAGGGCTCTAGACGGTGATGATGGGAAATGACGGGGAGGTTCCGTTTTCGCTCCTCTCTCGTTTCCCGCTTTTTTGTACCTTCTTATTCCCCTATTTATCTCAAATTAAGAACAGCCTTACTTGCGCAATGGTTTTGGGTGGAATTCGAGTAACCTCTGAGACTTTGGTCATCCGACTGAGGCCAGGATCCGGCCTGGAGAAAGCCAGGATTGTGCTGGCCGTCGCTGGAGAACTCCAGCAGTCACCTCCCTCATGGACGAGAATAGCTAAACCTTTCTATCGCCCTCGTTGCGTATACAAAACGCTCAGCACAATCGACTCGACCAGCCACAGACCGGGCTTTACCGCATTTTCATAGTGGCACAAGGACGGACCGTATGCCGGCGAAGGCGGAGCTGTCGCTATACCGGAGGCTGGCTCTGGCTGCGCTTCTTAATCCACAAGCGGATGGTCAACCGAGCCTTACCCGACCCGAGCTGCCAATAGACGAGCTGGCAAGTTGTGTCGCTGTGTTTTTGTCGTGCATGCTGAGTGACGACGAAGTGGCCATATGCATTCACACGGACACGCGACCACATCACTGTAGGCGCTAAATGTTACAATGAGAGCGAGATTATGGCTCACATGAAGCCACTGTACCATCTCGGCGATGTCAGCCGTTCGACACCGTCTGCGTCGACGGATGGGCCTTTCTTTACTCGACTCCAAGCATGCGGCGACCGTACTATACTGGATTGCTTGCTTGACCATGTGAAGCCATACGTGCGTTGGATCTTCGATCGTAACAAGTCCGATATTCTAAAATCCTGCCCAAACCACGACAACCGTGAGCGTACCAAGCTCGCCACGGTGCCAAATAACATCGGTTCCTCTGCAAGCACCCGACACTGACTCGGCCATATATCTTGCGAGTCAGAGCACAGCGAGTGCGACGCTGCCGCATGCGAGCTTTTTCCTGTGGGTCGATCGCATCCTGTCGTCGGAACCTGTGTCGGCAGCAGAAATCATGGAGCTTCCAAAATGTGATCATGGTCGATTCAGTCATTCATGGAATGTACGACCTACGAGATTGGGTGCGCGATGAACTCAGGACCCCTCGGCAGGGTTAGAACCACAATCGTTACATACCTCCGACTGATGAGCACGTCTGTATGCCGTGACTTCAAGGGGAACCTTCGGAAGTCTAGAGGCTCCCAAAGGGCAAGTCTAGAGACTTGTGGCGAGTCTGCAATGGCCAATCCGAGGGATTGCGAGCTGAAGGTGGAAGAACGTCAGCGGTTGGTCATCAATAGCAGAGGATGCCGTTATGCTACATTCATGCATTCGCATAGAATCTACCTAGGCCATTTTGCAGGGAGGTTCCTCGCGCAAGAACATCGATGTGAACAAGTGCAGAAATCGCCTGTCGGCAACCTTGCGACTTACAGCATGCGTTGACAGACGGTTGGCTGGCGGTATGGGAGTAGGACGGGGATACACAGGGCCGTCTCGGCAAATATCCAGGGACCTGACGACTCATTTGGAGCGTCCTTGTTGGCTGACGAACGCACTTGAAAGGCTGCATGCGCGCATAAAGGCATCCTATACCATGCTTAGGCATATCTTCGGTGATGTTAACCAGGCCCGTCGCAACCGGAGGTGTCCCGACCCCAGATTCACTGCACCTGCCGTACCTTTCATTACCTTATCGGGTATGCCTGGTATATCCTAAAACTTCAGCTGCCGACGACGGTGGCTCGGGCTCTCAACGCGCTATCCTGTCGCCAAAAAGCTGACCGCGGTCAAACCCCCACAAAACGCGTGATGTAAGCAGGGAAAGTCCGCTCATGTCCGAAAGCGTCCTTTCCCAACGACATACTTCGGACAGCTTCTTACAACGAGCTCTGTGGGTTTTGAGAATTGGAACTGAGGTGGAAAACGCCTGCCTGCCGGTCGAGGCACCGCGGGTCCACCACTTTGGCATGCAGGCCCCGAGACTTCTGTCCAACTTACATCCGATGCTTTGGCCCTCATCGACTATCCGCCAACTGAAAAGCACCCGCAACCCACATGAAAATGAGGTAAACGGGAAATGTACCCCGCGTCCGGATTCCGTACGTTCCCCGTTCTTCTTGCACCCATGAAGGACGCGTTCACCCTTGAGACCCTGCCCGACGCCGCACTTCATCCAGGTCAACGAAGTTGAGTGCACCCAACACATCTTCCTGCCCTCGGACACGATTAATGCAGAATTTGAGGATTCAGGAGATAATGGCCATCCATCCATTCCTGTACGTGAATAGCCTTCGTCGGGCATGGGGGCCAGTTTGGACTATCTCTTTGCCTCGCCCGTACTTCGGCACGCGTTACATATACAGACGCGTTAGCAATACTAGAAAAACGATAGTTGCTAACGAGCTGCAGTAACTTTGAATGGATCCAAGTGCGCTGGTTGGAAACTCAAAGTGTTCGCAGGTCAGGACATTCAAGCGGCGCATAGATGACTGAGCCCACAGACGAGTTTCCAAATACCCCACCCGCAATGGACGGAGAGGACGATCGTACGGACATCAGGGCTATGTTCTCATTAAACTAGATTAAACCGGTAAAATTCTACGCGATGAGTTTCCTATCTCGATAAGTCTCCGAAAGAAGAAGATAGGGTACGCTCGAACGAGGAGATAAAAGCATGGGTATCGCGGAAAGCCAATAGGTCCCCCCGAGCTGCATATCCGCGACTCATCCAGCACGGAGGATTTTGCCAAGCGCTTCCTCTTTGGGCCGCTGGGAATGCAATCCCTGTCAGCCGCCTTTTCGGCATTATGTCTAAACCTCCAGCTCAACGTCTCTCACCTCACTCAAACTATGCCTCAAAGAATCCGCCACGAAGCTCCTCTCCAACCCAACCTGCGCGCTCTGCAACGCCGGCGCAACATGCGGGTCCTTCAGAATATTCGCATCCACCAACTCCGTCACCGATGGCCTGTGGCTGATTTTTGGCTGGATGGAATCTACCAGCAAGTGCTTTGCGAGATCATGTTGCGTGCTTTGGAGGGCGGGTGCGAGGGAGGTGGTTTTGAGGATATTTTGGTCGATGAGAGAGTCGACTGAGGGGCGGCCGGAGAGTTTTCCTTCTAGGTCGTCGAGGAGTTTGTGCTTTTGTAGATCGTGTTGGGCGCCCTGTTCGTAAAGTCGAAGTTGGCGTGAGGACCAGTTGGGTTACTTTGTGACACATTGTAGGTAACCGTGTCATGAAAATTACCTGGATGGATGGTGCAACTCCAATAGCAAGCAAAACATGCTGCTCCACCAACGTTTCCGGCTCCGGCCGAGCAGCCAGCTTCTCCTTCAGCGTATCCTAAACCCCGCAACACCCCTTATCAACCACAATCCCCAAAGTTCCTCCGTCCGCCACACATACCTCAATCCGCCTCTTCCTCAACTCCTCCCTCACACCCTGCAACCCGTCCGCAACAGTATCAGATTTCAGGATATTCCTCTGTTTCAATTCCTCCTTCGTCGGTCGATGTGCGACGAGGTCTTCGAACCCGGAGATCCGTTTTAGGGGCTGCTCTTCCATGGAGACTTCGAAGCCGGCTGAAAGGGGGAGGGGGGTCAGTTGGGGTGGGAGGTGTAGGGTGGGGAGGGTGTACGGATACCTGAGTAGGGACCCGTTGGGGAGGAGGGATCAGGACGGCTTATGGCACCGGCGAATGAGGCGCTACGATCGCGGCCCATTGTAACGTTAGATGGTTTCTGGCGGAACAGATTGAAAAAGCTACGAGAGTGGATGTGTGTTCAGTGTATCAACGCTGCACGTCTTGGACGGTCAAGCGTGGCTTTTGCCCTCGCCCGCATTTTATCATTCCCCAAGAAGTCCTCTTTTTCTGGAAGTTCCAGCAGACTTGGGGTTTTTGCAGATCCTATTTTTGGGAGTTCGGTAGTGTACCGTTTATTGAGCGGTCCAGATCACGACCACCGCGACCGCCAAGCCCGGGTAGAAAACCGTGACAATGTTCTCGACGTCGATCTTGGTTCTAACCGTGAAGTAGTTCCCGCCACCTTCCGCCAGATACTCTTTTCGTTGTCATATTCCGGTTTTGCAGATCCAATCAAAATGGATACAGAAAAGGCCAAGGGTTTCTGCTCATTCTGCTTCCAGGGAGCTATTGCGGAGCAATTGAATCTGTGGATCTTAAATGCACTAATCAATGTCATTCACTCGGACTGAAATCTGCGCTTGGGACGTTGATAGTAGGTAGCGAAGGTCGGTTTCACAAAAGATCAAATAGTGTCGAGAACGGAGCGGAGTTAATGCTTACATGCGTTGATCAAACGCGTTCCTTCTCATGCGAATGGGGAATCTTGACAAGAACCAAGGGAAACTTTCACCCTCGCAGCGGATACAGCCAGTGAATTTGGATGTCGCAGGGATTGAAACGACATGTGGGGGTATGAAAACGAGAATATCACTGTCTTCGATGGCCGACGATTGTTCATGAATACCTTTTCCTTCTGGATAGCATTCATCCAGTCCTCGTGGCGGACTCTTAACATCCAGGACCCAGAGATGGTATAGGTTTTTTTGTGAAACCCATAGGCATGATTTTGTCCCGTATATTACCTGGCAGCAAGGGGATTTGGGACCGACCGAATTAACAATCCCGCAGAAATGGAGGACCCCGTATTTTGAATCCGCTTGTAATACGCGAGACCCTTCTCCCAGAGCTTGCGGTACATGCCTTCCTGCTGTTGTTGCCTCTGTCACTTGTCTGATGGAAGCTCTTAGGCATGCCTGGTACTGAACGACGTGTCCTAGAACCACATGCATCGCATCTTTCATTGTACAGGGTTCCACCCACTCGACCAATCCTGAGGAAGGCCAGAAAGGGAAGAAAAACAGCTACGCCCTAGAACATCAGGTGTGTGGGGGCGCAGTGACGGTCGTCATCCACAGTCGTCTGCATCGCAAACAAAACGCTCTCCAGAGGGACGTGATTTGGAGAGATGCAACATCAGGTCGACTCTTGATCATACAGTACAAGAGTCGGTAATCCACATTGTACCAGAAGGCGTAAGTCTTCCGCACCCAAGCCCTTTTTGGTGAGCTTCTTCGGTATGCGCATAGACGAGATCAATAAAATATGTTCTCGTAGAAGGTGTCAACATACGCCCGAGACGGTATCTGGGATAACATTCCGGATTGGGTGTTGATTGTTAGTGAGCATCCCTGGAGCCGTCCGCTATACCATTCGAGAGAACCAGATCTATAAAATCTACCCCGTATGGTGGCCGATCCGAAACCGTCCTTGCTGAATCCCCAGCTTCTCCATACAAACCGGTATCCCCAGATCCGCCGCGTCATCCGTCCCCTCATCGCATTCAACAAACTCCTCCAGTTTGTACAATATGAAGATGCGGCACGGGGTTCATTCCCCATCCGCCCCGTGGGGAGATACTTGTACCCATGCTTGGAGGAATCAAAGTACATGTTGTCGTTGCAGTTGTAGGAGACTGTCTGCCCGCGATGGTTGCGATCGTGGTTGGTGGGTCCAAAAATACCAGATCGTCCTCGAGGATCATACATAGCATTTTCGTCCCGCGTAAACAGCGTCGTAATGTGTCTGCATAGACGGCTTTATACCGCTGTTCAGCGTCCGTCGACCCACAGAAGTCGTTGAAGATTTTTACGACCTCCGCGCCAATGACTTGCTGAACAGGGTCAAAGCGCGCGAAGTTCGGCGAGGTGGTATGCATATATGTTGCGAACCAGGCGGCGAAGATCTCGGCGGGGTCGGATATGGGGTATGTGTTAGTCGAAGAGCAGCAGTCAGTTTACGATAAGGAGGCGGCGGGAGGAGAGGTTGCGGCCGAAGAAGGGGTAGTAGAAACGGGAGCGACGGCGGGAATCTGAGCTCCCTGGCAGGAAGGAGTGTGCCAAGTGCATGCTGGGACTGTCGGATGGCGAAGGGAAGCGTTCGAGGATCGTGAACTTGGAGGAGGCAAAGAGGGCAAAGAAGGCCACGGGGATGCGGCGGACGACTTCCTGGACCGGGAAGGAGGCCTTTGAACTCCAACAGTCTCAGCTTCAGCCGGCAATCCCATTCTGGATCTCATTCTGGATCCCATTGCCCCAGCATTGCCCTAGCAGCCCACCTGCAAACACAGTCTCATCAGGCTGCTGCAACGGAGAACCTTGCTCTTCGTCTTCTCAGGCGCTGCCTCGTGCGGGCAACGTCGCCATATGCTCCTCAACAGGCACTCCTCGCACTCGGCCTTCCTCACAGGCCCAGCATCGTCCCCCACCGAGAGCGGCCCGCCGCCAGCCTCACAATCACCACCCACCCAGCACCAGCACCACCAGCACCACCAGCGCCACCAACAACTCCGATACCCGAATCCTCGGCACCGCATAAACCTCCCCACGACCTCATACCCCGCCGCCCCCATCCCAATGCTCCCGACAATCCTCCGCGCCCCCGGCCGCTTCTTCCACCACGTCAAATCCATCGCCAAACAATACGGCCTCGCCTGGCTCCTCGTCTCCCAGATTCTCTCCTGGTCCAACCTCCTCCTCATCTACCTCTTCCTCCGCGCCGCGCAACCGGACGTCACCGGGTTCGTCAAGAATTACAATCTAGGCCATTACGCGGAAACGGTGGCAGAGACCGGTGGGACGTTTGCGCTGGCGGTGCTGTGTAATAAGGTGTTGAGTCCGTTGAGGTTTTTTGTGTGTTTGGTGATTGTGAGACGCACGGCGGGGAGGCTGAATCCGTGGTTGGAGAGGAAGTGGGCGGGGTGGAAGAGGTGGAGGGGAACGGATGTGGAGGCGGTGCCGAGGGAGGATCCCGAGGAGGTTAAGCAGGTTTGAGGGATGGGGATGTAGGAGCGGAGGGATTTTGTGGTGGATGCTGTGGGCTGCGATGGGCTGCTGCTGCTGCTGGAAGTTGCCATCTCGCTCTGAATCATTCTGAGGAGGTCCGACGCACATCTAGCGACATTATCGGAGGGGAGACATTGAGCATCCCCCAAAGCGGGATTCAATTTCGAGTTATCTCGGAAGCCACGTTCAGAGAGGATCTCTGACAGGCCGACATACGCACGCGATCATGGATCCGGTTGTCTTCCGTTTCTGCCCTAATAGGCGAGATGCATATAGAGTTTTTGCATATAGATCAAATGTGTTCTTAGACTCATTTCTGGAAACAAGAACTATTTTTTGGAAACATCATGTCTATTCATCTGAATCGTCTCATATTCGATATCAAAATTCCAAAAGAAAAAGCTTCCAAAGTCCTTGCTTACATTAAGGTTTTGCATCCCACCCCCTACGAACTCACAACCACCCTCCCCAACCCTTTTCCCGCCCTCAACTCCGCCTCACTCCCCCCCGTCCCACCAGTCGCCCTCCCCCCCGCAACCCCACTCTCATCCAACGCCGTCCAAATCAACCTCGTCATCTGCTCCACCAACCCCTCATCCTTCACAATGCCCGTTATATTCCGAACCGTCACCTCCGGCGTCTGTTTGCCGGCGTTGAATTGCGCGACGTTGAAGGCAAATTTTTCAAAATCCGGGGGGGTTAGGCTGTTGCGGATGGAGCGGTAGAGGTGGGGGGCGTCGATTGTGTTTGTGGTTGCGTTTGGATTCTGAAGGCGCGGTTGGGGAGAGCCGTTGGGGAGGAGGGTTGTTGTTGTTCGAGGGGTTGTGTTGGTGAGTTTGGTGAGCTGGTCTGGGGGTGGGTGCGCTCGGTAGGAGGGTGCGTTTTTGACATCCCGCGCTGAGGGGTCTGGCCCCGAGACGCGGCGAGAGCTGGGGTTGGTGAAGGATGGGGTTTGGGGTTTTGTGGTGATTGATTTGGAAAAGCTCCTTTGTGGGGTGAATGTGGGGTTTTCTTCCGATGTTAACTTTTGAGGAGATGTGATGTTTGTGAGGAGAGGGTAGACGTTGCGCTTTCACGTGAAGCGGGATGTTCGATGCGTACCTTTGCCAGACTCGCGGCAGAGGACTCGTGGTTCCCGCTGACGTCCGCTGGTTTGAATATGGACGATTGCTCAAACAGCGACTGTGGAGATGACGGTGAGAAATGGACCGTGACCAAAATTACTACGAAATGAAGCCGAGAAATTAATGGATCGTACCAAGTCGTTCGCCCGTAAAGTGTCATCTAGCCCACACACCGATCCCGTATCATCTAGTCCATCTGAGGTACTTAAAGAGTATCAGTAAAGCTTTGTCCGCCGAGGATAATGCGGTAGGCGAGTGCACGTACTTATAGCCTCAGATAACCGCCGGTCATCGCTCACTCTATCCTCCAGTAAATCCGGCCCTTCGTCTGCCCTTGGGGCACTCTCGACCATAATAGCAATGGACTGTGTCGGAAGAGGCGAGCTGAGCATTGCAATTGTATCATAAAATCATGCGGAATCCAGAGCATTCAGTACCTGCCGGAACGACTCCAACTGCGAAACACTCTTCCTCAGCGCCGCATATCTCCCAATTAACGCGTTATGCGACTGGCCTAGCGCTTTCTTTTCTGATTTCAGCTGCGTGACTTCGCGGGTTAGGTCGCCGATGGTCGCTTCTAGCGATAATATCTGCATCATGGATTCATCAGCTCGCTTGCCGGTGCTTCATTGGCACATCGCGTTCGAGTATAAGTATACCGACCTGATTCCTCTGCGACGATACAACTTCCTCCAACTGCGAATGCTCGTTGCTTTTCCGCTCATAGCATCGAGATAAGGTTTCGATGCCTTCTCTGAACTGAATATTCGAAACATCTCATCAGCAACCCCGTCTCCCATTCACTGGCATGCAAATGAACAGGCTGACATACCAACTTATCCAGCTGTTCCCCGTCCTCTGTCGCGCGTGGCGGCGACCCTGGCGTTTTTATGACTCCTCTGTTGACGGAGTTCAGAAGATGGTCCTTTTTGAGTGGGGATGGAGGCATGATGGATAAGAGAGGACTGGTATAGTGTGAGAGCCACCGTTTGGGGTGGGTGGTCAGTGATGGGGCATCTTTGCCGGAAGACGGACAACGAGGCTCACCGTTCTACGCGTTTCTTTGATGCAAGCACACTTATCCCACCGGGGTGATGGCTAGCAGACACTGGAGAACCCGTGCCAATAGGAGGCAGGAAGGAGCGGCCGCCCGTTCGCGGAAGGTGAGAGAGGCCAGGGCGCTGGGTGGCGAGCGTTCCCGTGCGAGATGGCTTGGAACCGACGCAGAAGGGCGAGGGGGAGCAACGCGTCGTTCTCCTGCGATGACATTGCGTGTTGCTTTCCGCCCCTCGCACAGGACGAGAAACAACCACCCCGCAAACCGGCATCACCACCCATATGGCAACAGGCGCAGGGAGAGGACAAGAGTGTCGGCTGTTACTTGTAAGCACTCACACGGACGGGACTCGCTCGTCTGGAACGTCATCCCCCGTCGTGAAGCTCAGTTTCGAGCCCGACAGCACTCACGCACGACCCTTTTCGCGAAAAACTTCGAACCCACCCAAGCGACGAAACTGCATATAACAGAACCTATCAGAATAGAAAAAACGCAGCTTCCATGATGGCAGCCGGAATAACGCCCACCCGAAGCGACGTCCCCGCCAAAGCAACCCTCTTCGAAGAAGAATGCTGGGATGATATCGAAGTGCCAGCGGAAGGCCTGGACCATTCCTTCTACACCGAGTCACAAGGGGACCCACCGTCCGGCGGTGGCTCCCCCTCTGCGCTGGGTGACTTTTTGGATGGGGAAGGTGACGAGGATATGGTCTTTGGTGGGGAATACGCGTCGGCGTGGGCGGTGGGTGCCCAGACGGATAGCGTGCCTGAGACACAGGCCAAGCTTGCGCGGTCAGAGGGGAGTTTTCCTGAGCCGTCCGGGCACTTTTTTACGCGGCCAGATGATTCCGGGAAGGAGGAGTACCCTGATGAGCTGCCGGATTTTGGAGAAGATAGCGTCGATAGCAGAGATATGACCATGCATGCGCTCGCCCAACCACACCCAGCAGAGCCGGCTCAGATCGTCGGGACTATCCAACGCTTAACGCCAAAGTCAAAAGAGGTCATCCAGCGTGATGGTCCAATACATGCATGGATGGAGGAGACCACCGTAGCATGTCCAAATCCTACCACGATCACTCCAAGCGCAGAAGCTGCCGAACCCACACCATCAGCATCCCACACGGACAAACTGGAAGCAATGGACATCGACATGGATGACGACTTCGACCTCCCCACCGACATCACGACCCTCCGCCTCGCGGACCGCACGATCCACAAAGCGCCCGAAGCCGACATGACCGGCCACCTCGACAGCATCTGCGACGGCTGGAGCGATAGCCTGAGCGTGCACAAAGACCTGCCATCGTTGCGAATGCTGCACAGCCCGACCCCGAGCTCCACGGCAAGCATGATTGCGTCCGAGAGCGAGGAGGATGGGTTTGATGACCTGGAGTTTCCAGAGACGGTTGAGGCGCTGCGGTTGGGCACTTATCATCATAGTATGAGAGAGGAGATTGTTGAGCCGGATAAGGATGATGAGGATCCGTTGGAGGGGTTGTTGATTCCTGAGGAAGACACCCTGGACCCGGCAAGGCTGGGGAGGGCCGGGCTACAGATCCCTTCCACACCTGTTGCAACGACACCGCAAACCGTCTCCAACCATGCCCACCATCAACATCATCACCACCACCCAGCCCCGCAACCACCACGTCATCACTCCGACCCCCGCCCCCAATCCCAGACCCCCTCCCCCACCAAATCCACCACATCAACATCCAGCCTCGCCCGCACCCTCCCGTCCAAAATCCCCCGCATAATCCCCTCCCCGCTCCCCACCCGCCCGCCCCGCCTCTCCATCTCCACCCGCCTCTCCCACCCACCCACACCAACCGCCATCTCCCCCTCCGTAGGCCACATTCAACGCCTCACCTCCCACTACATAACCACCCGCCGGATGGGCAGCGACGCCAACACCGCGCCGTCGCGGTTACTGAGGAAACCGAAGAATAGTCCGATGTTTGGGGATGGGAGTGAGTTGGATGGGATTGAGGATCTGGTTGTGAGGGGGGAGGAGGGGAAGGGTGTGAGGAAGGCTGGGGGGCTTGTTGCGACGCCCGCGAAGGGAGAAAGGCAGAATGAGAATGTTGGGGGACGAGGCTCGCAGAAGAGGACGTTGTCGAAGGCTGGGTCGGCTGCTAGTTTGGTTTCTACTGGTAAGAGAACCCTCCCGGCCTGCAGATCCTGACCTTGAACGTGGGCTTCCGCAGACTGAATAGCCCGGATGATTGTAGATGAAAGGGAAAACCGGCGACCGTATACGTCCATACCGCCCGTGAATCATCGGCCAGCAAAGACCTTCTATGACCGTCGCGGGCCGCCGCCGCCGCCCGCACATAGGAAGGTACACCCTGTCCTCATATCTCGTCCTCGCGTGCGCCTTGTCGAGTCCAGACCACCCACAGCAGCCCCAGCTAAGACTTCCTTTGTTTCATTATCCTATAGCGACCGAAGAAGAAACCAATGCTGATCCGAAACCTGAACAACTCCGATACAGTCAAAGGTACCCCCCTTTCCTCCCCTCCCTCGCTCCCCATCGCACCCTTAACCCCACCCCCACCCCCAGTGGTCGGCAACATGGTCTACAATCCCCTCCTCCAAAAATGGGAGGGCAACGAATCCGCCCTTCTCGACTTCGACCGCACGGCCGCGACACCCACGCGCCCTGCGCTGATCACAAACGTCGGCGGGTACAAGATGCCGCAGACGGTCGGCGGGATGGTGTTTGACCCCGTGACGATGCGGTGGCTGGGGAATGAGGAGGAGGCGGATGTGTTTGGGGATTTGGCGGATGATGTGGCTTCGGTTCATGACAACGGGCTGGGTAAGATATTCCTTTCCCTGCATACATTCTTCCGGAATCCGTGTGTTATTAACTGATGGAATGTGTCGGTTTAGGCACGACATCAGACCGCTCCGAATTCGCCCTCCCCGCCTCCCTCCGCGAATCCCTGTGCATCGCCGAGGCGTCGCACAAGCTGTTTATGGCGAAATGGTACCCGCGCGCCGTGCTTGACAGCCAGAGGACGATGATGCGGGATACGTCCAAGACGCATCTTTATGAGATTCGTTCGGTGAGTTGGTTGAGGGGAGGGGAGGTGTGTGCGGGTGACACTGGAAGCTGATTGGGGTATGTTTTGGTTGTTTGGAACAGCATGCAAAGCCGGACAGGGAACGACGACGGAATTCAGCGATTTGGAGATGAATGTTTCCCCTGACTGTGTGCACGTGAAGGATGCACGCTTGACCCATGAAAGGCGGTCAAAGAGCTGGCTTCCACAATCCAAGAGGATCCCTTCCCTCCGCTTCCAATCCCCGCGTCTCGCCAGTCGTATGTAATGTATCTGCACCCTCTTTTGGGAGAAGACCCAACCTCTGTTCTTGCTTCCCTGGAAGTTTAAGCCAACTTTTGTGGGGACGGCAATCATTTCCTTGTATATGCTAATCCGATGATTGCCCGCCTACATCTAATCCTCGTTTTGTGCGCGAATATTATATCTTACTTTTGGTGCGTAATCCGTCTTCTATGTGCATTTTCAGCGCCCAGTCAGTGCCCGCCGCACACCCATTTCAACTTTGGCAATTGCCGCACGTCGGTCAGCGTCGCGGTCGTGTGCCATGAGCACTGGCAGCAGAACGCTACGGAGCCTGCGTGGGGGTAGCAAACCACAAAGTGGAGTGATGAGCGACGAGAACATCGCTTCCGGTACTGTTTTTCGGCACGGAATCGATGGGGCCTACCATCAGCCTCGCTCAACTTCTCCTGCATCCTCTCCACATCCGGCATGTTGTTCCGGAGGAAGAGGTAGTCCGTGTCGGGGGTCCATGTCGCATCTACGCACATAACAGCCTCAATGCATATCCCGCCCAACCCTACGTTCCGCTCCTCCCGCGCAAGGCGCAACACACCTGGAAATGCCAAACACCTAAAATCGCACTTGACACATCTTACGCGATTACACGACCGCGGAACGGATCCAACCGTTTGTCCGCGTTGTGTTGATGTGCCGCCGATATACAGCGTTGTGCATCTGACCAGAAATTCCATCGCATCAGCTGTGTATCTCCTCACGGCGCTGGAGAAGACAAACAGCTCACTTGGTCTTCGGCCCCAGAGACTCGGATGAACCCCTCGCTTCGCCGTGTCGAGGCCGCGGAGCAGATGTGTCTGGCTTGTCGAGCTCGTCTAATAGGTCGTCTACGTTGTACGTCTGTGTGGGAAATCGGCCTTTTCAGAACCATCGTACTGTCCTCGTCCTACGACGCGTGAAAACAGCAACGCCATCTGTGATGTCGAGCGCATGGTGAGTATTACGCCGAGGGCTAATACGACCAACGGTCCAGGCGTTCACCTTACGTTGTTTTCTGCTGCGAGTGGGTGTTTGCCGGAGCGGTGGGAGTCGCCGTCGTGGGAAAGCGAGGCGATGAGGTGATCTAGGTCGTCATCTTGGGAGTGGATGGACGCGTTCATTTATGTGATGGGGGGGCTTGAGGACTTTGAGGCACAGCCGTTGGTGCTAGGAGAGATCGCAGGTGTGTTCCAGCTTTCTGAAGGAATGTGGGTTGAGGCTGAAATGTCCGTCGTGCCATGGAGCCATCCGAGTCCGACAAAACCTCCAAAACTGACGCGCTTGCTCCCTGTCGGGATTTGGCATGGACAACGCACGAATAACTCTGGAGACCTGGAGACGGTTTCTCTTCCTGTTCCACATGACTATTATGACGAGTTCTATAACCCGAAAGCTTTGATCAACTGGATAGTACGTACGATTGGCGTCATCCTTTAGGATAGCTAACGCTATCCACTCCAGGGCCCAAAAAGTCTACTCTTCGAGACCTTCGTCTGCAGCGAGTCCGCGCTTGATGAGCACCTCCAACTCCTGCTGTATCTCGAAGCGCATCGGCATGTACACATGAAACTAAAGTCTATCAAGGTAAGGTACTGTCCCATTCGGGCCGTGTCCATCTAAACTGACGTGTTGTCGCAGCTCTGCGTGCCCGCCCCATGTGCTGCCTTCGCGACGCCGGGGGCGGCAGTACACAATGGAGAAGCCGTTACGCATGTGGATATGATGTACGAAGGCCTCCAGGGTAACTCGTTCGCGATGCAGTTAAGGTCGCTAGTGCGAAGGGATGTCGGGCCGAATGGTACGTCCGCATGAACGTCACAAGCCGTTCCCTGCTTCCTTGTTCTGATTGATCACTGAATCTCAGGCCGCTTGATAGGGAATCGGCAGCGGACGCAAAGTTACACGCAGGCAGGGCTCGTAACCGTCTCTGATGTCTTCGAATGGACTGAAACAGGAGGCAGGGCATTCCAAACCGACGTCCCACCATGGGCAGTCATGATTACCCGGACAAACGGCTATGTGAGGACGGTGGGGAGGTCTTGATGGACATCAAAAAGGTCGCCGAAGGGTTTCGGAAGATGACTCGTGATGAAGCCTAGAAGTTTGGACTTCAATGTGGAGCTTTGTGGTGTTTTGGACGATCTGCTGGGACTTTGGCGGTCAGCGTGGAAATCAGCAATTCTCAGCGTAGAATCAAGTGCATTCCTGTGTCGGAGTGTCATCGTCCGGAGGCCTGAGCGAATGTCATCCACTTCCTTGGCATTTGTCATCTGGCGCTGGGACAGGAAGCCAAGACTGCATCTGGCCGGGGACGCCCTTCAGGAAGATTGGCCTCCAAGCATCTCAATCGGACGCAAAATCCTCCTTGAGCTCTTCACTGTCCCCACATTGCATGGTGCTACTGTAAGTACATGAACATACTTTGACAAGCGACTGTCGAATGCCTTGACAACGCAAGTTCCGACGATGTGTCATGAGACTGTCCACTATTCCTCCTCGGGACCAGAGCGGCAACGCACATGGAGTGGGACGCATTTTTTTTGCATGAATCTGCGCGCTGAGGCGTGGGCTAACCCTAACCCGTGCACAATGGAAATCAAATGACGCTCTGGGTGATGTTGCTAAGCCAGCGAGCTCCTTCGACAATGGGCCATGCGCGCAAGAAGCCTTGCGCTGGCTGGGAATTTTCACTTTCCAAGTTGAACGAAGCCTTTACAGCAGCGGCGACTGTACAAACACACATCTAGCCTCATACGCACTGCTCTTTTCGTGTACAAGCACTTGCCTTTGAGCTAACTCGCAGGTTTCTGTGTGTACTACAACACTCATTCCGCTGCAGCAATTGTACATATGCTGCCACCCACATATTGAAGGTAAGTGTTGCGAGGCGTGGGAACGCGATGGGTGATATGGGTGTCCTACTGGACGAGGGCCGCCGACCGCCAAACTGGACCATTCGGGGGCACGGAGGCAGAGGGTGAGGAGCTTGGAGCAGCGGCTCGTCACAGATGAAGGAAATAGTTGGAGATCCTCAGATGGAAGGATGGAGGAATGACGTCGTCTATATCGAGTCCCAAATCTTGAGCTTCACAGTTCGTACCAGACCCGACTGATTCTGTCAATCACTCTTACAGACAACCTACCTTAACGTTACCTTACTGGTTACAACCCTATCGGCAATATGTTCCATTCACGGTCAACATTACGGGCCGTGAGCGCCGCATCGCGCAGGGCGTCGCACGCCGTGCAGAAATGCCAAACTGCCGTCCTACCAAAACCTTTCGCCGCCAGGCAGTTCTCTGCCGCCATCGCCACACGACAGGCTTCTCCGTTGTCTCATGAGACATTCCTGAACGGCCCGTCTGGGACGTACGTTGAAGAAATGTACGAAGCTTGGCAAAAGGACCCAAAATCTGTCCACTTGTCGTGGCAAGTATATTTCCGGAATCTCGCCGCGGGGGGAAAGACACCCGCTTTCTCGCCGCCTCCCACCATCATTCCATCCGCCGAGATCGAGGGCTACCAAAGCGACTCCTCATTCACCGCTGGCGACAAAATTCCCGCTGGCGAGATTATGGACCACATGAAAGTGCAGCTGCTCGTGCGCGCCTATCAAATCCGTGGTCACCATCTCGCAAAGATCGACCCCTTGGAGATCAAAGTTGCCGACGAGGCGAAAGCCCCAGAATTGAGCCATACCCACTACGGATTTACGGACGCTGATTTGGACCGTAAATTCTATCTCGGTTCCGGAATCCTGCCTGGTTTCCTGGCTCAGGAAGGGAAAGAGAACCTGACTTTGCGCGAGATTATCGACCGACTGCAGAAGACGTACTGTGAGTACTGAGAAAGGATGTCATGAACGTCACTTTCTCATCGATGGGTAGTATGCTAATCATCCATCTGCTGATAGGCGGACCCATCGGTATCGAATATGGTCACATACCCGACCGTGAAAAGTGCGACTGGCTCAGGCAAAGATTCGAAGTGCCAGTCAAGTACAACTACACCAAGGAGCAGAAGATGATGATCCTGGACCGGTTAATGTGGTCTGACCATTTCGAGCGTTTCGTTGCTCAAAAATACCCCACGGAGAAGCGTTTCGGTCTGGAAGGGTGTGAGAGTTTGATTCCTGGAATGAAAAGCTTGATTGACCGATCTGTGGAGCACGGCGTCAGCTCCGTTGTCATGGGTATGCCCCATCGTGGACGTCTGAACGTTTTGTCCAATGTTGTCCGGAAGGAGAACGCATCTATCTTTGCCGAGTTCTCGCACAGTGCGGAGGACACGGTTGAGGGATCCGGGGACGTCAAGTACCACTTGGGCATGGTAAGGAAATCGGAAATGCAGAGTGCCTTCTTATTTTCACGGTATTTACCGATCATCTCGTCCCTCAGAACTACATGCGTCCCACCCCATCTGGCAAGACGGTCCACCTCTCTCTCGCTGCGAACCCGTCCCACCTGGAAGCCGTCAACCCCGTCGTGGAAGGCAAAGTCCGCGCTCTGCAATACTACCAGAACGACGTAAAGGAACACAGCAAAGCTATGGCTGTCCTAATGCACGGAGACGCCGCTTTCGCCGGTCAGGGTGTTGTCTATGAAACCATCGGAATGGCTGACCTTCCCGCATACGCCACCGGCGGCACGGTCCACGTCGTCGTCAACAACCAAGTTGGATTCACCACTGACCCCAGGTTCGCGCGTTCCACGCCTTACTGCTCTGATGTTGCTAAGACGGTCAATGCTCCCATCTTACACGTCAATGGAGACGATGTTGAGGCTGTGGTTTTCTCTATGGAGCTTGCGGCGGAGTGGAGGCACAAGTATAAGAAGGACGTTGTTATCGACATTGTGTGTTACCGAAAGTATGGACACAATGAAATCGACCAGCCTAGCTTTACTCAACCCTTGATGTACAAGGTATGCCCGTGTGCTCACCATGATTCCCGTGGTCTTTGGTAAAGTGCTGACCCTGCTGTGATCATTTACAGAAAATCGCCGGCATGACCCCCGTCCTCGACAAGTATATTGCGCAACTCTTGGCCGAAGGGTCGGTCACGCAGGAGGAAGTCGACGCCATGAAGAAGCGTGTCTGGGGAATCCTGCAGGACAACTACAAGGCCAGTGAGAACTACCAGGGCAGCTCAAAGGAATGGCAATCAAGTTCCTGGTCAGGTAAGAGTGTGGCTGCTGAACTCCAAGTCCTTTGTTATTTTCCTGGGTCTCACCAACGTGGGTGATGTAGGTTTCAAAGCTCCCGCCGAGCTAGCCAAGGAGACGGTCCCACCAAAGCCGACCGGTGTGGATCTCGACCTTCTCCGCTACATCGGAAACACGGGCGCCAGCTACCCGTCCGATTTCACGGTGCACCCCAACTTGGGCAAAATTCTCAAGCAGCGTCAAAAGTCCGTCACTGAGGGTGAAGGTATCGACTGGGCGACCGCCGAGTCCATGGCGTTCGGCACACTGCTGGCTGAAAACCAGCACGTCCGCCTCAGTGGGCAGGATGTGGAGCGTGGAACCTTCTCGCAACGTCACGCCCTCTTGAACGACCAGCAAACCGAAAAGACCTACGTCCCCTTGAACCACCTGGTTGCAGGCGACGTCGTCCCCTCGCAAAGCAACTTCACTGTCTGCAACTCCTCCCTCTCCGAGTTCGGATGCCTCGGGTTCGAGCTGGGTTACTCCATGGTCAGCCCGCACCAGCTCGTTATCTGGGAAGCCCAGTTCGGAGACTTCGCCAACAACGCCCAATGTATCATCGATCAGTTCATTGTCTCTGGCGAGCAGAAATGGCTGCAGCGCACGGGTCTGACCCTCCTCCTGCCCCACGGTTACGATGGTCAGGGACCCGAACACTCGTCGGCTAGGGTGGAGCGGTTCTTGCAGATGGTTGATGAGGATCCGTACACTATGCCTACGTTGGAAGGCACTGGACGGGACAGCTACGCCAGGCAACATCAGGACTGTAATATCCAAGTTGTGTACCCGACTGTACCGGCCAACTACTTCCATGCGCTGAGGAGACAGGTTCACAGGGAGTTCCGTAAGCCGGTATGTGCCCGTGCACGGACTATGGCTTTCTTCCATTCTTTTGGCTTTCGAGTGTTGAGCTAACTTAACGTCTCTCCATAGCTGGTAGTCCTCGAATCCAAATCTCTCCTCCGCCACCCCCTCGCCAAATCTTCCATCCACGAAATGACCGAAGGCACATACTTCCAGCGCGTCATCCCCGAAGTCCTTCACGAGAACCCCTTCAAGGAACTCGACATCACCGAACCCCGCGCCGCCAACAACATCGAACCCCGCATCCCGCTTGCCCTTCGCTCGACCGAGTTCCAGCTCGCCCCGCCCCGCGAGATCAAGTCCGTCATCTTCTGCAGCGGGCAGGTGTACTACCTTCTGTACCGCGCGCGTGAGCTGAACCAGCTGCGCGATGTGGCGATTGTGAGGTTGGAGCAGATCACGCCGTTCCCGTTCTGGGAGGTGAAGGCTGTCGTGGACAATTATGAGAATTTGGAGGAGGTGGTGTGGTGTCAGGAGGAGAGCTTCAACTCTGGGTCGTGGTCGTTTGTAGAGCCGAGGTTGGAGACGGCTGTTAGGGAGACGGAGTGGTTTAAGAGTGGGAAGGTATGTTGTCTTATCTTCGGTCTTCCGATTTTGCATGTCGATGTCCCAAAATATGAGCTAACCACACCCGTCATCCCCACAGGGCAAAGCATGGGCCGAAAAGCTCGACGCAACGCGCACCCCCGGCGGCCTCGAAAACGGCCGCAACGGCGGCAAAGGCGCCTCCATCCGCGGCGGTCGCTTGATCCGCTACGCCGGACGCGACCCCTCCGCCGCCCCAGCCACGGGTCTGAAGAAGCAGCACGTGTTTGAGGAACGCATGCTCGTCTCAGAGGCCTTGTTGAATGGGAAGCTGGTTAAGCCCGCGACGATCGAGAGTGGGATTCCCAAGTTTTATAACTAGGAATGGTGTGGCACTCCGTTGCGTCTCGACCCGCGAACATTCATACATCGGATGGGAAGCCTAGGTGGAAGCTGCGGCTTTTGTGACCTCCCCAGTCCTATCCCTATTCTCTCATGCTTTTGATACTCTTCCTCTTGTTCTTTTCATTTACTTTCCTTTTGCTCTGTTTTTCGTACTCATAATATTCTCGGATCCATGTTACATGTTACATTTCTGTGGTCCTGTGCGCTTTTTCGATATTTGGGTGATGTTCTCATGTGAATGGACGTGTCTTACGATCAGCCGGTGGTAGTAAGTATTTCTATTGACAGGTTTACCTTGACAAGAAACCCGTCGATTTCCTCCCGCAACCGTCAGGAAACCGGACAGCGCCGGAACCCAAGAAATGCGTTCTATTCTGACTCGAGAGTTTCTTCCCCGTGCCCCTTTCTCGCTCCTTTCGGAATTTGCTCATATCTGTTCAGGAGGGAAATCGAGGGGAAGGTTATGGTCCCGTTCAGGTGCAAACGCGTGCTGAGGTAATCAAAGGGCAATGTAGTAAAGTCCGAAACCGTGTCCGGTCTCAATCCCAACATTCATTCTAGAATCCTAGTCATGCCCAATCGGTTTGCTGGGAAGAGTCTCAGCTTCTCAGGCAAGAGTAGTAGCTGTGTTAGTAGCTGTAAAATGTACAAGTAGAAGAGGTTCCAAGAAAAAACACAACGTAAATGGGGACCGCACCTAGCCCTCACTATCAATGGATGTAGGAATGATACCGAGGACCCTGGGTATATATTTTGGGACACCAGATGATGAAGAAGAATCAGGATGCGTTACAGTGGTTACAGGGAGAGATCACGGGTATATAATGCTTGGCAACTGTGTGCAGGAAAGTGACATCTCTTGTTAAAGGGGTAGCTAAATCTGCCCAATCTGAGAATAATACTACGACGACTCCCCACCGGCCTTCCTCAACCTCTCCACAAACGTGTCTCCAAGCAACGTACGACCCCCGCCCGCCTTCCGCGCTAACGGGCTATCCTGCCCCGAGTGTCGTCGCGGCGGTTGTTGACTTGACATGCCACCTGTACCGTTACCGCCGACCGCGCCGTCATCTCCCCCGCGCGACGACCTTCGCACCTCGTTGGCGAGGTAGAGGTTGAGTTTCTCGTCGGATACTTCGAGGTGAGATCGTTGTTCAGAGACTTCGAGGGTGGCGAGACGGAGGATGTATTCTAGGACGCTGAGGTGGACGCGTTCTGGGGGTGGCGTGGTGGTGGTGGTGGTGGTGGCATCATTTGCCGATTTTGGGTTTGATGGTTTTGTGGGCGACCCTGTGTCGGTGTGTTCCTCTGCGTCTTCATCACTGTCGCTGAGATCGCTGTCCGAGTCCGGCTTGTGATGCGAGTCGTCGTGGAAGAGCTCCAAGGCAAGGTACTCGGCACCCGCCCGCTCTTTTGCTCGCACCGGCGTGTTACTCCCACCAGATGCGTCCCCCGCTCCCACCACAGGGACAGCGTCCGAATCTAGCTTGACGACCAATACGGGGGACTTTGCATCGATGTTGAGGAGAAGGCCCGACCGGGAGTAATACAACTTCTTCAGATCCGTTACCGAGATCCTGTTGACGCGTCCAGGAATAACATCAGTCATTTTACACTTGGACACGTCGACGCCTTCGTGGTACCGCCCGTCGTTAAGATCTTCCGTGATGACAAGGTTGTATGCTATCCATGATGTTTTGGTCCTTGAGGCGGTTGCGCTGATGCGTTGTACTGTTACAGTGGCTTTGGCGAAGTCTTCACGCCATGTAAAGTCGGAGAGACCCTTGGCGCGGGCGGATGATTGGAAGAGCGAATAGACGCGAACTGGGAATCTGGAGAGCAGGAAAGACGTTTTGGTCATTACATTTCTTGAGAATATGGTCAACTTGCTCCTCGATGGAGTACATACGGGCTTCCAACTTGAACAGGATCCGGCGGCTGCGTGGGTCCAAACTGCGAATGCGCCACAAACCGTCCACTCGCCAGCGCAACAGCAGTCGACGCCTGCAACAGCCTGCCTGGCGACGTACTCCCACCTAACCCTCCCCCCAAGCTCGCTCCCGAGTTCTGCAGCGCCAATTGCAGGAACGGCACAAGGTTGTCGATGGTCTTGAGCACCTCCTCAACGTCTTTCAGAACTTCCGCGGCAAACTCCTTTTGTTGGTCGGCTCCGCCCTGCTCGCCATTGGTGCTATCTGCGGTGTCGATCTGCACGCGCTCGCCGAGTTTGCGCAGACGCTTCTTCAGCTCTCCTGACAGGTGCAGGATGCCTTCGAGGGAGGTGTTCCCTTTCGCAGCAAGAATTTCACAGGTGTCTATCGCTGCAAACCCATCGTGAGTGTCAGTGGTCAGAGACGAGGCCCGACGGGAATCAGAATGAGATGACCAGACCCGGCATTTGAAACTTACCTGGGGTAACAATAGACAGTTTTATCTGCAATACATTCTGCAAGCTGACCAACTGCTTATGCAGCGATGATTTATCGGCCGTGGTGCGCTGCACAAACCCGGAGATTTGGCGGACGGCCACGCCTTGGGCGTAGGAGAATGCCGCTTTGGAGACAAGCGAAGCGCCGGATATGGCAAGGGTCGCGAACAGCTGATCCATTATGGTCTCCCTACTGTGTTACCAGATCGTTCTTATGTTTTCCCACGTGAGGGGAATCAGGGGATGCCCAAAGGACTTTGGGTCGTTCGGAGATGGGCCTTCACAGAATTCAAGGCTTTCAAACGGCGAGACGCGTTCTTGGACGGCTTGTCTTCGATCTCGAGCCCGACTCCTGCCCGGGACTGAAGAGACTCCCGGACAAGACAAGCACCGCCAGGCACCTTACGCCGTGGTCCCCCGTCCTCATTTATACTCAAGTTTCCAAAGAATCATGCCGAAATGCACGAGTACGGGCCATCTACTGACAAGGAGCTCTCAAACTTATACACAGACATGCGCCCGCGCAAAGCACGTACAGAGTAGGTATCTCGCATACCCAACCACTAAGCCACGGAACCCCCTCCCGGACCCGGCACAATGACCTACCGCACTCTCCTAACGAGATGAGAGCATGGTACGCACTGGGGCGGCCGTCAATCCCGAGTGTTGGTCGTTCGGACTCTTTCCGGACGCGGAAATTCCTCAATTCGGACATTATGTCAGCGTGAGTGTCGACTGAGTGTCGACGCGTCGTTCTCACAACCCCTATTTGGAGGACAGCACATAACCGTTAGCGTACTGATCTCAGATAGAGACCGGGAAACACGGTTGTCTGCATCCAGAGATGAGCTGAGGCTTCGGGTTTCCCTACTTGAACAATGCCTCAGCGACCTCTTCCATATCGTCTCCACCTTCATCGTTGTTATCAGTAGAGGCAGCCCATTTGAAGAACAATTTCTATGCCTTTCCCAATGAAGAAGCGTTGAGGTTCCTGTGCGCAAGGCAATTAAGGCTGGAACCAGAAAGCCGGAGTTGGCTTTCGACGGAGTTAGGATGTGCATCATTGGGTCGGTGTCATCTCATCGCATTACACCTACAGCCTTCATGCAAGAAAGCGAGTTGAGATCAATGTCAGAGGCATGCGCCGTGGACAGGCCGACATGCTTAGCCTACAGAGTCTTGTTTTCGAAAAGGAAAATGCAGCCAGTATCTGCAAATCTATTACGGAGAGGACCAGTGCCGCCGCAAAGCAAGCGTCCCATGACAACCAGGGTGTCCCTGAAAAGCGGACATGTGCCTCACCATATGCCGTCTCCCGCTTCTCACCCACCGGGCACGAACAGCTCAGGGGTGGGAACTTTCAGACTGACAACTGACTTGTAAGTGGCGGGGTGAGGAGATAGTATCCGTCTCACGAACGCACTCAAGAGACAATGCAAATCTGTCCAAGCTGAACTTGGCTTGAGTCTCATTGCATGCTTTTCTTTGAGTTGGAACTCAGGGCTCCCCCCGGGAACTCCCCGCAACCCCAAGGAAGTTGAGCTGTTCTATGGCTGCAAAGCAGACAGAGCCCTACCGTCATCGCATGGCGTCCCGCTGGGGGGAAACGCGCAGGGCTCATATGACCAGCGGCCACGACGCGTGCCGCATCTGACCGACAGTGACTCTTCTTCACTTGCCGTTCCCTTCATTCCCTTCTTATTGTGTCCACCACTTCAAAGACCATTTCACAGACATCTTCCCCATCCGTGCGAAATTTTCTTTGGCCAGCTGGGGATACATGCAACCATCTCACGCTTGAACTGGTAATGCTGTGAGTGCCTGCGGCTGATGAGTTGCAATCTCTAGCTCCACATGCGGGTTAACCCTAACCCCCTCCTGACATTCCTCTAAGGCAGAGACTGTCCACTGGCTTCCAGGCAATGTGCACTAGTAAGGATAACAGCATTGCAGGGGCTTTGCAGCCATAGCAATCAGCCCACCTACGGCGGCTACCAATCCAACAATCGGGAAGCTCGTTCAACGCGTCACGAACGCGTCAAGAGGTCCTGGTCATTCGGACACGTGCGAGGTTCGGACATAAGCAGCGCGTTGCTAACGCGTCGTGGTTCCCAGCTTTCCTGCCCAATTCCCAACTTTCCCAACTTCCCTGCCCTTCCGTCAGTTGTGGAGCGCCGATCGTCTGTTCGATCGTTTGTTACCTGGGGTGGAAATACAGCATAGCCGCAGATGCTCGATGCGTCGTCCCTACCCTGGCTGGCCTGATCCGGGCTCACACCGGAGAACACTCAATCTTTTCCGGACGTAGGTCGCAAGTGATTTGTGAATTGAAACGCGACTGATAAAGAAGGCTGCTACATCGGGCAAGGGCATATACACATCATGCCAGCCACCTCAATGCGTGAGCGTATCAGTCTCTTCAGTCAAATGAAACTTGCAAGCAGCACCGCCAAAATTCAGGATAGGACATCCAAAATTGCGATGTAACTAAATAACGCGTCACGAACACGTCACGCTACGTCTTTCGGCCGTCACAAGCGAAGAATCCAACGCACGCTCATGAATAAGGCCTTAGAGGGAAACCCACATCACCACCGTCGCAACGGGTCGATCTCTCAAAGATTCCAGGAATCTCCCATCCGTTGCCCAAACACGAAAAACGGAGTTCGGAAAAATCCCACGTGAAGTCCAGACCTGAGAAAGCGCGTACCTAACGCGTGCTGGGTTTCACAGTGAACAGAGTCCGCCAAACAGAACGGCGCGCGGGGATCGCCGCACAACTCCAGGGCCGGCTGCAACTGCCGGGAGCAAGAGCCCACGCGAACTCGAGTTTGGGAAGGGACTCCCCCATTGACACGCGCCCTGCGATGGGGTCGGGTAGGTTGGGGGGCACGCGCAGCTGCATGTAGATCGTGTCTGACAGCCTGGAGCCACATCGCTCCCCTTTCCGTTTGGGTAAAGACTGCTGAGCAGCACCGCGGATACTCGAGCCCGGACGCTGCTGTATGGACGCGTACAAGGGAGATTGATACGGTGAAAGAAGGGCTCGACCCCTCCCATCCCCGACGTCGAACATGGAGGGCGTCACTTAGGCTTGAGCAGAAAGACACGAGCTCCACGCGTTCTGGATTCGTTCAGGGATGGTCATTCGGACATAGCCAAGGTTCGGACATGAGGAAACGCGTCGAGGACGACGTGCGGGTCTGCCGTAAGGGCCCATCGTCCCTCAACGGGGGCTGGTGGCGGGTGAGCATGCGACGCAGAAGTTACATTCTATCCCTTGCCACATGTACACAGGGCTTGCCCGATCTGGGACCTGTCCATAACGTAAGACAGTATACCGGAATCCCATCTGTCCCTCTCCTCACAGCTGGCCCGACCCGGGCCTGAGGGTTTGTGAAAATCTTAGCACGAATTAGATCGAAGACGTCTCCATGCGTTCCTACTTTCGGTGTGGCCCCGACGCGGTCCTAATCACTGGGTTCAGCAAAGCACAGAACCCCCCGAATCCCCAACATACTTCGCTTCGGTTCCCATTCCGAACGCGGAAGGGGCCTGGATATGTCGGACCTGCGCGCAGCTGGCACACCATGTTCCGCAGTTTACGGAACATATTATCCTCGCGATGTGAGCGCTCCAGATGCTCTTCTGTTCCCGGTGCAGAAGGGAACTTGTGCACGTTTCGGATATTTGCAGTATGGAACGCGTCGCGAACGCGTCAAAGCTACGAACCGGTCCATACACTTGTCCGGCACCCCCAGGCATGAATCTGAACTGAGCACGTCAGGTGGGGTCGGCAAGCCCAATGATCCATCAAAAGCCGCAGAAAAGGTGCGCCCGGACAAAGGAGCAAGACTGGAAACGTTTCAGGATCAGCAACGCCAAAAAGGAAGTTTGAGGAAAAAAATACATGATGTTAGTGTACACCACCCCTCCCCCACTAAACTCAAAAGAAATCCCCGAAAACGCTCCCAAACCAGAAAAAAAAAATACACATACATAAAGAAAACCCTCTTTACGTCAAACCCAAACACGTCAAGAAAAACAAGAAATGTTCATCCCGGATATATATATATATATATATATATATATATATGAGTTGTATGAAATGAGGCTACAATTACTTAAATACGAATATCCCGCATGACGCCACGCCGTCGGTTTGTTCCTACGCCCATGCGCCAGCATCATCCTACGCCAAAAAAAAAAAGAAACCACAGTTACACCCTTTCTTACTTCCTCTCCATCCCCGCGTCCTTGACTTTTTTACTCTTCTTCGCCTTCCCTTTAAGCCCCCAAAACCCATGCCTGCTCTTCCTCCGTTCCCTCCCCACCGCGCCTTGCACCCCGACCACCGTCAAGCGTTTCGCTGATCTGGTCGATTTCGTCGATTTTGTTCTCATTGGCTGCTCTGGGGAGTCGGGGAATGGTAACGGTGGGGTTGTTGGGAGGGGTGGGAGGGGTGAGGTCGGGGGTGCACGGAGCGGTGAGGATGTGCTTGAACTTGTCGTTGAGGTGCGGGGTATGTGGACTGCGAGGGGTGGGGTGGGTGTGATGTTAAGGTGGAATTTTGGAACGGTCTGGGTTGAGAGTGTGAGTGTTGTGGAGGTCGAGGCTGGTGTGATGCGGAGTTCGACGATGGTGTCTCCGAGGGGTGGCATCCATCCCATTGTGGGTGTTACTGTTATCGATGCGGGGTGCTCGGACCATGCATATGGGACGATGGCGTTTTCCGTGTTGTGGAGGGTGACGAGGTACCGTGTCACCTCCCCTTGTGCGCCGTCGAACGGTAAGGCTATATCGTACCGCTTTACGCCGGCTTCGGTCTCATTCCCGGTCGGGACACCAGTCCATTCATGCTCGACCAATACATCCCCCTCGCCCACTTTAAACACATTCCCAACCTCCACACCCGCGACATCCACAGTCTGGATACCTTCATCCCCACTGCCCCCGCTATCATCCCCCTCGACGAAGCTGTAAATCGACAACCTACTCCGGGATGGGCTGGGTGTTTGCGAGATACCCAGAGCGCGGGCGGGGCTGGAGGAGCTGCTGCTTGATGGTCTAGTCGGGGAGACTGAGGTGGACGGAAATGCAGACGATGAAGCTTCGTTCGGTGAGGGAGGGCGGGACAAAGGAGGCGGTGTCGTAGAACTCGACTCCCTGTTTCCGTCTATCGAATCAGCGGCGGGGGTTGGGGTATCGTCGATATACGTCTGGGAGGAAGTCCTCCGACTCCTCACACTCTGCGAATCGGCGGCATCATCGTACCACGCCGCGATATCACCCAACAGGTTGTCCAGCTTCGCCATGCCCGCGACCGCAACCGCGTTCGCATGGGCATGCTGCTGGTCCGCTGCATCGTTCCCCATCGACCTATCGAACTCTGCGTCCTCGGCATGCCGACCCTCCGCCGCATCCGCGCTTCGCTCAGACGTATAGTCCCTCAACAACGTTTCGTACAATGTCGAGATGGATGAGGCGCTCGTGGTCCGTCTGGAGGGCGCAAAAGACACGTTTTCCTCACTTTCGCGTAAAGAGCGGGACAGGCTGCCGAAGATGTCGCGGTCATCGTCTGAGGGTGATCGTGCGGAGGTCGGGGATGGAAGCGCTGCGCCGTCAGCGGCTAGGTTGAGGACACCGAGTCGGGAGCGGGAGGTGAAGGCCGAGTGAGTGGATGAATCAGATTCGCGTCGGCCTAAGAGGTGGGAGTAGGCGCCGCTTTCTGACCCCTCGAAATCACCTACAGAGCTAGCGCTGGATGGGAGGAAGGTGTTGATGGGGGTGAGGTCGTGGTAAAGCGCGCTGGAGTAGGAGGATCGCGCGCTTTGGTCGTCCTCTTCGGTCTCCTCGCGGATGTCCTCTGGCATGACTGTTAGGGTCAACCGCTTGGCGACGCTGCGGCGATGGAGGAGGGTCTCGAGGGACGTCGCGGTGGAGGTGCGGTCTCGACGACCGCGGAGAAGGAAACCGGCGTTGCTGTATAAGGAGCGGCGGGGATCGTAGCGTGCTTGGTCGGAAGATTGTTTGGCTTCCGATGATGTTTCACTTGCCGTATCATCTGCCTTCTTGCCACTTTCGGCATCCGATTGCAAACCATCGGCCCCCGCCTGTGAAAACACTCTTCCGACCCGCTTGAACCGCTTCCGTTGCCGTTTCGAAGGGCTTGCTTTCACAGACTGCGCGTCCGCTTCTGGTAACGATGGCGGTACGGTGCTGAAAACACTGTCCGCATCGGTGTAGATGGATCCCCAGGAGGCACGACGGATGGCGCGCGCATAAAAGCTTTCTTCTGGTTCGGTGTCATCATCGATCTCAATGTCCTCCTGATCGGAAGCCGAGGATGAACTGATCCACTCTTCATTCTCCTCGACGTTCTGACCTTCTTGGCGGCGGTCAGAGTCCCCCTCATGTGTGGCGGGATTGCTTTTGGACGGAAATGATTCGCGAACGTCGTCTACCAACTGGAGCGTTCGCGGATCAGCTGAGTCAGAGTGACGCCTCGGCGGAATGGAATCGTTCGAAGATGACCTAGTGTGCGTAGGTTTGACCTCCATTGAGGCGGCCTTGACATCCAATATCGCAGCAGCTTCTTCCTTGGCTTCAGAGAGAAGTTCGTCAAGCTCCTCCATTGTCATCTCCGCTTCGGACGTTTCGTGGTCGCTTTCTGCTTTTTGTACCGGTTGGAGTTCTTCCTTCGCATTCTCGCTCCCACTTTGAACACTAGCAACGAATTGATTTGCCTCATTTTCAACCGGTTTGTCGACATCTTCTCCAACCTTCTCAGAGTGTTTCGATGAAGATTTACTGATAACACTCAGGCGTCTCGTCACCTCCTCATCCAACACCAACAAATTCAGCTCAGTCCCCTCCAACAACGGCGCCGACCTCAAATCGCTCAACGAAAGCGATGTCCTCAGCCGCGTCTGACTGAGAGGCAGCTGCGTCTCGCTGGCGCCCTTCTGTCCCAACTTGTTCAGGTCATGCAGACTTGTGCGATGGGATAGTCGTTTGAAGCTGTTTCGCCAGACTTTTTTGAGGAAGCTGGCGGGTGTTTTCGAGGGCTTCTTTTCTGGGGTGTGGGTCAAGTCGTTGAGGGAGGGGCGTGAGGTGGAGAGACGTTCGCGGGCGGGTAGCTTTCCGGCGGTGGAATTGGAGCGTAGTGGTGAGGAGATTTTGGTTGACGGTGCCGGGTACTTTCCCGCCGTCGAGTGGGACCGCAGCGGCGAGGTCGTTGTGGGTGACGGCATTGTTGGTATATGGGTATCTCAAGAGAACGAGGTGTGTGAATTCCTATGAGCCAGTGCGACGTGGACTCCCACGCTGCGTTATCTGTACGGGCCCAAGAGTTCCCAGGAAATCGAACAACCCTCTACGAAGAGACACCCTGGGAAAGATCGCGGACCACAACCACACTGACCGACGGACCCTTGCGGTAGGTGGGCTCTTTTGGTTTTCGCCCGTTGCCGATATTTACGAACAAAGCGGGAAACCGGCAGGACCCCTCAATAAAAAAGGCCAAGAGAAAAAGGGGCTCTCTGTGTGCGAGCGGGCTTGACAATTGACAGCCAGGGGAGGGGGTGTCTGACCAATGTGGGATTTTTTAGGCAGCAGGCGGGACGGGAAAGTGTGGGGGGGAAAGAAGCGGGGGGCTGATGTCCCATGCTTTATCACAAGTTGTATAGTTGTACAGTATACGGTACGATATAGTTGGGGCCTCCATGGATGAGCGCCAGGAATTGACATCACCCACAGGCAAGAAGGCCCTTTTGGGCTCCGTTGAAGATGCGGCGGCCTTTGACGAGAGAATCGGAGAGATGCCCGCCGTGGATGGATGGATGTGTTGCTATTCCTTCCGGCGGCCGATTTCCTCCGGATCCCGACTGTGCCACCAAACTGACGCATCCCGACGCGCGTTTCTGCTGCGCTTTCAGATCAATGGTCTCCACAAATACTGCAGTCAAGGTTACCACGAGCTACCGCAACATCACTTCAACCTTCTTGCTTCCATCCCTCACGGACACAAAACGAGAGGACTCCACACAAGAGAGGTACCACCTTTGCTTTGGCAGCTGTCTTACTCACCGAAACACCCGGCAGACATGCTCCCGCTCTGCCCGACTCCAAATTACCTTCGCAGCTATCTGCGCTCGACGGAGAGGCTTGTACGGCTCCCGATCTTCCCAACCTCGAAATACCTTCGCAGTCGTCATCTCGCGACAGCATATTTCGATATGCTGCGCAATCACGACGTCGACACCCGTAGCACCTACCGCCGCATGTCTCTTGAGCAGAGAATTGCGCTTTTCGGTGCGGTGCTCCCTAATATGCAAGTTTCCTTTGTGCAAAAAACGAATGAGGCGTTGCGGCGAATCCTCGCACCCCCCATTGCCGAACGCGCAGCCAGAATTCGCATGGCAAGTGGTGACAACCCAGACGCAGCGAAACCGCACCCGGCAACGGAACGAAGTGCACAGTCCGCGAGGGAGAGCGACGGACGGCGGATTGTTATTCCGGAACCACACGAAACATCACTGTCCGTCGCGTGCGCTTTAGGGCGAATTCTTGATAGCGCACAAGTGCCGTACGCCATCGGCGGCGCCCTATCTTTTGGTTTTTGGGCAGTTCCCCGAACGACTTTCGCCGTTGATTTCAACTATTTTACCGTCCCTGACGATGCCGGCCAAATGCTCAAAGCAATCGAAGAGCATGCACCAATAACTGATGAGTACGGCGTAGTTTGAAATCTACGGCCATTCCGTGTGACGGGCCGATTATTCGTTTCTGGTGGAAAGGAACCAAAATCGAGGCGTTCGGTCCAACTATACCTGTATTTTCCCAACAAGCCCTCGAACGTGCTCGGAGAGTGAACGTACACGGCACCTCTCTCTCGGTGCTCTCCGCTGAAGCGATCGCCGTCTTCAAATTGATTTTTGGCCGCCCGAAAGACTGGGTGGACTTGCAGGCGCTTATCGACTCAAACCCTGATCTGGACAAGCAGTACATTCGTGATACAATCCTCATGATCTTTGACGACAACCCGGAACTTCCCGCAATCGTCTTTCGTTGGGATGAGATTGCGCAGCATGGACCGGTAATGAGGATGTAGCCCCGTGGCCACGGAAAATGTAGAGCAGTTTCGGAACAATTGTGCACTCCCTCTAAGACAAGTGTTTTGTCCGCAACCGTGTCTTGGACCTTCCCCCCGATCGAACATTCTTTGCAGTTATTGCAGGGTTTGAGAGTATGGTTTGTACAAGGGCACGCATTAAAAAAACAAGGGCACCCACGGGGCCAGCGGTGAAAAGCATCATCCGCACAAACTCTCAAAAAGAGCAGTCACATCGCGCATCGCACATGCACTCAGTAGTCGATCCGGGAGGATCTTGCCATTCAAGCCTCCAATTCAGCAGGTGAGAGCGATGGCATCCTCTATGACGCTGTCGAGAAGCCATTCGACGTTGTAGCGTACCTCCTCAACCACGGCTGCCGGGTACCAACCAGGAGCGTCACGACCACGATGGATTCACTGTACATTTTCGCGTACAACGAGGACTGATCTTAGGACGCTCCCCCCTTCCCTCGGCAGTCAGATGCCCGTCGTGAAGACGGTTTGCTATCTTACTCAGGGCAAAAACTAACGCAAGTCGCCCAGACACAGAATGAACCGAGCAAAGCGCTGCAAACGCATACGGCAAGACGATCCCTACGTACGCAGAGCTGGAAGCAAACGGAGTCTTGCGTCTCACTCCAGTATCGTAGCATGACGTTAGGAAGCGATGTCTTGGTAGAATGATACCGAACCGGAAGCCTTGCACTGCTGAAATCATCGATCTGAAAGAGGGATTTCCGTGGCTCTATAGCGTTATAGCTCGAACAATTGAGTATCGGCTGTAATATGTCATCGCAGGCTAGTAGAGGTCATCCGAGACCCTCCCGGGATTTCTACTGATGTTGCTATGTTGATATCATATCCTACTTGACACATGATCTGACACTCCCGGGCCTTCCTAGGCTTTCGCTTAGGCGAAGGCAAGTTGTTAACCTGCGTTGCTCTGCAGCGTTCGTCCATGGTCTCTGCGATCTCTCTGATGTCTCTGATTGTCTCGGTGCAGCGTCAAAGCAGCATGTGGTCGAATAGCACAACGTTCAAGTTCGTCAGGGAAAGTCCAATCTAGGTATTCGCGATTGGCTCGTACAGGGGAGCCTCGTTGGAAGAACACTCTGTCCCGGTTTGCACACTTTGCAGCCACAGCCGGTCCCGCATGGTTGGTGAACACCTTGGCGCTCGTAGCTGACGAACCATCGATGTTCCAAAGGCTGAAACTGGAGAACCAAGTAGAGCAATCCCTCGCAACTTCGGCAAACCAGGAAAAGGACAATATTACCGCCCAACGGGACTCCGCCACGGCGAAGGCAACCTCAGCAACCGAGGAGCGAGACACGATGAAATTGTAAAACAGAAGCCGATACCGCAGCGCGCCGTCACCTCACCGCTAAGCTGAAAGAGGTGGAATTGACCCGACAGGTTGAGATCGCGAACCGAGAGGTTGAGATCTGGGATGAGATCGCAGAGCTCACCGCGGAGCTGGAAAGTTGGAGTTGAACGTGGAACGCGCCCGGGAGCTGACTTGCTCCCAGCATAAGTCACACATGGGCGAGCAAAACAAACTGCAAAGACGCATCAATGATTTTCAATTGACGGTCGATCACTACAAAAGGGAGAACTCAGTCCTCGATCACACGCTTCCCGGCCGGGATACAAGGATATGCAGCGTGGCTTGCAGAGGCATCTTCATGCGGCCAACGAGCGATGAAGAACCTGGAGAAGGAAAAGCAAGAGCGGTCCTGCAACGACGTGGCATGCAAATGCACCTGTGACCAAAGCGGAGAGGTTACCCCGCCGTCACATGGAGTGTTTGGGCTGTTCGCATGTGGGGACGGCGCTGATCAGAGAGAGTGAAGCACTCCCTGCTAGGGAAAGCATTGATAGACGGTGAAAAATTTTGATGTCTCAACACCGAATGTTATAACTTCAATGAATATAGAATCATCTCGCCGTATCATGACCCCAATATTATTCTCCACGTAGTGCGTTCATGTTGTCAGTGGGCATCGACCACAGTATTGCGATCTTTGAATGAATGTGACTTCTAAGCGGACTGCCTGAAAGCTACATCTTGATTGGGTGGTGAGGAGGCTTGCACGCTGTGAAACTTTGTCGTATGGTCGATCTTCTTCCCTCCGCGGTCTCTTTTGTGAAGGTAATACTCACTCGGCGCACCCATACACATAGAGACGCACAGCAACATTCATAGCTCTCGTCGGAATTACGCATTTTTTGGTTTCCACATCGTGGCGGACCATTGTAACTTGGCTGATCCAGCACCGTTGAGAAAATGCTGAGAGCATGAGGAGAGGTAACGGCGAGGAAGATTTGCCCGTGTCCCTGCAGCTGCAATCAACGCGAGACAACTACACCGCCATCCCGCTGCTCAGACATGCTCCTCAAGTCCGATGTCAAAATGATATAGCCCCCGAAGATGATGGTCATCACAGGTAACGTCCGCATCGCTTCAGAACGTCCCCGCATGTTTATCATTAACGGATGTCGCCATGCACGTGAATGACCTTCTCTACAACCCGCTTGTGAAAGCGATCGTCTACGTTCCGAGTGATGAGCGTCACCGGGATTTCTTCCCTTGCGTCGTCAACTTGCCCGGTTTTGAGCGCATGATGACAAGGAGGTGGGCTGTGTCTCGCCGGCTAAGAGCCCGAAAGTCGTTATGAAAGCTACCAGCTCGCTTGACGATCACTGCGGAAAAGCCAGTTATGTCTGCCGTCTTTTTGATGGGGCTCGTTCTGGCTTCCTAAAATGTCGAATCGGAAGCGGATGCCGAAAGGGACCAAATCGGCGAGCGGAGGATTAAGATGCCGAATAACATTTCGAGGCCTGGAAAATGCGGAGGGCCCTGACAATAAAGGGATGGATCCCGGTTATGAGGATCATCGCGGGAGACATTGGCTTTGAAATGCAGTCCATTTCCTGGGTATGCATGAGTACGCATGCTAGTCCCAGATAGTGCCTCATAAGCGATGGATGGATATCTCAGGAAGGTAGTTTCAGGGATGCTTTCAGTCAGCCGGGCAGGTATGTTTGTCATCCCATCCGGAGGTGCGATGAGAAGATTATGGCGGGACCGCTATCTTGCAGGGGTAGATGCTCGGTGAATGCATATGGCATATGGATATTCTGATGCGCATCATGGGCTTGGCTTGACGGAGCCATCTGCAAGTGTCATTAGGGCATGCATGCATGGCTGGCATGGGGAGGCTCCCCAGCTCGCCCAATCCCTGGCTGTGGGCGAAACGGAGCAGCGGAGGGCGAGAATTATAATAGGACGCGCTGGTCAACAATAATCACGTCCCACTGTCCCACGGTTCCCTCAGGCCTCCCACCTTCACAACTTGAACAACTCGGAAAGAGAACCATCCAACCAACTCAGAGAGATCGGTCAAGTTTACGTCTTCCAGATTATATAAACAACCAGGCCACCTCTGTGGGCTTCTCCAACTGTCCACTTCTCTTCAGCAGCAAGTGTTCCTAGAAATCTAGCAGTTGTCACACTTCGATCGAGGCTCTCAGTCGTTCGAAAGTATTTGGAACGCTCCTTGTCCCAGTGCCACCGCAAGGCTCAACCAACCGGCCCCAATCCTCACCAATCCCATATATAAAAAACAACAATATGCATCCCTACTCCCTCCAACCCCTCAACCAACACCGCCCTCGCAACTTCCCCCAACCCTCCTTCCAACACGAACTAGACGCCCAAACCTCCCGCCTAGCCACCGAGCTCAACTTCCCCCTCTCCCTCCCCTCCGGCATCCAACAGGCCGAATACACCTACTACGCTCCCAGTCTCGAACCTGTGCCCCCCGGCGACGGTAGCAGCATGTTTGGCGGAGGCGCAGCTGACGTCACGGGCAGCAGCTCGTCGTCTACCAATTTGTACATCTCGCCTGAACAAGCCACCGTGTCGTATGCTAGCGGAATCAGTACGGGATTTGACGGTGGTGCGGCCCAACAGGGGGCGTGGCCGCAGCAGATGCAGAGGGGGTCGATGTCGGCGTCGGAGTCGGGGTTTGAGGCGGGGACGGATATTTCGCCTTTGGGGGTGCGCAGTCCTGATGATTATGCGTGGAGTAGTGAGGCGGGGTCCGAGAACACCGGGTATGCACGGGCTGGGAGGGCTAGGGCTGTTGTTGAGCAGGGTGGGGCGAAGTATGTGCCGGGTCGTTCGACGATTGACTTGGTGAGTGACCACTCGAGCCCCCTTGGTTCGCTCTGGGAGACCGATCTTTAGCGAGGTCGACCAGAGTGAACGCCTTTGCGGGCGAAGCGAGTGCCAGCGGGGCGAGTTCCTTGCGCCAAAGGCTCGATACACCATGGCGCTCAGCGTCAGATCTTTTGCGAGCGAAGCGAGCACCACATTGCGCAAGATTCCCCTGATCCAACCTCATCGTTCAACCATTCGACCATTCAACCTTCGCTTTCGCTCAACCATCCGACCATCCAGCCTTTGCTTTGCTCCTCCAACTCATCGATCGTGGAGGAATAAACTAACACATTCATTCTCCCCTCAAAGGAACCCGCAACAATCGTAGCCCAACCGCACATAAACAAAATCATCAGCCAACTCCACGCCTACACCGAACACTCCGTCCCGCGCCCACAAACCATCTTCGACGACCTCCCACCCCTGCCCGATCTCTTCACCCTAAACGAGATCCTCTCCCTGTATTTTGAGAAAATAACCTGCACACTCGCAATCATCCACGAAGCCGCATTCTACCAGGCCGCGTCGCGGCCACCTTCGCCGGAGCAACCGCACATACCGGGTCATTTACCCCCGTCGACGGGAATCGACCCCGCCGTACTGTTTGCGATGCTGGCGTGTGCGGCTCGGTACCACCCCCTCTACGAAGGCCGCAAAGAGGTCGTCGAACATATATTCTACGAACGCGCACGCCGTCTCGTCTTACCCGTTATCGACAACCCGAGCATCAACGTGCTGAAAACCCTGTTGCATTTGACGTTGTTTGCGGTGGAGAACTCGCTGTGGAAGCCGAGTTATATGTGGTTGGGTACGAGTGTGGCGATGGCGCGGTATTTGGGGCTGTATAAGGAGTTGCCGGCTTTGGGTGAGGATGATGTTACGAAAGAGGGGTTGATTGGGGGGTTGGCGCCGCAGCAGATTATGGCGGAGGAGTGTCGAAGGATTTGGTATGTCCTTTTACCTTCCAGTTACTACATGATGAAGTGAGATATTGAGAGCAATCGCCTAACGAACGTTTGTTTCTAGGTGGTGGGTCCGAAACTACGACGCCTCTGGCAGCGCCGCCTCCAAACGCCCTCAAATGATCTCCGACAGCGAATACTCCAAAGAGCTCCTCCTCCCCTGCCCCGACTCGCTCTTCTACGCCACCCGCTACGGCCTCACGCCCACCTCCCCCACCATCCCGCGCACGCAAACCCTCGACGAATTCTACTCGGCCGTCTTCGGCGCCGACCTCGCCCACTCGTCCATCGGGCCCAACGGGTACATCGGCGCCCTCACAGCCTTATTCAACCGCGTGACCAAGTTCAGGCAGAACTGTAATACCATCAACGTTCTCCCGTTTGCGGTCACCCCGGAAACGGACACGCATTACGTCCTGCGGGATTTCAACGCGCATAAAGCGGAACTGGACATGTGGTACCATAAATTGCCCGGGTGGGTCAAGATCCTCGATTCGGCGGTCAAGGACCCCGCGGACCCGATCGTCGGCGGCGGGCTGTGCTGGGAGGACCAGTGGATGCGCGAGACCTACGAATGGGGCATCGCTCTCGTAATCTACCACGCGGCCTGTGCCACACTCCACGGGCCGGATTACAACATGATGGCGATGGGCGTGCAGATTGCCGCTGCTGGATCGTCAGGAGGGGCGGGGAAGAGCACGATGCAGCCGCCGCCGCATGTGGTGCATCTGTTTGCGGTGGCGAGGCTGGATGAGGTGTTGACGGCGTGGCAGGGGAGTGAGAGTTTTGGGAGGGCGCTGGATCATGCGGCGAAGGGGAGTTTGCTTTTGGAGGAGATGGCGGGGAGGGTGCCGCCGGGGAAGAGGAGGGATACGCCTTTCTTTGGGTATTGTGTTTGTCAATTGGTAAGGCTTTGCGAGACGCGTGGTTGCTTGATACCTACAATCCAGCGTTCTGGCAAATCCTCATGAAAAACTGACGTTGTGAATTTCCTCCTCCCCTTTGACAATCCCAACAGGGTCTCCTGAACCTCATCGCCGCCCGCCAACTCGCCCTCATGCAACGCGGCTTCACCTCCCTCGGCGGAACCGGCACAGCCCCTTCCCTCTCCCTCGTGCCCACCTCCCAACACGACCCCACCTCCCAAACCCTCTCCGCCACCCTCAAATCCCGCGCCGCCCGCTCCATCTCCATCCTCGCCCACCAATCCAGCATCTTCTCCGCCTCCGCCACCGGCAAAGCCCTGCTCGAAAAAGTCATGCGGGAAGTCGCCGGCGGGGAGATTAGTATGAAGTTGATGGATGATCTGGAAAAACAGGGGAAGGCTGGGGATGGCGGACGTGGGGGGATGGCGGAGATGTTGGTGAGGAAGAGTATGGGGGGCACGGCGAGGGAGGTGATTGAGGAGCCGGGGAGGTGTGCGGGGACGATGGGGGTTGGGGGGAGGAAGTTTGGGACGATTCTTTGAGCGATTTTGAGATGGTGGGAGACCTTTTTGATTTGGTTGGGGGGTTTGGAAGGGCTGAGTTCTTTGTGGGATTGATGGGGGCTTTCGCGGAGTCGACGTTGGTGGGATTCGCAGGGATTCTATTACGCTTCCTCTTTCATGTTGTCAGTTTTTTTTTTTCATCTCACATTTGTTCACTTGGCAGCGAGTGCACATACGCAAGGACAGCGTTTGGTGCACTTGGTTGCCCCTTCCGTTGATGTGTACTGTATATACCTGAGCCAAGTCGGTTCTCTGTCGTGTCCGAAATAATATCTTTCGCCAAACGCGTTCTTGCTGACATAACGCGACCCCCACAAAGGCATGGGGAGCATTTTACCAAGCATTCCACAAGCTCATATGCAACATACAGTACGTACAGTCAACGGACAAAAAGCGCATCCCCCTCTAATTGAAATCAAAGTCGGTCACTCACGTGAATTTAGCGCTGCGGCAGTCGCTGATTGATTTCAGGGGGATGCGCTTTTTGTCCGTTGACTGTACGTACTGTATGTTGCATATGAGCTTGTGGAATGCTTGGTAAAATGCTCCCCATGCTTTTGTGTGGGGTCGCGTTATGTCAGCAAGAACGCGTTTAGTGAAAGATATTATTTCGGACACGACAGAGAACCGACTTGGCTCAGGTATATGTCCGTACGCAACCATTGAGCCAACGAAGCTCTGTCGTTCAGAGTCAACACCTTGTACATATTCAGAAAATGCATTGAGCCACGAACCTAATAAACCAGAAGTCCCAAATCCGTACTCAAAACCGAATTGCAGCCGGCGGAAAACACTCCCAAAAGGTTCACAACCTTCCCTTCCACAGCTTCTTGTGTGAGAACGTAGCTGTGTCTTTGCACACCCTTCATAGGGGTGAATGTGAAGGGGATCTCACCATGGCGCGAAACCAAATATATACTCTTCCGTTTTCAGGACATCTGAATTCGTGCCTGGCTTCCCTCTGCCTGTCGAGAACAGTTCTTGTTCGGTGTTCCTGTTGTTTCGATCGGAGCAGGGTTGATATGGCAGCATAGCACAGATCGACTTACCCACAGATCAGTTGAGACGATCTGTGCCATAGACCATGAATGGACTCTCGCCTGCTCTGATGGTCCGCTGGGTGGTCTTGATGAGTCCCTCCCAGCGTGCCCAAAATAAAATCAGACAACATGTTCTGCCCAAACTTACGAAGCAGCAAAGGAAGTGTGCTCCACCCTGCACAAACTGTTTGTAGGTCGAATTGCTCAAACTTGATGCGTGCGGCAGCCGTTTGAGCGCTCTCGCTTGATATGCAGAGCTCTGGCCCGCACAGCTTGAGAGTCTGGTCCAGGCATTGAATGTGTCATGGCAGCCAGATGGGAAAATAGCCAGCGTGGTATGCACTTGTGTACTGCCTAAGGTATATTGTACTGACTGCTTTTCCATACGGATGTTACATACACTCCCAACCAACGTACATGTCCACCTTCTGACATCTGAACGCCCGAAACTGTCCTCGTCATCAACAGAGAGAATAAAACCAACCCGCAAAAGAAGTCCCAAAAAAACGACTGAAAAACACCCAACCGTCCCGCCTCCTCCAACATTGTCCAGCCTACGCCGCCATACATCCGCATATATCACTCCCCACAGTCCCTTATCCTTCACAACTCCCACTCATTCGGACCCTAAATCACTGCCCTCAAAAACACCCACAAAACACCCTCTTCCACGCCCAACCCCCACCCTTCACCCGTTTAGGCCCGCCCAAAAGCGGACTATCCTCCTCAGCAGCCTGCACTTCGCGGCGGAGTTGGTCAATTTCGTGGAGGAGGTGGCGGGATTGTTCGTGATCGGAGGCATGCTGTGGCGATTGTGGTGGCGGTGGGAGGGTGGATGGTTTTGGTATCTGTGGTGGCAATTGTTTCGATCTCGTTCCGTTCGAGGTAGCCGATCGTGGAATAATACCCGCCACCGCATCCGCATCTCCACGCACACCCACCCCCGTCAGCGTCTGCACCTCCCCGATCCAATCCTTCACCCTCGCGCTCCGTTCCTCATCCATCGGCTCACTTATCTCTCCCTGCGACTGCGACTGCGATGCCAGCATCGACCGGGTCAGCACCCTTGGCGGGGTCGGGACGGAGACCGTAAGTGGTATATGGTTATTATCGCGAGGGTCGTCGTCGTCCGGGTCGGGATATTCTTCCTTGTCCTCCTCCTCCTCCTGCTTGGGTGATTCGACACGCAGTACATTATCCGATGTGGGTGGTCTGACAACTTCCTGGTACTGACTCGTTCCTACAGCCGCCCTCAAATCCCCACCGGACCCCCTGCCCCCCACGCCCCTATACAAAGCAGCATCCGCACTCATCTGCCTCGCCAGCGTCGCCCAAATTGGCTGATGCACGCTACTCCCCAGCGCCAACCCGAGGCCCAGATTCCCTCGTGACCCGAAAGCGCTGCCTGCTGATACAATGCTTTCGCGGCCGGAGACGGAGCCGCGGTCGGATGTTTGTCTGTTGTTTGCATGGGAGGACCGCCGGGAGAGGGGCGGCGATGACCGGAGGTTGTGATTGAGGGAGGAGAGGGAGGCGAGGCCGGAGCGGTGGGAGGCAAGGAATTCGGATTGGGAGCGGGTTAGTGGGTGGTGCGTGGGTGGGTCTGAGGGGAGGTTGGAGGCTTCGTTCCCTGCGGAGGGAGGTGGTTGTGGGATGGACATCGCGGACGGAGGAGGAGGAAACGGAAGGGGATGGGTTTTTCTATATGTGGCCTGGCTGGAACGGCCTAGGTTGCTGGATACACTGGGAAAGCAGTCGATCTGCAGTAGCTAGCGCAAAGTCGGCACGTTGAGAAGCCCTTTGCAGCGTCCGTATCAACAAAAGGAAACAACAGCCCCCTGGATCCGCCTCTCAGTCTACGGCTGCCTTGTGAGGGAGAGTGGTAGATGGGGACGATGTTGTAGAACTTTTGCGGGACGGTATCGGATGCGAGCCGCACAAGCTGAGCTGCGAGCGCTGCCCCAAGGAATGCACTTCACACAAAGACGGAGCGTTCGTTGTTGGACTTGAACACCCCTCCGCCATCTGAGCACGGGCCCCATTTCCCCCCCCTATAAGGACGCTTGATGCTACTCGGCACGGCCACCAACTCTCTCTTTTGTTCCCTCCGCCTCCCACTCCGACTCGCTCTTCTTCCGCTTCCAAGAACAACACCCACCCGTCTATTCTCCGCAACTGCTGCCAAAATGGGTATTAGCGGTAAGGCCCAAGCCCCGGAAAAAAGTCCCTCCCGCTCACCCAACTTGCCTTCAACATAACCTCATTCTTCTTCCTCCACGCAGGCCTAACGAAAGTAATAGGCGACCATGCCCCCACGGCCATCCGCGAAAACGAAATCAAAAACTATTTCGGTCGCAAAGTCGCCATCGACGCGTCCATGTCCATCTACCAGTTCCTGATTGCGGTGCGGCAGCAGGACGGGATGCAGCTGACGAACGAGGCGGGGGAGACGACGAGTCATTTGATGGGGATTTTTTATAGGACGATAAGGATGGTGGAGAATGGGATTAAGCCGGTTTATGTGTTTGATGGGAAGCCGCCGGATTTGAAGGCTGATGAGGTAAGGGCGAGCGGCGAGCGGAGCGAGCCACATTGCGCCAGAGGCGCAATTATTCCCTCACCGCACTTCTTAGCGAGCCTCAGCGAGGAGCACATTGCGAGAAAGGCGTGGGATGGAAGTTGCGGGGTTTGCGGGATGGAGATTGGGTGCTCATCAGGCTAGGTGTGGTTATGAAATGGGGAGAGGGGCCTGATCGATCTTTGCTCTTCATGGATCAGTTGAAGAAGCGTCTGGAGAAACGCACGGAGGCAGAGGCAAAGGCAGAGGCGGCGACGGAAGCCGGTAGGTTGACGAACGAATTTTCACAACGATGGTGTCGTTTAGAATTTTTCTGAATGTTTGGTCATCTTTATAGGTGACACGGAAAACTTTGACAAATTCAGTCGAAGAACCGTAAAAGTCACGAAAGAACACAACAACGAATGCAAGAAATTGTTGAGGTTAATGGGTATTCCGTACATTGAGGTGAGGTCGCCCCACCGCTACGACTGCTTCTCATTTGCCGCGCAAAATTCACATCTGGCCCTGCTTGTTTTCGTAGGCCCCATGTGAAGCAGAATCCCAATGCGCGGCCCTAGCAGCAGCCGGCAAAGTCTTCGCGGCCGGTTCAGAGGACATGGACACGCTCACGTTCGGGTCACCCATCCTGTTACGGCACTTAACGTTCAGCGAACAGCGCAAGATGCCGATTGCAGAGATACACCTCGACAAGGCGTTGGAGGGGCTGCAGATGACGATGGATCAAGTACGTCGAATCCTATCTGTATACATCACAACTGGGTTCATGGATGCTGACGTTGTATGAAACGAATCCATCAACCAGTTCATAGACCTCTGCATCCTCCTCGGGTGCGACTACTGCGACTCGATCCGCGGAATCGGGCCCCACAGAGCCGTCGCGCTTATGAAAGAATGTGGATCGCTCGAGGCTGTTTTGCAGAAACTAGATCCGAAGAAATACCCGATTCCGGAGGATTGGCCGTATCAGCGCGCCAGGGAGCTGTTCAAGAAGCCGGACGTGATTGATCCTGCTACTATTGATGTGAGTTGGGGTTCCTGGGGGCGATGGGTTGCGTTGACTCACGAGACGGCTTACCAAAATCTGTTTTCTGCTCACGATGAACAGCTGAAATGGGAAGTCCCCGATGAGCAAGCAATTGTAGATTTCATGGTCACAGAAAAGAACTTCAGGTACCCTTTCCATCAACCCTCACCTCCCTCCTCACCACTCACTCACGCCCCCTCTCGCCCACCTCTCCAGCGAAGAACGCGTCCGCACAGCCGTGCAAAAGCTCACCCGCCTGATGAAACAAGAAACACAAGGGCGGCTCGATAATTTCTTCAAAGTTCTCCCGAAAGATCCAAGCACAAACAGTAGTTTGGGAAAACGGAAGGCGGATGAGAAAAAGGGGCCTGCGGCCAAGAAGGGCGCTGCTGCGGCGGGAAAGAAGAAGACGGCCGGGGGTGGGGGCGGGAAGCCGAGGCGTTGAGATGGGGTTTGGGGACTGATGGTTGTCGGGTTGAGAGTGTGTGTAGGTAGGGGAGGTAGCGTTCATTTGTACATAGGGAGCAAGCTAGTGGCTAGGGTGATATTTTACTTATCAAGACTGCGTTGAATGAAGGTCATGGATGTGGTGAGCTTCCGGCGAGGATTGTAACATGCACGGGTTCTAAACTTGCGAGTAAGACTCTAGATCCCTCAGGGTTGTCCGATTGAGCCGCGGTATGGGTACTGTACTGTACTGTACAGTATGTCAGGAGCGAATTGTTTACGGACCGAGGCAATCGCGCTGTCGATTTTCCTCCTCGCAACTCAAACCTTGATAGTGACAGCTTTCCGGACCCCTGGTATACCCGACTGAACAAGCTAAGTTGGGGTAGACGATAATGCCCCTTTCTCTCGTTTCCTGCCGAACCACAGAATCACGCAACTACCTATTTGGGACGGGACGAAAAGCGTCCTGGGCCACCGTGCAATCAGGCAAGCCCCCCGGACAGAAGCATCGACAAGATGGCATCGCCGACGACCGGAATATCGCCGGAAGACCTGCAATGCCTCGCGCGCCCCGCCGTGCAGGAGTTCGTCAAGGTACGTAAGGTTACCACAAATTCAGAACCCACGGATTAAGTTGCTCATCCACGTATTGGGGCGCCTTGGTACAGCAAAACGTTGAAACGGCTGTCAGTACGTACGTTCTCAATAAAACCCATTCGCCCTCCAGCTTCCGCTCCACCAACCCCCGACTTACTGTTGAACCCCTTTCCTCACCGCGAACGCAGCATACTACGCGGGACCCGGTATCCTTCTGGGCGTGTCCTGGCCGCTCGCCGTGGCCGCATTCCCAATTGCGGTTTGGAGGGTGTACGCCATGCCGACCAATGTGCGGTCGTATTTGTTATTGGCGGCCTCGCTTGTCCAGTTTGGTGAGTTGTTCATGACAAGTTACGTGGGAAGGGTTTGCGTTGTGATGTGGTTGTTTGCTGATGCTTTGTTTTTATTGCCCGTGTAGCGGATATTAGCAACTATACGTATGCGAGGAGAGGGACGATGGATGAGGCGAGCACCTATCGGTTCTTTTTGGGGTAAAACCGGGCCTGGCATGTTAAGCGTTCTTGGTCTGTGTATCTGATTCTCGGTCAACAGAGCGGTGGTGTTATCGCAGTTGAAGATTAGCTGCACGATCGCTGCTGCCGCCTTTCGGTACGGACTTCGTTGAGATGATGGTTGTGAATCCGGCAATAAGGGGGGCTGACCTGCTGTCTCGGGCATGATCCAGGTTCGCAACTGTCCTCGAACGACCGCTTTACAGGAACCTGATGATGTATGGGTTGACAGGCTTCACGGTACGAGATCCCATGATGCATTTTACCGCACATCTCCACCCCTATCACATTCACATCCCCCCCCCCCCCGCCCCAGTTCACATGGACGATCCTCGTCTCCACCCTCGGCATCCACTCCCTAAACACCAGCATGCGAGTAACAACAACCTACTGGTCCGCGCTGCTAGGCCACTTCATCTCGTACATCATCCCGGGGTTCTGGACGTTCAGCCGCGTGTTGGCGAAAGTCGAAGCGGATGTGCGCAAACTGGCGAGCAATACGCCGATGATGGGGATCACCATTGTGCGGTGGGCGAATAATTTTGCGGTGGGGATTACGTTGCTTTGTGCGGTGGCTTTTGGGGTTGTTAGTAATGTTTTTGACGGTACGTTTTCTGTGGGAGAAGATGACCGGGATCGTGGAATGGGGTTAGTGGTCCCGGCTAATGATCTTTCTTTGCTGTTCTTTGTAGCAATCAACAACCCCTACGAACTCCCCGCCATAGTCCTCCTCTCAACCACCTGGCTCCTCGCTGAATCTTCCTTCGAGATAATCACCCGCTTCGCCCTCCTCTGGCCCGCAACCCGGAGCATCCACACCGCCAGCGGGTCCAACCCCTTCGATCCCAACAACTTGCGGCTTACGCATAGCGGCGGGCGGGGGAGTAACAACAACAGTAATCCGACAGGGAGCAGCGGGAAGGACTATGGACGACGAGTGGGAGACGTGAGCGGGATTGTGAATGAGAGTTCCGAGGCGCTTGTGATGGCGAGGTTGGGGGATAGTGAGTGTCAGATGTCGCTGGATACGTTGGATGATGATGGGATGCCTCATGAGAAGGCGAAGTAGGGACGTGGGTGGGATGCGTGGGATTTTTGGAAATAAAGCGCTAATGAAAGGGCAGGGTGGGAGTGCGGTTGCGAGATGGATGCCCGGTTGTGTTGGACTGAAATGAGATTTGTGCGGATCGGACGACTTGCGCAGATTTCTGTCATACGGCGGAACAGTGTAGAGCTCGCTAGAGCAGGCAAGACAGGAAGCCCAAAGAAGGAGACTGAAGGCCTTTTATCCTTGAGGGTAATCCGGATATGTACTGAATAGAAAAACCTTGCCAGCCGATGACAGGAAACAATGCTGATGCTCGTCGCGGCAGGTTGAGCGGCGATGCCTTTGTTTGCACACCTCCTTTTTGACCCTCCGCTGGCCGTCGAAAACTGACACTATGACAATTCTATCGTGGCTTTCTCCCTGTCAAAACCTTACGTAAGTCGGACTTCTTCAATGAAGCTTCTTTCATGCCACCCGTCAATAGCCCCTTCCCATCCTGGATACAAAAAGAACGTCCCAAAAATCTCCGCGCAACATGCCTATCATGCTCCCCTACCTTCCGTTGGGGACTGCGCAGATTGTAAGCGCGCCGCAGCAGCAATACGGGCAGGTTTATACGCATCAGTACGATCGGCGACGAGGGCAGGACGCAGAGCAGGCAGAGCAGGCGAAGCGGTGGCATTTACCGAGGATTGGACTGGAACCTGTGAGGCTGCTCGGGGGTGGTGTGTACTCGTGAGTAGCATGTTCGCTTTTTTGTTGCAAACTCGTGGTTTTTCCCTGTGGATTCAGAAGACATTTTGGTCTGATGAATTGACCCGACAGGCGAAGACACAAAGAACTTCTGGAAGCACAGAAAAGAGCCCGCGAAGCCGAAGCGGCGCAAGCTCAGCGAAAAATCATGCGGCTAGCGAGGGAGGCCAGTCAACGGCAGAGGTTAGCCTGCTCTCCTTTTCCCCCTACCCGTAAAACATTTTGCTGACGGGAAAATGAACTCCAGGGCACTCGACAACGCACTCCGAGAACGAGACCTCGCCAACCAGCGTTGGAAAGAATCAAAAGAGCTGCGCCGGATACAAGAACAAGCCGCCCACCCTTCACTGCCACCATGGCGTCTCGGCGCTTGTGCCGCCGTCGCGTCCGATACGCGGGCCCCAGGACGCGAGAAAAGTTACTCTCAGCGCACGATATCGAGTGCACGCTCGCATCAACATGCGGCGGCCGTGTCGTCGGAAGGACTGCATTTTGCGGACGGGCCGCCGACGGGATATAGCACGGGCTTCAATCCCGTGAGAAGAGACTATGCGGAGTCGGACTATACGAGTACACGGTCTTCCAGCGCGGCTGCGCCTGTGATTCCGAGGAGGACGCTTGGAGGTGAGCTATCGGGATGGGTTGTGTGCTTGTTACGGTAGAACTTATCGTTCGTTTTACGGTCAGATGCTTATCTGAGCTACCCAACGACGCATAACGGCCGCAACCTGCGCGCTGTCAAGGGCTACTCCGTGGAGATTCATGACAAGCGGAATGATGTAGCTGAGTAGGTTTGCCGGAATGCAGGACAAACCCTTCGATGCTTCGTGCTAATTTTGTACGGCAGGGTAATGTCCGCGCCATCTGCGTCCCGACAAGGCTCTGCCAGAAGCAGAGCCAACAACGAACAAGGCAGCATCGTTTCTCTTCCAGCCACAGCCGGCACCATAAGCGACGTCGCAGCACCGATAGACGCCGCAACGGCTTCATCAGCGCCGACATCCTCAGAAAGCGAGGGTGGGTCAGCAGCTAAGATAATTGACCTGTTCCCTGCGGTTGAAGGGTCGGTCGAGGCGCTCGGGCTGCCTGATGAGTTAATACATGGAGACAGCTCGAGAGAGACGTGGATCCAGTCTGCGAAGACTCAAAGTGAGGGCTCGATGCATTTGCGGCCGATGAGCCCGTCGAAAGCGGACAAGCAGTCGGCGGTAGGAGTTCCGCTGGAGTGGGCTGCGAGCACGAACACAGATATCGACTCGGGGCTGTCCCGAGCTGTTTCGACGGCGGAAAAGGGAAAGGAGGAGTCGTCGGCCGCACCTAGCGGGCCTACTTCGCCGGGGGATGTGCCACCGAGTACCACTCAAACAGCTTCGGCAACGCCACGGACGTCACATAGCCGTGCAAGACCACCTTCGGGGCGAGTCAGACCGTCCGCGATGAGTTCCCGCCCGACCTCAGGAGCGAGACCGCAAAGTGCAAAGAGCATCAAGTTCGCAGAGACGGCGGAGATAATGGGCGGAGAGGACGATTACGGGAGGGGTGCAACGGTGGACGAAGATGAACCCAGGTCGCGCATTACGACAGCTCATGGTCGAGATAAGAAGGACGGTAATAGTAAGGAAAGTGCGGCGTTGGGAGATTTCGAGAATCACAACAGATCAACGGGCGCAATCGCACGATCGAGTTCGTCCAGTCACTCCCTGGACCTGTATCCGGATCCCCATCTTCCACAACCTCGACCACACCCCAACGCAACCACGAATCAACCCAGCAAACCGCGGGTCAAACAGTCGGTTGGTAAGCCAGGCAGCCTGCCAGAAACGATTCTGCGTGCATTACAGGATGACCCAGAGCGCATTGTGCCGCACGCCATCAAGGAGATGCTGAGGCAGGATGCGCTTGCGGCGCAGTTGCTGAGGTCCGGTCAGTCGAATGGATCTCAGGCGTCGGCGGAACGAACTGAGGCATCAAAGGCAGGCTCGGCATCTACGGTACCTTCGCGGATTCCGCGGTTTCGGAGCGCTCCGCCTGGCAAACGAAGTAAACTTGTCCCTCATAGGATACCCGTGTCGTCCGACAAGATGTTGAAGACTTGGAAAGTACGAGATCAACAAGGTACGTGCGGATGATTGTGCTCGTCCCCCGCCTTGCGATGTGTTCTGAAGGGACTCCACACAGGCTCGACCGAGATCTATATGTACGCGGGTAAAGACACCCGGAGTGAAACAGGCCTGGACAAGCCCCGTTTCGGGAAAATCCAACTACATGAGGCCCGCACAACCGAAAAGATTAGCGGTAACATCCCGCGCACTTTGAGCTCGGCGGTCCCCGCCGTCGGAGGTAGTCGGGACAACTTAGGCGACGCCAGTAGACATTCGACATCACTGCGCGCCCAAGAGGATCATTTGCTGCAGAGTATTGAGGATATCGATAGGGCACTGAAGCCGAAATTGACGCAACTGATCTTGAGTAGGGTGTTCTTTTGAAACAAGAACGTTTTGGGGGACTGGATCTCGAGATTTCGTTCAACCTCTGGCTTTTACATATCATCCTAAAATTGTACATAGTGGAGAATACGCATTTTCTGGCCAAGATCTGCGTTCCAAAGGCACCGCGTATCTTTGGGCTTCGTGCCCAAACATGACCACGTGCAGTCCACAATTACTGCAAGAGCGGGCACCGAGATCCCGTCGCTGTGCACAAGAACCTTGTCACCTGGATTGAAGCGTTGAGTAAGACGATTCTTATCATAATACTTCGCCTGCTGATCCTGGGCTTCCCGCAACCTCTGTTGCACCAACAATTCTATGTCATCAAAAGCTGTTGCGTATCTTTCCATCTGCGCGATCAACTCGCGACGTTCCTTATGGAGAAACGGGATAGACGTCTCATCCGGGCGCTGCAACACCTGTGCATCTACCTTCCAGTTCATCGGCGCCTTGGGGATCCTCCCCACGTCGATCTGGAATGGGCAGAAGCCGGTCGCGTTCTGCGTACGGTTATAGGCAAACTCCAACATTGGCAGCTTGTCCACCCAATCGTCTCCCGTAACGTTCAGATACGGCTTTAGCATCTTCTTGAAGACGCTAACAAGCCTTTCAACCTTTCCGTCTGTCTGCTGATGTCTCGCCGTGCTAAGCTTCTGCGTCGAGCCTAACAAGGAGAGAACACCTTCCAGGAGTATGCAAGGTACCGGGGATCGCGATCTCCGATAATAACCTCTGGAGTGCCAGTATGGCGCCATACTTCCCGGAAATACAGCTGTGCCAACTCGCTAGCAGTAATTGTGGACTTCGCCGGGATGAAATACGCGCGCGACGAAGCGCGACGACAGGGAGTCGATAAAGACAATGACGCTGTCGTAATAATCATCCTCATGCACTTCCCCCCCCCCCCCCCCCCCCCCCCACGACTGCGTCCTTGGCATTGAGACGGGATCCATGCCCATCGTATGCCAGCGACGGTCGGGGACCGGAAGCGAGCGCAGCAGGCCAACCCGGCCATGCTTCGGCGATTTGAACCTTTGACACGCACCGCAGGTGCGTACATACGTACCGTTTAACATCTTGTTCCATTCCTGGCCAGTAGAACTCACGCAGGAGCTTCCCCAGCGTGCCATGCACTCCCGTATGTGTCCCAGACAACATAGAGTCATGGTACTCGCGCAAAACGACTCCTCGTAATGCGGCAGGAACATAGAACCGCTCATGGTATAGTAAACGACCACTTGAATCGATGGAAAACCGCCGATCAAATGTTGACTGTCGTTCAGGCGGAGCCGCGAGTGCCACCTTGCGTGCAGCAAAGAACTCGTCGGACGCCAAGGTTCGTGTCCAATCCTCAAGTGACACATCCCCGAGGGAGCGCACTTCAGTGACGGAAAAACTACCCAAGGTCATGGCAACGTCGACACGCTTGCCACAGTCAGCACATTTGGGCGCGTAATAAGGATTACGGCTCAAGACGTCGGCGACTGTATTCCAGCGACCAGGGTAGTACTCGATGTCAAAATCGAATTGTTGTAGAAAGTCAATGACCTGGACTTCCTGGGGACATCCTGGACCGGGATATCCCCACCGAATACCGATACCGCCACGGACCACTGTGTACCTGGGATCCGTACACAGTGGCCGGAGATACAGGACTCCGCCCACCCGTCCAGCTTCCTGGTCGCGGGCGCTAATGGAACTTCTGATGCGTGGGCCACTGCTAGTGATGCCAGGGGCGCCCGCGGATTCGTTTGTCTCCAGTTCATTGGAGCGCCGGGACTTGGGGTAGAAGTACGCGAGGATGCTGCGTACGCAGCAGGGCGACTTTCCCAAATGTCGAGTGCCTGGGTCTGGTTTAATAAGGATTTAGATTCCCACGTGGGTTTCTTCCATCCAACCCATTTGACCAGGTATTCGCGCTTGCGGGCAGGGCCCCGTTGAGCTTGGATAGACTCGATCTCGTATTCGGGCTCGGCATTGGGGTTGTCTTCCATCAAATCTGTGTCGGGATCTTGACGGAGTTCCTTGGGAAGAGCGATGGACTCTTCGAATCGGACGTCGCGCGACTCAACGAGGACGTCGCGTTGAGGCGCCCATAGGACGTAACCCTTGGAGCCATGATCTCCCGATGCGAATATTCTGCGGTAAACACAATATATTCGGGTGCAAACCGAGCCTCCCTCCCTTTCCCTACCAAACGACATTCTTATTGACTTCAGGTCAACGATTTTCAGGAACATCATTCCCCTATGCGAATATTCTGCGGTAAACACAATATATCCAGGTGCGCAAAGGCAAAATTTCGCTTCTCGAATAAGGACACAATCATCCGGGGATACACCAACCAAACCCCCCTCCTCCCCAAATGCGGAAGAACTCGCTAGGATGGACTAGATGAAAGCGGGTCCTCAAAACGTCCAACGCCATGTCCGCAATACACCCCTATCCCCTCTCTCGGCCCTCCTCCCACCCCGCCTCACCCCCACACTCCTTTGCTTCCATCCTACATCAATCCTGCAAACCTGGCAAGTCGTCCCAAAATTGTACAATTCCGAAAACGTCGCAAAACCCTGGTCCGTCTTGAACCCGTCGAGAGTTCACAGTTTCAAACCGCCTGTTGTAGATCTCGATCGTAAAAGCCTTCTTCCCAGCTAGCGATAATCCATCGACCTCGACTCCATAATCATCGGATACGATGAAGTCAACATCGGGGCGACCGTCCGGTCCTCAGCAGCCGCACCGGCAGGCGAGCTATCAGACCATGGGCGATCTCAATGGGTATCCATACGCCTCTTCGGCGCCGACCGCATACGAGGTATGGGTGGACGCGGTCGATGATGATGCTGGGGACGTCGAGGAAAACTCCATCATGCCCAAGAAAACCCACCTGGATCTAAATCTAGATCTAGTGAGTATAAGTACTACCATCAGCTGATTCGAAGATGGATATGATACACGTACCTGCACTTCAGCCGAGACTCCCCCCTACGTAGGTGATGAGGAAGCGATGCACCGATATGTGGCCTCAGGGAACAAGAACGGTGACGCTGATAAGATCGAGAAAAGCCATGCCGTAACGTACGTAACGGTTAGTGGCCATAAGAACCGATTGCGGAACCTTCCAAAAGAGAAGCATCCGGGATGATGTGAAATTGTGAATTGTCGCATCCCCAGAATGCCAAATGCCCAACCAACATCTGCCAACATGGACGCGCACGAAGGTGTCGACTGTCGCAGGAGGCGAATCATGACGCTGACATGACTCCTCGCAACTTCACAACAATCGTCTCGTGCGAGACTATGGGAGAGCGAGACTATGGACACCAAAGCATTGCTCCTGCATATGCGCCACATATCTTCCCACCATAAGGGGCCCAGCAATGAGCAGCTCCCGTGCATACTCATCGCGTAGGGACCCGGAAACGCAGCCTCTCCTGTCTAATCGTCCCGCGCGCCAAATGTCCATCCCCAACTCGGTCGTTACCGTCGCGGTCGAAGACGACGAAGCGCAACCTAATTCGTGCTGTTACAACATTTCGCAAGGTACTCACGCTAACAATTCCGGACATGAGTGAGAACGAGGACAACACCGGCGCCCACAGGGTGCCACCCGGCCCTGTAAGCGATATCTTCGCATCAGCCGTCACTGCTTTCAATAGTAAAGGGGGCGGCGCTGGTGTCAACGCCTCGTCTCATAATGCTCCCGGAAATGTTTCTCACGTCCTCCCAACTACCGTTGATATTGATAACCACCACCCTCATGCTACCGACTCTGTCTCTCCTCGGGTTGAAGGCTTCCGGAGAAACGAGCTGAGGAAAAGAGTCCGCAAGGTCCTCAACGCCAGTTCTCTTTTAAAGGAGATGAAGGGTAAGATCGCCGATGATTTCAGGCCCATTTTCAACCCCTCGCTAACCATATGGAAATATTCAGCGGGACGGTTACGGAGGAAAAGCAACCTGCGGACACCTGGGTACGTTGAGGAAACGGTTTTCTTACCGATCGTCCCAAAACCTGAGCTTTACTCGTAACCCAGCGCCCCACCTGGCGTCGACGTCAAGCGGCCCAACCCGACTCTCGAAGCTATCTTCAAAGTAAGCTGGCAGGCACCCCATATCACACTTTTGTCGAGAGCTAATCATTACTTCTCAGAGTGATGCGGCAATCCGAGTCGTTGACTACTCGGCATCGAGATATGTGTACCATGACTTGAGCAGGTTCACATTAGCGGAGTTTCTGCAATCACCAGTAAGTTCGTCCGGCAAGACGCTCTTTTCGGAAAAGCAATCCGCGAACTCACAGCGGCTATTGCCATATCCTTAGCGACCAGCATGGGTGAAAGTACGATGGATAGACATCCGAGGTTTGAGTTATCCGGCTATCCAAATTGTTGCGGATCATTACCGTAAGGCTAGATTGAAGTGTTCAGCCACATCCGACGATTCCGTCGCCAACATGCTCTCCTCTAGGCTTGCACCCATTGGCAGTGGAGGACACGTTTCACTTCCCACAAGCGTAAGCTTCATTACGTGACGCCGCCGAGTCAGATCCAATAACCTAAAATCACACCCGTAACACCTAGTATCAAAGCGGACTGGTACGAAAACCATATCTACCTATCGATGCTCCTTTGCACCGTTGACGACGGGGCACAGGACACCGAGTCCGTGTCCGAGGACGGCACCGACGATCACTACACCCGCCGGACTCCACTCTTCCAAAATCGGGTGGAGATCAAAGTCTTTCCGGGGATGCCCCCCCGGCCCAACATCGTTACCGAGCAGGTCAATGCGTTCCTGATGCGCGACGGCACACTGCTTTCCATTTTCCAGAGTGATGGAGAGCAGGCTACGGCGCCGTTGTATGACCGTTTGGCGGAGGGTGGGACGACGTTGAGGGATAGCGAGGATGCTAGTTTCTTACTGTTCTCTCTGATGGACATTGTAAGTTAGCGTAAGGGACGACATCATAGCCCAGTGGGAGGCTGTTAGCTGACCCATGGGCAACCCCACAGATAACCGACCAATTCTTTCCCATCCTCGACGCCTACAAACACCAACTGGACCTCCTCGAAGCCTCCGCCCTCGAAAACCCCAAAGCCGAAGCCACCCAAGAACTGCACCTCATCGCAAAAGAGCTCGGCATCCTGCGTCGCGCGCTGATGCCCACGCGCAGCCTGGTTGCGACCCTCCGCGAGAACAACAAGGCGTATTACGTGCATTCGGAGCCAGTGAATACGGCGCCGTTTGTGAGCAAGCTGACGAGGACGTATTTGGCGGATGTGAAGGATCATGTGGGGGCGGTGGTGGATGAACTCGATAGCTTTGAGAATGATGCGAGGCATTTGATTGATTTGATCTTCAACACCGTTTCGCATTCGACGAATGAGGTAAAGCAATAACCGCAGATCTGCCCATACGGGCCTATTCGGACTGATACCCTTTGGCATCCCTTCAGGCAATGAGATCCTTAGCGATCATATCACTAGTCTTCCTGCCCATCTCGTTCTTAGCAGGCGTCTTTGGAATGAACTTCGAATACTTCCCCGGTAAGTACACCGCCGTCCAGTTTAGCTGTCCTACTGAACATCACCTCACACTCCTCCTCCCTCCTGTTCCTTTCCTATCAGAACTTCACTGGGGAATGGGAGTTTACGGGTATGTCATTATCATTTACGCGGTTCATGGAGGGGCAGAAACTTAAGTCGCTCTGCCACTTCTCCTCCTCTAGATTCTGGATTATCGTCGGAGTAATGGTCTGTCTGATGCTGATGACGTTCAAGTATATGGGCTGGTTCGGGAAGTAGAATCAACGAGCCACGGGAAAGGCTGTTATGAGCTTTTTGGGGGATGTATCTGCAATGAGTGCTGGAATGGCTCAGTACAACTTCGTTTTGACGTATTACTCGAATATCAATCATCAATAATCATGCGTGAAGAAACATCAAAACAAACATGCATTGCCCTGTCTCAGACCGCTGCCTCTCGCCTGGGAACGAATGGGAGTGAAAGATATATGCATATGACCCGATGTGGGACGAGGGCATATGAAGGAGTTAAATTCTACTACTCGGGCTAGATCTTGAGGGAAGGTGGGGGAAGACGCAGCATCCTCGAGGGATCCTTACGATGCACAAGTCGCGTTTTTTGGCCAACCTCTTCTACTGTCGATGATCATAATGGGGTTCTTTTCTCCAATACACCGCTGAACCATCTTCGAGCTTCAAAGTGAGCCGAACCCTTATTCATTATTCGACCTTGGAAAACGCGACCTCATACTCTGCGGCCCTTGACTCGAAGCAAGCCCAACTCTCAGCCTTCTTGATCTCCCCCACCCAAAAAAAACTCCTAATGCTACAAGGGGAGCTGAATAGGCAGTGATGCTACGCTACGCCGCTTCCGCAACTGCTATATGCTCCTCTGACGACCAGCCTACCAAAAAACCGTTGGTTCCACCCGTTCAATCGTTCCTTGCGTTCAGGATTCGTAGGATTGCCTATAGCGGAAAGGGAAGGGACAAAGGAAGAACGTCAGTGAGCCGCTCAGGACCCCGTGGCGCAACCCGGTGAGAGAAGTGTTCGAGTATTCACCAAGAACAGATTGAGAATGTCGAGGTACAGCTGTTAGTGTCCAAGGGATAAATGTGAGTACGCAGGAATGGTTGATGTATGAGGACGGCGCCAATATGGGACATACCTCGACGGAGGCCACGATGTATTCCTCAGGGCTCAAACGGGTGAGTATCATTTGCGTATCCTGAAGTTCCCCAAAATATTCAATTAAGGGTGTTTGCAATCTCAACAAGAAAGACAAAAGGGAAAAACTACTCACAAAGCAAATAAACCCGCAGAACAGGAGGGCTGTGCCCACGGCGATCGCGAAATTGGCCGCCGAGCCGAACGGGAAGAACAGCTGGATGAAGCCGGAGATGACGAGCACCCAGAGGCAGCCGAACAGGAAGGGGCCCCAGGAGGAGAAATCGTATTTGGTTTGGAGCGTGAAGAGGGTTAGGCCGACGAATCTATTGAATTATCACATTCATCATGTTAGCAATTTGTAACGGGGGTATAAAAGCCATTTGACCAAAACTCACAAAGCAAAGGTCAAGATCACAGCCTGCAAAACCACAATCGAGTCAAAGAAAGTGACCAGGACAGCGATGGAGTACGCCTCGCTGGCGGTGAACGCGGCGAGGAGGTAGAGATTGACCGGGTGCGAGCGGCGCTTCCAGTGCAGAGCGAAAAGAAAGACGAAGGTGGCGATCAGGCTTGTATACATTGGCCACGCACTGTGTCAAAGTAACAACCCCTCTGTCAGTCTGTGATAGGTTGCATAGCAGAAAATCACAGATATGCGAATACATTCTCAACATACTTCGACTGAACCCAGCCCTTGACCCCATCATTAAACATAAACAAAGCGCCCAACGCCATCGTCAACCCCAGCTGGCACGCCAGAATGGAATACACCTTCCGCACGAATGCGAGGCGAATGTCCTGAGCAGCTGCAGCGACGCTGGTGCCATATTTGAAGTCGTCGGGAATGTCGGAGTCGGCGTAGGCGGGCGGAAGGCCGGATGTACCGTAACTTGTTGAAGCGGAGGGGGAGGGGGGGATGCCATCTTCGTGCGGTGGGATGGGGCGATAGGAGTTGGTGAACATAATTGATATATAGAGAATTGGGTTTGAGGGGAACTTGGCTGAGTTGTGACGAGGTCCTTATGAGTGCCTTGGATGCGGGGCAGATGCCACGGTGAGGATGATATACTCTGACAGTCAGCGCAAAGCGAGAGATTGTTTACAGATTGTTTACGCAAAAATTCGGAGCCTTGGCCTCCTTGGCGAGCAGCTTGGCGAGTTGCCACCTGAGTTGCCACAGAGAGTCTCGTGTCACTTTGACAAACAAAAACGACAGAACCGGTTGTCCGCCAAAGGTGCATCCCAGAGCAATCTGTGTCTCAAACCTACCTTCTCAACTCGCCGAATGTATCTGGTGTGGTCACGTCATGCTGCATGCACGAATTCCCGATCGGTCGCATTCATCTTATGAGAGCGTATAAGAACTCAGCCTGCAATATTCCCCCCACGTTCTCCACCAAACGGTCGTTGCATTTGACAGGAATTACTACTCGCCAGGACTGAACGCAGAACCTACGTATAAGGCCCTTCTCTCTATCTACCCAATCGGTTTCTGCATCACCACAAGTGCCCACCATATGCGGAGTACTCACCCTTGAGACCTGAAGGCATACTGTCATCAACTCACACCGTCGCACTCCGTCATGGCATCGTCCGCTCTTATCTCCACATCAGCTCAAGGGCCTACTCGAATGCTCCATAAACACTCTCGTGACCCTATGTCCTGAATGTTCAGCCGAATCTCAACTTCGACCTCCACACCCCTGGGTGACAATCCCCGCTGGCGGAGGGCGAATCCGCGAATCTCAGGGATGGGCCTTGTCCCGCTCTTACGTCTGATGGATCCTTTGAAATGACGTTTGGTTTCTCGTCTTGTCTTTTTACGCTTGATCTCATGCCGGATCCATCTTGCGTGTAAACTCGCTTGAGTTCCTTTCGAAAGAATCCGAGTGATAACCGTAACTCTATGGGCAAGGCCGTACCGCATGATGCCCTCCGAAGACGCCTAATCTAACTCAAAGTGAAGCTTCTTTCTGTCTGGATCGCTCGGAAATCAACACTACGTACGAGATGCAAATCCATCTTTTGACAGTTTGTGGAACCCTGCTTGCGGGTTCCTAACATTTTCTAACGTTTCGGTAGTAACGCGTCGAAAACCGCAAACGCGAAAGTCCAACTCCGCGTTTTAGTCCAAAACACGAGGTGAAGACTCCGCTAACCACGGTAAGTGCGCGTAAGGGAAAAGTCGGTTCTCTTTGTTGCAGGGTCTTGGTATCGCTCCGGAGGGAGGACGATGCCATCACCTGGGTCGTCCTGCGACACTGGCGGTGGACAGTGAGGGTCGCGGTATCGTTCGGATGGAGGATTCACTCATTGGGTCGATCGCCCCCCGTGCGTCTGTTACAGGCTGGCTTCCTAGATCCAAATGCTGTGAGAGCTCGTGCCACTCCTCCTTGCCAGCGTATTTCGTGTGGACCAAGGCTTGTTTTTGCGGAAAACGTGATGAAAGTATTCCGAGCTGAGGCTATATGTTCCCGAGTCCTGATCCTGACGGACACGAAACGTCGCTGCAAGCAGTTTGATATCAGTGATAGTGTTTGTAATATCTGTATATGGACATATTCAGGCGGGAAAGGGTTGGTCACGCCTTTCGCGATCTGAAATTAAACGCGTGGGGGATCGGCGAAAAAATCCCGGAACCGGCCTTCATGATTTGCACGTGCCGATATGTCGGGACGGAATGGGCGGTGAACCTTCTCACATGCAAGGTGCGACCGAATTCTCGAGATTTTCCCAGGGGTCTTGATTTGACTTTATGGTGAGCAGTTACGCATGGTCCGCGGTAGGTTGAAAAAACAGATGACGAGAACCCGGGAGAGCTTTCAAGTCACTGGTTCAAGTCAGAAGAGGCAGAATCGGCGGCAGAGTGAGACAGAAGCCATGTCTCGTTGCGTGGTCTCATTTGCGTGGTCTGAGAGTTATCCGTCTATTGTCGTTCTAATTGTAACTTCAGAGACATCTGGACAGACATCGATGGCCTTTTCGCAGCAGCGATAAGGAAAATATGGACTCGTGACGGTTGCGAGCGCGTTCGCTTTGTTGTTCTTACCGCGGCTTTTATCGATACCCATCGCTCGGCTTCTGACGGAAGCTCCTTGATGACCAGACGCCCAAATACCGAGCACGAGGGGGGGGCGGGGGGGGCGCATGATTTCGGCGGGACTTGTAGCACTTTATCGCACTTTAGCGCGTTAATGAGCGGAGTGGGGGCGGGGGCCTAGACATGTGTAATGTGGTTAGCAGCAGATTTTTAAGTACAAACGAGGGCCAGGAATGGGCTTTATCGGGCAGCATCAGACAGATCAGATGCCCTTGGGGAACCGGTGACGGCGCGTGAACTTGCAAACACTATGGGCTATTTTCCTGAAATTCCCTCATCGGGGGGGGGGGGGAACCCTTTTTTGGTGATTTGGCAGGCAAGCCAGCGGGGGGGCGACGTGACCACACCTCCTTCTCATCCCTCGTGCCATCCAGGCAAAAGATTCCTATCTCGCGGCTGGCTGCTGCTCGAGGGAACGAGGTCACTTGCACAGCAGCTGCTTTGTTTGGGGGCCAGGCGATTCCATAACAACACTCCATACACACTCACTCGCTCCTCCCGTTCCGTCCCTTTTTTCTTTCTCCCGCTTCGCTCACAAGTCGTCTCTCGTTCGCTTTATCTACGTTCCATCAGCCAGCACCACCCACCCAGCGAACCCTCCACATCACTACGACGTACTGTCTCCCTGTTGACGACCTTCCCTCAACACAGAAAACAGCAGCAAACTCTCGTCTTGATATACTCGCCCACCGCACCGACTTCCCCTCAACTGACCCGCCCTTGTGACCGCATCCTCCGTCACTGCTTCTCCTACCGCCTTTCTCCTTGTGCAAAAAAGTATCTCGTATTATCGTGTGGTCAAGTGCCTTGTTGCTCAGCCTATATCTGAGAAACCTACGCACTGCCACCGCCCGGGAACAAAGAACCCTCAAGCCCTTCTCTACGTCACATATAAGGAACGGAGCATGCCGCTCTGAGGGCTTTGGCGTCTAGCTAGCCAAAACTCTTTCCTCTTCCACCCGTTACTGCATAAGCTCGAACTACCAGAAACTCTCGTCGCCATTGCCTGCGAAACGCAATTGTCGGTCGTCGGCCCTCCTTCTTTCGCTCAGCAAAAACACGCGTGAGGAACTCTGTGCGCCCTCAAACGCACTCGTCCCGCTCAGCAACCACAAGCAGACCACACAAACCACCCACCGCCCAATTACCCCGCTCTAGCCAACCGTCGTCGTCCGTTCGATGCCCAGAGTGCTAGCAGAGCCGGTCTTGACCCTTGCCTTTGGCAACATTCAGAAGCTGACCTCAATTGACGAGGCCGACATTCAAACAATATGGAACGTCTTCACCAAGTGCAAAGACAACCTCGAGAATGGACGACGCCTTGAAAACATATCGTGGAGGTAGGTTGAGGAGCTTCGTCGGCGTTTATCCTTCACGTTTTGCTCCTGGCTCAAGCTAATTCTCGCTCTCCTTATCCTCCAACAGGTTATGGTATCGGTCCTGCCACGGACACTCTCCTCTTGAAGAGACAGCTCCTCTCGATATACCCGAGTTCGATCCCATGCCGAAGCAGAACAAGTCGCCACATGTATCGCCAGAGTCTTTCAAATGCATCCTCAAGAATGCCGTCGACGACTCAAAGAAGGAAGCGGACAAGAGGAAGAACAACCTCTCGTTGATGAAGGCTGCTGCGGCTGCTTCCGTTGCTTTGCAGGAGCAGGAACGCTTGCCGAAGGAGCTTGCTGCAGCGACGCAACTACCTCCGCAAGAGCAACAGTCGGCACCGGTGAGGCAACAGCAACCAGCAGCAATCCCATGTACACATCAACAGCAATCGTTGTCCCCACCAACACCTGCGCAGGGGCAGAGCATTGCGTTGCCTCCCGCACCAGTTGCCGCAGCAGTCGTCGCCACTCCCGTCATCGCACCAGCTGCACAGGCAGCCCCCCAGATCCACTATGTTGCCCCATCCCCGGCGCCGGCCGCCGCCCTCCCACGGACGACTAGTGCTGGCACTCTCCAACCTCACAGTTCCTACGCGACAACTTCCCAAACCAACATCCAACGAGCTGCGAGTGCCGTGACATTACAAAATGTTCGGACTGGCGTGCACAACTACGCTGCTCCACATATGCCAGAGGCATATCAGCAATTTATGCCACGTCACATGCCACCAACAGCGTACCAGCAGCAGTTCGTCCACCCACCTCAGCGGCTACAGAGCCACCCACCACCACAAGGGAACGGCGCTGCTCCTCAACACCCCGTCACGGGCCGCTTGCAAACTCAACTGCTACCGCAACGAGGCTCGCATATGCAGCTGAATAAGCTGCACGCGCAAGCGCCGCAGCCGAACCGTCCACCACTGACAAGTCGGCAAACGATAGCCACCGACAAACCAAAAGTCAAGTTCTTCATCTCCGAGTCGCTCACCCCAGACCACGCCGCCCAACACCTTCCTCCACAACCCGCCGTCAAACAGCAACCACCAACAGCTCTCCCACCAGCAGCCTACGCTCCCCGTCCAGTCGCTCCAACATCAATACTGGACGACTACGACGCAATGGACTCGGACAGCTGTTCCGAATCCGACTACAGCTCAGATATCTCGGACAGCGAAGACTACTCATCAGACGAGGACGAGGACTCGGATGCATGCTCGACATATACCCCACCCCCACTCTTCCAAAAAGTCGCCCTGGGCGACGCCAACGGCAGCCCCGAGAACCCGCCCACACTCACCAGCCGCCGCTCCCTCCTCTCGGTTGCCATTAAAGAAGTATCCGCCCTCAAACGCGCCAAACCGTCCCAATTCAGAAACCTCAACGCCCTCGCTAAAGATGAGATGGACGAGCTTGTCGGCGCCGGCATGCGCGACGACATGTCGGAAAGCCTGCGTGAGAACTTGGCATGCGAGCGCCGCATGATGCCGCATAACATGCGTTATGCGCGCGGGATACCCACCTCTGAACGACAGGCGCTGGTGTTTGATGAACCGGAGGAGTATTGGTAGAAGATCGGTGGATGCTTCATCTGGACGGTTTCGCTATTCCCCCCTCCTTTATTTGTATTTAGAGAACGTTCTCGCGGACTCCTGTACCCAGTATAGGTTTCTTGCGTCGGCCGGCGGCAGGGCTTACTAGTCGCTCATTGGTGTGGGGCGGTGGGTACGGGTTGTTCTTTTTTTTTTGGGAAGCTTGTTGGCGTTTCCGATAGGGGGTGTTACGTAGCCCGCTCGCACATCGTGCTGGGTTGTGATGGCATCATTTCTGTATATACTAATTTGATGATGTCTTTTGCCGATTGAGAATCTGTGCTGTTGTTGTATTCACGTACGATGGGGTCCTTCACCATCTTGGCAAATGGGAACATGAATATATGGTGTTCGAGTGAATACCCCTCGTCGTCAACGCAACGTCTGCTGTTTGCGCGGACGATATTTGGAAAACCCCAGCACATCTATCGGACTCGGCACACACAATCTGTCCCTTGCGCAACCGGAATCCCACCGGACCGATCCGTTCGCGCAAGGTTTTAAAAACGGGCCTGGTCTGGGCAGGAGATCCTTCAAATGTGGTAGCTTGTCCAGTCATGTTCACTGGAGCTTCCGACGAGCCCCTGTTTTGCGCGCTATATATTACCGTCTGCGGATATACCGTATAGTTACAGGGCCCAGCAACTTCCGTTCTTGCAATGCGGTGATTCGAGTCTGGAGGCCATGAAATCGGGTTGCTAAAGACATGCAAGGAACAGCCTTGTCCGCGATTTGGGGGCGATGGTGCAGGGCTATGGAAAACCCACGCTGCGAAACGAACATTTGGAGACAAAGAAAGGAAAGTTTGGGGACGCTCAGCAGAATCACCCCTCGCCCCCTGTCAGATTGCACATTTCCATTTTGCTTGCAAGCGGGGGTTTTTCTATTTTCATTTTTGTATACAGAGAGATGGGGAGAATGAAACAAGTCTATATGTACTGCTCAAAAGGAAAAATGGGAGCCGTCTGAGGAAAGGTCTATGCACAAAATGCTCTATAAGGGAGGTTGAGGGGTGTCTACATCTATGTGAAGTCTATGTGAAGTGGGGGGGCGAGTATGTACCATTCCGTCGATCGACGATCGGAACCAAAAGCGAGAGTGAAGGGGGGTTTGTGGCGATGGTTTAGATTTCCAGAGCGCAGAACTGGTTTGCCGTAGCGGTGTTGTACCCCTCATTGTTGACGAGATCAAACACACAGTCCGCGATGGCCTTGGCGGACGGCTTGCGCGGGCCAGCAGCATCCCCAACGGACCGGCGGTGGTGCTTCTCCCACGGCAACCTCTTCCCGTGCTTGTGTGCCAGCTTGACCAGTTTATTCCACGCTTTCTTCAGACACGGCAGGCACGCCTTGACCCCGTTCTCGCTCACGACCGCACATCCGAGGTAGGCGGCGAACGCGGCGCCGGAGGTGGCGAAGGTGCCGAGGGCGACGGCGGCGAAACAGCCGCCCGTGGCGGCGATCATGACCGCGCAGTGGATGCCTTCCGCGACGCCGCATTTGGCTGCGCGCGTGGAGAGGTCGAGGGAGTCCCCGGGGCCGGAGAGGGAAAAGTCGAGGCCGTTGAACATGGTGACTTCACTAGCGGGGGAGGCGAGCGCGGGCGAGGCGCAGAGGGCCACGGTGGCGACGACGGCGGCGAGGGCGGCGGTGAGAGAGAAACGCATTGTGGAGGGTTGTGTAACTTCTGGTGGAGCTGGGAGAATGGTCTTTTTAGCGGTGGAGCGGAGCTGGCAGGCTTGTTGTTGTGGGTGATGAGAAGAGAAGGGAAATGCAAGACCATCCTCGCTGTTTTATAGCCGATGCCACGAACTGGTGGGCGCTACATGCTCTCCTCCTCGTCCACATTCCCATCGCCCTGAACACGCTGCTGCGTTGTGCTCACTGCTCGTAGAATTCCTTGCATCTCTGGGCCCCTACAGCAATCCTTGTCTGTTGAGCTACGCCCTGGGTAGTGCAAATCAGGGGAGGCTCGAGACCAGCAAAAATGCCCCAATCGGCGTCAGGTCTCTTTCGGATCTGCCTGCTCGCGGACGTGAAAACTGCCTTGTAAGTTCGTTCGGAACTTGACTTTTTGTGTGAGCCATTCCGGAAATGGAAGGTTCGGCACCATGTTATCTTGATAAATGTGCGGGACTGGCAGTTGGCAGTCGGAACCCTTTGGCCCCCGTACGGCAAACTCGGTCGGTCACTTTGGTCGGGGTGCCCTTTCAACGGCCGGTTCTGCAAAACGGTGTTTATATAAGCGACTCGGGCCCCAGTGACGAGGGACAAGAGAGACCGGGATTCAGACTCCGCTCAAGTGAGTCAGAGGCGCGAGGGAGGTACCGGGGAATCGGTGGGGATGACCGAGGTGCTGGTAACCAAATCAACGTGTTTTCAACAGTATTTGCCTGCACATTCCGTGCAGCACATTCCACACCCCACCTCCTGCCTACCACAAACACATCCACTCCTCAGTTCGACTCTTCCGATTTGCCTCGGACATTCGCGGCCTCAAGCGAGCTACAAGCGGGTTCTTGACGGCTGCGTAGGACGTACAGCGGAACGTACCAAGCTACCAGACGGTGCCGCAACCGACTACGCAACCGATTGACCAATGATGTAGCTACAATCGATACATCGATACCACCTTCCTTTGTCAATGATTTGATTCAGAATTGATCCAAACTGGATAACAACCAGGGTCAGCACCTGTATAAGTCTTTGGTCTAAGGAGTGATTGACTCGATATCCATATTTCTCTGCAAGTTTGGCCGTGATCTGTTTTGTTCTGCCGTTGACAAAAGCGTTTGAAACCCGTCACCTTGACACGTATCCATATTTCAGCACACTTCTATTTGCCCTACTCTTACGCTACACGCACATCTTCCCCAAAAAAACCCGCGACCGTTCCAAAGGGAGCTCAAAAGCTCACCCACCTCACCCGCTCCTCCTCCATCCCCCCAATCTACCGCACCGCCAGTGCCGGCGCCGCCCCATGCTCTTGCCCCACCCCAACATCCACAACCTTCCCCACACACTTCAGCCCTCCCTCGCCCCTAACAACTACATGCCTCCCTACAACCACATATTCAGGCTCAAACAAAAACCTAAAATGAATCAGGTGTGTCGTCGGGTCTTTCTGCTGCTGCTGCTGTTGCAATGGCACGGGAGATATCCCAGCATCCAACACGTCGACCACGCGCACGGCCTGCCTCACGGACCCGCAATACACGACCGCGCGCGTGTTGCTGGCGAGCGGTTCCGGGTCCGGTGAATGGAGGACCGTCAGCTCGGCTGTGAAGGACCGTGTCGTTCGGGGGATGTACGGTAAGATCGACTGGCCTTTGCGTAACCTGAATACACCCGATGGTGGCGGTGGTGTTGTTGATGATGGTGGTGGGATATCAGATGAGGTGGGGGCCGTCAGACCGTCGCGGTGGACGAATTGGATGGCGAAGGAGGCGACCTGGCCTGCTTTGACCATGTTGACGGGGCAGCGGTGGCGGTGGATGGAGGTGATGATGCAGGGGGCAAAGCGGCCGTGGTCGGGCCCGATGTAGAGGATTGAGGAGTGTGCGGGGCCAAGGATGGAGGTGTTCGGGTGTGATGTGGTTCCGAGGGATGATGTGGAGGGGCTTGTGGGGGTGGATGTGTCGGCATGTGGCGGGCGGTGGTGTTGGTGATTGCGGGTCAATGAGACGAGGCCGGAGAGAAGTTTCCCGCCGACTACGCACCCGGCGCCGGGGACGGAATACACCTCCTCGATCTGGTATTCGACGTCCTCTTCCACCAAACGCTCGTACTCCGCATGCTGGTATTTGGGGAGGAGGTTGAAGAACTGGGTGAGCAGATCCATGTTGGCGCCGGTGACGCTGGAGGTAAGAAAAACGGGGATGATCTTTTCGTGGACGAAACTTGACGCGGAGACTACCACGTCGTCTTTGTTCTGGATCACGAGCGGGACGCGTTTGATGCCGGGGCTTTTGAGAAGTGTCAGCAAAGCGCCGACGGTGTGTGTCAGTTGCGCGGGCGAGGCGATATCGATTTTGGTGATAACGACGAAAACCGGGACTTTGAGCGAGACTGCGATGCCCAGATGTTCGCGGGATACGGTAGGCACCCCGGCCGCGTTGGCGCCGACTATGAGACAGGCGTAATCTGGCGCGTGTCCCGTTAGTCCTGACAAGGTCGTCTTCTGGTACTTGGGATGTCCGCACATGTCGAGGAAAGTGATGACTTTGGACGCGGCTTCGCAGATCTGCGCCCATGTGTGGATGGTATGGTTTGATGTGGCATAGTTGATGAGTTCGCCGTGCGGGTCGAAACCGATGATTTGGTGGGAGATGGAGGAGGTCCGTCCGGACTCGATTTCATGACGGTGGCGGAGTAGGTTGAGACGGGATTTGCCTCGGCCGTTGTCGGTGTCGCTGTGCGTTAGGACACCCAACAATGTCGATTCTGCGAAGACGGGGATGTTAGTCAGCTCTCCCTCGTTTGGGGCAATGGATGACGAGGACATTGAGGATCCACTCACTTCCAGCATCAGCACCCCCAATAACAGCCACCCGAATCTCCAGAAAGTGCTGGTCATCCGTCAAACATTTCCGCACCAACACTTCCGCAACCTTGCGCTCAGGCATCTCGTTCTCGGCACTGACGACGCGTTCACGGATGATAGACACATCGGCGCTCAACGCGTGGCCCATCTTCTTCAGCGTTTCCACTGAGGCGTCCAGCTCGGATTGCGTGAGCCCGACTAATGCACCTTTGTCCGCGACTCCGATCTCGTACATCGCTTCGCCGTAGCCTTCTGCTAACCTGTAGATGTGTACGATGTTTGGTCAGGGAGACTTGAGATTGTGATCACTCGGAATATGGGAGATGAATTGCGAACCTCCATTTCAGCTGCGTGATGAGATGCTCTAGGCGTTCAGGAGGGGTATTTATCAGCTGCAGTTTGTACTCGACCTGGAGAAGACACCGTCCGTTAGCGCAAGGCATTCGCAGTTTCGCGGCCCACGATACATTCTGCCCGAGACGGTAGTTGAACTCACATTCCCCTGCTCAACCTCTGGCGGCAGCTGAGAGTCAGTGACGTTGTCTGCCATGAAACTCTTCGTCGCCGTGGAGGGCGACAGCTGGGTGGCCTCGTTCCGCCGAAACATGTTTCCCCACCGTCACCAAATGCCGAGCGGAAGTAATGACAAACGCGTTTATGCGAAGCAGTTTCGTCTTCGCGATGCGTGTCCAGCGCCGTCAGATGGGATCACTTGGTGACTATCGCCTTGCCTCTCGGTCGGTATGCCTTTGGAAATGTTCGGGCGTAGGTGACGCTGTGAACTGCCTGCGGAAATACCACTGCAATTTGCCGCGGCGTTGGGTATCAAAATGGCGAAGATACAGATTCTATACGATCGCTGGAGTAGAGAGGTTGACTAGAATATGAGAATGAAGAACCAGTTCTACGGTGGGTCAGGAGAGGAAGCCGGCTCCCTTTTTATAGATATATATATATATACAGTATATATGCAGGCCTTGCGGGGCAAGAGGGGAGAGCGAGACGTCGTCCGTAGGAGCAGGTCCCTTCCAGAAATGTCACACCTGTTTACCCGCAGAGGGCGGCGTCGCGCTATCGCAACCGCCGGTGGAGCGCATACTTGTTGATAGGGGCACACCATGCTGACTCATGAGCGGAGTCATCCATCGCATTTTGCTCCTCATCCAACACCCCCGTCCCGCATCCACAGCACCTTCGTGGGAAGGCGACGGAAGGTCCATATTCATTGGGCAGAGTCGGATTGCAGAGGACGGATTGAGGATCGACGCAGCTTCTATTTGCTCTTGATGAGATGAAAGAGAGCCCGCGCGTCATTCGAGATTAGATCTAGAATGCTTGATGGCAATGGCACACAGTAATGTGCCGGATTCACGAAATAAGTTTGGAGTTCGGAGTTCACGAAATAAAAAGGGGGTTTGCACGTCCCTCGTGATGTTTGTTCGTCAGAGCTCATCAGCTCATGCCAGTTGACTTACTCGAAGAAGAGGGACCCATGCAAGGAGCGTAGGAGGGGAATCCTGCTCGCACAAGCCAGGAGACGAGGCCAAGATCACTCTCCTGTAGGAGTAGTACCGGCGGCGCGGGCAGCCGGAGGAGTACAACGAGAAGGTCCGAACACTCACCGTACCGCGAACTGACTCTGGCGCTCTCCTGCTCACACGGGCAGAGAGGACGCATGCGCAGGAGAGGAGGTTAAATGACGTTTGGATTTGGGGAAAACCGGCGGGACAAGCATATGAGCGACTGTCGCAAGGCTGCGAACTCTCTCTTGCCAATATAGCCAGGGGACAACAGCTCTGAGACGTCTGGATCAGGAAAACCAGGGGCGCTGTTCGAGGCTCCTGTACAAAATACAAAGGAGATATGCCGGGCTTAGATGCTCTCCTGGCTCCACCTGGCAAGAGACGAGGGAAGAAAACCCAGTTGGGACGCAATACCGATGTCAGTGGGATGCGAAGGGGGATTATGGAAGACGCGTTTTTGGACCTTTTTTTTATCGGACGCGATTTGGACCCCGTTTCTGGATTCGCGATTGGATGGCATACATTGGACGGCACATGCAGTACAGTACCTCTGGAAGTCAAGTTTGTGGTGTGGGAGTGATTACCTCTTCCGCTAAGAATATGAAATATCCGCGTCCAGGTCAACATCGATATTTTCATGAGAGTATTTTAGCGCTTGCAATTTGCGAGCACAGGGTGTGATCCATTTGCCATTTGGAGCGGCTTTGTATGAAGACGGTCTTTGTCTCTGAAACAGAAAGGGCTAAAGGGAGATCGTAGTCCAAAGTCCCTCAACATCGTCAGAAAGGTTGGATCAGCACCAGATTTATCAAGTTTACGCTTTATGGGAACGGTATGGAGGAGGCGAATGAAGGAAGAGGCAGAAAAAGGTGTTGGCTGGTGGCTAACGCAGGATCAGGGGAACGACATTCTGCATCGCCAAAAGGGCTAAATTGTCAATCCCAGACCTGTCGTTGGCCGGTGAAAACTGCTCGCAGAAAGTAAACTGACAAAGGAAGGAGGGGTAGTAAGCGAAAATCGATCGGGGGATTATCAAGGCGCTGGGTCCGCCGCTTTGAGCGGTTGAAATGTGGTGATCCGACATCGTTGCGCCAGGCCACAAGCGAAGATGGGAAGAGGCGGTGATCGAAAGGAAAGCCAGCCGTTCGGTTTAATGATGAAATCAAGGTGATTGATACCGCACGCCACGCGAGCACCAGCATTTCCTGTCGTCCTTGATGTGACAGCGTTTCCGAGCCCTAGGTCGTCCTCCAGGGCGTGGATGACCATCGCTTTGCTAAACGCCAGTGTTGAAGAAAAGGACAGTCTTCAGAATGAATTGCTCTCTGCATAAATAACTGCGTCTCCGAACCCCACATGCTGCTTGTCAACTCACCCAATGATGTTTTTCCCTATGTATATGGAGAAGGAACGCAAGTTGCGGGAGGAAGGACTACGAAGTAGAGTGCCTCTAAACCCGCATCTGTGCTTTGCCTCCTCGTGCGGCCGAGCTCCCACCGTTGCCCACCAACGCACATGTTTTGAATATTTTCCATGTCGCTGCAACTAAGAGCAAGTCCGCATTAACCGAATTCGACAGCGCGTTCTTCAAATCCCATAATTCCCATTCCACCTCCTCCGTTCGGCCTTTACCGTCTACGGGGTTCTAACAGAAATGACGCCACCACATTGTATCCCACGCCAACACCTCCACACCTTTCAGCTCATCCGCCACCACGGGGAAAAGACGCCGGACATGAGGTGTGGAGGGAGGGAGGCCTCCCCACACGGAAATGGCGCGGACAGTGGGCTGAGGCGAATTCATGTAAATGGTTCAGAAACCTTCCCCAAAAACCACCGCTCGAAGGAAGTCGCTGAATAAAGTTTCAGCCAACGTTTCTTGCAAGCCGCATCAGACAAAAACCGATTCCAAATTCCTACTCACCACCCCATAACCGACCGTCGTTTAACCACCCAGACCCAACACCGCCATCCAAAACACCACCCAGAATGCGATCCAAAACCATCAAAAAGCCCACCAACGCCCCCGCCGAGGAGGCCTCACCCACCGGCCCCACGCAAGACGCCACTCCCGGCGACGGTGGTGACCAAGTCGGAGAAGGCCGCGAGAACGCCGACGTTGACGGTACATCGGGCCCCCTCCGTTCTCGTCTTCGCCCTCCCCAAATAACCCACGACTCTAACCACACCCCTCTGATAACCCCCCCTAGACAACATCCCAGCCGACCCCGACTTCACCCTCCCCGCCGCCATCGAAGCCCTCGACGAGAAGTTGGAGGCCGAGGCCGAGGCGGAGGAGGAGGCGGAAGAAAAGCACGAGCACGCGAAAGGGCATCCGGGTCGGAAGGCCACTGTTCGGGGGAAGGCGGGTGCGGGGAAGGTGAAGGAGGGCCAGCGTGCGGGGACACACGATGGGAAGGGGAAGGCTACGGGTGAGGTGAAGGAGACCAAGAAGCGAGGCCGGGGAACGCAGAGTCGACAGAGCGATGAGGATGTGAAGAGTGAGGAGGAGGCTGGGGATGAGAAAGTGGCCAAAAAGGTATGGCCGTCTTACTTCCCCAGAAGCCCCCGCTAATCCATCTCACTCCCGCTGGATCCAGCGCCCGACCCGCCAATCCTCCGTTACCTCAACCCCCTCCAACCCCTCAACCATCCCCGGGCACGGCCACGCCCAACACCACAAACACGCCTGGTCCGACAGCGAGACCGCTTACATCAAGCAGCTGGTTCTCGAGCACGGGCACGCGTGGCAGACGGTCGCCAAGAAGTTCAATGAGCGGTTTGGGATTACGGGGGAGACGATTAGGGGGCATTGGAGGGGGTTGGAGAGGAGGGGGGAGGTTTGAGGATGGAAATAGGCGTTGGCGGGTGTACGGGAGTGAGGGGCTTTTTGAGGGGGGTTATAAGATAAGGCGGGTATGGGTTGCGCGGAGTGGTGGGAACGGTGGAGGTGGGAAATGTGAAGATGTGGCGTATAATCTCGTTCGGGCGTGTTGGGATGTAAAATAAGGGTTGGTGTGTAGCATAGCTGTTGTAGTCGTTTCAGTGTAAAGTTGACCAAAAAAAAACTGCGTATTCTTCTCAGCACTTCTGAAAAAGTCCCATTGATCCAGTTCTCCACAGCTTCATCCATTATAGGTGATAACCTATTCAAGCCAAATGTACAACGACGGCGGTGAATAGTCCAGCCTGTACGCGAAAGATATCTACAAGATCGCACAACCTTCACTGCGTTGCTGTGCGCTGGAGCCAAGTTTCGGGGGTGGAAGGAGTGGTTGCGTTGCGATGAGTCATGCCGGATGGCGGGTTGTCGCGAGGGAAGTCTTCCACTGGACTAGGTCCACCGTTTCAGAAGATGCGCATGGACCTTCCCACCCCCTACCTACGCATCCAATAAAGCCGCCGCAGCTCTATTCACATCATTCCTACTCATCCTCAATGCCTCCAACACCCTTTCCCTCGGGAACCCCATCCCCTCCAATGTAGCAATCGCCTCCGTCGATGGTGGTTCCACCGCCACGGGTGACGCCGACGCCGGGCGCGGCCGTGGTGATGGTATTCCCCCTTGTCGCCCAATCCCGCCAACAGCGCGTGTCGTCCTAAATCGCTCGCTCATCTCATCCGCCTGGTCTGCGAGTGTTGTCCCCGTTAGTGGATTTCGTGGTGGTGAGGAGCGAAGGAGGGGGAGGAGGAGGGCGGAGGCGGCGCGTTGGAGGATGGGTGGGAACCGCCATTTTTGGATGCCGAGGACGTTTTGGGAGTAGAGGGCGCCTGCGATGAGGCCGCAGAGGCCGCTGAGGAGGGAGTGGGGGTATTGTTGGCCTAGGAGAACCTGTGTGGGGGCATCTGGTTAGCACACTAACTTTGGTGTCAAAAAGCGCGAATGTTCGTTTTGGCTCGCCGATGCCGGAGTTCGCTTCGCTCCCCCAAAACCGCGCACGCTCGCTGTCGGTAGCGAGGAACCCGGGCGCCAAGCTCGCTTTGCTTGGTGTTCGCGTGGGCTCGCTCCGTTCGCCCCGCTCGCCCCGCTCGCCGCTCTCAGAAACCTACCTGAGACCCCAGGAAGTACAACAAAACATGATCGCTCCATCCCTGCCCAAGTACTTTGAAGCCATGTGCGTCCGGTATAGACTGACTAAACTGATAGAGCGCCGCAAAGATCAGTCCATAAGGCCCTATAGGCACCCTATTCGCCGCCGCCACCGATCGCCATCCGAGCAGACTCGCGAACTTGAGGGCGGCAAAGTTGAGGATGGTGGATATGACGGATGTGATGAAAGCGAAAGATACATATTTCCTCCCTGACCATCTCCGTTCCAGGTGTCGTGATGAGTAGAGAATGCAGGAGCCGAGGAGGAGGTCGGAGGTTGAGCTGAAGAAGAAGTTGGAGGCTATCAGGCGTTCTATCTGGAGATAAGACGGAGCGAGGGTTAGCTCAGAGCGTACGGTGTGAAATTACAGTGAAGAGGCGGTCTTACCAGGAAAAGTTGGGGTGACTTTAGGATGGAGAATTGACCCCAGTTCTGGCGGATGCCCAGAGCAGTTGCAGCGAAAGTGTTTAGACCGAGGCATAATAAGATGGCTTTGGAGACTGGTGCGTTGCCTGCATGCGGGATGCGGATGCCGAATGTGAGCAAGTGTGAGACGGCGTGTAAGTGAAGGTGCAGGCAGACAACTTACGGAAGCCGCCTGTTCCTCTGGTCACCGACATGGCGCCTGTATGTTGTTTACGACAGTCTAGATCTAGTAAACAAGTCCGTTGATTAGACCCTAGGAAGCTGCTGCACAGGGGGTGAAGTTGCGGTGTTGAGGAGTGTCATGGCCTTTGCACTACTCTTAGCGTCGCTTGTCAAAGGGCCGCCTGCGCGTGTTCTCCAGTTGCGCGCTCTCACATGCCCCCCCTCGCTCTCCCCGTCGGACACCCTTTCTTCTCAACTTATCCCTTCCAGACAAAACACCCACCCTCGCAAACACCCCCTGTTTTCATATCTCACTCAATTCAGAAGGTGAGTGTCGCTGCCTTCTCAGAGCTGTTGTCCTGCAACTCTTGCTCCCGTTCGTTCGTGCCCTCTCCCGGTCGCTCACGTCTCTTCGCAGCACAGTGTCCGAACACTCCACGATCTTGCACCCCATCTTGCCCCCCTCCGCCGCGTTACAAATACATTCTCGCACCCTCTCGACCACATTCCACGAACAGCGTCCAACCCACCCACTGATCGTAGCAGTCATGCAGGGCATATCAGTCCGCGACCTCCAGGATGGGCGCTTCCCCGGAACCCCGCAAATGGCCCGCGCACTAGGCACTCCTCGCAGCAAGCGCTCAACAGGAGGCAGAATCACTGGCACTGGCACACCCACGCGTTCACAGCAACGCACTGACAGGATCCACCCTCACCACGTCAGAACTCCTAGAAGAACTGTCTCGACCGCTTCTTCTTCTGCGACGAACGCTAGTGCTGCTGGACAACCGTTGTCGCCTGCGCCGTCTACGCATGGAAGGTCGCCGCGTAAGACTGCTGGAACGTCTTCTGTGTCTTCACCACGAGCCAATATCATTAGCAGTCGGAATGCAGACGCGTTTCTGAAGAGTAGGCTTGGGGTTGCCGGGATTAGTCCCGGTGGTGGCGGGAAACGTGGCAGGGTGAAGGAAAGACTGGTGAGTAGATTTGCGAGCGGGAGAGCGAGATTGGGCGCCAGAGTCGTTGGGTGAAGCGGGCGGCGAGCTGAGCGAGCTCTGTTGCGCAAAAGGCCATTTGCTAGTCCCCGCCAACCATCCATTGCTTCGCTTCGAATCGCTCCCGACCTCACATCACTTTCAACTTTTACTAGTACGACCGATTTGTACCAAGCGAAGACGCGATCGACAAGGCTTCCTCTCAATTCAACCTGCGCGACAAAACCGACCGTCACAAACTCAAAATCATGGACCCCGAAGCACTCGCCTACCAAGAACAAGTCGCCAAAGCCTGCGGAGTAGCCCTCGACAAGCGCATCCTGGCCTTCAACGCCGAACCGCCCGCCGCGTCACGGCACGAGATCAAAACATCCTGGAACCGACCCTTGCGGAACCCCAACTCAACTGCTGCAAAACGCCGCGTCAAAACGGAGCCAGAGAAGGTGCTCGATGCCCCCGGCCTGCTGGACGATTACTACCTGAACCTGCTCGACTGGTCAACAACCAACATGCTCGCCATCGCCCTCGAAAACACCGTCTACCTCTGGAACGGCACCACGGGGGTCGCGTCCCCGCTCCGCCAATCCTCCCGCCAAGACACCTACATCTCCTCTCTCCAATGGGCCCCCGACGGCAGCCACCTCGCCGTCGGGCTCAGCGAAGGCGAGATCGAGATCTGGTCGCTCGAGAGCATGAAGAAGATGCGCACGATGCGCGGGCGCGCGTCCCGGGTCGGCGTGCTCTCGTGGGACAAGAACGTGTTATCCTCCGGAGCGAGGGACGGGAGTATATGGAACCATGACGTGCGGCAGGCGAACCACCGGACCGCGCAGCTGATGGCGCACGAGTCGGACGTGTGTGGGTTGAAGTGGAGGCCGGATGGGATGTTTTTGGCGAGCGGGGGGAATGACAACCAGGTGGTGATTTGGGATGCGAGGTCGAGTTTGCCCAAATTCACCAAGCAGGATCATACCGCTGCTGTCAAAGTATGCTCTTTCGTGCCTGGCTGCGCGCTCGTTTCCCCCCCATAGTTTGACCCTGACTTGCATATCTCCCCCTTAGGCTCTAGCCTGGTGTCCCTGGCAACTCAACACCCTCGCCACGGGCGGGGGCTCGCACGACCGCACGGTGCACTTCTGGAACGTCGCGACCGCCGGCAAGCTCGCGTCCGTCGAAACCGGCTCCCAAGTCACCTCCATCATCTGGTCCACCGAATACAAAGAATTCTTCACCGCGCACGGGTTCCCCAACCACCACCTCTCCATCTGGAAGTACCCTTCCTTGACCAAGATCGGGGATTTGGAGGGCCATGAGAGTAGGGTGCTGCATACGGCATTGAGTCCGGATGGACAGACGGTCGCCACGGGGGCCAGTGATGAGAATCTGAAGTTTTGGAAGGTGTGGGAGAGGAGGGGGAAGGGCAAGTGTGCGGGGTCGAGGGGGGAGGCGAAGGGGAAGGAGAAGGAGGATGAGCTGGTGGACGCTTATAGGAGGTTGGCGATTCGGTAGGGGTGGGGGTGGAGAGGAGATGTGGAACTATGGAGTGGGGGTCGGACGGGGCTTTTGACGATGCGTGGGATGCTTTCATATACACATGAGGGGCATCTCCGTCAGGGATGAACGTGGCTAGACTCATTCGTAATAATGTAAATTCGAATAACATAGTATATAACCATCAACTTTGTAGTAGGGTGGGGCTGTAGATGTCGGATGGTATCACCATACTGGAAGTCCCCACGGCATATGTAGGGCGGCAGTATTCGAGTACGTGTGCGATTGCGGTCATATGTATCTCTGACTGAGTAAACGTCGCATTTGGGGAGAGGCGCTTTGGGAAGTTGGGCCGCCGTAAGGGAGAGGTAGACGGCGACGGCTGCCGGCACCGTCATTATGATGTCGGTCGACGAATTTGACAGCGCGGAACCGGCCTTTTTCCGCTTGCCCGGAAGTTCCGCTGGATAAGAGGTGCGGGGTAGCCTTACCACCTTTTGGACGGGCCGCGATAGCTGAAGTATGCCGCTTTGCAGAACGAGATTCCATCAACAATTCATCCACATATCGATACTCACTGAAAGCTCCAAACCTGGTTCCGTTCGCCGTGTTCATTTGACAGCTATGGGCAAACGGGACAGATCACCCTCACCGCTCCTAGAAGATTTCGGGGCAAAGCGGCAGCATGCCTGGCCCTGTGACGAGACCGCTATGGAAAAGGCCCGGGAGTTCGTGCGGAGATGGTACAGTACTATATCTTTCATCTCCCACCACATCTCTAGCTCTTACCCTTCGACCCACCAACCCCCTCCCAGCGCAACCAACCCAACCTCCCCCATCCTCCTCCTCCCCGACCGCGACGCCGACGGCCTCACCGGCGGCCTGATCTTCCACCGCACCCTCCGCCTCCTCGGCGTCCCGCCCAGCTCCATCACGACCCATTTCGTCACAAAGGGCACGTCGATCCACGCGGAGGGCGAGCGGGAGATATTGGAGGGGTATGGAGCCAGGAGGGTGATTGTTGTGGATCAGGGGAGTCGGGGGGCGGGGGAGGTTGTGCGGGGTGCGGAGGTCCTAGTGGTGGATCATCACTGGAGTGCGGAGTTTCCTTCGAAGGCGGAGGTACTGTATATCATTACGTTTCGAAATGGGCGATACATATGTACAGGGGATGCCTGACAGTCTGTTTGGGAAAACAGGTAGTGAACGCAAGCCACTACCCCCCCGTCGCCACCTCCGCCCTCCTCGCCTACCTCATCTGCGAGCCGCTCCACCAACGCGTCCCTGAGACATGCGCGTGGCTGGCGGTGTTGGGCACGATGGGCGATCTGGGCACGGGGGTTGCGTGGACGCCGCCGTTTCCGGATCTGTCGTGGGCGACGAAGGGGGTGGGGAAGAGCAAGATGGGGGAGGCGGTGGGGTTGTTGAATGCTCGTAGGTACGGTTGGGGGGTGTTGGGGGGTGTGTGCGTGGGGTGTATTACAGTGGGTTGACGGGGTTTTGGGGGTTGGATTTAGCGAGGAGGACTGCGGAGAATGATGTGAGGACTGCGTGGCAGGTGAGATGAGCCGTGCCTAATTTCATCTCGAAAAGTGTACTGTACCAGCCGCTGACATTCCAATACGCAGGCATTGTTGGCGTCAAACACAGCAGCAGACGTGGTGTCACCCTCCAACCCATCCTTCAAACGGCTGCGAGAAGCCAAAGCCGAGGTCGCCGCCGAAACCCAGAAATGGGCCAGGACCCCACCCAAGTTCTCCAGCGACGGGCGCTTCGCCGTCTTTGAAATCAGCTCACCGGCCCAGATTCACCCGTTGATTGCTACCCGTTGGGTAAGTAACGAACTGACTGTCCTCAATATGTGCGTTATTGCTCGTCGCTGACGCACAACATGACAGTCTGGGTATCTGAAGGCCACCAACCTGGAAGCCCTCGTAGTCGCCAACACGGGTTACAACCCCCACCGCGTCCATTTCGCCTGCCGCATCCCGCGAAGTCGGAAGTCTCAAATCACACTACCCGAACCGGACCTCATCACACTGCTGAGTGAGCTGGCAGCTAAGGTTGATGGGTTGCGAGAAAAGCTTGGTGATGATTATGCAAGGGGACATAAGGAGGCCACGGGTGGGGTTGTTTCGATGGAGGCGTGGGGGTTGTTGAAGGAGGCGATGGAGTTGGGGGTGAAGAAGGAGGGGGGTGGGGTGAAGGGGGGGAAGAAGGTGACGCAGAGGAATACGTTGGATCAGTATTTCAAGAGATGAAAGTTCTCTTGCTTTTATATACATTCGACATTAGCAGGGCATCATTGAAGTTCGTGCCCCGTATGTATCTGTCAGCCCTCGCTTGCTGCAGGTCGATCTGCAACTCGTCGCAATGGAATCTCACTTGCTCATGTCTAGGAAAGGTGCAATCTGCCGTTTCGGACCGACCGAGCACCAAGTAACCGGGTGCACATTGTATAGGCAGCTTGGCAGTCTCGTAATGTGATTGATCGGATGTTTGTGAACCCTTTATGTACAAAATTCGGAAGAGTCCTCAGTGGACAGCCCGGCGGATGGCGACGGGAAATAGATGGGGAGCTGCCGCTACGTTCCCCAGTTCTCGGAAACAGCTTCCTCCTCCTATCGTCCTATCGGTGATGCCGTTGCCGCAATCGGTTCTCCAGCTCTCTTCCGCAGCAGCATCCCTCCTCTATGATCCTCTCACGACTGGCAGCTATGCATAATGATTTCCGAGGATAGTTCGCTGTTTTACATCGCCAGTAAATCACCCGCTTGAGAGAAAAGCCACACGGCCGCGGAGAACCTGATAACAGAAAGTATCAGACCAATTGGAAGATAGAGTGGCCAAACCGCACACTTACACTCCAGCGTGGAAGAGGACTTTCAGGTTGCCTGGGTTGCTCAGTTCCCTGTGGACATGGAAATGTGAGCACAAACCGTCTGAGGGAACACTTTCACCGAAAGAGTAGATCCCTAAAACTCACCTGACAACGGCTGAGCTAGAGCTCGACTTTGCTGGGGCCAGGCTTTCCCTTCCTGAGTTTCCAAAGTCCATTATGAGTATTGGGTTGGGTGGTGTTGTAGTAGTCGGTGTTTCGGGGGTCGGAATTGTGCGAATTTCGAGGTTCCACTTGCGACGCTGCGTGCGACGGGTTGATGCCCAATGCGAGGACTGCGCCACCTTGCACGCGAAGTCTAATCAACTCCCCAAATGTCACATCAAACGCTTCCCGTAAAACCGCTCAAGATCGCAACGCAAGATGCAGCTATTGCAACAGGTCGTGGGCGCAAAGTCAAACGCTACCCTCACCGACCTCGCGACTGGGTGCGTCGATGGGGAGCGATATGTGGTATGAGCAAATCGCAAATGTCATGCATTTCTCTACAATTTCTGAAGCTTTTCCCAAATTCCCAGGCGTATGGCAGCGGGGAAAGCTTCGTCATATATACAGCCGAGAAGGAATATGTACAGACACTATCGAGTCCTTCGGGTGGTGGAGCGATAGCGTGGACGATTGACTTTGGCCCCGATGGTCGTGTAAGTCAATGCCATTGGTATCGCAGTGACGAAGATGACATGGTCTGACGCGTATTTTGGGTGGGAAGATTGCGGCGGCCTTTGGGAACGAAGTGGTGATATTCTTCCCGACTACGAAAGATCTGAAGGTGGGCTGCCGAGATGTGGGAAATGGGAGGGCAGCGGTCGACTCAACCTGCTGTTTGACAGTGCCACTGGCTACTACAAACGACGCTCGGATTAGAGTTTGAGGTCCGGGCGATTTCATGGAGTGCGCAAGGTTGGGTTCTGGTTTCTCATACCCAACTGCGAGCCAGCATCTGGGTCTTTGATTGAACTGGTTCTCTTCCCCTTGTTGGCAGGCCAATTGCTTGTGGGCGGTGATTCTTTGACGATCTGGAGGGAAGGCGGGGCAGGAGGAGGAGAAGAACCAGCACCATGGACCAAGGCGTGGGAATGCAGGTAGTTGCTTAGCGACAGCCCTCGTGGCTTGCACGGGGCATGCTAACGCTCGTGCGTCAGAACCGCAACGGAGACTTGCAAAGCCAGGTTCTCTCCCGACGGCTTCTTCTTTGCGACCACCAGTGAAGTACGTGCTGGATGCTGTTACCGGCCTTACTCGGCTTGACTCATGTTGAGTTGCTGATCTGCTTCACAGAATGACTCCCTCGTCAAAGTGTGGTGTCCGATTTCTTCTGGTAAGTCAGCGTGCAAGCATTAGTGACGCCGCGTCATGGCTGATTCCATCCTGTAGTTGACATACCTGGGTCCACGAGAGCATACGATTTCTCGTACTTGGATCATCCAAGTCCCGTTGTGCTTTTCGTATGGCGACGGCCGCAGCTGAAGTCAGGGTAGGTAAGCGAGCTGTCCTGTCATTGGCTGCACTTTTGTCTGACACTACTCATCCAGAAACAAAGACGAGAATGTCTTGATGACGCTATCCAAAGACAACGTCACCCGGCTATGGTGCCTGAGCCGCTTGGAGTACCCGTACCAATTCCAGCTTGGAGCGGTCATTGATCCGAGCGACTTCCCATTGACTGAGGCCATATCGACGGTAAAAGAGCCACACATCTGCAGCGTTCATTGGCTTCACGGAGCAGAGATACATCAGGCGATCGCCAAGCGGGAGAAGGCCGAAGCAAGGTTCCTGCGAACTCCGTCAGAGCTCCTGGGCAACTCGGTCTCTAAAACAAAGAAGCTGAAGAGCGCGTTGAGCGATTACTCCGATGTGCTTCTCCACATACAAAGCGATGGATCTGCAGTGATATGGGGTATCCAGAATCTCACATCTCATCCGAGAAGAATCCCGAAAGTGCTTGTTATCATGAAGACGGAGCACGCCGTTCCTGTGGAAGACGTGCAGCACTTTGAGGGGCAGAGCCTGGTTTTCTTCCATGACCGGAGCATACAACCTTCCAGTACGTCGAGCAGTGAGGTTGCACCACGCTCATACCATCAGTTCACTCACATTCCTTGCACAGCCATCTTCCAGCCCGCGGAGCTCCAAATCGTCGTTCAGAGATCGGACGGAGCGCTGAACAGCTACATAATGGACCTGGACGATTTCTTCACGTCATCATGGATGGTCCCTCGCTTGGCGCATTACCATTCTTGGAATGGACACAGGAAAGCGGTGCACAAGGTCATACGGCACCCCCGCCTTCCGTATGTCGCGACGATAGCGAAAGATGCGGAAGTTATGATCTTTAGGAGTAGCGCTCCTCAGGTCAGTTCTCAAACGAGTACCCAACGAGGCTCGGCAAATACTCAAACATTGCTTCAGATGGGACTTCGGACTACGGACGGCCTTTCGTCGATAGCAACGATACCTCCGGAGGAGAACGTGGACGCAGACTCTACGTCCGTCGTTTGGCTTCCACATGGTATGTTGTACTCCTCGGCGTTTGAAAACAAAAGCGCCCTAACTCACAGGTGCTCTCCACAAGGTCTATTCTTCGTCCTGCAACAGGTTGGGAAGTTGACTGTATACACATTGGAAGGCAATAAAGCGCAATCTCTGGGCGACCTACCGTCAAAGGAGCTCTCAGAACCACTTGCATATGTCCACGCATATGTGGATGCTGATGCAAAAGCAGGTGATTCGGACGCCGGGCAGAGCGATGCCGCTAACGTCTTCCTGGTTGGGATTGCCAAGCGGACGGGGCAGATTCAAACATGGTCTCTACGGTTCGAACGTATGTCAGTGAAAGCAATGCATACGCAATGGACATGCAATTAACACTGCTATCCAGGAAACACATTGCAATTCACGTCACTCATTCACAGCAGCGAGTTGAACGCCTCTACGGGTCTCCAACCGTCAGATATATTTCTCACCCTACCGACGGACGATCTGAGCTTGAGTTTCTACCCTCATTCGCCATTGGGAGCTCACATATTTCTCACGTACTCCTCTGACAAGCGGGTTCGGTTCTGGCATTGTGGCAACGGGAGTTTGGCATCGCTTTTGGATACAGGCGATGGAGATGTTCCTGCTGTGGCGGATGAGGCCGCGTGGCGTGTTGTCGCGGAGTTTGATATCGACGCAGAGAACGTGTCGAAGTTCGAGACGGACGCATTCGGCAAAATGGCCATAGTCAGCAGTTTCGAAAGTGGAAGCGACCTTTCCATCTGGAGCAACGAAGCCACTGGCCTCGAGATGAAAAAAGAATGGTCCACCAAGCTCACCACCCCAATCGTCGCCCTGGATTGGTTCATGTCTTCAGACGGCCAGCACCTTCTCGTCATCGGAACCGCGAACCGTGTTGCCATATACAGCCAATGTCGTCTGGTCTTCCCCGAGGATCCCATAGTATGGGAAGTCATCAGCTCGATCGATCTCTCATGGCAGGAGACCACCACTGCGGTGTCATGGCTGCCGAATGGATCTTTGATGGTTGCTACGACGCTGCAAGTAAGGGTGTATGATAAGTGGATCCAGGCTGATGAGCAGGCGGGATTGATTGCGCAAGAGAATGCGAGTGATACACGGCTGGACCATATATTTACGGTGGTTGATGATAAGAATGGGAGGCTTCCGGATCATCACCCACATTTGCTGATGCAATATTTGTTGTGGGGTACGTATACGATGGGATGCGAAGTGGTCGTCTGGAGTTTTCCGGTTGTAGGCTGCTAATCACCGTTGTTTCATCAGGGAAATTCGATTTCGTCCGATATAGTTTGTCGCTCCTATATCATTTCGTCAAGTTGATGAGCGAGACTGGCAAAGCCATAACCGAGACGCCCATGCCGCTGTGGAAGTTCTTTGCTGAAGAAGACGTGAGTTGCCCTCCACTGTTTCACGGTATCGCACTTCTCTTCTGACTGTCCAACGCCCGACCTTGCTCCACAGCCAGACAACCGCAGAGAGCGAGACTACGACTCCCTTTTTGGATTTGATGAGGACGGCGGCCAGTAAGTATCGCGTTCTATCACAACACGGGAAGGTACATCATTGCACAATCGTAACCTCTGTTTTGTTAGCAAGGAACCGAAAGTTGGTGAATTCCCCGACGAAGCTGCCGCATATCTGTCCGAGAAGCTCGCAACCGTCTCTCTGCCGAACGTGACTGGCCATGAACAGATGCTGCTGTTGGCGGTGATTGACACGTTTGTTCAGGTACGATCGACAGTCTTGCTGGCCACACGCCAAATGCTTTTGCATTGACGTTAGTTCTTGCAGGTCGAAAAGCAGAAGCGGTCTATGGATGAGAATGGCGTTCGCTATATGCTGTTTATGAGGCTGTTCATGTTTTCGCAAACGTCACTTCCTTCGCAGTCAAAGCGGACGGCTCTGACTTCGAGAGATATTGTGTGGGCATTTTTCAGCGAGTCTCAGGTGAGCGAGCATCCCTTATGATAAGGTCCATGTGGTCCCATCCATTCAAAGGAGATCCAATGCAATATAGGACAGTCTCCTAGAAGTCGTCACCCAAGCCTGCAACAACAAAGTCTTGTGGAGCGACGCGAAATCTCTCGGATTAGGCTACTGGCTCCGCAACCCAGAAACCATGCGGAAAACCATGGAGACAATCGCGCGAAACCAGTACATGGGCAAGGACGACACCCGAAATCCCGTAGACTGTGCTCTGTTCTACATTGCGCTGAAGAAGAAGAATGTACTGCTGGGATTGTGGAAGCTGGCAAATTCACACCCGGAACAAGCGGCTATGTTGAAGTTCCTTGGAAATGATTTTGAGGAGGAGAGGTGGAGGAGTGCTGCTATGAAGAATGCGTTTGCGTTGCTGGGCAAACAGCGATATGGTACGAACTGTTTGATTGCATACTTAGGACGCCTTCGTCTAACGATTGAGCAGAGAACTCCGTCGCGTTCTTTCTCCTTGCGGACAAACTGAAAGACGCCGTTAGCGTCTGTCTGAAGCAGTTGAATGATCCACAGCTTGCCATCATTCTATGTCGGCTCTATGAAGGTTCGTGGCCTTTTCACACCTCTTCTGCAACGGCTTGGAAACCCGTACTCATTTTCGTCAAACAGGGGAAGAAAGTAAGACGCTGAAGGAAACACTGTTGACCAGCATCATTCCGAGTGCGCTCGAGAAGGGCGATCGATGGCTGGCTAGCATGGGATTCACGCTTCTGAAGGACAAGGATGCTGCACTGTTGGCCATCTTGGTAAGCTGACAATAATTTGACATCTGGAATGAATGTGTACTAATACGCGGCGTAGGAACCCTTATCATCCCTTCAAGAAAGGCTGCCGGACCCACCTACCACGGCCCTTAATCCTCAATCCTTCCTGGATCCCACTCTCGTGCTATTTTACCACCATCTGCGACGCTCATATCGGACCATGCGCTATCCACAACCTCGCATCCCTCGAGACCTGGAAGGAGAGTTCGTGTACCGAAGTGCACAGGCCTACGAGCGGCTGGGTTGCCCTGGCCTCGCGTTGGATATCATTAGGAAAGCCGATGCACTCATCGGGCAATATATCGGAGACGAAGCCATTGTGGAACTCAAAGCGCCGCCTTCTGATTCGTATGTTGGCGGGAATCTGGACTTTGATGCTTTTGGCAGTGGTTCACAGGCTGCGGCGGTGGATGCAACGCCCGCGAAGGCTGGTGACTTCGATTGGGGCGCTCCCGCGTCTTCCACTGCTGAAGAGCCGAAGAGCCGAGCGGCTGACTTTGATTGGGGCGCACCGGCGGAGACTTCTGCGCATGAAGAACCAAAAGCGAAGGCATCTGATTTCGATTGGGGTGCTCCTGCTACGCCCAAGAAAGAGGACCCACCCAGTAGAGCTGCTGATCTTGACTGGGGCGCTCCTGCCTCGCAGCCGTCGACTTCAGATAGCGCTGGCGGATACGACTGGGGCGCTCCGGCCTCATCTCCGAAGAAGCCAACAGCGTCAGATAGTTTCGATTGGGGGGCACCAAGTTCACCGCCGCCCGCTAAGGCAGCCGGGGGCCTTGATTGGGGTGAGCCGGTCGCCAACGCCAACCCCTTGTCCATAGACGATGAGTTTGAGGCCTTCAAGAAGAGCATGGGCGGCGGGTACGGGGACGACGAGGATCCAGAGGAAGCCGACGAAAATCTGGACGACGATCAGGAAGTTCACGCCACGTCTGAAGCTGCTGCGGATGAAAATAAAGCTGTAGCGGCCGCTCCGCCTATGGACGACAAGACTCGGCTCCGCTTCGAGTTGGAGCAACGCAACATGCGCTTGTACAAATGGATCCTCGCCATGCGCATAGTCCAGGCAGTGTACAAATCCGTAACGATCGTCTCTCGCAATCGACATATCCTCTCTGTTGAATCGACCTTCCGAGACTACACGATTTTGCTCGTCAAGGGGATCCAAACTCTGCTCGAGATTGTGCAGATGCCCGTTGATGTCATGGACCAAGTTCTAACGTCAAGATGTCGGGAGATGGACGCCATCGTCGCGTATGGCGCAATCATACCTCTCCGCGGCACACTCCAAGACTACGGCTCCATTGTGGAGCTCTTTCTGCTAGAGAAGAGCAATGTGGTGGCCAAGCTGGCTTTCGGCGATGGATTCAAAGTGGACGCCCGGGTTCCGGGCTTCACAGAGTCCTTGTCAAGGCAACTGCTGTTATTCTTGACCCGGTGGTTCGAACGCGTGCAATCGGAAAGCGTCCCGGACATCAAACGCGAGGCCGTATCCCAAGCTGCGATAACAGCATACCTCACTATGGCCCTGTGTGCGCTGCGATCCTCCAATTATGCACTGATGAATGTCCTAATGGGCAGCTGCGATCGCATTTTCGACGGGATTTTGTCGAATAGAGTGAGAGATCTCGGATCGGACTTTATGGACATTGTGAACATTCCGGTTCCAAAGCAGTCAGAATTCGGGGAAGATGACGATGGTCTCACGTTGAGACGGGTTGACACCGATCCCGATGAAGACGACTTTGAAGGCGACAGTCTCTTAAAGCAGGAGCTGCCCTTGGATATCAATCCGATCGCGGACTCGCTTATGGTTGTGCTCTTCTTCCAACACATTGCTCTGACTTTCCAGGCGTACCTTGCACAGTTGAGGAAAGGGAACAATACCGCGTCGGATGAAGAGCATCGCTTTCTCGTTGAGGGCATCCTAACGCGGATGAGCACCGTCTTGTTCGACCTTCAGAGGCCGGTTGCAAATCGGTGGAAGAAGGGCGGTATCAAACCTGGTATGGACACCGTAGCTACTTATACTTGTGAATATGGCGCTGGCTGACCCTACTACACAGAAAAAGTACGGAAATACTTGGATACCGATGAAAAGAAGAGGCTATGGGATACAATACGTAAAACCGTCAGTGTCGGCAAGATGCTTCACTTTGTCAAGCAAGCGCGGGACGAGGAAGTTGCAAAGCCGGCGGATTCCGCCAATAAGTTGGATGACTTCGGTCAAACCCCTGCAGAAGAAACGGAAGCGAAACCAACAACGAGTGAACCCAAGCTCGTTTACCGGACTAAGGACATTATCCACACCTTCGCAATGAATCCGGTAAATTATCTTGCAATTATCGTGAGCGCAGTGGAGCCCAAAGATAAGACGTATACTGACTGGACTGCAGCTTGACCATAATCAAATGGCAATAGGAACTCATCGTGGTATCCTCGAAGTCGACATTGCAAATGCAAGGCAGTTCTTCCAAGTATGTCTCCGTACGCGTCCCAGACTCCCAGGAGATCCAAGCTAACTAGTGAGACCTTTCAGCGCCGGGGCACCTTCACGGATATTCAGGCCACGGTTGATGACATATCATTGCGGGAAACGGCGGCCAGAAATTCCCTAGAAGGGCCGAGGCTGTCACGCACCGACGACGCAGATGCTGGCGCTCCTAACCCGATGAGGCGAGGGTCGATGGTCAGAAACCTGAGCTTCGATTCGATGCAGAAAGCCCTGCAGAAAGGCATGCGGAATCTCAGAAAGGAGTGTGAGTAGGCAAAAGCTTTTATTGGGGCAAATATTTGTTCCTTGACTCCTTCCTTCCTAGCAACGTCAAACACCGATCTGAATGGGAGCCAGTTACGGCACACCGTACCCGGGGTCTCATCATTAGCATCACATCCAACGCTCAACTACTGTGAGTTCTCCTCTCCCAGAACCCACAGCTCGCGGGATGCAAACTCAATCCACCTTGATCATAGATCTCGCGGGCATCAGCGATCCCCCAACAACACCAGCAGTGGTGCAACTGTACCAATTCGGGCAAGCCAAAGAGTTGGTGACCTACACGAGCGGCACAACCGCCCGTTTCACTCGCACCAGATTTGACCCCTTCGGTGCGCGCTTTGGAGGAAGTGACTCCAAAGGGGACGTGTACCTTTGGCGATTCGATGCTAGCGCCGACGCGTCGACGCCGGCAATGGTGCTCGGATGTCACTCGTTGTTCACGAACGATTTCACGTTCTTGAACTCAAGTACTTTGCTTGCCTCTGCGGGTGTTTCCACCAACAACCAGTACGTGTACATGCCACCGGCTTTCATTAAGGTTGTCACTTATCAAAGTGTTTCTAGGAACGTGTGCTTGTGGGACACACTTCTACCCGCTTCGAAAGCTCGTGTGGGAGGTAAGTCTATAGGAGATGGCGGAGAACTTCTGTTTCCCAACTCAATCTCACAATCTGTTTTCAAAGCGTTCACTGTTGCGGAAAGCGGGGCTTACAGCGTGGCGTATTCGGCACGTCACCAGCTTCTGTTCTCCGGATCCAAGAAGGGTGACATATGTGAGTGATGTTCCCATTATATATAGGTTGCAGTGACTAGCTGCTAATCGACGTTTCCCAGACATCTTCGATATGCGGCAACGCGCGCTGTTGGACAGTTTCCACGGCCACGACCATCTCGTCAAAACTCTCTGTATAGATGTGGAAAATGGGAATCTAGTTTCAGGGTCCATGGGCGGCCACGTCAAGGTACATGTTTCTATGGTTGAATTTTCCAAAAAAAAAAAACGAGCTTCTCATATGTTGTAACGCCCCTACGCAATAGCTATGGGATCTGCAGTCGTTCAAAGAGAAGCACACATGGAGCGCAATCCGCGATAGCCCCACCCCACCTCCAGAGACCTCCCCAACCTCCGAGCGAGCCGGACTCACGCCCTATGGAATTATGCAAGCTGAAGTGGTCGACAACACCATCTACGCGTGCGGTGCCGACGGATGTGTACGGACGTATGAAGCAAATCCTTGATGAGACCCCACTATCTACGCGTTCAATCCATCCCGCCCCACCCTCACGCTGTCTCTTTCTGCACCATCTTCCCGTTCCGGAAAGCGTATATCCCTCCATCTCCAACGTTGTATTTGTAGTAGTTCTTCGTACCCGCAACATTGATCGCCTTCCGAAACGTGATATTGATCCGCGGTAATGCTGTAGCACGTTTAGGTATCGCGTGCAGCCACTGGGATTGCGTAGTGCCTTGCATCACGAGCAGATCACCATCTTCGAGGAAATACTTCTCCTTTTTGGAGGCATCCACTTTGTTCTTCATCAGAAAATCTCTACAGCCTCCCAGGGTCAGCGATGCGATAGTGGGATTCTTGCCGAGGAAGGATTCGTCATCGGAGTGGTAGGTTATGGAATCCTTTCCATCCTGATAATAGTTCAAGAGGGTGAAGTTGAACTTGGCCCCAGTGACTTTCTCCACATGCGCTTTGAGGATCTGCAGCGGTTCTGGAATCGGCCGGGGTGGCATATTGTACGTTGACGCAGGCGAATGAGTCTCGTCGATCCCAAAGACGGTCGTAAATCGCGGTGTTGTTATCTGCCAAAAGTCTAATGCTCAGTTTCGACGACATCGTTTGTCCCGGTCTCGTACGCAAGTCACACACCTGCATCCCCCTAGTCTTGTACTGCACGCGGTACCAGTTCAGTTCCTCCAAGCACCATTTCATGAACCGCGTCGATGTGGGCGTCCTGACGAAATGCTTGTAGTACACCAAATCCAATCCGGGCGACTTTTGGATCACTTGCTTGTTCTCTAGGTTGATGCCGGGCGTCACGTCGATCGCCGGCGGGAGGGTAGCTGTTGGGAGCAGGTCCTTCACTGTGGGAGTAGCATTGGCTTCGTGGTTCACTGGAGACAGCTTCGTCTCGGTCTTTGGTCGTCGTGCGATGGAGAATCCAGTCTCCACTGCCAGCTTCGACGTTGCGCTTGCTGGATCTGCGGATGTCTCATCTTTACAGTCTAAAGTCACAGATTCTTCAACCTTGACTTTCTTCTGCGGCTCGTTCCTGTCCTGCGAGGAGGACGACAGGGACCGCTCTCGCTTGATTGTCGACTGGGTAGGCATGCCTGGTTGTGTTGCTCTTTGGTGAAAGTGTAGTTGAGGGTATTTTTCCATGTCGTATGGATGCTCTCATCAACTGGACTTGTCGTTCTCTTTGGCTAAATCTAGGGCGAGTCTACGATTTGCTGAATGTTTTCTATCTGCGGAACCGCCCATCTTTTATGGACCGTATTGGCGGAGAAACTCGACGGGAGCGACGGGAAGAAATATCCAGTGTGGCAAAGCCTCGCGTGAAGTTCGCGTTCTTGTACGTCATGACCAGGCACCGAGTTTGGACACTCGACTGTAGACTGACGGCCTGTCAGAAAGACCTCTCGGAACAGCCACGTTCACAACAGCCATCATAGAAGGGAGTTCAGGGAGTCGAAGTACTTCTATACATGTGTCTTTGATATTTACATGCGAGCTACAGCTCAAGCTGAGCGTCTATTTACAAGCGAAGACTGCTAATTTACAATGGAACCAAAACTATCCACAGAGAAGAGTCGGAGTTGCGATCAGATGAGGGCCTTGCCTTTAAGCCGCCGCCTGTTTGGCTTTCGCGCCACCGGCCTTCCTCGCCCCTGCGAGTTTAGCCCTCAATCCTCCGGCTGCTCCCGCCGCTTTCTTTGCAGCACCGGCTCCGGCAGCACCAGCACCAGCAGCTCCGCCGTTCGCCTTTGCCGCAATCGCCTTGATCCTGGCCGCAATACCACCTGCATTTCCGCCAGCGGGCGCAGCGGCACCCGCAGCACCGGTACGAGCACCACCGGCACGAGCAGCACCGGCACCAGCCTTCCTCCCCCTTCCAGCACCCTTTGCAGCAGCAGCAGGTGCTGCCGCACCTCCGGAGTTGGCAAAGTCCTTCACGATGTTGTTTGTGAGCGCAGCACCGACGGCGACGGGAGCGCAAGATCCGAAAGAGATGGGATTCCTCACTTGCATCAAGCAAGATCCTTCGGGGCATTCCATGTTGGGAACGTTGAAAGTGACGGTGGCATCCGCACCACCTCGGAGGTTGGCAAGGTTAATTCCACCACGACCGGGGGCGTTTGTTGTGACTTCGGCGTCCGTCCATGTCTGACCGTTGTCGGGAGAAAACGAGACCGTCAACGGGCCAGCACCATCTTGGTTGACGATGCGGTAGACGATATCCGCTGAAGAGCCGGCTTGGAAAGTGGCACGGGGCGTGGTGTCGGTGCGGTCAATGGCATTTGCCCCGCCGCCGAGGACACGTCCACATGCATTCCTCTTGGAAACACCGAGAGCGACGTCTCTCTGGCTGTCGAGGGCGACCGCGGGGTTGACGTTCAAGCCGAGAGGGGAGGTCAGCTTGCCGTGAGCGACGACCTGTGCGACGCAGGCAGACAGGATAGTGGCGAGAGCGACGATTTGCATGTTGTTGACCTTGCGGGGGGTTTGGTTTGATGCGAGAGAGAGTGTTCAGCAGATGAGTGATGACGGTGAAGGGTAGACGCAAACCTGCCCCCCTTTTATACAAATCGGCATCCCATACTCCAACGTGGTCCCATTTTTCTTAGGCTCGATAGCGTCCCCCTCGTGCGCCCGGAGCAGCTTCGCCCATGGATGCGACGCTGAGCGCAAGTGTGCTCCGCGGGATGTGTGATGCCGGAGAGGGGCATATCGCAAAAAGAACTCAAAACCGCCCACGCCAGCAAGCGTTCTCCTTCTGACAGGAGTTGCCCACTCGTACGTATTATACTTTCCCGTCGGCAGATGGGTGGGTGACGTGGGGGTTGAAACCTGGACGAGCAGTGTCTGTCTGCTCTTCCATTGTGCGTAGCGACTGACAGGAGGTGTCGATCAACATCAAACGCTGTTTCACCGAAATTTCGCGCGTTTCACATCCTTACCTAAGCCAGATCTCCGCTCCGCGGAAGTTTCCTGTTCCCTTCAGAGTCCACACAACCTTTGCGCATTGCCCCTTTAGTGGTGCCTCTCCGGTGTCGTCGTTAGGACCCTGGTGTACACTCGTGAGGGTGAAGCGCAAAAATTTATGATGATTATTATACGAGAGATATAAGATATTAGATCATGGCATATTGGGGGTTTGAGGATAACGATAATTATGACTGATTGAGGATAAGGATATGGGATATGGAGTATACATAATACAGAGGATCCATTAGTACTCACGGGACAATCCTCAACCGGGGCCTTTCCGAGTTCTTTCGAAAGAAGCGACTCGATCAGTGACGAAATCCTTTGCTACTTCGTCGTTCTCCAGCTTGAATCCTCCCAGGTCACCCCTGGGGTCATGCGCTGCAAACAGGAGAGAAGAGACTTAGTCGGGGTATGCTAGACATTTATACATTCTCTGTGTCTCATTCGTACCTTTCCTACGACGGTCGGACTCACGACCGTGCCCGCTGTACCGGGGGAAAGGCTCTGCCGCAGTAGCTGGGCCGTGTCCATCCTCATAAGCATGATACTCGTAGGGATCTTGGAGGTCGGCATAGGCTGCTTCGATCGGGTGAGGGTGTTGGATTGGATGGTGCGGCATCGGAAAGCTGGTTGAAGGTTTGCGCCGGATAGAATGTTGTGGTGGCACTGCGCTTTGCTCTGCATGAGCCGGCTGCAAATCGAAGCTGACGTTGCCCACTGGATCACGTCTAGAAATGCCACGACCTGGTTGCGCTGGCTGTTGCGATTTGGTCCCGCCTTTAGCATAGCCGTCATCCGTTTCATCGCCCATTCGAAATGCCACAGAAACGCCTGCAGCGGCAGCAGCCGCAGCCGCAGACGCGATTCGCTCGTAGTTGGAAGTATCGCCGCGGTCACGAACACCTTCTACGCGGGCTCGTATCTGTGCCTTGTGGTAGCTTGTGCTCGGACCGGCCAGCCCAGCAACTCCTTCATCAGGGTGACCTGCATGTGCTCCACTCGCTTCGCCTGATCCCGAGGCACTGCTTTGCGACATCCGACGCTGCTCTTCCACCCACTCCGTAATGCGTCCGGCGGGCGGCGGAGACCGGTGCGCATCTGCTCGTCCTTTTCCTTTATCCTTGGACTTGGAGGTGGACTCCGCATCCCGAGCCTGATTTTTTTCTCCTTTCTTTCTTCTCGATGCATCTTTCGGTCCACGCGCATCCGGGTCGTCATCCTTGCTCAGCCGACCTGCTGTGTACGAAGCATCCCGCGGGACAAAATACGAGTCCTTCCTGACTTTCTCAGCTTGCCTTTCCTCTTCCTCCACCATCTGGCGGAAATGCTTCTCGAAGGCGCGCTGTTCAGCTCGTCTACGATCGGCCTCCTGCTCGCGCTGCTCCCGTCGGGATTTTTCCCTCTGGTACATTTGCTCACGCAACTTGTCGGTGCCTCGCGCCAACCGCTCCTCGTCGAGCTTTCTCTTCTCCTCCCTCTCAACCCGCTCCAACGCATCCGTCAGCCGATTCCGAGCATCCTCCAGCTTCGCCTTGGTCCAGTGTCCTACATTGTCCTCTACACCCCCAATGCGAAGATTGTAGCTTTCGAGAATGGTCGTAAGAGCTTCCCTCATATCATTCGCCTTCTGCGTTCGCAGCGCATCTTGAGAAAGCATCAAGGCTCGAATTTGGGTGTAAATGTCGTCCATGCGCGTAGGGAGATCTGCATCAGGAGTGGCGATCGGCAACATCTCGGTCATGTCTCTCTCCGGCGATTGAATGACATCGTAGTCCTCCAGCTTCAGTTCCGCGAGCAATTGTCGGGAGATATGCTCGTCTTCACTGGCATGCTCTACCACTGACCTTTGAGAAGGCGCAAGCGATGCTTGTGAAGGACCCAACGATGCGGGTTTCGGTACCTGCAGAGTTGCTTCGAAGTGCACATTCTCGCTTACGGCAGGCGCTTGCCTTGTTTGCACTGGCGGCTGTGGAAGGGGCCCATGGCCGCGCATCGGCGGCTCCGCAAGCCGAGATGCAGAACTGAAGATCCGACCACCCGGTGGGCCGTCGTACGCCGTCGCATAGCTCGACTTGCGCGACGTGGGATCCAGGTTCGGACTAGTTCCCGAGCCGTCCTTCTTCCGCCCCACAAATCGCAGAAGCTGACGTATCCTATCCGCGCCTACAGCGGCCGCGGAGAACGATCGCGCCGGACCGGCGGGTTTCTTCCCTTTAGCATCCGATGCGGGATTGGGGCGGCTGCCGGACGGGTGGGCTGGCTTTCGCTTTATGGGTGAAACACTGGATTTGTCTCGTTGCACTGCGTTCAATGGATGATAAGGCGCATTGCTGATGGGCACATTTCGCAATGTCTCGCGGGCCTCCTCGTCCCTCTTTGCCTTTGCCTCGGCGTTCTGAATCGCTTGATGTTGGAGTTCTTCTTCTAGTCTGCTCAGACGAAGGTCGCTGTCGGCCTTATCGATCAAGAGCTTCGTCACGCGCTCTCGTTCCGCGTCAAGGAGGTTTTTCCATGCATCTTCGCCACCGCGTGTGTCGATGCCGGCCATGAGCACTTCGGGCTGCTCGATTTCGGGGAATGTCACCTTTTCGATGTCTTTTCGTTGCATCTGGCCCGTGGGAGAAATGCCGGACGATGCTAAAGCGCTACGGAGCTGAGAAAGGCGGCCGGTGCTGGACATCTCGACGACGTCAGGGTTGTATGGCGGTACCGCATGGCCTGTGAAACGGACTGTTCAGCCGGGATTCCGGTGTTGAGAAGCACCATGCGCCAGTGATGCACTTACCTGGTTTGGGACTCTTTGAACTCTCAATGGGCACGGCCAAAGAGGAATGCAGGGGCTTTAGAGCATCCTCGAACGCAAGCTGCAGGAGTAGCGGATCTCTTGAAGCACCGACTGGAGGATCCGCGATATGTTTGGCAGGGACATCTCCGCTGTCAGCAGGACCGTCGCCACCATCTTCCCCGGGAGCAGGCGTTTTGGGAAGCCGCAAGCAGCGGACAAGCAGGCGACACGACTCCTCCCGAGTCTTCAAGCCTTTCCCGACGCAGTCCTCAAGTCGAAGTCGCCATTCCCTGTATCGCCCCATAGAATTCAACAGCTTCTCCACAATCTGCCGCGTCTGCGCCTCCCCTTTTCCCCCAGATGTAGACTGCAGAACCCTGCTGAGATGCTCCAGCCGATTCAAGAGCCCTTCTTTATCCTTCTGCACAGCCTTCAGCGCATCTTCGACCATGCGAAGCTGTTCATGGCGAGCCTGGATGGCGGAGTGCACATCGATGCCCACGGAAGTGGATGTCGCGCTGGCCTCATCTGCGCGTTCCAGCTTTTCGATCTCATTGATGTGGTCGTCGCATACGTTTCGGAGAGCGTCGATTTTGCGGAGGAGGATGTCGCGTTCGCGGCGGGCGGATTCGAGATGGGCGAGGGGGTTGCGGGCTTGGAGGTAGCCGGAGGTGTTGATTTGCAGGACTGTTTCGATGTCCTCCTATGAAGTTGCACATGAGTATGACGTTGAGGAGTTGGTTCCCTTGTGCGTTGTTGCACGAACCTCTGAGTAGGCGGCTATGTCGGCAACACCAGCATCCCACTTCCTTTTCAAATCAGCAAGCTGCGCGGTCATTTCCATTACACCGGAATTGTACTTTGTTGCGGCTGCTCGTACGTTGACGACATGCGGAGATGCAGTCGATGCCGGCTGATTGTTCAGAATCTCGAACGACTACGATGTAAGGGTTAGTGAGCCATGCGTGTCTGAGGCGCCAGAATTACCGCAAAGCTTCTTCTCACCTCTTTGATGTTGTCTCCAGCTATGCGAACAAGACTGTCAAGACATTCCATCATTTCCGCGCTCGTGAATGCATCTTCCTCGTTTGTTGTTGTGCGAATCTCCTCAACTAAGATCATAGCGCGGTTCTGAAGACCTTGCGTTGTCATCGGCTCCGCACCCGTCGGCGATGCTGATTTTGCCTCCTCGCCAGGTGAGAGTGGTTGTGGGACTGAAAGACCCAGTGATGCCAGTTTGCTGTTGGGGCGTGTGAGATCCATCATGGCGGGTGGTGCCAAATGCTGGGATGCACATACCAATCGATATCGACAACGCAGCTCAGCAACTCCGACCGCCCAGACTCGATCTTCTGCTTGCAGTCCGCCAAGATGGCTTTGATGCCAGTATGGTTGGTAGGCGACATGATGGCATGGAACAAGTCCGGGAAGTTTCGTGGATCCGCGATCGATTCTTCCAGTGGTGTCGGGTTCACCAACGAATCTTGAGGTCGCTTCAGCGGTGGCAGCAGCCGATGATCGAAAGTGGGGTGGTGATGCCGCTCAAAGTTGGCATGGACGAGGAATGAGTGGGCGGTGCCTATGATTTTTGCATGGCCCTGTCAGGAGAGACGGTCAAGACCAAGGCCCCACTATGTCGGCAAAGCTCTTTGAGGGTACCAAACCTGGATCAACTCATGCAAAGCTCCCCCAACGTCCTTGCTATGCTTGGCAGCCTGCTCAATCAACTCCTTTGCAATCGAGACGCGGGTAATCCTTTCGCCGACGGCGGCTTCAGCAGCGGACTCTGGCGCTGTGTGCATATGGGCGATGGCGGAAAACATCTGCGTCTTTGATTTGATGTGCTGGGCCCATGTCTGTTTGGAGTAATGAGCCGCAAGTCGTGAACCAAGTGTCAATCATAGCAGCTACGTACCTCCGGGAATCGCATTTTGTAGTTCCCGGTAGACAGCCTCGCCGCACGAGATGCCACTTCATAGTAGTCTGCTGTTTGTGCCGCGATCTTGGCAGTTACACCTGAACTCGCCTTAGCTGCCAAATTTGGATGTTTTCTGTCCATCAATCTGACTGACAGAACAAGTTTACGAAATACCTTCATCCTTACTTACTGTCGGTTGCCTTCTCATAGAAGCACTCCATAGCCTGAGCCAGCATCAATTCCGCGGCTGCTGTAAGGGTGACTTCGCTTAGGTCACTCTGCTTGTCCAATTTTGGTTTGAAACGGGCACATAGGCGATCTCGGATGTGGAACAAGACACCGGCCCCTTTCTAGTTGATGGATATTGAGATCAGCGCCAATGTGAAGGATGGACAGTGCAGATCTACTGCACGCACTTGGAAGTGTTTGGCAGCTTTCCGCTTCCCATCTGGCGTCCATAAGCTTTGTGAGAGAGCCAGAGACGTATAGACAGCGGCGATGTTGAAAAGGACCGAGGCCTTCTCGAATTGTATGCAATTGGTGATCACTGCAATCCGTCTGTCAGTGGAAGTTCCCATTCAGCACTTCAACGATAGAGTTCTACTGACCTCTTCGTCCGGGGAAGAACGCCTCATACCAGTTGAAGTTCATGCGGATCTAGTAACATAAGTCAGGGCGCCAGTCGCCCGCAGATTAAGCAGTTTCGTACACACCTCATCCGTTTCAAATGGAAATTTGGGTTCTAGATACAGAAGTTGCGCATAGTAACTGAGCACATTAGTTGGATACTGGTCTACCATAATATAATAGGACTGACAATGCACTTACTGGGATAGTCGCTCAATACCGGCTTCAGATCGCTCAGGTGCGCCGGCATGAATTCGTAGTTCATTCAGCAAGTACCACTGGGAATCCGTCGGAAGCAGTAATCCCGTCGCCTGAAGCAGCTGAACTCTTATCCGTTCCTCCGCTTTTTCTAACTCAGTTCGGTCGATTCCCGAGTCGGAATCTGAGCTACCATTCGCAAGAGCATTCTCCATGTCTGCCAGCATCGCGGACGGTTGCGCCGTAGGGTCTGTATGCAGCTCCGCAACTTCCGTCACACTGCTAGAGCTACGATAGCTCCCGTACCCCCCATCAGCCTCCGATGCGTTGTCCCCGTCTTTTTCTGATACCCCATGTGGCTGCATATTCCGCACAGCCATGAGCATTGATGGAAGCAAAGCCCGCTTGAAGTCGAGAAACCTCATCGAGGATGGCTTCAGTCCCCCAATGGAGCCGCCTGGGACAGGTGACTTATTCTTTGCCTTCAACAATGACATGAAGCTCCCTCCAGAGGGAGATTCACCCGCATTGGCGGAGAGCAAGCGATCATTACGCTTGATAGGGATCGCAAGGAAGGTCGACACCTCGCCATTGAAGGAGATCTCTGGCCCATTTTGGAAAGGTATGCGATCTGAGAAAGGTGCTTCGAAGAATCTTGAGAATGAGGGATGGTTCACCCCCTCAATAACGGTCGAATCACTGCTTAACATGGCGACGCAGCTTCCTCAAAGTCTTTGCCGTCACGAATGATGGACAGAAAACGGACACCCCAAAATCGTTTCCGAGGAGACATGGTCCAATTTCATGCCGAGCTGTGCGTCATCTCATCGAGGCATTCCCTCATACTAATGTGGGCCCAGACGGGCCAACGCCATATGAGCCTGGAGTGCCAAACGGAGCAACGGGCAATTGGCAATGATTTGGATGGTAGCTGCGTGTGCAAAGCGGAGTTCGCAGGCGACCATTTTGACAGCCGCAGCGCCACAAGCGACGCCACTTGTGCGCCTCTGCCGTGCTTACGTTATCAAGCAAGACCTGGGGAGTTTCGGGAGTTCAACAGCTGCGGGTTTCCAGGCATTCACTCCCAACTTCAACATTGTGATTCCCATAATTTCAGTTTCAGGCGCCTACGAGGTTGAGCGTCAAGCCACTCACGCTGCTTCAAGTCGCTTCCTTTGATTCATGGCACGCCGATTTTGAGCGGGTCCGGGACAGGCGCTAGAAAAGTGATGCCACAATGCGCTTGCTTACGAACGGCCGGCCGCGTGAGAGTCAGCCTTTGGGTTCTCAACAGTCTATTCGCAAGCAATCACTCGTCGTATCAAGCGAAAGAGCTCTCCTCCTTGGGAACGCGAACCTTCCGTACTTCATCAACCTCCAAAGCGCGAGGCGACGGCCGCTGGGGACTCTCCCCTCTGTCCCGTCCAATTGAACCTCGCAAGTCATATTCACTCAAGGAGGAGCTGCACCGGCAAAAAGCGTTTCTGAGCGGAAATTTGGATTCCCTGAAAGTAAGAATGCATCCCCCTATCTTCGAACGTTTCCCGGTTGAGTAATGACTTTCACAAAAATAGGAACAACAAGTCGTCGCGCCATCAAGGACAGCTGTAGAATATGTACAGGAATGGGATGACAGTGCTTCAGCGCCGAAAGATAACTCTGTATCTGATGCTTCAGTGCCGACAGATGGCTCTGCTCAGGATGCACCAGCGCTGGAAGAATCCTCAACTTATAAAGCCTCGGTGCCGACAGATGACTCGGCTCAGCGTGCGGCAGCGCCGGAAGACTTGCCTACCCCCGATGATTCAGTGCCGACAGATAACTCGGCTCAGGATGCAACGGAGCCGGGAGATTCATCTGCCCATGATGCTTCAGTGTTAACAGATGACTCTGCTCGGGATGCATCAGCGCCGGAAGAGTCCTCTGCTCACGATACTTCTGGGCCGACGGATAGCTCTATTCAGGGTGCATCCGCGCTGACAGAATCCATCGCTTATGATGATTCAGTGCCGAAAAATACTCCTAACAGCGAAGATCTCTACTCGAAAGCAATCCGGGGCATTCCTACCGTATCTCCGGATCCAGACATCGCTAGCACCTCGGATTCAGGGGGCATCCCCGTGCAATCACACGAGATGCTCGCGGCGGATGGTGGTCCGACCGCGCAGGAGGAACGAGCGGATATGGATGTGACCGAGACGAAAACTGTGGCCAGCTCGGCCGTCCAGGCAGCAATCGACGACATGTTTTCAGGAACAATGCGAGGGGGCAAAGAACGGTTCTCCAACAGCTTCGACTCGGGCAATGCAGAAAGCCGAGCAATGCCCTGGAATCCGCTGCAATCCGAGCTGGTAATAGAGCGGAAAGGGCATGTGCCGGACGCAAAAGTTCCGCAGAAGCTTCCGGATGCGTCTATAGACGATGAATACCTAGATCCACTGAACAAGCTCCTCGCTGCCGCGTTGGAGGACGAGAGGGAGCTCCTGGAGATGCAGTCAAGAGAGGCTGCATCAGATGCGTCGTTGCCGGAATCCACCCTGCGGGAAAACACTGAAACTGCACATGCGCAGCATATGACGGAAAGCGAAGATGTGATGGACCCGACCGAGATTTTTGCCGAGACGATCGACACGACCGCGAAAGAGAACCCGCCCTTTGATGACGACGATTTGGAAGAACGGGACCTCCATATTGATGCGAGGAGAAGAGAATACGATGAAGATTCGGCACATCTCTCATCGAATAGCGTTGACGAATACCAAGGCAACGAGTCGGAGCTTCACAGGGAACGGGAATCACGCGACAGGCCTGAAGATTGGGACGAGGTTCCTCAGGAGTATCGTGGATCTGGGAGGGGTGATACTGATGCTGCTTCAGAGCACTACAGTCGCGAGGGCTATGGCGACCTCCAGCATATAGGAGATCGCAGCTACGACATCTACGAAGCAGCCGTAAACCCTACCGAGAGGCCAATCACAAGTGGCCGGTCCGTTCGTGGACGTCGCAGTAGGGGGAGCACAATCGATGATGGGCTAGCCCGTAACATCCTGGACTGGCGACATGAAATCACTGAAGAATTACAAAGCATCAAACAATCGCTTCGAATATTGGAAAATATGCCCCTTCCACAACCATCAGACGACCCGCAGTCTCGAGAGATTTCCGCGCAAGAGTCGATCGAATTCCAAACGTCCGTGTTGGAAGCGCTACAAACGATTCAACGTAAAGTTGACGCCTTGGAAGAGAAACAAATTGTCGACGCCAAAAAGGAAAAGGTATCAGACTCGCAAGTGGGCGATGAGAGCGCCCACGCAAGTGCCGAGCAATCAGTGATTATAGGCGGCGTTCATCAGGAAAGGCAGGTAACGACTCCTCAGGACGCCTCTTCCACAACGGGAGGCACCTCGTTGGCACAAAGGGCGAGGAATCGACTATCGCACTCGACAAGTCGTGTAGGCCTGTGGCTTGTTGACCTCGTCAGATCGGGAGGGAAAGCCACCTGGAGGGCAATGTATACGTTTGCGGACTTCGCGGGCGAGTCATTAACTTGGCTGCTTTTCCATCTGCGCTTGGGATTCACTCGGTTGCTAAGAGCTACGGCTGACGTTATCGCGCCTGCTCCTCAAAAACCCGAGCCGACGTCCACAGGTGCCGAAGTCGAAGCTCCCAAGACTGCGACGAAGCCGCGACGGAAGGAGAAGGAATTTAACACAGATCAACCACGACGGAAGGAGAAGGATTCCAACACAGATCTCGTGTTTGATGGCGCTTTGCCATCTCGATCCATTCTGGTCCCAGCGATCGTTGAAGCATTGGAAAGAACGGGTTTGATCCCAGGTCCCGCTCCCACTCGCGAAAAGTATTCACGCAAGGAAATAGAAGCAGCTGCCGACAACGTCCGGCACGTGGTCTCTGCACTTGATCGCATGGTGCCTGATATCGTCCGCGCGCTTTCAGAAGCAGGCATACGGCCGTACACCACCGAACCTTATCACATTTATGTGATGGATGATCCCGCCGTTGCGGATAAGTTCTTGCAAACGGTTATGGGGGCCGCCAAAAATCGCAGAAAGGAAAGCCTTCTTCGGGTAATCGGCGTGGATACGGAGACAGCCGCGCGACGCGGGGAGGGCATGAAAGGGCCACCCAGCCTGGTTCAGATTGCATTTGCGGATACGCTAGTCGGAATATTTCAGGTATGCGCAGATATCGACAGGCAGGGGAATTCCCAGTAGCTGACTCTCCAGTTCCAGGTACATCGCATGTGTGATCGGAGGGGCCAGGATCCGAATGGGAAACGGCTGGATCCTACACGCTTTCCGAACCTCCTTCGCTCTCTGTTGCAGTCCGGTCATATCATGAAAACTGGCGTCGGAGTCGTCAATGACCTCCTGAATCTGAAAGCGCATTATGGTTTGGTAAGTAGCAGCAATCGCCGGCGATGATTCACGTTGAGTTCTAATGCCTGTGTCAATAGAGAGTTGGCGGAATGTACATTGACACACACCTTCTGGCGGAGAGCATGGATCTTCCCGCCAGGAGTCTGCAAGCGCTCACCGCCCTCTTTTGCAACGAGGATCTGGATAAGACCAGGCGCTCAGGATCTTCAATAAGATGGGACTTGGGGCCGGCCGAGATGGGCTGGAGCTCGGTTCTCTATGCTGCAAACGATGCTCGGGCCAGCCTTATGGTGCTCAAGAATATGATTCGCCGACCGCATGCCCAGTCTGAGGGCGCACAGCGATTGAGGGAGACCCTCAAAGTCGCCCGAGACGACGACAGGCAAATGTCTTCGTCTTCGAAGGCGGACAAAGCAAAGGAATTGATCACGGACCCCGGACACGACTGGCATACGGTGTACCACTCCTATGCCAAAAATGGGCTGTTTTCCGGAGGTCGTTCAGAGTCCTGGCCTGAGGCGCAAAAATGGTTGGAGCGGAATGTCCGTGACTGGCGGGATCTCACGGTCGAGCAGAGGGAAGATTGTGCAAGGTCTTGCCTGGAGTTTTGGAAGCTCAGCAATCATATTGAAAGCGTTGGCAGAGGAAGATGGCGCGCGACTCCCATCAAAAAGGAGATTCAACCGCAATCACCAAGCCCATCGACGTCTAGCAGTACCTCGAGAAAAACTGGCCCAGAGCCAACGGTATCGCCGACAAAAAGCACGAAGGCGCTTGGAAGTCTTCAACAGAAGCCGGAGACCTCAGCGAAGTCGCCTGCGATTTCCAATCAACCGCCGGCAACAAAATCGCCTGGGACGTTTTACGAAAAGCCGGAGAGCTCAGCGAAGTCGGCTGAGAGGTTTTACGAAATGCTCAAGGTAGGGAAGTCGCCGGACGAATCCCCCCAAAAGCCGGAGAGTTCAGCAAAGTCACCGCCGATTCAAGCAATCAGTTACCAGCAATCGGAGGCTTTACCTGGAACGCCGCCGTCTGAACCAATCGGGTCCCCATCTACAACGTCCGAGATTTCCGAAAACTCCTCACCGGTTGAATCAGATGTAATCGAAAAGCCGGTAACTGATGCGGCATGCGGGGACTCTGTGCCATCTGAACCTGTTTCCACTTCTGACAAGAAGAACGATACGAACGAGTTCCCAGTAAAGGAGAATGTAGACGATTATCTCAAAACCCTGGGGGTCCTCACTAAGAAAGAAAGAAAGGCATTTCGAATGGCGTGGGAGGCGAAGGAAAAAGAAGTGGCAATTGCCAAAGGGAAGGCAATTGATGAAGCCAACGGAAATTCTGCTCCACCTGATTCTCTTCCCACTTCTGGGGAGAAGAAAGAACCGAACGAGTCCCCAGTAGCCGAGAGTGTAGACGAATATCTCAAAACCTTGGGGGCACTCTCTAAGAAACAAAGAAAGGCAGCTAAATTGGCGTGGGAGGCGGAAAGAAGCGCAGCAAATGCGAAGGCGGTTGCAGAAAGGAAGACCGAAATGAAGGCGGAGTCGGAAGCGAAAGCGATAAAGTTGAAGGCCACGGAAGCGAAAGCGGCGTTGCGAGCGAAGGCGAAGGAGGCGACCAAGTCTGCTACAGCCAACAACGCCCCTAAAGGTAAGAGAGTCTCCTCATTTCCGTTGTCAAAATCGACGCATCGTCTTACAGATCGGATTTGGCTGCAGGCTCTTCTCAAATTGGGGACAGCAATCCGGAGTCACAACACAAGAAAGTCGATATAGGAGCTCTGCATTTCAAATCGAAAGTTGTAAAGGTGCCAGCTGCGACAAAGGAACTGCTGGAGGAACTTTCTCATGATGCGGTCCTAAAGAGCTATGCTTCCATTGCGCAATTTGGAAAATCACGGAGGGCCTTGCGGTCGATCATCCAAAATTCCTTCATGGCCTTACGTAACGTGGATAAACAGCTGGCAGCCACATTGGCATCCCTGACCATGACCAAGCTGGAGGATTACGGCTATCTCCGCCGCGTGAACGATCACGAGTCGAAGTTGTTCTTTCTGACATTGCCCGATTCGGCGCTTCCCAGGCATCTGCTTGACGTCAGCGAAGCGAAACTATCGAAGATCATCGAGATGATACGTGTCGACGGTCCGTTAGACCGAACGAAGTGGGAGCAACACGTGAGGTCACGACTCGCCGCCAATCTCGGCGAATTTGCCAAGCCCGACAGATCGCTTTTAATCGCTGTTATATTGAGCCACGCCATCCGGTCCGGGTATATGAGATTCGACCCAGCGCACGTCACTTTGTCTTTCCCGCCCCAACCAATTGAGTCAGGAGCTTTGTTGGAGTCCACCATTGTCACTGCTCAAGATGTATCTCGGGGAGAAAACGGAAGCGGAAAAACGACGGATGCAGGTAACAGCATTGCTGACCGGGAAACGGACGCTGTCCCGGAGGAAACGACCGCTTCAACATCTGCTGAGAATGCAACGAAAGGTACAGCCCGCGAACGCAGACGCGCTATGAGTCGCGAACGCAGACGCGCTAAAAAGGAGACAGGGGTGGTTGCGGACCCAGCTGGGGAGGGAATTGGGAGCGCAGATGAAGCCGGGGCCTCTGTCACCCAAAGCGAAGACCAAATCAACAATGGAATAACTCCAAAACCCCTCCCTGATGATAATAATCAGGTGCCTTGGTGGGAAACGCTGCGCTACGAAAAAACCTCTTCCAGCGGAGGCAACAACTCAGCGAAACAATTAGAGGCCGTAGGCGGGGATCACTCAAAGGCCGATGCTGAAGAGTGGATAACAGGAGGCCCGCACATCAGCGAAACAGCGCTAAAGAGCTCGGATGATGGGCTTGCCGCTGTCTTTGATACGGCATTAGCGGCCTCGAGCGCACACCTCTTGTCCACGAAGGAGATTTCAGTTGCGTCCTTGGAAGGTACCGAGGCAAGCACGGGAACTTCTGATATGTCGTCGGAATCCTCGGCCAGCTCGCGAACCAGCTTGTCCACCGAGGAGACTGCAGTCGCGTCCTCGGAAGTTACCGAGACGAGCACGGGAACTTCTGATATGTCGTCGGAATCCTCGGCCAGCTCGCGGACCAGCATGGGCACAGAGGATCAGCAGCAGGAGGAGATCATGCAAACGGCCGGATCAGAAAGTGCTTCGGACAAGACCGATGATGCTACCGAAGTGTCCACGGGCGGGAACAGTCTGGTTTCAGATGGAGCTCCGACGCTGCAAGATGCGGCTGACCCCGAGGTAGCATCCGATTCCGAAGTGACGCCGAATGTCGATGGGTCAGAGGGAAGAATCTCTGCAGCAAATGTGGAGGCCCAAATTCCATTGGACGTAGCCGACGCCACCAGCAAGGCTACTGAGCGCGAAACGCAAGCAGAGCCACCGTCTGTCTCAACGGAGACGCGTGAAACGGTTTCGATTGCAGGCGACAAGGAAGATGATAGGCTTACAACGAACACCACAGTCGTGGTATCAGAAGTGGCAAGTTCCGACACCGTAGCAAAAGCCCTTGAGACGGAAAAGGAGGAAAAGAGTGCACCTTCGCCTGCGAAAAGCGGGAGCTACAAAGGCCTGAACAAGCAGGACCGTCTTAAAAACAAGCTTCGAAACTTGCTGAAATTTTCTTCGAAGAAGTGAAGATCGGCTTTGTAAATAGTTTATCGCTTTATAGACATTCGATCGGACGGTCTGCACACGCAAGCTTTCTAACTGCAGAGAGGAAAAAGGGTTCGGCACTATAAAAGGAAGCTGTGGCTGAAACAGGTTGTTTTACAACACTCCCTCTCAGACTGCAGATCGAATTCAATTGCCGTCGCAGTCGCAGTCGCCGTCGCCATTGCTCCGCATTCTGATCTCATGAACGTTCCGCTCTCAACTTCCGTGATCGCTTGAGTCCAGCGAGGAATAGTCGCCGGACTCGCGGTTCGCTCTTCAAGTCACCTTCAAGTCACGATCGCTCGAGTCCAGCGACGAATAGTCGCCGGGCTCGCGAGTCGTTCTCTCGACTTCCCAATCGCTTGAGGTGTAGCCTGGATCTGGGCACTCGCAGTACGCTATCAACTTCCTCCATCGCCTCGCCGTCGTAGTCGTGGATGCCTCGGTAAAAACGCTAGGGGCAGTCTCGCGGTACGCTCTCTCGCCTTCCCAATCGCTTCGCTGTCATAGTCACTCTGCCGCCGAACACGTACATAGCAATAGCAATAGGTCTATGATACAGAAATCGAACAGCTTCTTTGAATGTTGAATGTTGGCAGGTTTCCCTTGCGTACCCGAGCGTTTCTTATATATGGAATCGCAGCACATATAGTTCCTTTCCCTTTCCTAGCCCAGCCCATCTGGCCAGACCATCCGCCCTTCAAAATGTACCCAATATCCGGCTATCACGGCAATCACCTCGAGGCAATTCCACATCCCATCCTTTACACGCGTGTAAAAAACGTGGGGATCCTCACTCCCAATTACATGTACCAACCTTCCTTCCCAACCCCCTTTCTTGGCACTCTACTCCTTCAGCCCCCTTCCCTCCCAACGCAATTATTGTGAGCAGTAAGCATCCCCTCTTCAGCTTCAACCACCACCAGGTAACAACCGCAATTCCTCACCGTTCTCAGCTTCATTACCACAGCACTAACACAGCCATCACGGCAATCACCTGCATACACCTCATCTTTAGCAGGCACGCGGCACGCAAAAGGCATAGCACAGCCAACATGTCATCACACCAGGCGCTCCAGGGGCACTCGTGGTGTGGCATCTTTACTGGAGCAACCACACCACGGCGGAAGAGGAGGAAGGTTGCTCCGGTTACCCCGCGGTTGCCCATACGTCTGCCAACTGTGCAGACACCTTTGCAAACCCAACGATTCGAGTTCCCACCGTCTGTCCAACGCCACTTGCCCCAAGCAATTGCAGACATGGTTGGCGAGAGTTCCGGCGATGAAGACGGGCAGCAGCAGCAGCAGCAGCAGCAACAGCAGCGAGGGCTCTCACCCGCGGACAGGGGTCTGCAGCGTCCGTTGAACCTCCCCGCTCCCATCCCTTTCCGTTTTCCCAGCACACCGGGTGGATCCCTGGTGCTTGAACCCCCGCCTCCACCACCAGTTCAGCGACCCCGCCCGCAGACGCATGCCAGCACGAAGGTTTCGCTTCACCGAATCATCCATAATCAAGCTCAAAGGGAGCAAAGGGAGCGCCTGACGGCATTCATCGGCAATGTTCACATCCTTGCGCGCCACACCAGCTTTTTTCTCAAGTACTACCTTGGTGAGTTTTTGAGGTACACTGCGCTGTATCTTTCCCATGAAACAACGCCCTGACTTACTGCGTCTGCCCACCACAGCTGATCATCCTCTACACGATTTCCCGGACATCACCGACAAGCACATCAGTGTGGTGTTTGAGCTGCTCAACAATCCAGGCTACAATGGCAATCCGGTCATCGCGCAAGAGTTGCGTCCATGGGTTCAAGACTACTGTGATGTTCACGGATTCGCCCCCATCCGCATGCGGAATTGCCAACAGACCGCAGCGTACACGGCTACCAGCATCTTCACAAACCTCAAAGTCAATGTACAAGAGCATTTCATGCAAATGTTTCTGCGCTACATCAATGGGAGGCTTGGTTTAAAGCAAGTCGAACGGCATCTCCGGAGAGCGCAGCGGCGACACTATTATCGTCGTGTCCGTCAATTTACAAAGTACGCGACGTTTGAAGAGTACCCAACTGAAGAGGAGCTTGAGCGCCTCACACGACTTGAGCGGACCGTCCTGGACGAGTTATGGGCTCTGTTTCCTCCCCAGGATGAGCCCCTTGCGTACAGCCTTGCAGTGGACGCAATGCCATATGTAGGTAAGTTGCATCCTGTATATTTACCCCCCCCCCCCAACTCGTGCGTGGCTGCGCAGCGACGTGAGCAAGGCGCTCGGTACGCCGACGCCCAGTGGCTGCCCGCCGGGACCCCGGCCGACGTGGTTCGCGATGCGCTGTTGGCGCTGGGCGCCCGCACGCTGGGCTCCTGCGGCCCCCCCCCCCCGGGGCCTTGACGACGCTGCCAGTGCGCACACAGCGGGCCCAGGGCGCGACCGACGCTCTTGCCCACCGCCATGGCGTCAACGTAACCAGCGCCGCCGACGTGTTCGCCGCGCGCCGAACATAACGCGAAACCCCCCCCCCCCTCCTGCGGTGCCCTCTTTTGTCTAATCATGGTCTGCACCTGCCTAGCCTCATCACAGGTGCCTACTGTGAGCTCTCGCGCCTCTATGAGCGCTGTGGAATGCGCCTGTTTTCCGCTATCCCGCTGCGCAAATCTCGAATCCAGTCATCTGTTCGGATCGACACGCTGATCCTAGGCACTCATATCCTGCATGTTGGCCAACGTCGCATGGGGAAACTCACTGATGAACGCAAGCAGGAGCTGTGGGGGCAGTTTCTCAATGTGAATGTAAGTCTGTATCCTTTGATGAAGAGGCGCGCAAAGGTTGGGTGGATGGCGAGAAAGCCGGTGAGGATGCAGTCGATGTAGGATTGCGGGATCGGTGTGCATGGGGTTGGTGTGTGCGGGGCCGCCGGTCGCGTGCACGCGCTTGTGCGGGACAACGGGGGCGGGAGCTCGTACACCCACACGACGACGGGCGCGGCGGGGGATGTGGTTGTGGTTTCAAACGGGTTTGAGATGGTGGGTGGAGATGGCGGGGTGTTGAAGTGGAGGATCTTGATGTCCTCCACTCTGACCGTTCCGCAGACGTAGTCCTTCTTGCGCTCGTTGAGCATCCGGAGCTCGGTGTTGGGGTCGGACAGGGGGATCAGGACGCCGTTGCATCGGGCGGTGGGGGAGTCGGGGATGCGGTGGACGCCGACGGCGGTGTAGGATTTGCGGGCGCATTTGTAGGACCAGGAGCGGTGCAGGCCGCGGACGACGGCGGGGATGGCGTGGGTGGGTGTGCGGACGGTGCGGAGGCGCGAGTGCGGGTTGATGAGGGTGCGGCTCTTATTTCAATCACCTTGCTGAATGACGCATTATAGGACAAGGTCTTCAAACATCGAGAGAAGCTTGGTCTCAAATTTGATGGGTCAATCAGCACAAACGGGTATTCCGCTACCATCTACCTCAAGAAGCCAGGGCTCAAGTACGGCCATCGCGCTCGGAAGCGCAGCAAAGCCCAAATGCAGGAAGAAGTCAAGCAGCTGTATTTTGAGGACCACATCGCCAAACTAAGGGAGGCTCCAAACATCGTCTGCATTGATCCGGGCAAGCGTGACCTCTTGTTCTGTCGAGACATCAAAAAGGAGCGGTCCATTTCGGTACGTTTCAGTTGATTACTACTGCCCTGCTGTCCCCGCTACCCCCCCCCCCCCCGTCTCTGCCCGCCAGCCCCCCGTCTCTGCCCGCCAGCCCCCGTCTCTGCCCGCCAGCCCCCCGTCTCCGCCCGCCAGCCCCCCGTCTCCGCCCGCCAGCCCCCCGTCTCCACCCGCCAGCCCCCCATCTCCACCAGCCAGCCCCCCGGTCTCCACCCGCCAGCCCCCCGTCTCCGCCCGCCAGTCCCCCTGTCTCCTGCCATCCCCGTTGCGGCGACATTCCGTTGCAGCGTCCTCACAATGCACCACCCCATATCAGATACACATCCAATCAACGGGCGGTCGAGACAAAGTCTCGGTACTTTCAAAGAGACATGAGAGAGCGAAAGATCAATGCCGGCATCGCTGAGATGGAATCACATATTCCATCGCACAAGAGCATGAACATCGAGGCGTTCTCAGCGTTCATCGTGGATTACGAACATGCGGGTATGATGTTCCACTTCAACTTTGATTTTCAACTTTGGTAATACATGGGCTGACATCCATATCCCAGATCCCGCCCTGGATGAGTTTTACCAGGATGAGATTCATGTGGCTCGCAGATTCAAGGCGTTCTCACTGCGGCAAAAGTCTGAGAGCAAGCTCATCAAGAACATGCGACGCCTGTATGGAAAGCATTTTGCGGCCATCTTGGGTGATTGGAGCGACGCTGGAAAGACCATGCGCTTTCAGGAGTCATCAAAGACCAAGGGGTGAGTGGCCATCATTGTTTTTTATGTATTATAATATGCCAACTCATCATGGAAATCAGATTCCGCACACTCTTTGCAAGAAACAGCATTCCATGCTACTTGCTAGATGAGTATCGAACGTCTTCCGTGTGCCCAGACTGCCACGGGCGTGTGAGGAAAAACATCCGACAGCGGCTGTCATCTCGGCCGTGGCAAGCTAGAAAGGGAAGAATGGAATTTGTCCATGAATTGGTGGGTTGCGCCAACCCCGAATGTATCAACCAAGACTGGACACCATTTGAGATTCCTGGAAGAAGACAACCACTATGACTACGGATGAAAGTGCACAATCGGGACGTCCTAAGCACCAAGAATTTCCTCTGGATTGTGCGTTCGGTGGTGTTTGGCATTGATGGCCGCAGACCAGACGCATTCTCCCGTAACCGGTAGTCTAGAGTCTTCACCCCATCCCATTTTCCGTGGTGGTTATCTGCCATCCACGTCATTGTACCTCTGCCGGAGGCATCGCCGATGATGGCAACTTGTAGAGATAGGGCTTTATTTCACTTATTTCATTTTGCGACGTACATGATTATTCCGTACTATACATAGTAATCTTATTTTTCTGCATAGAAGTCTATGTGACACCATTACGCCCTCGCATCACAGAAGTAAGCATCGCGATCACATTTTACCTACTACACCGGGGTATTTCAGGTCTATGCGGCGCAGAAGCCACTCCCCGTGCTTTGCTCGTAAATGCGACAGTAAAGCCTCTCTTTCCCCTATCAACCCCTGTGATTGCAGCATGCCCAACAATGTTCCATAAGTCTTGTGGCCAGGAGTGGGCATCGCCGGTGGTACGCCGGTTTCGCGGGTGACCAGTTCGATCGCTCGGGCATGCTGTCCATTACGCAACAGGCATTCGACGTAACTCGCAAGATGATTCTCTTCAAGCTTGCGAGATGACATGGAAACCCGACTCCACAGCACATCTGCCCGGTCAACCCAGCCCGCAAATCCGCAAAGATCGAGAAGGATCGACAGCAGCGAGCCTGAGTGTAAGGCCAGGTCGTCCATAGGCGTCCGCCGTATCTGCAAAGCCGCGACGTGTGCGCTGATGGGTTGTTCGCCAAGCGCAGTCGCCCAGACGCCCCATCCTTTGTGGAAAATCTGCTCTTTCTGGCCAACCATGGAGCGCCAGATGTCCCATCCTTCTTCGTGTCGATTCGAGTGAGCTAATGCGTTGATCAACTGCGTATAGGTTGCGACGTTTGGCTCGACGCCTTTCGCGCGCATTTGTTCTACAACGCTCAAAACGTTTTTGTGGTCGACCCGTTGCCAATATGCGATGAAGGGGTTGAAGACGGCCGGATCAAGTGTCACCCCGTCCTTCGCCGCCGAATCCAGGAAACGATTGGCGAAGTCAAGATGCCCAGCCGCAAGAAGGGCATTGACAACCCTACTGACTGCATTGGCGTCAAGTCGGATGTCCTCCATCGATGCCTTTTGCTTAACCTCCTCCACTTTCGCAAAGTCCCCCGCTCTGGCGTAAACTTCAAATAAAGGGCTGTAACTATAGATATCAGGCTTCAAATCGGCCGAGCGGAGTAGTGCGAACCAGGTCTCCACTCCAGCAACATCTCCCTTCGCAGCATGCGCATCGAGCACGCGATTGTACAAGGGAAGTACGAGCGTCGGAAAGCGCGCATCGCGTTGGAGTCGGGGGTATCCGGGTTCTGATCCGACAAGTTTGGAAAGGTAACGATGCATTTCCTTTATATTGCCCGAAGTCGCGTTTCCTTTCCAAAGCGCCTCCCAGGTTGTCTGATCTGCTTCAACTCCAGCAGTTTTCATCTCGTCGAGTAATCGATCGACCGACTTGACATCGCTGATACGGGCATATGCTGACAGCATCGTGTTCCACGTTGTGAGGGTAGGCTTGACACCTATTTTCCGCATGTCCTCATAAACATCCATCATCCCTTCGATGTTTTTGTTCGCGGCGAATGCCGCCATGACAGCGGTCATGACCTGAACATCGGGTTCGATGCCGGCTGCCTTCATTTCCCGATATAAGAAATGCGCTCGTGCAACATCCTTTTGTCTCGCCGCTGCCGTGATAAGTATTGTGTAGAGGACGGTGTTGAAGGGTAGGCCGGCGGCTCTCTGTTCTTGTTCCAGAGAAAACATGGCAGAATATTGTTCGTGCTTGAGGTGATAGGATAGGAACAAACCATAAATGAATTCATTGGGGAGAACATTGGCACGCGTCATCTTGTCTAGAATCATCCGTGCACGATCGAGATTTCCAGCGTCCAACAAGGCTTTGATCAGCATGCCGTAGGTCTGCTTAGGAAAAGGTCCGAGCTCGTTCTGGGCGTCGTGTAGGTCCCGAATAGCCCTCTCCAAGGAATTTACTTCACCTTGCCGGATACGAAGGGCGATGCGGCTGGTATATAGAGCGTGATCGGGATAGATGCCATCCTGTCTGAGGCAACTCCAGTATCCCCGAAATAATTCGACTTCCTTCGCCTCGGCAAGCGAACGCATCAACACTTGGTATGTGACAATGTCTGGCTTGACAACAGGATCCGTCGCCTTCCGCATTTCCTTTACAAGCTTCGCTGCTTCCTTGGCTTTCGAATTGGCGACAAGACTCTTCAAAAAACGATTCATCACATCGGTCGGGGCCAGCACATTCAAATCTTTCAATTGTGAAAGAAAATCCCTTAGGGCCTTCTCATCTTCACGGCGACACCGCAACGATAGGGAGGTCAAAGCCTTGATAAACGCCTCTGGCGTACCAATCGCCTTTGCTCCCCGCCCCTTGAGATATGCCGTGGCCGCTCGAAGGTTCTTCTCGATAAGCACGTCAATCAACAAGTCCTTGAATTTCGTCGAGAAATCCTCCTCTGGTCCCAGAGTTGATCTGTAGGTTGACACTGCGTCGCGAAGCTCTTGTCGATCCAGTAACGATGAAATGAAACCTCGTAACATAGCCGTGGACTCCATCGAAACCTCCACATCATCCGAGACCAGCCTGAATACGTCCGTGGGTCCCAGGTTGATGTGGATTGCTTGCGCTATGCAGTAGTCCAATAAGTACCGGTTTCGCTCACGAATCGCCAAAGCGCCTATAGCTGGCAAAGTCACTGGTGCAGCGTTGACATGACGACGAGTGAGCTCTCGGATCGCAAATTCAGCTTGGCCGATATCGTTGTTCTTCAGAGCCGCAGCAAGTAGTCGCCGAAGATTTTCCCGAGTTTGTGGGACAGAAGGGTCCGTCACTTTGAGAGCCCTGCCGTCAACGAGGGTCACAAGCCAGTCTTCAAACTGGCCTCCGCGGGTCTGATGCAGCTTCATCCAGTCTTGAGCTGTCGTGGCGTCGATGAGGTTCCCGAAACGTCCAAGTCGATTGTAGCAACGCTGCCAGCTCTTCGAATCATCAAGTTTACTGTACATCCTCAAAGCGTGGATACATTGTTCGAACTGTACACTCTCCGACAGCATATCCAGAGTATCTTCTACTTCCTTCACCATGTCACACGACGCATTAGCTCGAAGTAGCAATGTGTATGAGGGAAAGTCAAAGAATATTCCCATGGCCATCACTCTCGTCTTGAAAGGCTCCACATATCCAATAAGCTTCCGTCGAACGAACATGTTCAAAATAGCGGACACTTCCGCAAGGGTAAGAGAATTCCCGCAATCGATCATTTGATCCAAAAACGAAATAAGCTGTTCGGGTTCTCCAATCGCGGCGTAAAGTTTAGCTGTCAGGCACTGCAACTGGGGCGTGACACCGTAATCCCCGCATCGTTGCATTGAGTCCAGTAGGGTCTGAGCCCCTGCAAGGTCGGGATAGAGGCGACACAATTTTACGGCACGGTCCAAAATTGCTAAAGTGGCCCGAGGCTCAATCTCCATCATGTGTGGAAGCAATGCTACCAGACCCTTTAAACGCCTCCGTGTTAGGGCATATTGGCCGAGCTCCTTCAGCTGCTTCCAACCGATGCTTATATTCTTGCTTTTCAATGCCGCTATCGTTGGGTCGATCTTCTGCTCATCTGTTGCTACATGCAACTTCAAAAGCTGCACGTAAATTTCCGTTGGCACGCGGCCTTCTGCTTCATTGATCCGCGCGATCCAAGTTTCGGCGGCCTCCACATCCGTCTTGTACAGAGCCATGCGGACCATCAGGGTACAGGTCTGAAGGTTGGGCTTGCCTCCCACCTCGAGCACCCCGAACACTCGTTGCGCATCCGACGTCTGGTGATGATTGAGATATATCTCAATGGCAAGGTTGTACTCATCGACGAGATCGGCTGGATCAAGATGCGACCATGTGGCGATGACTCTGCACAAATCGGGGAGTTTCCGCGAAATCGAATCTGGAGCTTTTGCCAAAACCTTCAGAGATTGTTCATGGAAGCGCAATAAGAAAAGTCGTAGGTCCTGCTGAGATAGTTGCGTCTGCAGATCTGGCAGTTTCGTTATTTTACGAAAGGCGCCCCAGCAAGTGAGAAGATCCTGAGCGGAGACCAATGTTTGACGAAAAGCCTTGATCGGATCTTGCTGCAAAGGTCCTATGGCGTCGATTACTTCTGAAGGGGCGGATGAGGAAGCGGCATCTTCGGCTGCTACTTCTGACGGGGCCGAGGAGGAAGCAACGTTTTCGGCTGTCACTTCTGGAGGGGCGGATGAAGAAGCGACACCTTCGACTGGTAGGGCGGCGGAGGAGGAAGCGACATCGTCGGCTGTCGCGGTGGTAGGCGCAATGGCGTTCTCAGTCTCGGCAGGAACGGCATGGACAGAGTGATACCTTCGCTGGCATCGGGGAGCTATGTTCCGCGCACACAGGTATAGCAGCATGTTGCATAGCAACTTCTGCGAAACTGCCAAGTTCCTTTCCGAGCGTCTTGTCGCCGCATGGCTGTTTGTGGTCAATTTCCGGTTCTTGGGTACCGGCGGACCCCCTTTATAAAGGCACCGAAAGTGCCAGCGGTAAGAGGGTGACATCCCGTTCCTATTGATCTATGAAAAACGGGCGCATCCACTTCAGCCGCCTCTACTGTGATTGCCTCAGGGTCGCCTTCCCGTGGGCACTTGCGAAATAGTGAAGGCAGCGAAGCAGAGCGAAGTGAGAGCGAAGCTGGAAAGTCAGCAAAATAAAGCCAACCGCGTCTTTTGCCGTCCCTTTCCCCTGCCAAGATGCCAAGCAAGACCAAGCGGCACAAAGAATGACCTCCCCTTGCACGACGGGATCACCTGAACTGAGAGGATTGCTGGGACACAAACGCTGGAACAACAACGACAACCACCGAGAAATCACATCGTCACCTCCGCCTGGACTATGGGACGTTATGGAGAGATCATCAACCGAAGGCCGCCGAAGAGATGCGCGTGCAGCGTACCACCCCTTTTTGCCCGAATTGTGCCTTCCTGAGAATGACGAGCTTAGAGCTTAAGCAACGGAGTCCGGAACTGTCCGGAAAGCGCATGGAGGATTCTATAGCGGGAGGTTTCAAACTCGCTGAGGAAACACAGTAGGGCATTTCAGGAGAAGTTTATGACCAAGGAGAGAATAGCCGTGGAGCTGCCTTCAGCGTATGCTCTCACTTGGGCCATCATCCTCGATCTCTGATGAGTACACGATCGCATACACCTTGAATAGCAGCGCGCGCGGGCCTTCATCCTGGGACATGTCGCCACCATTACAATCCGCGCTCTCCGCTCATCAACAGCGCATCCCACGCACAAAAAGACCGACACCGGGATTTCTCCCCTTGATGGTGGAAGAGGAATGCGCGACATTTTCTGGACGTCACCGGCCCACAGACGTGTGCGATCCTGTGGGAGGGACGACGGGACAAGATTTTAAGCGTCCCAAACCCACCGAGATTCTTCACATTTGCCGACCGTTCCTCAACCCCCACTTCGACGAGATCTGTCACGGAGTCTTGTTCCCGGCTTGCGAACGGTCAATTTTGCTTGGACCGCCTTCGTTCGTCCATAATGAGAGATCGTTCCTTCGCAGATAATGCCGCTATTTATTGAAAAGCGAGGCCGCATTCACACGCGCAATTGGACTAGAAGGCAGCTAAATTCTTTGCCATGAGGCATTTGGGGTTGTATTGGGTGGAGACCCATGTCCGCGCATACGTCCCGTGGCCGTTTGGGGGCGAACGCGAGCAGCCCACCGACCGGCGCTGTTTCTATTATTATCACAGCTCGGGGAGTGGAACAAAGGAAGCGCCCATGACATTACGACCGGTGTACCCTTCTCAAAACACACACGTATATGTAGAGTTTATGGCACGAAATACAAATCAGAATCAGCGCAATCGCTCTAAAGTCTCCGTAAGCCCACAGATGCGTCCCGCGGCCTCCCGTAGCTGCAACAATCGTTCCACACGTTTTGCCAGCTTTTCGTTGACTTGGACAGATGTGCCCAGGCGTTTCGAGTCAGGGCCTCTGACAGACGATGTGGTTGCGTGTGCATCCTCAGACCCTCGCCAAATGATCTCGACTACGCCGTCGCACGCATCAAAGTCCACGTACATGCGGTAGTCCGCATTCACAAAGGCTCCACCATGACAGGCAAATCCATCCGCCTTGCTTTTCAGCTTGCCCGTCTTGTTCGAGACTGGGAACCAGATTCCGTATGTGAATTTTGATTGATCGTTATCACGTTGGAACTTAGTGGCACAGTCATCCCATGTTGCGGTGATGTTGCTGGCAAAAGAGTCGTCTGCGACGAGGTCCCCAAACTGCGCTTGTGGAATACTAGACACGCGTAGTTCCTTTGCCCGGTTTTTGATGCGAGACAAGACGTAAGGCGAAAGCTCATTGAGAAAGTCTATATAATGCTCCTCAATCTTCGGCGACTCAGCTTGTATGTTGCCGCTGAGTTGTTGCTGGCGGCCCAGGTGGAGCGCGATCTCCTCGAAACGGTCCCTGTCAACCGCTGACATATCCGCAAACGGACGAAACCTTGCCACACAGACAATCTCATCCGTTGCGCGGTCGGCTACAACAACGGTGTTCCTATGCAGACGGGTGTACGGGTGATCGTGATCAACTCCCCCAGTATATTGCTCGAGGAAGTCTTCGTGCGTAAGGTGCTTTCCGAACGGATGCGGGTTGGTTTGCTGCTCGGTCTTTCTTGTTGTCCACATTATGTACGCACTGTCGTTGGAACCTTAGGCCACACACAACAGTTGGTCAGCTGCGTTGTAAGTTGAGAAGAGACGGTCTGACAGCATAATGCGACGAACCTTGGTGAACACTTCTATGCTCAGTTCCAGCCTCAGTATCACCCGCCGTCTTCAATAGCTCCCGCATGTGTTCATGCTGTTTGAGTTTGTGCTGTTGGTTTCTTGCCTTGGAAGCTTTCCTGGAGGCTTTGGAACGTCGTGCCGGCTTTGACTTCGACACGTTCATGGTGATTTGCCTGAGGAATGGAGTGTACGTGAGTTAGTTGAGGCGAAGTAGGCAGGTCGTCATGTGGGCATGGGAGTGGGTTTTCGAGGTAGAATGGCGGCGAGGTAGAATGGTTGCAAACGAACCGCGAGGCCGCCCCACTGCAGGCTGCCTCATGCGATCGATACCGTCAGGTGTACCGCGAAGTCGCGAGCATATCGCGAGGCCGCCCAATGCAGGCTGCCTCAAGCGGTCGGCGGTAATGTCGAAGAGTGTCGCGGCATTTCAATCTCACCTAGAGTGTTGCGAACCCGACCCTGCTCCTCTGATAGCACGCCGAAATCGCAGCAGCCAGTATGCCCTCTGAATTACCAGTGCCGCTTTCGTGCGGCGGTGAAGAGTCTCGGCATCATGATCCTCACGAGCACGGTCACGGCCGCGGTCGCGGTCAGGGGAAATCTCTCGCTTCACCTTGGCAAGCGGTGTCTGTCTGTTGTTGGGCCTATGAGTTCTTTTGCGTTTTCGCCGGTTGGTGTCCATTCTCAGGCTCTGTGCAGAGTGTGTGAATCGATCTCTTAAGTGTGATGATCGAAAACGACCGCTTCCGTTCGCACAATGCCCACCCAAGAAGAAGCTTGTGATGTTGTCGCAAAAAGCTGTTGCCCCCCTCCAATTGAAATCAAAACCTGTCACTCACGTGATTTGGCGTCGCTGATTATTTCAGAGGGGGGGGGGTGGGGGGGGCGCAGCCATATGGAGCCAAGACGCTTCTGGCTTCTCGCGTCATCCAATTTCCATCACGAACGCCCATCGCCCGACGAACACGAACAAGCGCCAAAAATTTTTGTGCGTTTCAAAATCACGTTCAAGAATCAAGATCGATTTGTTGGCGCTCGCTGGGGGACCGGCCGCTGCTGAGAGCCAACGTCGCCCAACCGGTCCAAATTTTTCCTGGTTGGTCTTTTATCGGTCATGAGAGCACAGAGATATCTCCCATAAACTCCGCTGCGGGGCTTCTCCATTGGTCTCGCCGCTCTCGCCACGCATGGAAGGATACTCTTTCACGACCGGTTGGACGAAGAAATAAGACGTATGGTGATGATGATGGACTCCGAGTCACGGTTTTTAGCCGATCCGGCGGGTGGCGCCTGTGGATATTATGATATACCTGGAAATTTCTCAAATGGATTTCCGTGCCGCTGACATGCTGGAGGTGATATTGGGGTATGTTGCAGAACTCGGGCGTCTCGTACAAAAAGGACGACCGAGCCCGCTTCCCCTTGTTTGCCCGTTTCATCCCAACCCGAGTTACTCATATACTTAGACTATACCCGTCTTAGATCCTCATTATGGTCGCAATCAAGTCCGTGGGTGCCTTCGTCGGCTCCGTGATGCTGTTGAGCAGCGTCGCGGCCGCCCCTTACCGGTTCGAAGCCGAAGCTGGCAACGGCGTTGCCGTCGTGCGTCGCTATGCCGGTGATGCTCCTACCACCACGTACGACGCTCCCCAACAGACCGACGGACCCGAGCCTGGTCAGGACGATGACCATCAGCAGCAGCAGGATGGCGATCACCAGCAGCACCAGGATGACGAGACCACCAGTGTCGCGCACCCTGAGCCCACCGAGACTGGCGACCACCAGCAGCACCAGGATGACGAGACCACCAGCGTCGCGCACCCTGAGCCCACCGAGACTGGCGACCACCAGCAGCACCAGGATGATGAGACCACCACCACCGACTCTCCTGAGCCTACCGAGACTGGCGACCACCAGCAGCACCAAGATGATGAGACCACCACCACTGCCTCCCCTGAGCCCACGGAGACTGGCGATCACCAGCAACATCAAGATGATGAGACAACCACCACTGCCTCCCCTGAGCCCACCGAGACTGGCGATCACCAGCAGCACCAGGATGATGAGACCACCACCACCGACTCTCCTGAGCCCACCGAGACTGGCGATCACCAGCAGCACCAGGATGATGAGACGACCAGCACGTCCATCGTTGTCCCCACCACGACGTCCTGCACGGACAAGCCTACCGAGACCCCTGAGCCTACGGTCGAGCCCACCGAGACTCCTGAACCTACCGTTGAGCCCACCGAGACTCCTGAGCCCACTGTCGAGCCCACCGAGACTCCTGAGCCCACTGTCGAGCCCACCGAGACCCCTGAGCCTACCGTAGAGCCCACCGAGACTCCCGAGCCCACTGAAGAGCCCTCTGAAACGTGCACGGAGGAGCCTACTGAGACCCCTGAGCCTACGGATGTCCCTGAACCTACCGAAGAGCCTACTGAGACTCCTGAGCCTACCGATGTTCCCGAGCCCACTGAAACCTGCACAGATGATGAGCCCACCGAGACTCCTGAGCCCACCGAAACTTGCACGGACGATGAGCCCACTGAAACTCCGGAGCCCACTGAAGTTCCCGAGCCCACCGAAACCTGCACCGACGACGAGCCAACCGAGACGCCCGAGCCTACCGATCCCGTCCCCACCAGCGAGCCCGTGCCGGAACCCACCGACGTTCCGACTCTCCCTCCCGTCACTGACGAGCCAGTGACCTACACCTACACGGAGACTTCCTCCCCGGCCCCCGGCCCCACCGACGGCCCCATTTACTCTGCTGCCAAGCGCACTGGCATCGTTGGTCTCTCCGTCGCCGGTGTTGCCGGTGTTGCCGCCTTCTTCCTGTTCTAGATTATAGAGATTGCACATTAGTTGTTTGGCGTAATTTCCTCCCCTTCTGTTACAAGTCGCCGTTTATTGGAACCCATAGAAGTACCTTGTTTAGGGCTGTGCCCGACATAGAAGGGTTCTTGCCTATATAGCAAATATACCAGTACCTAATACTCTACCTTGTCGAGTGCCCAGCGCTTCAAGTCTGTGGTCCGTCCAAGAACCCCCCAAACCGTCCAGACTTGGCAAATGAGCATGTCGCAACGGAATACAGCGGGCGAAGCAACGGTTGGACGTAACTTTTCAAGAGTAGGTAAAACGAATGCAACGTGATAGCACCCCGATATCTGTTATCGCTGTTCTTCCCTCGCCTTCAAAGTTCAGCGACTTCCCTCGCAAAAGCGGCGCTGTTCGATAGTTGTGGACCGAGAACAATCCGAGTTTCGATTCCACTTTGATTAGCGCGCTCCTGGCCGATTCTCCCCCGGGTGCTAATCCGTTTTGATTAGCATGGGCGCCAAAACACGCGCAGGTTGCTTATCTGTGCATCTCAGTGCTCCGGACACTCCCTCTCCTTTTCGAGGACGTCTTTTTCCCTGAGAGTCCTGTCCTGTTTTCGTCCCTTACATGGCCATCGCTCTTGGAAACTCAGGGCACTGCGGTCTACCGCCCGCTAACCCGCATAGACCATACGGAAAGCTTCGTTCCGGCGCCCAAGTATATTGCACGAAAGAGGGGCCGCGACTTCACACCTGTCGACGAAACTGGCAGTCTCAGTCTCTCGACCAATTATAGAGCGATCCACTACCTATACAGCAGGCTGCCACCCTCACAATGTCTGACGGAAGGCCGTCAGTCACCGACTCGGCACCACTGTTGCCGACGGACGGAGCAAGCAACAACAACAGCATCGAGAGCAGCATGTCGAACCTCAGCAACCAAAACCTCACCAACATCGAACAGCCGGCAAGCGCCAGCCCACGGCTGAGGGCTCGCTTTGCTCCCACGCCCAACGATACCCGGCCTGCTGTCAATCGCGAACTAAGCAGTCCTTCCAACGCTCGGCCAGCGCCAGTTACTACCCAAGGTTCCTTCAATAACCCCGGACGCCGGCCATCGCAATACAACTTTACCGACCCAAACGCGGCGTCTGCAGCATCTTTCTCGGCAGCAGGCGCTTACCAACTACCTCAAGGAGGTCATACATCGCCACCAAACGGACCGACGCGGCGGCGGATGTCGGGTGACTCGGGGAGGGAGAACGACTTCTGGCTGCAGAGTCAGGCCACGGTCTCACCAACAGTAGAGCAGACGGACGGTGGGAACTTTGAAGATCTTACTGGAGCTGCTGGCAGCGCGCGACGGAGATTGTCGAGTGAGGATGAGGGAACCCAGTCCCCGCGGCGACGAGGGTCCCGACGCATGTCGCTTGGTTGGCTGAACAGAGACAGTGACCTCAAACTGGGAGGCGACGAAGCCAATGACTATCGACCAAGCCAAAACACAGTGAGCCGGCCCGATGCTGAGCGTCGAGGGGACAGCGGGAGCGACCATGAAAGTCAAGGCGGCGACGTGTGCGTGCCGCAAGAGGGAGACTACTCGCTGGATTTCGATGCAGTGGCAGAGGTCATTGGGTCGGCGGCGACCAAACCCGTCGCGCCGCGGGATACGTGGAAGAAGTACCAGGACCCACCGCAGGACCCGCGGTATCTGTTCTACTCGGAGAAGACGGGTGTGGTACGAGGGGACAAGCTTGAATCGCTGCTGTTGCCGACGGGTGGTGGAACCATCAGGGAGACGCTCACCCAGGGACCGTTCTGGATCGATGTGACGGACCCCTCCCACTCTGAGATGGTCACCTTCAGCCGGGTGCGTTTACTATTCGCTGAAAACGTGAGAGGTTCCGCAGATCCATTGCTTACATTTGCTTGCCCATTAGCTCTTCGGAATCCACCCACTGACCATCGAAGACATCCAAACCGAGGAAACGCGCGAGAAATGCGAGATCTTCCTCCACTACTACTTCATCTGCATGCGCACGTTTGACAGCGACGAGGACAGCGCGAACTACATGCAGCCCATCAACGTGTTTATCGTCGTCATGAAGGAGTGCGTGCTGTCGGTGAGTCCCTTGCGCTGTATACTGCATGCCATTTCGTACGTCGAACCTTGTGAATTGACCGGGACGCTCTCCGACGCAGTTCCACTGCCAAGCGGTGCCCCACCCAAACAACGTCATGAAGCGTATAGATCAACTGCGGTTGTACGGCCTGCACGTTACACCAGGTACATACACACCCCACGAATCTCTCCCTCAAACTACACTGGTCTCACCCCCGCCTTCCCCTCCGGACAGACTGGATCAACTACGCCCTAATCGACGACATAACCGACGGCTTCATGCCCCTCCTCAAATTTATCGAGCTCGAAGTCGACTCGATCGACGACCTCGTCCTCATCCTCAAAGAATCCGAACAAAGCGACATGCTCCGCCGGATCGGCCACGCACGGAAGAAGGTCATGCAGCTGCTGCGGCTGCTGAGCACTAAAGCCGATGTGCTGAAGACGGTGATCAAACGATGTGGGCAACGGTTGTCGGATGATTCGGAGACGAGTCTTTATCTGGGGGATATCCAAGGTGGGTGTTGAGCTTGCGCGTCATCTGTTGCGCTCTAGCGACACTGTCTCATTCGCCATCGTGGATCTTTTGCAGACCACGCAATCGCAATGGTCCAAAACCTCTCACACTACGAAAAAACCCTCGGCCGCGCACACTCCAACTACCTCGCCCAAATCTCCATCGAGATCACCGTCGCGTCCAACAAGACCAACGACGTCGTTATGAAGATGACGGCCATGGCGTCTATCCTGTTGCCGTTGAATGTTGTGACTGGTATGTTCGCCTTTCTCAATGAGATGTCTCGGAATTGGTGTTCTGACCCGTTTTTTCGGAACAGGTCTCTTCGGAATGAACGTAACAGTCCCCGGCCAAGCGGGCTCTATAGCATGGTTCTACGGCATCGTCCTCGTCATGATCGCGATCGCCAGTCTCGTTTACTGGTGGGCTCGCAAGTACAAGCTTGTGTAAACTCGTGTGAATTCGTGTAGATACCGCTATACCACCCGACCCCGACGCTTCTGCTACTACCTACTACCCATCAACGCCTCACGCCCCACCCCACCCGCAACCGTCATACCGACACCCGGGGGAATTGACATTGACCCATTGTACATTTTACTCCAACACCCTGCCCGAATATATTACTGCATCGCGCCCATCTGCGTCTTCATGCCCATAATATGATATGAGATGGGAGAGACGGCTCAAGAGTGTTACTGGGTTCATCGGCACGAAAGCTATGCAGGTGAACCTAGAGAAAAAACCATAGATGGGTATATTATAAGAAAAAAGTTTCACATCATGGACAGGAGACAAGTACTACGTATGATCTCCCGCCGCCTCGCTCTCCTCTCCCCCTTCCTCATTAAAAGGTGAGAACTACGAAGTCAGGGTCAGGTGCGAACGCGGGAAGTCTCTGCCCCGCGGAGAGCGCTCAGCAACCACGTGTTGTACAACATCCGGCCGTCACAATGCGCAGAAGCTAGCCCTCGCGCACGGAGGGCAGAGGCATAAAAACGCACGCCCTCAATTCTGGTCAGGCGGCCGCGCAAGGAAACTAGGGTGGATGCTGAACGCATTATTACTCTGCTGCTGTTGTTGCTGTTGCCCGGCGCCCCCGGCATACTCCCCCTGCAGCGAATTCTTCCGCCCAGCCTGCGTCTCCATCGCCAGGTCACTGTTATCCGGGTTCAGACTATCCGACGATCCCATGGCGGATCCGCCGGCGCCCATCAGGCTCTCCCACGATGAAAATTGCCCAGCACCACCATTGTTGTTGGACCCACTCGGCCCGACGAGGTAGGTGAAATCCTCGTGGTACTGCGCGGTCGTGTCCGCCGATCGGGACGAGGTGGCGGGCGGTGGACCGAAACCGGTCGTGAAATTCGAGCCGGATTGTTGTTGGATCTGGGTGAGGAGGGCCGCGTTGATTCCGGCCGAGAAGTGATTGGTGGAAATGAAGGATTGCGGTTGTTGCTGGGTGGTGGGTTGGCTCAGAGCGCGGGAGAGCGGCTGGTGGAAAGCTTGGAAGCCGCCGGACGGGGAGATCTCCCCGTATTGCGAGGGTGTAGACATGGAGGCCGACGTGCCGTCCAATGATCCGAAGTTCGCGCCGGGAGAGGGAGTCGCGCCGGGCGTGCCAAAGGAGTCGGAGCCGTGTTGATCGCTTCCCGCTGGTGTCGGGGATCGATCAGAGGCGGTGATGCCGGCTGCTGAAATCGTTCGCGGGAGAGAAGTGAGCGATGCGTTGCACGTGTCGAGTAGATTCTTATAGATCAGGTAGCCCTTGTTTGGAAGGAAATAGAACTTGCTGATGCTCTTCAGGGCTTCGAGATGGAGGGTCACGTTCCGAGGGGCTTGTGCCACGAAGGTCGCTTGTGCCTGACTCGGGGTGAGTATACCCTGACTGCCAAGTTGCAGGCAGAGCAAGTGCACCAACCCGCTTTGGAATATGGAGAATGAAACGAAGGACGTCATGAAGATGTAGTGCGGGTTGATGATTGCCATTTTCGATGCGATGCTGGCTATCGAGTTGGCGCTCGACACGCAGACCAAGAACGCCGGATTTTGAAAGAGCGCATTGGCACCAGAACTTGACTGTCGCAAAGCTTCCAACATCTTCGGCCGATGCAGCAGGATCACGCACGTGTAGTAGAGCATGTGCAGGTACACGACGGACCACGGAGGCGGGTTTCGCGATTCGAGCTCTGGAACAAACTCATTTCCAAGTTCACGCATCCAATCCGGTAAAGCCGCAAACCATTCGCGTAATGATGCATCCAGGACCGACAGCTGATAATCGCTCTCCGAAATGGGCGAGCTTGTTTGCTTCGAACGGTGTGCCACGCGCAGTTCGGCGTTGCGCTCGACAATCTTGCCGAATATTTTAATCAGAACGGCGTAGTATGCTAGCGTACTCTGGAGTTGCATCCCAGGAGTGAATGTGCTGCTAGAAGTCATGATCGCAAGCTGGAACGGGTCTTCCGTTCGGGGTCCCACAACAGTCAACTGATTTGCCGGTCCTGCCCACTCAGCATCTCCAGATGGCAGATAAACTTTGCAATCCTTCTCGTCGATGATCATATTGCGATCTGAACTGACTCCAGTATAACGATCTGTTATCACACAGCCCCACCATACCCGTCTTCTCGTTTCTCGTTCGAGCCAGCTCATCGTTACAGGCTCACTATGATTCAGCGGGTCAAGCTCGGGTTCGATATTCAGCCTCAACTCCTGCGCCATCCTGATTGCCATCCCCGAGTACATGTAAGCAGCCGATTCTGAAAAAGGGAGCACAGGTTAGAGCTTCCGCCCTCCTCCATCAATGTGTTTAACGCCGCACCCGGCTTGCCTACCTCTACCACCCTCCGCAGCATACGAAGTCAGAAGAAGCAAAGCGCAGACGGAGCTGACACTAGGATTGTCGATGGCTTGATCGACCATATCTCTCGCTTTCAGGTAGAACAGATCCCCAGCAGTGGCGGGGCTCCCAGATTCCAGTTTCGGATTCGTCGAGAATCGAGCCGCAAACGCACACATGGCGTTGACGAGGAGAGGAGGTTGCTCGGCGATGCGGGTGTAGAAGGTATACTTATGGATGAAAGGGAAGAATGGCGACACATAGTGGAAGTACATGTTGATCAGTTCGTTGATCAGCATTTGAGTGATCCCTTGTTGCGTCAATGTGCTTATTTGCGGTGGATTGAAGTCCTCGTCGGCGGCAGCTTGGTCTTGGGTTTCCTTCATCAGGCTTCTCAATCGCTCCTGACTGGCTCTTTCTATACCGTTCCCGTCCGAAGGCAATATAAACGGATTCCCTGCTCCGTTGTCAGTCTGCGCGGGATTGATGACACTCTCGATGTGCTTGATTTGTGAATCCAGATGACGCATGTAGTGGTCTCCGCCTAGGTGCTGACTCCGCTTCTGTGCTTCGGACCTATACGTGCATTCAGCAAACGTTTGCAGGCAGGTGGTGCAGCTCGGCTTCACCCCGTCGCATTTTAATTTCTGTAATGGACGGTGGTCGTACACTTTGAGTATCTTTGACATCGGCTCTGAAGGACATAGTAGAAGAGAAGTCCTACCTTTCGTTGGCAAGTGTCACAGGCGACATGACTTCGTTTTCTTTTTATGCCCGGGCGCGAAGGGTCATCCTCGTATTCGTCGGAGTGATCATCAAAGCGGTGCGCCCCGCCGAAGTCCGACCGGATTCCGCTCATCTAGGCTAGGGTTGGTGTGTCGTGCTGAGGGTAGCAGCGCCTTTGTCCGGTTCGGAGTTGTTCGGCAGCTACACCCAGCGATTTGCGATGGTAGGAAGGAGGACCAGCGAATATCGTTGCTTTGTTGATAAGGTCTATGCTTTATCGGCCGCCCCTGTTTTCCTCCTGCGACACTGACTAACCCCTCAGTGGACTGGATGCAGTGTTCAGATGAAGCGAGTTTCGCCCTGCGATTGTAACTGGGAAAGGCCCCGAATGTGTCGGACCACGTTGAAGATAGATGGCAAGTTTCGCGAAGCTCCGATACTTCGACTGGATCCCCATTCAACCTTTCAACGTCTCCTCAGCGTGCATGTGCAGTGCCTTGCCAATGACACCAGAGGATATGTCCGAGAGGCTGTGAAGCTCTTGGCGTGAAAGCGTCTATTCAAGTTGGGGTGTTGCCCTAAATATATATTTGGGCCATGATACGATATTACCACCGGTAACCGACGAGAAAAGATGTGCACAACTCGTAAGAAATCATGGCCCCTTTTTTTCTCCTTCCCCCGGGCTTGGCAACTAGTATAGCATGTGCCCGATATGCCATGTGCAGTGTGCAAAAGAAGGGGCTCCTACCAGATTCCAATACCCCAGGCTGCCACACACACGCTGGGAAAGCATGGACCACCCAATGCCCACAACCATTCAGCGGCCGCCACGCATCTGATAGTGTCAAGCTACAACCGTCAGCCACTGCCCTCTACTCTCTCCCCGAGTACGGAATGGGCGAACCTTCTATCCTGAAATGCGGCATTCCTTCCTGCTATGGCCAAAGGATGGTTCCTGATGTCTTCTCGTCCAGCCGTCTATATACAATATTCATCTGTTTACGGCCCGAGTGATCTATAGTCCAACATCCACCATCCGGCCTTCTTAAGCTTCAAACTGGTTGTTTTGAATTCTAAATGAAAAAAAAGTGTCACGAAGATCAAAGCAGAAAACGAGACACACCAAATGAGAAAAGACTTACCCAGCTAATGTAATCAGGGCTCTCACAAGCCTCATACTCATGGATTAGCTCTTGCACAACCTCCCTACAGCATGCGCACATTGCCCTAGTCAGTGCCAGATCTGCAAATCGCTTTCTATCGATTCAAAGTCCCCGCGTGCAAGAACGAACCTCGAATCATCAAACTCATCCAACCCATCCGCAAACATCGGTTCTCGACGGTATTGCTCCAAGAACGCGTTGCGCTTACGCAGGCGGTCGTATTGATCCATTGTGCGTTTGAACAACTGCAAAAGGGAAAGCGGGGGAGGTCAGCGATTGTTTATCCAGCAATTCGGCGCTTCCCTTGGCAGTACTCACCGATGCAATGCTGGTATGATTTGCCAGCATCAGCCCTGAAACACGGTGGGCCGTCGGTATATACGGACTCTTCTTCGACAACGCGACCTGGATGCTAGCAGGTCCCCATGGAATGAACTGTGCAAGCCGCCTTTCTCGTATACGCATTAATGATTTGTGCACCTATTTAACGCAAATGGGAAGTGATGAGCACCGTAGGTATGACACAATTCGGGAAAGCCGTAAGTATACTCACATCTGTTGGGTCCGCATCTCCCTGAATAATGTTCAGAATGGAAATATAGCAACTTTTTTTGGACGGTGTGATCGACACCATCTTGTTCTTTGGTTGCAGCAGTCTCCGCATCACATCCAGCACCGTTGTCTTCCGGATGCTCTTTGCCTGCGTGTTTACAGAACGTAAGTCCACCGAAACCCGCCACGAATAGGCTATCACCGGTAGTGGGTGTACTGACCTTTTCAACTTGCTCCCCAGAGAACGGTGTGTAGCTGGTCATGAGGTAATGGCATCGCGGTGTTGGGATCAGGGAAGCGATGATGCCCACGAGGTCGTTGTTCATGTAGCCAGGGTATCGTAGGGTGGTGGTACTCGCGCTCATGACGGTGGATACCTGAGAGGGGAGGAATTAGCAAGGCCTTGTAGTTCACCACTTCGAAACGCGAGCTGAACATACCAATTGATTCGTTTGCGCAAATGTTGGGTTTTGAATATGGAGGGTGTCAGCGGCGATCCTATTGAGAGCCGCATTGTCGAGGACCACCTAAAGAAACAAGTAGGTTTTCTATCAGCGCTACCTAGAGCCAGGATGGTGTTAGACTGTGACAGCACATACCACCGAGTCAGCATTGAGCGTCAATCGCTTCAGACTCAGCATAGAGTTATACGGCTGCACTACCACATCACTCGTCTCCTGACTATTCGGAAACACCGAATACGTCTGAATCAACTTCTTCGGGTATCTATCGTTCAGCGTTTCCAGCAGCGACGATCCCAATCCGGACCCTGTGCCTCCCGCAATCGAATGGAGGAGATTGAACCCCTATAATCTTGTCGTCAGCCCCGAAGTCTCTGCACATATCCACCCACTGCCGGCCACCCGTACCTCCAAGCTATCACTCCCATCAGCCTCTCGATCAATCATCTCTATTATATCTTCGTGGATCTTCTCGGCCTGGGCGTATCCAGCCGCCCAGTTGTTCCCGGCACCTCCCCCGTCTTTCGATTGCAGGATGTTTTCGGGATTGTATAGGTTTGCGTAGGGGGATGTTAGGATGTTGTTGATGACCTGGGGAATGCGAGGTGCTGCGTGTTTAGCAATCCGGCCCCAGTCGAGGGTAATGCAATTGATGATGAAGTACATACTCGAGGCTCCAAATCCAGCAGTAGCGCGCGTGGAATGTAATGCTCATCGTCGGCCTGGTCGTACGGTCAGAAGTCTGCACATGTGATCTCCCCTCCGACAACATCCCAGGCGCCTATCCTGACCTGGTAGAAGAACACATCCTTCCTATCCGTCCCGTCGGTCGCGTACTCTTTCAGCGTCCCATCAGGGCTGATTCCGTGCTCTGCGCATAATTGACTCCAGAACTCCTGGCCCACTGCAAGAATTGGGTTAACAAATGGAAATACAAAGCGCACGCCTATGCACATATTTCGGGACTTTGGCCGGGGCCGCAATACATAAGCGTCGTAGTGTACAAGATGTGCAAAGTTCTCATACCTTGGTTTCCGCACTGCCCTGCTTGAAGGGTGATGATCTCCCTGGGAATGAACAAGTCTGTTTTGAGTTGCGATTGCCTTGGCCGCTTCCACCCGGTGCTGCGCTCACCCACCTTGGCATCGCTGGAGGCTATTTCTTGAAAGAACGTGAAAGAATGCGGAAGTCGGTCACTTGGTGTCTATCGTTGTCCTCCATTCACGGCCCTGAGCCAGAAACCGGTTGCGAAAGTTGAGCATGCAAAACATGTCCAGGCAGGCGGACAGCGCGTCTCGGATCTCAACCCGCACAACAGCATCAAGGGAAAGTTGCGAGTGCCAGCAAAATAGGGATAGGCAGTGCATATCCATTTCATCGTAAACAAGTAGCACCTCTTTGCTGCGACGGTAGGCTACAATGGACTACTTCCATACTACGAAACTCATACATCGAAGGACAAATACACCGTCTTCTGCCGAGCCCACGGCCAAAAAACCCCCCTCATCCCTCTACCGGATCAAACAAGATACTCCTCCCACTCTTATACACCTTCCTCAGCACATCAATCTTCGGCATAAAGTTCTGTATCCAACACAAATCAATCTCCTTCCCAAATAAACCCCTCATGCCCCAGGCAAACAACCTACCTCAAAAACCACAATCATCTCCCTCTCCCCCTTCACCATAACCGCCATGTAATACCGCACCGTCAGCATCGTGATCCCCTCGTTGATGATGACGTCGGCGATGCGGTCGAGGGGTATGAAGCGGGACTTGGTGCGGCCGAGGGAGTAGGTTGTTTGGAGGGAGACGCCGAGGGAGCCGATGAATGTTATTGATTCTGAGGAGATGGAAGGTTGGGGGATCAGATTGACGGATGTGGGATGGGTGGGCGGAGGAAAGAAGGGAGGGGGTCGTACCTTGACGCACCGCGGATAGATGGGCGGCGAGCAAGATAGCGAATGGTAATGCGCAGAGAGGGATAGAGCAGTCAAGCATTCTGTGCTAAGTCGAGGCCGAAGCATTTCAAACCGGGTTTAGTTCAAGATACCTCCACTCCCAATTCGGACTTGCACCAGATCCGCTTACCATCATGATCCCGATCCCAACGGCTATTCCAAATAACGCGAACATGCCTCCTATAGATGAACCAGCTGCTTTCCGCTGCACAACGAACTGTGTCGCCCCCTCCCCCAACTTCTTTTCCACCAGTTCCAACTTTTCCACAATCGCCGGCTCCTCTTTCTCATCCTCCTTCACAGCCCGACTTGAGGAGGGCCTAACAATCGGTCGTGCTTTCCGACTATCCTTCACCGAGGTGTGTGAAACCCCGCCCCTTCCAAAAGCTGGTTTTATACTCCCATTCACCAATAAAGGCTCATATGTGTGAGAGGATATCAGAGTGGAGAGAAGTACCGCGTTGATGAGGTAGAAGCCGAGTCCCGCTGCCCAGAGTTTGCGGAAAGTGTTTTCACCGAGATGTTCGAGGCGATATGCTTGTGAGAGCCAGAGTGCCTGCCACGGTTGTTGCGCGTGAGTGTGGGATGCCTGTAATAGTCAGCGCAAAGTGGCTTCTCACCTGTCCGCCAACCCAGGTGAGCAGCAAAGCTACTCCTTGCTTCCATTTGTCGGCGAGCAGTCGACTGTTTGGTAGTATCACGGGGAGGAAGCATAGGTACCACATGAAGTACTGCAAAGGTCGGCATATCTGAGTACGCGCGTTCTCCATCCAGTCACGGTTCCACATTCTCACTCCCCAACCTACCTGAGACGTGCAAACCTTGTTCAGCATGACAAACGCGAAAGTCTGTGCAAAGCACGCAAACACGACGTCCTTTGCTAGGAAGGTCCCCAGGAGTGATACCAGCCCCAACTGCGGCAGGAACGATAGGATCGAAGCGACCCATGGTGGAAGCGTTGCCGAGCTGGCTACTTTCGAAGGGGCGGAGGAAAGGTACATGTGGTAGAAGTACGCCGAGAAGTTGTGTCGGTGATCTTTTCGCGTGATGTGGTAGAGATATGTCTCTTCGACGAACTCGTCGCCGTATCTGCGTTACGATCCGCCAATACACGAATCAATTTGACCGGCACACATCCCAGAAGCTGAAGATCCAGGAATGTCCTTACATGCTGAACATACATCCTGATAAGCCCAAAAATACCATCCCGCTAAGGCACCCATACTCGATCCTGCGCCACGAGAAGAATCGCTTAGCTCTTTGTAAGAGCGTCCCGGGAGCCATTCCATTACGTATTCCACCAAAGTAGCTCTCATCCAGAAACAGCCATATCGGCAAGGCGTATATGATCGGATACAATTTGAAGTGCACGCTAACACCGAGCAGCACTGCACTCAATCGCGGCCGCTTGGCCAAAAGGGTCCACAGCGTCCCCAGAGTCAAAACAGCGACAATGCTCTCCGCGTTGCCCCTCGTCGATATCGCGACGACAAAAGGATTCAGGAGCCATATCGCCGAATACTTCGCGGCGCGGTCCGCGTTCATCCCTTGCATTCGCAAGATGCTGTGGGTGAACCATCCCGCCGCGAGATCACATACGGAAAACAGGAGCTTTCCCCACAAGTTGTGAACAAGGACATTGGGGAGGACGAGGAAGGCAAGAGCGGGTGTGTAGCGGTACGTCGCACGCTGGTAGGGGGATTTGCCTTCGGCAACGAAGCGGGCGCCGTCGGTGAAGACGAGGTAATCGACGTCGGTAAATTTTACGACGGGGTGTTGGTCCTGGACGAACCCGTAGAATAGGAAACCGAGGTGGAGGAGGAGCGAAAGTGCTGCTATGCGAAGGAACTGTGGGGTCATCGCAGGGTTGAGGCCGCCCGCAATGAGAGACGCTCTGGTGTTCAAGGTCTACGCAATGCTCCCGGCCTCCCCGTACGAAGACATACTCTTTTCGCCGTCGGTATACTTCAACAATAGGTATAGGTCGTTGACTATACACCGGCCCTGAATGCTTCCGCGTCAGAGTGGACTGATAGCCTCCGCCTGCCAGGGACCCGTCCGAAAAACTCGTGGGGGGTGTTATTGGTGGAATCCTGAGTTGAGGTTCGACATCACAGCCAAAGATTGTCACGACCATCGCCTTAGCTTGTGGAGGTCGCTGGAGTCCGAGCCGAGACATTAAACTCCCCACGTGATCACGCCCTCAATCCAAGGCAACTTTCCGAGCTGCAAACCCACTTGCGCAAATCGCAAATGTGCTGCCTGGACCCAGCCCTGCGTGGTCGTCTCTAATACCTAGCTCAGGCAGCCCCACCACAGCGATGCTGCCCAGAAGCATCCGTGCACGCCGTCTTGCGGTCCGTGATCTGCTAAATGTCACGGCGCGGTGTCGGGCCTCGGAAACAAGAGCCCCACTCGCCCGCCCGTCGAGCAATGCTCTCGTACCCGCCAGGTGTGCAAGCACAGAAGCAACCCCAGAAGCAACCCCAAGCGCAGAGGCAGTCCTGGCAAGGGAGGCGTTGAAGGTCGGCGGACTTGGCAAACCGGAGGAAAGTTCACGGAGAGGCCTCAACAACTTCAGTAGGAGCGGTTCTGGCACCGCGGTGCCGGACAGCGTGCGGGCAGATATAGATCAGTTCTTCGATGGGCGTGGCAACAATGCGACACAGAAGAAATTAGAAGATCCATCTACGACCGCGAACTGGACATCGCAGCATTACACCCACTACCTCCAACGCATAGTAGCGTCAACAACCAAGAACGCAGTCTGGGCGGACCAGATTTGGACCCGGATGAAATCGACGGGCGTCCAGCCGATGCCCGAGTTTCTCCTGACCCTTGCGCAAGTATATGCAGATCAAGATTCGTCACGACAGTCGCAGCGGGAGGCGGCTGAGAGTCAGCTGGATAGTCTGCGGGAGAAGAGTGAGAAGGGGGCGGAGGGGACTGCAGGGCTCATTCTGAGGACGGAGAAAAAGGTGCAGGAGCTGCTCGACCCGAGGCTGCTGGACCCGTTGGAGGAAGTGGTCGGGCTTGGGTTGAAGGATTATGAGAAGGAAATCGGGGCTTCGCTATTGACCCTCATATTCCGCGTACTCGGGAGGCGGCGTGATGTTTCCCGCGTTGAGGATTGGATCAAGGTTGTCGGAAATCTGTCCCTGAAGCCGCAGGCGGGGACGTACGCCGCGATTATCGAGGTCTATGGTGCGACGGGCGACTTGTACCAAGCGCAGAAGTGGTATGAGAACTTCACCAAATCGAGCGTGAGCCGCAGGGAGGAGGGATATGTCGCGTTTGCCGCGGCTTTGACGGCGGCAGGTCGCTATGCGGCGGCTCAAGACATCTTGGAAAATGTCGTCCCGAAGGCGGCGACAGTAAGCATGGCAACGCGGTCCGCTTTGGCTCGCCTTTTCGTGCTCAGTGGCAACATCGAGGGCGCCAAGCAGTTGCTGGACGAGATAGGCAAAGACCACAGCTCAGGGAGGCAGCACGGACACCTCGTTAGCCAACTCTTGGAGCCCGCCGTGAAAGAGGGACATCTGGAAATCGCTGGGAAAATCGTCGCTCTATTGGAAAACGACCATCTAGCCGTCCGTCGCCACGCTCAGCTCTTGTCAAACTATGCCGTACTGTGTCTCCAGAAGGACGATATAGAGACGGGGCTCAAGGTGTTCCACATGATCTGTGCAGCCGCCTTCAATCCTTCGCCGCCCTTTACGAGAGCGCTGGTGACTAGTCTCAAGGCAGCGAACCGGGAAGCTGATATTGTCGACCTATTCGAGCGTGCTTTAGTTGCGTACGGCGACAATCCGGCATTGCAAGCTCGTCAAAGCCGGCACACTCTGGCAATGGCCATCACAAAGCTGCGGCACAGCGATGTGCGTTTGCTGTTGAAAGTCCACCGTGTAGGAATGGTAGACAGACACACCGCGTTGTACAGCCACTCCGCGCAAGCTCTCACCTACACCTATGACGAAGCGGTCAGGCAGCAAAAGGAACCGAAGTTGTCCGTAACGGACTTTGAAACCCTGTTCCACGCCTTGTTCCATAGTAGTTTCCGCAATTACGAATTTGGCATCCGCTTGCTACGGTATCTAGATGACATGAAGCGGCTCGGGATTGCACCGAACCAGACAATTTGCGATATGGGCGTAACCAGTTTGCCGCGGCGAACCCCTCCCATGCCGGACTACGCCATCAAATGGAACCAGGCGATGAGTGAACTGGGTCTGAACGCCCCAGAGGTAACCCCGGAACAAGCCCAAGCGGTGCTTATGCCGCACGAGACGCAGCGCCTCGACAGTCAAATCAAACAGCACCTCAGAGGAAACCGGATCGACGAGGCGGTGGAGCTCATGAAGTACCTGTACGAACGCAGCAAGGCGCCGCAACTCTCGACCATCGCAGAGCTGCTCAAAGCCACTGCAAACGACCTCGGATCCGCTGCAAAAGTCGTCGAGATGACCCTAGAATATGCTTCCAAATGCCAGGAGGGTACCCGCCACGCGTTCGAAGATACCGTCGCGCAAACCATCGCGCTCACCTTCATGTCCAGGAACGGCCGCGTGAACCAGGTCAGCGCCATCATGGCTGAGATGGCGACCAAGTTCGGCCGAAACCCTTACCAAGCCAAGCATTTCACCCGTTTCTTCAACTACGCCGCCGCACAACAAACATTAGGCGAATCCGAATGGGCCAACATCGAAAAGGTGTTCGAGGAATACAAAACCATCGAGAAGACACTACACACCACCCTCGAGAAACAGTTCGCGGAGGAAGTCTACATCGCCCTCGTGTCGATGTACCAACGCGCGGGCAAACACACCCAAGTCGAACAGACCTTCGCGCAGCTTAAACGCCTCGGCCTGCCCCTCCGCGACACCGTATACGCCGGGATGATCTCCCACTACTCCCGCATCTCCAACGACCTCTCCGCCGCCGAACAGCTGTTTGAAGAATACGTCGACGAGCATTGGGATAAAACACTGAGCTTGCCACCTTTCAGCGCCATCGTTGAAGCATACAGCGCCGCGGGTGACCTTCCTGAAGCCCTGCGCGTGATGAAGCTGGCCGAATCGAAAGGGCTGCATATGGCCGCCGACACATTCGCGCTCATCATATCCGGCCTCGCGCGGAAAGAAGGCACCACCCTCCCCGACCTCCTCGCTGTGAAAACCATGATGGTGCAGAAGAACCTGCCCCCCAATGAAGATGTGTTTGAGGCCCTGATTGCGTTTGCGTGTCGGCACGGGGACCTGGACGCGGCGGACCAGCTGTACGAGGAGATGACCCGTGTACGCCGGTTGGGCGTGTCGACGGGGACGTACGAGGTGCTTGTGGGCGCGTTCACCCAAGCGGGCAAATCGGTGTCGGCGATGAAGTTCAGGGCGGCGTTTGATGCTACCAAGAGACGTGAGTTACAGATTTCGCTTCCCCCCCACCCACTTTCTTTATACTCTCTTCTAGAGTTAATCATTGTGGTTGGTTTTCCCCACGCAGGCCCGACAACACCCCTCGAAAACGCCGCGCTGACCCTCCTCCTCGCCCACCAAACCGCGGACGGCTACACGGCCGCCAAAGCATACTACACCGCCAAAATGCCGCCCCACCTGCGCAACACCGAGACCTTCACCCTCATCATCGACGCGGCGGTCAGGAACGCCGATGTCGAGTTTGCAAGCGGGGTCTTGCACACGATGCAGGGGTGGGCGGGCGTGCAGGCCGCGGACGTCGACAAGTGGAGGGAGGTTGTTGCGCGTGCGCGCGGTGCGTAGATGAAGCGCGGTGAGGTGACACGCCCCCGCAGATTCATGTCGATATCAGACCCCGATATTGTGCCTCGGTGGATGGCGGGGCTTTCTCATCTCCCATACATTGAGGACGTATTTAGATTAGGCGATTTTCTTCCCCGGTCTGGGGTTGTGAATGAACCCCCCCCCCCCCATTGCATATATTTCCATTTTCACTTCTTTTGCATCATGTATTGGGGATTCATCGTTGGGAAAAAACTACGTACGTTGCTGCCACGGGATCTTACGAGACGGGTAGGCAGGTTATGCACACATCGCGTCCAAATCGAGAAAAGGCTACAGTACATACGCCGCATGGACTCCGCCCGGTTCCTCCAACCCTACCTAAAGACCTGCACCCTCCCCTCCCCACCCTTGACCCACCCCTCCGTCACCTCCCACGCCTCGCCATCCACAGCGCGCAACACCTGCACCCCCGCCTCCAAAAACGCCTCGCAGCCGCCTTTGGCCCTCCACTTCTCCACCATCCACCCGGGCACCGCGTGCTCACGCTGCCCTCCGCAAAGCCGGACACCTCTCGCCCCCAAGCAGGCGCACAGGGGCAAGTACACGGCATCCGCGGCGGCGGGATCGCTTGCCAGCGTCGTCAGCAACGCGGTGGCGGCGTGCACAACCTCCGCGTGGTACGCCGTGGCGTTGAGGAAGGGGAGTGTCGCGTCGACGAGGGTGCGGATCGCGGACGCCGGCAGCGCGACGTGCGGGACCAGCGACCTGACCGTCCGCAGCGCCGTGAGGTGCAGCCTGTGCCGGGGGGAGTGCGTGGTCCCCTCGTGTCGGCGGTGTGCGGCGGTGGGGTTGTTGTTGTGTTGCCCGCCGACGGCTTCTGACGCCCCCATCATCTTCGCGTACCGCGGCACGATATCCTCGCCGACGCGTTTGGCTACGAACCCGCCGGCGAGCGCGGCTATGAGCCCCACGCACCGCATCGCCTCGGTCGCGACCCAGTGTTCGGTGTCGCTCATTCGTTTGACGACGATGGGCCAGAAGGTGTGGATGGTGGTGTTGAGGTGGGTTGTTGGGCGGAGGATGCGGAGGGAGCGTTGGAGGAGGGTGAGGGCCGCGTGGCGCAGGGTGGGGGAGGGGTGGGTTAGCAGGGGGGGCAGTTTGGGGAGGATGAGGAGGGTTAGCTGTTGGTGGGGTGGGAGGGGTGGCGGGGTGGGGTCCGAGGGGGTTGCGGGGGGTGGGTGGGGAGGTCGGGGCGGATTTTGCGAGGGGGGGGTGGTGGATTCGCCGGTGAAGGGGTTAAGACCCTCTGCGCGGTCTTTGAAGAACTTTTCGGCGGCGGCGGCGCGGGTGAGGGGTTCGTCGGTATCATCACTATTCCCCGGTTTCGATTCCGCGGATGGTGCGAATTCCAGATAGAACTCAATCATCTCCCGTGAGCACCCCTTGAACTCCGGGTTGTCGCTCACGCTCTCCCTCGCAGCATCCAACCCCTTCAACCCCGTCCCTACATCCCTCTGCTCATCACTCTCCCCAACAACATCCACACCCCCATCATCCATAACCTCCACCAACGCGTCCAAAACCCCCACCAGCGCCTGAACCATCCCCTCGCTCCTCAAATACCACGCATCCACCGCATCCAGCACCTCCTCTACCGAGTCCGCCATATAGGGCACGATCCCCACCCCAGCCGTCCTGATCGCGGCTCGTAACACGACAGGCGCGTCCGGGTTGGTTGACAAATACCGTAGATGCCTCGAGACCGCATTGACGATGTAGTCGATGTTATCCAGTATCAGTTCAATCACCGCGCCGTTGGGTATGTGTGTGTAGGGTGGTGTGCGTGGGTAGGATTGGGATAGTGCGATGGAGTGGAGGGCGGTCATGGCGGTATGGCTAACGACGCGGTTGGAGTCGCCGATTTTGGAGAGGAGGGTGTAGAGGGTGTCCATGAGCAGGACCTGCATGTCCGGGCCGAGGATGTGGGAGGTGGTGGCGAGGGATTCGAGGAGGAGCGTTTGTTTGAGGATTGTGGTGTTGAAGTGGGTTATGCTGCCTTGGTGGGTGGGGGTGGAGGTGGAGGTGGAGGTGAGAGTTTGGCGGAAGGTTTGGTTGGTGAGGTTGGTGGGGTGGGTCCAGGTGGAGCACTGGAGGAGGTCTTGGGTTACCGATTTCGCGATTGACTTGATTGCTTGCGAAGCGTGTTTGCCAATGTTGCCAATGTCCTCTGATGACATTTGATCGATCCCTGATCCCGCGGCTCCGAGTAGCATCTCATTCAACACGAAGGTGGCCTGTGCCTGAAAATCTTCAATCCCTTCGCTCTTGATATGGTTGAGGAAATGGGATGCGAGAAAGGCCATGTCGCCGTACCGACCTATGAGACGGCACATCTGTGAAAGGGCGGCTTCGACGCGGTCGTCGCGGAAGTAGAGGAAATGTTTGCGTGGAAAGTGTAGAGATTCCGCCCTGGCTTTCAGCTGTGTGGATGCGCCAGTTTCGGAGGCTGGTGATTCATCACCCGCCGCCAATCGATCAAGCTCATACCCCTTCCCCCGATCCTCCACCAACCTCACATCCGCCGTCTCCATAGTTGCAACCCTCAACACCCCAATCGACCACCTGTGGATCGCCGCATTCAACGACGGCCGTATTTCCGTCTTCAACAGCACCACGTATCCATTGACTATATTCAGCGCCTCCAACTTCTTCCTGTCGTCCGCCTGCATGATCAGGCGGGGCAGGGACTCGAGCATGCTGTAGAAATTGCGCTTGAGCATCGTGACGAGCGTGGATTGGTGGTAAAGGGTGCTGGCTGCTGTGTCGAGTTTGTGTTTTGCTTCGTTTGAGACTTGCGGGACGGTGTCGTTGACGTAGCCGACTAAGGTTTCGACGAGGATGGGGATGGAAGTGGCGAGGGATTGGCCGGAATGGGTGATGATGTCTGCGGACAGGGTGATAAATGCTTGGCGGACTTTATAGTGATCGTGGTGCCGGATTGTGAAGAGATTGGTGATGAGGGTGGTGAGACGGGTGGAGGAGGCGTTGAACCAGGCTATATCCCGTTTGGTTGTGATACCGCGTTGAGGTGGTGATGGCATTGCGAATGCCACTGCGCCCTCTTCTTTCAGTGGTAGCTCGCTCGTTTTCTCAGCGATCGATACCAAATCTGTCCACCCGATCTGTTTCCTCGGAATCAGATCCCTGCAATCTTCATTGTTCATGGTGTGTCTGATGATGTCTGCAAATGCCGCGAGCGATGCGACTATTATTCGATGCGATTGTTTCTCGTCTCGAAGGCAGACCTTCACTAGCGTAGAGCTCACTCCGGGCAGGAATTGGGCGACATGATCTGCATCGTAGACCTTCTTCACCAGCTCCGATATGACCGCGAGCGCAGCTAATCGCAAATCGGTGTGGCGTTCCTTGTCGATGATATCCACAAGCACGACCACTACATGCGCCAGTGTTGGCTGATACTCGGGTTTGCAGAGGTATTTTGTGGTACTGGTTTCCGCAGCATCGGCCAGAAATTTGGCGTCCATGGCATCGGTCGGTACGGTCACACGTCTCAGCATCTGGGCGAGGCACTGAACGCCCAGCTGTTTAAGTTCCTCAGGTGTTGTTTCTGCTTCCTTTGCTGATTTTCCAATACGCCCGCGGGATATCAGGTATGGCAGTGCGACCAGCAGGTCCCTATATAATGCCAGAGGCATGAAATCCTCGCGTGTGTTCTGTAACAGACATAGTATGCAGTCCAGAGCGCCTTCTACAGCGATTGTCGAAGGTGACGGATACTTGAATAATTGCATCAAGGGAAAGCAGACGTAGTCGAACACGGCTTCGAGGATCTGTGAGCCGTTATCGGATGCCCCTATGCTCTTCAGCTGTTTTGACAAGGAGATGAGGGGATTTGTTTCATCGCGCCGTATTGTTGTAAAGACAGCGGGTTGCAGAATGCGAACGCACAGGGGTTTCAGCTAGACGTGAAAGGAGGGAGAGGAGAGCAGGGCGCTGAGCTTGAGTGAGGACGTTCAGTGAGCAAGCTGGAAGACGATGGCGGGGGTGGGGTGGGGAGGGCGGGGGTACCTGAGCGAAGGCCTTTTGGCGACCGTGCTCGACCTCTGTCAGAGCCATTTCTCTGTACTCTTGTTCAGCACCACTTGGGTGGGAAGACTTGCAGGGTGAAGGGGCGAAGTCTTCTCTCCCTGTGTGGGTGGGTGCAAGAGGCCACTGTCGATATTGCGTTCCGTCGCCTTCCTTGTGATGATAGCAGCAGGCACGGAGGGAGGGAGCACGCAGCACGCGCGCGCAAGTCGAGATCTCCCGTGGGAAAAGGGGATCCATCAATCACACGGGCCCACATGCGCGCATTTCCCCCATGTGCAACTTGCATCCCATTCCACTTGCCATTCCAACTGTAGCAAGTCCGCCAAACGTCGTCACTACACAGAGAAAGCATACTACGTAGCAAGCGCTTATTTCCCACGCTCTATCTATCGCTACGTCAACTCGTCTCAGCGCAACCCAACCTTCTTCGTCTGTTTCTTGCACTTCGCCACTCGACGGGGCCCGCTGCGAGATCGCCCCCGCCACCTCCAGCCCACACGACCTCTTTCCTTTCGCGCATTCTCCGACGAGTCTGAGCATTCCTTCATTCACCCTTATTGTAGCCACACCCTTTCCCCACCCACCCCACGACAATGTCATCAAAGGTCACCCTACCGCCCGGCCTGGCCAAGCTCGTCGTGCAATATGCCCAACACAGAAGCGCTATAACGCGCGGTGGTTGGACCCTCGCCTTCCTATTCCTAGCAATCCGCGTCCGCTCCGCACTCACAAAACAAAAGCCAAAAACCGGTCCAGCCGCAGCTCAGGAGGTGGAGCAACGTCGGAGCAGGAAGGGAAAGAAAGGTGGGGGCCCAAGGGCGGATGTCGACGCGGTATTCTTCAAGCGGTTCGGGAAGCTCCTGCGCATCATCATCCCGGGAGTCTCCAGCAAGGAGTTTTGGCTCCTCAACACCTTCTCAGGTTTCCTGCTCGGAAGGACGCTCCTGTCGCTGTACATTGCAGACCTCGATGGAAAAATCGTCAGCGCCCTCGTCCGCGGCCAAGGACGCCAGTTCCTGCTGTACATCGTATACTGGATGGCCGTAGCCGTGCCCGCAACCTACACCAACAGCATGCTCACCTTCCTGCAAAACAAGCTGGCCATCGCTTTCCGAACCCGCTTGACCAACCACATCCATGACCAGTACCTCGCAGACATGACCTTCTACAAGGTCGGGAACCTCGATGACCGCATCAAGAACGCCGACCAGCTCATCACACAGGACGTGAGCAAGTTCTGCTTTGCCGTGTCGGAGCTGTACGCGAATCTCAGCAAACCCACCCTGGACACCCTACTCTACAACTGGCAGCTCGCGAGGAACGTCGGCGGCGAAGGCATCTTTGGCCTTACAGCCGTCGTCCAGAGCTCCGCGTGGGTACTCCGCGTGCTCACCCCGCACTTTGGAAAAATGGTCGCTGAGGAGCAACGTCTCGAGGGCGAGTTCCGCTTCACCCATTCCCGCCTTATCGAAAACGCGGAAGAGATCGCACTTTACGGCGGCCACGCCGTCGAAAAGGGCAACCTCGACCAGAACTACTTCAACCTCATCCGCCACGTCAACCGCATCTTCAAGACCCGCATCTGGCACGGAATGCTCGAGGACTTTGTCATCAAATACGTGTGGGGCGCTATGGGCATGGCCATTTGCGGCATTCCGGCTTTCTTTGAGTTGCCGGGAACCGATGGGAGCAGTGATGTGGGCAGTCGGACGCAAGGGTTTGTCACTAACCGGCGTTTGTTGCTCAGTTCGGCCGATGCTTTCGGTCGCATCATGTAAGAACCAGGGAATCGGATTGTCAGATGTGAATCACCCTTTGTCGTCAACTGATGTACATCTGTTGCCTCTTTTCCTATAGGTACTCGTACAAAGAGATCTCAGAACTAGCCGGCTACACCGCGCGCGTCTCTGAGCTCACCACTGTCTTTGAAGACCTGCGCGCCGGCAAGTTCCAAAAAACCCTCACCTCCAACGCCGACGTCAACACTCTCAAACACCGCGGAAGCCTCGTCGAAGGTGAAAACATCGAATTCACAAACGTCCCCATCGTCTCCCCCAACGGCGACGTCCTCGTCAAAGCCCTCACCTTCCACGTCCACCCCGGAATGCACCTCCTCATCGTCGGCCCCAACGGCTCTGGCAAATCCTCCCTCTTCCGCATCCTCGGCGGCCTGTGGCCCGTGTACGGCGGCACCGTCGAGAAACCGCACTACAAGAAGGTCTTTTACATCCCGCAACGCCCTTACTTATCCATGGGCACCCTCCGCGACCAGATCATCTACCCGGACACGCACGCCGAGATGCTCGCCAAAAACACCACCGACGCCGATCTACAAGCCATCCTCTCCGTCGTCCAAATCGGACCCATCGTCGACCGCGAAGGCGGCTGGGACGCCGAAAAGGACTGGAAGGACGTGCTGGCCGGCGGTGACAAGCAGCGTATCGCCATGGCGCGGCTGTTCTACCATAAGCCCCGCTACGCCATCCTCGACGAATGCACGTCCTCGGTCTCCATGGACATTGAGCGGATCATGTACACCCACGCCCAATCCCTCGGCATCTCCCTGATAACCGTGTCCCACCGCCCGAGTCTGTGGAAATACCATAACTGGATCCTGCAGTATGACGGGCAGGGCGGGTATGTTTTCACGAAATTGGATGCGGAACGGAGGTTGGCGTTGCAGGAGGAGAAGAATTTGTTGGAGCAGAGGTTGATTGAGGTGCCCAAGACGGAGAAGCGGTTGAGGGAGCTGAGGGAGGTTTTTAGGGCGACGCCGGCGGGGTCCAGGCCGGAGAGTGAGGGGTCGAGTGAGGGGGATGAAGGGACGGATTAGGGGGGGGGGGGGGGGGGGGGGGGGGTTGTTTAGATAGGCCTTTGGGTGAGGGGTATGGCGTTTGGTGTTTTTCTGAATACATTTCTTTTTGTCAAAACAAGGCGGGTGAAACGACGACTACGAAAATGTCCTCTGAGTATGATTTACCAAAACTAGATACACTACTACGCTAATCTTATCCCCAAAAAAACCGACGCTTAAACATTCATCCCAAAACAGCCATCTCCCCAAAGGTCCCCTCCCTCCCATCACTTAAGCCCCCCTATTACTAGCCCTCCCCCTTACTTCCAAACCTCCGCAACACTCCTAAAAATCCCCCTAATCTCCTCCCCAACCGCCTTCACAACCCCCGCAACCGGCCGCACAACAACCTCCTCCACCCCCCTCACCACCGCCCTCCCCATCTCCGCAACCACCCTCCCAACCGCCGCCACACCCCCCCACACCGGCGCGAGGACATACCGGTGCACACCCGTGCCGATGGCGCGCAGCCCCGCAAGGACGGGCACGACGAGCCCATCGCGTACCCCCCGGCCAACGACCCTGACCCCCGCCCACACAGCGGACCCCACCCGCGCAGCCGCGCGCCCGATCGTCCGCACAACCCACCCACACCCGCCCGCGACGGCCGTCACGACCCACCATACCCCCGCGGCGACGGCGGCGACGACCCGGTACACGGGCGTGAGCACGTACGCATGCACGCCGCGCGCAACGACACACACCCCCCTCCACACGCGGACCGCGCCCCATGCGATCACCCCCCCGAGCGTGCGCGCGACGTACCAGCACCCCTCCCCGACGGCCGCGACCGCCGCGAACATCCACCCGGCGACCCGCGTGACCGCGCCCCACACCGGGCGGAGGACGGCGGTGTGGATCCCGCGCGCGAGGAGCGCGAGGAGGTGTCCGAGCGGGGCGAGGACGGTGGTCCAAACCCACCCACCCACAGCGCCGACGCACCGTCCGACGACGCCCCCCACGGCCGCCACCCCCGCGCATATCCTCCCCACGGCCCACCCGACGCCCCTCAGGACCGCGACGACGGCGGTGTGCAGCGGGTGCAGGACGTACGTGCCCACCGCGCGTCCGAGGGCGCGGAGCGGCGCGACGATGCAGGTGCGGATGAACCAGCCGAGCGCGGCCCCGAGCGGCGCCAGCACCCACGTCCACACACCGCTTGCGGTCCAGACGAGCGCGGTCCCCACCGCCCTCACCGCGTCCCACAGCGTGCGAACCAGGACCCGCAGGGCGGTCCACAGCCCGAGGGGGAGGAGGTACGCGACGGCGTAAAACGGAAAACACAAGCAGGTGGCGATGCGGATGCAGGGCGTGCGGGGGGCGGGGGGGTAGTACGTCGGCGGCGGCGGCGGGGGTGGTTCGGTCGCGGGTGTGTAGGTAGGCGGCGCGGGGTCGGGTTTCTCGATCGTGATGACCGTCGTTGTGGGGATCGAGGAACTTCGCGGCGTGTGGGGTGGGGATGACCGGGGGACTGTGGAGGCTGCCCGGTCGCTGAGATCCACCCCGTGCGTCCCACCCCCGTCATCCGGCTTCCCAACCCCTTCTCCCTCTGCCCCGAGCGTCGGCCGAACATCCACCCACGAGGATGATGTGGGCACATCGATACGCGTTTCAGACTGAGGGTGATGTCCCGGCCCCGATGTCTCACCACCCCCCGACGACCCCCGTGCATCCGACGGCACCGACTCCGGGACGCGCGAGGGCGAGGGCGAGGACGTCAACCCGCTGTGATCAAGAATCGGATCGTGGGCATGGAGTGGTGGTGCTGACGGGCTGTCCTGCAGATGCGCTTGCTGCTGTAATTGCGCTTGCGATTGGAATGGCGCTTGCGATTGCGCCGGCTGCGCTAATCGCGATGAATCCTGTCCTGCCACCGACGCACATGCGACGCTCCGGCCGCCCTCCTCCGTGTCGATCCGGATATCCAGATCGTCATCGCTGCCCCGCCCCGGTGCCGTTGCGGGCCGGTGGTCGCTGGGCATGATTTTCGTTCGTTCCGTTCGTTCAACGGGCACACTTCGTTTTTTCTCAAAAGCGTCTTCACAACCCTCCCGGGCTGTACTCGTATGCCCCGACTCGCACTCGCACTGAACGTGGGGATGTAATCCAAACGGGATCCGTTTTCCGAGCGGTCCTCTAACGAGAGGAAGGGCTGCAAATCAAAACACACAAATGCCAGATGCGGAGAGGTGGATGACCTCGGAAAACGCCCCCCCCCCCCCCCCGCTTATATCAGACCATATCCAGAAGGGGAGGCCTGTGTGCGATAAGCGTAACCTACCCATGGGGGTGCCTGACAAGACAGCATGTTTTTGACGGCACGAAAATGACAGCACAGCCTCAACCCGGCCGCTTATCACACCCCGACGGCGCGCCGCACATTTGCGCCTCGTTGGAGGGTGCCTTCGCTGGCTTCTCCCGACGTCGGGTTGGGTGGCGTTCCCCTCCTCCCACCGCCATGCATATAAAACGAAGAAGCTTCAGACACCCCCCCCCCCCCAATCTCGGCGCTGTGGAATCTCGAGCGCCCGAATCTCGGAAGTATGTAAAAGGGCTCATAGAAACGGTTTGTTCGTAGGGGGGCAATTTCAAAAATCGCGGATATATCATTATCATAGAGAGCGTGACAGTTTTCGCAAGTCCATAACAAAGGGGCGACAAAACAACAAAAAAAAAGTGACAAATCTAGAAAAAGAGGTGGTGGGGTGGACGCAGAACGACAAAAAAAGGTGGGGGAGGAGGTTATAGAAAGTAACCGGTCCGTCTAAAAAAAAAAAGGTAAACCAGGGGAAAGCGGTGAAAAAGGAAACTTGCAGTGGGGAGAAGTCCGGGGCGGGATGGATGGGATGTGGGGGGATGCTGATCATCTATCTCGTTTTATGTACACACGTCGAGGTCGTCGGACAGTTTTTTGTCGCAGGCGGGGCGAGTTCAGGGCGCATACCGCATATGCACCGCAGCGGCGGTTCTATCCCCCCTCATCACCGGCGAGGCATCGTTCGTCGGTGTGGCACTCCCTGCCCCTGCCTCCCCTCCAAACACCAACACACCGCTCGCGTTATCCGCGGCTCCCGGCGGGGGTAGGAACGCTAAGGAGGGTGGTTGACCATTCGTGGATTCCGAGGGACTTGTTGTGGTGGAGGACCCGAGGGATTGGGCCGAGGTACCGCTGTTGGAGCGCATGAAGGGGAGCTTGCCCATTATTTTGGAGAGGCGTTTTTTGCCGGAGCCCGAGAGGCGTTTTTGTTCTGTTGATGAGGTTGGTTGGGATTGCGTTTGTTGTTGTTGGGGCTGCGGTGGTTGTTGATGGGGTTGGGATTGCGGTTGTGTTGGTTGTTGATGCAATTGGGCAGATATCGGCGATTGAGCATAAGGCGACCCAAGCGACGTAAGCTGCTGTATCATCGGGTCATCCGTCAACAGCGCTTCAGAGGTGTTAGGTAACTGCATCGTTTGCCCGTTCCGCTCGCTCACCGACTCGGCAAGCGCGTTGTACGCGTTCCCATTGAGCACACCCTCAGAGTGCCCGCGTATCTGGTTCGCCTGCTGCTGCTGCTGCTGCATCATCGCCGCCTGCGCCAACATCGACCCGCCGGCCATGCTTTGCTGTACGTGTTGCTCGAATGTCAGGGTCCCGGGGCTCGGTTGCATCGCAAAGTTCTGCATCTGCGGCGACTGGGAGGACTGATGCAGGTGCATCGGGTTCGGGTGTCGGGTAGGAGAATTCAGATCGAGCCGTCCTTGTTGCTGCTGCGTTGCGTGCAGCTGTTTGAGCTGTTGACTTATCGACATCGACTGCTGCATGGGCATGTTCATCGCGACGGGGGAGTGGCCGACCTGCTGCTGCATGTAACTCGGGGACGGTTGCTGCTGGTCGTAGGTCCCGTAGCTGGGATCGTACCCGTGGGACCCGACCATGCTCTGTTGTTGTTGTTGTTGCTGTTGCTGTTGCCGCTGCATGTCCAGCATCTGCTGCTGCTCCAGCGAACTCATCATCGCGTTGTACATGCTCTCGACCCTGTGGCTGCCCGACATATTCGATCCTAGGATCTGGCTTGGCGCCTCGAGCGGCATCGAGTTCGAGTCCATCATCATCATCTCGGACTGCATCGCTCCACCCTGGATATTGGACGGGTTGCCCTGCATCATACCAGACTTCCCTTCCAACCGCATGGCGAGCGGGGACGCCGCGTTCCGGTCCAAACTCGAATGCGACGGTGAGTAGTTCACCAAACCTGCTGGCGACTGCGGGAACGCACCGCCACCGTTGGCGAGACCCAAATGCTGTTGCTGCTGATGTTCCAAAAACGCGTTGGCGGCCGCCGCTTCGCCCAACGTGATCCCCTCAAAACCTTGCATGACCATATCCGACTCGGGCCAGTGCGCTATGTCCGGGGGTATACCCTGCATGACGGGCGAGTCGCCTTGATAAAACACACCGCTGGCGGCACTCGTGGACGATCGGGACAGGATGGAGCTTGTACTGAGCGTACTTCCCGTTCGCCGATGTCCTATGAAACTCGCCGTCAATGCAGAGACCTCCTCCCGACTTAGTGAGCCGCTCACTGATCGCTGCGAGGGCCGGCGCTGGGCGCTTCCTCCTGAGCCATCTCGAGTCTTTTTGTTCGGGATGCTCTTGGTCCGCGTGAGCGTCTCCGTGAGTTGAGGTGTCCGCGGTATCCCCCTCTGTCTCGAGTGCCCTGGGGTTGACGACGATCGCCTGACCTCGCCCCGTGTTCCCTGCAGAGGCGCCAACCCCAGTTCGTCAAAAAGTGGTGACTGCCCGTCTATCGAGTGATGGGATGGCATAACGCCCACTGCGAGGTTCGGGTCCATCACCAGCTGACCCATCGGCATCGACATTACGGCAGGTGGGCTTCCTGCCAGCCAATCTGCGGAGAGTGCCGGGAACGTGTTGATGGGAGGCATTCCATTCATGGGATGCATCGCGGCCGATCCGTTCGGGTGCATGAAGGCCAGACCAGCTGACGGAACAACGTTCGGGTCGAAACTGCCCATCAACGGCTGTTGGGTATATGAATGTGGATGTGGATGTGAATGTGGATGTATCGGCCTGCCTCCCATGTGGGCCAAAGGATTGTTCATCGACAGGCTCTCCCTCGAGGATTTCGCCATCATCGCCTCCACCAGACTCTCAGGCATTCCTCGTGAACCGTCTGCAGTTTCACTCAGCGTATGGTGGATCTTGTGCCAGTTCTTTGCTTCATAGGCGTCGTGCAAATCAAGCAGGAGCTCGACAAATTCTGAATGCGTGGTGTCTGGTGGGGTACAGGATTGCTTGATGTCCCGGAACCGATTGAACAATGGCTCTTTCAACCATATTCGCCATCCCTGAGAAAATGAGAGTGTGATAGGTGAGTGCTTCCGTCTGGGTATTCCTCAAGCTGCACTGATTCCGTACCTTTGAGGCTGGAACGCAGCCAGCAATCTTGACTCGCGCCTCCTTCACACTTTCTCTCGAAAACTGCACCTTTATCCCCCTGCCCACATTCTGCTGTGCAGCTTCAAACTCATCTAACAACTGCTCCAAGAAATCCGGATACCGATTGTCCTTTGTTGGAGGAGGAAATCGATCCTTCTGGAAAGCCGCCAGCTCAGCACCATGCCTGTCGCGTCGCCGTGACGCCGAGGGCCGCCGGCTGTCTAGCGCTGAAGAATCCTCTGTTGTGAGCTCCCCTCCCTCCACAAACTCATCAGGACCTGCTAATGGCGCCTCGAGGGTGCCGGAGGTAATCTGACTCTTGATGGTGGTGTTGTCGTGTAGCTGTTGTTGTTGTTGTTGTTGTTGTTGTTGTTGTTGTTGTTGTCGCGGAGGAGCGATGTCGGGCATGCCCATCGTCATGGCAGGGGGTATCAGGTAGTCTGCATAATGCCTCGGCTCGTGCTTTACTACACCGTAGTTGGCCGGAATATCTTGCAGCTCCATGGTACCTCAAACGTGCACGAATGCCTCGCTCGTAGAGTGAAAGTTACGCGCTGGGAAGCAGTATACGCCCCGGCCTGTGTCGAGTTGAAGCCCCTGAGAGCCGTGGTCGAGTGGGCAGCGAGTGTCGAAGTGTGAAATGGATTTTCCCACGGACGCCTATATGGGGCCTAACTCTCGAATGTGCCGTGGGAAGTGCCTATATCTGACGCCGGAGAAAGGCGATTGTGGAAGCTTTTCGTGGCGATGCTGTGCAAAGCTGCAAGTATGCGGAGCAGAAGTGCAATGGGGCTTGCCTTCACCGTGCTCTATGTATGCGGTCGGCAATTGACGTAATGTCTCACTTTCTGCGCACTTCCGGCCGGGGTATGCGTGCGACGCTTGTGAGTCTAGATTGCGTGCGTGCGAGCACTGTTCACAAGGGTTGAGACCGAGGACAAAGCGAAAGTGCGATAGACGGACGAAGGTGAAATCAGTTCTCTTTGTCCTGTTTGTTGTTGTTGTTGCTGGGTTCCAGTAGTAGTGTATATGGTTTGGGGAACTTTTGTGCAGCGTGTGGGTAGGGCCTTTCACGCCAGAGGTCTTTCCTATGCGGTATGCCAGGGACACACAACACGGGCGGGTGGGTGTGCAGCCATCTGCAGGAGACACTGGGAGATGGGTGGATGGATGGTCATGACGCTGGCCGTGGATTTGTTCGCCCCCCTGCACCCCCCCCGCCCCCCTTCGGCTTCCGGTTGCTCTCCCTGCTTCTCGCCCCCTCCTCTCTCTGACGACTGACGGGCGAGGCTCAGGTCCACCCTGGCTGCGCCACCCAAACGCTCTACGCGTTACCTTAAGGCACAATTAGGGAAATTAAAGCAGTTTCCTCACAAAACCCTCTTTTTTGAGCAGCCATTCCATCCCACAGACATGCAGGACAACCTATTCCATTTGCATACGGCTCCAGTTGCCTACTTTGGCCAATCCCCTCTAAGTGTCTGTGGGGGTAGCTGTTGCAACAAACTTAACACAGAGGCCCAAAAGTCTGAGTAGTAACTGTCTTTCCTTGGCCGTTTTTGGGTAAAACTTGCCAGTTAGAGGTGTCAAACCCTGAACCAGTGCCTTCTTCACCAAACTGCCTAATCAATCTTTCTGCTAGCATGTCTGGCTGTCAAGATACTGCTCAACATGTGCAGCAACTTTGGGTCTGCGAAAACCTCTTTAAGTCCAAAAGTCGTCAAAAAGCTGTCAGTGGCTTAGCCAGGGTGGACCTCAGGGGCGAGGTTCCAATTCCAATGGGGGTTCCGAGTCTACCCGACGCCGTCACACAATGCCGGTGCGCGCCCAGTAGTGATGCACCCGTCCCCAAGGGCGCAAGCGACGGACCACACGAGTTGTAATCCTTCTGCGCGTCCAAACGGCCAAACGGCAACCCGCCCCCCCCTTCGGCCCGAAATTTCTACCGTCCCTACGTTTCAGACGAGTCCCACCTGCAAAAAACTCAACTCAACCACAACGAGCGAGCAAAACGACACCACCTTTCCTCCGCCGCCCCCCCGGACCTTGCACCGGGCAAACCCGCCCCAACCGGGTTCGAGGACACGACGTTGACGGACATCCGGCGGGTTTCCCCCCCCAAAGGGGTATTGTGTTCCCCAAGATGCGTCGACGCGCAGGGGGGAACCTATATAATGGTCGTGGACGTGCACTGCCATCTCATCAAGGTCCCGCATCCGTTGGGGGGTGGGAACATATCCAGGTGGCCTTCTCTGTCGCGAACCAATATGGGGATGTGATTCCGCGGTTCCCGAATACGCCTCACTTCTGAATTTCCTCGACACCAGTTTGAAGAAACAAAGAATAGCTTTGGGGTTCGCCCCCAACACCAGATTCCCGCTGAGCAGGAGCCAAATCTCGGAAAGCCCGTTGCGCTGCGGACGGAGACGGGAGGAATGTGGTGCTTGATGTAGCTAACAAGGCGCGGAAAAAAAAACCAATAGCAGATGGGGTACGACTTCCGATAGTGCAACGAATCATTGGGTCCCAGCCACCTCTCTCAGGTCGCCCCAACTTGTCTTTCCAGGAATGTGGGGTTTTCCCTCTCCTGTATGTACAGTACATTCCAACGAAAGCAAAAAACACCCCGCAAATCAATGCTCCTAAAAACAAAACTCCCCAAACTGAGGGTTTGGAAGGGGGCCCCGAACGGCCAAACCGGTGCATATGTGTGTTCGTGTAATATATTGCAATGGGGGGGGTGTCCAGGGGCCGCGAAACGGGGTGGCCCCATCCCATCCTGCCACTATACCATGTTCAAACACCCGATGCATGGACAAGACTGGGGGAGTGGGGGTGAAATATCGGCTCACGGCTTCATCACCCCCACGCCGGCCAACCCGAGTGCAGCCAACAGGCCCGCCATGCGTTTCGAGTTCCGAGCTCTGAACGCATACATCTCCTGCTCCTCCGCGTCGGCTTGCCCACCCGCATACGCTGCATGATGGTCGTCCCCATCGACACCCGACATGGGTCTCGGGCTCGCCAGACTGCTTGATCGATCCGCCTCGGTGAAGTATCCCGACGCCGAGCGGTCGACGCCCGGGTGGGTGGAGGTTTGCGGGTGCTGGGGGCGGGTTGTTGTGATGGGTGGTGGGAGACTCGTATGCGTGTTGTTGTGGTGGGGGGATGGCGTGGAGGGGGATTGTTGGAGGGTCCCGTGGATGGATGCCGGGCGGCTGGTGTTGGTGTAGTTGTCATAGGAAGGATGTGACGATGAAACGTGGTTGTGCACGGTTTCTGGGGCGGAGGAGTGGCGAGAGATGGGTGGTGCGTTGCTGCTGTCCGGCGTCTTGACCTGTTTATCGCGGCTGGAGGCGCCTGGGAGATGGCGGAGGACGACGATGCGGCCTGCTGTTGTCGAGTCTGCCGCGGAGGACGATCTTTCCGACGCCCTGGACGCGTTAGGCAACAACGAAGCGATCCGCTCATCGTCCAGTGTTCCTACACTCTCAACCTCCAGATCCCCCAACGTGACGCGGATGACGAATTGGAGGGTATGTTTCGGCTGCTGCTGTTGTTTCTTGCTGCTACTTCCCCCACCGGCAACACCGGAAGTGGCCGCAAATGCGCTGACAATCCTCAACAGGCCGTTCGTCTGACCTCTCCCACTCCCCCGCTGTCTATGCTGAGCGGGTGTCCCATTCGGCAACAGGGCCGACGCAGAGGACGCAGCCGACGTAGTGTTAGACAGCGCCGGACTACTGGCATTCGCATTCCCCATCCATCCATGACCGGTGTTGTACATGTGCGAGATGGCGGTACTCGCCCTTCGAACACCTACACTGGTGCCCGACGAACTCGCGTGCGAGGACAGGGCGGATATGGAAGCTGAGATGGAAGCCGACCGTGGGTCGATGGAGAGGAGGAGACAGTCGCTGAAGACGTGCATTTGGAGCGTGAGACCCGAGAAGAGCTCGTCGACTTCGAAGTTGGAGAGGAGGCGGCGGCGGGAGGCTGAGATGATGTCCGGCTGGCGAGCGTTAGCGAGCGGGATGAAAGATAACGGTTAGACGTAAGAATATGGAAAACGGAATTGCGGGGTTGGACGACGAATGCCAGGGGTACGTACGGGACACCCCTTAATCTCCTGAAACACGCTAAACACCCTCCTCAATTCCTCCTCCTGTTTCTGCACGCTCTCCAGCACGTCGCCGATCTGCTTCATGTACTGTTCCGCCGTTTCGATCCTACAAACAAACAACAACTCGCAGATCAGCCTCCAGGATTACATTTCCATGAAAAAAGGAAGTGGTGGGAAAAGACAGACAACGTACGCTTGATGGACGGGATCTTCTTCGTCTGTGACTTTCTTTAACCGGCCGAGGAGGAGGTGGTACCGCCCGATCCGCTGGACGGGGAGGATCATGTAGTGGTCGAATGTGTAGCGGTTGCATTCCTTAGCGCTCTCACATCTCTACATTCCCCACAATAACAAAATGTTCAGCGTAAACTCTCTCAACGCCAAATTCGAGGTGTAAACCAAATACCCTACCTCCAACATAGTCGTAAAAGCAACCCGTTTCTTCATAGTCGTCAAGGTCTGCTTCGCATGCGCATACCCCTCCATATACCTCACATAAGTCGACCACTCCTCAAACTCCACATTCGACAAGAAAACATCTACAACCGCCGTCACAGCCCCGCCACCCGTCGGTCCTTCCTGGTCACTCTCCGCTCTATCCAGCGCATCCTTCAGCAACCCACAAATCTTCTTACTCAGATTTCTCAACCCGGGGATATTGCGGAACAGCATGGAATGTTCCATCTTGGTGATGACGGCATTCTCGGAGTCCGGGGAGGTGGTGGTGGAGGTGAAGATGCATTGGGCGAGGGGGACCATGAACTGGTCGATGAGGATCTGCATGCCATCGCGGAAGTTTTTTTCGGTTTCGTAGAGCTCCGTGACAACTTGGCGGGCGAATTTTCGCTTTTCGATGACTTGAGCGGAGAGAGGGGGTGGTTGGGAGTGCTCTTGGAGGTTGGCGTATGGGTTGATGAGGCGGGATTTGGGGTCGGCGAATCCGGTGGCGTCGACTGCTGTGTGTGATGGAGTGTGTGATGTGGGCGGGACGTCGGCTTTGCTGGTGGCAGAGCTGCTGCTTTGGATGGAGGCTGCGCGGACGGGGAGAGGTTGTTGGTTTCCGACGGCTGGATACTCTTCGGGGCCGGTAGCGGCACCCCAAGGTGATCCGCCGAGATGACCTGACATGGGGCGGCCAGATCCATCGGAATGGAACGAAGATAGGCTTTTCACGCTCCCTGTGCGAGGGAGGCCGTCAGCCGTGCTGAGGTGCATAGCGTGCGAGGAGGGTCCCAGAACAGGAGATGCGGTAACATCATTGACAGGCGTCGCGAGAACCGGCTCGGGAAGCGAGGGTGCGTGAGCGGCGGCGAGGTTGACGTTTGGTATGAAAGGGGCAGAGTGCCCTGTTATGGACGAGTTCCTAGTCGGTGCAGGGCTGCTGGTTGCTGTACCAGACCCTCTGACAGAGCCGAGCGATGGTCCACGCCTAGGTAATGGTCCGGTATCGACGTCGTCTGGCACGACTATGCAACTCAAAGGGAAAGACCCCATCGCCCCGGTGTTCAGGTTCGTCCCTATTCCGGTAAGACCATCGTCCATCTCGATGTCCAGCTTCACGCGATCCATGAGTTTGATGTTGATTGCCAATTCGTCTGAAGGGTCAGCTACTACCTCATGGTAGCACGTATACACATTTGTATCTTGCGCGGAAGCAGCGTCGCTGCTGCCTGCGACTGGCGCAGGTTCAATGGGATCGTGCCCGAACGTCGCGTCCACCGGCCTTTCAGCTGCATGGTAATGCTCGTTTGCAGGATAATAATCTGTTGAGCCAGCCGAGTGCGGTGTCGGTGTCAGCCGCTCAGAAAAGAGTGGAGGTGTGGAGAGGACAGCTGGTGCTTTGCCTTTCCCCTTCAATGTGTTGACTCTCCCGGTGCGGTTTTGCAGCGCGGTTTCGATCTCGCTGCAGAACACGGAAACCATCCTGACGGTCCGCAGAACGCCATCGGGCTCGTCATGGGTCAAGGCAGCATTCCGGATATCCTCGATCCGGAACCGTGCCAGCTCATCGGCTAAGCTGAGTAAGAGATGCAGACAACTGCCGACGTCGTTACTTGCGTGTGGATCATTGGAGGACGAAGGTTCTAGCGGATCCTCCATCGGCATAGTCGGGAATGCTGGGAAACTCCGAGAAGGCGGTTGTGGCGATGAGCCAGCATAGCCGTTGTGGGTGTAAGATCTCCGACCGACGTGAGCGCTGCTCGCGGATTCTTGATATGCCATAGGTTGTGGGAAAGCTACTCTATATTGTGGCGGCCCGTCTCCCGCCCCTACTTCTGGACTGTTGTTCCCTTGCCTCCCACTTCCACCAGGGGTATGAGGCGACGACATGAGTGTCTTGCTAGCCTGCCCGCAGCTAGCAAATCTTGCCCCAAAAGAAGACTAAGTACACGAGGACGAGTGCCGTCGAATATTGACTAGCGGAAGCCGGAATCCACGGGATGTAAGTTCCAGATCGCGTACGAGGGGTTGGATGTTTGGCGAAGCTCAAAGCCTGCAGACTTGACAGCCAGCGCTCTCCACGTTCGCGAGGTTGCTAAAGTGACAACCGCACGAGTGAGGCAGTTTGAAAGGCGGTCCAAGCAAGCGCCTAAGCGACGGATGTGCGGTGGGGAAGCCGATGGTGTTGTGGGTATGGGTATGGGGGAGGGGGGGGGGGGGGGGGTTTCGTTTGCGTCGCTGGTAGGGGTTAGCTAGCGGCCAAAGGGAGTGAGTGAGTTCTCGGCGGCAAATGGGAGCCAAAAAGCCAAATTGAGGATGATGATGATGATGGAATGACGGGGGGGGGGGCAATTAATTGCATCGCCCCATGCTCAGTCACGTGCGATTCATACAAGGCGTGTTCCTTCACGCACTCTCCCACCTTTTTGCATCTCTCACTGGAGACCTGTGCTGAACCCTGCAAGAAACCGCCGCTGGAAGACCCCATAAATACACGAGAAGAGGAGCGCCATATATATATACCCGTGCTGCTGTGCTGCCACTCCTCGATATACGTACCCGGTCTCATACGAAGTTCCTCAACTATCAGTTATATATCCTCGCCCACCATGGACGACGACGGCTTAATGCTAAACTTCGCCACGGCCGACGACTCTACTCCCGTCGTGGCGAAAAAGAAGACTTCCTTAAGAGTAAACGACGTCGCAGCCTCGCTCGTCAACAAGCGAGGCGGCTGGAGAGCTAAGCGCCTCGAAGCCAAAAAGGTCATTCAGAGAGTCAAGAAGCAGGAACGCGCTGAAACAGCAGAAACTCTAAGGAAACAATTTGGTGCAGTCGGAGAAGGAGAGGGAGCAGGGGAGAAACGGAAGCGGCCGGAGGGTGAGGAGGAGGACCATGATCATACTTCTTCCAAACGGGCGAACAACGGGACGAGCGCGGCGGCGGGACAGAATGGAACGGGAGCGCAGACCTATGCGCGGCCGAAGCAACCACTACCCGGAACAAAACAGATCATTTCGTCGATTTTCACAATGAACCCCGAGGCGGAAGTGTCAGCCGCACCGGCAGAAAAGACACAGGAACCGAAAGTCGAAGAGCCAACACCAGAACCACAACAACAACAACCCCCAAAAATCTTCGACACGACCTCCTTCCCCGGTCTAGGGCTCGACCCCGTGATGTGCGCCCACCTGGCAACCAAGCTCAACTTCAAAGCCCCCACTCTCATCCAACGCGCCGCGCTCCCATCCCTCCTCCGCAACAGAGACAAAGACCACGTCCTCCAAGCCCAGACGGGATCCGGGAAAACGCTAGCCTTCCTGCTGCCCATCCTGCACAGAATGCTGATGGCGGAGAAGGAGTTTGGGGATAGCGCGCAGGAGATGCTGAAGCGGGATCTGGGCACGTTGGCGATCGTGTTGGCGCCGACGCGCGAGTTGGCGAAGCAGATTGAGAATGTGCTTAATTCGTTGTTGAAGTATTCGGCGCATGGGGCGGCGGCTGTATACGGCGATGATGAGGATGAAGATGACGATGACGACGACGAGGAAGATGATGGTGAAGATGGCCAGAAAAAGGAAAAGCGAGTGTCACCAATAAAAGCGAAACCGCCCACACCCACCGGCCCAACACCCGACACCCCCCGCACTACGCACCGCCACTGGATCGTCGCCGGCAACGTCATGGGCGGCGAAAAAAAGAAATCCGAAAAAGCCCGTCTCCGCCGCGGCGTCACCATCCTCGTCTCCACGCCCGGCCGCCTCCTCGACCATCTCAAAACCACCAAAGCGTTCGAGGTCGGCAACCTCCGCTGGCTCGTGCTCGACGAGGCTGACCGACTACTCGAGTTGGGCTTTGAGGAGACATTGAGGGATATTCTGCGGATTTTGGCGGAGAAGAAGGAGGTTGCGGGAAGGATGAGGAAACGGTTGATGGTTAAATCGTGGCCGCCGAATCGACAGACGATTCTCTGTTCGGCGACTATCCAGGGCGGGGTGCAGAAACTGGCCGAGGAAGCATTGACCGACCCGGAATTCGTCAAAGCGGAAACAAGGCGGGAGAAGAGTAAACGGTTGAAGGAGGAGCGCGAAGCCGCGGGCGGGGTCAAGACCAACAAATCGGCCGAGGGGGATGTCGACGCGGATGATATGGACATGGACGGCGCGGACGAGGGCGCGGACATCACTGTCCCGAAGCAGCTCAAACAGCAGTACCTGATCGTCCCCGCGAAGCTGCGACTGGTCACATTAGTCGGCGTGTGCAGGCAGATCATCAGGACGTGGGAGTCGAATGCGTTGGTGAGGGGGGACAGAAAACCGTGCAAGATTATGATGTTTGTGTCTAGCACCGATTCGGTGGATTTTCATTACCATATCCTGGCGAATGGGCATAAGGCGCCGTCGGATGAGGAGATGCGGAGAAGGGAGGCTGAGCAGGATGCTGAAGCGGAAGAGGAAGAGGAAGAAGAGGGTGAAGGCGACGAACGGGGGGACGGCGAGGACTATAATAACGACGCCAAGCCTTTCCAAAAACCCCGCTTCAAACCCCGCTTCTCCGACCCCAGCCTCGCCCCACCCCCACCCACCCTCCTCCAAACCACCAACCCGTCCCCAACCCCCCTCCTCCCCTCCCCAACCCACATCTACAAACTCCACGGCTCCCTCCCTCAATCCGCCCGCACAGCCGCCTACACCGCCTTCACCACCACCCCAACCCACGCGGTCCTCTTCTGCACAGACGTCGCCGCCCGCGGTCTCGACATGCCCGACGTCGCCGCCGTCATCCAGTACGACCCCCCCGCAGACGTCAACGACTACGTCCACCGAGTCGGCAGAACAGCCCGACTGGGCCGACAGGGCCACGCCATGCTCTTCCTCCTCCCCTCCGAATCCGAATACGCGCCCTACCTCGCCACCAAGAACATCCACCTATCGCAAGCCGACATCGCCGCCGCCCTCGCGTACCTCATCGACACGCACGACCCCCTCAAACCCCTCCGCGCGAACAACGCAAAGGGCCGCCGACCGTACGAGCTCCCCGCGACGAACCTGCACATGATGTACGAGCGGTTCACCCTCGCGCACCCGGACACCCTCACCCTGGCGCAGTCGGCATACACGTCGCATCTCCGCGCCTATGCGACGCATACACCCGCCGAGCGTGCGTTTTTCCACATCAAGAACCTGCATCTGGGCCACATTGCGAAGGCGTTCGCGCTGCGGGATAAGCCGCTGGATGTCGCGGATGTGGAGAACGCGAGGAGGGCGAAGGAGAAGAAGATGGAGAGGGAGGAGATGAAGAGGAGGGAGAAGCCCGGGAGTGCGATGTATAAGAAGCGGAATGAGGTTTTGTTGAGGGCGAGTGCGAGTGAGTTTGGGGATGGCGGGGTGGGGAGGATTATGGCTGTTGGGGCGGGGGATAAGGGCGCGGCGAAGAGACGGAGGAAGGCGGTTGGGAAGTAGGTGTTGTAGGAAGGGTCTGGGATAGTTGATTAGGGCTGTAGGTATCTCCCTTCTCCCTGCAGTGGTAGTACAGTATATAGTGTTTGCATAGGCGAGACGAGTAATTTAAATGTTTTTTTTTGCCCGAAAGATATCTACGCTATTCTATAAACAGGCCTTCCGTATGGCCGTGCTAAGCCTTGTTGTTTGTTAGATGTGACGGACAGACTTCCATGACGAAAACTACCTGTTGGTCCGCACTCCGAGTTGGAGTGTTTTCCGGGGCTTTCCGTCCTGCCACCTATCGTCCGTCCCAATACATACATTCGCCACACATGGTACGGAAGGCTCCCGCATATACGTTTTCCGGAGTTTGCAAGTGAGAAAAGGAAAGCCGCATGGTCGAATACTCGATCTTGAAGCATTCCGATTTGGTAGACTTGCAGCACATCATTCCTCCTACACGGATTCAGAGGTTGTCATGCCCTAAAACAGCAGCCTCCTACACACTTTATTTTCATCGGAGGTCTCGCGCAACGGAGGGGAACGGATGTCGGCGGGGGTTAGAGAAATCTTTGTTCGGCTTTGGGTTACGCTTCCACGGAATATAGATAATAGAGGGGATCATGTCGGAGTTCGACGGGATTGGGCACGGAGGTGAGGCTCCGATAATAGCATGATTGCTACGAACCGTCTGCCGTCGCAACTTACTTCGAGCGGATCATGCCCCTTCAACTCTGGCTCCGTATTGTGAACATGCGTCGGTTGGCATCACCGTTGTGTCGGACCCGCATGATGCCTCGATTTCGATCTGATGCATTCCTGGCCATCTAAGACATGTGCTAAGGTTGATAAGGTGCGGGGGGAGCCTCTTGGAAGACCGTAGATGGTCGACTCCCTGAATCGTTGAAAGTTATCGTCACTTACAGTTCTATTGAGTTTTCGACCGGAGGCAAGAAGAGAAAGTGTCGGTTCCCGTCAAACAAGATAGCTCCGATGATGATCTCTCCCCATCTCCCCCACCCCACGCGTCTACCATCCCCCCATGATGAGTTCATGTTGACCTCAAGTTTCTAAAGTAATTCACCCCCTGATCTAAATAACCCGTATATATCGGTATCTGCAATCTAACCTGGTCGTCGCCAGCTGAGCCCTGATCTACGCGACAAAAAATAGGCAAAAAAGAAGGCGGAGCAGCAGCAGGTGGCGGAGCATTGCTGTCTTCACAAAACCATTGGTTCTCGCAATGGCTGCTCTCTCGTCCACTTCCTGCCTGCTTCTCGAACCCTGTATTGGTTGCGACGCTGACCCGCCTTGAAATCGTTGAACAGAAGCGGTTGTTCGTAACCCCACACACGCGCTATCGTAAATTCCCCACCGCCTTACACCCAAAGCGAAAGTACAATGCCGACCCTGTCATCCCAAATAGCAGGCTACACCAGCCTAGCATGCTGGCTCTGCGTCTTTGCCCCGTAAGTCTTTGCGTCACTATGTTCCGAAGGGACCCGTGACGGCCATTTACCAGGACGGGGAGTAACCCATGCGAACTTTCTTTCTTGCAGGCAACTGTATGAGAACTACAGGCGCAAGTCGACGGCAGGCCTGTCGGTGGGGTTTGTTGCGATGTGGCTGATTGGGGACGTGTTTAGTGTTGCGGGGGCGATTATGAATCAGCTACTTTGGACTGTGGTGAGTAGGCGGGATATCCCAACTTTCGAGGAGAAGCTGGGAAAGAGCGAAGTTGCTATTTCCAGAGCTCGGAACCGTTGATAACGCATATTGCTGAACATGTTGATATCCTCCTCCCCATCAGATATGCGTAGGCTTCTACTACGCAGCCGTGGAAATCGCCCTCCTCTACCAAGTCTACCTCTACCACCCCTCCTCCTCCTCCCCACCCAAATCAACCCCATCAGCACCTACCTCCCCCAAACTCCCCGCCACAGAACAAACACCCCTCATCTCCCCGTCTGATGCGCGGGCAACAGCTCAGAAGAATGTACAGCTGCTTGCGATTGCGGGGGTCGTGTGTTTGAATCTGTTTGGTCGGAGTGCGGCGATGGGCGGTGTAGGGGGAGGGTACGATGTTGCGGCGAATGTGCGGGTGTTTGGAGATGGGAGTGGGAGTGAAGTGGACGAGCATACGTTGTTGACGCCCGCGATGAAGGTGGTGGCGGATTCGATGGGTTATGCTTCTGCTTTACTATACAGTAAGTTGTCTGCAACTCCATCTCGTGTTGTCGATTGAGTGATGGTTCCTGATGTTACTCGACCCGCCTTTGTTTTGCAGTGGGAGCCCGAATCCCCCAAATCTTCCTCAACTTCAAGAATCACAGCTGCGAAGGGCTCAGCATTCTCATGTTTGCTCTCAGCGTGTGTGGAAACCTTACTTTTGCTGCCGTAAGTTCCCTTGCTCTGCCCTTCGTAAACCGCCATGCTGATATTCTGGACTTTCGTTAGTCGATCTTCCTGGAATCAACAGAAACGTGGTGGATCGTCCTCAACCTCCCGTGGCTGCTGGGAAGTCTGGGGACGATGTTTTTGGATTTCGTCGTACGTACCACGTATCCCACTTTTGCCTCACTTTCAGATCGCATCGCTTACCCATGATTACCTTGTAGGTTCTGTTCCAATTCCACCATTACCACGACAAGAACTGGGAGGAGCGGATACCGGCGTATGAGGAGTTGACTGTTTAGATTATGATTTGACGGCCAACCCTACCACACCAACATTGAAAGTGGAGGTAGCAGATGTACCGCACTCCCAGACGCCGTCCACGCTTCACCCCTATTTATGCTTCTCACGATACCCATGTGTTGCGTCAACTGGGTCAGCCCGGTCACGGACGTCGCCGATTGTCTCTTCGTTGTTGGTTTTCCCGCGGGAGTCAGATCAGTGTCTGTGTACACATGTACATGAGACCCGCTTTGAGGGCTCATAGAAGGTCTGAACAGATAGTGAAGATTCGTAGCGCCTACAGGTCTCTACACGCAAATCCAGCCCCTCATCTTCTTCTTCTAATGATCATTATAATGAATCTACGCGAGAGCTCGGGGGCCATGGATACGCCAAATTGGTACAAAGTGATGGGGAGTGGAAGCGGGGCGTCGAAAAATCTTCGGATGTCTTCTCACAACACCTGCGCGACGGTGACGCGGTCCAGCTTCCCCGTCAGCACCGGCGGGATCTGCGCTTGCATCTCAGCCGGGATGAGTGCGCGAGCTGATTCACGGCTGAGTTGCTGTAGCAGCGAGCTAAGGGGAGAAAAGTAAACCAATAAGCCGATGAATCAGCGCCCAAACGATCTACGTATTCCCCAAACTTACTCCATAACAACCAAAGCAGCCATCGCCTCAACGATCGGCACCGCCCGCGGCAGCACACAGGGGTCGTGCCGGCCTTTGGCGGCGAGGTTACCGTGCACGCCGTCGTAGGTCGCGGTGGCTTGGGATTGCCCGATGGTTGCGGGGGGCTTGAAGGCGACTTTGAAGTAGATGTCTTCGCCGTTGGTTATTCCGCCCTGCAATCATATCGATTGGGGGTGAGTGTGTGTGCGGTGTAGCGGATATGGAACAACGTAGAAGAGGGGGGGGGGGGGGGGGGGGGGAATGGAACGGGTTTACCTGCACACCTCCCGAGAAGTTGGTCGTGGTCCCCAACTTCCCATCCCTCAACACAAACGGGTCGTTATGCACGTGTCCGGGGATATCCGTCCCCGCCGCCCCGCTCCCAATCTCAAAGCCTTTCGTGGCGGGGATGGACATCATAGCATGGGCGAGTTTCGCCTCCAGTTTATCGAAACACGGCTCGCCGAGGCCCGCGGGGACGTTGCGGATAACGCAGACGACGTTGCCCCCGATCGAGTCGTGGGTGTCACGGGCGGCGACGATGCGCTGTCGCATCCTCTCAGCGATCGCAGCATCGGGACACCGCACGTCGTTCTTATCTACATCCTCCCGCTTGATACTCCTCAACGTACCCCACCAGCTCCTCCACTTTGCCAACCACCCCGCCTCCTCCTCCGGCGCGCCATACCCCGTCATCGGCTCCATGTTCACGTTCCCGATCGACGACACAAACGCCACAATCTCCACCCCATGCGAGACGCGCAGGAACTTCTCCGCGATCCCCGCCGCCGCGACCCGCCCGATGGTCTCGCGCGCGGACGACCGACCGCCGCCGCTGCTGGCTTTCAGACCGTATTTTTGCAGGTAGGTGAAGTCGGCGTGCGACGGGCGAGGGTAGAAATCCATCTCGCCGTAGTCGTAGGGGCGTTGGTCTTGGTTGGCGACCATCATGCCGATGGGCGTGCCGAGGGTGTAGCCTTTCTCGGTGCCGGAGAGGATGGAGACTTTGTCTTTTTCATCGCGCTGCGGGAAATAGAGAGGGGAGTTGTCAGTCAGCCCATCCCTGGATGGAACGCTTTGCATAGCTTCTCTCTCGGGGACTCACCGGCGTCGTCAGGTCACTCTGCCCCGGTCGTCTCCGACTGAGCTGAATCTGAACATCCTCCTCCGTGAGCGCCAGACCTGGCGGAACACCGTCGACTATCACGCCGACGGCTTTGCAGTGGGACTCCCCGAAGGTCGTGACTCGGAATATGCTATAAAGAACGGTAAACGACATTACTATCGGAAGAAATGGGGTTGACGGAGAAACCGAAGGCTCACCTTCCGAAACTGCTCATTTTGGATAGAACGGGGGCAATAGTCAGAGCGTGAGGATGTGTTTATGCTCTCTCCAACGCAAGTGCTGAAGCAGAACCGAGTCTTCAAGTATGTATGCGATGCTGTGCACGTTGTGGGAATGCCGCAATGTGGAGCGGGGAGTCTCTCCGCAAGCGCCGATTGAGTGCCGATTGAGTGCAGAGTGAATCGAGTGAGTCCGCGCGAAATGCACGCGCCCAAACGAACAACCCTCCCCAGCACCTCAACGCCCAGCCACTCCAGCCACACACAACAACCCTTGGCGACCATGTCCGCAACAATCCTCTCCCAACCCTACGCCTCCTCCAGCGACGACGACGACGGCGACGAGGACTTCATTCCCGACGCCGCAGACAATAACGACAACGACGACGATGGCTCGGGATCTAGCGACGACGACGAACGGGAGGTTTATGAGGGTGGTGAGGGTGACGGGGCAAAACGCAAGAGGAGTGGAGGAGCGGGCGGGAGGGGGAGGAAGAGGGTAAGGCGATGTCAACGGGAAAAGGTCGATACGCATTGTGTTCGTTGGGGTTGACATAGAGTCCATTTTCCCGCAGACGAGGATAGGTGATAACGAGGATGAGGGCGATACAGGGGATGATAATAACGATACCGAACGCGCTGAAGAAGAGCGAAAGCGGCGCGTTGAAGCGCTTTGGAGGGAGATGAATGCGTCGGCTACGATGGTGCGTTTTGACTCATGTCGAGGCTGTTCGGAGGTGTGCAGGGACGGTGGGACTAAAGAAATGTCGAATCAAAACAGAAGCCTCGGACAGCCGCATCCCGGACTACATCATCATCAGCAGCACCATCACCATCCCGCCCACCCCCACCGCCCACACCACAATCAACTGGATCCGCACCTCCCCCTGTATCACCCGCCCCCACATCCACCGCCCCCCGACCCCGCCGCTCCTTCCTCCTCGCCCTCGCAGCAAAATACGGCCTCGCAGACGCCGCTAAGCTCACCGTCCTCGAAAAAAGCAAAATGGACTGGAAACGCCATGTGGAGGCGCAGGGGGACGTGCATGAGTTGAGCAGGGCCAGGAGGAACGGGTACCTGGAGAAGGTCGATTTCTTGAAACGCACGGACGAACGGCAGGCAGAGATTGTGCAGCAGCTGAAGAAGGGACGGCCAGGGAGGAGGGGTGTGGCGTGAGGGAGGGAAGGAGTAAGGGAAGGAACTTTGCTGTCAACATATCGCTGGCGGCTCCGTATCGGTGACCGAGCGCTGTACGTTTTACGATTTGGCAAATGTACACCAAACTCGGTCACTTAGTTTGCGGTGAGTTTTTGGAAAGGTTAGATGCGCTCGATGGGTTGGAAAGGAGCAGTGCTCCTTTTTTGGATCGAATATATGCAGTTTGTTCACTTGTACCATGACTCAACACGTAACATCCGAATACATACATCAAAAGCTATGTATGTACAGCACATTCCCAGTGTCTTTCCGTACGCCATTTTCTGTGATACCCCATCCGAACCCACTCCTTTCACTTTTTAACAGCCTCAAACCACTCCCCAATAAACCCACGAGTCCGAATCGGGTACGGCCGGTATCCCTCCCCGTCCGCCCGCGAGTGCAATAACACATCGCTGAAGCCCCGCTCCAGTGTAAATATGCTCCTATACTGCCCATGCAACGATCCCAGCAGCGGATGCGGCGGGTGTGGCTGTCGTGGCGCTGGGAGGACTGTCCGTGTGTTGAACGGTGGTGGTTTCCCCGTGGTGGCGGGGTCGTTGCGTTTGCTGGGCACCAATCGCCCCAAAGGACCACCCCAACCGTTCCCCTTCCCCTCCCTCTTACAAAACATCCCACAAAGCAGCTCATACATCCCCACATCACCCACAGTAACGTGCGTCGGGTTATCAAACTCCCACCCCCCGTCGCCCCCCCTCACCCCCGCAACCCCAGCCTCAAACACAACCCTCCCGCGCCCCCTCAACACCCTGCCCCACGCAGCCACAACATCCTCCGTCAACACCATATACCGCCACGTCGAGTAATCGAACACGATCGTATCTACAATCCCACTTGGGATGTGGGAGAGGTCGGCGGGGGATGTGAATGATAACCAGAGATGGAGCGGCGGGTCGGATGATGATGAGGGGGTGGAGAACGCCCCGCCGAAGATGTCGACTGGGACATACATCATGTCATCATTCGTCGTGGTCGTGTTCTTGATCTCGGCATGGTGATCACCCACGCCAGCAGCAGTCCACCATCGTCCCTCCTCACCCACCCCCCGACCGACCAACAACGCTATTCGTGTATCGCGGTTGGCAAGCGCGTAGGCGGCGAGGGTGGCGCATTGGGCGGGGATGGAAGTGGATGGGGAGTGGGGGTCGCCGAGGGCGTAGAGGGCGTGGCCGTACCGAGAGGGTGAATGTTGATTGGATGGAATGGTTTGAAGGGTGCTGAGAAGATGGTGGGTTAGGAGAGAGCTAGGTTGGGCGGGTGCGATTGTGAAGGGTCGCTGAGTCGATAATGATGTTGTTTTGGGCAGTTGCGTTGCAGATCGAGTTCAAGGAAAGGGACTTGCAAATCGAACGCTCTCACGCAAATCCCTCCCGCAACTCCCACAACGACTGATCTTGTTTCCGGATGGGGGAGAGCGGTGATGGTTCGTTTATGGCAAGGACCTGCTAGCCTAATGTTGCTGGACCGCCCAGGCCCTTTGCATACGAAGGTGACCGGAGACACCAACAATAAAATGGATAACGATGCCATAATCCGGACGCCCCAGTGAAGGAACCCAAGCAAAGTCCTTGATCCCGTTTGTGTGAAAAATGCAAATCCAGATTGGTACCCAAACATATACGACAAAAATATTACTCCACCCCCCTAACCGCCCCCACAAACCCCCTCACCAATCCCCCATCCTTCCTCCCCTTACTCCTCTCAACCCCACTCGCCACATCCACACACCACGGCTTCACACCCTTCACCGCATCCGCCACATTCTCCACCGTCAGTCCGCCCGCGAGTATAATCGGCACCCCGTGATGCTTCGTGATGGCGGTGGCAATGGAGTGGTCGAAGGGGGTGCCTGTGCCGCCGTGGTGAGGGGTTGATGATGCGCCCGCGGTATCCAGTAACACGCCCGCCATCCCTACCCATTCATCCCTTTTCAACCGGCCAGCGACATCCGCCTCCGTATCCTCCGTTCGCACATGAACGGCCTTGAAAACAGGACACGGCAGCAGCGAGGCAAGATGGGCCGGTTCGTGCCCGTGGAACTGGACAATATCCAGATGGGCGGTGTGAATTATGCGGAGCATTTGGTCAAGAGGTGCGTTGACGAAGACGCCGACGATCAAAGGTGGGTTGCGTTTCCCCTCCATTCTTGGTGATTTATGGGCGTAACTCCGGATATGTCTTGCGGCATCCCCGAGCCACTCGGCGGTCTTCGTACCCTGTGCAGGGATGGGCAGCGGAGGCACACGCGATGCCCAGCCTTCTCGCGAAGACGAGGATCCCTCCGCTCCACAATGTTCAAACACGCCGTCGACGATCACCCGGGCGTCTTCGGGGCTCACATATCGTTTGCTCTGCGGGGCGAATATGAGGCCTAGAAGGTCGGCGCCCGCGTTCGTGGCGGTGATGGCGTCCTCAAGATTGGTGATTCCGCATATCTTGACCAGCGGGCGGGTCGTTTCCACCTCCAATCTCGATTGATCCACAGGGGTATCATCACGACCCAGCAAGCCAGCAATAAACGCGCCCTTATCCTTCGTCCGCATCAAGGCCTCACCCACCAACACCCCCTTCGCGCCCGCCGCAACATACACATCCACATCCTTCTTCCCCACGATCCCGCTCAGGGCGATCAGAACGATCCCGTCAGGCACAAGCGTGCTCAACCGGCTCGTGCGGTCCATATCCATGTTAAAGGTATGCAGATCCCTGTTGTTGACGCCAATAACCGTCGCGCCCACGTTAACAGCCCGGCGGGTTTCCTCCTCGTTCGCCACCTCCACCAGCGGTTCCATCCCAAGCGTACGTGAATACGCGAGGAGATCGGTGAGTTGGGCGTCGGTGAGGATCGCGACGATCAGAAGGAGGGTGTCGGCGCCGTTCAACCGTGCTTCCAGGATCTGGTACCGATCGACGATAAAATCTTTTCTTAGCACGGCGGGGCGGGCGATGGATGTGGGAAGGGTGTCGAGTGCTTGTCGGACGAGTCGCATGTCGTCTAGGGAGCCTTTGAACCATTTCGGTTCGGTGAGGACCGAGATGACCGCCGCGCCCGCGTGCGCGTATGCCAATGCTTGGGTCGGTGCGTGGGCTGTGATGTTGATGTCCCCTTTCGATGGTGAAGCACGCTTGATTTCGGCCAGGACGGCGACAGGCTGCGCGGCGGACAATACCCTCGCTCTGAAATCGACCAGAGGCGGGGCGAGTCCAAGCGCCAAGGATCGCTGAAGGTGGTGGATAGACTGTCCCGGTTGTGCCGAGGCGTGTTGGATGTCGAGAAGCCGCTGGGCATGGATCTTCTCGAGGATGCTTTGGGCTTTGAGAGAGGCGGGTTTCTGTTCTACTTGCATCCCTTCGCCGCTCCCGCCCGGTGGTTGTGACGCCTTGAAAGCGGCGGCACCCGTCGAGTTCATCTTCGACACCTTCGACAACGGTATGCCCCCGCCCACGGCGGACGACCCCGTGTCGGCAGCCGCCCCGATGGACGCGTTGACGACATCCCATTTGACCGCGCTATCATCCACCTTCAAGTCCTTCCATAAGCCGCCCTCCCATCGCAGAAAATTAGCAAACATCCGCTTTCCGTATTCGCTCGCAATACTCTCAGGGTGGTACTGCACCCCTTCCATAATGTATTCCTTGTGCCTGACACCCATCACCAGCCCACTCGGCGTCGTGCTCGTGATTTCCAACGACGCTGGTAACGTCTTTGGATCGCCGGCTAGGGAGTGGTACCGCGTACACTCAATATCCTGCAACACGCCCTCGTACAAGCCCCTACCGTCATGTCTAACCGGGGACGTCTTCCCATGCACAATCTCACCCGCGTATGTGACTACACCTCCGTAGATCTCGTACATGCATTGCTCGCCCAAACACACACCGAGGATGGGCACCTTCCCAGCGAAATGACGGATGACGTCATTGGAGACGGCGGCGTCGCTGGGTTTGCCCGGTCCGGGGGAGATGACGACGTTGCGCGGGTTGAGGGCGATACATTCTTCCAGCGTGATCTGGTCGTTCCTGTGCACGACCACGTCGGCGCCGAGTTCGGAAAGGAACTGGTAGACGTTCCAGGTGAAGGAGTCGTAGTTATCGATTAGTAGCGTAGTCATTGTGATCGATTTTCTTTTTTGGCGTAGATTTGTTTCTTCGTTGTTTTTTCCAATGATCACCCGACGCTGTGGAGGTTCTGGATGTTGTTGTCAGACCACATGCGCTCGAGCATGGCCGTGTGTGGTTTCTTCTCCACTTGGAGGGTCTGGTAGTACGCCTCAGCGGTCTCAATCGCTGTAAAGTTCGACTTCAGCTTATTCACGGTTTCTTCCCATTCGCTGGTCGCAACAGAGTCATAGACAATTCCCGCTCCAGCTTGGAGGTAGACGAACCCGTCCTTGAACAGCATCGTTCGGATCGCAATGGCGGTATCCATACCCCCAGAGTATGCAAAATAGCCGACGGCGCCAGCGTAGATGCCGCGTTTTTCTTGCTCGAGCTCGTAGATGAGTTCCATGGCCTTGACTTTCGGCGCACCCGAAACTGTTCCGGCGGGGAAAATGGATCTGAAGGCGTCGTAGGGAGTCTTCCCTTCACGAAGCTGACCAGAGACGTTGGACACGATATGCATGACGTGGGAGTATCGCTCAATGTGCATCAATGAATCGACTTTCACTGTTGAGGGATCACATATCCGGTTGACATCGTTTCGGCCGAGATCGACCAACATGATATGTTCGGAGCGTTCCTTGATATCCGAGAGTAAATCCGCGGCGAGGGCTTCGTCTTCCGCCGGTGTCTTCCCGCGCTTGCGTGTTCCCGCAATGGGGTGGGTATATACGGTTCCTTTCTCGACTTTGACGAGCATCTCCGGTGATGCGCCGACGATCTGGAAGTCTTTCACGTCAACGTAGAACATGTAGGGGGAAGGGTTGACGCTGCGGAGGGTGCGGTAGGCGTTGAAGGGGTGCAGGGTTGTCTTCTTCCTCATGCGTTGGGATGGGACGGCTTGGATGATATCGCCTTCGTTGATGTGATGCTTCAGTTTGTGCACGAAATTTTCGTAGCCGGCCTGTCCGACGTTCGACTCGGCTTGCTCGCCCAGAATGATGGGGGGTTGGTTTGGGGTGGGGATGTGCTCGTCGCGCAGGATTTCAACGACTTTCTCGATCTCTGACGTGACGCGTTGATACTCTCGCTCGAAGGAGTCTTCGTCTGCGGGACCTTCGGTGTTGTCCACTCGGAAATGACTCACCACTTTGATCAGATGGTGGAGATGGTCAAAGATGACAATGGTGTCGCAGAACATAAGCACAGAGTCGGGAATTCCGAACGGATCGCGAATGTCGGCTCGAGCTGTACGGGGCTCAAAGTATCGCACACAGTCGTATGAAATGTATCCGATGGCACCACCGGTGAACTCGGGCAATTCGGGTACGTCCACGTACTTTACGCTGTTCAATTCGCTTTCGATGACGATCAGTGGGTCGCCCTTGATGTTCTCGTTGTCGCCGGTTCGGATGACTTTGAACGGGTTGGCACCGAGAAAGGAGTATCGGGAAATTTTCTCCCCTCCGGTAACGGATTCAAAGAGGAAGGAGTAGTTGGATGTGGTGGACAGACGCAGATACGCGGATACTGGGGTAAGTAGGTCAGCCGATATGCTACGGAAAACGGGAATGATGTTCCCAGTCTTCTTTGCGGCGTAACCTTTGATTTCTTCAAAACTGGGCTTCAGTCGGGTAGTCATGGCGATGTTTTCGATTCGGATTCGCAGAAAGTGATTCAAGCGGATTGAGCAGCGCTTCTTGATGTAAACATAGCCGCACTATCCCATTGCATTGAGAATTTCGCCCAGATAGGGGTGAAGAGGGTGTTCCTAGAGCCGAACTGTGTATCATTTCCCTTTCGGCTGCGAGGGTCGATGGTATTCCTGCCGTTGAGAAGGCGCGCAATGTTCTTTCTCGTAAGACCAGAGGTTGAGGGAAAAGTGGCGGTGCATCCACGTTTGACACTCGTGATACGCCGGCGACGGTCGCGGCAAAGGTCAATCATCGGAAGGGTCATCAATCGTGCTTGCGCCGGAGCTGCAGTGATCTTTGTAGGGTGGACTTGCGTGGCACGAGTGAAAGTGTGGGTGGACCTCACGTTCTTCGTGGGAAACCCGGAGCTGGCGTATCGAATGGTACGAAGCTTCGAGATTGTGGTTTTTGTGGTTTTCACGGCAGAAATGCAGAACTTTACTCTCGCGGTTGGGACAGGAGCCTTGAGAGCCTCTTTGTAGGTAAGACCTTCCGTAGGCGTCATGATTTTGACGGCCTGATCAGAAGTGTGGCTGGAAGGAAGGCAAGGGAAAGCGGCAGATTCCACCCCGGTTGCATCGACGGTTACTTTCCGATAGCGCTTTTGAGCACGGTGACGAACACGCCTTTTGGCCTGGCGGTTGCTGACTGTGCTTTGCCCGTCGCGGCGGAGGTCCTCAACACTCTGAGTAGATCAAGACATAGTGAGCATGATGAAGAGTATTGCCACACATCCGTCGTCAACCATCAACCATCAACCATAAACCATCAATGATGCTCGCTTCGCTCGCAAAAGATCCGCCGCTCGCTAAGCCCGTGATTACGGGGTCTTGCGCCTTTGGCGCAATGTGGCTCGCTCCGCTCGCGCTCTCTGTCCCTAGCGAAGGCGTTTGGCTCTGGTCAACCTCCCTATCGCTCGGACTCCCAAACCGAACCAAACCTCGCTCCGCTCGGTGCCGACTGATCTCCAGGGACCTGTGGGAAAACTCCGACACTTCTCACTCCGCCCTACTTCCACTACATACCTTGGTGGAGGACGCTACAACACCGAGGTCGTTGTCGGCAACAGTCCATTGAAAGGACCTGTTTGTTGCTGCCGCCGACGCGGACCCGAAGACGGGACAACTCCAACCGAGGCGAAACGTTGTGGACGCCACGATTGCGAGTTGAGTGGGAATTCCTATGAAAGGAGAAAAAGGAGACCAGCAGACGGCCTGCTGGCGGTTACGAAGAGATTCCCCAAGAGGCGGTGAGAGCCTGATTCCTTGAGGGGCTTGTTGCCGATGTTGTCAGATAGTTTTCCGATGATCTATGGCTTGCGGGTGGGAAAAAAGCCCGACTTGGCTGCCCTTTTGTCGAGTTTGGGGATCTCACTTTTTGACGGGTGAGTCACTTGTGATGAGTCAGCCACGACTCTCGCTCAGACTCTGATCGCGGGTGTGGCTGGGCATTCCATTTCAAAGACAACCTGAGGAACGGCACAGTCGCACAGGGATGAAGCTGGAGACGACGCCGGCCGGATCTTGGTTCCATAACAGGATCCTTAAATGAAATAGGACGCAAATTCTTCACTGGGAGTCTGGGAGACTGGGACGGCCGCGTAACCATGAAGAGACGACGGAGAAACTTCAAAAAGCTTCCTATGCGACCAACCGCCGGTGATGGGTTCAAGTTGTTGGGATCATGGTAACGAGCACTTTGAAGGGCAAATACCGGGAGAGGGCAGTAGGAGCTGTAAAGACGGGATGGGCTAGCTGGATGCGTTCTAGCGGGCGGCCGTCATTTCTTCGCAACGTGCCTCGTTGCTCAACGTTGTTTTTGTGGAGGACACTCGAGGATAAGACGGCAGAAAAGGAGACGACGAGCCCTTTCGCAACATCTGCAGGGCAAGGCCAAACATCGGAGTGGGCATCGGCGTCGTTCAGCGAAGGAATTGGGAGAGCTCGGAAAAGAAGCCGGCCAGAGAGTTCAATCAGGGTCCTCCGGTCGGGTCGAAGTCGCCGACAGCAGAGTGCTAAGACCTACCGCTGATGAGCTCGAGTGGAGTCCTCACCACGATGTCAACAAACGACCCGGACCCAAAGCCGACGACCTCAGCACCTCCTCCCGACACTCCCACCACTGTACGTCCGCCACCACCTCCTAAAACGACAGACCCACCACCACCTCCTCCGCCCCCCAAAACAACAGACCCACCGCCACCTCCACCACCTCCGAAGACGACGGACCCACCACCACCTCCTCCACCTCCTAAAACGACAGATCCACCACCTCCACCTCCTACTACAAAGCCAACCGTGGTTCCAACGAAAATACCCACTGCCGACCCCATCACGAGGTCAGCTCCACGAACGGTTCTCTCCACTGTTGATGATACCGCCAATGGAACCCCGACTAGAAGAATCGTCTCAACAGTTGTATGGGTGGACGAAGTCATAACCCCTACGGAAAACGCTGGTCTACCGAACTCAACGCAATCAGCCGACCCTTCCAACTTAGAGAAACCTCCATTTGCAAAGACTGCTGGCGGTGCGGCGATGATCATCATATTGACACTCTTCGGCGCAGTCGCAGCGTTCTACATTGGCAAATTTCTGTACAAGAGATACAAGGATATCCGGAAAAAGAAGGGTTATGGGTCAGGTGAGCCAGGAATGTTGAGTCCTTCTACGAACTCGCTGGCTCCGATGATGATGGCCCAGTCGCCGTCCACTCCGGCTGTGAGCGAAGAGGAAATGCTGCCCGGAGAAGGCCGTGTGACCATGTCCCATCGCTACTCCGCCGCATCACCATACCCCAGCATGCACTCCGGCATGCATAGCCCATCCCCGCATCCGCCGGCGGTCTTCGGCGGAGAAGACCTACCAGAACATCTCTCGCCAGAGGAGCAGCGTCGCTTAACCTTCTCCCACTACGCAATACGGCCCAGTTCGCCATACTACCAGAGCGGAGACTGGACGGGCGTGTTTGCTCCCGTGGTACCCGGGGCAGGATCCAACAAGTCAGACCCCCGCCAATCGTACATGAGCAACCCCGACCACCCTCAACAACCACACGGCACCTACGTCCCCCACATGCTGGGCATCCCCGAAGCCTACGAAGACTACGATTCCCACTCGGGCGGCGAACACTTCGCCGCGTCCCACTCCCACTCGCCGGCGCCGCAACATTACGAGATCCCCTCCGCTAGCGACGAGCTTGGGTACGAATCCCACGATGTCTCCTCGGAGCAGCGACCGACCTCCCCGTCAGTGACGTACCCCCTCGTACCCCCGGCGCTGACAGTCAGGAACCCGACGCTGGAGAATTCGCTTTATCCGGGGACCTTTGGGTACTCCGAACGGGCGGTGGAGCGGAAAGGCACGTTTGGGAATGCGGAGCAGACCACCCAGTAGTGCCGAGGTTTTTGTGAGGATCCATGAACTGGTTGGTCGCCTCCTTTGATGCTGGTCTTCAGAGGTGACACCACCTCCGAATATGCTCCGAACTGCCCCATCTCCGGCGTGAGGCTTCCACACGTGCTATCACGTAGAGCTTTTGTAGTATAGACCCCCTATTTAGATCCCCCAACTGTCATCTCCTTCTGTTCGGCGTACTCCGGAACATATAATCTCATAGATCGAATCGTTCATGGAATTCGGTATTCGTATTAGGACCCTTTCCTGTGACTTTATTTACATCAAACCTTTGGCGGAGTCTCACATCACAGTCATATCGCCACATCCGATTTCCGCAAGCCTTAAAACTCAATCGATGGCCGTTACATCGCCGATTGGGTCCAATGCTATGGTGGAGGGGGAGCAAGTTCCGAGCAAACACACCATGCATCCATCGGACTTCCGGTGGTCCGTCAAGCCCCGCTCGCTATTCACATATCTCGCATTTCCCAAAATAGCCACGCGAAAAGGGTTCACAACGCGTCTGGACGGAGTTGCACGTCTAAGCCTGCACCATCTTGTGTTTACGCATTGCGCATGGCCTGGCAAACTGCATAAGAACGGAGGGGCGGGAAGGGAGATATCAGGCCCTTTATCAGGCCCAGCCAACTGCCCGCCATTTCGACGTACTCCAGAACCGACGCCTAACGCTGTTTTCCGTCGCATATTCAATGCGTGAAGCGCAATACGAACCCTCTTTTTGCGGGAAAGAAGCTTCCACGACAACCCATACCACAATAGCCTCACTGACACCCCAACGGGTTTAATCCGTCCCACGCCGCCCCGAAGGCACAATAGCGGCACCCTACGTTCCGCAAGCGTTATCCAGACTACACCCCCCTAATTCGTAAAGCATAATAACGCGGTTTGTCAGAGGAGCAGCCTCCGGAGGGCCTGCAGGGATTCGAAGAATTCCCTTACCACACCAGTATAGCAGAATTTAGAAAGCAAATGTCGGTAGACAACTCCACCCTGCAATTCACGGCAGTCCCTACAGCGCATCAGATGTCGAAGGGGTCATTGAACACGCAGCAAGGAGTCGCAGCGCCGCCTGTCGGCCAGCAACCGCCGCGGAAGTCGTCGTTCTTCAAACTGATCTCGGGGTTGGGGAGGAAAGAGAAACGGGAAGAGAATGATTCGGCGGGGAGTATGGAGGGCGTCGGGGAGTCGATTGCGGCAGTTAAGCCGGGTTCACAATCGCCCAAACCCCGTCGGCAGTCGTTGAAGGAGGTTGTTAAGCGCCGATTATCCAAAGGCGCGAGGCTGGAACCGCTCGCCCCCGCGGCAAAACCACAGGACGGAAACGGAGTGCCTGCGGCACCAGTCGTAGACGATAGCCACAGCACGGTGCACGTAACCTCCCGACGGGACAGCGCCGACTCTGCTTCATCCACATCCCGGCCGACCTCGCGAAGCGGGTCGGGACAGTATACCGAGATGTGTATCCCCGGCCCGATCTCCCGCCGGGGTTCGGCGTCATACGGGGAACCGCCGCTGATGTCCTCGCGACGCGGGTCGGGTGCGTCGGTGACTACGGCTGCGACGTTGACGTTAAGAAGTCATTCGAGTGGGAGCGGGTTGGGTGATGAGAGAGTCGTTTCGGCGATGCCGGTGGTTCCGGCGCCTACCTCGTCGTCACCGTTGAGGAAATCGTTTTTCCCGGAATTGAGTGTGCCGTTGGTTGCGGATGAGAAAAGGGTTGAGGAGGAGTGTAAGGCGGTGGACCCGGTGGAGAAGCAGGATTTGTTTGCGTCGACTACGTTGCAAATGCCGTCGATTCCTGACTCGTGCTGTGGTAACTCCCGGTGTGAGGATTTGTCGCAGCAGACGCACGATATCGTCGTTGGCGGTGAACTAAGAAGCGCTACGATGGAGGAGTTGACGACTTTAGTTGCTTTTGGGGTTGTTTTGCCGAGTATGGAGGATGCGATTCGGATTGGGTCGGCTGCGAATGGCCGGGGCGCACAGGTGTCTCTTGACCGGACGCTGGGACGAGCGGGGGCGAATGGGGCAGGTACTGGGACCCCCGAACGCCGGAGGTCTGTCCCGAAAACTCCCGAGCGTCGCGCCTCGCTCCCTCCGTCGGGAAAAGAACAATGCGGGGCTATGGCAGCGTTACAACAGGCAGCGGCATTAGCGGCGGGTCAAGCGCCAACACCCACAGGCGGCCGCAGTCGTCGCTACTCCCTCCCCGGAAACTCTACCCTCCCTAACATCACTACCCAACCGCAACCTATCCTCAAAGGATCTACCGTCTCCTCCATCCGCAGCAAACCATTACCAACACCCGCGAAACCCACCCCAGTAATACCCGACACTCACCCCAAATCCGCCCCACCACTTTCCAACCCCGCCATCGCCGCCCTCCGCCGCGGCCGGGTCCGCTCCAACTCTAACCCAACCCCGCCAACGTTCACCTCCACCTTCGACGTGAACCCCTCCTCAACCCCAAAGACCTCGCAATCCGCCATCGCGAAGGAACTGCCCAACTTCGAGCGCGAGCTCAACGTGCGTATGCGCGCGTCGATCTATTTGGCGGGGGAGTATATCATCCGGAAGAACGAGATTGGACGCGAGATGTTTTTTATCGGGAAGGGGAGGGTCGAGGTTGTCAGTGGGGATGGGATGAGGGTCTATGGTGTCATCGGTGCCGGCTCCTTTTTCGGTAGGTTATTACCCATCTTCTCATCCATCCCACAAAAAAACATGTTTTTAAACCCCCGTGTTTTTTTGTAGGCGAACTAGGAGTCCTCTTCGACATCCCCCGCACCGCCTCCGTCCGCGCGCTCGAAAACACCCTCTGCATGGTCCTCTCCCGCGACGACCTCAAGGAGGCGCTCAAAGGTTTCCCTTCCATCTCTGCGCGCTTTCAGACGGTGGTTGAGCAGCGGATGGCGTTGATTCGGGCGAGGAAGCAGAGTAGCCCGCAGCCGACTGTTAGGGTGAATAAAGGGATTACAGCTATTCAGGAGGACTTGGAGGAAGAGGAGTAGTTCAACACTTAGGGGTAGTCCGCGTAGTGAATTTTTTGGGATAGGTTTGACGTTTTAGCGTAGCAGTAGTTGGAAGTTTCAGTTTTGTTTTTCTGTAGATGTCCTTCGCTCTTGGTTTAGAGTGGAAATACAAAGACAACTTCGGGGACCTCTTGGGCTTTTCTCATGAAAAGTGATCCAAGTGAACTTCCGGAACGTAACGAAGTAGCCGACATCGCACCACCACGGCACCGAGCACTGGCCTTCACCCAAAGTAAGCATCGATGATAAAGAGAGGAAAAGTGGGCAGGCGAGCGGCCCTGGCCACCCGCCAGCGTCTCGTATAAGCAAAACGTCGTGGTTCCTGTTTCATGACTTTGTATTTTTCTTTATAATACACTGATTGGTCTATAGTACGAATATGCGAGGAAGGGCCATTGGTGTCAGGCAGTGAATGTCCGAATTCGACGTTTGAGAAGGCGCTTGTTTGCCGTCCCGTAAGCCGTCCATTACACCAGGTTGCCGCCGTGCCTGGCCAGTCCGGGGCGCTCCTCAGAGTATCTATGACGACGAAATAAGGATGTGAGAAACTCAGATGTACATCAGGAAAATGCATGCCCACCTACCCCGGCCCACCCAACGGCACAACCTTGTCCCCATTCTTCACCGCCTTCCCACCATGGGCATAAAGCTGATCAACCTGCCCACCATTCACAAAATGCTCATTATGTCCCCTGCGCGGGAAGTTGCCATACTCCCCGTTTGTCGTCTCCGGGCGGCGGTACGTGTACGTGTCGACGGCCTCGACGACCTTGTTGTCGCGCGGCTGGTAGGTCGTTGTGCTGAGGGTCACGGTGTGCGTCTGCGGGTCGGCTTTGACGTCGGTGTGGTTGCGGCCGAAGAGAGATTTGTTGACTCCACCGCTGTTGGAGGCGGCCGTGCCGTAAGCGTAGGCGCTGTGGTCGTGGCCGCCGATGGTACCGTTGTTGGGGTTGTTGCCGAGACCTTGCTGCAGTGCCGACCAGGCTTCAGAGGCTGCCTGGCTGGGCTGACCGCCACCGTTGCCGGAGTAGGAGCTGCCCGAGTGAGTTCCACCAGTGGCTTGGTTCGAGTACGCTGATCTAGGGGTCAGAGACGAGTCGCCGAAGCTTTGGAACCCGCCGGAACCGCCCTCGATGAGGTTGTTGGTGGGGATGGTGTTTGGGAAGATTTCTTCGCCCAGTCGGAGACGTTCGAGCTCGTTGTTGATGCTGTATGGGCGGATTGGGGAAGGGGCGAACGTCTCGCCGTTCTCGGACTTGACGACCTGGTCGAGATGGACCTGTGCAGGCTGGTAGGTCAAGGGGTTCACTGGTCCACCGCTCATGATGAAGGCTGTATCTGGAGGCTTTGAGGTTGCCGATTGAACGATGAAAGTGCGATGCAGGACTGATACGAATTACTGTCGGTGCAGGCAGGCCGCTTTGCAAAGAAGTAGAGGAAACTGACAGTGGCAAGCTATCGTCGGACCTGAATTAAATGGAATTATGTAAAGCTTTTCGACAGTGAGTCCATGCGTGAACAAGGCCAAACTCGTTTCTATGTTTGGCAACACGACCGTCGCCTTCAAACAGGACCGTTCTGTCCCGCATCTCAATACTCCACATTAGAGGGGAAAGAAGGGCCACGAACGATTTCAAAGGGGTTATACACGTCAGAGGTGTATGTGCTTAGTCGGCCTGCTAGACTATCCATAACGGCGTTTTCGCTTCATGTCGCCATTCGTTGACTCGTAAAGACCTCCATCTTCTAGCATCTTGTGGAGTATCGAGGGAAGCCCAAACGACCAGACGAGGACACCTGCACAGCTTGCTTCCTCTTAGGTTGTGAAAGAGACCCACGAAAAGGTACCCTGGACAAACCACGAGAATGTCGCCCGAAGTTATCCTCCCTACCCCACCGGCAACGCCACCAACGCATCGCAAAAGCTCAACGACAAGTCTGAGCGGTGTGGACAAAACGAAAGAAGCCATACAGTCACCTGCCCGCAAGTCGGTCACAAAGCCGGCTCCCTTACACCCCGGCCTACCCACCGAAATATGGAACCATGTCTTCTCTCTGCTAGCCAGCCAGCCTGCGAACCTTTACCCGCTCCTGACGGTCTCAAAGACATGGTACCCGCAGGTCGAACGTCAGCTATACCGTCTCGTCACGTTCACGTCGATGAAGCAGAGGAGCTCGTTTTTCGCGGGCAAGCTGGGCCCGCAGAACCCGGAGATTGCAATGGAGATGCAGTGGTTGTCGGGCAAATTGGATCAGCTAGCTTTGTATCCTAGTGTTGTGCAGGCGGCGGAAGTTTCGATCCCGGGTGCGTCGACGGGGGTGATCAAGGGGATTGACTTTGGGTTCAGAGCACTGGCGCCGGTTTCGATCCCCTCTGTCACGCCGACGCCCACTCCGGTGTCATCGGGAACTACGACACCAACATCCTCGCCGACTCTTGGCCCGCAGTCAGTGCCCAACAGCGTGGCATTGGCCGCGGACATGATACTCAACAGCAGCTCCCTTGGCGCTTCCCCAACCCCGAATCCGACGCCATACGGGGCATGGCCGCACAGATCCGTTGGGCCTTTGCTCGTGCTTCTTTCCCTGAGATGCCCGAACCTGACGTATTTGGGTCTGTCGGGTTGTCAGTTCGACGAGTATTCGTTTGAAGAGGCGATTGTTCGTCTGCCGAATCTCAAACATCTGGACTTGTCGTGTTCTAACCTGAAGAATCGTGGAATGAAGGCGATTGCGAAATGCCCGAATCTCACTACCCTTGACCTTTCAGGTGTCTTCAGGTAAGTCATCACTCAGAGAATTGGCGACGAGAAACATCCCTGACTCCTCTTCCCCTATAGATTCCGTCGCCACAACACATCCTACCTAAAACTCATCCTCATCCACTGCACGCAACTGACAACCCTCACTGTCCGCCAGTGCCCCGATCTCTATGAACCCCTCCGCGAAGAACTCGCCCGTCTCCGACCCACGGTTACCATCGTGTGGTCCGGCCTCGACATCGATGCAAAGGAGGCCTTGGGCAACGTCGTTGAGGAGCAATAACCGCCTTCTTTCTCGTTCGGTCTACCGGTAGTCGGCGTATACATAGTTCTTTCCATATAACACAGTACTTGTCGTACATCTTTGCATATAGCTCGTCATCTCTCTGTACAACATATCCCCGCATCTAGCCTGTACCCCCTTTGGCGTATATACTCTTTTCATTAGCGCTTTTCAAATATAGAAGATCCAGATTGCATTACATACATTTGTCACTTTCATGTGATGTGACGAGCATATGTTGCAGGAACTCGAGCAAGCAAGGGACGTTGTAAGGTCGGGATACCAGTTGTGCACGCGAAACGCGTGAGGAGGAGGATCTCGTCGCACGCGTAAAGCTCACAACCGGCCACCACCGGTTCAACTTCCAACTTTCCCACGGCCAGATAACATAAAGGTCACAGCGCAGGTCGCTACCCCATCAACGCACTCAGCAACGCAACCACAGCGCCGACTCTGCATTCAACCTCTCTCTGTAAAGCGAATAGTGCGAAGACCGAAGTGAACGTTGTCGCAATGGCTGTAAGTCCCACGATGCTGTGTTCAGAAAGAACCATGACTGAAAAAGATACAATATTGCAGGCTGGAGACCACAAGAAAGAAGACTTCCGGAAGTACCTGGAGAAGAACGGGATCGTGGATGCGCTGACGAAAGGTCAGCATCACTCTCATGTGAAAAATGGAAATGGTTGGCCAAATATTGATACGCTGCTTCTGTGATTGTATAGTTCTCGTTGGTCTGTACGAGGAACCAGAGAAGCCGGAAAATGCATTGGAGTGAGTATGGGAAACCATAGCACTTTCCTCTTCTCGTTTAATCGTGACTGAACATTCCGTACTCTAGGTACGTGAAACAGTTTCTAGGCGGCCCATCCGACGTAGACGTAGAAGCGCTCAAGTCCGAGAACGAGGAGCTGCGTCGCAAGGTGGAGGAGCTGCAGCAGCGGCTGGATGAGGCTGGTGGGGCGGGTGGAGCGGGGCAGGTACGCATTTTACCATTCTTCTGGCTTCAACCAACATAGAAGTTGACGCTGAATATAACATTTTCAGGGAGCTGCGCAAGGAAGCGGGGCCGCGAATCCAGGAGCACCGGCGGCATCTGGAGAGGGGGCCGTCATCTGAGAAACAGGACTGAATGCATTAGCTGCGGACGTTTGATGTGCCATGCGATCTCATTGATCAGATTTCTGCATCTACTGTACAACACAGTGCTTTTGGCACCTGGGGCTTTGTGAAGTGAATGCAGAGTGTAATATATACAGGACGCCGTGTGGTGGACACTTCTATACTCTGACATCTAGAAATTGGACCCTGTACCCCCTTCTGTACAAAGCGCCGATTCTACAGCGGGTCATCACCAAAACTTCCACCAAGTGCTCTTCCCCGTCAATGTCCCTATCACCCCAATCCCACTATCCCCTTTCTTCTCCTCGGCCTTCCGTTTCCACTCCTCGAGTTCCCTCTGCAACCCCTCTATCCTTGCCTCCTCCTTCAACCGCGTCTCCTCGAACGTCAGTCTCACCCACAGATACTGCAGGGAGATCATCGTCAGAGAGCTGTACAGTAGCAGAGCACTAATGGGTGCGCCGAAGCGTTGGGAGAACTTTAAACGTGGTTCGCCGGTGGTGTCGTACGCCGATTCATGTGGGTCGGAGGTTGGTGGTGGTGGTGGCGGGGGAGGGGAATAGGGGGGTTGCGGGCGGGATGCGGTGGTGTTGGCTGGGAAAGAATTGACATATAACGTTAATACCAAGCTGATTGCAGCAAACGGATGGAGGAGCCTACCTCGTGTTTGGAAAAGCATCGAAAGGTAGAGTTCTGATACTGGCGCCTTTTGGCACGCTATGCCAGGTATCGATACTCCCCGCAAATGAATTCGATTCGCAGTAAGCCCCGCGATCGAAGCCTGGCACTGACAGCTTTGGGTCACATAGCGTCTCGTATTCCTCCGGGAATCTACTCCCGCCCCGCTTGCTCTCGACGACTGCCGGTTTACTCCTCTATTCGACGGGAACACAGCGCTGATGCCCCTCCGCGACGACATCCTAAATACAATTTCCGGGGCTTTCGACGTCATCCAAGTTGTTTTTCTGTGTCTCGAGATCCTATTCACTTCCGTGAGATACTGACGACTACGGTGCGGGACGTTCCGATGACGAGGCCGATTGAGGTTTGTGCATTGCGGAACGTGCTAATTTTGAGAGTTTCGCCGGAAGCTCAAGTCGGTTCGCGTGGCGCAGCGAGGCCTTCAACATTTTGATGCCAACTTCGAAATCACTTCGAAATGGACATTTTGCTGAACGCTGAACAGTGCACTCATCGGGACAGAAAAGGTCGGATAGACTTGTAATAACAGTATCTTCTTATTTTATTTGAGCTGAGGAGCCCTCTGCGTTATCCGACGCTTCTACGCATCACTCGTTCAAAGTCCACTCACTATGAAGCTCACACCGAAAGTGCTAGCCGCCCAGCACCCCTCCACCCCCCTCTCAGAGCTCGTCTCCACCAAATGTTCCGGGATGGAGATATCCCACATTGAGGACCTGTCCGTCGCCGTGAACCTCCATAAACTGGACCTCAGCAAGAACTCCATAAAAAAAGCCGACGCGTTGAGCGGGATAAAGCATAACAAGGAACTGACGTTGTTGAACTTGTCCGGGAACGAGCTGGAGAGTTGTCAGGGGGTGGAGACGCTGGAGAAGTTGTTGGGTGAGTGAGCGGAATTGTCGCTGGGGTCTTTTGTGAAGCGCCGTATTGATCTTCTTTGGTCTCCTCGCAGTTCTCAATCTAAGTCACAACCAAGTGAATAGGATTTCGCATCATGTCAGCAAATGTACGGCATTGAAGGCTCTCATTTTGAACCACAACAAGATTGCCCGGATAGAGAATATCTCGACCCTGTTGAATCTAAATACCATTGGTACGCATTGCATTTCGGTGTCGCCGTCCAACATTGTGAGAGAATTGTCATAATCTAATTTGCATGATCTGTTTTTAGTTCTATCCCACAACAACCTATCAAGCCTCGACGGTCTCGGTTCGCTATCCAACCTCACAAAGCTCTCTGTAGCGCACAACCAGCTCCGCCTCTTCCCCGACCTTCGTTTACTGCCCGCGCTCAAAGAACTCCGCCTAAACGACAACAAAATCCTCAACATCCCCGACCACATCCGCTCATTACCTGCGCTCGAAATCCTGGACATGGGAAACAATCTATTGAAGGGGATGGCCGACATTGCCTCGTTGGCCTCGCTACGGGCTTTGGTCAATCTGAACCTGAAGGGCAACCCGTTGGTGCAGAAGGAGAAGGAGAGGGCGGCGGAAGCGAATAAGAAGGCGGACGATGAGTACCGACAGAGCATATTGACTTTGTGTCCGTCGCTGAGGGTGTTGGATAATGATCGGTTTGATCCGAAGTTTTTGGAGAGGAAGACGAAACGGAAGGCTTTGGAATTGAAGAAGCATATCCAAAGCCAGAAGGCTAGTGTTCCGGTGCTTGAGGAGGGAGCAGAACGCGCGGAGGAGGGGGAGGGTCGGCCTGCCAAGAAGCGGAGAATTGAAGGGGAGCAGGGGCCGAAAGCGAAACCGGATGGTGACGGAGAGAAGATGGAGGTGCAGAAGGAAAAGGCCGGCGATCTACCGCTCAAGCGTAAGCGCGATGCGGAAGCGTCGGCGCGAAAGCCCTTTGACCGTTCACAAAAGAGACCTCGCCCTGAGGCAAGCATAGCGTCGCTCGCAGGTGACAAAGCCATTTCAACAAAGGCGAAAGCAGACGTAGCGCGGAAACAAGGAACAGAAGGCAGGAAAGCCGTCGTCCCGGCGAAGAAAACGAATCCGAAGGATAAGGCAAATGGGAAAGACGTGAAGGGAGATGGAAAGAAGCGGGCAGCGAAGGAGAAACCAGAAGCCGATGCAGCCGACCCGTTTTTCTGGGCGGATGCGAAAGCGGCATCACCCAAGCCAGCAAAGAGAGGGTCGGAGACAAGTGGCGTTACCGGCAGCAAGCCTGCAGCCGACTCCGCTGGGGCCAAAGGCCGGAAAAAGACAGCTGCACCAGAAGCTGGACCAACGCGAGAATCGCCGTCAAAGAAAGCTTCCCAACCACCGAAACCGGATGCAAATACTCCCATGGCACCCGACCCTCGCACAGAACCCACTCCTCGACCGCCCGTCGAAGACACAACTCCAGCCCGATCAGGAGTCCTCGCAGTTGTCGATGTCAAGGCGAAAGCGCGGAAGGCCGTCACGGCGTTCGATCCTGCTGTGGCAGCTGCGACGCCGGCTGCTATGAAACCTGTGTCGAAGACTGGAACGCAGCCTGCACCTGACCTGCTGGTTGGAGGATGGGATTGATAGAGTTCTTGTCGTTTAGCTACATAGTAACTTATTCATTCATGTCCCAGGCGGACGACCCCCCGGTAACTTAACACATCATCAACCCAACCATATTTTTGACCAAAGATATAGCACCGCTTTGCACATAGCAGCGAAGTGGGCACGTTCTCCCGCCGCGTCGCACCGCATGGCGGCATTGGCGGGCTGCAAGAAGTGACATAACGCGTTGTCTTTTGAGAACGGCGTGCGCGGAGCAAGTCTTGGCAGCAAAATCCACAGCCTCGTATATGGAAAAGCATTTGCTGTCCGCACCAGCGCAAGGACGTAAAAAGCCAAAACTAGCTCAGCGGGAACTGGGGCTGCCTTGATACAATACAGTAGGTGTTCGGAACTCGATATCCAGCCGTGCTCAAACTGGTTTTAGAATTCTAGATGGCTAACTATCAGGTATGTGTGGACCGTCTCGTCAAGCCCGCAAACGCACAGCATCTATGTTCCGGCAAAAGCTCACTTACTTCTGAAACGCAGCCGCCACCAGGCAGCAGGGGCGGGAGTACCCGCCCATCACCCTCTCCATCACCGTACGGCTCCCCACAACCTGAGCGTCGCGGACCCCTACCCGCTGTTCCCGGACCCGCAGGGCCTGCGCACCTAGCTGGAAGTTACAACCCACCACCTCCCCTCCACCCCCACTCGAGCTATGAGGAAGTCAGCCATGCATACCCGCCTGCACAAAACTTCACCCCATCAGAGGCGAGCAGCACGTTGAATGATACGAGGCGCTCGCAAGTAACGGGGCCGCGACTGGGTTATGACGACAGGAAGCCGTCGGTAGGCAGCTTCCAGGTGCCACTGCCACCGGCGGGAGCTTATCCGAATCCGCCGCCGAATGATAGGCAAGGGGGTTATCATGGCACGCCGAGTGCATCTCCGCATCCATCTGCCCATGCATCACCGCAGCTGCCGCGTCGAACAACGCCTCAGCCGGCGAATTCCCTGGCACCTCCATCAGGATCGTATCCAATGCAGGATTACACCAGATCAAATCCCGTCTCACCCGCCCCGGGCCGACGGCAATACCCGTCACAAGACCCATTGCCAACACGGGGCTCAGCGTCTATAGATACATTGGGCGATGTAGGAGGCGCGGGGGCTGCAGTAGGACCGGGGAGATTCACAACTGTGCGCCGGAAAGTGCCCCTGAAGACGGGGAACTTTGTCGTGGACTTTCCCGTATCTGAGCGGTATCTCGACATGTGCAACATAAAGGAAGGGCATGAGTTTACTCATTTGCGGTATACCGCTGTTACGTGTGATCCTGACGAGTTTGGGAAGCCGGAGTCGGGGTATACGCTGAGACCGAAGCTTTTTACCCGGGATACCGAGCTGTTCATTGTGATGACCATGTACAATGAAGTGCGTTTGTGGTTGTACTGCAGGAAGAGGAAACCCCCGCTTTGACGGCATGACTAACCTTCTATGTTTGGCAAGGACGAAGAATTGTTCGCAAAAACGATGACCAGCGTCCAAAAGAACATAGCCTACATGTGTTCTGACAAATGCCCCTACACATGGGGCCCCAACGGATGGCAAAACATCGTCGTATGCGTCGTCTCCGACGGCCGCACAAAAGTCGACAAGCGGGTCTTGAGCATGCTGCAAGTCATGGGCGTCTACTCGCCCGGATTGGAGAGGACGCAGGTGGAGACCAAACCTGTGTCTGCGCACTTGTTTGAGTTTACCACCCAGATCGCGATCGATAAGGAGTTGAATATTCGGACTCATCGGAATGGGATGGTGCCCGTGCAGGTTAGACCCGTTTCGGTAAAATACCGCGCGGAGACTGTTTTCTGACGAAGACGATACTTCAAAGGTGCTGTTTTGTCTGAAGGAGAAGAATGCGAAGAAGGTAGATGCGAGCGTTGCATACTAGGGCCGATCAGCCGCTTACCTTTTCTCCCCAGATCAACAGCCACCGATGGTTCTTCAACGCCTTTGGACCAGGTAACTTGAAAACGCGGGTAAATGGTTTCCTGAGAGCATGCGTTCGCTGAACACCACTCTATCCAGTCCTGAACCCCAACGTATGCGTCCTCCTGGACGTCGGAACAAAGCCGACAGGGACATCTATCTACCACTTATGGAGAGGTGAGGCTCATGACACCCTTGCATCTGTGCCTTGGATGGGTCCATAAACCCCTTCCTCGGGTAGCCTTCGATCGCGATCCCCAGGTTGGCGGTGCCTGTGGGGAGATTGTGGCCGAGCTCGGGAAAGGATGGAAGAATCTTCTGAATCCGCTTGTTGCGGCTCAGAATTTCGAGTATAAGTAAGTCAGCTGATGCTAGCAACGCCTGCTACTGATCACTGACAATATCCCTGTCCTCGAAGAATGTCGAATATTCTCGATAAACCTCTTGAGTCGGTATGTGGGCGAACTCCGAGCTTACATATACGCCCTGCGACTCGCCACGGATGACTCCGTCTCACGGCGGCTTTGCTTTCCCAGGTCTTCGGATACATTCAAGTCCTGCCCGGGGCTTTCTCGGCTTACCGATACAAGGCTCTGCAGAATTCCACCCCCACCAGCGGTCCTCTGGCCAGTTACTTCCAAGGAGAGAATCACTCCGGGCAAACCGACGTATTCAAAGCAAACATGTATCTCGCAGAAGGTAGTGTCTTTCCAGCCGCAACCAGTGAGCACCTTCCGCTTATTCTCATGTGCGCACCTAGATCGGATCCTCTGCTTCGAGCTCGTGACGAAGCTAAACGAGAACTGGGTCCTCAAATACGTCAAGAACGCCTCAGCGGAGACCGACGTACCCGGCGCTCTCCCTGAGCTGATCTCGCAAAGGCGGCGCTGGCTCAATGGGAGCTTCTTCGCCGCCGTACATGCCGTGACGAATTTCAAGCTGCTCTGGCGGTCGAGCCACTCGGGGTCGCGAATCGCCGTTCTGAGCTTTCAAGAGATTTATAATATCTACAATCTGATTTTTAGTTGGTTTTCTGTTGTACGTATAGGTTTGCTTTTTCCGGATTTTGCACAGACACTATCGGTGCTCATCTCACGCTATTGTTTATTTAGGGCAATTTCTACCTCACTTTCCACTTTTTGTTCCAAGGAACGAATAACGAAGCAACAGATCCATTCAATGGGGCTGGCCCCACGATGTTCGTCATTCTGCGTTACTTCTATATCGGGGCTATCGTCGCCCTTGTCATTGCTTCCTTCGGTGCGTTCATCATTCCGACATGTGTACACTCCAGGGGACCCTACTAATCCTCGAGCCATTCTGATTTAGGGAATCGACCACAAGGCTCCAAAACCCTCTACTACTCCATCCTTGTTCTCTTCGCCATCCTAATGGGCTTCCTGCTCTTCATGGGCGGCAACGCCGTGTACAAGGGGATCCCCAAAACAACGGCGGATTGGGACAACATCGGACACAAGCTGATCAACGAACCGTCGTTCCGCGATATTGTGATATCGCTCGGGTCTACGTATGGGTTGTATTTCGGGTCGTCGGTCTTGCATTTGGATCCGTGGCATTGTGTGACGAGTATGGTGCAGTATTTGTTGCTGTTGCCGGTTTATATTAATGTGTTTATGGTTTATGCATGTAAGTCTGAGCGAGACGAACTCGTTGACTTTGTTACCACATGTGAGCTCAACATCGATATCCTTTAGTTTGCAATTTGCATGATATCAGTTGGTAAGTTTCCACTTCGGCTGGACGGTTGTTTAGCGGCGCTAGCCTCATACGCAAACCGCTCACGGACCACGTCTTGCATGTTGCAGGGGAACAAAGGGAGATAACGTTGCACAGGGTGCCATTGCCGGCACTTCCGTAGCCGTAAAGAAAAACGATTCCAGCGAAGCGGAGGTGACCGTCGACCTACCCCTCGACGACGCAGACGAGCTTAATTCGCGTTTCTCCTCAACCCTCGAAGGGCTCGTCCGCCGCCCGGAAAAACAACGCTCCTCCCGTGACCGTCAAACAAAGATCGACGATTATTTCAGAATGTACCGCACACGAGTCGTCCTCGCCTGGATATTTTCCAACTCCGTCCTGGTTATTGTGTTTTCCACGCAGACGATCATGGACAAGTTGTATGCGCATGTGGATACGAAAGGCGGGACGGTGAACCCGTATCTTTCGTTCATTTTTTGGAGTGTCGCGGCTCTGTCGGCGGTGCGGTTTGTGGGGAGCGCTGCTTATATTTGTCAGTGGCTTATGGAGGGAGCGAGTGGTGCGGTAGGGGGCAAACGGAAGTTTGTGTCGAGGCAGGAGCATGAGAGACAACACAATACGCCTGTGCCTGTCCCTGGCAAAGCAGCACATTAGTGTTCTTGGAAACTACGGAATTACTCTCTGAAACATTTTTAGCGTGCATTCCATGATAATGGGACTTTACATAATGACACATCCTATGGATTCTTCTGTCCGTCGCCCGTTCTCACAGGATTTGGTGGGATGGAAAAACGTGCGTTGGGCAGCTTGGTGGTGGCAAATCGGGGCACTGACAGGTGGCGCGGCTGCATCAAACGCGCTGTCATATCCGGAACGCGAATCGCCGCTCGCAGTTTTACTCATTATTTGACGTGGGCCTCCCTGGTCGTTGAAGGGCACTAGTACCCTGCGACTAAACCCTTGTCTTGCAATCCCGCAGTTGCTTTTCTGACTACTACATTGCACCTACTTAAAACATCTATACGCCTGCGGTCCACTCCTCTCAACTGCCAGTCCGAGAAGCAGCCTGAAACATTTTATACGAGACAAGGCGACATCTAGATCAATCCAGTATCCCTCAGCGGAAAGACCTGGCACGCATCTGATCAATAATGAAGAGGTTCCTCAGGCGGCTCTCGACATCAGCGTCGAGTGCGCCGTCTTTCTTTGGTTCACCCATTGAGATCCTATTGGCAAGAGACATAGCCGCAGGACGAACGAGTGGGGATCCCAACGTGCCATATATTCTGAAAAAGTTGATCAAGTGGCTGAGCTCAGACGAAGGTACGGTAGCTAAAGCAATATACCCATGGTAATAACGTTGCAATCAACGATGTGCGTCGTCTTTTAGTTCTTGGGACAGAAGGCATCTTCCGGACTGGCGCCCAAGCCAAAACGCTGAAAGACCTCAGAGAGCGTTTTGACAAAGCGAACAGCATAGATCTGAGCGAAGTCCAACTCGCCGACATACCCGCCGTTGCATCACTGCTCAAACAATGGATACGAGAACTACCCGATGGACTTATACCGGAAACATTCTACAAGCCACTGGAGAATGCCGCAGGTAGATCATTCAACGGCCGTTGTGCATATCGTGCTTACGGGCCCACCTAACAGCCCTGCTCATTTAACAGGATCAGTTGAAGAGCTCCGAACAGTTTTGTCCACGCTGCCACAGATAAACTATCACTCCCTCCGGTACCTATGTCGGTACCTCCGCCTCGTCGCATCACACGCCGACCGGAACCGCATGACAACATCAAACCTGAGCGTTGTCTTTGCGCCGAATGTGTTCAAATGCCCGTCGGAGCCAAAACCTGGCAGCACGGATCTGAGCGGCCAGTCGAGCTTTGTGGCGGAAAGTATGATCGTGTCGAAGATCATGGCGTCTATACTGGATGACATGGAGGCGATACTCGGGGCGGTAGGTGATCGGTACGTTGGGAGAGTCTGGGGAAACGATAGCGCATCGACAGGAGGACAGATGAGCTGCGTTGCCGATGGATCATCTGATTGGCCACATTAATGATGCAGGAGGAACCACCGGAGTTTATTGACGAGGAGCCGCCGAAGGTCATCAAAGAAAAAGAGAAAGAGGAGCCAGTCAAGCGCCGTCTGTCCATATTCCGGAAGAACGAGAGTTCGATGGATATTGTGGCACCCAAGGAGTCAGTACCGGTTCCCGATTGGGAAACTCCAAGCGCTTCGGTCGCAGATGACGGTGATACCAGCAGGTTGCGCATGTTTGAATGTACGTTCTAGCATGCTGAAGTACATCCGATACTAACAGGGGTAATTTCCCACTACTGCAGAAGCATCACCGATTCCGTGTCAACAGTGGATTCCCCGACAGCTACGGGGTCATTGCCACCAAAACGCAATTTCGGGAAACTAGGGAACGTTGGAGGGGCGCTTCTCTCAATCGGTCGCAGAAGGGGATCAAGCTTTACAGATGTGAGAAGAGGTCGCTGCATCACCAGTCCATATTCATGCAACTCACTCACATGGACCGCGGCGGTTTAGTCCAAGCGTGCAGGGAGCACTACAGATATTGGGGGCGATAGGAAAGATGGGCAGACTGTGGGGTCAAGCCCACTTCAAAATGCTGTGCGACTAGAACGGGGCGACGATGCACCTGAGGAAGAGCATAGGGTGAGGAATAGCGATCCAAAGCCGTTCATCCTCGTAGGATTTCTGGGGCTCAATGCGAAAATGTAGAATCGCAAACTGGCTTCCTCGCATGCACAAGCAACGGCTCTGATACGGCCTCTTCTCGGGCCTGCAACGACTGTGACAACAACAGACGATGACACGTCTGAATTGGACTCTCCGCTCAATGATTCGGATTTCACTAGTCCAGCCACAACGCCAGAGCCAATTGAAAAGATGGATTCACCTCAGAAGACAACCGCATCGCTGAATGCCCCTTCTCGATTGGCGCCTCTGGCCGCGGATGGTCCTGGGAGCAACCCCGTTTCCCGGTGAGACAAGTGGATGAAAGCAGAGGCTGCCATTGGCACAGTCCTAATTGTTTTGCATCACCATTTCAAAAGACAATCCACATCGAACTCCCTACTAGACTGGGGATCCGCTCCAAAACTCTTCAGTGCGAAATCGACATCGGTAAGGACCGCCAGATCAATGTACCAACCTTTTGCATCGTGAATTGAGCGCTTCCATAGACTACGGACCTCTCCCCGCCTACTGCAAGTCATACCCGTCCGTCATCTGGCAGCACCGGGCGGAGTGCACACAGCAAATTACATGCAAGCCGCTTAACTCAGGAGACCGCAACAGCGATCTCGTCGCGGAGTACATCGCCGAGTCACACAGGGTCTGAGGACGATTACGATGAAGAGGTGCCTGCCAGGCGTCATGATTCGCAGTCAGACTCGTTCTCAGAGGAAAACGACACGGATGATTTTCACAGACCACTGGACAAGCGAAAATCCGTCTCGTTCAACATCCCGCTCAACGACATTACAACAGCGTCTTCCGATCCTGGAGAAGGCAGCGAGGAGGAGTCAGAGTCTCAAGATGAAGTAGATGCCAGTGGAACCGAACAATCAGCGTCGGACTCCGGGTCTGAAGTGGAGGACGAAGAACCTGCAAGAGTTGAGACGAAACCGCATGCGGCGAAGAAGACGGGGGTCCCGGCGCAATCTGCCCCGCCGCCGCCGCTGGATACACGACGACTTGCCCGGGATATGGTGTTTGCGGACTCGCCGAAGCCGGGGTCGCGTGAGGTTGAACGGCGGGTTTCGGTGAATTCCCTCAATGCGATGGATGCAAGGAAGGGGCGGAGCAGTCCGGTCGATGTGCAGTTACATACCCGGAGTCTGAACAGCGTGAGCACCTAAGGACCCCAACGTTTTTAAGCGAGGATCGATTATTGATTCGCATTCCACTGCAGTTGGCAAGAACCGAAGAAGCGAAATCATACCAGTAGTAAGCAAACGCTTTCATCGTTCCTCTTGACACCGTCATCATAACAATCAAAACTTACAACCTGAAAGCAGCTCGCCACGAACAAACGCCATGCCAAAATCCGCCGTCTCATCACGCGCACCACAACAGGAGTCTGCTCATCACACAGCAAGGGTTCAGCATTCCGAGCATGACGCTCCCCGACGGCGAAGTTGGGAGGACAAGCCGGGAGGAGTGCTGCCTACGCCGACATCAACGACGCGGCCGCAAATTTTTGGGGATGCGAAAACCGGTCGGCGGGAGAGGTGAGGAAGAACTAAGCCAGAGCAGCATGGTTGGTCATGCTAAACATGGTATCAACCGTAGCGCCTCTCGGCCATTGAGCGCGCGGCTCGGCCATATAGAAAATGCGTCCAACGGACAACCCGGGCAAATGTAAGCACACATTTCTTTCCGTCACTTACGCCGCAATCACTTATCTTCCCCGACAGCACGCAAAGCCGATCAGCAGCCTCCTTTGGATCCGCCGATCCCTCCTACCCCCTAAAACAGCGACGTCATCTCTCGGCAGACACCTCCACGCTGTTATCTCCCACATCGCCACCTCCAGGGGGCGCGGAGGACGCCGATGGGAAGGAGGTAGGCCTGCGAGCGGAGATGCTCGCACTGTACAAGCAGATCAAAAGCCTGAAAGCGGCGAACCCACCGGATCGGGACGAGGAGTTCTTGAGGGCGCTCGTGGCGCGATACAAGAAGATCAAGGCGCAGGTTCGACGTGAGTAGGAAATGATTTCCGCGGTCATAGGAAACGCCAAATATGGTCAACGGAGTCTCATTCAATTTTCATCCCGAATCGCAGCGGCCGAGGCCCTCCCAACCCCCCTCAGCTCGACCACCTCCCCCGCTCTCCCTCTTCCACCCACTCACCTCGCCCTCGAGCGTCTCCACCTCCTCCGGCAACACCACCGGCGTCCCTCGGACATTTCGCAGATGACATTTCAGCAATGCCAGAGCGAGAAATCGGAACTGAAAAACGAGCTGGTGCTTCTGAAGGCGATCTATAAAAAGACACCCTCGTCAACGGAGGAGGAGAAAAAGGTCGCTAGAGGGCTTTGGAAGCGTTATGTGGAGGTGCGGAAGAGGTGTGAGGAGGCTGAGGGTGAGAGTGGGGGTATGGATCGGTATGTGTGCGAGGGGGGGAGCACTTTGCGCCGAGGCGTATGCGCATCTATGATCAATGCTTACGCTCGATTATAGGGAAGTCTTAGAAGCCCTGGAACTAGAGAAGAAAGGCATCCAGCTTCGCCTACGCCGTTTCCAAGACGATTTCAAGCGCACCAACGGGCGGGCGGTGCGGACTGCGCAGGACAGGCAACCTATTGCGCAGTCTTATCGGCGGTATCAGGTACGCATGAGTGACAGCCCATTATCGTCCTCGTTGGTCCTTCGGGAAAGGTCTTTGACGCAATGTCGTAGGAACTCAAAACGCAGATTGCGGCAATGAAGGCTTGTTAGAAGGCGCGGCTGGGTGACTGTATCATACGTATGGTTTTATGTACGCAGTCTCATTTTTGGGGGTTATGCCCATGCTCAGCCTGATGAGCTGCATCTACTGTTCTTTCTGATGTACAAAGTTTGTTGATTTATATGGGAGCGACTGTAATGTCAAGTTGTATTGTGAGAACCCGCTATCCACAAACTCATGCGTCGTCGCTTCTATATCTCCAATATGTCGGCGTACATGCGTATATCCCTCATGGTCTTCTGACGATTGCGCCAGATAAGGTAGGTCCATTCTTTATACGTCAAATCTAGCAGGTATTGAAGAGCATCGTGGCCCAAATCGACACGCTGTCGAAATGAGCGAGGATTTCGACAGCATCCGTCGGTTGACCGCTTAACGGGAAATGGGAAATGAACGGTCCTCCTACAATCGAGCTCGATATGGTTAACCGTAATTATGGGGAGCCATCCGGATCTTCTTCTTCGGAGCTTTTGACAGGGACTGACAGTGGGCCGGACATGAGAACACAGTCAACACGCTATAAACGACCTTCAACAAAGTTGCATAGGTGGTAGCCAGGGTGGTAGCTCGATGTTGTCCGTTTGTTTATCGCCGGACAATAACGCTTTCCCTTGCCTTCCTTTATCCATTCATCGTTTTTTCCTTCATCCTTTCATCGTTTATGACCCTGAATGCGCCCCATACCGTAAACGCTTCGGGGAGGCGTCGCTATTTATTGGAACGGCGCTTCTCCTCGTCCAAGCGGCAAAAAGGTTCACATGCAAACTTCGCTTGACGATTGGCCTCGACTCAGACTGAGGAGACGTTTTCCTGGATTGTAACGGCAGAAGCTCCTCCGAGTCTCTTCGAACACCGACGTAAAAATCTCGCGTTCGTCCTTGCGGTAGCTTACGTCTGTGGTCGCCGACCACCTCCGCAAAGAACTTTCCCAAGATGTTCCTCACTCGACGTGCCCAGTTACCTGTGCTCTTCGTTCTTGTTCTGATCTGCCACCTCGTAGAAGCACTTCTACCGGACTTCCCGGACAATCTAGTAGTGTACCCCAACCGGGACAGGGTGAGCGTTCAAGGATTCCGAAAGTATGCAGGTCAGACCGCGGAGATTCGAGTCAGTCGCTGGATGAAGCCGGCTGGGGCGATCATCGAGAACCCGGACCGGGTCCTCGTTGTCGTGGGAAGAGCCCGTGGCAAAATCAGCGGCAAAACGGTTGCCCTCGAGGTCAATCATCCAGGCAAGTTGTAAAGTTGTTCGGGACGTTACCGAGTCGAGACGAATGTTCATCCTCCAGATTCCCAGGCGGGGTATGCTGGATGGATGTCACCCCGGATATTGTCAGCCAAGACGTGGTGTCCATTTGGTTCAACGGCGTTGAAGTGGCAAACGGCAGAGTGTTGGATATCTACATGGATGAAGCGCCGGTTTTCGATCCCATTTTTGGGGCCAACGCGATCACGCTCAGCGGAGCTATAGCTAGGGACATGCACATTGGCTCCCATTACGAGGTCCATATCGCCAATCCTGACCTCCTACCGTTTACTGGCGGCACGGACCTTCGCGCTTCGCAGCCCGCCAATGCCACCGCAGGCGTCCTCACCGTGAATCAAGGATACAGTTCATCGCTGCTAATCACCGGAGGTATCTACTCACTCAGTTCTGACGAGCGACCTCACTGAAATCAGGCTTTATACTCTTCATTAGCGAAACTAAGATTGCTCTGATAACTTTACGGCTAGGTTTCCTTGGTTTCGTGGCAAGATTCATATTCGAGGACCGACAGGCGGCCCGCGTGGCGTTATCTGGCGGCGGATACTACGTTCGCGGATGGTTAGCCACTGACGCTGCTGGAAACCCTCTAGGTATTACTATACATGAACCCTCGCAAGTCGGTGGGCCCGCAATGGGCTGCCCGGCTGGACCTGGGGCCTATGTTCCGCCGGTGTCGACTTTCACGGCGACAATTGACACGCCGAAGGGCGATGCAAAGGTCCGGGCAAACATAGCTTGGCTGCCCGTTTCGTCTCCACCGGGAGCGGACCCGGTGGTTGGATATGACGTTCTTGCGATCGATAAAGCAAGCCATGCCGTTCGCGGGACCCGTGTCCCTGCGGACGCTGATCACATCGCCATCAGCGTCCACCCCGAAAAACAGTACACATTCGAAGTCCGCGCGCTTGTTGCAAAGTCATCGACGGCGGAGAATATCAGGTCTTCCGCCCCTTTTCCCGCTCGCCTCGAAGCTCTCGAAGTGACATCCACCCCCTCGAATGCCACGGCTGGCACGCCCACAGAGGCTCAGTACGTCACCTTTGCTTCCAACGGGTGGAATATGCACTACACCGTAAGGGAGCAGGCGAAGAATTCCAGCAAGCTACCGGCCTTCACAGCGGACCAAAAGCCGGTTTTCGTAGTCAACCCCGTCCTGGATTCGAAAGGCAAGGTGGCGAACAAATCCATTCCGTATTCTGGAGAGCGCATCTACATCAACAATACCGTCCTCATCGAAGTGAGCACTACCTACGGCACGGAAACTATTTTCAAGGCTTTCCAATTCAAACCCGCGCCGGCTGTCCCCGCTCCGACCCTGGCCTCTTACAACCCTCAGCCGGCAGGAGCATCACTTGGTTGGTTCTGGACTCCGAACCCGCTGTATAACCAGAGGATCCAAAGTTTCATAATTCAAGAGTTCGATGACTTCGGTGGTTTGCCCATCCCAATCGGAGAGCCGTACGAGACCCAAAGTGGCGAGACGACTCGCACGGTGGCGGCGATGTACCCGCTGTTCCCGCGACATGAGAAACTTCCGGGAGTTTTTTGTGCTTCGTGTCACAATTTCGCGGTCGCGGCCAAAACTACAGACGGCTGGATCAGCCCCTGGTCTAACACAAAGGGGGCCGCAGTCCCCGACATGGTCGTGCCCCTGAACAGCGAGTGGGCAGGAGGAGTACTGCGCATGGATGGGTGGTGCTCTGAGAGCGACGCTGTCATTACGGCGCGTTTGGAGCCGATGGCGTCTCCTTTCGGTCCAGCCGCCAAAGTTGCCAACAATGCCTGGACGCTGCGGATCCCCGTCGAGAAGCAGGCTTTCAAAACTGGCAATAAAATCGTTGTCGTGTCAAACAGAGGCGCCGTCTATGCTGTTCAGGTCTCTGGGCTCTGATGAGACCGTCGCGGAAGTCGGACACGGCGACTTCGACTGTTCTCCTTTCCTCTCCACTATTGCTTGCTCGTGCTCACCCTCTGCGGATGTCCGAAAATTTTTCCGTCACTTGTCTGCTTTATATCTTGCGATGAACGATTTCCTCTCAATACCATTGAAGTCCTTTGCATCTGTTTCGGACGTTGCAGGATTTATTTGATCAGCGATTATATCATCTAGAGACATGTTACGCATGCCCCACATGCTCACATGGAACTGCGTTTGCATGTCGTAACATTGGACTCCAGCTAGCATCAATAATGTCTCAGATCGTACGGAAGGGGAAGATAACTATTGAACATCATCCATCCCACCACGTTGCGCCCGGGCTCTTCTCTTCGGCACAGCACGAAGAAGCAGAGGTTTCCATCCCATCCCCCATGTGCGTCAGCATGCTCGTGAGTTCCTTCAGGTAGGTCCACATCAATCAATTCCACGATGTTATTGTCCTTCAAAGCTTGATAAAGCCCCGAAAGCAACAGCCTGTGCTCGTCATTTTCAAAACAAAACTCGTCCATGTCGGCATCGTAAAGCCATTGAAACAGATGAATGAGGTATGCTGTGGTTGCCTCCTCATCGGCTAGCGATATTCTTTTGATCCTGTAGTAGTCGCGAAGGTGTGGTGACACCCGCAGCCGTAATGCTAGCATAATGGAAGCAGTCGAATCGGAAAGCACATCCAGAGCATCCAGCTCAGGAACGGGGGGCATCAGTAGCGGGCATGACATAGCTCCGGTATACTGGCGGCGCACGAAGCCTTTGCTCCCATCAGGTTTAGCGAATTCGTTTTTTGAAGCCAAGCTGACAACATGGAGGGGGCCAGCGAGCAAGTCGATGTCGGCACTCAGGGCAGACCACCGAGCCTCCTCTTGTGGCGCGTTTGCATAGTACTTGGGAGGCTCGACACCATCACGAAGGTCGAGCTGCATAGGCGAAAGGAATCCATGGCCGGCCGTCAAGAAGGCAACGTCCAGCTGGTCCCATATGGCGTACGCACTGGTGTCCAAGCTCGCCTCGCGAGCATCATCGCGGAAGATCTGCCCGGCCCGTTCAAGATCATCGATTTCGGAAAACCTGTGCTTAACCAGACAGCGCTCCCTCGCCGAGAGAGCGGAGCTCCATGCCCTGCATACTAGTAGGCAGTTGAGGAAGTCACGGGGATTTGTGAATGCGACGCGACATAGAATGCGAGGGAGCAATTCTGGTGGGGGACCGTTATCGGTGGGTGCGACCGAGCCCATTGCGCTGTGAAGATATAAATAGAGAGAGGGGTAAACGGCGGAAGTGCGTGTTGGTGAACGGCAACGCATATGAACCTCAGAGTTCAGCTGATGACGGTCGCATCTCCGTTGCCACGTCGAAATTGTTGCAATCTAGGGACCACATTCCCCAAAGCGTTTTTGGACTGCAGGCCGCTTTGAAGATACATGTAGGCCCGTCCAGAACGTGTCGCATGCATTTTCCAACACTCTCGCCGCTTATGGATGGGCCGCTCGCCGCGAAAACACGGAGAAGACCGGGAAGACGAACTATGTGTCACAAGGTCCCCTGCGCCGACCATCTCTACCCATCCTCATCGACATCCATTCCCTCCTCCTCATCATCTTCAGCATCATCCTGCTCCTCCGGTTCACCGTCTTCTGCTGCTTTCGTGGCCCCATCATCCTCCTCGCCATCCATCTCATCTGTGTCAAAAGTCTCATCTTCCGCGATCGCGTCGTCGCCGCCATCCGCGCCAGAAGTGAGCGCCGGCAGATATTCGGGGTACAGGTGGCGGATGGCGGCGTGGATGTCTCTTGCCCGTACCTTTTGAAACAAGTTGAATGAGATATCACACAGAGCGGAACAGAAATAACAAAAAGGGAAACAGATCCTTACAGGACAAAACCCATTCGCAGCCTTCGCAGCGGATACACGGTGATGATAAACGATCCCATACTTGTGCCGCTCATATGCAAGCAAAGCGGACGCATCGATGATGGTGGTCAGCCACGTTTTGAAACGGGAGACCAGCGGTGGGACCATCTCCGGTGTCAAAGGCGGTCCAGCGTTCCGGTCAATCATCTGGTCTTTTGTTAGCGAGCCGCCTTTTGAGGGGACTGCTAGCGGGGCGCCGTTGCGGATGCAGGCTCTGTGGGGGACATTGGTTCATGAGTGATTCTGCTCCTTGGATTGGAGAGACAGCTGGGGTTTCGCTCAAAACTCACTTTGCCCATGCCTGTTTGATTTTCGAGCCCTTGAAAAGGTGGTCCCGCGAGACCAAATGTGGGGGGTCCATCCGTACCCACTTTGACCCTCGCCTCTTCCTTATGATTTTCGGCAACGGTTCGCCGAAAGGGTCGATGCATTCCATACAATGTGGAACTGGGTTTTCGGGTTCATCCTCTGCTGGTCTCTTTCTGATGAGATGTGGTGCTATTCCCGCAAAAAAAATCCTGGGTATGAGGGGTCATGCTTTGAAAGTCAAGGCGAAAGAAGTTAACTTCCGCTCCTACCTTTCTCTCTCAACGCGTCAACAAACACAGCGACTTCCAATACACTCTTGGTTCCACCCAAAGCTTCTGCCAGTGTGTGAGAGTTGATGGCGTCTGAGGGATGCTTTTGGAGGAGATGTACAAGTCGCTTCTTTTCGTCCTCGGTCCACTTTCTTTGTTCTGACGGTGGGCCGCTGGATGTTGCTGTTGGGGCAGGCTGAGCGGCGATCGGGGTAACCGTGGGAGCCTCCATGGCTCCTTAACTGAGTGCTATAAGCTGAAGGTAAGAGGATCAGTAAGGCTGTGCCCGTGTGCCCATGGGAATGTCTCTGCCAAATGTCCTATAGAAGCGCGTAGAAAACAGCCGATTAGGGACATCTCTCTCTGATCTCTCTCCAAAAGAAAGCTCACGCTCCCAAAACCTCCAAAACAGCCCAAAACGACTTCCCCCGATCGACTGACAGCCCCTTTTGAACCTCTCGAGCATCGGTCTCATTCTACCACTTCAACTCACTACGTACATATACACATAGCCACAAGCTTCATCAACGCCCTCAGCAATGACCCAATCCGACCCAACAACCCTCCTTACAACGGCAACATCCCTCTTCCTCTCCGAGTCCTACTCCGAAGCCCTCCCCCTCTACACCCAACTCATCTCCCTCTCCCCCACCGCCGACGCACACCTCAAACGCGCCGCCTGCAACCACCAGCTCGCCCATTTCGACGCCGCCGTGAAGGACGCCGATGCCGCGTTGAGGTTTGCGGATGATGATAAGGCGCGTGGGAAGGCGTTGACGAGGAAGGGGATGGCGTTGTTGGAATTGGGAAGGGCACAGGATGCCGTGGAGGCGTTTGGGAAGGCGAGGGAGTATGGGGAGGGGGTCGGGGTGCAGAGATGGATTGAGAAGTGTGTTGCTGCTGGTGCTAAAGGTATGTCTTGGAGGTTTTGCATTGTGTTTGGTGACCCGCCGATGATCTTGATCTGACGAAAACATCCCTCGTCCCCAGCCCCTGAACCGAAAGTAACCGCTGAACCACACAAGCAGCCCCCTCAACCGGCCACAGCACCCCCCACCACTATCCCAACAACCATCCCGACCCCAGCGTCCGCCTCCAAAATTCGGCACGAATGGTTCCAAAACGACTCCCTCGTAACCGTCACCATCTTCGTCAAAAACGCCGACCCCTCCAACGTCCTCATCAACTTCTCCGAGCGCGCCCTCTCCGTGACCGTCAAGCTCCCGCACGCGGCCACCGAGTATTCATTGGAACTCGACCCGCTGGCCCATGAGATTGTGCCGGCGGACAGCAAGTTCGTGGTTATGAAGACCAAGGTGGAGATTACGTTGCGGAAGAAGGTTGTGGGGGTTAGGTGGGGTGAGCTGGAGGGGGAGGAGACAGGGCCGGTGGGGATGATTGCGGGGGCTGCTGGGGTGGAGAAAGTTGAGTACCCTACATCATCCAAAAAGGTTCGCATCCCATACCTCTACAATGCAAAACCCTCCATTCAATAGTATTTATATACTCACACACCCCGCTATCTCTCAGAAACACAACTGGGACGCCCTCGCCGCCTCCGTCGAAACCGACAAACCCGAAGGCGAGCAAGCCCTCAACGCCTTATTCCAGCAAATCTACAAGGACGCCTCCGACGACACGCGTCGCGCCATGATGAAGTCCTATGTCGAGAGTAACGGGACGGTGTTGAGCACGAATTGGGAGGAGATTGGGAAGAAGAAAGTTGAGGTGACCCCGCCGGATGGGATGATTGCTAAGAAGCACGAGCTTTGAGTTTGGGGTGGGATGATGGATGGGGCGTGAGGGGGACGTGTTGATAGTGATTGGCGATATTCTTAGGGATGTACAAAAGGAAAGCACCGTGATAGCTTCAGTTGTCTAATACGAGTCTACTGGCACCCGACTAGGGCCAGGGCATGCTTACATTTTAACAAAAATGATATGACCAAACAAAAAAATGACTATGTACCCCTAAACGCCTTAACCGCTATCCTCCCCACCACAACCGCCACCAACCCCGCAGCTACGATAGGCACCAACCTATCTACATGCATATTCCGCCGTATCCCACTCCATGCTTGTGATGGCTCCACATCTGTCGGATCTGAGCTGTTCTCTACTAACGTAGATCTCGCCGCGTCCCGTCTATTCGTACTCCTCCCAGCGCGCGTCCTTGGCGGTGGTGTCGCCTTCCCGCTCGCACACGTGGACCCATTATTCGACATCAGATCTTCCAGATCCAACACGGAAGCAGCATCCGCCTCCGCCCCCTTCTTCGCCCCCTTCTGCCCGCCATTATCGATAACCAGCTGCCCACACGCGCTCGCCGAATCCGCGCCCATCGTCTGCCTCAACAGCGTGTGCACGCCGTACCCCCTCACCGTCTCCGCAAACCTCCTCGACGTCTCCCTATCGGGTGTCTTGTAGTCGTGGGGTACGGAAGTGACGTTATACGGGATGATATTCAACAACACTTCGCGGTCTTTCAGTAGTTGACCGAGTTCATGGGCGGTGGATTGTGAATCGTTCACGTCAGCGATCAGCACGTATTCGACGAGGATATGGCGGCGGCGGTTAGATGATTTTGCGGATTTGTTTTGGTTTGCTATGAAGGCGTCGCAGGCGGCGAGGATGCGGTCGACGTGCCATGCCTTGGAGGTCGGGACGATTTGTTGGCGGAGGTGTTGGGTCGGGGCGTGGAGGGAGAGTGCGAGGCCGACGTTGGGTGCGTCTGTCATTAGTGAGCGAATGCGGGGGACGACGCCAACGGTTGAGACTGATATCCGTGACGGCGAGAGACCGAAGCGGGCGGTGTCTACCATGGCTTTGATGGAGCTGAGGACGGCGTTGTAGTTATCAAGCGGCTCGCCCATTCCCATAAAGACGATATTGCGGATCTTTTCGACTTTGTTGGCGTGGTAGAGCTGTTCGACGATCTCGCCGGCCGTGAGGTTGGAGAGCAGGCCCATTGTGCCGGTTGCGCAGAATGTGCAGCCCATCGCGCAGCCGACTTGAGAAGAGACGCAGAGGGTTGCGCGTTTGTTGGAGCTAAATTCGAGGGATTCGATTACGTCTCCCTCCCCCGATATTGCGCTCCCCCCGTCTTTTGTTTTAAGCCGTTTGCGCTTAGCCTCCTCGGCGGGGAAGGAGTCGAGCTCCACCTCGCCGTACCGCATGATGACGCTCTCGATCCTTTGTCCATCCTGTAGTTCGATCAGCAGCTTTGTGGTGCTCCCGTCCTTTGCATCGGTGCGGGAAACCACTTTGCTAGTAGTTAGCACGAATTCTTCGTCGAGGAGTTTGGCGGCGGCTTTGGGGAACTCGGGGATGTCGTGGTAGGAGCCAATTCTGTCGGGTTGTTGGATGAGGTACCGCCATAGCTTCTTGGCCGCTAGGGGCTTTATGTTGTGGGCGGCGAAGGCTTCAAGGACGGAGTCTTCGTCGAATAGGGACTTGGGGCTGAGGGTGCGTTGTTTGACCATATTTGGGGACAGGCGATCAGCGTGGAAGCCAAGTCGAGTGAGAATACAGGGACCCCGTCCTAGACAAAGGGTACGGCCCGCGATATGAGCTTTACGCCAGTGTGGACTGCGTTGGCCTGTGTCGCTGTCGCTGTGGCAAGGTGTTGGTTGAGGCGAGTTTTGTTGTGTGGAGGGTTCCTTTTTCGCTCAGTTGGCAAAATGCAGATTCCAGAGCAGGTTGAATTTGAACTTTGCCGAGTCATGAAGAAAGTCAACGCGCAGAAATAAAAAGAGGACGCCGCCCCACGTGACTCTTGCGTTGGAGTACGGTATGACGCCGCCGCTTGGGGGCCACGCGGTGTCCTTCAACCATATGCAGTCCAAGAAACGCACCCGAGAGAACGCGCGCCAACTTGAAGGTCTTGAAAAGCTCCAGTGTTGAACAACCACCGGCCTAAAGCTACGTAGAAAGTCTCATCCCTCTGGGCTGCAGAACCCTGCGCAGTGTTCCCGGTCGTAATCCTCTTGCTGTCGACTTTCGAAGATCGGACTGTCGGTACTCGCCACTTGTTCTCGCCGTCAAAGCACGGCAAAAGATACCCCTCCCGCTACATTACCCGTGAGCATAAAGCACGGAAACGATGATGGCTGCAGGAGACTCCCCGCGGAACTCAACTTCCGCACCCGCAAGGGCTTCAACCGCTCCTGACGTCCTTCGTACGAGGAATAAGAAAAGGGACGACGCGATAAGGAAGAAGGTGGGTAATACATCGAGTTAGATCTGGTGGGACCTCGGAAAGACCGTGCGTGGGAAAATGGAGATTCTGAGCCCGAGCGGTGAGGGGACTGCGGAGATCGAAGCCAGGCGCAGGGTCGATAAAAGTTTGGTTGTGGTCTTCAGGCGAGCGGTTTTAAGCGACCGGGGGAAAACCAGGTTGGTACTCCATTCCCACGAAACTGACCTCCCGTTTCCACGTCATTGTCGCAGGTCGAGCAGGAACTAAACAGGAAGAAGACGACCCGACGTGGTGGACAGCCCGGAAACACCACCCCTCGTCGGCCAAAGACCGGCACTGTCTCATCTCTTCGACCAGCCCCCGCCATCATCATCCTCGAAACTTCACGTATCGTCCAAGCGGCCCAGCTTATGGCCGCCAAGAGGACCGACGCTGTTCTTGTCGTCAACACCGAAGGGTCCCTGAGTGGTATTCTTACTGACAAAGACATTGCTTACCGCGTCGTGGCGCCTGGTTTGGATGTCCGCACAACTCTCGTGTCCGCGGTCATGACCCCAAACCCGATCTCTGTGTACGACAAGGGCAACAGGAACGAGGCGTTGAATATCATGGTGTCTCGTCGGTTCAGGCACTTGCCCGTCATCAGCGACGGCCCCGGTGGCGGCAATGGGGGCGACGATGATGATCAGGAGGAGACGACCTCTGAGTTTGGTGCGTCCACCAGCGTAGTCGGACTTCTGGACATTACAAAGTGTGTGTTTGAACGTCTGGACGATCTGGAACGCAAAGTCAACGAGGACGAGAACATTATCAGCGCCATGGAGGCCCTCGAACGACGTGGCTCGGTAGCTTCCGAGCACGTCGGCCGGGTTCGCAGTCAACACGGCTGCCCGGACGTGGGGACGGTGCTCTCGACCATGGAAATTGAGCATATGGACCACATGGTCCCCGAGATCTCCATCAAAGCGACCGTTCGTGACGCTGCAAAGGCTATGAAGGAAAACCATCAAACGGCTGTTTTGGTCAGCGCTGGGGAGATGGATGAGCGAATTGGTGGAATATGTACGACCAAGGATATTGTTTTGCGGGTTTTGGCTGCCAGTCTGGATCCCAATACGACTTCTGTCGTCAGAGTGATGGTGGGTGATTTTCAACTTAGATTGCCGTTTGCGACGAGTCATACTGATTTGGCCCCCTTTGCAAAACAGACACCCCACCCGGACTCGGTGGCCACAGAAACTTCGATTTTGGACGCACTCAAGAAGCTTCATGGTATGTGAGCCAGATGTTCATGAAGTCCGTCAGAATGTAGCTGCATAGGACTTACCATTTTGGTCTTGATTCAGCTGGTCATTACCTGCACCTGCCGGTCGTGGACGCCGGGACCCCGGTCGGTCTGGTGGACGTGATGACACTCACAATTTCCATGTTGACATACCTCGTAAGTGATGCCACTTCCATGTCAAACCCCGTTTGTTTGTCAAGAAGCACATCTAAACTTCGTGAACTCATAGATAAGCAAAGACGGAACAGCACCCGACCCCAACGCAGCCCCCGGCGAGTCCGGCCCCATGTGGAACAAATTCTGGAACTCCACATTCTCCGGCACAATGGAAAGCGAATCCGACCGCCATTCGCAAGCCTCCGACTCGATAACCGGATCCGCCGTCTCCTACCCACCGCCTCCACCACCCTCGGAGCGCACATCCTCATACGCGATGCCCCGCCCCGGGTCAATGTACGACAGCATGCCCGGGCGCGGCTTCGACGAAATGTCCCACGGCGGGGGCTCGACCGTCTTCTCGAAAGCGGTGGACGATGTCAACTTTGCGTTCAAGCTCCGTGATGGAGCTACGGGAAAAGTATACCGCTTCGCCTCCCGACGGGATTCCTACGAAGAGCTCGTGGAGAGGGTACGCCAGAAGAGCGGCGCAGACGAGACCACCGACCTAAAGATTACCTACATCGACGACGAAGGGGACGTCATCTCCATCACGACCGACAAAGACCTCGAAGAGGGCGTGCAGATGGCCGTCAGCGCAGGCTGGAAGCGCCTCCTACTCTTCATCGGCGACATCCCGACCGACAACACCGTCGCGCTGTTGGGCAGGTCGACAGACCATATTGACGATTCAGTCAGCTCCGTCTCAGCTCATTCCTCGCCTGCGATGCTGAGGCGTCGGGTCACGTCGTCACACCCGCAATCGGGAACGTATGATGAGCGAGCTATGTCGTTGAACGAACTCGGCGGTGTGGCCGCTGCGCATGAGAACGAACACCCTGCACTGAAATTCATGCGCGAAGCGCCGATGCCCGTAAATGTAGCCATATCGGCGGGGATCGTGATGGCTATGGGCGTCATCTTCATCAAGATGATCAAGTAATTTTTTTTTTGTTTTGCGAACCGTTATGTGAGCTCCGCCCGCCTCCAGAAGAGACGCAAGAAGTGAGGAAAGGAACTCTCGATTTTATGACAAAACAACCCCGTCCTTTCTCTTAGTATCTGACTTGTAACATGTAGTGTCAGATGTATACCACCCCTCAAAGATCTTTTCGTATAAAAAAGAATAAAATATTCGTTTGCTGTCCATGTATCTACTTCCCCTTCTTCACGGGGAACTACTCCCTTCAGAATATCCCACCTCTACAGAACATTCTTCTTCCTCGGCAACCCCGGCAATCCCGCCGCCGCCGTCTTCTCCTTCACCTCACTCCCCCGCCCCTCCTCCCCATCATACTCACTCCCCCCAACACTCCTCCCTTCATCACCACTCTCAACCCCGCTCCCTTCGTTATTGTTCTTCTTCCCCCCGAATAACCGGAACCCGTTTTTGCCCTTTGCCGCGCCGGGGAGTTTACTGTTAGGTGTACTCGTCTCCGTGCGCGTTGTTGTCGTTGTTGTGTATTTGGCGTGAGTGCGGGGGTCGGTGTCGCTAGCGTCCTCTTCATCGTTGTCGTCGTCGTCGGAAGCACCGCCACCGCCCTGTTTTCGGGTAGTGCGTCGACGACCGTCACGGATTTTTCGGGTCGTCGTCACTTTCCCGGTCTTCCCACCACCCTCACTCTGCCCCACCTCCACCTCTTCGCCCTCCTCCTCCTCCTCCTCGCCTTCATCATCCCCGCCCTTCCGCCTGACCCTCCTCACCCTCCTTACAGTCTTCCCCCCCGTAGTCGATTTAAGCTCCCGCAGCTGCGAGTCGCCGTAGACTTCGTTTGCGTCATCTGGTTCGGGGTCGGTTTCTACCTCATCCTTCCTGCTATCCCTGTTATCCTCTCCATCGGAGGAGGGGACCGAAGATGCCCTATGATGCCTCTTGCTCTCAGTTTTCGTGGGTTTGCGGGTAGTGGCGAGTTTGGCGGTGGTGGTGTGAGTTGTTGTGGAAGACTCGTGATCACCCCCACTCCCGCCGGATCGCAACGCCGCCCGGGATTTACGTACGCTCTCTGTTGCGTCCGCGCGGATCTCGTCGCGGGATTTAGCGAGCGTCGTGTTTAGTTTTTGGGTGCTCTTGGTTGTTGTTTTTGTTTTTTCCGCATGGTCCGAGGAAGGGGGTTCGTCACCACTGTCGTATTCCTGATCGGTATCGGGTCGCTTCTTACGATGTTTGCGATCCTGGGGATTCTGAGCTTTCTTCTCCCCATGGACGGGAGATGGGGAGTCGTCGCCGTCAAGCATCTGGTCGACTTTCTGGCCAAGGTGCCGGAAGAAGCCCTGTGGGGGTGGTTCATCCCCATCTCCATCCGTATCCGCGTGGTGCGCATGTTCTTTGATGTCGCGGTGCTCGGCGGTGGGTTTCAGTTCATGCTGCGGCGCAGGAGGCGGGGCGACGATGGGGAGGTCGCGGGTGGAGTACTGTGGTTGCGGTGGGTGTGCGGGTTCAGTGAGGAAGGTAGTGCCTGCATGCGCCGGTGCGGGAACCACGGGGGCGGCTGCGACGGCTGGTTTGATGGTCGGTTTTGTGTACACGATCTTACGTTCAGCCGGTGGGTGATCCTCCTCCCTATGTTGTTGTGGCGACTTTGCATGTCCCTCTTCATGCACCGGCTCATGTTGATGCTCCTCCTCCTCAATATGGCCTTCCTTCGCCTTCACCTTCTTCTTCCTCCTCTTCACCTTTCGTTCACCCTTCTCACTCCCAACCCGACTGCCCCCCGCACTTCCCTCCTCACCCTTCCGTCTCCTAATCTTCTTCACCGCCGCACTCCCAGCCACACTTCTTTCCGGATGCTCCAACGGCACAATCGCGTTCAGGTTATACTGTGCGCGAATGAAGGGGTCGTCTTTCGCGACGACGACGTAGCCGTGCTGGTGCTCGAGGGCGTCGATGGTGGTGATGCGTTCGCCGGAGAGGGTGTAGAGTTTGTGGATGGAGCCGGTTATGAGGCGGATTTTGTGGTTTAGGTGGTCGATCAGCTGCGGAGGGGGGGTTTGAGGGTGAGATGCGTTGGCGTGGGGAGGAGTGAGTGGACAATAACATGTTTTTGGCCTTACCCTTTGCAAAGTAGGAAACATTTTCCGGGTGACGGTGACGTTCTGCCCGAGATGGAGAGTGTCTCCGTTCGGGAAAAATGTCACTACCCTTTGCCCCTACGCAAGATTCAAGAAATATATAAGTCCCACAATGTCGACCCACAAATGCCCCATCAAGTTCAACTACGAACCTCATCCTCTCCCCTCGGATCCTTCCCCCGATTGAAATGCTCAATCAAATACGCAACGGGCTTGAACCCGTCCGAAACGGACGCGACAATGTTCTGGTGCTCGTGCAGCTGGCGCAGGCTGCTGATGCGGTGGCCCGTTTCGGCGTCGTAGAGCTTGCGGACGCTGATTTGGAGGTTGTCGGTGAGGTTGCGGAGGAGCTGGCGATGGATTAGAGGGACGAGGGTTAGCGTGAGGGATGGGAAAAGGGGATTGGAAGGAGAAGGCTTGTACCTGCTCGTATGTTTTGCAGTTGCGGTAGTTCAGGACGAGGCTGGTGCCGGGGGTTGTTGCTTCGCCGTTGACGAAGACTGTTACTCTATATGCCTTGCTCTACATGAAACAACAAATGTCAGCTTGATGATCCTTGCAGTGGGGGGAAGATGTCCGCCTCAGCAAAAAGAAGTCACGAACCGTAGGGCCAAACAACGGCCTCTCCTTCTCCGCCTGCTTCCCCTCATCCGCCGCCTTCACAACCCGACTCGTCCCAAACCGCTGATTCACCGCCCCGGCACCCCATGCCGACGGCCTCTTCCTCGAATACGACGCACGGAGGTACGCCGGTCTCTGCGCCGCCTCCGTCGCCGCGCGTTCATCCTCATCCACATCCGACGCCGCAACGCTCAACCCTCGATCACGCACCCCAACTCCACTCGCACGCCCAGGGCCGCCGCGTATGTTGCTGGAGGAGATGGCGGCGAGGGTTGGGTCGGTGGTGATGAGGTAAGGGATGCGTTTGAGGTGCTCGCCGGAGGTGGCGACGTAGATGGACCCGTCTTTGATGTCGTCGAGGGTGTGGAGGGGTTGGCCGTCGAGGGTGTAGACGCGGCGGGCGGCGCCTGTTACGAGGTTGATTTCTGCTGTGATGCGGGAGAGGAACTGCGAGATTACAGGGGTGATGAGTTTTTCCGTTGGCAGTATGCTACGTTGGATGAAGGCGGCATCACTACGAATAACCAGCCAATACCTGCTCGTAGTTACGATACACTCTCGGATTGATGACAAGACGCTTGCCGGCATCGTACATGTCTCCATTCCGGAAGACGCGAATGCGTTTGCCCCGTACATCTTCCACCACCGGTGACATCTTGTGCCCGCTAAGGAGTAGTTCAACAGAAGCGAGGGTCTTTCGAAAAGTGAGGGAAGATGGTTGCTGATCAGGGCCTCAGGGCTTCTTTGAGGATGATGCGCACGCAGTGAATATTTTACCGACTACTCTATATTGGATTGAGCAGTGAGTATGTATATATATGGAGGTTGCCAGCTAGCCAGCAAAGAGGCTATGGAATATGCACCGATGCTTTTACGGCGTGTTGCATGTTTGTGTGGACTTGGAGGACGGACACGGAAAGAGGAACGCGTGATGTAAGCACTTTTTTGGGCTCCGACACCTCCGAAAGCCTTACCTCGCAAGTGCATTCGCAAAAAAAGACCCCCCCCAGCAGCAGCAACTCTCCCAACGTTGCAACAGGAACATGCACACGGCCGCTCCTCACACAAACCGAGGATGAAAGACCACACGGATACAGTATTTCGTTGAGTTTGAATTACTGGGTGGGGAGATGTTTGCGGGGATGAAGTTCACCTTTGAGCGGATACGTGGTTTTGGCAGTTCAAATATATCTTCGATAAGCGTGGAGTGATACAAGCAAAGCGATGGCGGCGCAGCGTCAGTGACAAACATTCTGGTTTGTTTCGGCAGGCATGTCTGGAAGGATGCCTAGGGTCTTTTCCAGTTCGAGCATCATCACCCGGAATACGCGTCGGAGTTTCACTGAGTAGTCGGACACACCTTCACGCTGACTTATCCCAACCTGTAATGATTTATGTGTAACCCCACTGGAAAAGAGGAACAGGAATTGACCTGGAGTACGGGAGAAGCTCTTCCAAAGCTGTATCACCATCAAGACTAGCGGGCCAAGCGAGCAAACGACGCGCGATGAGCGCAGACGACCCTGGGTAGACGTTGAGGGGCGCGTGCTGGCAAGAGGCACCAGAAATCTAGTCTATCGAAACGCTCGGGATCGTCCTCTCTTGCTCTCATCCCGGGTCAATTCCAGGTATTTGACATCACTCTCCCTTGATCTTTTCAGACCCATGAACCCAAAGCTACATTCCGTCACGACAAGCCTGGCTACCTATATACGTCTATTCTATATCTGAACTAAATGTCCGCAAACGTGCTATCATCCAGTATATAGTGCCAAGGGCAAAGTCGGATATTGCATACCCAACTTGTTTGCGAGTTTGGTGGAAATGACAGGAGAGCCCCCCCTGCAGCAAACGGGCTTGGCGACGAGAAGGTGCAAACGTCGGAGACTGTGAGGCTTCTTGTACCGCTGAAATAGCCGGTTTTTGGCAGAGCAGCAAGTTGGGAGACGCAGAATCTCGCGGAACCTGATGAATGTCCATACAGAAGGGCGACGAGGTCCGAGTCACGAGGACGAGCTTCAGCACCCTACCCATTGTCCTTTTGCACATCGGCACATCCTCCGCTGCAATGCCTGCTCCAACAGTCACGGACAAAAAGACTCTTAGGGAGGACAGATTCCAAAGTTGACGAGACTCCTGATCATCCCCCATCAGACGCGCAGGAGCGAGAGAGGTAGAGGTACTCCCATGCGACGTTTTGCTGACACAGAAGACATCCCGGAGAGCGAAACCTGTTCCCATCTCCCAGACTGGTACGAAAGCACTTTTTCCGCAAGACGCTTTTCTCGAAGCAGGTGCTGGTCGGCCGCGTCCAATTAGGGCGCAACGCGCAACGATTGTGGAACGGGGTGGAGCCAATTGGGCTTACGATCTCGCTTCCGAGTGTCCTACCACCGCCAGAGTTTTGACTTCATCCCACCACGCAGTCTTTTTGAGTCGTTCAAATAGGCGCGGAAATTCACGCCCCTAACGGACCGCATCGAGTTGCAACGAGAACGAGCACCCATTTCGAGCGGAATACGTGATTATATTGATCATATTGGCGAGGAAAGATAGCCGGCATGGTGGTGGCTCTCCAGCCTTGCTTGCCGGCTGCTTCCGGATGGCGGCCACGACTGCCCACTAGTATACATATGTGATAACAATGTAAGCGATGGAATACATAAGCCTGTCGCCGAAGGCAAGGGTCTGTCGTCTTTCCGACGCTTTTAAGTTTTCAGCCTGTTAGAGTTCCAAAAAAAAAACAATATGACATTTCTTAGGCTGACGCGTGAGTGAGCGCGGCAAGACAAAAGACGCGGCACAGGGGGCGACGGAGAGGAGTCGGTGACTTCCATCCAGGGGTACTTGGAAGATAAGAAGGATCGAAGGCAGTCTGACATCAGCTTAATCATCGGCCTAAATCATCACAGCATCTCACAGCCCGGCAACAATGGAGCGTCGCAAGGAGATCACACGCCAGAGGCCACCCCCACATAAGGTTGCCCTTCCGCACCTCCACAACAACAACATTCCCACGTCCAATTCCCCCCTCCGTACGTTACGAAGACAGCCAGCACACTCCTGCATTATCGCACCCAACCACCACTACCGTCAACGAGACCAGAAGTGCATTTACTTCTCACTCCATACGGCAACTAACCTGCTTCAGTCGCGAGAGCCTCAACGTGAGTGAAGGGAAGGGTGCCACTGTTTGCTGTCCAAATTCCCACCACGTGGGCATGACGCACCGGAGCGTGGGATAAGTCCGGCTGTGACTGGCTACCCCGCCTACCGCAACCTTGGCATTGAAGTGCTCGTCGCTGGCCTCTAAAACATGCAGGTCTGGAGATCATGTCCGTGTTACTGCTGCATTTTCCCTACACGCCGCGTTCGACAGCGCGCGAGTTTGAACGGTGCTGCGGAAGGAGGCATGACCGGTCACTTTCACGTCCCCAGCGACGTTCGCATGGGGCCATGGTGTCACTGGAGCACCGCGCGGAGTTTGGAGCAAGGCATGTTGATGCCTGTCTCATTTTCTCACGGTCTTTCGAATTTCCCACCTCATAGAGCCTTCGCGCGTATACCGCTACATACACGTATCGTCAGACGGTGCATATTCTGGCTCCCAAATAATTGTAATGATCGCCAGTAATGGCTTTCAGTTTTCCCTTTCCCGGTCGCGGCCGGTCGTATGACGGCGCAGCGGTTCACTTTGGGCTCTGTTTACTGACACCTGACGCTTTTCCAGAATTCCGTCACCCCTGGAAATGTCACAACAGAGTCCGGTCAAGCTCACCGATCTTCCGCTCCGACCTACCCCTGGGAAGGAAGGCAAGCCCATTAAGGTGGGTGAAATGGTCGTTCTGGAAGATACTCTTTATTCGAGTTGATTTGAATCCCGTTCATGAATCTGTTCTGATACGTCCAGTTCCCTCTTTAGGTCAGGTGCAACATCTTTCCATTAAGGCATGTTCCACTGTTCTGAAGATTGTCGAATCGAACACGGATAAGGAGCTCATTGATTGTCTATCTTCCATAGACTGCTTGCAGAGACGGTTGCGTACCAATATGATGTCGTGATGACCCCTGAGGTTCCCGCTTTGGCCAAACGTGCCTGGCGTGTAGCTCAAGAGACGTTCAGGGACGGCAACAAGAAATCCTTCATCGCTTTTGATGGGAAAAAGAATGCGTTCAGCACGCAGGAATTCACAAATCTCACCGTCACGGTCACCGTCGATAAAGATGAGGAGGAATACTACCCTCCAATGCCAGAGCAACCTCAGGGTGGTAGCTCAGGGCGTGGAGGCAGAGGTGGAAGCCGAGGTGGCCGCGGAGGATCGCGTGGAGGGTTCTCGCCCGTCATGTCTCGGCCTGTGACCGCCGGTCCGCCCGCGAAAGCAAAAGGGCCCGCCGCGGGTGCCGTTAAGCGCCCATCGCAGACTGAGGAGGTCAAGATTGTCATCAAGCAGGTGTGTATAGCTATTAGACTTTGCATTAAATGGGCCAGTTTTAACCCACAACTTGACGTTGTTCTCACGCTTCCAACTTCGTCCGCATGTGTAGGTGGCCAAGATTGATTTCCATTCGCTATTGCTCTTCATGACCAAGAAAGGACCGGAGGACGAGACTGCTTTACACGCAACCACCGCGTTGAGCACTGTCCTTCGCCACGTTCCTGGCTTGACCTTCGTGACAGCAGGTGCTAACTTCTACAGCCCCGAAGATCGCACGCACATTTCAGGAGGCCTGGAAATCTGGAGGGGATACCACCAGAGTATCCGGGTCATGATGGCGGGTCATCTAGGCGTCAACGTCGATGTGGCTGCCACGGTCTTCCGTCAAGGAGAAGTCTCGCTCCTCGAACTTCTCCAAAATGCCTTCCGCGCTCGCGATATGAACGATCTCCAAGCCTTGATCAAAAACATCGGTCCTGTTGCTCTCCGATCGAAGCTTACGAGCGAGTTCAAGGGCGCCAATGTTGTGACCACCCACCGTCCCGACATGAAACAACGATTCAACATCGGAAGCTTCTCTCGCGACTCGGCAGACACTTATCTGTTTGAGGTTGGGGGCAAGAAGGTCTCTGTCGCACAGTACTTCCAGTCCCAGTACAACATGAAGTTGCAATACCCTTTCTTGCCTGTCGCCTTGAAGGTGAGACTCTCGGTTCTCTGGGATCCCCAGGTGCCCTTCATATACTGATCCTACTTCATTACTTGCAGTCAAACGGCAAATCGGCGTTCCCCATTGAGTTCCTGAAGATGAGCCCTTCACAGAGGTTCAAGAAGAAGTTGAACGGGGATCAAACATCTGATATGATTCGTGCCACTGTTCAGCGCCCGTTGGATCGTGAGAAGAAGATCGCCAATGCAGTCAATGGTACCCTCAAGTACCAGAACAACGATCTCTTGAAGTCCTTCGGTCTCGTTGTCGACCCCACTCCCATGACGATTCCGGCCCGAATTCTCAACGCGCCGAACGTCGTCTTTGGCGCCAACCAAGCTTTTAAGGGTACAGAAGGATATTGGAGGCTCGGCAAGGCCCTCGCGAAGCCCTCGAAAATCAATAGTTACGCGTTTGCCTTTTTCACTCGCATATCTGAAGGCGAAGCCCGCGACATCCGGGACCAACTCCTGGACGTCTTCCAACGCACCGGCATCCAGTTCGGCTCAATGGAGGACTCGCCGTTGAAGATCCAGAACCCCGAAGATTCTCAAAATGTGCGCCGATGTCTGGTGCAGTTGGCCACGGAAGCTTCCAAGACGTACAAGTTCCGCTGCCAGATTATCTTTTGCATTGTTCCCAAGGGAATCAAAATTGACGGCGGGACACGAGTCTTGTATGAGGAAATTAAGAGGATCACCTTGACCGACATGGACGTGCTGTCGCAGTGCATGGACATTGGCAAAGTGAATCTCGCTAAACTCAACGCCAAGTACTCTGAGAACGTTGCTTTGAAGGTATGTTCCCTCTCGGAGTTCGATATCCGGAGCTCCATCATCTGAATCGTACTCTCTTGCAGGTCAACGTTAAGATGGGTGGTGCTACAAACTTCGTCGACAAGCTCCCCATGATGGACAAACCGACCCTGATATGCGGTGCAGACGTCACCCACGCCCACGCCGGCTCAGCGGCCCCTTCTGTGGCTGCCGTTGTCACCTCAACCGATCGCTCTGCTACAAAGTACCGCACCTTTCTCTCCGCCCAGCCCTCGCGGGTGGAGATCATCCAAGACATGGAGCGCATCATGGTCGACGCCATCGGCGCATTCGTGGCCGCCCAGGGCACACCGCCTGCCCGAATCATCTTTTTCCGTGACGGTGTCTCCAGTGGACAATTCAAGGAAGTCCGCGAGACGGAGATCGCCGCTATCAAGAAAGCTCTGGCGAAACGGAAACTCAACAATGTGCAGTTGACGTTCATCATTGTCCAGAAAAGACATCACATCCGTTTGTTCCCGAACGACAACCATCAGGACAAGTCGGGCAATTGTTTGCCGGGTACCACCGTACGTTGAATTTTCTCGCATGTATTCTGTGGTCGAGATCGTGATACTAACTATTTCGTTGGCTTTTGAATGGAAACAGATTGACACCGTCATCACCCACCCAACGGAGTTCAACTTCATCCTACAATCCCACGCCGGTTTGCAGGGCACCTCACGTCCGACCCTCTACCACGTCATATGGGATGAGATCCAGATGGGGTCCGACAACCTGCAGCAGCTTTGCTACAACCTGTGCTTTTTGGCCGAGAGAGCTACCCGGAGTATCAACATGGTAGCCCCGGCGTACCGGGCGCATTTGGCTGCGTACTGTGAGTATTAGGGAATCACGTTGAGGAAACTTCCACGAAGCATTTACTAATATGTGATGGATGGTGATTTTCAGACGGCCGAATGTTCCTCGAAGGCGATTTCGGGTCAGATGCCGCATCGGCCCTCAGCGGAACGTCCCAAGAGATCCCTGTCTCGCTGCGTAAAGTCCAGGCCACCATGGATCAACACACCATGTACTACATGTGATCCCATCCTAGTGAAAACGCATGCCTCGCCGTTCCAGCGAACCGCATGCATCGTATCGTCCTGCCTGGCCGGCTGAAAGCATCCGCCGACACTTCGCGGACAAATTCCGCTTTTTTCGATATATACCTCGATCGTCCGTTCTCTGGATACGTACTGCGACTAATGTTATGACCTGGTAGTACTGTCGAGCATTTGCGTTTATAGTCCCCTTCATACCTTAGTATCCTGTCTGTCTTATCATTTCGCCGTTCCCTTCGTCTGCTGACTTCCCGTTTTTGTTCGGCTGGGTCGTTTTTGTCTTTCTTGTATCTTTTACCTTTTTGAACTGCCTATCGGCTTTCTGTCGTCTCAATACTACCGTATTGAATATCCATGAAATCATGATGGACCGCAAGTTGGGTCAGCCATCTTCGTGCGCTGGTTCTGCTTCGGAAAAAGCCAGTCGCGACGATGACCTCACAGAAACTGTCAAATCCGGCAGAACCCCTGTCGATAGACTGTCAATTTCGGGCCGTGGAGAACTTCACCTGGTTGCAGCCACTACTACAAACTCCCCCGTTCCTTCCAGCACTTGATACTGCTACCACATAGTTCGATAGATGGAATGTGAACCACCGAACCGCCCAGATTTCCTGATAGTGATGCGCCTTTGCATCATCACTTCACGCAGCCTTGGCGCGGTCGACGCGGGCGTATGAAACGGGGGAAATGAGAGAGTGGATGCAGTAACTTCATGCCAAGAAAGTGGAATGTGGAGGATGGGGTCAGCCGAGAAACCGTCGGTGATGGGATATAAAGCATAGGGCTGACGGGCGCCCCTGTTGGCAAGCAACTTGGAACCTGAAGATTCAAACCGCCAAATCATCATCTCGCGACCTTCAAAACAGAAAAGACAACCATTCCGCGAACGTTACAAGAAAAGAAAAAAACCTAGCAATGCGCCTCACCGCACTCCTCACGCTCCTTCTCCTCCTCCCGGTGACGGTGTTCGCGCGTCCCGCCCCGCAGTTCGGCGATCAGGGCGACCAGAATGGTCAGGACGGTCAGGATGGTCAGAACGACCAGGGCAATCAGAACGGACAGAACGGACAAAACGGTGGCCAAGGCTGTAATCAAGGCGGCGGTAATCAGGGCGGCGCCGGCGGCGCCAACGGCGGCATAAGCACCACCCCCGGCCAATTCTCTCTCTGCCCGAACTCCACCGCCGCCGACGTCCTCCAAGTCTCAGCGGTCAACCTCTCTCCCAACCCGGTCGTCCCCGGGCAGAACGCCACCTTCACGATCCAAGGCACCACCAGCCGCCCGATCACCCCTGGAGCGCGAGCCATCTTCTCCGTCGGTTTTCCAGGTGGTTCCCCGGCGCTGTTCTCGGATGCTGTGAGCATGTGTGATGCGTTCGCGGCTAGGGGTGTACAGTGCCCGATTGCGGCGGGTCAGCAGAATTGGGTGTTGGATGGTCCGGTGCCGAATGGTATTCCGGAGATTACGTATCTGGTGACGGTTAGGGCTATTAATGGGGATGGGTCGCCGTAAGTTGATGCCATTGTAGATATTCTTTCATTTTATGCTCTCGCATTCGTTGCAGATCTCGATCGTCATATTCACTTACCGGTTTCCCTCCGATTACCCGCGCAATCTAGCATCACCTGCTTCGTAGGCCCAGTTGCAGTCGGTCGCTCCGGTTCAAATTCAGGATCGGTTGAGTTGCAGCACTAGCTAGCCTCCCAAGCTTTTGTTGCTGTTAGCATTCGTCCATCAATCTTTGAAGTAGATCTTAGTAGCACCGTTTCTTCGTGCATCAGTACCGCACGTCGTAGTTCATATGTGAAATCCCTTTAAGCTCGGCAGTAGTCCCGCATAGCCTATTTTCCCCGTCAGTCTCTTCCTATTCATAAACTACGCTTGAGCGCATGTTGTGTTCATGTAAATTTGTAGTTCGTAAATGTGCAGTATCTCAATAATGTTATACTCCAAGGCTTCAAAGGCGCCCCGTGGTGGCGCTTGTGGCATTTCAGGAAGATTTATGGAGCAAGTCGGGTGCGCTGCTTACGGCGAAGGTACCTTTGCTCAGACGTTGTGCTCAGAGATAGGCCATTTGGCTCTTCAAAAACACACATATACAATAGTGAAGGCGAGCCGTGGAACAAGCCCAAAATGCCAGCCAAAACCCACGCGGTGATGTCCATTTCTCTTAAAGTTTGTGATGGGTAGATTTCCCAATCGGAACCGCTGCACTCTACGTCCCGCTCGCTGCCAAAAAGTACGGACTGCGCCGAAGCCACATAGATTTCTGCGACTGCTGATCTACGGCCAAATGCTCCGCTCACGATGACGTAAAAGACGATTGTCTCGAGAAAGAACCCCCATTCGCCGCCAACGCGGCCTTCTTTGCTTCAAGTGCGTCTGCAAGGGGTGCGCGTTTATTCGCGTATTTTAGCCGCGTTGTCTCTAGCTCCTTTTCCAGGCTGGCGTCGAGGATTGCTAGCAGCTCTTGAAGGCTCTCGACCGTCGTTGGTGAAGTGGCTAGTACGTCTGTGGATGTGGGTAAGCCACTTGTTGACGTTGTGATACCCAGCTTTCGCGCCTATAAAAACAATGGATGTGGTGTATCAGCATTCGGTCACGCATTGGCGAGCACCCCAACATCAGGACTCACCAGGGCTCGCCCGTTCTCGCCAGTGGTACTCGCCCCGCCCGCAGAGTTAGGCGATAGTGCCACCGGCGAATTCGCATTCAACCTCAATGGCTTCATCGTCCCAGTCTCGATCGGATCCGCTCCTTTTCCTCGCATGTACTTCATGAACGCTGGTTGATAATCTGACACCATGGAAAAACTGTGAGATTTCGAATTTGAAATCTGCAATCGAATACAAGCGCCAAACTTACCTTTGGACGGGGAATCGTCCGCTCTCCGCATAGTCCCCGTATTAACATCTTCGGACTTGGATATTACCATCGTGCCTAAGACGGAACCCCCAGTATTGATCACCATGGTACCCGACATTCCACCCATAGTGCCAGAGTCGAACGACGGATCTGACGGATAGCTCGGTGATGCCGCCAAGTCGCCGCTATTGAATCTGATCGTCCCGTTGCTGTACGAGTCCTCATCATCTGCGTTCGAATCTCCTCTTCGTCGCGCTTCTTCGGCGCGGGCGGCTGCGGCTTGTGGCCCTACTGGTTTCAGAGTGCTTTCGTCGAAGGCCCTTCGTGACGATTTTGGCTTATTCGACCGCATGGTTCCTTCAAGCCGCATCGTTTCCAAACCAGACTGTTGTATATATGGACAATCGTCAGAATGGTGACGTAGATTTGCTGGACCCAAAGCAACTTACCGGCTCCTCCTCTTCCGATTCGCTATCAGACTAGAAATTCACGGATGAGTCAAAACCTGCACAGCACTCAATGGCAGGAAGTTTCGAACTCACATCGTCCAAGGCGCCTTGCGCTATCAGATCCATTACTTGAGATACCCTTTCACTCATGATAGCTATTCCGGGCGCGCTGGTTATGAATGGGTGCTACAAGTAATGCATAGAGTAAGTACGCAAAAAAAAGCGAAAATCGTTGTGGGGAAACTTTGAACTCACCTTCAGCAGCTGTTCAGCGCTTGGCCTCTGATTTGGGTTCTTGATCAGACATTGGGCAATGAAGTCCTTGAATTGAGATGACCATTTCTCTTCGTTTTCAAGTTTTGGTGGCGGTTTGGTAGGAATCATGAAAATGGCCTACATCGTTTGACAAAAATCAGTCTTCATGCAACGCAGATTGTGGCGTTCCAATGAGATTCATCATACGCGCATAGGGTGTATCTTGTGATATGGCGGCCGGCCCTCTGCCATTTCTATGCATGTGATTCCGAGAGACCATATGTCCGCTAATACTCCATATCCAACCTCCTGGATGACTTCTGGTGCCTGCAGATAGGCATGAGCGACAAGGAACTACGGGAACGTACGGGTTGAACCCAGGCAGCCGCATAGCATACCATCCAGAAAGGGGTGCCTATTACTGTCGTCCGCTTCGCCTGCGTCTCCGTCAATTGCCCCGCCACCCCAAAATCTGCCAGCTTCGCCTCGCCATTCACGTTCAGGAGGATGTTTCTGGTCGCGGATAAGACGCATTTAGCAAACGATTGGACGTATGGCAAGGTGAACGAGCATTCACTCACCCAGCCTTGATGTCCCGGTGGATCTTCTTCAAACCGTGCAGATAGTTTAGTCCCTCGAGTACATGAGAGCAAATCAGCGCAATTTGCGCTTCCGTCATGGTCGTGCCACATATCCGCATGATATCGGAGACGGACCCTGCCCCGCAGTACTCCATCACAATCTGAAATAACAACAAACAGATCAGACTCGCTCAAATCCCAATAACACTCCCTCTCAATTTGAAGGCCAGTTTCCCACCACTCTGGGGAAGGAAGTTGACCGACAGTTTGAGGGAACATATTGGAACTCGCAGCCTTTCGGTGCTGCGCGACACGGACGCAGCTGAAGTACCTACCCACAGATACCCTTCCTTGATGTAGTTCCCGTAAAGATGTACGACGTATTTCGAGTCGCAGCCATTCATTATGTTTATCTCCTTGATGGTTTCCTCCAAATCGGCGTCCGCTGGTATGAGTTTGATAGCCACTATTGTTGAGGTTCGCTTATGCAGCGCTTTGTGCACGGAACCATAAGAGCTTCGCGAGGACAGCAAAAAGGGACATGGTAAGCTAACTCCGCACATCCCCCGCGCATTCATAGGAACCAGGGCGTATTGCTTACCCTTCGCCCAGTTTTCCCACGATTGAAAAGAGCTCAGTTGGGTCGCCTCTCAGTTCCTCCGGCGTTAGGAGAGTCTGCATCGCCATCGTTGCTCAACCAAACCCAGGACTTGGATCAGCCTAGAGTATGGCACTCGCAAATGAGGCCCGTCGAGATAACGTGGTGGTGATGAATGTCTGAGCCTCGGACTTTGAGAGTTTGTCCAGAGGTTCGTTGGAAAAAGACCGGGAACTGGATGCTGGCAAAGAGTGCTTCGGGAGCCGAGGAAACCCGACTTCGAGAAAAGGTGATCCGCAAGAGATTCTGCAAATTCCAGCTGTGCAGTACTATTCGTTGTAGAACGGTCGCAGTCACAGGTTTTGGGTGAATTGCAAGTCTAAATCCACCGTTCCTTTGCCTGGGGTTGAGGCCTTGGGGAATTGATCCTCGCAAAGGTCGACGCGTTCTTAACGCGGTGTGTCATCGTCGGGAAGTTTCCGTCGCTGCACGCCCCCATACCATGTTTTTTGGGGTCTTCGACACTGCATCAACGCCCACCCAAACTTGACGTTGACAATAATAGCTGATATACTAGCGCGGGTGAGCTTCCCCCGCTCAGGATTCAACCAGACAGAAAAAATGGCAAGCGACGACCGTCGGATAGGAGGTCTAGCCACCGAAAGGCCGGGTCTTCTCGTTCCTGGAGCACCCGGAGGACGAAGGATGAGCTTACAAGCGGTCATGGCGTCGTCTCAACATCGCCGCTTGTCGGCTATGGGCCTTCCGCCGGACCCGTCAAATAGACCAGGAGGGGCTACCTCGGGAGTGTTCAGGCAGCCGTCCTTGACTGACCCGCTGCCAGACTTCAATGCATCCGCTTACGAGTTGGGAAGCAGGCGCACATCTTCGAGCAAAAACATGGGTAGATATGAGGCCATGACTACTCTTCGCGCCGTCCAGCAGAATGATGATCGCAGGGAAGCCAACATGAGATCAAGCACCTCGGTGTACGTGCAACCACCGTCGATGTACCGCGTCCCACAGGCAGGTCCTGGCATGGGCGGCGTGCCTCCAAACAAGAAAAACACATCTTTATGGACGGACGAGGAGTCGGACGACATCAAGTCGTTTATTCAAGCGTCACAACTGTCCGTCAACTCCTCGATATCTCAAATCGGATCCTATGGGCGAGCCGCAAATCATCCGGGAAAGGTTTTGGACGTGATACCTGATCCGTACGATCGAGAATCTCAGACAGACTTTGACGAGCTCTGTAACGAGCTGCTGAACGTGCTGGGAGAATTCGAAACGTCATTGGAGGAGATGACGACGTGGAAGGATGACTTTCTACGACAGACCGTTCCGTCAAACATCAAGCTGCAGTTGACGTTACTCTTTGCGAGGCTGTTTCGAAGGTACTGTCGGAAGCATCGACTGGTCCCATTTCCGCTGATGCGCGAGCAGCTGACCCATGGTTGTCAGCAAGTCTGATCTTCACGAGCCTGTTTTCGAGTTGGTGAAGCAAGTCAAGATGTTCTCTCGGCCATGGCTTAACAAGCGAGAAGCGCTAATAGAGCTCGAAAAGGATTATCAAAGGTGCGGCAGACGCATGATGATAATTTTGAGGCAACCACGGAGGAGCTAATGCAGACATTTTTCGTAGACAGTGCCATATGGTCGATGTGGCGATCAGGAAGATGGAGCAGATGCAGCTGCAGGTAGGTCCCTTGCGTCCTATCGGTATCGCTCCCTAAAGCTGAACTCACGCGACCAAAAGGTTGCCACGATCCGTAGCGAAAAGCGAGTAGCGCTGTGGGAAAGGCTGGCACGTAAAGTCATCGTAAGTGCAACGTTGTCTCGAAATCTTCCCGTTTCCAGTCATTTTTCTAAGGAACCCGCATACAGCATCACTTCCTGGAAAGCTCGGGACAATTTGTGGATGCAGACACCATGTAAGATTGGCTTCTCCGCCCGCCGCGTCAGTTCCATCTCTAATCACATTCCTAGTCTTGAGGAAGACGAGCCGGAAGAAGCACCTGTCGAGCGATCAGAAAGCGAAGCAGTGGAACCTATCGAGTCCGTGAGGGTCAGCACGAACAATCTGGAGGAAGTGGAAGAGTCAAGTGGATCGGGGTTCAGCTCCACCCGGCAGAGCTCCGCTCGAACTAGAGAGAGGTCGAAAGGAAAGGAGTTCAGAGGAGCTGGGGACCATGCGGATCGGCGGGAGCCTGAGAAAATATATGACTGGAAAGGTTTTGGATCAAGTCTCCACTCTGTCCATAACCGGGACTGAATGTTGACCCTATTAAACGTTTCAGGCGAGATCCGAGACTACATCATCGAAGACCGCCCTAGTTGGAAGGCGAAAGCCAAAGAGCTAGTTCACCAATTCCAAACTCTCCTGCGAAAGCACCACCCTGATGCGTTCCGAATCCTCGGCACATTACACCGGCATCCCTTCATCCGCAACGCCAAACCGGGTTACTACTCCCTCCACATGGGTTCGGTGGCCGCAAAGACACGACGGAAAGCTTACATCCGACCGTCCTGGTCAATGATCGACCTGCGCCGTGCGGAATTCGAGGAAGATGATGCACAGACGACACATAGACGGACCTTGTTGACGCGGTCGAATAGTGTTGGCGCACTGGATCATCTTCGACAGGGTTGGAAGCTGCTCAGACCGTTTCGTGAGATCGCGGACAGGCCTGTTCCGGAACGTGTTCATCCGGCAGAGATGGATGAAGGGTCTGGTGATGAGACCGAGTCTGACGACGAGGACGAGATGTCTGATGTGGACGATTCTATGGATCTTAAGGTGTGTGGAATGTGGACAACATTGGGAGGGAATGCAGACTGATGTGTAGGATTTGTAGTACATGCTGGAAGACTTTGACGAGGACGAGATCCGGGAAACCGTCAATAGATTCATGGAAGAGCGTCCAATGGTTTCGATGGAACAAGCAGAGGGGTACGTGCAGAAGAAGCGTACATCGTCATACAACAGAAACTCAGACATCTGCCCGTTCACAGGATAGATGCTGGGGAGTTTGAAGGAGAGAAGAAAAAGAGCTTCTCGCTGCAGGAGGTCATGGAATTGACGATGCTTCACGCGCAACAAATGCAGCTGCTCCAGTTCGAGTTTGAGTAAGTGCATCAGCCATCGCCATTATCTCGATGCTTACCTGATCCACATTGACGCTCCCCTCTTCTCACTCACCCAGAGGCCGTCTCGAAAAACTAACAACAGCCATAGAACAACAACAAATCGTCCACGCCGACAAATGCGAAGACTACGAGAAAGCCCTCCACGCCCTCCAAGAACGCACCAAACGAATCGCCCACGAATACCAAGTCCAAGCAAAAGAAGCCAGCGCAGCCAAAGCGCAGGTGACGAGACCGGCCACGCAAGACACGAAAGTGTCCGACACCGCCGGCACCGAGAGTCTTGCGTCTACGCCCGCGGGCGGGCGGCGGGGGGCGTCGAAGAGTAGTCGGAGTAAGAGTAGGAGTGGGGTGACGAGTCGGCAGAGTAGTAGGCAAACGGCGAAGAAAAAGCCGAAGACGCCGATCATATTGCTCTCGAGGCATGGGAAGCGGGCGAAGGTAAGGAATGTGTTATTGGGCAGAGTTTTGCTAGAAGGTTATTGACATTGCATATCATATGCAGTCGAAGCACAAACCGGTGTTCCACAGCGCTCCATTTACGATGTCGGTGAGTAACATTCGTGGACCATCTCAGGCTTTGCGAAATCTCACCATGTCTCGGTCTCTAATCCCGCTCTCCATAACAGTTTATGGACCGCCTCCGCTGGTACACCGAGCTCAAGCTCCAAAAACGCACCGAGATCCACGACAAATTCCACGGAATCGAGCTGGCCGCCAACGAAGAGCGATTGGCCCAATACAGGCTTCTTTCGGGCGACAACGGCCAGGGCGGTCGTAGTGGTGCGGGGCCCCGGTTGCCTGCGGAGTTTATGCCCATGCCTGGCGATGTGCCGGTGACGGCGCGGCATAGGGATACGTGGTCGCAGCAAGGTGTTAGTTCGCCGTGGGGTGGGCGGTATAATGTTCATCAGGGTTCTGTGAAGGTGAGGATTGATGTATCCCCCCGCCGTTGTCATTTTGGGAATGTTTCTGACGAAGGTTGCTTCTCTTTGCAGCGACCCAACATCCTCAATCTCTTCGATGTGGCGATGAACCTGAACCTGCCAAGCCGACATCCTCATCCTTCCATAGCGCCATATCACAGCTAAGAGAGCAATCGCGCTTTTGATTCGTGGAGCGCCGATATGGGACCAACTCTGTCCGAGGATGCGATGTACATACATGCTCGTGTTGAAATGCCGTTGACATGCATCTGAGCTACATTTTTTCTATTCTTTCGGCATGCCTCCCCAAGTCGAACGATTACGTGATATACAATGATAAGATATGTGGCAGTGAGGGGAGGGCCTTATACGCCCAAACGCCCATAATGGAAAACGCCGCTATGCACATGAATGAGGGTTGCAGTCGATCAAAGGTCATCCACTCTTCAGTTTCTTCGTTGGCGGAGGTTGTATGGAGTGTGGAGGATGCTCTGCACGTAAGTGAAAGAATGAGCACCTGGCAGATGAAATACACCACAACAAACTTAGGCAAACTGTACCTTGAGCATACGCCGCTACCCACTGAGTGCACTCCTCTTTAGAGGCTTCTGGATGGCCTAGTTGCCATTCTACAAGCTTGCTGATGTACTCGCCTATCGCGGGTCCGGGCTTCTTCATGCCGAGCATTGCTGTTATTTCTTTTCCCTGTTTTATGCTTATGTTTTAATTTCCTGACGCGCATGACCGGATAGTCCTTGGAGTAGGGAAGTGGAACTCACATTGAGATGCGCCCGGAAGTCCTGCACGTCCTCTAAGCCAAGCCGTCGGATGTCATGCATGAACTTGATATACTTTTTGGAGATGTCTCGGAACGCCGGGTCTGCGGCACGCACGGAGATGAGAAACGAATCCTTGGGACATTGAGCGAAATTGACCTTTCATACCGTCAAAAGATTGTCCCGCTGTACTTGCACTTTCTACGATTTCGGATACCCAGCCGAAAAGGATCGTGAGGTACCATTTCGCAAAGAGCGGTTTGGTGCCTAGTTCTCGAATGAACATGCCTGCACGCATTCGAAAGTACAAGACATGATCAGCGTCGCTTGCACTCACGCGTGATGAGAGATAGGAAAGGCTTACCTAAAGTCCTGCGATCGATGCCTTCGGCCGTTTGCGAGTTGTCCGCTACCATCTTGCGAACGCTGTCAACGACGTCTACTAGCTTGGATGAGGCCTCTGCGTCGAACAAGCTGAGCTGAATGAGTTAAGGAAAGAGGTTAGTACCCATCCGTTGAACCAGATGCGCTCACTACGGACCTTGATGGCCGTCAAGCCGACCTCTCTGGAAAGAGGACTGTCTCGCTTTGGGTTGGATACTACATAACCCCGAAATGGAACGACGCTGGAGGCGAGGTACAGAATCTTCTTGTCGTCCGCATCGCATTGTATCCGCGTGAACGGGCGGAGCATCTCTTGCAATGATTGCGAGCCGATCATGCTATTGGATACGATCAGCCTCCGCATTGCTGCACCTCCATTTGGAGCACACTCCCACCTCGCAACGGTTTCGGCGTACCGCACCACCAGGCCTGGAGGAATTGGTACACACATGTCCGCTGGCGTCTCCCACACGAGCGGATAATAGCCGATGTCATCAATGATCTTCAATGCTCGGACTGGATTTGGCCCTTTGATCATCTTCAGCAGTTCGACACCTATACGTTCGCGGGTGATCTTCCTCTTGAAGGCATCCTGCTCAACGAGCGGTATCAGGATAGTCACAATTGGCATGATGGTGCCTACGGCCTCTCACCTTCACATACTCGTCTCGAACGGCGGTAATGATGTCTTCATCGATAGTATAGCCAAATCGAGTCGCGAATCGTATCACACGCAAGATCCGTAGCGGGTCGTCCATGAAGGTTTGCGCGGCGGGTAAGGGCGTTCTGATGAACCCATGCGCAAGGTCGTCTAACCCCTAGGAGCCAAGGTATGGCATGAGTCTCAGCTCTCACGTAAGAACAAGATTTCAGGAGTCGCACATTTCCCGTGAAGTCTTCAATCTCACGCGTACGCAGATTGTAAAAGAGCGCATTGATAGTGATGTCTCGTCGCAGGGCGTCCTCTAATGGCGTTCCGAATTCCTAAAGGTGAGAGTCGGTGAGGCTGCGGGACGAGCAGTACAGCGCCACGTAGTGATGTCTCACCACTTCCGGATTCCGGCTATCCTCATTGTAGGTCTCGGTCCTCAGATGCACAAAATCCACCAAGTAGTTGAAGACCCGGGCATTTGCCGTCTCCAAATGTTTCGACTTATCGGGATTGGACATGATGGCAGCAATGTGGCCCATCTGGAGCCCCTGCTCCTGCATATAGTGGTTGACGGCGTGTGCGAATGGTTCTCCTTTCATCGTATCTATCGCGATGTCTATGTCATCGCTCTCCTTTCCTAGAAGCTATGATATGCCCGAAGTCGGTCAATAGATCAGCTCCCATATTCCGCCGTCCTTGGTTCAAATGGCACCCACCTTGTCCCGAACCCATCCTCCAGCTACCCGCAGCTCTACCGGTGCAGCTCCAGGGTTCCGTTGGTGTAATGACTCTGCACATGCTCTCAGGACATCGAACAACTGCTCCTCCTCTGCGGTCAAGTCTATTTTGTGGGTCCTGTTTGCTAAGGTCGCCATCATTCCGTTACTGGATGGAGCCGAAGCCAAAGGTCTTCCAAACACCTTTATGCTTGGGACAGTAGGCCCTCTTCCAATGTCTATTGGTTGCCCTTTCGACAATAGTCCTCCTCTGCGTCCGACGGATATTTGCGAAGCTTGCCGCAATTTCGTCGCTAATGTTAGCGAAGTACTTTTCGACGGAGAGCGCAGCCGGCAAATACTCGACTTCATGGGCAGCCGCTATATGTTGGCTCTCGCAGTTTACAGTGACTATTGTTGCATGTTTAGGAGTTCCATTGTCATGGCCTTTGTGAGTTTCCGAGTGGTGGCTTTTCCTCTGAGATCAGCTCTGAGAGCTCTGAGATGATTCCTGTGACAGCAGCGCGTCCTTGCTTTTCCTCAACTTTTTGTGCGTACAGTACAGTATTATCATCTTTGTCTTCCCAGCTCTTCTCGAAGCCCAGCGGCCCGTTAGTTGCTTCAAGTGTGTAACGGCGGAAGATACTGCTCTCGTTTTCCTAAAAAAAAATCCACCACTCTTGTTCGAGCGAGACCGCTGAGAATTCTTGCGCTCAGATAGCCCGGAATACATCATCTTCGGGGAAGTTCAAGCCTGTGTTCATCGCGACCAACAATGGCGAAGAAGAAGGAAGAGAAGAAGGCCGCACCGGTCAAGGGCGACGAAGGTGGGTTGTGTATCTCGGACATTCTTCGCTTTCTAGCTTGCTAATGGATTCGAGCTATAACAGCCTCGGACATTGTAATGAAATACCTTCGGAAGCAGAATAGGTAGGTGCTTGCAAAGTAACGTAGAAATATGCAGTTTTCGAATGTTGACGAAGGACGCCATCCAGACCATATAGCGCAGTAGATGTATTCAACAACCTCAGTGGGGCAGTTGGGAAAACAAACGTTGTAAAAGCACTGACGACGATGGTAGAAGAGCGTAAGTCAACCCACGCCGGCGGTTCCCACGCGTCAGAACCTAGGAACCTTAACTCAAACAGCCCATCTTCGCAGAACAAATACACGGGAAACTTTTTGGTACTTTAGACGGCCCTTTTGAATTCAAGCGCAGTCATTGGTGAGAGTGGAAGCTGACGTTCCTTACAGGAAAGCAATGGGTGTACGTGGCGAAGCAGGATGAATTCGAGGTGCCATCGAAAGAAGAGCTGGATTCCATGGATGTGAAGATCGCAGAGCTGAAGGAGCGTGTATTTATTGCACGAGATGAGGTGTGTACCTCGACTGGACGCGACCTCCGTTGACGCAGCAATCCCTTCTGACAAGGGCTTCCTCCAATGCATTCTAGATCAAACAAGCACAAGCAGGTGAGGCAGTGGGAAAGGCTTCGTATTACTGTTGCCGCACATGATTTGACTTGGACTTCTACAGAGCTGAGTACCATCTCAAGCTCTTTGACGACTGATCAGATAGAAGCAAAGCTGAAGGCAGTAGAAGCTGAGGTATGTAATCTATCCCTGTTTGGCGTCCTCACGGAAAGAGGGTAGTGACACTCAGCACCTTTCCCAGAATGAATCATATGAATCGCGGTTATCAACTTTACGTTCTGGCGCGGCCGTCAGTAATATGAGCGTCGAGGATCGGGCAAAGCTCGATCGCGACTTGGACACCATGCGTAAACACTGGCGGATTCGAAAGAGGATGTTTAACGAGATGTGGGGAACGGTGACCGAGAGCATCCAGGGGAACCTGGCAGAGTTCAGAGTAAGTTAGAGCGCTCGGGACGTTTGAAAGTCGTTTTCTTCCTAGCTGACCTGCCGGTACTTCCTTTGACTATAGGAGACGGTGGGCATTGAAACCGATGAGATGGTAGGGCTCAACATCAACGATGACCCACTGAAAATGTGATTGCGTTAATCGCACCGCACTCGCCAGCTGCTACACAAGTGGGACACCATACGGCGGCGTATTCCCGTATCCGTTCGACCTATTATGGGACATATACCCCGCCAACGAAACTTCCATTGCCTCTCGATTTGGTGCCCAGAGCTTCTCGTGTCTTCGCACGATTGTGGCTATTGGGCCGACGCCATGTAGAAACAGTGAGCATATGTTCCGCGTGTAGCTTCCACCTCAGTGCTCAACCCCTAGTGTATATATCTGTACTCTGGAGGAGAACGATGGTCGTTTGGATGTATCGTTGTCAAGTTGTCAACGCCGCCGTGATTTGTCTCCGACGCGAAATCGCATGAATTGTGTCCGAAATGTCCGAAACCCGTACCTTGATGGCGCGTCTCCCCTTCTTCCCCGCCCCGAGCGAGGATCCCCCGCCACAGCCCGGAAACCCATGCTCTTTTTTCCACAGACCCTTCTTTTCACGCCACGACAGCACCGACACCACTGAGGTACGATCTCAAGATTACGAAGGCCGAAGGGGCACCACTCACCGCCGATATCACACCGCGTCCGACTCCCCGGACACCGCCAATCACGAACTCAACTAACTGAGAAGGACGATGCTTTCTATTTGCATGCGGGTGTGAGAGAATTACGTTTTTTCGCCGCGAGGAGTGCGCTGGAAAACAGCCGGGACGCGCGCTAAGGCACTGAGCTGTACGAAACCCTGACAACCTTGGAGCCAGTTTACACTCTGAGCCTTGACTCCCACGAACGCCGAACAATTCGAGCCATTTCCACCTTCGACTGATATTACTATTCCGAGAAATGGGCATACCCGGTCTCTTCCCCTTTTTGAAGGATATTCAGAGACATGTACATATAAGCAAGTTCAAAGGTCAAACCGTCGCTGTCGACTCGTATGTGTGGCTTCATCGAGGGGCCTTCTCCTGTGCGGTGGAGCTTGGACTGGGAACGCCGACAGCCAAATACCTGAGCTACTGTATGAAGATGGTATCGATGCTGATCAGCAACGGCGTCAAGCCTCTGATGGTGTTTGACGGCGATTGCCTTCCGATGAAGGCTGGAACTGAGCGAGAGAGACACAAGCGAAGGGAGGAGGGAAAACGACGCGCACAGCAGTACCTTCGGAACGGGCAAAAGACGAAAGCATACGAGCAGTTTCAAAGCTGTGTTGATGTCACCCCGAGAATGGCCGCTGAGCTTATCAAACTGTTGCGCAAAGAGAACATCGAATGCATAGTAGCTCCTTACGAAGCCGACGCGCAGATCGCATATCTGTTGGACAAGGGATTTGCCAGTGCGGCAATCACAGAAGATTCGGATTTGCTGGTGTTTGGCTGCGAGAGGGTCATCTACAAACTGGACAAGGATGGAAACGGGGTAGAACTCAAGCTGATCGACTTTGGGAACGTGCCTGGAATGGAGAGCTGGTCCCATCGCCGGTTCCGTCAAATGTGCATCATGGCAGGTTGCGATTACCTGGAATCGCCAAAAGGGATCGGGTTGAAGACTGCTTACACTCTGTTACGACACAAGAGCGCCGAAGAAGTGATGAAACTGTGGAAGTGGGGCAGGGCTGCCAATGCGCCAAAGCGGCCCGACGGTTACGAAGAGCTCTTCCGCATGGCAGAACTCACATTCATGCATCAACGTGTGTATGATCCAAAAACCGAGGAGTTGGTGCATTTGAAGCCATTACCGTCCGATCTGAGAGACTGCTCAGAAGCTATGACGTTCTTGGGACCGTAAGTTACGCGGCAGTCACCATTCTCCTGCGGTTTGCACGGTACTGAATCCGCATCCTTTAGGCATGTTCCTCCACATCTGGCTAAAGGGGTAGCGAATGGATTGATTGACCCAGAAACCAAGCGCCCGTTCGATGATACCCTGGACATCTCCTTGTTCCTAAACCATCAATCCGTGCCCACCGAAGCAAGCTCTTCGAGCGTCGAAATAACCACTTCAGCCGGCATCGAAGCCACAGTCGAAGCAATCGTTGAAGCGGAGGAGATCGCAGCGATTGGATCGTTGGACACCACGGAACAAGATTCCCCAGATGCCGAAAGTACGCCGCCGGCGGGAATATTATCCGACTCTTTCTTGTTCCCGCAACGAAGCCAGACCCCCGTGCCAAAATCCATTCCCATACCTCCAGCGACAGCACTGCCAGTCTGGACCATTTCCACGCCACCCGCTCTGCAAGAACGCACGCACACCGAAGCTCAATCGCAATCCCGGGTTGGCAGGCATCACGAAAGCTCTTCTTCAACGCCTCGGCACGCACAGACGAAGAGCCCGGTACGACCGCAATTCCATCCTGGCACGAATCGAGGATCTTCCTCCGCACCTGTTCCACATGCCAGGACGCTCTCACCACCGCGACCGCGATCCCAACCAGGGAAGAATCATTACAGACCACCTGTAGCTAGTCCGTCAATGCAAGCTCTACCCGGCAGGTTTTTCAATCCCCCGCACGCGAAAGCACCACATCGAATACTAAATTGCTCCTCGCGTGGACCACCACCTGCAAAATTCACGCACCCCCCGAAGAAGACGGCGAGCGTCTCTCGCTTTTTCACCTCGCTTTCGGATTTGCGTGGAGACAATCACAGACATCGCACCCCTTTGTCTCCATTGGAATTACGGATGCAAAGCAAGCCATCGAATGCCAGTGAGAAAGATCCCGACGATGGCCACAACAAGGAGAACATTCCACCTGATCAACTCGTCATTCCTAGGGCATCATTACCCAGACCATCGGATGAAACCCCGCCAAATCCTCCCCAACAAAACTCACCGCGGCCCAGGCCGTCTGCTTCCTTGTCTCCCTCGAAACGGCCGCATGATTCGGACTCTTCTTCCTCTTGTGACGAGCGTCTGGCGTCGTTCAGAAAGGTCGCGGCTGGGATGCAGAAGATCTATTTGCCGGGCAGTAAAGGGGGAGATTTAGCGGCGACGGGATCTCCGCCTAAGCGAAGAAAGTCTGCGCCTAGTGATGATCTTCCACCCGTCGTGAATACGCCGGCCGTTCAAACTGATAGCATGCTCCCTGATGAGGCCACGGGATCAAAGGTATCGGACGCCCTATCGTCACCGACAACTCGCGAGGCTACGACACCTGTGGCTCTACACGAATCTGTCAATACGACCGCCATCTTCACCCCAGGACCGTTGACCTCACGGCTTTCACAAAACACCACGCACCGAAGGCCATCGTTTCCGACAAGTGTGTTCCGAAAGGGGCCGGTCGCGCATGGTATAGGGGAACGATTGACGGAATCGCATGAGGTTGGTGCAGAGAATGAATTCGGTTCCATGAGCGAGGTGTAGGGCATGTACTGACTACCTTTTTGCCAGAATTTCAAGCAGCACTTGATGCAGTTTCGGCATGTTGGTCATGAGAGGCTTACGCCACAGAGCTCTGGTATGTGTGCCTATATTGCACACGCGAGATTATTGTGCGGTGGAACTCACCAGTGAGGCTTTCTTGACGGCAGCGCAACGGAAGCGTTTGGGTCCAGGACGACCGAACGAACACCAATGATGATTTCGGGGGGAACCACTTTTGCCATGTACTGTAGGGGGAGGATATTCTGAGGCGGCAACATGAATGGTTATCTGACCCGGGCTTGAAGAGGGACTTTATTACGCAGATATGCTCTTCAGATTGTTAATATACAGAATAGGGAGACTAATATCATTTCTGACATTCATTATTTGTCCACACTGGTCTTCGGCGGATTTGGGTTATTCACGTAGAACGCCGTCGCTGGCTGTATCTTGCCTTGTGCGTGGCACGCCTTCAAGAACTCCGGCGATACGATTGGGATGTTCCACTCGACAGCCTTCTCGTATTTCGGACCCCTCGGCACAGTCGACACCAAATGGGTGTTATCCGTCGTCAGCTCATCGGTAAAATTGGCGCCCATCCTCCCCAACAAATCCATCAGCGGCTCGATATCATGCGGATTCGTAAACGTCCCAAACGACACATTGATCCCCGTCAGATTCTCCATCGCATGGGTTGTGATCCGGATCTTGTTGCTCTGCAATACCCCGGCCGACGTCCGCACATCAATCCACACCTCGTACTCGTGATTCACATCCAACCCCGACAACTTCGCCGATGTCGCGTTGGGCGCAACCGTAATGTTTAACCGCTGACCGTTACGGTACACGTCGATCCCACGCAGATCGGCGGCGTGGAGCACCAAGGGTTCCCAGTGGATGATGGCGGAGGTTTGAGTGATGGATTTGAGGGAAAGGATGGGTTCTTTGGGCGGTTGGGAGAAGGAGAGGTAGATTTCTTCCTGGAGGGAGAGGAAGTCTTCTTGTTGGCGGCGTTCTTCGTCGAAGTTGCGTTCGATGGTGAAGTTTACGATTGAGCCGGTTTTGATGCCGTCCTAGAGGGGATTTCGCGTTAGTATTGGACCATCTGCGGTGGGTAAATTCACTTGGCAGTGAGACATACCGGTAGGATCTGTGATGGGAACTCTAGCAGGTGGTGGTGCGGTGACAACAACATAGCTACACCAGCGTCGACCTTCCCGACTGTGAACTACGAAACAGACGGGAGAGGGGTATCAATTTCTGGAAGTTTTGTAAAAATGCCATCTTGAGACCGCGCCGCCTCCATTTTAACTACTAACCTGCACGGACGTCACCTCCTGCAGCATGTTATTGCTTGCGTGAATCTGGCTGTTTCTGAATGGTGCTGCCTACATACGTCTGTATAGGTAAGTACAGTACTGTTGACGTGGAAACTGTTGCAACTTGCGTGGTTCAATTGGGCCAATTGACAACTTGGCAGGCCGCCGCTCTCAGCTCTCGCCGCTGAGCCGACGGAGGCCGACGACGCGTTCCCTAACTTCCCTGAGCAGCCGCCCACAGAGCCCAGACGAAGGCCCATGCTTGCCCAGAAAACCGAAGCGATTTCCATTATCAGATGTCAGTTCTCTATCCTACAGAAGGTCATTGCCAACACGCCAATTCGATGCCTCCCTTGGAGACGCTTGTAGTCTGGCCAGCGACAACTTTGAAAAACTCGCAACCCGACCCGAAACGGCCGTCGTTCCTTCGGACACGACACCGCAGATTGTTGAAGCGAAACGGGTGCGGCGACGGAGGTCAGGGTCGCGCAGGGTCGGCTTCAGGGAGGCGGAGAGCCTCTCGCTATGAAAGCTAGGCGCCCGGGTTACGGGCTGGGAACTGGTGGTTGCTTGATATGTTATGTCGGGGCAGTCGGCTCATCCAGTTCCCGACACGACATACCGAGTCTCAGTGTACGTCTGTCCGGCGCATCGAGCTATATCCCTCCCTATCTGCATTGCGAGGAGTCACAAAGTTCGAAAGAGTGGGCACTCTGACCTACGGGTGGGCACTCGACTGATATAGGAGTGAGCACTTCGACCTGCGCGAGTTCACGTCGCGAATGAAGAGAGGTTCCGGATTGGGAGTGCATAGAGCCGAGGACGGGACGGGTGGGAGGGTACGGGAAGGGCAAGGAGGGCCATGTTGTGCACTGTTCACCAAGGAAGTCCAGGATGTAGGTTGGGTCATCGATATCCTCGCTCAACCTCACCCACCGACTCGAACTGCAGGCTGCTGTACTCGGAGACCCATCTTTTCATCGCCAGCAAGAGCATCCTCCTATGAAACGGCAGTAGGATTTTATGCTCGCGTGTGGCTCAACGCTCGGAGGCCCGCTTGACGCTGCGTAGCTTGCAAGCCGGGTAGTGCTGGGGCGGATATCGACGAGAAGGATGGGCAGGAGGTGCGGACTATGAGAGTGATTGCGCATAGACGGTCAAACCGCACAAGAGGAGACACTCTAGACACCTTCTATGACAGAAGACCTTCCTCGAATGTGACATACTGTACGGCAAGAAGTCCTGCCACCTCTCCTACTGCTGCTTTCTGCGTTCCGTCCATGGAACTTCTTTTGAACATCAGCGGTCCCCCGTGGCATCGTTGTTCCCGGAAAAGGGCCCTCCAGAGAAAAGGATACCTGAGATTGAAATAATGGTACACATTATTGGTTTGCAGGATTGGGGGAATGGGAAGCAAATCTTTCAGGCTTTCGTCAAATAGGGTGATATTGGATCATATTGGATAGGGCCTGCGACGGCGTAACCGTCCGGCCGAGAGAGTATATAATATAGCAGGAGCGAATGCCCTCGCCCTTTAGGTAGTTTTGCGGCAGAAAGCCACAGGACCTGGTGTTCCTGATGATCGTAGCGGCCTCCAAAGAACATGCATTCCTGCCCAGCATCCTGCCCGGCGCACTCTCCGACGCCGGCTTGAGGAGGGACCAAGCTACGTATTATCAAAGTAGATCGATGCGAAAAGATGGCACTAATCGAAGCACTCTCGGACAAACCGACTGCATGGCGATCACGCACAATCGCTCCAACACCATCTCTTCTGGACAGACTTCGTTTTCGCCCGCCTGACACGATGATGCCCAGACCAGAAGCCATGCTACCACAACAGGTCGCTAATGAAAGCGCTCAATCTCACATCCTCACACCCGTAGCCCTTACAACTTTCGTCTGTCTGTATTTGATGCATATCCCATTCCTCTCACACAGGTTTGGGTGAAGATTCCCCCCATACAACGACCTCGTCTTGAGAGTACGTTTCACTCTCCCCCTCTTTGGAGTTCATCTCACATTTGCAACTCATATTTTCTTCCTCTTTTATACGGGGTTCCCATTCCTCGTAAGGAAGCAGGAGGGTTGACAAAAAATTGGGTTTAACCCACTTTGGGTGAAGCTCCGGCTCAGAAGGGGTTAGTAAAAGGCGAATCCCTTATTTGTTCAGTCGAAACTCCGTGGGCGGATGAAGAAAATCTGAGAGGGGAGGCCGAAGGTGCTGGCCTTTTATACTCGCGAGGCAGAGGAGCGCTGGGTGGTACAAACTCTTTTGCGGTGGGACAGCGACTACGCCACACGTAAGGTGAGCTTACGTGATTCGCTCACACAGGCCTCAATCCGAGGTCGCGGGTGCATTTTGGACGTCTCAACCCGTATAACGAACGCACCCTTAAAACCCCCTCTCAACTCGGTTTACTTTTTTTGACTCTGTTCCCCTTCCATCCCTCCTGTCACGGGCAGCATTTGCTTCACGATGAGGTTCGCCCCGAGTGCGGCAGCGGACTTGCGCAAAGAGGCAAAGAGGTGGGACGGGCGAATCAGGGATGCGTATGATTGAGTTCCGATGATTCTTCTGAAGCGATCCGAAGTTCAACCCCGGCCCCTGAGTCAGGCTGCCAGGCTCCTCCTCACGCTGATCTCACAAGTTGGGACGCGAGCGCGGGTGAACTGAGGAGCGGGAGGAGTCGTGAGGAGGTGATGAGGACGCAGTGACAGACATTGGACTGATTGATAGTATGGGACATCCCCTGGACCAGATTCTCACCCACCGCTAACCCACCGACAGGATGCAGCCATGCAATATGAAGGAGCAATTACATACTTTGTGCATAAGTCGGATGCTTTTTTGATCACTGACGGCATACAACAGGCCCGGCGTCAATTTAGCTGCGCCGCCGCGATCACGGAATTCTTGTTCCGCTGTTCCGTGCAACAAAGTTGTGCGTCGGGGAACCTTGAACCCTTGACTGGGATATCTCAATATAGGACGTTGAGACTTCGGCATGATGGCATCGGATCTGCGGCGCACCGGATGAATCTCCCCGCTTCATTCGACGGCCTATCTCATCCCCATACATACATCTGTACATTCGGATGCTCAATGCATCCTGTAGGTCTCTCATCCTGATTGTGCATGATGCGGGGCATTTTAGGAAACGTCGGGACCCGGGGGAGCAACACCGGTCCGGACTCCTGATGGGACCCTAGGTCACGATGGCGGATGTCCTATGCAGCCCTATCACTATCCCTCCGTCTATCGTGCGCTAAAACCGCCCTGTTCATGTGCTTCAACGGAATCCCAGGGGTTATTAAGCACGAGATCCAACAGGTGCCTACAGTACCCATTTCCTGAGTCGAGACTCCACTAGCAGGCTAGCAAAACAGTACAACGGGGAATGTTCTCCGCGACGGGGTATCAAAGTCTATAAGTATGAGAGCGGGCATCGGGAAGCCTGGGTCCAGTTCTCGCCCCTCGAATATATCTCCCTTGCGGTTGTACGTCTGAGTAATCCGACAAGATGTCGTCCACCGTCTACAAGTTTCTCATCGCCGCCCTCCTCCTTTGCCAACTCCACCATGTCCTTCAACTCGCCACCGCCTCTCCCATCCACGCCAAGCGGCAAAGCCCCAGCCTCCTCGTAGGCGTCGGCAAAGCCGACGTCACAGGCCCAATCGGCGAGATCACCATGGGCGGGTACGCCGACCTTAGCCAAAAAGCAAACGGCATCCACTTACGCCTGAAAGCCCGCGCGTTCATCTTCGCATCGCAAGCGAACCCCGCCCGGCGCGTGGTGTATGTGTCCACCGATGTGGGATGGCCTTCGTACCGCACGCTGAAGATGGTTGTGACGAGCTTGCGGGCCAAGCTGTCCGCCGCGGACGCTGCGCTGTATTCCGTGGAGAATATCATGATGTCGGCTACCCACACGCATTCGGGGGTTGGGGGCTACCAGGACAACTTGTATGTGATTGTCCCATGTTGCGATGTATTCCGCAAACATCTCTCTAACGATCTTTCCCGCAGTCTTACCCAGGTTACGAACTTCGGCCTAACCCCCGGCGCCCGTGAGGCAATCGCAGAAGGCATCTCACAAGCCATCGTCGAGGCCCACACAAACTTCTCCCCCGCAACGGTCAACATCAACAAAGGCCGACTCGAGAACGCGTCCATCAACCGCTCCCCTACTGCCTACCTCAACAACCCCGCAAGCGAGCGCGCACAGTACACGGACGATGTGGACCGGGACATGGTTTTGTTGTCGGTAAAGGATCCGGCGACGGGCAGGTTGAGGGGGACGGTGAATTGGTTCGCTGTTCATCCTGTTAGCATGAATGCCTCGAATCATCTTGTTTCGGGGGATAACAAGGGCTATGCGTCGTACCTTTGGGAATTGCAGCAGAAGGCTGCTGGAAACCCTACTTTTGTGGGTGCCTTTGCACAGACGAATGCGGTAAGTTGTGGGTTCCTATTGAGCCAAGTCTGTTTTCGCTCAGAGTTCATATTGAGCTTCTATTTCATAGGGTGATGTCAGCGCCAATACCGAAGGAGCTCACTGCATCGACACTGGCGCCCCATGCGACGGCGGGAAAGACTCCTGCGGCGGAGACATCACCAAGTGCCTCGGCCGCGGCCCCGGCTACGAAATCGGCGGGGACATCCTGTCGACCGAAATCATCGGCAAGCGACAACTAGACAAAGCCCAACAGCTGACCACGAGCGCCACCAAGACCTTGACGGGCGGCGTGGTCGACTACCGCCACTCCTGGGTCAGCCTTCCCGATATCAAGCTGGCTGGAGAGACGGGTCCGGTGTGCAAAGCCGCGATGGGATACTCTTTCTCTGCGGGAACAACGGACAAACCTGCGACTGGGATCAGTTGGCAGGGGGACAATGATCCGAATGCGTCCAACAAGCCTTTCTGGAACTTTGTGAGGAATTTGTTGAAGCCGCCATCGCAAGAACTCATCACTTGCCAGGCCCCGAAGGTTATCCTGTTAGCTACTGGGGAGATGACGGTGCGTTTATGTGTTGGACTTGGAGCAACTATGTTTCTGGCATTGACGCGTTGGATTGTCCGAACAGGCGCCGTATGACTGGCAATCAAACCAGCTCCCATACACCCTCTTCCTCATCACCCGCAAACTCGCCATCATGGGGGTTCCCGGCGAGATCTCCACCATGTCCGGCCGCCGCATGCGCGCGGGCGTGCTCGCGCAGTTGGTCGCCGACGGAACCGCCGATGCCGACGCTGAGATCATCGTGTCGGGTCTTACCAACTCGTACTCCAGCTACATCACTACCAAGGAAGAATACCAAGTCCAGCGCTACGAGGGCGGGTCGACGGCATATGGTCCCAACACTCTCGCGGCGCATGTCCAGGTCTTCAAGACGTTGGCGGGCTCCTTCAAAGCAGCCACGGTCCCACCCGCGAGCCCGGCCTTCCCAGTCGTGGCGGCCCCACCTAACCCGAATGAGGTCAACTTCCTGACCCCCGTCGTGCTCGACACTGCCCCTATAGGACAAGGCTTCGGCAGCGTGACTGTCCAACCGGCTGCAGGCCCATTCAAGCAAGGCGAAAGAGTGTCCGCCGAGTTCGTCTGCGCGCATCCGCGCAATGGTGGATCTGACGCGAAAACTATCGTTGCCAATGGCGTCAAACCTGTTGCGGCTCTCCCCGGAGGCGCTCCCACAACGTTCATGACGGTTGAGCGACAAGTCGGCGCTTCGCAGTGGGAGATAGTGTTGGACGACGCGAGCTGGGATACCAAGTACTCGTGGAGGAGGAATGGAGTGGCTGAAAGCAGTGAGTCTTCCACAGAGAGCAGTTGAGTCGAATTCGCAACGCTTGGATGTCGTTCCTTGCATTTGGAAACGCTTATGGGATGTAGAAGTCCTTTTGCTGATGTTTGCCTCGTCCTCTCGTTTCTCTGCAGGATGCATCGTTGAATGGAAAGTCGGTGGATCGGAAGCCGCAGCCCCGGGAACATACCGGTTGCGTTATTTGGGGAGGTATGTCCAACTTCTTCAGACACGTCTTTCGAGATGCTTTCCTCACTGTGAGACTTCACCAACACTCCTAGAGCGAAGACGCTATTCTCAACCACTTCTCACTCTGGAGCGACCAATGCTTTCGTCGTTGCCGCGTGAATTAGATTGCCGCTCTCCTTTTCAAGCTTCCCGTCAAGCGAGGCATGCCGGCACCCGCGCCGCTAGTTTACAGCTTGTGAATCTAGTTGTATGGTTCGAAATAATGATACAAATATATGATGACTATATGCAGACCATATTGCTGGCGCTGAATTCGGAGCGGGGTCGGAGGAGTGCCTCAAATCAACTGTGTTTTGACAGTCAGACAATGTCACAAATGAAGTTTGACTTGGTCCACGTGACTTGGCGCGGTATGTCATTGATCCGCCTGGATGGCGGCGTGATGAGAGCAATTTCAGGCAACTTTCCACCAGAGTCGCTTGTGCACCTGCCCCCAGTTGACAAGTGGCAGTGCCTTCCAGAACAGCACCCACAACCAAATACTGTATTTGCATACCAGCGACTTCAGAAACGACTCAAAGAACCAGAGACGGACGAGAGGAAGCTTTCCCGCGAACTTTGTCCAGCAACACCACCTCATTTCCGACGTCATTTGGTGCAGATCACAGAACACAACTTTGTACAGAACTCCGCGACTTTTGTGGACTACCTCCTTCATTCGAACAACGTTTCCGACCGTGCTTCAGGTCTCTTAACAGCTTTACCTTGACTCACTCAACGACCGCTTCCGCTGGCTCAGGGCTGAAATTGAGGTCGGTCTCGTAGCGACCATGTCTACGCATGTCCACAGCCCACCATTGAAAGTCCGGTAAGTACGGCAGTGGCCCCAGGGCTTGAGTGAACTTCAACTCTCCCAAAGTACTCAAACTACTCTCACAGCTGGTTTCACGCCGTCGATGTTCCGAAGCGAGACGACTCACCCTTTCGAGTAGCGTCCGCGGCCACCACGCAGAAGGTTCCAGCAACATGGAAGGCCTTCTCGGAAAAGGACTCCGCAAAGCTGGAAGTCGCATATCGGAAAACGAAGCCTCAGAGAAAAAGGAGGCTGGCTGCAAGTGGGGATGAGAAGAACGCGATCACGCTGGGCCCGGACGGCATGGTGCCCGTCAATGAAGATCAGTTGTTTGAGGCGGATATTGAGAAGATGGAGACGTACCCCGTATACTGGAATGGGCCAGCGTACGATATTCGGCGAGGGACGTGGTTCTACGCAGCGTTTGGCGGCAACTATATTCCGTGCGATGAGAATCTCTCAAGGCAGGCTGAAGATGGATACATGTAGGGTATCATTCTTCCGCAGACCCACCTTCAGTCTCTCATCTCACAAACTGCGTATCAGGAAATTTCAACCATGGCTGTCTGGGCAAACGTCGGGCTCGGCAGCCTCGCCGGGTCAGTTCCCTACCAAACCACCTACGACTGAGCAGGTAACAATCGCAGGGCTATTTTACAATCGTTGCGCATTACTGATTCGCAGATAGCTAATCACGATTTTGTACATTGCCACCTTAGCGATGGGCTTTACTTGGGCCCTACATGAACCAGTTCATCGTTTACGACGGGGCGCACTCCGCGACGCAATTCTCAGATGACTTTGGAAGCAAAATCGGGAGGGCCGTGATGAACATTGGGGGAACGAGACTGATTCGGGGATGGGATGAGGTCGAAAAGCTGCGGACAAAGACAAAGGCGCAAGCTGCCGAGGAAAAGAAGAAGGAAAATCAAAAGGCGAAGGAGACTGGTGATGGGAAACCTACCGGAAAATCAGAAGCTGCGCCGTCCCCACAAACAGATTCGGCCTTGAGTGCGGCTAACGGGGTGTCGCTCTCTTCGTTGATTTCGGACATCGCCCCTGGGAGCTCGACGGGCACCCTCACGAGAGAGCAAGCGGAAAATCTGCAAGAAAAGCAGGAAACTGAGGATTATAAGGAAACGGATGATGAGGATCGAACTATCAACCACCTTGTGCTCGTGATTCATGGGATTGGTCAGAAATTGGGCGAAAGGGTGGAAGCAGTCAACTTCGTCCATGGTATGTCACGGTAAACTTAGACTCTTTCGCGGGATGCACATCGCTTAAAGCTTCTTATTCTCTAGACTGTAATTTACTCCGCCGGACGATCAAAAACGCGTCACAGCAATATGCGACAGCAAAGGATCAACTGAAGCAAAGCAAAAGAGCTGGCCTGATCAGCATTCCCGACGACGGAGGTGTGCAGATCTTACCAGTCCAATGGCGGCAAAAGATTCAGTTCGGTCTGGCACGAAAGGAGAAGCCTCCTCGAGATCAAAACGCTGAAGGCGCCGCCGACGACGAGAAAGACGTGGAGACTGTGCTGGAGGATATCACGTTAGATGGAGTGCCCGGGATCCGGCAATTGGTGTCGGACGTGGTGTTGGACGTGCTGCTATACATGACGCCACGATATCGGCAAGAAATGATTCAGCACGTCACAGAAGAGCTGAACCGGATATACCATCTCTTCATCCAACGTAACCCAAAGTTTAATGGAAAAGTTTCCATCGTGGGGCATTCGCTGGGAAGCCTGCTCTCCTTTGATATTCTGTGCAATCAGGCGCAGAATCCGATTCAGCAAGCGAGTGCGGATGCCCCGAGTTCGCCTAGGAAGGCGACTGAGGTGGATTTGACGGAATTTTTGCACCGGGCGAGCGATGGGGAAACGAAGGATACCAAAGTGAAGGGGATGATGGAACGGCCCAGTATGACGTATGGGCATCTCGACTTCACTGTTGATCGTCTTTTCGGTTAGTTAAGGTTTGCGCTCCCGCGTTTCATTGTCTCATCAATGTCGCTAACATATTTGCTATTCCAGTCGTAGGATCACCAGTCGGCTTGTTTCTCCTCCTAAAAGGAGAGAAACTTCAGGCTTTCGACAACTCCACACCCTCTCTAGCCGGAGACGGCATAGCCCGCCCTGCCGTAAAGGCGCTTTACAACATCTTCCACCCGCACGATCCGGTAGCCTACCGCATCGAGCCCGTCATTAACCGCGACTTGGCGTTATTGAAGCCCGTCCCTATACCCTATACCAAAGGAGGGCTCAAAGGAACCATTGTCGGGATCCAGGACCTTGGGACGGGGATAGCAGATCGCGGTCGGAGCATGTTTGAAGCCGCGAGAGCGGGACTTACGTCCACCACGGCGGGGATAACTAGTGGGTTTACTGCCCATGTCGGGCGGGTCGTAACGATGGTAAATGCCTTCAAAGCCCCGGCCTACACCGCAGAAGCGTCGAGTGCCTCGAGCGACATCAAGGCTGAGCTTCACGGAGCCGGACTGGCATCCTCCGGCTCAAATCTGAACAGCAACGACTCCCTGCCAGCAACAGCGCCAGCGTCGTCGGTCGAAATGCACGAAATCGTCCGACCATCACCAGAGAACGCGACCGACGTGGAGCTTCTGAATCCACGAGGCAGAATCGACTACGTTCTGCAGGAAGGCGTGCTGGAGAACCCCTATATATCGGCTCTCGGGGTTCACATGAACTACTGGTCCGACCCGGACAGCGCTCTCTTCATCCTGAGAGAGCTGTATTGCGAAGTTAGTGGGGACAGTGCGTGGCGAGAGATCGTGAGTGGCGGCTCATCCGGTGAGGGAGCTTCCGGGTCGGGAAAAGGCCGACAGGGCGGATCCTCTGATCGCGAGATTAATCAACGCCGGGGGGACAAGGGCACGGGAGGATCGTCATTAGATGGGAGTCTTAGCGGCGACATCAAAGCGAAAGGGCTAAGCCAGATGGTGTATGACTCGGCTGTATCTCTGCAGTCATACCTGCCGACGGACTTTCCGGACTTTTCAACCTTCAGCGAGCCGTTCGCTGCTCAGATACCACCGACACTTTTGGACGAGATTGCGGCCATGAATGCGTTTTCGATACTGTGAGTAGTTGATGCTTTCTTTCGCAGCACTATTCCGGTCACGAAATACTGAAATGCATCCTTTGTTATCTTAGGCATATTCTGGTGTCGATCATTACGAGCCTCATTCTTACCAGCGTTCGGTTCGCGTCCATGCTTGTGTTTTCCTTCAATGGGACAGCAGCATCGTAGGGATGCGTCGAAGGGATTTTTGCAACCCTCTCCTTCATCCAAATACCTTTGTAGATACCACCACATAATTTTTTGGCATTTTCTGGGTTTCAATACATCAAGTTGACATCAACACCGTTGTCCATTTGCAGAGAGTGTTTCCTAGTTCGGCTTCTTGGTATGCTTCGTGTCCCAACAACCCCAACAGCATCATTCATGGCCCGATATTTATATGAGCTTACATTGAGCATACTAATACAGCAGAGAACAAGGTATATCGTTGACGAAGCCGGGTGTCGGGAAAAACCCTTTCTACAGCGCAACACTCCCCAACATCTTCTCGCAGACATCCTTGTACTCGTTGGCAGGACCACTTAGTCTCCGGAACCTCAGCCCATGCAAATTCTTCAATCTCGGCAGCTTACAAATCTCCACCTCAAACTTCAACCCATCGACCAACGAACACTCTATCACGAAACGGGAGGGCAGGCGGTACTTGATATCGTGCATCGTGCAGGTGTTGATGACCTCCTGCACGATATCGTCTGGGGGTTTGGAGGAGGTGGTGTTGGAGTTGAAGGTGAAACGTAGCGAGCGCGGTTTGTTCTCATCGGATTTGAGGTCGGAGCCTTGTGAGCCTGTCGGGGTGTCGGTCATCGAGTGGTCGCCGGCGGCGGGGGAGGCCACGGTGGGGACGATTGCGCCGCCGATCACGTCGCCGCCTTTGTCGGCGGTTGGGGAGGTCACGCCCATGAGATCCGAGGGCCGACGGCCGAGTCCGCCACGGAGGATGCCGACGATGGTGTTGTGGCGTTTGCGACGTTGTACGCCGCCGGTTTCGCCCGGTTGGGTGGAATCGCCGCCTTCGTGCGCTTGACCCCCGGCGTCGACGGTGCCGGAACCGCCGCCCAGGCCGGACGACTGGCGAGGGATGGCGGCCACGGGGGCGGGGACGGCCGTCGCGGGTCGGCCGGGCAAGGGCGCGTTCATCGGCGCCGGGGTAGCCGTATCGTCTTTGGTCGGGGCATGCTGCTGCTGCAGTTTCTTGAGCCCCGCAGCAGCCTCCTCATCTTCCTCGGCATACTTATTGATCTCCGCCTCGCCTCCGACGGTGAACCGACGTCTACGCGTGACGACTTTTGTGGCTTGGCGGGGTTGAGGGGCTGCAACCACGTCTGCGGCTTCTTCAGCGGCAGCCGGTTCCACGGGCGGCAGGACCCCGTCCTCGTCGATACGGCTCATCAACGGCTTTGAGCTGGCGCCCTGCAATGTCCCCTCTCCCTTCTCCTTCGTAGGCGAAGCCGGGTTCGGGACTTGTATCGTAGGCGGCGTCGACAAATCCACTCCCAGCTTATCGCGCGTGCCCTTCTCGTAGTACAGCAGGTAGTAGATCGACGACACTTCATCATAGACGTTCTCCCTGAGCTTCTGCAAGATGGCGTCGCGGTCGAAGTTGAATTTCTGAACCATGAGGCGGATGATGCTGTCGTTTTCTTCGACTTTCTGCGAGACGTCGGTCGAGATGGGAGAGTCGGGGTGTCCTTCGTTGATCCACGGGTCGTCGATGAGCATTTCCAGGCCCGAACGCTTGTAGGGGTCTCGTACCAGGAATTTTCGCAGGAGTTTCTCGCAGGCTGATGGTCACAACGTTCACATCAGTAAAATAGACGGACCCAGTATTTTTTCTCCGTATCGCGCAGATGTACTTACTATCGGACAAATAAAACGGAATCCGATACTTTCCCCTACACACACTCTCCCTCATCTCCTGCAAGTTCTTGCCATCAAACGGCAAGCACCCCGTGGTCAAGACATACAGAATAACGCCCAAACTCCAAATATCGACCTCGGGCCCCGTGTATCGCCGGCCCTGGAAGAGCTCGGGTGCGGCGTAGGGGGGCGACCCGCAGAAGGTGTCCAGTTTGGATTCGGGGTCGAAGTAGTTGCTGAACCCGAAATCAGCGATTTTGATGTCGAGGTTGGCGTCGAGGAGGAGGTTTTCGGCCTGGATGCACCACATATTGATTAGCAAAGCGAGTGTTTCCGAGTAATACACTTGAGAAGACAGGCATACCTTCAAATCCCGATGAATAACCCTTTTCTTATGACAATAACTAACCGCGCTCAAAATCTGCCTAAACTTCGCCCTGGCCTCCTTCTCCTTCATCTTGCCATGCACAACCAAATAATCATACAGTTCGCCCCCCGACGCGTACTCCATGACGAGGAACACGGTGTGTTTGGTCTCGATGACCTCGTAGAGCTTGACGATGTTGGGGTGGTGCAGGAGTTTCATGATCCGCACTTCGCGGTAGAGCTTACCAAGCTTTTTTTCGTCGAGGGTTGTTTTGTCGATTATTTTGATTGCGACCTATGAACATATCAAAAAGACATCTCATTCAAACTTTATGCACCTCGAACGAAATACAACCCAACGAACGAAATGAACCGTCGCATTTTACCTCCACCCCAGTCAACTTATGCTTAGCCAACTTGACTTTGGCAAAATTCCCCTCGCCGACCGTCTTCTGGAAATGATAGTTCCCGATGGCCAGCAGGTGCACATCGGGATTGGAGGTGTCATCTTTGTCCCGCCGACTTCGGGACGCCGAGGTTTTTGCTGAGGAGGTACTCATGGCCTGTGCGGTGAAGTGGGCCGTGCGGTTGGGTGGCTGGAAGATGGGATGGAGAAGACTGCTGGGGAGCTTTTTGGGTTTTAGTGAGAGCCTGGATGCCTGGATGTGGGGAGTGTAGATGGGAGCTGACAAATCAAAATCATCGAGAGCCGCACCTAAAATTCCCTCACGTTTCGACGCAGAAAGTTAACTTGTCCCGATGGAGACGCCAACGCGCGGTGGGCGAGAGCGAGACCTGGCGTTCGATTTGTTTCGTGCGGGCGCCGCCTATTCCATAAATCGTACAATATCTCGCGCGAAAACCAAGCGCCTCGGAGCTCGAACTGAATGCAGGATGGCAATATTAAGGGATGCGAGTGGCACGAATGTCCTGAAGATGTTTGCTTTGGCGCTACAGTTATGTTGATCCCCCAACCCAACATAGAAGTGTTCAATTAGGCGCGCGGACAATAGGTTGATGGCCATCTGTACCGGTGGGATCTCTGCATATTTGCCCTGAGTGCTTGGAAGGGCGGAGGTGCATGACCTGACGATCGCGAGTATTACGTAGGCAGTTTTAACAGCGTGTTTTCCCCAAGTGATATGCACTCAATTCCCAGTGTTTCATTTTAGCCGCTTCGAATACGAAAAAAAACATATTGTAAATGATACAAAAGCTGTGCCATGCCAGACCCCTCCTGCTCGCAAGCGGGGTGGTCGCACGAGTGAAGAAAAAATATAGTACAGATATGATTTCAAAGTAGTGCATCCATATCGACAAGCCTCCGAGCCTGCTCTCCACCCAATCCTGCAGACCTTGCCCGTCCTGTTTTGGCGCATTCCCATTCCTCCCTTTCCTCCTCTCCTCTCCCAGTAATGTATTTCCCTCGCGTTCCCCTTCCCTTCCGCGCGCTCATCCACTCTGCCACACCAAGAGCATCTATTGAGCCTTCAACCCAACGCCCTGTTTGACGTCCTGAGCGACTTTACGCGCGGTATGCTTGATTTTGGTCGCTCCGGGCGTGGACGCGGGGCTACCGAACCCAGTGCCGCCGCGGTACCAGGGCAGCTTTGTGGTTTTGCGGCGGTCTTCGAGTTCGTAGTAGAGTGTACTATGGAAAAATGTCAGTAGGTGTTCGATAAGTAAAAGACATCGGAGGAGGGAGACCCTTACCCGTCATACTGCTTCAAGACATCCTCTTTGCTCAAGACTCCAGTGACCGGATCCGCCGCAAGCGCCCACAAGAACGTCCACAGGAAGAACTGAAAGCTCCAGCCTACAAAGTCAAACACATTCCTGTTGCCGCCCCACATGGTCGTGATGTCGCTGAACGTGAGACCATCCTTCTTGGGCCTGCTGGAGTAAGCCTCGAACGTGTTTTCGAACTTTTCGTTTACGAAACGGCCGGCGGTGTCGTACGTCTCTGTGTCGCTGCCATGTTTCGCGCGGTGGATGTTGGCGATTGTAACGGGCAGCAAGGGATTGGGGACCCATGAGTCGTGGGTGGGGTATGAGACGTGGAGGATGTGGAAGGCGAGCGCGGAGGTGAAAGAGATGATGGGGTTGAAGCCGAGCGCGTAAAACCCAGCATAGGTCTCCCAAGGCCAGATAACACCGTCCTTGTTGCGGTCCCAGAATCCAACGTGCTTTTGGAGAGGTGTGAGACCGCGGGTGTTGACGTTGTTGGTGGAGGTTTTGTGGGATGGGGATCGGGCTGCGATGGCGCGTTCGAGAATACCGTCTTGCTCCGCTTTGTAGGCGGCGACGGAGCTGTTAGAGGCTGCAGCGGCTAGGGCGCTGCTGCCGCCGGTGTTTCCGCTGCGAGTAGTAGTAGATGCCGAGCCATAGCTAGAGTGTTTGGGACCCACGTCGGCGTCATTTTCCGGTGGTTGTTGCTGCTCGTAAGATGCCATCGTCGTGTTTGGGGCGAGGACGGGTTCAGTGGGCGCAGGGGCTTGTTCAGTTTCGGGTTCGTGGACAGATGGCGGCGGCGAGGCGAATACGGCTTGCACGTCAGTGCGTTTTCGTTGCGACTTTGCTTTGATTCTCTTTGACACTGCGGGGATGGAAGGTGGGATCTCCATCTCTTACTCCCTCCATGTGGATGTGGAGGCTTGAAGAACTGTACTGTACTGTACGCTGGAGCGGCTGACGAGTGCGGAGACGGTCTTACAGTATTGGCTGTGTGGAGAGTGGAGAACGTCGTGGCTCCATAAGATTGCGGTTCCGCAAACGTCATAACGGCCTCGGACAGGAGGGGGAATCTGGGGAATACAGGCAGCGCACTCTCATCAGTTGCTTGCCTTTTGACGCGTTCCTGCGCCCTTGCCTCATCCATCCCTCGCGGCTTGGCCAAATTGCCATATCATTCCATTACTCACTCGCAAGCGCGTCCGTCGGGTCCCAACCCCCCGCGGGCCCCCAAAGGCACCCAAAAATCTTTAGAACTTTGGCTTGCGGCTCGTTCCACTTCCTGATGACCACTGCAACGGAGAGACCCGCAATCTCACCCCAAACCCAGAGGCAGACAGAGATCTCCGCCATGACACAGGACACTCTCCACCACCAAAACGACCCCGTCGCTTGGTCCACCCTGCACGGTATGTCTGCCTGATCTCTATCCCGCACCTTCCCAGCACGATCACTGACCAATCTTCCCACCCCCGACACACACACCACAGAGGCCCTGGTGAGACCTGGGACTTGGAAGAACGCTTGGGACCTCGGTTTGACCCCTTGGGACCACGCGGCCTCAACACCCGCACTCAGGTCCCTACTCGCTTCCCCCGAGTACCCCGAGCTCACAAAGGGCAAGATTCTCGTTCCTGGGTATGTCTTTCGAGCGATAGCGAGGCTTACTGGGCCATAAGGACCAGGAGAAATGCTTGAGGATCCGAGCGATAGCGAGGAGAATGCTTAAGCTTGATTCGCGTGAGCGAAGCGAAGGAATGCGAAGGCGAGCTTGTTCTTTTACACACGCATCATGCTTCATGTTGGGTTGATGGTCGACGGATGATGGTTGATGGTTGATGATTGATGGTTGACTGACGATGTATCCTGATGAATCACCAGATGTGGAGGCGGATACGACGTTCATCTCTTCGCTCAATCGCCTGGGTGCGAGTATGCCCTCGGACTGGACCTTTCGCCCGTCGCGATGCAGAAAGCAGAGAAGGTTTGACAACATCATACACTAGTTCAACCACGAGGCTTACTCGCACGGAAAGAAGAGGATATAACTGATTACCCGATAAACATTATCCAGCTCCGAGACGAAAAATCCATCTCCCCGCAAAAAGCCCAATTCCTCGCCGGCGACTTCTTCGTACACCCCTTCGGCACGAAATTCGACGTGGTGTACGACCACACCTTCCTCTGCGCCCTGCAGCCCACCCTCCGCAAGGACTGGGGCAAACGCATGGCGGAGATCATCGCGCCCGGTGGGCATTTGATCACGTACATGTACCCGTTGAGCGACCATGAGGGTGGGCCTCCGTTTGCGCTGTCGGTGGAGGTGTACGACTCGCTTCTGTCGACGGAGTTTGAGAAACTCTTCATGGAGGATGTTCTTGAGACTTTCGAAAGTCGGACGCGCCAGGAGTATGGCGAGAAGCTGGCTGTCTGGAAGAGGAAGTAGTGTCGTTGCCGAGTAACTGTTCCCCGGACATTCAGTATATAGAGCATTCAGACATCTAGACTCACTATGTAGAATAAACGCCTCAGACACTATCTCAAATTCATGTCAGTGTTCTCAAAGTTCATCCCTTTCAACCACAGTTCTGTCAACCGGAACCGTTTAACAATCTTCAAACGCTTAATTATGCAATGTATTTGGTATCGCCAGTGTGCATATGTGGCGATGGGTAAGGGGATATGGTGGATGCGAAGTGCGAGAAATGCCCGGTTTCACTTTGCGAATCTTGCCAACGGAAGGGGAATACATCCCACTTTTGCGTGGAAGGTGCGGAGATGGAAGGTGCAGAGATGTCGGCGTAGGAGGAGGTGCAGAGATGTCGACGTAGGAGGAGGTGGAGAAGGGTGCTGTGCCGAGCTCCTAGTTGTGATAGGGCTAGGTTCATGCGCTTCGGAGTAGAAAAGAGGGGAAGAGGTTTGATCGCTCCACTGGGCTCCCCCCTTTGGGAAGAGCCAGCGAGCGACCTTCGCGGGCGTACACGTATATTAACAACGATAATAAATACATATGATCCAGCACATCTTTGGACCCAACGACGCCGGATCGCGCACGGCGAGACCCGACTTCGGCGATATGGTAAATGAGATGCATATGACGATATGAGAGATGATATGCGTTCGAGAAATGAGCCCCGTGCGCGGTCCGACCCAAAGATGGCGGCGATATGAGAGGTGAGATGCCAGGGCAAGTTGCCGGATACGCAGATGTGAAGTAGAGCGAATATGAGATCGCATTGCCGCGACGCCGTCGGGGGAACAATTTTCGCCCCACGCTGTACTAGTCAGCCATCAATGGATTTTGGGGAGAAATTCGGCCCCCGCACGTCAAACCGGAAAGTGCGTCGCGTCGGGGGACCAATTTTCGCCCCACGCTGTACTAGTCAGCCATCAATGGATTTTGGGGAGAAATTTGGCCCCCGCACGTCAAGCCGGGGAGTGCCCGTATGTAAGATAAAGATGGCCAGGTTGGCATTGTATTGAGCAAATGGCAAATATACATGAAGAGATGGGCGGAGATGAGCCACAGATAAATAGATCTAGTATACAACAGGGCGGGTAATAGGAGCGGAATTCTGCCGCACCGCGAGGTGAACGCTAGGATGTGTGCGGATATATCGTTCGAACGCGTCTGAAGACCAGCGACCCCAGCGTTGGATCCACAGTGTGTCGTAACCGAGTATCGCGAGGTGGGTGGCCCCTCCGGCGCGAAAGCTGGAGGCCCCGATGTCGGTATTCATGGTGGCGGTCCAGACGGCGTTGAAAGATGCGGAGGTTTCTACGGCATTGCTTGCGTTATGCCTGTCGGTGGCTGGAACAATAAGAGCTTGTTCGTCGATAACACGTTCGCCATGTCCGTTTGTGGGGGTTTGTCGTCCCAAGGTCACTCGCGCAAGCAGTCGCAGAGCGTGGCGTGGGCCTCCTCACCCCCTCCTGTCATTCCACTGTCAATGGCAAGCCCCTCCATTTTGTGCCGGATGTTTGTACGGCATTTTGACTACTGCTGTACAATGATGCTGTTGAAGGGACTACGGCTACAGTCACCAGAGATCTAGCACTTCGTCACATTCATATACTGATGAGCATCCCCATCATTAAGAAACGTCGCCAAAACGATGCTCAGAGCGATATTATGGCGGGCATTGACGGCGGTCTGCGTATCGGCCCATGATTCCGAGGCCTCACCCACCGCACCACGGGCAATGGCATCAGCCATCATGCACACAAATGTACCGCAGTTCTGGTCATCGGTCTGTCGAGGCGTGAAGAGGGCATCAACCGTCGGTGTCGGTGTGTGATTGAGCGGGGCTTCAGTGGCCGTAATGTACCAATCCCACAAGAGGGAGCCGATATTGGCCATCTTATCAACGTAGTCGTCATCATTCGGGCGAGGCTTTGAGTCAAATAAAACGAGGAATACGTTTTCGTGTCTGGTTAATGGCGAACCAGGGGGGCCCAGGGGTTTTGCGGACTTGGGCGCCGGCACCGCGACAAGTATTGGGAACAGGACCCAGTGCAGATTATCTGGGTTTGATGGGAATAGCAGTATGTTGTACTCTGCAACGTTGATCGACCGCTTAACATAAAACAAAAAAGGAAAGTTAGTTTAGTTAAGTACGGTACGGTTAAGTAACTTTTCTTACCGGAACAAGCCGAATAGGGACATTGGATGTCCGTGCCATTTTGACACTTTGGAGCCAAGTGGATCCAACGGCTAGCAGTGGCGGATAAATGGTTGGGCGCCGTGATGACCTGGCTTGTAACAACGCGCACCACCTATATATCCAGAGACAAGCATCAGTGAGTGACAACAATGACACACACTCGCACGGGAAAGCGGGAACGGACCTGTTGACAGCTTGATCGTTCAGCCAGCAATCGGTTTTGACAATCCGCCGAATGATAGCGGGTTCGATGATCGACGACCCTGCCGGTATCCTCAGGTCTCCTTCTCCTTCCTTTCTGCCGCAACCGAGAGCCCACTGGTCCACCGGCATATTTTTGCTTTTCATCCACCTTTGGCCACGGCTCGCCTTTCCACATTGCCGGCGGCCGGTTCCACCAACCGTCAACGTCTATATTCATTGCAGAGGGGTCGGGGTTTAGCTCTTCATTGTTGACGCGCCCGTGCGTAGGAGATTCAGTAGTGGCGGCTGCGACGGGTTCGACGGGTTCAACTGGTTCGATGTTGGGCTCTGCCAAAGAGAGCTGAGCTGCCGAAGAGAGCTGAGCTGCCAAGTCATCTGTCTGGGTGCGGAGTGTGTTGATGGTCTCTGCCATTTGCGCAACGAAATCTAGCAGCCGCTTTTCATCATAGGTAGTCTTCATCATCTGTCGCGCCTGGTCCTTGTCAACTCCCTCAACTCCACCGCCGCCGCTGCCACCACCGCCGCCACTGTCTGCCATGGTTTCGACTCCACTGCCGCTGTCTGCCATGATTTCAACTCCACCGCCGCTGTCTGCCATGATTTCAACTCCACCGCCACCGCCGCTGTCCGCCATGATTTCAACTCCACTGCCACCGCCGCTGTCCGCCATGATTTCAACTCCACCGCCGCTGTCCACCATGGTTTCAACTCCACCGCCGCCGTCGTCAACTCCGCCGAAAGCAAAGCCAATGTTGGGGTTTGAGATGGCGCTGGGTGTGGTAGTGTGGGTTGGGCCAGGTGTTGGTGTGGGCTGGTGGTCTCCGTCCCGGTTCTGTGCCCATGCAGCCTTGTCAACAAACTGGTGGATCCGCGCCCCGGGCCGCATAGCGAGAGGGTCATTTGGGAGAACCGGAGCAAAAATGTCGTCTATAATACATAGATGAGTGCGCTGTGTCAATGCATGCGGGAACACGGTCCGGTCACCTTACCTAGAGACAGCTTCTGCCCCTTTTTGCGCCACTTGAATTCCAGGTAAGGGGCATACATTCCCCACATGTCTCGCTGACCTTAATCCATTTTTGCTTTGGCCAGCGCCGCAAAGTATGGATCCCTCATGGAAGGCCGATATCTCGCGAAAACGTGTTTGGTGACACTCCTTCATGAATGCCTGATTGTAGCGTTCTTTGACAAACGCGACGACATCCTCCCTGGAGGTAAAGTACATGCGGCGTTTGGGGCATGTTTCTATAATACCACACATTAGTGGCCGGCTACATGAGGACAAAGGCAACTGAACCATTTGTAACTTACGTGCAAGTGTGCCAAAATGGGTCTCGATCCGCTGATAAACATTATCAGCATTACCCGACCCGTCACTAAGCATCGCAGACAGCATCGGAGACGTCCCTGTTGCTGTTGCGCGCGCCGTAGTGTGATCAAAGGTAGACAACCCGAATTCGTTACTGGGGTCGGCGTAGGTTGTCGGGGATAACTCATCTTCACTTGTATTTCATATTATATCTCTTTACTTCTACTTGATCCAAGACCCGGGCTGGCCACCCGGGTTCTCGGTGATACATTACATAAGGCGCCCAGCCTCACTGAAGCCACGCAAGCCCCACTGAGAGCCCATATATAAGGCTGTCAGTCAAGCGGGCGCTGCGAAGAGCTTCTTACTTTTTTCTTCACTACAATACACTGCTCTCAGTGTCGGGGATATCTCATCTCCACTTGTATTTCATATTATATCTCTTTACTTCTACTTCATCCGAGACCCGGGCTGGCCACCCGAGCTCTCGGTGATACATTACATAAGGCGCCAAGCCTCACTAAAGCCACGCAAGCCCCACTGGCAGCGCATATATAAAGCTGTCAGCCGAGCGGCCGCTGCGAAGAGCTTCTTACTTTTTTCTTCACTACAATACACTGCTCTCAGCCCTCTCAGAAAAGCCCAATATCATCTACGTTTCCTCTGACGTTACATGGTAGCACCACCTACCGCTAGCATCACCAAGACATTCCTCGTCAACGTTGCCCCTCTACCGGACGTCCCCCTTACACTCGTTCACAAGCAAGAATGGACCAACAAACTCAAGCTATCGTTGCGGCTGTCGCAGCTGCTTTCGCTACTTGGGAGCGTGCTGTTACGCAGGATGTCCAACAAGCCGAACGTTTCAGACTTCTTATGGACGCTCGCAAGAACAAGCTCGTCGAATACGATGGCGCCAAAGCTGCCAAAAAGATCGAAGAGTTCGTTACGTCTCACCACAACTTTCTCGAGTCTCTTACTGTCCCGGCTGTACAAGCTGGATCAGACGGTACTGGAGCTGCCAACGCCATACCCTTTACTATGGCAGAGTATGCCCCTACGCTCACTACCTATCTCAAGGGTACTGCTCTTGAGTGGTACAATACGACTTACACCTCTGGCGCTCCCGCAAGTTGGACAGCTTTCGAAACGGCTCTTGTCCCTCACTTTTATCCTCGCAACTTGCGTAATACTATTGAGCTCAAGCTCTCCGGTCTTAAGCTTGGTGACTCTCTCGAAAAATATATCAAGGAGTTTCGGGACACCAATAATGAGCTTGAAGCCGCTCATCGTCTCGATAACACTCAAGGCACCATTCCCCTTATCAATCAGATTCGATACTTCAAGGCCGGTCTTCTCAAGAATACGGTAATCGGTCATTATCTTGCTGAAGCCGTGACGAACTTCGAAGTCTCGGGCACTACCAATATCAACACCGCTATCACTCTCGATCAAGCTATCACTGCAGCTCGTCGTGCTCATGTGGCTCACGGGTTCACTGATGGCAACCAAGCCAATACGCCTCGTCCAATTGCCTCGGCATCGAGTGCTTGTGGAGGCCATGGAGCCAGCCGCGGTCGAGGTAGTCGTGGCGGTGGTTGTGGCGGACGATTCGCCCCTTACACCAATCCTCAAATTACGGAATTCGAGCAAGACTTAGATGATATGACCTTTGGGCTCAATGCCCTCGGTACGTCATACTATCCCCCTGGAGTGAGCCGTCTCACTGCAGGTCAAGTTCCCTACCAGTGTCGACAACCCTTTCGTCGACGTGGACAATGGCAAACTACTCATGTTCCTCGTCAACGTCCAACGACTCCTTGTCCCCTTTGTAACAAAATGGGACATTGGAGAGTTGAATGCTGGTCAAATCCTGAAAATCAACAGCAAGGCTCGCAAACCCAGAACCGACGCGGTGGTTTTCGACAGCGCGGTCGTGGCGCTCAGACTCCGCAGCGCAGTCGCCAACCTAATCAACAACAAGGTTCAGCCAAGCAGGTTGATGCTGGGTCACGCATTACGGAAATTCTCGATGACGCCGTCAACTCTGCGAATACTACGAATACTACTACAAATCAATCTTTGAGTTTTTTCCAAGGTCGATAGAGCCCCTCGGTAGCTCTGCTCGGCCTACAACATACGATCCTACCGACAAACCTGCCTTCGAACCACTGTCTGCTGGACTCTGGGTCTCTCATTGTCGCATCGGAAACAAGTTTGCTCGTGTTCTTTTCGATAGCAGCGCAACTGGGTTATTTCTTGACAAGACATTCGTCGAAAAGCACAAATTTTCCAAGAAAGGTATTGAACCAAAGCAGATATGGCTGGCCGACAAAGAATCCTACATGATTCTCAACACGGTCGTTTCGGAAAAGTTAGATCTATGGGATCTTGAATCTCAGTCGCTTTTCTTAGTTGGACAACTCTCCTGGCTAGTCAGTAATCTGGCTTACGACGCTATTATTGGAACGCCTTTTTGACGTTTCTTTAATTACGCTGAACAATTCTCGATGAGTACCTTACCTATCCTTTGCTGGACCAATCATGGCCCTATACCAAACGCACCGCAGTCTGTCACCATCAAATGCAAAAGAACTTCAAGAAACTGGGAAGATGTCGAATATATCCCGAAACACAACAACCCTTACTTCGATGTACAACAAGATCCGGTCTACGATAAAAGACCTGTTCGACCTGTTCGGATCATTAAACCTGTGGATACACGTCCTCTACAAGCTGCACCTCATTATGTTTCTTGATTCGCTCAAGCCAATGCCCTTTGCAATCCTCAAGTCACAGAAATGACTTCTAAGCGATTCGATAAGGCTTGGCGACGGAACAAGTTTGAAAAAGACACGGTCTGTCGCCTCGCTCTTAACGAAATACTGGATGCTCCTCAAGAGCTTAAAGGAAATCCAGGACATCTTAAAGATATCCTAAATAAATACGTCAATACGCTCTTCAAGGAACCGAAAGGTTTACCCCCTGATCGCGAGAAGATAAGTTCAAGATCGAACTCACTGAAGGTGCTGACCCCGTTTGGCAACCTCTTCGGCACATGAACAAAGAAGAACTCGCTGAACATAAGAAACAAATCAGTTCGATGCTCGAAAAACGATGGATACAACACTCCTCAAGTCCCTGGGGAGCTAGTGTCGTCTTTGCGAAAAAGAAAGATGGGGGATTACGCATCTGTTGGGACTACCGAGGTCTCAACGCTGTCACCAAGAAAGATTGCACTCCTTTACCCAATATCCGTGAGATGAGGGATCGCATTCAAGGTTGTAAATGGTTTACGCTTATCGATATTCGAGAAGCATACCATTGTCCTCTTATACGAAAACAAGATCGAGAAAAAACGGCAATACGAACTCGCTTCGGACATTTCGAGTATTTGGTCATGCCGTTCAGACTTACCAACGCACCTGCTGCATTTCAACGTCCTATGAATAAGATCTTCCATAAAGATTACGACGATTTCCTTGCTACCTACCTGGACGACATTTTCATTTTCTCCAAGACCTTAGCCGATCATCGGGAACACGTCGATTGTATCCTGAAGAAACTTGAAGAACACGCCCTTTTCATCAAGCCTTCAAAGTGCATATGGGCTAAAGAAGAACTCGAATGGTGTGGACATATTGTGAAGACATGGTGTTTGCATCGCGCCCTCGAAAATCCAAGCTATTAAGGATTGGGCTACTCCAAAGTCAACAAAAGGAGTTCAAAGCTTTCTCGGGTTCACGAACTACTTCCTCGACTTCGTGCAAGGTTATTCGGACATCGCTCTGCGCGCGAGCTTTTCCTGGTCGTCCGCTTTGCGGGGAAAGCCCAGTTCTAGGACTTGGTACACAATAACGGAACGCACCATGGTAGCGACTATGAAGGTCAACTTGCTGTACCATTCTGCCACGGTGTCAGCGAGAAAGGTCTTGCCAACCAATGCGAAACAGTCGCCTGCAAAGAGGCTGTTCAGGAACTCTGTCAGGCAATAGAGTTGCTTCTCGATGTCGTATGTATCATCCTGCTTATCCTGAGACACCACCTCCGACTCCATGTCGTTTTCCTTTGCAATGCCCACATCGGTCCGAATCCTCTCGTAAGTTTGCTGCAGGGCACGTGCTGATATAGCCATGATTGTTTCTCCCCCGTCGGCCTTTGTCCAACGAATGCATCCGGAACGAAGCTGGCATCTCATCAAACTGATCTCCGCAGTTCGCCAAAGGAGTTTCGCAAACAATATGTGCGTTGGTCCGGTACTTTCCAACAACCGCCCTCGGGCTGCAGCGATGCTCTGAATGTTCCATTCGATGCTTTCATCGCCGGACATAGCTGCAAGGGGATCTTGTTGATGTGAGTAGGTGCGAGGATGATTGCAAAGCGACGCGACACATTGCTATACGTATGCATACACCCCCTCTTTATCGATAAACTCAAACCGCTCACCGCCCCAACGCCGTAGACATCACTTCGGTAACTTCAAGCAATCTTGTCGCAATCTCCGCTATCAGTGACATTCGCTGGAGCGCGTTTACCCACCGTTTCGGAATGGCCTCATAACCATTATAGGCGCCTGCGATCTGGCCATATACGGCGCACACGGTGTCCGCATCGCAGCCCATACCGGCCAGAAGAAGCATTCCTTGCTCATAGAAATCTGTCACAGAGAAAGCCTACAGCGCTGCTTCCAACGTGTCGATGACATACCCACTTGTTTTGATTTCGTCTCGCTGCTTCCGGAGAAATGTACCTTGGCAGATGTGTATGACCTTTTCACACGTCAATCCGCTTACGAGAGATGCAGGTAGCTCTACTACAGCGTGTACCTTTGAAACTCCTTGTAGAAGGCTTGCTATGATTTTGCCGAGTACACCCGCTGCTTCGATGCACTCTGGAGACGCATGAGTTACTTTAGAGGAGAGTGCAGAATAGTAGCCGGCCCTTCCTATGTCCCTATGATAGAAGATGGGTACCGGCGCTAGTCGCATGATCCCGCCGTTACCACTATCATTCTCGTCAGACAGGCCATGATACTCGGTCAAAGGTGGGGCTTCTGCGGCTTCTCTTTTCCGCTCGCGGAGCTCTTGGTTGAAAAGGAAACGTGCGATCGCCCTGCTCGTTGTGACCCCGATATCAAAACATCCTTTCTTTTCGTCTGAGGACATGTAACCTTCTTTTCGCCACCGTGCATATCTTTCCATCTGATCTGTAGGGGAAAAGGTACCCGTTTCAATAAGTGATGCAGCTAGACATAGCATCATGGACGAATCATCAGTAAATGAACCCGGTGGCATATTGAATACAGTGGTTTCCATGTTGGGAGACACTTCATAGCTGTCACGTTCTTTGAACTCGTATGCAGCACCAAAGGAGTCACCAACGATGCCGCCGATGAAACAACCCAGTAGCCGGTCTCGTAGCGTTCCGGAAAGAATCATGTTCTGTGGAAGCATTGGTACAAAAGAATCGGATACTTTCTCACGCAAACAGGCGCGCTACCTTCATGCAGTAATCATGTATATCATCACAATTCTGAGAACGCGCCAGCCTCGCAGCTTCCACTAGCGTCTCGGCCCTCCGTATACGCAGTGCGAAGAATTGAGCTTTCTCAGTATCACCCATCGCGCATGCAGCAATAAGGCCCATCTCGTCTTTTTGTGCGCCAAGCGATACTAGATACTTGATCGTCTCCAGATCGGCTTCACTTTCTATGGCGTCTGTTAGGATGTCATCAAAGGCTAAACAATCCCCTAAAGAAACGAGATACTTGATGATCTGAAGGGAATTCTTCTTGCTGAACTTCCCGCGTTGTGCTGCCCAGCCAATGCACTCGGCGTCTACCCGGCAGCCCTTGTTTACGAGATGTTGTATGACGTCCAGATGTCCTTCAAAACAAGCGAATAGGAATCCCGATCGCTTTGCGTCATCATTGACGCCGATGCGCACAAAAAACTCGACAGCGTTCAAGTGATCATAAGTGCATGCGTCCCGGAATGCATACGGGTCACTGTTCACGTCGGCTCCAATGGATATGAGGTGCTTGATCATATCCAGATTACCCAAGCGGCTAGCGTGTGCGAGCGGAGACTCGAGAATGGTTTCAATCTCACCATCATCGTCCAAGCACTCAAGGGGACCAACTTTATTCAAAAGGGTGGCGTAAGTTGCATCGTGACAAGGCCGGAGAAGAAGCTTCATCGCATCCAGATGAGCATGTTCCGCTGCCTTCTCTATCGCGTTCTGCATGTCTGCCATGCCGAGGCGGATGTACGTTGTCCATAGAGGCCTCGGCAACTTGGCGATATCTTGACCGGTTGGGTAGGCCCTTAGCACGTCGGCGTGGGTAACCATTCTATAGACACTGGATATGCAGAGAAGATTCACCACGACTTCTCCTTTGCAATGCGCTAAGAGCAGATGGAATGGGAAAGCCATATCGTTGTATGATGGTGAGCAAAGGGATGTGGCGACAGCTTCCAAAACGTATTCGTCATCTACATCTATTTGATGCTTTTATCGATAAACAAGGCCGCTATAAGTATCCCAGGATGCGGTGCGAAAACTTCTCGGGATCACTACTTTGGGAGTAATCATGCCCGCTCTAAGAGTTCTTCAACCCGATGCTGTGGATCTCAGCAGTCTCCAGCTGGGTCGGCTTGTCACCCTCGAGAATTGCCGCATCCACGATGTCCTCTATGGACCCTCCGCGGTAAAGCTGACCTTTGTCTTGAAAGATCTTACTTTACCAGCTTACTCTTTGACTACTCTTGGTGGCCGATTCGGTACCACCGACTGGAGGACCATGGGTAAGATTAAAGTGAGGGCCCAGACTGTCTTACAGAGTCGCGAACATAGATTTCTATTGGATCTCGAGCGCCGCGTCAAGGTTCTTATTGACGCGGCCTATCCTACATGGACCATCCGGAGTCAAGGAAGGTCTGCACAGCGGCCCGACCTGCTTCTCAACGGCACTAGCATCTTCAAAAGAAACGAGTTGGAGGAGTACCCTCCCGAAATCAGTATCATCCTGCAACCTTACAAACCCCCTGGCTCTCAGGAAGCACACGATTGTTTCAAGTTTGCTATGCGAGATGGAGACACCAGCGACATCATTGAAGATTTCATACCCTCAAAGGTCACAGATCCAAGAGGTGACCTAGTAGGCCCAGGAGACAAGCTAGCCGCTGTCGTCCAGCTTGATCGCATTGTGTACTATGGTGTGCACACCCAAGGTATCTCCATACAGCTGACCATGTTTCAAGGAAAACTTTGGAGGAAACCTCCTTCATACACTCACAGACGATACCCGGTGGAAGATCTCTTGACCGATCTGGATAACCTGGCGATGACAGACAGAAACAGGGACCCGGGTCAGAATAGTGACGTGGCCGCTGCCCTCTTGGCAATCAACGAGGAGGCGGAGGAGGCCCCTACCATAGGCATGTGCCCAGTATGTTTGACGGATCGAGTAAATGTGGCGCTAAACTGCGGCCACGCCCATTGTCGCCGATGTGCCGACTCAATAACTCTTTGTTCAGTGTGTCGTGCCAGGATAACTACCAGGCAGCCACTCTTCCTTGCGTAAGTTTATCGATAAACTCGCCAGCGCAATTGAGCGCAATCACGTGATACGGAGCCGATATGGTGCTAGCATACATACGTCTCGATCGCAGAGCCAGAAGCAGTTACCTACTTGCCAACATCCCACACAAAATGGCTACCCCATACAAACCTCTCAAAGCCCAAGTCATTAGACCTAACTGGCCTTTCATCGTTGCTACACTACGTCTCGCCCTCTCTATTGGCCTTACCGGTTACGCTTTACTTCATGCCCGCAAGTCGATTGCTCAACATATCCGCGCCAAGACTGCGCAAGAATGCGCCCCGTTCGCCTCTGGAGTCGCTGACCTTACCATATTTGTTTCTGCACTCGCCTCTATTGCGTTGGTCAATTCTGCGCCGTATGAAAAGTGGCCTGCCCTTCAATTTGCTGCTGCGTTTGTCATACTCGGCCTCCTCGTGGTGGCATCCTTTACATTCGTCTTTCAGCTGGCCTCCTTTGGGGTGGCCTTGGATGAACACTTTGAATGCGTGTGGAGCAGCGGCTTGATCAAGGGATTTGCCATCACATTCGTCCTCATCAACGGGCCTCTTGTAGTTGGGATCACATCCTATGTGGGGTTGAAACTATGGAGAGTTCTCAGATGGTTCGCAAGGCAATCAGTCATTGTCACGGAGGCGAGGAGGGAAGACGATACACGAACTCAGCAGCAGATATGCGTCCGCGTTGAGACTGATATAAAAAGTAGGGATCCTCCTATTGACGTATACAACCCAGCGCGGATTAGGGTAAAGTAGGAACCTGATATCAGACATGGCAGAGACTCCTGTACCTGCATCTCTACCTGTAGTAGTCAAGTACGCCTATGACAATACAGTCCATCACACTGATTGCGTAAAGGCATTCCATTCGGTTCAGGCCGAGTCAGCTGATCTCATCATATGTGACCCGCCGTACAACTTTGGGAAGGACTTTGGGACGATAGTGATAAGAGGCGAGAGGATGAGTATCTCGCTTGGTGCAAGGATTGGATCCTCCAATGCCACCGTGTTCTCAAGAGGACAGGTACATGTTACATCTATGGTCTGTCCACCACGTTGGCTCTGATCTACGCCCGGATACATGGTAACAAAGCCATCACGTGGAAAGTGGACTGGCTTGTTTGGCACGATACGAACAAGACAAATCCAAAGGCAAAGAGCTTTCAGCGATCGCATGAAAGCATCCTTTTGTGTCGCTTTCCAGGGTCAAGGTTTAACCGTGATCTAGTGCGAGAAGCCTATACTGAGGAGTACAAAAAGTACAGCCCTGGCAGGGTCCGAGCTGCTGATTCTACTGGGCGTATAAACTCGCGGAATGTCGCAACCGCCTACAATATCCATGAGGACGGTGCGTTACCACGTGACGTCATCAAAGTCTCAGCTTTGAGCGGGGCTTGCGGCAAATCGGAAGGCGTTGCCCACCCTTCTCAGAAGCCATTGCAACTGACCGAGCGTCTTGTAAAGAGCGCTATGCATACTGAGGAAGGCATAGAAACGAATGTCCTCATTCCCTTTGCAGGGGCAGGGACAGAGATGGTGGCTTGTTCTAGGCTTCCCGGCTGCAGATTTCTTGCGTTTGAGATCAACGCCAAATACGTTGAGCTCGCAAAGAAGCGTATGGCAGTGGAGTAACTTACTTTGCTTACGCATGTCACATGAACTGGCTTTGCTTATTCAAAGTTATGAAAGTGAATGTACATACAAGCAGCCTCTATACAAGGCCTTCAAAAGTATCCACGGCAGTTTGACGAGGAGCAGTAAACCCAAAGGATCTATATAAGCATCTCTGAGGAGAGAGCAAGTGACGAAGAGCTGTCCCCCGGCGTTGATACTATCGTAGACCCTTTTCAGTCACCCCAACGATGAACTCGCCATCCGTCATGTCCACCTTGAAAGGAGGCGCGTATGTCATATAGTACTCCTTCAAAATGAGGCCACCGTTCCAGAAACGTGGCACGTGCGCTCCCGTTGGTTTGGTCAACTTATCGACGTCAAAGGAGTAGGATTTGTACATGTCCTTCTCAAACGGCCATCCTACGATTCCAACATCAGCCGGGCTGAACACTGTACCTTCGCATTGCATTAGCTTCCTTTTCCATCGCCGCAAAGCGAGCCTGATCAAACGTGCTCTGATCACACTGGCTATCAGATCTTTGACAAGACGACATGATAAGCGCACGATGTGTAGCGTATCGGTGTCTGTCAGTGTAAAGACGTGTCGCAGTACGTCCTGTTGAAACATAATGTTGCGGAACCGCCACGGAGGCAACTGAGAGAGGAGGTTACCCCCTTTACACACTTTTCTCGAAAGCCAGCCGCTGTATGACCCTTTTAAGGAACTGTGCTTGTTCCGCGTTGATGTCCTCCTGATACTGAGCAATGACGAGAAAGGGGCACTGCGCCGATCAACGTCGGATAAGTACAGTAGGAACTGTTTTCCCACTATTCCATACAACTTCAGATTATCAAGGCTGATTGGTTGCTCCGCTAGGGAAGCCGTGATTCGCTCCAACTTCTCTGCTATGAGTCTCCGATTACGTAACACGGTCTGTCCGTCATGGCACGGCAGCTCTCAATAGAGTGTCACACGATAGGCGGCTTTGTCCTGTCTTGCGGATTTCCCTATCTGCGCTCGTAGCTTATCAATGTAGAGGGCAACCTCAGATTTGGCATCGAGCTCCCGTAACAGAGCAGTATCGTGCTCACCAAGCGGCTTGAAGACAATCGTTGCCTCACGTGACATGTAACTATCAAGGGCTTTGAAGGGCCGCCTGATGCCTTTCTTGAGCGTTGAGAAAACAATATCTCACCCCACAACGCAGAAGAGTCAAAGCTGGTGGATGCTGTAGATCTCGGGAGTAGGATCAAAACAATGTTTACTATATCTGAAGCTGCCATGACGCTCGGCTCGTAAAGTACATGTAGAGCACAAGTATGGTAGAGCACAAGTATCCATGCTTCCGTAGGTATTCTACACTACTTGGCTTGCCAGTGACTATACTGAGATGTACGCCCGTCCGGCCCTTGAACCAACTTGGTACCGCCCCACTCGGTCTTCTTGTAGCCGCCGCCATTTTTCTTCGGCTCGTGCACAGACCAGGAGGTAATCTTCTTTGTGTTGTAGATGGCGTACTCGGAATTGCGTACGTCCGTTCCGGAGGGAGCGTGGAGGCTATCGTATCCGGCGTTGCGATGATAGCCTTTAGGGTCCGCACGTGTGCTCACAGCCATCTTGCCCATATCGGCCTCAATCTTGACAGCGACACGCTTGTTTCCACAGAGAGCTTTGCGGCTAGAAGATTGGACGCTGTCGGTGGCATAGACGGCTGGACCGTACATTCCCCTGCAGCACATCGGCGATGATTAGCGTGCAAGACAGTTTGATACATACAGTTACACGTCTTACTTCTTTCCGGAGCGAAGACCACCAGTCGAGATTGAACTCTTAGCGTGGTCGGGGGCGATGTGCCACAGGGTTTTCTTCTCAGGCATGATGCTGCGGTAGGTTGATGAAAGGTTGGTGTTGCGTTGCGGGTTTCCTTTCACTTTGGGGCGGGGAACGTCTCGGGCCTTCTTCTTATCTAAACGTGCCAAGACAACGGTTGCTTGAGGAAGGAAGCAACAACGGTTGCGACAGTAGAGGTTTCTATGTCTTGGCACATTTGCGTATCGCAACGCGAATGTTGAGGTCCGCGGCTGCTAGCCCCACATGCGAGTACAGCTGTGAGCGCACAAATGAACGCCCGGGGCTAATCCACAGGCTTGAGCCTCGCAGCGCCACCATCGTGTGTGTAACCGTTTAACCAGTTGTTTGATGAGCTAAGCTACATAGAACACAACAGAATGTGAAGAGATTGAGCACAGCTGCTATAACCCCAATAGCAAAGAGCGTCTTGAGCCCTGGTTCCTTGATCAGTCCCCAGCCGGTGTCCGGCGAATGTGCACGGCTCCATCTCCAATCTTCCTCGTACTCTAGGAATGACGCGCGAGAACCGAAGTAGACTAGCTCATCCACTCTCTTTGGCCAATAGCATGATTGTTCTATGTCCGTGCGGGGAATAGGTTGGCCGCGATATCTTGTTACGGTGCTTCGTACGGCCGTACTGCATGATACGCTTACGTTGACCGGTGTGTCATAGTCTCCTAAAGAAAGCAGGAGGCAACCACAATGGTCATACTCAGTGTCAAGTCTCCGCTCCAAAGCGGATCGCTGGGCGGCAATATAGTCGTCTACCCTTCCGTTCAACGCTCGAGAAGATATGACAAGGGCAATCGCCGAAAAGCACGCGATAGCAACGAACAGCAGGCACAACAACGCGGTACGTTTACGCCCAGCTGCGGCCGCTCTGCTCAGATCAGTTCTCGCGTTGCCCGTCTCCGGCTCATCTGAGCTCAATCGGGTTGAGGTAGCATCAGGACGAGTATTGAGCTGGTCCAGACTGTACGCTGGGGGATCCTCGTCTTTCATGTTTAGGTATCGGATTGTGTAAGGCGTAAGAAGCACAAAGGGCCTGCATTATATACCATCTACATCTGCTTTGCCTTCCCCCTAGAGGCAAACGCTACAAGTCTACACAGATGTGGCCCTCATACGTCAGCCCGGAACAACCTAGAGCAGAGAGTGTCTCTATGACCGACGGTCTACGATATCGCGGGGTCAGCTTGAGATCATGAAGGATGTCAGGACAAAGGCGGATAAGGCTCCTGATCATAGAAGGTGTATCAGACTCATCCACATCGCGGCATCCATCCTCTACACTAAGTGGTACGTCTCCTATATCAAGCGCAGCTTCCTCTGCAGACCACGGTTTAACGAAGACAGCGTTTTCGTAAGTGATCGCCTTCTGCTGTATCACATAGCTACACGACGGCAGGAAAGGGGACGGATCGTCAAGCGTAACCATGAAGTTCAAGGTGTCCTGAGAAATATGCCGCAGCGCCCTTTCCCAGAGGAAGATTCCGAATAGTGTTGTCGTTGGTAAGCGTTTCACCTTGGCGAGGCTAGCAAGAGCCCTCCAATCTTCCCAAACGACGGCTCTGTTAAGGGACGTCATGGCATGCTGGTGATCGAGCCCAGCTTGAACGAGAAGGTTCAGGATGCAGCAGTGGACCGGAGAGCAGTAGGGGAACTCTGGCCACCGACATAGATCCGGGTGACGACGGAGAAGGGCTCTCACGACGTCCGCATCATGCGTGTGATGGATATATGAGCAGATCTCTCGGCATTCGTCTTCAGTTATCAGGTCCATTGGATCATTGTCGAGGTATCGGTCTCGTATGTACTGCGATTCTAGGTCGGCCATTACTCGTAGTGTTCGCGAGCGTATAAGGGGCGCGCTTTGTGTCCTCGCGCCTTTTTGGTAAAGAGAGGATACGCGTTTGGTGCAAATCTTTTTTTGGATTCCCAAAAAAAATTTCATACTGAAACGCGGCAGGTCACATGACTATTATTCATGGACTTCAGACACATATAGCCCCTTCACCGCCACGGTTCGAATTCGTCATGTTGTAGATTGGAATCTTGGTAGTCCCGGGAGGGCAGGTTACGCTATAGATATTTGTAGTTTTATCGCAGCTCGCGTTTCCATACGTTTCTGTGATACCGTCCCATCTGTTAGGTACCCCATACAAACACACCCCACCTGCGGCGGTACCAGCGTCGCAAAGAGCAGCCTCCCCGCCGTAACCGCCATACGTCATCTTGAATAGGGTATGCTTCTCCGTTCCTGCAGGACAGCCGCCGACGTATACGTTGGCCGTCTTGTCGCAGGCGGCTTTTCCAGACGGAGGCAGAGCTTGCTCGTCCCAAATCCCTGGCTTCCCGCCCAGACATGCTGTGGCATCCTGAACCTTTGGGCTACACACCGCACCTTCCCCGCCCCTACCTGTGTTGCTCATGGTGAACAGGCTCGTCTTCACCGTACCAGCAGGGCACTCCACGGTCCACATGTTGTTTGTAGTGTTGCATTTTGCCCTGCCCGTCGTTGATTGCCATTCGTCCCACACGTTGACACCATTGTTAACACAATAGCCACCAGCCGAGATGGTGTTCGGGGTGACGCATCCAGATGTATCGGTTGGGCCGAAGGTTCCATCCGCTTGACACATGGCTGTGACGGTGCCAGTCTGGGGGGCTGGGCAGCTTCCTTGGCCCGTTTTGCCGACGGCGGTGACGGGGAATGTATCTGTTTTGAGACACTGTGTTGGCGTGTTGGTACCTGATCCTGTGCCAGATACTGATCCTGATCCTGATCCTGCCTTGGCAGCGGACTTGAAGATGCCCTTGAACCAACCCTGTGTCCAACCAAAGATACCAATGAGTAAAATGATCACGAAGATGATCAAAGAGATGACAAGCGCGCGCATGATTGCTGGTTGTGACTATCCGCTCCGTTTACATATATGATGACAGATAAATTTTCCATCATCACCACGTATACTACCATAGAGTTCGTCGGCGTCTAGAAAGCTCACACCCCCGGCACCCTACCCCTTGGAACCTGGAATCTGAACTGTAGAACACTGCCCAAAACCAAGAAACTCGAAAATTTCTAAGTCCCTAGGGTTCCAGGCAACCCAATAATAAAACCCAACCCAGGGGGTCTTGTAACCCTAACCCTAATCCTAACCCTAACCCTAATCCTAACCCTAACCCCAAGTTTCATGCCCTGATCGATCACTACTTCGGCAAGGAGGATACGCCGTGGTTTGAAGGCGAAGATATGCTGCTACCGGTGGCATCGCCTCACAACTTGGCGTATCGCTTGGACGGCATGTACGAGATGCTTGGGCGGGTCATTGTATGTGCCTATCGCTGGGCTCGAATCGTTCCGACAACGCTCCATCCTGCTTTTGTAAACTACCTCCACCACAGCCACAATTGCTCGGGTATCCACCTCCCCCATTATTGGCAGATCACCGCGGAAACGGTGAAGCTCTTCGACAAGGAACTCGGCGAGGTACTGTTGGGTATGCGTGACAAGGGGATCGACCGCAAAACAAAGCGTGAAACATGGGAGGCCAGGTATGTACTCGACGTTGCAGTGTTCTTGACCGCCCTCAGTGAACGGTTTACCGAGTCCGTTCTTCCGTCGGTAGACTCAGGGCATGCGTTGAGCGACTGGGTGTGCCTATTCATGTTCCAACTTACGTGAATGATGCACACCGTCCGCAGCCGCTTCGCCGCAGCTGGAATGATCTCTGGACGTTCTGGGAAAACGCCGACCGCCATTCGCGTTCGATCGAATACCACGTGCTGTACGCAAGTAGGGATGGCCCGATGGCCGACATGGTAAAGGGGATGGGCGTGGAATTTGTCGGAATCCTCCATTCGGTCCCATGCGGAGTCGTCATGTCGTTATTCGCGCCTGTACTGCTCATGTATGATGAGATTTCCCGCCATCTGGAATTCACGTGCAAATCTGCAATGAGCCGGGATCTCGTCAACACCGCCGCGCAGCTCTCCCGATGTGCATTGAAAGAAGTTCCAAAGGACCAGACGCTGGACAATTTCGTCCATGCCATCACGGGTTCTCACGTATTCCCGACGCGAATCTACGTCCTCTTTTGCTTGGATGAGGGCCAAAAGCTTCCCGAATACAGCTCATGCTCCAAACGGCTGACCTTCTACTTTCCCACGGACTTGCTTGACGAGCACGGTAGCCCCCGGTCCCCAAACCCGTTTGGCGGCCCCCTCTGGGACGGTTTGGCCGAAATCCATCGTCAAGGACCCTTGGCGTATGGGCTTTTGTAGCGTTTCTCCCTCCTTCTCAAGCTTGCTGTGAATTATCAGTTTAGGAGCCCGCCCATAATTAACCGGCCATATTCCCTGCCTATATTCCCCTCGATATTCCACCCTCTTTATTCCACCATGTATTCCCTCTGTCAATCCCCCCCGTCCCAATGTGGTATAGCTGTATTTGTATCTGCTCCTCTGTCGCTCCTATAGCCGAAATCCTGAATGGTCAGTTCCCACCGCCGTTGAAAGAAAAAAACGTAAAAGCGCACGTGACGGGAACGCTATGTGGCGCAGGGGACACCCTGACAGTTTTTGACATCTTTTCCTTGCGGAAATGTTTGATAAAACACGTAAAAGCGCACGTGACGGGAACGCTATGTGGCGCAGCGGGCACGCTGACAATTTTTGACATCTTTTCCTTGGGGAAATGTTTGAATTTCATGCACGCCACACGCGAAATGTTTGCTCTTCGGAAGAAAGGTTCAATAGATGTTTGATCCTTGGAAGAAATGTTTGCGTTTCAAACATCCTCGGGCAAAATGTTTGCGTTTCGTGCGAACTGGCTGAAAAAGGTTGCATTTTGTTGCGCACGCTGGCATTATGTTTGCTTCTCAGGAGAAATGTTTGCTTTGCATGGACCTCGAAAAGTATTTTTGGCAGAGCCAGCTGGTCTTACCTTGGTATTGACTTCATGAGCTTTGTGCTACCAGCTTGTATCTTTATATTTTCGCTCAAGTGAAAGAAAAGAAGCTTAGTAAGCACAACCTCTCCTCATCCATATAAATCCATTTCCGCTGAACCGAAGCGCGCCTCAACCGAACCGCAGCATCAAATGTATCATATATATACTCTCTCTTTGTCACTCGACTGCACAGATCTTAGAACAAAACAGGCTAAGCGCACACTCTGTTCACAACATTGCACTCTCATTTTGCATCAACATTGACCTAATTCATCGCTCTCGACACAGGTACGTCAAAATCTGGTCTCCAGGGTGATTTCTGTCGTAAGAACGGAAAGGGGATTCACCCAGCGCATCTAGTCGCAGAAAACCAGGAGACCTTGAATTCTGCTTCCGATGCCTTTAAGTCCTCCCCGCCGGCCCCATCGGTTTTATCCGTTATCTCTACCACAATCTACCCTAGCATCGTCGATCCTGGTTTTTAGCCAGTGTATGCGGACCTGATGGTGTGGGATCAACTGAATTTATGAAGTCTTATACCAAGAAAATGTGACGGGGCAGAGACATTGAATGAGAAACCGTCCAGTCTTTCCACCAACTACGGCTGGAGACTGGCTGTCGCCGCTACGGTAGATATAGGGCCGATCGCCTTTGCACCGGCCTTCAAGGCGGTCATCCAAGCATCTTTGTGCTCTTTGTCTCCAAATCTGAGTTTGATATGCTCACCATCTTGCGTGGCAAGAGAGATGGTGGTATCGTTGACTGTTTTCACACTGTTTCGCTGATACACATAGTAATTTGACGTGCTTTGTCGATACTAAAGAGGGGAGGAGAGGGTTAGTACGGAGCGCGTTCGCGATGATGTGCAGAATCCCATAGATGTCATAGCTTCCGTAAAATGATAGCCCCTTTGTTAGCAAGATAAAACAACGAATGTGCTGAAAATGCGCCAAGAATCCCGGTGCCAATTTGAGATTGAACCAGCGTGACCTGCACGGAAATAACCTATCAACGCCCACTTGTCCACGAAAGCAAAGCTGCATGAAGTCTTACCGATAAACACATGCATTTCTCCATTTGCTGCTCGTGCGAAATGCTTTCAACGCCAAAGGAGTTTGTTTGGTTGCTGTCCTCCAAATCGTTGGCTGAAGGTTTATGGGATGGGCTCCTATTCCTGGATTGTGTCCCTGAATCGGCATCTTCTTTATTGTCGCGCGTTTCCAAAGCCCTGATAGCGATGAGCTTCGGGATGAAAAGCTGGGTGGATACGAAGACGGAGCCCAAAATGAGCAGGAATGCAACGAAGAGGCTGCGGACTTGAAATCCAAACAGCTCGACTGCGTAGTTCATCGGTAGAAGGATGACTGAAACCAGCATAAGGGTGTAGATGCAGCTAATGATATGCTGAGATTCGTTGAAGGCCGATTTCACATTGCGCACTTGAACCGCGGAATAAATGCCGAGAAGCAACCAAAGACTGTTGTACACAATCAGAGTTGTCGAGAAAGCTTGAGCAGTAGAAGAATCATTCGAAGTGCAACCCCCTAAAAAGGAAGATGCGAGTTGGCAAAGCTTCCCCGAGAAGTATATACGGACAGCACGGACATACAATACAATGAACCGCCAACATCCGTTAGCAGTTGCGGCCGAGGTTTGTCCTGTGCGAACCAGGCTATCAAAATGATCTATAGCAATTGATCAGATCTTCCTCCAGGCGAACCTTTGACAAGCCATTCGTACCCAATCAACTGCGACTGCTGCTCCAGAGACTGCGAAGAGGAACCTGTCTCGCAGGGCCCAGCGAAACCGCTTGGCGGTGAAAGGAAAGTTGCTATACCGGAAGTATAAGCTTGGTTAACAATGCAATGGGACACAGGTGTCGGAATCATGAAAATGTAGACTTACAATAAGATGTGAACACGTAGCGTCTTAATCACGAGGCTCCTACAGCATACAAAGCATTAAGCTATTAGTCGACAGGCTGCGTCAAGGCAATGGTTTGTTGAGGAGTTTTCTCACCCGATCGCGATTGTGAACCCAACAGCAACGAACAAAGGCTGCAGAATGCAGGTAGTGGCATTCGGAATGTCGATGTAGGTGTATACGTCCAACAGTCCAAGAATGCTTCCGAAGATAATTTGAAAAGAGAACCCAGGGCTGGCGGCCCGAATTATATTGCTCTTTCTGTATATGATGACCGCTATGGCCAAGACACACACGTATGCCAATGCCACCGTTTTGATAGCGGCGACCACTCCGCCGAGGCCAGACTTCCAGACAAAGTTCGAGTAGCGCACACACTGATTCTGGAATCCGCTGCCTAGCATATACTGGCCGTGTGGACAGTCTTCGCAATGGTTTGTTTCAAGGTTCAAGAAAGTTCCAGGAGGACATTTGACGTGTATAGGCACGGTAGCTTGCTTGGATGCCGTGTCCAATCCGTCGGAAACGAGATAAGTAATTTGTGATGCCGGCTTCCCGCCTTCATACTCGTTGGGATTGTAAAAGGTAAGCTCAGTGCCCGCAAGAAATTCATCCCCAGCAGCTACAGCCTTGCCGCTACTCGTGTAGAATGCGCCTCGTTCCGGAACAGTGACAATTTTGATCGTCAGGACGTCACCATCAGGATCGAAAGCCGTTAGGGACACGGTAGTGTTGATGCCTGGCTCTACCAGAAGTGGGGCCAAATACCCTCCGACGGGAGCATTGGGCAGGTACAGCGCCGGTAGTGCCGCGGCTTTCTGTGTGCTCCCATCCTTGTCCCAGCAATCTGCCTGAGGCACTTCTGTCGCTGTGCATTGCCCGGCACCCAGTGGGCAATAAGGAAGCTTATTGGGAACACATCCACCTGGGACAAGGTCGTTTTTGAAAGGACTTGAATCCTTGAGATACCGGTTTTGCGAATAAGGCTGTTGGAACGCTATGGCATCGGCATACTGATCAAGGTTCCTGAAACCAAAACCATTTTGATTATCACGAGCACCCACAGAACTATTCGACTGTTTCCATACCAGTAGCCTTTGAGTCCCTGTTTGGTTCCCGTCAGAGTGGTGTGCATGTCGGCTTGGATTTCATTCCGGCTTCGCGCGTAATTGGAGACTCTAAACTCGTCAAGGAACCCCTTCGGAGAAGCACGCGTTAAGATAGCTGGACCTTCCGCAGGACACCGTTTCCGGCACTCACTTTATAGTAGTGGTAATTTCCCCAGAATGGCCTATTGCATGTTTTGTTAAAACATGTTGGGAGGCATTGTTTGAAATATTCTTTATGCCTCTCACGTACCAATGACACAAGTATAACCCGTCCCGCTTCCCGAAAAACGGCACATTCGCGATCTGTCCAAGAAGTTCGCCGCTACAAAAATGCCAACCTCAGAGTCTGAATCACGTGGATTGAGCGTTGCCTATATGATACTCACTTCAGATACATCCGCAATGTTGTGTTAGTTGAAACGATTGCCATGTGTTTCCTGAAAAAAGAGTTCGGAAGCTACGTGGGTATATTTTCCGAGCCTCTTGATCCGGGTATACGTTGGGAAGTGAACGCACCATTGCTCAAAGACCGGCGTAATATCAAGACTCAGAAGTCCGTTTCCGGTAGTGGGATCCCATCTGTCAGACAGGAAGACAAGGTCAAACTTTCTGCAACACCCGTCGAATTGTTTGCTTCAGCTACTTACGAGTTGTAAGCTTCCGCTTTCTGATTCGGCGAGTACTGATCAAATTTAAACCGGCCAATGCAAAAGTCTGATTTTGACCAGCGACTTTCTTTTCGAAGACACCAATTGCCTGTGTAATTTACTCCAATCTTGTTGTTTCTGTGGGGTTCAAAGGAAACCCCCGTTAGCGTTTATTCCAAGTCCATTGCGCCTGGAAACCAACCCGAAAGAGAACAGGGTGGCTGTCGGAATAGAATTGGTATGACCAAAATTCAATCGTCTCATGTAATAAAGCGATGATTAATGTCAACTTCTCAGGGGAATTATTGCGTTGATTCTCTCTTACGTATTCTCCGTAATCCGCAGTATCGAAAGAAAAATCCTGGAAAGCAGCTTTCAGTCAGATATCCTCCAATTTGAGCAAAACTGCTTTGCAAAAGTTACCTTGGCGTATGCGTAGTCATCCCCTGCCATGTAGATTACAATGTTAACTGATTTATGACAGATTTATGACTGATTTATGACGGAGCTTTTATACTTACCGTCGCAATACAAGACTCCGCCACCATCGCCTACAATGGGTTTCCGATTCGTCTTGACGTAAGCGTTTACGGTCATTACCGAGGACGTCGTGGAGCCGTCCGACACAGTGTACTGAAATCTACATATGTCCGAGACTGGTGCATCGCTGGGAGCCGCGGGAGATATCATATTGACCTCTTTGTCGGCTGAGAAGGTGCTGGACACAGTAGACAGTGCAGTGCCCCCAGATGCTTGCAACGTCAATACGGTGCTACGCTCCCACAGCTCGGCAGTGATGTAAGCCTGATGGTGAGTCCAGAGGCAGCACCTGGTTGTACCAGCGATATTTGAGCTACATGTTGGAAAAGAGATGACCGACACTAAGCCATGACATGATCGTCCTTGTTCTGTCCTGAAGCGCAAGGGCCCATTCACACCTGATCCTGCTGCCGCTGATGTCCTCGTAACACTAGCGATAATGCTGCTCCCTCGGATTGGGGCTGTAGACGGCACATATTTCGGTGCGCCTCGTATTGTGTTTGACTGTTTATATCGTCAGCATCCTGTCGATTTGGAGGGACTCGGATGATCCTTACCATTTTAATATTATAACGTTGCGCAGATAAGTCCTGAGAAGGGGGAAACGGTTGTGGGAGACTGTTTAAAACGTCCCCGAGTCCGGATTCAACCTCAACTATTTGGAAAGACCAGTATCCTACCGTCAGCCAAAATTCCCAAGCAGGGTCGTAATTGTTGAGGTTGTAATAAAACACAGTGTTCGTAATTTCGGAGGTGGTTAATGGACGGTTCATCGCCGCTTGAATTTTGCTCTGCGGGCATGAATAATGCGCTTTCAAAAATTGGTATAATGACGAAAACAATCATGCAGAGAATCAGAGCGGCAACTCCTCACCCCCTCCTGTCATTCCACTGTCAATGGCAAGCCCCTCCATTTTGTGCCGGATGTTTGTACGGCATTTTGACTACTGCTGTACAATGATGCTGTTGAAGGGACTACGGCTACAGTCACCAGAGATCTAGCACTTCGTCACATTCATATACTGATGAGCATCCCCATCATTAAGAAACGTCGCCAAAACGATGCTCAGAGCGATATTATGGCGGGCATTGACGGCGGTCTGCGTATCGGCCCATGATTCCGAGGCCTCACCCACCGTACCACGGGCAATGGCATTAGCCATCATGCACACAAATGTACCGCAGTTCTGGTCATCGGTCTGTCGAGGCGTGAAGAGGGCGTCAACCGTCGGTGTCGGTGTGTGATTGAGCGGGGCTTCAGTGGCCGTAATGTACCAATCCCACAAGAGGGAGCCGATATTGGCCATCTTATCAACGTAGTCGTCGTCATTCGGGCGAGGCTTTGAGTCAAATAAAACGAGGAATACGTTTTCGTGTCTGGTTAATGGCGAACCAGGGGGGCCAGGGGTTTTGCGGACTTGGGCGCCGGCACCGCGACAAGTATTGCAAACAGGACCCAGTGCAGATTATCTGGGTTTGATGGGAATAGCAGTATGTTGTACTCTGCAACGTTGATCGACCGCTTAACATAAAACAAAAAAGGAAAGTTAGTTTAGTTAAGTACGGTACGTTTAAGTAACTTTTCTTACCGGAACAAGCCGAATAGGGACATTGGATGTCCGTGCCATTTTGACACTTTGGAGCCAAGTGGATCCAACGGCTAGCAGTGGCGGATAAATGGTTGGGCGCCGTGATGACCTGGCTTGTAACAACGCGCACCACCTATATATCCAGAGACAAGTATCAGTGAGTGACAACAATGACACACACTCGCACGGGAAAGCGGGAACGGACCTGTTGACAGCTTGATCGTTCAGCCAGCAATCGGTTTTGACAATCCGCCGAATGATAGCGGGTTCGATGATCGACGACCCTGCCGGTATCCTCAGGTCTCCTTCTCCTTCCTTTCTGCCACAACCGAGAGCCCACTGGCCCACCGGCATATTTTTGCTTTTCATCCACCTTTGGCCACGGCTCGCCTTTCCACATTGCCGGCGGCCGGTTCCACCAACCGTCAACGTCTATATTCATTGCAGAGGGGTCGGGGTTTAGCTCTTCATTGTTGACGCGCCCGTGCGTAGGAGATTCAGTAGTGGCGGCTGCGACGGGTTCGACGGGTTCGACTGGTTCGATGTTGGGCTCTGCCAAAGAGAGCTGAGCTGCCGAAGAGAGCTGAGCTGCCAAGTCATCTGTCTGGGTGCGGAGTGTGTTGATGGTCTCTGCCATTTGCGCAACGAAATCTAGCAGCCGCTTTTCATCATAGGTAGTCTTCATCATCTGTCGCGCCTGGTCCTTGTCAACTCCCTCAACTCCACCGCCGCCGCTGCCACCACCGCCGCCGCTGTCTGCCATGGTTTCAACTCCACTGCCGCTGTCTGCCATGATTTCAACTCCACCGCCGCTGTCTGCCATGATTTCAACTCCACCGCCACCGCCGCTGTCCGCCATGATTTCAACTCCACTGCTACCGCCGCTGTCCGCCATGATTTCAACTCCACCGCCGCTGTCCACCATGGTTTCAACTCCACCGCCGCCGTCGTCAACTCCGCCGAAAGCAAAGCCAATGTTGGGGTTTGAGATGGCGCTGGGTGTGGTAGTGTGGGTTGGGCCAGGTGTTGGTGTGGGCTGGTGGTCTCCGTCCCGGTTCTGTGCCCATGCAGCCTTGTCAACAAACTGGTGGATCCGCGCCCCGGGCCGCATAGAGAGAGGGTCATTTGGGAGAACCGGAGCAAAAATGTTGTCTATAATACATAGATGAGTGCGCTGTGTCAATGCATGCGGGAACACGGTCCGGTCACCTTACCTAGAGACAGCTTCTGCCCCTTTTTGCGCCACTTGAATTCCAGGTAAGGGGCATACATTCCCCACATGTCTCGCTGACCTTAATCCATTTTTGCTTTGGCCAGCGCCGCAAAGTACGGATCCCTCATGGAAGGCCGATATCTCGCAAAAACGTGTTTGGTGACACTCCTTCATGAATGCGTGATTGTAGCGTTCTTTGACAAACGCGACGACATCCTCCCTGGAGGTAAAGTACATGCGGCGTTTGGGGCATGTTTCTATAATACCACACATTAGTGGCCGGCTACATGAGGACAAAGGCAACTGAACCATTTGTAACTTACGTGCAAGTGTGCCAAAATGGGTCTCGATCCGCTGATAAACATTATCAGCATTACCCGACCCGTCACTAAGCATCGCAGACAGCATCGGAGACGTCCCTGTTGCTGTTGCGCGCGCCGTAGTGTGAGCAAAGGTAGACAACCCGAATTCGTTACTGGGGTCGGCGTAGGTTGTCAGGTAACTCATCTTCACTTGTATTTCATATTATATCTCTTTACTTCTACTTGATCCAAGACCCGGGCTGGCCACCCGGGTTCTCGGTGATACATTACATAAGGCGCCCAGCCTCACTGAAGCCACGCAAGCCCCACTGAGAGCCCATATATAAGGCTGTCAGTCAAGCGGGCGCTGCGAAGAGCTTCTTACTTTTTTCTTCACTACAATACACTGCTCTCAGTGTCGGGGATATCTCATCTCCACTTGTATTTCATATTATATCTCTTTACTTCTACTTCATCCGAGACCCGGGCTGGCCACCCGAGCTCTCGGTGATACATTACATAAGGCGCCAAGCCTCACTAAAGCCACGCAAGCCCCACTGGCAGCGCATATATAAAGCTGTCAGCCGAGCGGCCGCTGCAAAGAGCTTCTTACTTTTTTCTTCACTACAATACACTGCTCTCAGCCCTCTCAGAAAAGCCCAATATCGTCTACATTTCCTCTGACGTTACATGGTAGCACCACCTACCGCTAGCATCACCAAGACATTCCTTGTCAACGTTGCCCCTCTACCGGACGTCCCACTTACACTCGTTCACAAGCAAGAATGGACCAACAAACTCAAGCTATCGTTGCGGCTGTCGCAGCTGCTTTCGCTACTTGGGAGCGTGCTGTTACGCAGGATGTCCAACAAGCCGAACGTTTCAGACTTCTTATGGACGCTCGCAAGAACAAGCTCGTCGAATACGATGGCGCCAAAGCTGCCAAAAAGATCGAAGAGTTCGTTACGTCTCACCACAACTTTCTCGAGTCTCTTACTGTCCCGGCTGTACAAGCTGGATCAGACGGTACTGGAGCTGCCAACGCCATACCCTTTACTATGGCAGAGTATGCCCCTACGCTCACTACCTATCTCAAGGGTACTGCTCTTGAGTGGTACAATACGACTTACACCTCTGGCGCTCCCGCAAGTTGGACAGCTTTCGAAACGGCTCTTGTCCCTCACTTTTATCCTCGCAACTTGCGTAATACTATTGAGCTCAAGCTCTCCGGTCTTAAGCTTGGTGACTCTCTCGAAAAATATATCAAGGAGTTTCAGGACACCAATAATGAGCTTGAAGCCGCTCATCGTCTCGATAACACTCAAGGCACCATTCCCCTTATCGATCAGATTCGATACTTCAAGGCCGGTCTTCTCAAGAATACGGTAATCGGTCATTATCTTGCTGAAGCCGTGACGAACTTCGAAGTCTCGGGCACTACCAATATCAACACCGCTATCACTCTCGATCAAGCTATCACTGCAGCTCGTCGTGCTCATGTGGCTCACGGGTTCACTGATGGCAACCAAGCCAATACGCCTCGTCCAATTGCCTCGGCATCGAGTGCTTGTGGAGGCCATGGAGCCAGCCGCGGTCGAGGTAGTCGTGGCGGTGGTTGTGGCGGACGATTCGCCCCTTACACCAATCCTCAAATTACGGAATTCGAGCAAGACTTAGATGATATGACCTTTGGGCTCAATGCCCTCGGTACGTCATACTATCCCCCTGGAGTGAGCCGTCTCACTGCAGGTCAAGTTCCCTACCAATGTCGACAACCCTTTCGTCGACGTGGACAATGGCAAACTACTCACGTTCCTCGTCAGCGTCCAACAACTCCTTGTCCCCTTTGTAACAAAATGGGACATTGGAGAGTTGAATGCTGGTCAAATCCTGAAAATCAACAGCAAGGCTCGCAAACCCAGAACCGACGCGGTGGTTTTCGACAGCGCGGTCGTGGCGCTCAGACTCCGCAGCGCAGTCGCCAACCTAATCAACAACAAGGTTCAGCCAAGCAGGTTGATGCTGGGTCACGCATTACGGAAATTCTCGATGACGCCGTCAACTCTGCGAATACTACGAATACTACTACAAATCAATCTTTGAGTTTTTTCCAAGGTCGATAGAGCCCCTCGGTAGCTCTGCTCGGCCTACAACATACGATCCTACCGACAAACCTGCCTTCGAACCACTGTCTGCTGGACTCTGGGTCTCTCATTGTCGCATCGGAAACAAGTTTGCTTGTGTTCTTTTCGATAGCAGCGCAACTGGGTTATTTCTTGACAAGACATTCGTCGAAAAGCACAAATTTTCCAAGAAAGGTATTGAACCAAAGCAGATATGGCTGGCCGACAAAGAATCCTACATGATTCTCAACACGGTCGTTTCGGAAAAGTTAGATCTATGGGATCTTGAATCTCAGTCGCTTTTCTTAGTTGGACAACTCTCCTGGCTAGTCAGTAATCTGGCTTACGACGCTATTATTGGAACGCCTTTTTGACGTTTCTTTAATTACGCTGAACAATTCTCGATGAGTACCTTACCTATCCTTTGCTGGACCAATCATGGCCCTATACCAAACGCACCGCAGTCTGTCACCATCAAATGCAAAAGAACTTCAAGAAACTGGGAAGATGTCGAATATATCCCGAAACACAACAACCCTTACTTCGATGTACAACAAGATCCGGTCTACGATAAAAGACCTGTTCGACCTGTTCGGATCATTAAACCTGTGGATACACGTCCTCTACAAGCTGCACCTCATTATGTTTCTTGATTCGCTCAAGCCAATGCCCTTCGCAATCCTCAAGTCACAGAAATGACTTCTAAGCGATTCGATAAGGCTTGGCGACGGAACAAGTTTGAAAAAGACACGGTCTGTCGCCTCGCTCTTAACGAAATACTGGACGCTCCTCAAGAGCTTAAAGGAAATCCAGGACATCTTAAAGATATCCTAAATAAATACGTCAATACGCTCTTCAAGGAACCGAAAGGTTTACCCCCTGATCGCGAGAAGATAAGTTCAAGATCGAACTCACTGAAGGTGCTGACCCCGTTTGGCAACCTCTTCGGCACATGAACAAAGAAGAACTCGCTGAACATAAGAAACAAATCAGTTCGATGCTCGAAAAACGATGGATACAACACTCCTCAAGTCCCTGGGGAGCTAGTGTCGTCTTTGCGAAAAAGAAAGATGGGGGATTACGCATCTGTTGGGACTACCGAGGTCTCAACGCTGTCACCAAGAAAGATTGCACTCCTTTACCCAATATCCGTGAGATGAGGGATCGCATTCAAGGTTGTAAATGGTTTACGCTTATCGATATTCGAGAAGCATACCATTGTCCTCTTATACGAAAACAAGATCGAGAAAAAACGGCAATACGAACTCGCTTCGGACATTTCGAGTATTTGGTCATGCCGTTCAGACTTACCAACGCACCTGCTGCATTTCAACGTCCTATGAATAAGATCTTCCATAAAGATTACGACGATTTCCTTGCTACCTACCTGGACGACATTTTCATTTTCTCCAAGACCTTAGCCGATCATCGGGAACATGTCGATTGTATCCTGAAGAAACTTGAAGAACACGCCCTTTTCATCAAGCCTTCAAAGTGCATATGGGCTAAAGAAGAACTCGAATGGTGTGGACATATTGTGAAGACATGGTGTTTGCATCGCGCCCTCGAAAATCCAAGCTATTAAGGATTGGGCTACTCCAAAATCAACAAAAGGAGTTCAAAGCTTTCTCGGGTTCACGAACTACTTCCTCAACTTCGTACAAGGTTATTCGGACATCGCTCTGCCCCTATCAAGTATTCAATCTTCGAAAGTCAAATTTCGATGGGGTCCTGAGCAACAAGAGGCATTTCAAAAGTTGAAAGAAGCGTTGATCATTGCGCCTACCCTAGCAACAATCGATGAAACCAAGCCGATTTATGTCTGTACCGACTCATCAGGCTACGCTATCGCTGGCTGGATTGGACAACCTTCTGGCAATGAAACGATCCCTACGAATCTGCCTACTCTTGTCGGACAATGGAAGAAGTTACCTCGGCTCCGGCCTGTGGTCTTCTTTTCTAGAAAGATGAAGGACGCAAAAACTCGATATCCTACGCACGAACAGGAGCTCTTAGCTCTTGTCAAGATGTTGGTCGCCAATCAACCATATCTTAATGGTTGTTACTTCCGATGTTTTAGCGATCACAAGGGACTCGAATTCATCCAAACGCAACCCCATTTGAGCAGAAGACAAGCTAATTGGGTGGAGAAGCTACAAGAGTATGATTTCGACATCCTGGACAATGGGATCATATCGCTCACATGCTCTCCCGCAATCCAATCTATGCGCCTCGGTGTGTAGATTGTCAACGACGCCTCGACATGCATACGCAGATCAGCAACATGCTTGTCAATGAACCTTCCTCCAATGCTAGGACAGACGATCCACAAAACTCACCTACCTGCTCAGAAGAAGAATGGAAAAAAGCGCTATGCGAAGATCCATATTCGGATTATCTCGATGAAATTTCTCGAAAACCTCAACACGAGAAAACTTTGAAAGAACTCCGTTATACGTTTGAAAATGGATTAGTACAACACAAAGGACGTCTATACGTTCCTGAGAACATTTGCCCAAAGATTTTGCGGAAATTCCATGACGAACTTGCCACCGGAGGACATCTCGGCGTTAAGAAGACTCTCGCGAGAATTCTTACGGACTATTACTGGCCTACCGTACGCTCCGACGTTATCAAATACGTTGGAACTTGCAAATCCTGTCGACACTTCAAACCTGGTCATTGTCGATATGGATTTCTTCGACCTCTTCCTATACGTTTTGGAAGATGTCACACGATCGGATTCGACATTTTCAAAGTAGATGAAACAAACTCTTGTCTCGTCTGCATCGATTACCTTTCCGGACGTGTGATCCTGACACCGATCAAGAAGACAATTACTGGACGCGAACTAGCCCAAGTCGTTCTAGATCATGTTTGGAAACATGTCGGTACGCCAAAAGTCTTCGTTACGGATCGCGAACCTCGCGCACTTTCTGACTTCTTCCTTGCATTTGATATTCTCCTCGGTGTAAAACACAAATTCGCTACTGGTCGTCATCAACAAACCGACGGCAAAGTTGAGCGAGCCATCCAAACCCTGAAAAGGATTTGGAAGCAATACCTCAACTACAACAAAAGC